AAATTTCGCATTTGAACTTCAAATTTTGGAAATTCTTGAGAAAAATAACTTTGAATCAGCCAAACTCAATACTGAATCTTGCGCAATTGAAATGAATCTGAGTTTATTTGATAGCAAATGAATGGAAGTACTGATCCCTAGCAGGATGTATTGTTTAAATTTTTAGATGTTGAAATAGTTTGAAGAAGCAATTTTTGCCCATACAAAATTTTGACTTGAAATCGCCACAAAATCTGTAATTTTGGATTGATGAATTGGATTGCAACCATGACATAGATTAATTAGACAATCTACTATTGATGAAGATCAAAGCAAACCAAAAAACCAAATTTATGTTTTTTCTCATTTTTTTGGTGCCTGAAATTTGAATAAATGACTAGGTCAGGGTGAAATATATAATTTGAAAGTGAATCAATTAACAAATTGATTTTGGAACGATTTCCAGTTGTGTATTCTTGTGCTAGGAACGCTGTGGAACTACTATAATAACTAGCACTACATGTTAATACAGTGTTATTGGAGATTGTGCAAAGCAAAGATACATTTTCAATACTTATCTGATTTGTTTCAAGTCTTCAAAACATTCGACACAATTTTATGCTCGCTCTCTGCAATGTTTAAAGTTCTTTGATATATGCCAATTGTGAAGAATAAACATTACTTCTTGAACCAGGACATCGCTCTTAAATTGAAGTTGGCTTTTGGGTCAGGCTTATCAAGAATTGAAAAAAAGGAGATTGACCGGTTCACAAATGTATGCTAATGATTGAATCTTGCTACAATACTAAATTGAGTCGCTACGCAGAATTATTATAATGACGAAGTAGTCGCTGCGTTATATTAGGGCCGTGAGCTGCGCAACGTCTCCGTATTGCGTCTCAGTTGGCGCTCCAGCGTGACATTGCCTACGGGCGATCAGTGATTATTTACTCTTGCTTCTAAATCAAAGTGCATAAAGTTCTTGGAAACTTTCTAAAGTGAATTAGTATATAAAAACACCAACGGCGTGCTTAATCCTTAGCCATCCATGTTGAAATCAACCGCACTACATTTAAAGATACGGTACTTGGACCCAATACAATTCGATGAATGAAAAATATTTGAAGGAATCCACTATAGAAACTCTAAATCAACAAATATAAAGAAAAGAACGTAAAAAGAATCGCCGCTCTTTCCCATAAGAACCCGGGAAAGATCACGGAGCGTAACCGATCGAATGGGTGATACATTCCATTGAGCAGAATCAGCCAATCATCGAAAATGTAACGAGTTTCGTTTTTTTGGCATCCAGACTTTAGACGATCTGGTCAGTCCAGTCAATCGTTCCAGATAAATAGAAACCTCCGTCCGCGTTCGCCCAGCGATTGCCAGATAGGAGTGCGATTTGTGGATGTCAAGAATCCTCTCAGGAGCAAAGGGAGTTGTGAGCCGCCCACATATCTGCAATCCGTCTCTTGGGGTCTCTCACCGGTCATCGACTTTAATGTTTTGTGATGCAGCCCAGCGCTTTATGATATGGCAGGTTCACTTTTTTTGTTCCTATGTACAAAGTCACGATAACATATTATCATCGATTTTCTACAACAAGCAATGAGGCACATTGTCAATGTTCGCTGGCAAAAATTGCAAACCTTATTGAATGCTGCTCACATAATTGTATCAGCTTCGGTCTTAAACCTTAAAGCAGCTCAGTTTGGTTGGTTGGTTCAGGTCTTCATCAACAAACGTTGCAGTGCTGCTGAAGATGTTGATTCTGACAAAGTTATGGCTTCCTTGAATTCCGTTTGCAATTCGTTGGTTGGTGGCGAATTACTTCCCTTTTACTGAAAACGGTGCCACACAATGGGTGGTATGGCCGTCAAATATTACGCAAGCTGCGGAACCTTTATGGTACTATTGATGTGGTCGTTGCTTCTATTATCAGTGGGACACCAGTTGCTGGTAAGTGAAGATAAAAATTTTCCAATTACACAGAATACAATAAACGTTTTAATGAATTCTATTGCACTATTTTCAAGAATTATAATGCTAACCGGGTTGCCGCAAATCGTTACGCCGCTTATGTTTTCGACACCACTGACGCTAAAATGATCATTTGTGAATTTCCAGGCGGTCCCCAAGCTTCATCTACTGATAAAACGGTTTTTGCCACTCATTTGCGTGATGATGTCTCTACTGGTGGCTCAGGATCAGCAGTGCTAGTCTCTGTTTGTAAGAAACAATTGAAGAACGAAAATCAGGAAAGACTGACCTGTAACTGTTGTCCCAAAGAAAAACATTTGTGATGTGAGTGTATGGCAGCACTGCCAGCTTTGGCTAGCTCATCTGATCCAGCTGATGTCTCTGCTGCTGTGGTGTTTCTGCTTGCCCCCAAGGATAATCAGTCACTCCTTGCTTGGTCCATCAAAAACACTAGCAAACTCATGATGAACTACAAACGGTTCCTGTTCAACTCTGGTGCACTCCAACATTTCTGAGCTAACGTTGATTGATTCAGCACCTAGGTTTTTCTTCCAGTCATGTTGCTGATGTTCGCGCCGTTATCGTTGATGCAAATATATCGGTTCTCTGATGCTTTCGAATGGTGGATCGTAAAGAAATGCTTTTTGAGCTTCCGATGGTGGATCGTAATGAAATGCTTTTTGAGCTTCCGATGGTGGATCGTAATGAAATGCTTCTTGAGCTTGCGATGGCGCATCTTTGATTCACATGCGAACTGCCAAAAATAAAGGGGGCCGCTTTCTATTGAAAGATGATTGTCTTTGTTTAAATAGTGCATTGGCGGAAAAGAATGCAGCTTCAAGAATATATGAATGTTTTGTTTCTCCATCTGATGTTTCATTAAGTTCAGCAAGTTTGCAAGGAATTGTTGGCTATACCGTTGAAACAGTTTCAAAATATATTGGCAAACTCCGTGACACTTCTGGTGCTGGTGAGTCATGGTATCAGTCAAGTAACACCAAAAATGCGACTAAAATTGTTAATAAGTCGTCTGCAGCACAAACCACCGCCGCTCTGGGTATTCATCATGTTGGTGATGCCGAGCGAAAGCCCGTCGATGCTGTCCTTGACAGTGGTCACCATGTTTCCATTGTTAATCTTCATTCCAAATACTTTGTTGTTGCTCGAAATGCCACACCATCATTAGCTGCTACCTGGTAGTTATACAGTATCAAATCTCCTCAACGAATGCTGCATAAAACAGTTCTTACTCTTAGATGAGATAACGACATTCCATCCAATTGGGTCAAAGACGTCTGTCTATATAATTGAATCAGGACAGAAGTGCCACTATCGTATACGTCTTACCAAAGTGCGGTCGCTAAAAAATTGCAAAAGACAATCATGACGGAAAGCAGAACATTTTTAATTGGAACAGGTGTTGCTGAATGTTTGTGGAATGATCCTATGATATATGCGCTTCTGCTGATCAATTTAATCCCCACAATTCTTTCAGCATTGTTGACAGCTGCTTAGTTGATGCCGGTTCTTGAATGATCTGCGTATTCCATGATTTCTAAACAGATCAGCCGCGCCACGTTTGGTTATACAAGTGTCTTCTGCGCTTGTGTTGGCTAGCACTTTAGTAAAACTGTCAACACAGGGTATAATTTTCAAAACTGCTGTTGTTGGAAGGTTTAGTCGGTTTAATGAAACCCAAATCACATTAAAAAATTTATCATTTGCTGCCACTAAACCAACAAATCCATCGCCCGTCAATGATACACCAACTGCTGTTGGGGTTATCGGGGCGAATCAGTTGACTGCTATCAATGAGAAAAGTAACGCAACTGCAATTGATTCTGCTAGTATATCAAATGAGAACTGCAATGAAGATAATAAGCTTATTTGCATCAACTCGGATGATGCAGAAAATGATGATGTCGGTGTCAACCATTTAAGTTCAAAGAAATATGATCAATGAACAAATGCTGCTGATCAAGCAGCTGATTGATACGCAAGTGGTGAATCAGCCAAGAACTAATTTGCTAGAACTGAACGTGCTAATCAAGGAAAGGATGAAAGCATTGAAACCGCTCATTTATCCTTTGCAAATCATTCAAGATATACTATTAATGACAGGCCTTCTTTGAGATACTTAGCCGCTGCTCTTACTGCCCCTATTACTGCTGAATAATTGGATGCAGACTTAGTGTGCAAACTGGCTTGACAATCAAAGCTACTGTCAATGTTTTTTAAGCAATATTTACATTTAAATTCAGTTCACTCTCAGAAATGATGCAGTTTGTCTGCCCTAGTGATTGCAATGAAATCAGCACAAACGAGTGATTTTGCCAGAGCTAGCCTGATTGCTCAGGGTGTTCTTCACCTTGAAGGTATTGAATATGGAGAAACAGTCAGTTCAGAAATAACGTATTGAAGTACTAAACTCCTTGTTGCTGTTGCAGCACCCAGCACAGTCAAGGTTCATAAAATGGATGGAAGAACTGCAGTACTTTATGGTGAGATTGACGCTGAAATTTGTTTGAACCCATTTTCTGCATTAGTTAGTTCTGAGTATTCTCGGAACGTCTGGAAGTCAAAGAATTCAGCTTTTAAATTCAAACAGTCTCTCTTGTGTAGATACAAGAAATTCATATTCAACTTCAATCCGCTAAGTTTCAACGAGCTGCTGATATTCAAAACATGCTTTATCTGTCTAAAACAAACACCACGGCTTGCTTCAATTGACCGTGGGTAATGTTATTGCTGCCGGTTCATCAGATGCAATAATGGAACTGCATAAGTCGTATCTCAGTTCGTTGTTCAAAACGAAAGATCTTGGAGCTTTCATGGGTCGTTTTCCTGGACGTGTTGAAGCTCAAGATAAAGACTGCATTTTGCTAACTATAGAGACCTACGTCAAAATAGTGGTTCAACTGGTTAAAATGCATGAGACTCATTCACGGTCTACACCATTGATTATTTACGTCACACGATGCTACTTGAGTTCAAAGACGTTTGTCGTTGCGATCCCATAGTAATATTCAGAAGTCAAAGACATATAAAACAGAGGAACGTGGAAACAATCGAAGGCCTCACTCATTGAAAAATGAGGTGGATTTCTGAGCGTCACGGAGCAGACCAGTGATAAACAGCAAAGGACCAAACGTAGACATCCAAAAAGCCAACAAAGACCACCCATAACTCAGTATCCAACCTTTTCACGATCCGGTCAACGAAATAAAAAATTTAATGAATCTGCAAGGGACTGTTCCCCTTGGCCAAGCGGAAACCAGCTGTGAGTGCGAGAGATAGTGTCCAGGGATCCGCTTACAGGCGCAGTGGAGTGGGTCCGATCCACCACTACAGCTATGAAAAAGAAATCAATTTGGGGTGAAAGAAAACGGAAGGGTTGAATTAGAAGGAAGTCCGCTGCATTGGCAACACTCGCCAAACAATTCCAGCAATGAGGAATTGAAAGTTCGTTTGCCATGCGCGTCGAAAACCTCGCTTTGCAAGTTTGTTAATTCGGTTGCTTGCAAACACCCATTTCTAGGAGCAACTGCTCGGGTTACAATTAAGAACTACCTGATAGAATCAAATGATATTCAAAAATTAATGAATAAGCAAATCAAACAATATGAATATCAAAACGAATGCCAAGTATTTCATAATACATCCTTCAATCAGTTGAAAAATTAAGTAGCATGAGTAATTCGATCAACTTGTATCTTTTGCAAAATTGACATAATTACAGTCACTCGAACAGATCTCTAACAATAAAATAGCATGATAAACAAAAACATCGATCAATCAATAGTTTTGAGCCAAATCCAAATGGTCGTGATCAGCAAAACCAAACCGAAACAACACTTCAATCGATGAAGCAAATTATTGTAAGAATTGAACCCAACAGCGCCTAGCGCTTTAATCAATAGTTCACCAGCATCGTTCTTAGTATCAGGTTTCGTCAACGTAATTGCAACACTGCATAATTCAATTATAGACGGAGAGGTGAGTCAGATACGCTGGAATGTATCACTTTGCTGGGGTGCTTATCCAAATTGATAGCAAAATTGTTATCATAGTGAATAAATTCTTCAACACTGTTTATGGAAATATATTTGATAATCAGCGTTAAAAACCCGACTTCCTTGACGGCTTCCCCGAATGAGATGAATTCAGTTTTATACACTTGCAAGACTACTGAAGTTTGTCGCTTTCATTTCTAAGTAAAACATTTTTGACTAATGCGAATCATATAGCCACTACCTGATTTCTGATCACCAATAACTTCACCCCCATCAGTGACATCGTATCTAACCAACTCAACTGATGAACCAGATTTGTATTCATCAATTGATGGCTTTCAGTTTTTATATCTTAACACCGTTTCAGAGCAGCCAAAAACGATCTTGTTGGTGGACAAAGATATGAACAAAGTAACTCACCCGCAACGCAAGGTCACACAGTAAATATTATTCAGCGAAAAGTGACCTTCCCTTAGTGAATCGTAAAAGTGATGATGCTTCAACATTCAACTGAAAGCGACCAATTTTAAGTCAACTGTGTAAGCGATAATCATCAAGGCCGTAGCCTGCAAATGATGGTCATCCATTCTACACAGTTGAACCGCTATTTTGACGTAGGAATCCATTCATTGTGCAATACCGTCTTCACATTAAGCGGCATCAGGTTTAAGAGAACGACCAAAAGTTACTCGAAGGGGCCATTTGCTGATCAGTCACCTGGCAAATGATATTACACGTCTGCCTATTTCATCCTTTAATGGGACTGTCATCAGAATGTCCACGTATGTTTCAACCATGCAGTCCGGGGTGCATTTGCGAAATGAGAAGTACCTCGTTCATCTGAAGCGTCTTGCAATCCTAGGAATTGGAAGGCTTGGATCAGCATCCTGTGCAACAAAGAAAAGATTGGTTGAGAGCATATATAATTGGTGCATCACTCAACTGTTCAGCATGCACTTAGCAGTAACACATTCAAGCTCATTGTCTCTTCTACATTTTCTCGCTGAGATCACTATTGAATGGTGCTGCTGATACATTCACTTGATGAGCCGTGAATGATCGCTATGCAGCAACTAGAAAACGGTCTGCAAAACTTGTATACAAAAGTACTGCATTAGATGTTTCAGTTTAATCAGCAGCTCCTAGCGGAAAAGTTTCCTTAGCAGCTAGTCAGGCTCTTGCAAAACTATTAGTAGCCGCTGAACTTATTCTGACTTGTCTACTACAACCATAATGTCTTTTCCTGAAAAGAAATCAACTGACACCTGAGAACTATTTTCAAAGGATCCTTGAAGCACTGATTGTCAGCAAACTTGCAATGCTAGGTATGCAAACCCTCGCTCAACAGTAACTGTGGTAGCAACAACAGCAGCAAACAAAATGTTAAAGGAAAGCAGTCCGAATTAATCTGCAATGAGTGATTCTCAGACTAATTAAGCATATTATCAATCCTATGAAATGGCCTTTGAAAATCTCTATTAGTTTCCGCAAGTCCCTTTTTATTAATTGAGCATTGGTGTTATCAACCGCTCCGTGATTATTATCATCAGTGGATGCAAAAAGATTTGTGAATCGTATTGATTGTCATTCACACAATTTTCCTCGTCATCATGACAGTTGCTTTTGATAAATGTATTCTCTGCAATCGAGCAATCATTTGCTGTACCGCTTAAAGCATTTGCGCTTGCGATATATTTATCACTGAGAGCAGTGGAGAAATAGTTTGCAGGACAGAAGCAGCAACGGGTCTACTTTTGGCAGCGATTTAGATTGTTCACTGACTCGCTGCCGAAAGTGGTTCTTTAGAAAATACACTGTTTGGTTAACACGGAAAACAGCATCGATACAACAGAACTGCCATTCAGATTCTGCAGACCATATGCTTTTCTACCAAAGTCGTAGCCAAGAAATGCAGAGAACACACTTCACTTACTGAACTGGGACTTCCTGATTTGTGTGGGCATCTCGGCACCGGTAGCGCATTTACAACTTTGAACTGAGCAGCTGTTGCTGCTTTTGCATATCTGATATTAATAACTGAGTTCAATTACCTTCATTTGTCTGTGCCAATCAGAATCATCAGCAAGACTGCAAACATGGCAACATCAATAAACAGATATCCTTTGCCAATCATTTCAATTCACGGAGCACTCCCGTTGGTCAGCCTTCCTTGTTGCCAATATTTAGCTACTACATTCTGCTGAGACTTCTAATGTAGTGACAGTCAATGGCTGCGTTTTCCACATTAGGAATGTTCACTGATCAGCTTGCATGCATACACGTTATCAGATTGAGCACTGCAGCAGATCCATCCCATAGTTGTGAATAAAATTATTAAAACTTTCCAACCTGGCAACAGTTAATGCTCATGTGGTAGTTAGATCCACAGCGATAAGCAATTATCATTTTTATCACCTGCAACAACTTGCCCTCGCCCAGCATTGTTAGATGATGAGCTCCAAGGGCTGCGGTGGCCTGCCTGGCAGAAGATGGATTACGATCTACGCTCGCTATCATTTTTGCAAAGAGACTGACATCTTCAGCCACCAGCAGCAAGCATGGCATACAATTTAGCGACATCATTTGAGGCAGCTGCACCCGGATGACGTCAAAGTTTACTCCAATTTTCAATAGTAGCAGCAACAGCATGGATAACAAAACAACAATAAGAAGAAGTTAATGTGGCTGACTGACGAGTTAGTGCACCACTTGATCAAACGCAGTCATCGTCGAAGATGAACCAGTCCAATTATTTGTAGGAACTCGGATCAAAATAATACTTCCACTAACAACACTAAATAACCCAGGTTGTATTGATATGCTGGATAGATGCATCCCCATACCAATACCACCAATTTCAGCTGCATAATGTTTGAAGTCGTACGACCAGTAAGCAGTTATGAAATCATGCGAGAAAGCTTCCGAGTTAAAATAGAGCGCGCTACAGCTCAACGAATCTTTGCTACATGTTCTCAGAAGCGTGACAACTCTGACCAATCAGTCTGGGCAGATCTAGCGCTGCCGCAGCAGCAGAAGCGCCGGCAAAAACAATTTTCCAGCAAGAGGTGCCAGTGAAGCGCGACACCCGCTTGCTTTAGGCGTGATTCAGTGACGAGAATAAAATATTAATTGTTCGTGTGTTGGTGTATTCAATTGATTCCTGCTCCGCAGGCTAAAACGAATGGGTTACCGCCACCAGAAAATTCTGGTTCGCTAAATTTAATGCCCAATCACTTATCCATCGGTAAATCCAGCTTCGTGAAAGTTTCTATAGAGTAACAAATCGCTTGGCCTAATTGGTAGTTGTAACAAAAATGACATTAGAGTGTGCGACTACAAACCTGCCACTGTGATGTTTGGCAACTTTAAATTGAAGATATAATAAGGTTGACTCTGATCGGTCCTATTAACTTTGTTTCTTTGCAATATTGTGGACATAGTGGCGTTGGCAATAGTGAATGCTGCCTTAGAACTAATTACTCCATAACCCGTGCTCAACTTAGCTCACCTATGATGCAATTTCACTAGTTGTATCGCGGCGCTACCAGTAGAGAAGAGCCAATTCTGCGACTTACAAATGTATGGCAGATGCAATCTAAAGAAGCAATGATTTGCTTGAATGACTACCACCAACAACAGTACAAAGCCATTGATAATGACCTACACGAGGGACCAAGCCGTGAACCTCTTAAGTGTTTAAGTTGTGCCAACCTGTACCAACAGCAGCATCAAATGAATTTTTAAATTTGCCAGCCAAAATGGATAAGTTGGCTAAGAACGTGTTTCTGCAGATACACAAAGCATGTCATCAGTTGATTCAATTATATTGCAAATAAAAATGCCACAAGTGACTGGCGTCGTCGACACAAACGCCATTTTTGATTGCGGAAGCACATCTGAAGCAGAGAAGTGACAGACCCAAAATCCCCACAAGTAGGCATGGAATGAGTTTACCGCTAAAAGGGATAACTTCTCGCCAATTAAACTTATAAGCAAATCTTTTGCAAACATAATAGAATTCCAATACATGGATACTGTCCCTGAAAACTCAATTGGCTGCTCTGTCATCATATATATGATCAACCTGCTTAAATAACCAGCTGATTTCGGACAGTCCAAGCACAGCGCAAGTAGCGATCACCTCATCAGAAGTCTGTCAAATATTTATTTTTTTTTGGAAATGGATATCCATGAAATCCAGCTGCGAATACCTCCTCTAACGCGCAAGTTTTCACCAGAGTAAAACAGGGTAACAGCAAGTGCATTGAGTCAAATATTGATATCTCTGCATCTATTTAATCCGACCATCGGGTTTTTTGCGGCTATTATTGATTGCTTGGTTTGGCCTCTGGTTTGTCATACGATTTTTGCACAGTATTTTGGGTGCCTGTAAATATACTATTTTACTACTCTACGAAGGCGATTGTATTAATTGGTTTTGATTTTTTTTATATCCATTAACCTGCTGTTCTAATGTACTGGCTTTTCTTATTTATGTGCTACATTTTGGTTTTTTTATCATTTTATTTACGGCTGGAGTTTACTTACCTATAAAAGTAGGTGATTGTAAACTGAAAGTAGTTCTGAAATATCGGTCATTGTGAACAAACAAATTAAAAGACTGGCCAAAATTGGTTCTTGACGCACAATGCAAAAGAACACCCCCCTGCCACTTTGCTAAAGAAATGGGAAAGGCATTCCAAGTGCAACAGTCATCGCCGCATTTCAAAAACACCATTTTTCTTACGCCAAAACGGGTTTATTTAGAGGGCCGTGGTGGTGAATCGAACCCACTCCGCGTCGCTGGGTGCACATATTCAGAGACCATGTTTTGCACTCACAGCAACTGACCGCTAGGCCAACGCGAACGATTCTTCGGAGGTTTGTTAAAATGTTTAACTACACTGACCCGATTGTTTGACGTCTGGGTACTGGGCTAAGAGGGGCTGTTGAGAGCTTCCCTGATGTCTACATTTAGTCCCTCGGTGTATGTCACCGGTCCGCTCCCGTGACGGTCTGTGATCAAACCCAGTTCTCTATAAAAAGGGCTGCCGATCTCTTCACCGTCTTAGCGTATCCACGATAATATATTGAGGTAAAAAAGTATATCTGAAAGAAGAACGTACAAGAAATCGCCAGCCCTTTTTATAGAGAACTGGGTTTGATCACAGACCGTCACGGGAGCGGACCGGTGACATACGCCGAGGGACTAAATGTAGACATCAGGGAGGGTTACCAAAGGTGGCATCATACTGCAGTAACTTTGCATCGAAGCTAGTATTGTCGTTAAGATGTTTAACAACCATTATTTTATCCAAAGGTTTCTTCTGCAGGGAAAAATGCACCTTCCGCCACAAACTACATCAATCGAGCTCAGAAATGGCTATCGTGTAAATTATTGATCAATTTTCATTGGTATGAATTGAAACACGAGGCCAGTGAAATGTTATAATTGAATTTCTTTAATTGAATCTCATTAATTGAGTTGGATGCTCAAATAAATGTGCTCAAAATGATCAAATTTTAAGATACCTAGATAAATAGAAAATGAGGTTCATTTCTATTGAATAACCATCTGTTGAAAAAAGGAGAATTCTGTACCCTTCAATGGTGGTTTGCTGAAAAGTTTTTTAAAACATAGTCGCTTGGTTTCATGAGCCCATTTTGTCCTGTGATTAACCTATAAAACCCATTTATTTGATAACTTTTCGGAATAATATAACCATTTTCATCCACAGCTACGAAACCGAATGTGTCTTCAGTGTCAGGTTTGGTGTTTGCATCAGGTGATTTCTCAATCTTTCTCAAGTCATAAATAGGCATAAAAGACAGGGGATAAGAAGCTGCTTCAATAATGTAGGTAAAATCATTATGAACATTATGATAAATGAAACTGTTTAAACGATCAATAAAGTGATCATTTTCGCGAAAGGTTTTTAAAATTATTTGAAGATCAATGCTACTTAAAGATGATGATACGTGTGGGAAATGACGAAATGAACCAATAGATAAAGCAGGATTGTTTTGAAATAATATCATCGTTTCAGTTGAAGAAAGCACTTGGAAAAACTTCGATGCCGAAGATGTTAGTGTTGTGATGAAGTTAAAACCTGAAAAGTGATAAAAACAATTGTATCTTACATATTGAGTATTTTTCAAGTATTTGATTGTGTTCAATGTCTTACTCATAATCAAAACTATCTTATTCAGTCCTTTCTATGTCAAAGAATAATTTCTGCAGCATGTTAATAGAACAACTACTGAATTAAATTACCCTACAATTATCATATGTCAATCCGATGGTTTTCTCTGGCTTGTTGCCGGAAAACTCGGTGCGGATAAATGGAGATGCTACTGAAACCTTTGGCATGTGACCCAAGAAAATGATCAATCAGTGATGCTTTTCTTCAGCAATCGTTTTATGTTTGTAATCCTGTAATCTTTCAGTAGATTCTTCTATTAATATTGTCACTTCCAAAATGAATAACATTTATAACTATTACGATTCAAACAGCTCCAGGCGAAAACGAAATAAATATCATAATAATATAAATGATATTAAAGATTTTAAATTTTATGATGATGAAGAAAATGCTAATCATCATGATCTGCAAACCCTTGTTGATGATTCTTCTTCAGATTTGGATGCTGATGTATTGGAAATCCCTGCAACAGTTTTCTATTCTCCTCTGTACTTTAATAACTCTCTTTCAAATCACACCTCTGCCTCTTCTTCCATATTAAATGCTCAAGGAAGTTCTAACATGGGAAGTCGCCAAGATTATCAGGCTGATAATTTTCCACAAACCAATTCTAAATCACTCACATCTCAATTATCTCAGCTCCAATATAATGAGAATCGGATTGCCCTCGACAGATCAATAAATGTCACCATCGAAATCTTGAATGATTTGAAAATGGAGGTCAAAGAAAGACCAATTCACTATCCGGTAGAATGTTTTACTCAACATCATGATGATTTGTTGAATGATAATAAGTCACTCCGAGCACTTCAAAGACATTCAAGCTTAGATTTACCCATATCTGAGGATCATCTGCCTTCTTCAAGTCTTCCTATCGCCAGTCTTAATACTGTCGCTTCTGATTCCATTGCTCTGATTCATTTGAAGCTCTTGAATTTGAATTTCAAGACATCTGATAATATAATCGGCAATTGCAATGGTAAATTGATTGATAACTTTGACAGGCAAACCTTGTCACGATTATTAAGCCAGAAAATTGATTCATCCATTAATCATTTATTGTCCCTTCGTGAACGTATTGACGATACATCATCAAAAGTTTTTGTCACTGGAGATCTAAACGCAGGAAAATCTACGTTTTGTAATGCATTATTGAGAAGGAAGTTGTTACCTGAGGACCAACAACCATGTACCAATGTGTTTTGCGAAGTAATAGACTCCTCAGTAAATAATGGCATTGAGGAAGTTCATGCAATACCACTTTCAATTTTATCTCAAAGATCGAATTTATCTCAAACTTCAAATTTGTCTTTAACATTTTCTTCAAAGCCCTCTCCCTCAACTTACAACATTAAAGACGAGTCGACTTACAAAATCTTTTCAATTCATGACTTGCATGAGTTGGTCCAAGAGTCAGACAAGTATTCTTATTTAAAGGTTTATGTAAATGATAATAGAAATTTAGATGAATCGTTATTAAGAAATGGTGTTATTGATATTGCTCTTATTGATGCTCCTGGTCTAAATATGGATTCATACCAAACGACTCAAGTATTTTCCAGGCAGGAAGAAATTGATTTGGTTGTGTTTGTAGTTAATGCTGAAAATCATTTTACTTTATCGGCTAAAGAGTTTATTACTGCTGCTGCAAGAGATAAGAACTTTATATTTATTGTGGTGAACAAATTTGATAATATCAGAGACAAAAATAAGTGCATAACAAAAATATTGGATCAGGTTCAAAGATTAAGTCCAGATACTCATAAAGATGCAAGAGATTTTGTTCACTTTGTTTCTTCCTCCCAAATTCTTGATCATCAGAGTTCAACTGGTCATTTCAATAATTACCCTAACCACGGAAATGATGCAAACAACATTGACATCAATGATGATCCGAACTTTGATCATTTAGACTCATCGCTAAGAAAGTTCATTTTAGAAAAAAGAGCTTTATCCAAATTGGCTCCAGCTAAAAATTATCTTCTAAAAATTTTATCGGATGTCGAAAGTTTGTCTCTACTAAATGAAAAACTATTTTTAAAAGATAAAGAATGCGCTTCAGATAAACTAAGTCAAATCAACCCAGTTTACGAAAGACTTTTAGCTAATAGTGTCAGCTCATTTGATGAAATTAACAAATACATTGAGAACGTCTCTTTTGATATCTATAAGTTCTCAAAAACAACAATATCGGCAGCCATTGCTGAGTTATGTTTTGTTGATAACGATCAAATTCCTTATAAAGGTGTACATTCTATTTATCAGTATGCTTTAAAAACACAAGATCTAATGATTTCCAAAGTCCTTGAAAGTGTGGAAATTAGTGAAAACTATGCGAAAAGAAAAACTTCTGAGGGTGTTGAAAAAATTAAAATTATTGGAAAATCGGCATTGGAGAGGGATGATTTGATGGATGACAGGATATTCAGAAATGATTTTATGTTTACCAAGAAAAGAGATACTATTGTAAGGAATCTAAATGAACCAATATCATTGTTGGATTTTTTTGATCCTTCATTTGATCTGTTTTTGGGATTTCTTGGTTTGAAAAAACAGGCTGAGATTTCTAATAGACCATTGAATCGTTTTGGTATTCCAGAACCTAATAAAGCAAAATTCGACTGGAAGAGTTCAGTTTCTTTGATTTTCCTTACTTCCTCCGCCAAATTATTTTTAACAAAGGATCTAATTCTCACTAATTTACATTCTTTGGGCAATTTTTCAACTCTCTTCCATTCAAAAACTTCAGTTGGCTTAGTCTTATTTTCCGTGGGATTCTTAGGAGTGTGCTGGCTAATTAATGATATTCCAAACGCCTTTAAAAATAAGTTCTCCAAAAAATTAGCCCACTCAATAAATGACTTGGACTACGCAAATACTAATTCTATGAGAATCTCAAAGGAATGCAGGCTAATTTTGAACTATCCATTAAAAGAAATATCTGAAAATTTTCAAACAGAGATTAAAGAACAAAATGAAATGAAAGAGAAAGTTTTCCGAGAGTTAAAGGCTTTTGAAATTGGTTTAGGAACTTATAAAAAGTTACACAAAACTGCCAGAGCTCAAAGGGTATTGGTTGAATCATTTGATTTCTTGTACAACTGTTGAAATCAGCTAAATATACTCACCAAGTTTAAATTATTTTTGGTGAAAGAAAATAACACTCTTTTTAATTATATTTCAGTTTTTCTCATTGTTGATTTCATTGTTTCTTTTTGAAAAGATTAAAATAAATATTCTTTTTCTTACTAGTCCTTAACAACTATTAAAGCGAGAAATAATATTTGGTTATTTATTTATTGTTTACGCAAAATTAAACTTTTTATATTTTTGCTGATTCTAACTCTAAAAAGTGATTTGGATTCTTTAGTTCTTCAAATCACAGTGGTTAAAGGGAAAATTATATGATGCAATTTGACTCGACATTGAAGAAATTATTGTTTCACATTTTTGTATTTCCATATTTAGTTGAAAGCTGTAAGAAGGTGTAAAAAAAGATTCTATTTTGTTTAAATTTTGAAGTAGTTTCAAAACTAAACTATGATTTGACCCATTGTTTAATAGGTCGCAATCAAATAGTTTTAGTGTATTCAGCGCAATATTCAATTGATTCGTACTAATAATAAATGTCATAAAATCATTGTTATTATCCACGTAAAAATTTATAAGTAAAAATTGCAATGCATATAGCTTTAGAAATATACTTTTCAACTCAGTCATGGTCCTGCTATGTGATATTTTCTTACCTTTTGAACTTAAAAATTTTGTATGATCAATAGCATGAAAAAGTAAAATCTTTCTAAATTTCCTGTCCAAAAAAGAATATTTCAAATCTATTTCTTTCAAAGAAATAAGATTATCGTAGTTAATTGCAGGCAAATAATCATACCTACCTAAATCCATGACATCTTTGCTGTTGATAAGAGTAACGAACAACCAAAATTTAAACTGATAAAAAAGAGAGTTATCAGTTCTGGCCAAGTTGTTATTTGAATTATATGTATCAACTATTAGTTTCACATAAGAAAAATTTGAGGAAAAAGAAAACAACCATAAGGGAATAAAATCATAAAACAGCTTTAATCTGATGTTCTGACAGCCTGAGTTTGAACTAAACCTATAGCCAGAGGAATTTTTATAAAAAGAAAAAGAATCTTCAACAGTAATTTTATTAGAAGCAAAAAATCTTTTATATCGTGTCGTTATTAAACTATCCTTTAAGTATTTGGGTTCTTGTTTAATGATTCTGTTCTGATCAACTGATTTGATCTGAAAGGTAAAATACCAATGTATTATCTTTCCCAAAATTTCAGAAAGAATAACAGTAGAACTCTGCAACTGAACCACTCTAGAATCCATTGAAACCAAAGTGACTAGTTTCAACAAAAATATAAAAAGTTTTTCTGAAAATTTTGAATTCAATGCCATGTATATTATTAACTGAAATTTGAGCAAAATTGATTCGATTGAATTAGAAAATTTTAAAATTTTAATACTTTCCTTATTAGAGCAGCCAAAATTATTCAAGTTAATATCAGTGAGATAGTCCTCAATTTCAAATGACTTTTCCGATATCATTATATTTTCTAGAATGACATTATTGGCGCCAAGTTTTACAAGATATGAGACAATTATTTCAAAAGAAATTTCAAGGTTGAGGCTTGAGTTAGCGGAGCTGAAAAGTGATATTAGTTTTTGGAGAATAAAAATGTCAGTTAAATACGTAGAATAATCTAAAATTAATTTGATTTGATTTGATGGAAATTTTCTCAGAAACCATTTAAGTAATTTATTGTTGGGAGAACCAAGTTTGCTCAAAATCCAGATTATATTTTGTTGGTGTAGTTTGGAATTTTCAATGCTTTTTGGTTGTTCGGCTGAAATATCTTCAAATGTAAAGAAAAGAAAAAAGGAGTTTTGACTTGAATTATCAATCGGATATTTCTTTGTAAAAATTTCCTTATCTGATTGCAATAGCTTGTTTAACTCAATTCTTTCATTATCAAAGGAAAGAAAATTATGATCAGAAATGCTTACTGTATTGCAATCATGATTTAAAAATTTAGGATAAATATCAAATAGTCTGTTGAGAGAGTAATCCTTCAGAGAGTTATTTTCGGAATCCTTTCCAGCTAGATTTAAGTTAAGGTGATTATATATTTTATTTTGATTTATCAATATTAAATCTGCATCATTATGATCTACCAAATTTTCATTTCGATCATTTCCATTACTTTTATCAGTAATTGAAAGATTTTTAGCCACATTTTGACCAGAACTTGGAACTAGAGATTGGAAAGAGATTTGAGAGTCATCTGGTATAAAACTTCCAGAAAAAACATTTTTTGAGTCTAAATTTAAACAATCAGTTGGAGTAGAATTTTTTTCTTCAAACATAATTTTCAACAAAAAGGTTCTATCTTTGTCGTCCTTTCAAGCAAGAACTAGATACACCAGTTCAAAATTACCAATTTTATTAATGGAAGAAATATGCAGTACCGAGGGCAAGAAAAAGCTGACAGTTGCAATGTTGGAATTCGAAAAATAAAACTTCAATTTTTGAAGCTTTTGACCCAAATTGGTGTAGCAAAATAATTTACTCTAAAACTGAGTATTAATAAAATAGATAAATATTAAAACCGTAATTACTTTTTTCTTCAGACACTGAGAGCCAAATAAAGAGAATATGAAGCAAATGATGCTTGGAGAATCAAAAAATCTTGGGTGTGAAACTTTCAAGGAAATCAGATAAAGGTTTTATTGATTAGTAAGCATTCTGGAAAACGAACTTCTTGTTGCAGAAAGTAAAAGCATGAAAAGAGGGACTTCACCAGAGCTGTAAGGTGAAATGATGTTGGATGTTAGGATTAGGATCTATGTTCATGGTCTCAGACTTACTATTGCTTACAGTAGCCCTAATACTAGTACTAGGGTAATAAAAAGACCATTTCTTCGCTTTTCAAAGGAGCAAAACAATAACAAAACAACAGTCAAGATTAATCACCACAAATAATATAAAAGATTGGTAGATAGCTATTTAGAAAGAAATAAAAACAGGCAAGATTCTTAAAACTCTCAACATGCATCTTTCTTGCACTGCTAATAACATTAAACTGATAACTGGAATCTGACAAGTTGTTCACGTGAGCAAGTCTCCATCTGAGATCCAGTGACTGGCTTAGAAACTGGTCTTACCAAAACTCAACCTGATCAAGAGGTATATAAAATAGTTTCCTTATCAAGAAAGAAATTTGAAAAAAATACATTTTCATTTTATATTCTACAAATATCAGTTATGTACTATAATATTCTCAAATTCTCTTCAAAGGGATTATTTCAAAAATCAATAGGTCAAAGAATCAAAAGTATCCAAATTTCCAAGCGTTCATCTTCTAGTACTAAGCTTCTGCAATTTTCAAAACAGAATTTGGAAATAAGAAAAACAAACACGAATTTTGGACTTAAGAAAGTTCTTAGGCCTGTTTTTAATTTCTTTGTTGTAGCTTCAATTACATACACTGCTGTTGGCAACATATGGTGGAATCTCTTTCAGAATGAGCACGAGCAGAACTTAAAGTACGAAGCATCGAAATTGGAGAGCAAGTTGGAAACTTTAAGAACACTAAACAATTCTTTTAGAGATGAATAATCATAGCTGGATATTATGTTTGTAGCTGATTTTGCTTTTAAATAACTTAAATACAAGTAAAAAAACAGTTTCTTAATGAACAATAAATTGATGGTGTTTCCTTGGTAGGTATCGATCTTTATGTTTGTATTGTATGTTTTTCTCTCTATTGCTATAAAACTAACGGCAAACCTCAAACACTAAAGAGAAGAATAAATCATAAATCAAAAATCAACAATATTCATTACTCAATCTCAAGAATGTACGACGATGATAAATAATAAATAAATTAAGATCCCACTATAAAATTTTAAACATTCAAAAATTAAATAAAATCTAAAGCCCAAATGGAATACTTGGCTTAGTAACCAAAATTAACAACAAAAACATTACAAAGACCCGATTTTATTATTTTTGTTTTATTTTGGAAAAGCAAGAGTGCTGCAATTCCAGCAGGGAAGACCAATAGTTGTATCTTGCTTGCAAAAAGAACATTTAATAGTTTGTTGTCTAGGTTTTCTCAAATAGGTAATGTGTGACTGGAAATCATACACAATCACTCCTTGACCATTCAAATTACTTCTCCTTTCTCGAAAAGCTTTTCGAAAGGGTTCATCTTCATCTTCAAAAGGATAACGAGGCATTTTTTATTTTTTGATAGCTATCCACTAAGGAAGTCAGTCAAAGGATCAATTCGAAATCAATAAAAACCCAAACCTGTGACCTGGCTGAAAGATTTGGATTTCAATCAACCTGATACACAACGTTATGATGATCAAAAAACTGAAAAGTCTTTGTGGGGTGGTTAGGTTGATGGAGTGTTAATCGAAAAATCTTATCACAGTGTTATTGTAATGAAAGAATTACCTCTGAATATTGCCCAAGTTAGAGGTCTCCAGATTGTGCTATTCGTGATTAAAGCACTAATCCGAAATCATTCTGCTTGATGTTTTTTATTTGTATTGTGCTGGTGATGTGTTGATTACGTAATATTACGTGATCTTAAACGGCTCTTTTAATTTTCAGATGATTTTTCGTTTTTAAATGAAGATTTGCCTTTCAAATGGTCTAAGTCAATTCAAAAAATAACTAACAAAGATCCCTCTTGCAAAAACAAAATCGTTAGTGGTCTGGAATTTCTAGTTTACTCTCCTGTTGATTTTTTATACAATATCTTCAGCGAAAGATAGTAAAATTCTCGTCAAAATAGCATGAGTACTCAAAACATTGTAAAAACAGATAAGTCAGCTCATGATAGAACTCTTTCACCACCTCAAGTAAATACTCAATCTCCACCATTGACAGATGGTTCAATTGTTCTAGCCAAGGTAAAAGGATTTCCACCATGGCCGGGAATGATTATTCCACAGACTTCTGCTCCTATAAATGTGTTGCTGAACAGGCCAAAGAACGGTTTATCGTCTTCAAGACATCGCAAAAAAACGAAAATTATACTTCGAAAATCTAAAGTGAAATCAAGACAGGGTGTTTCTAAGCTGATATCATCTGAAGAATCAAGTTTGGTATCCGAAAAAGATTTAATGCAAGTTTATTTAGTCAAATTTTTCATTGGTAATGATTATATGTGGGCTAATCAATTGGATCTACTTAAGTTGAGTTCTGAAATAATTGAGAAATTTCTAAACGAAATTCCTGTTAAAAAATCTCAACGTTTGCTTCATGAAGCTTATAAAGTTGCAAAAAATCCACCAACATTGGCCGAATTTTTAGGTTCGGAGGTTCAAGAGGACAATGAAGGTACTGCTGATGATGCTTCTGATAGTTTAAAAAATTCTGAAAATAAAAAAATATATTCATTAACTGAAGAAAAAATTGATTTAAATAGTAATTCCACAAAAAGAAACGATTTTTCCAAAATTTCTTTGAAACGTAAAACCCAAACTTCTACCAGCCTGAAAATCAATTCCAAGAAACAAAGAAAGCTTACTTCAAGCACTTCTAATACTCTCGAAACTTCCTCAATCAAAACATCAAAAGTTAAATCTCCCTGTTCTGAAAAATGGTATACAATCAAAAACATCGATGATGCAAGTGATAATACCCTGAGAGTGAAAGATTGCGATAAGGGGTGCTGGGAAAACAAATTTGGATATAAATATAAGTTTGGAATCGATTTTAATGACTATTCACAGGAAGCTTTTAAACCAGAAATTCTCAAATTCAATAGCTTTCCACCTGCAAATGAGCTTAGTAAATCTATTCAAGCCAATTTAAAAACTTTAGAAGAAATAAGACTTTTTTTTCAAGATGTTCTTTTATCATACCATTGCAACAGGCATATTGAACTTGATTCAAAGGTTAATTTTGATCGCAACTTCAATGAAAATGATTTAAAAACCTCAAAATCTAGCAAAAATACTGATGAAAAAGTTAGTTATTCAGGTATTCTTTTGAGTAAGGAGGATGAAAAATCATTATCAAACGAAGATTCAAAGAAAATAATTTTCTTCAACCAAAATGAAAATTTAAGAACAGAAGATCTCTCTCTGAAAGAAGCCTTCGATGTTGTCGCTAATCACGATCCTCTGGAATTAAACCACAAATTGTCGATTTTAGAAAACTATTCACGAAACAAAATTCCTGAGTTTTTAATTTTTAAATCAAACATCCATCGGGTGTTTATTGAGTATTTGAAGATAGAACGCCAGACCAATGTTAAAACAACTAATCCACATATCTCCAAACGAATTAAAAATTTGTTAAATCTCTGGATATCATCTAACGGTAATTCCATAGAAAACATTCTTTATTAATGTTTAATTCTAATTCATTTAAGTCAGTTCTCAAAGGACTTGAAATTTCTTTTTCGAGGTTCTTCGATCCCCTATAATTAGTGTTTAATTTTGAGATTATTGAATATACTACTAAATATTTTGCTGATTGCAGTAAGAGTACAGTTATACCTTAAAATATAATAATAAGAATATTCAAAAAATAATAAAAAAACATTATTATTATTCAAATTTTAAAGCTGTAATATTTGGATTTTAGATTTCCAATATTGATGCCTAAGAGTGGTAGAACTTGGATTTTGATTTTGCATTCTGGTTTATAACTACAAAAATGCAAAAGTAAGATATTTTTTTCATAAAGTTAACAAAGAATGTTTTACTTTATTTTATTTTAAAATTTAGCACACAAAACTATTGAGTCTTTGTAAATTACTAGCACTTTTAACGAAAAATCGTTTTAGCATTTTGGTTCAGGTTTTTAGGTTGGTCTAGCTTCTCAATACATTCATTTGATGTCTCTTGAAAGTCAACAAAAACAATTTTCTTTTACAGTTCTAGGTGCATATTAATTTGATATACAATGATCAATATTTAAATGTAGCAATCAATTGATTGGTAAAAGGATTTTTATTCAAAAAGTATGATAGTTAGGGGCGACCATGAGTACTATGAATTACTCACATCTCTCATGTATTTTATGAGTAGCTCAATTGACTCATACCTGACATGAGGAATTGCTTAAAGCAGAAAAACAATAACAATTTTTGAGCGTGCATACTTTTCAGTTTTGATAGCTGGAACGTTTCACCAGATAACGAATATCTAGATACTCTCAATGATTGGAAATTGCAAAGTTTTTGAACAGTGTATTTTTTTGTAAAATCCAATTCCCAAATTCAAGTAAGATATTTGTTACTTACGTTCTTCTCATGAGTAAACTTTAATTGGCTACTCATGAGCAGTGAGTAAAGAGATTTTTCTGCTCATGGCTACCTCTAATGATAGCAGTGAATTTGCCTAGCAAATATATATTGTTTTTATTAAAGGATAGTTGAAAGCAATTATTTAGAAGTTTGAAAATTTTGGTCTGTGTTTGAAAAAAAAATGACTCATGATAATTTATTAGCAACTTGTAGTTTAAAAGGAGGTTTCTGGTTTGTCTGGCACATATAAAATTAAATAATAAAAATGAAAGATTTGAATACAATCTAAAATTGCTTAAAATTCATTTTTAAATCAAAACAAATAGATTCAAGCAAAAACTCTATTGAACACCTTACATCTAAAATAGGTAGCATCGGCCAAACACTTTTTTCTCCTAATTGTATCCAGTAAGCCATGTTATCAATAGAGCACACCAGATTATTTCTAATATTAGTGGCAATAGAATTTCGATAATTAATTCTACTACCGCTTCTAATAATAAGTTTAGCCATATTAGTTTTTGATTCTTTTGGAACTATAGTAATGCTGGATGACAAACTTCTGGGAGTTTTCTCATCGACAGTTAATTTCCGAAAAAAATTTATTTCAAAATTTAAATGGATTAAATAATTTTCTAAAAAGTGAATAAGTTGTAGTTTAATTAAATTTTTGAATTTGAAATAGTAATAAGTTTTAAAGTAACTTTTAAAATGATTTTTTGTTTCAATAAACTTAATTTGATTGCTTATTAAAGAAGAAAGATAAGGTCTGGCCAAAGATATAATAAAATTGTTAACATTGAATAATTCAGTTAATCTTTGATATGGTGACATTTCAAATTTAAATTCTTTTAAATTTATAATATTGTCATTAAAATCTTTAATCAATAGAACATTATTATTAGTTGGAATAATTGAAGCAATTATCGCTGATGATATTATAACGTTTGGAGTCGTTATATGATTCAACAAAATCGGTGTTTTGTTGATATAAATAATAATATTTAAAATTCTACCGCCACTTTGAACAAAAGATTCCTCAAAGGTCAAATTATTCAATCTGAAAATAGTGAATTTTAGAAAAGTTAAGTTGTCGTTATTATATATGGATTTCAAAAGGATTTCATCAAAAATGTCGTAGTTATTATCATAAAATTGATTATATTTATTATAGGAGTTATAATTATTATCAATAAACTTGATTAAATCTTTTTCTAAATTTTTAAAAAAAAGATTCAAATGAGTATTAGGAGTGGCACAAATTATTGATGCAATACAAGAACCGTAACCGCTGCCCAACATAATTAATGGTAATAGATTTTGGTAATAAAGAGACTTAATAACACCTAAATGAAACATTCCAAAAATTGTACCACCTTGAAGAATCAAAGCTGTATTTCCAAAGTTTTTCTTCAAATTTGAAAAAAATTCAAATTTTTCATCACTATAGTATCGTAAAAATGAAGAGGTGGTGTGCTTTTGTTTGAGCAAAGTAAGGTGATTAAGATGATTATTGCTTGCTATGACTGGATCGTTTGAAACGTATATTTTGACTAAAACCCTTTTAATCAAATTGATATAATCATGAATCAATAGCTTAGTTCCTATCATTGAGTTTCTAAACAAAGATTTATTGGATATTTCAGCAAAATTTCGAATTAGATTTCCTCCACTTTTAAGGATATTTTTGAGACTTTCGATATCATCGTTAAGATAGTGATTAAGAATCAAATCTTTTTGAAATTCAACCAACTTAAAGTCATAGTCATTAGACTCTTTTAACAATCTCCAATTGGTGCTGTCATTAAGGAAGCTTTCAATTTGAAGATTAATGTTGAACCAATCAGTGTAATGGCGACATTGAGGCAATTTGGATTTCAATTCTGCAACTGTGCGATAAAAACAAATTTTTGAGCTGAGTTTAACGAGAAAAGTAATGGGAACAACCACAGGTGCCATCAACAAACGATGGGCTAACAGAAAAAGTTGGACAATCATGGTTGGTGGTGGCAGAAACAGGATAAATCAAGAATGAATCAATGGATAACAAAGATCAGCAGAAAACAGAGCAAATGAAGAAGCATCTCAAAATCATCGGCAGCAAAAAGTGCATGCATGTGTCTGCATCTGAGGTGTATCTGCTGCATTTTGACATGATCCAGTCCGGCGGGACTGATAGACGAGTTACAGGTAAACAAACTGTGTTCCGTAGCTCGGGCCGGAGTGCAACGAACTATTTCGAGCTCGAACTCGGTCCCGGGCCAGTGTGTTGTTTGTTTTTATCTCTGTATTGGACCCACAGGATATTCAGAAGCAGTGCATTTAGTGTTAATTTCTCACTTCCTCCCATTCTCTTTTTTCTATTGTCTGCCCTATTCACGCTCCTCTATTGCAAATAGTTGGTCTTTAATCTGCTTATATTGCTGTGTTCCAAAGGTTTTTACACCACACTCACTTTGTTTTTATCAGCTTTGCCTATTTCTTTTGACACATCTTCAGTTTTTCTGCGCCCTCCTTTAAATTTCCTCTTCTTCTGTCAAAGACGCTTTACTACTTCACTATTCAATCCAAAATGTCTTCAAGTGAGGATATAATTCAAGACATTAAGAAAAAGATTGAAAGGGAGAAAAACATACTTCTGTCTTCTCTCAAAATCAAGAAGAATACTAACAACTCCCAACTAATTTCGAAATGTAACAATAGTATTAGAGAAGCAAGACAGAACTTGAATTATTTGGAGGAAACCTTAAAAAATTTATCCATAACCAATCAAACTAAACCCTCTAGTTTATCTGATTCGATATCAAATCAATTTTCCTCCAATTCTAAAGGATCAACTTATTCTCCTTCAAATTTTTCAACTTCAATATCCTATGACTCTCCAGCCAATTCGGACATTTCAAACACAAACATCAATTTTAATCGAAATATTCCCTACAATCCCAATAATGAACCGACTAATAATAAATTGGACAAAAATTTCATGGAATTTAATCAAAACTCCTTTAAAAATTTAGGCCCTGCTATTTCTAATACTGAGTTAACTAAATATAACAATAACATTTCAGCCACTCCATTAAATTTCACTAGATTAGATCTTTTAAAGTATGATTGTCCTTCACTAGGACATAGAATTCAATACATGTTACAACAGCTAAAGTTTAAATTACAAATTGAAAACCAGTACAAAGAAGGCACTGAAAAAATGGTTCGATTATATGAACATGATGGTGATAGACACTCATCTTCTGTTGCAGCTGGTGGTAGAATTGAAATCAATCAAAAAATTCCTCTTCTTAAACGTGCGTTGAAAAGATATAATGACATGCATTTGGATATTGGAGAAGTTGCTAAAGAAACTGAACTATTAAACACATCCAAGCTAAATAGAATTCCTATATCTGGTGTCCTCACTATCAGAATTTCAAGCGTCAAGGATGTTGACCATATTACAACCTCCAGCCGTTTCAGCAAAAAGATTGAATCCGTAATTTTAATAAAGATAGATGATGATTTAAAAGCTAAAACAAAAGTTATCAAAAATGATAAATGGAATGAAGAGTTTCAGATTTATACTGACAAGGGAAACGAAATTGAGTTGTCCGTTTGTGATAAAATTAATGATCGTTTAGTTCCAGTCGCCATTATGTGGTTTATGTTATCTGATGTTATTGAAGAAATTAGAAAAAAAAAAGTTATTCAAGGTAATTCTGGCTGGGTTGCTGCTTCTAAGATGCACAATCAACAATTCTCTAGTAATTCTAATGGACCTTCTCCCATTAAACAAGATTCCCCCAAACAATCATCTTTTGATATTCCCACAATAACATCTATGGCAACCAATCCGACTTCTACTGTCAACCCCTCTGTTTCATCAACAGAAAATCAACAAATAACTAGTAGTAATTGGTTTATTTTAGAACCAGCAGGTCAGATCCTATTAACTTTAGCTTTTCAAAAGACAAGTGAGAAATCTCATAAAAATCCTACCAACCTTGGTGCTTTGGGTAGACATGGCGCTATCAGACAAAGAAAAGAAGAAGTCTTTGAGCAACATGGTCATCAATTTACTCAAAGACAATTTTATAATATTATGCAATGTGGTTATTGTGGTGAATTCTTAAGATATACATGTTTTCAATGTCAAGATTGTAGATTTTTATGTCACAAAAAGTGTTATCAAAACGTTGTAACTAAATGTATTTCTAAATCTTCATTTGATATTTCGGATGAAGCTAAATTGAATCATAGAATCCCTCATAGATTTGAACCTGTTTATAATAAAAGCACAAAGTGGTGTTGTCATTGTGGTTTTATCTTGCCTTTTGGAAAAAAAAATGTTAGAAAATGCACTGAATGTGGAATAATGTGTCATGCTAATTGTGCCCATTTGGTTCCCGATTTTTGTGGAATGAGTATGAAAATGGCTAATGAAGTTTTGAAAACTATTCAATCAACTAATAATTCGGTGGTCAGCCCTCGAAGGAAAAAAATTGCTAAACCACTTATGAATACTCAAGATTCTGATGTTTTAAACAATCCAAATCGTAATTCTTACATTTCTCAGAACGATCGAGTCAAATCAAACAAGAAATTTACTTCAAATCAAATCATTCCATCAATCAATATTCAAACAGATTATGATAAGTCTGATGATTTTAATACAAACACATCTTCTACTAATGTCCTAATTGAAAGCGAATCTCAAATAACAAATGATCCAACAATTACTTCGCTTTCACCAGAACGAAAAAAGAAAATTTCTTACTCTGATTCATCTTCAGAAAATCAGTTTGATAACTATTCCTACTCAAATCAATATACCCCTACCTTAAGAAAGCCTCCATCTTCATATGAACCTCAATCTCCTGAACCTTCAAATCATGATCAATCACCGACTGATGGTTTTGTGCCTTTACCCAAACATCAATCATTAAATCAACTGCAATTCAATTCTGATGTAATTTATCATTCGGACACTCATAGCAATGGTCAATTTGAACCAGAGGGGTCTACTTTGCAAAACAAGTTATCTGACTATTCTGCTGATCCTCAGAAACAAGAAACCACTTATATTAACCCACAAACTAATTTATTTTCAAATGAAATCAAAAATCTGCACAATACACCAGAACAACAAATCTCTAACATCGATCATCATCGTAAACATCGTCGCCGCAAAGTTGGGTTGGACGATTTCCAGTTTTTAGCTGTTTTGGGAAAGGGGAATTTTGGTAAAGTGATGTTAGCAGAATCTCGTCATACTCATAAATTGTGCGCCATCAAAGTTTTAAAAAAAGATTTCATTCTAGAACATGATGAAGTTGAAAGTACAATGTCGGAGAAGAGAGTATTTTTGGCTGCCAACAGGGAAAGACATCCATTTTTAATTAATTTGCATTGCTGCTTTCAGACTGAGAATAGAATATATTTTGTAATGGAGTACGTTCCCGGCGGTGACTTGATGTGGCACATTCAAAAGCAGAGATTTTCCCAAAGACGAGCTCAATTCTACGCTGCAGAAGTTTTGTTAGGACTAAAGTATTTTCATGATAATGGTATTATTTATCGTGATTTAAAACTAGATAACATTATGCTTGCTCCTGAAGGCCATATTAAGATTGGAGATTATGGTTTATGTAAAGAAGATATGTGGTATGGAAATACAACTTCCACTTTTTGTGGAACACCAGAATTCATGGCTCCAGAAATTTTAAAAGAACAAAAGTATGGAAAGGCAGTTGACTGGTGGGCTTTTGGTGTTTTATTGTATCAAATGTTATTGGCTCAATCGCCCTTTAAAGGTGATGATGGAGACGAAGTCTTTAATGCAATTCTAACTGATGAACCTCTTTATCCCATTCAAATGGCTAGTGACGCAGTGTCCATACTCCAAGCACTTTTACACAGAGATCCTGAAAAGAGATTAGGTGCTGGTCCTCGAGATGCTGAGGAGGTTATGAATCATCCATATTTTAAAAAAATAAACTTTGACGATGTTTTACACAAACGTACAAAACCCCCTTATATCCCTGAAATCAAGTCAGAAGTTGATGTATCTAATTTTGATGAAGAGTTTACATCTGAAACCCCTAAGTTAACTCCTGTAAATTCGTTGTTAACCTCTGATATGCAAGAAAAATTTCGTGGATTTTCCCATATGAGTGATGAAATGGTGTAAATTTTATTTCTATTTTATATTATTTTTATTTTAAACTATTTTTATTTTTAATTTTTTTTTATTTTTAATTTTTTTTTATTTTTTATTTTTTATTTTTAGTTTTTGTTTTTTACTTTAAACCTATTTCTTTTTGTTTTGTGCTTTGAAGTCGAAAAGAATTTTGTTTCATGTTTGGTGGTAGTATGAGTGTGGCTTGACTAGTTCTATAGTAACAAAAATTACATTTTGTTTTTACTTCAAATTATTTTTGATCTTAGTTGTTTTATATATATATGTCAATGCCTTTCTAATTTTAGTCAATAATCAATAACTAATTGCTAAATTTTTGTTTATTCTTTATTCTCTGTTCAGCTAGTATTACCTCAAATCCAAAAATCTTAAAAAATTCAATGTGACTAATAAAATGTTTTATATCCAATCATCTAACTCTTCTATTTTATAATGTTTTTCTTGAAAATCGGGATAATATGGTACCATGGAGTCACAACTTTGAATGTAGCAATCATTATAAATTTTCCAATATGGGGCTCGAACTTTTCTGGCTGCTTGAAATATACCACTAAAAATGTAATTTAAGACAATACCACTACCAACGTTGTTTCTAATGGCATCAATTCCATCAATAACTCTATCAATAACTTGAGGAGAAGTCTCATAGATGTTAGGAATGAGCAAATTTAAAAAGTTGATAAAAGCATCTTCACACCCTGTTCCAATACAACCTAAAGCCATATGTTTTACAACAGTGGCAGCAGTTTGTCTATGTACTTGATCTCGGTCAGTTAAAGCATCTGCAACCAAAGGAGCAACGGCATAAACATAGTCTTTAGTTATTCCACCTATATATTCAAACATAAATGTCATTGCTTTCAAAACACCATTTTGAACATTGTTTTCAGGAGTTCTGTATTCATTCATTAATGCAGGTAGAACTGTAAAAGGCTCGCAAGTTTCAGCTACAATCCCAATTGCAACAGCAGTACATACTCTTGACTGACGTTCCTGAACCTTTAAATTATTTAGCAAAGTAGAAAGAACTTCTTGAGGTCCTATAGCTTTGGCAATATAGCCAAATGTATTGTTTGCAGCTCTACGAATAGATTTTCTATGAGCTTTTAGCATGTCAATCAACTCAAAACATATTCTCATCCATTCCTTAGAGGGAATATATTCGGGACCTCTGTCAGCGATTCTGCCAATCAACTTTATAGTACTTTCTTGCACCTTTTCATGACGATTCCTCAATATCGGTGTCAAATTAGGTAATAATTGCTCGATTGGAGGGTTCATAGATGCTAATCCAACCACAGAGATTATGTTTTCTAATGCATTTAGTATCGAACCCAAAACATCAGGATATACTTCTCCTAATGACTCATATAGAACCTTTCCCAATTTATACATTATATCTTCTTCTCCACAATTGATTATCACTGATGAAACCTTAGTAATAAGATCTGCTGCCAGTTGCCTGACTTGAGGTTGGTTATTTCTCAACCTATATAAAATAATTGAAACAATTTTTGAAATAAATGGTTTCACTCTAACGTCAAGAGAAGATATTGTTGTTCCAAATGATTTTAAAATGATTTGATCATCAAACGTAACCTGCAATTCAAAGGAAACCAATAAGCCATCAATTAGTCTTTCAACAGTACGATCTGACAAGTCACTAGTTCCCAAACTAGATATAACATTTTGAATGCATTCAGCACCCATTTTTCGAAACGAATCCGAATCATCTTTTAATATATCAATTAGTTTGTTTACTAGTTCACTAAAACCAATTTTTCGGGCAAGGGAATGAGTTGTTTGAATTACCATTTTACTACTTCTATGATCCAACGCAATTCTTCGATTCCAAAAATTTCGAAAAAAAGGCAGCACAACTTTTTGTACTAAAAATGAAGCCGTGACACCATCAGTATCAGCACATTGCTGAATTACTTTCAAAATTGTTCTTTTCATTTCTTCATCCGATGAGTTGATTTCACGCAATATAATTTTGATCACTTCGATAGCGTAATAGTTAGCATATTCAGAGTCCATTAATGGAATCAAGCACCCAATACATTTCAAGAAGGCACATAAACATGGTCCTCTTTGCCTTTGTACACCATTCCACAAAGGATCGAGCACTTTCTCAAATGATTCAATTCCATAAGGAGCAGATGCGTCAGCTAAAGAAGATAACGCTAGCGCTGTGTTTCTTCTAATAGACAAAATTTCATGATTCAAATTTTGATGTATGCATCCAACTAACTCGTCTAATTGGGGCAATACTCCACAGCCAAGTAAAACAGTAATTTGCTGAATGATTTTGACACCAGACAACCTTGCTTGCCAACTCTTTTTAGATTGACAAACAGCTTTTAGAAATGGTATAAGAGACAGAATCCCTAGCGCGTTGGCTATAACTGCAAATGTTCTAGCTGTTTTATTTCTAACATAATCATCAGAACTGTCAATATCAGGTCTTAATGTTGTAATCATATGATTCAAACCCGCAGCTTTAGACAAATTTGAAATAATTTCTCTTCCCTCATTTCTCGCAATGTAATCTTCTTCCATCAAGAGAGGAGATATAACTTTCAAAATTCTATGAGTGTAAGGTCTAACCAAATCATCCAACTTATACAAAATTCTATCAATCACTTTTACTATCAAATGTCTTTCCTGATCTTCAAAGTCTTTCTCCATTAGTAAAGGTAAGATTTGATTAAACAAAATTTTCGGACCAAAGTTTCTAGCGTTATCTGTCAATGATCTTAAACCCTGTTTTCTTACAGAGGGGTTTCCATTTTTGATCTTTAACAATAAACCCATCAATCGCAATTCTTTTTGTTCATCAATTGATAAATCGATTGACAGATCTGGATTGGAGAGTAATTTTGAAAAATATTTTGAATCTGCTTCTCTGAAAAACTGTAAATCTCTTATTAATGGAATTTGGTCAGGCGTAATAATTGAATTTTTTAATATTTGATTAGTTTCTGTTGATACATCAGGAATCATATAAGCGTCGATTGAGCTTTCATCAACAAAAGTGGAATAATCAGGCTTCATATAACCTTCAGGAGGATCAAGCTTAGTGTATCCTGAAGGTAGGAGTTTATCAATAATACCTGTTGTCAAATATAAACCGTTAAAATTTAAAAGAGGAAATGTTTCCGGAGACTTAGTCTCAAGTTCCAGTTCGTTGTCAATAGTTTTATTGTCATTTAAATATAATGTAGATTTTACCTCACTGTCTTGTTTAAATTTTTGCTTTTTATGGTTTTTTGATGAAATTACTGAGTGATCAGTGGTATTCGAATTATCATTTTCTGTGGATAAATGTTGGAAAAGACGTTCATTGTTAATTATTGTGACTTCTTTGTTCTCATCAAAATCACCTAAGATGTCATCTGTTGAAACATCCCATCTTCTTTTCCTTTTTGATAAAGAGAGTTTTCTGGGTGGAGTTTTGCAAGGGCTTTGTGTTAATTCAGTCATTCTGTTATTCAATTTAAAAAAAATAATTCAAACGAATTTTTAATGATAACTGAAAATAAAATCGTGGTGATCGGACTGAACTTTATTTTGCAAGATAACAATTAATAACCGTCAATAGTCAACGCTTAATAGTTAACACCCAACAAGACTGGCTAGCAAAATTCTTTTTTTTAATATTGTTAAAGATAATATGGATTTACTGTATTGGAACATTTCGAATTTTGTGGTTTTAGTCACTTCATTGTTTCAACTTAATTTCATTGTAGCTTCATGTTTTGATAAATTTCCTGCTGAAGAAAAGTTGGTTTTAACTCCATTGCCAACGAACTATCTTCTTGCTTCGTTTATGTTTGAATTAGATTCACATTCTATTAAAAAGATCGAACTAGATGAGATTACCAATGATAGTAATTATCAAGCATTTCCCAAAGTTTTAGGACCGATTTTTGAAAGCACTAATGTTACAGAACTTCATTTGAAGTTTGCAAGAGGTTATTGGGATGCAGAAAAATGGGGAAAATTACCTAACAATGGTGAATTTAGTGGTGGAACTGGTGTGGAATTGTGGTCCACTATTGATGCAAATTCAGAAGAGGAAGCATTTGCACAATGGGAAATTTTAGTCAATTATCTATCTGGGTTGTTTTGCGCTTCAATGAATTTCATTGATAAAACTACCACCACATATCCACAAAAGCTTTTTGAAGATACTTCAAAGTACGAAAATAGATATTTATTAAGAAGTGTATTGCCAAAGGAACCAGTCTGTACTGAAAACTTAACTCCTTTTTTGAGATTATTGCCAACCAAAGGTAAAGCTGGAATTTCCAGTCTACTAGATGGGCATCAGTTATTTTATTCTCCATGGCATTCAATGTCTATTGATATTAAACCAAAGCTGAATAGTTCAAAAGGGGAACTCCATATGTCTCAACATATCGATCAATTGATTAACATCCCCAGCACATTTGAATATTTTAGATCACCAATACCAAAACCTGTTTCTGGAGATGCTTTAAGGTGTGATGATAATAAAAGACACGATTTATATTATTGTTTTCCAAAAGAATCCATAAATAATTTATCGTATGAATTAAAGGATTTATTTGGTAAAGAAATTGAAAATAGATTATTGATTGGAAAGGGCAAGAGTGAAATTTGTTTTGATTCCACTGAAGAATGGAAAATCTCTGGAGTCACTGAAACCATCGAAGGAATTTCTATAAACGTTTTAAACGATGGAGTTGGTTGTTTTAATTTGGAAAAGTTGGAAAAGTTGGCTGAAAAAAAGAAAGAACCTCCATTTGATATCAATTTGAGTGACAAATTCAATGTTAAAATTGAGACTTCTCAAAGTGGAAAAGTTAAAAAAATTGATTATCCCAACATTTTTGTTAGTAGATCATTTACGGGATACAGAGAAGATTCTGGTGGAATTAGAATTGTTTTCAAAAATCCCAGCTTAGAAAGAGCAGTGCGCTTAGTTTATTTTGAAAGTTTACCTTGGTATATGAGAATCTATTTGCACACTTTAGAGTTGAGTAAGAAAGAATATAATTACTATTCTAAATCCAGCCATCAAAATATTAAAAAAAACGAAATCAAAGGAAATGGAACAAGACAAACAAAAAAAGAAATAGAAATTGAACATGAACATGAACATGAACATGAACATGAATATGGAACTCAAAAAGAGAACTCAAAAGTTTTTGGAAAAGTTGAAAGATTGGAAAACCTGATTATAAAAGAAGTTTATTTCCAACCTTCTGTTGACAGGAAAAGACCGGGTCAAATTGAATTGGAATTAATAATCCCACCAAATAGCATAATTTCTATGAATTACAAGTTCGACAAATCCTTACTATTATATTCGGAATACCCTCCAGATGCCAACCATGGGTTTGAACTAGACCCCAGTGTTGTTAAAGTAATAGGTGATTCGAGCAGGTCAGAAAAGGATTATTTTTTTAGAACAACTTCATTACTTCTATCTTTGCCAACGCCAGACTTCAGCATGCCATATAATGTGATAATTTTTACTAGTACAGTAATGGCACTAACATACGGCACAATTTTTAATTTACTAATCAAAAGACTAATTAATGAAGAAGAAACCGAGGGAAACTCCAAAAACAATATTTTAAAGAGGTTAAAACAAAAATTCTTGGTTAAATTGAAGAGTACGATCCAAAAAAACAAAAGTCAACAATGATAATGGTATTATATGTGTCGACTTTGTAATTTTCGAGACAGTGAACGTTGTTTTGTTTTGTTTTGTTTTATTTTATTTTATTTTATTTTTAATTCTGAACCTGTTCATTTATTTTTGCTAAACAATTATCTTCCAACTATTAGAGTAGTTTGAGTGCAAAATATGATGTTTGAGCATCCTGCATTACTTTTCGTACAAACAATCAAATGTAATCAAACCAAAATATAGTTGGTGAAAAACGTAGAGCTTGAAAAGCTTAACCTAAATGGATCTTAGATGCATTTTCCAGCGCAGGGTAATCTGAAGCCTTAGTAATTTATCTGGAAAAGTAATTTTTTTGGAGGTTTGACAGGGAGAGCACTTGCAACAGGAAGAAGAGTATAAAGACTGGATTCAACAAAAGCCTTCAATTTGAATTGAAAGTTCTTCTATTTTTAGTGCAGATAATTTTGTAAAATTAAAAACAGGTGGAATATGAGTGCTCAAATGATTACAGATGCTAATGCAACTATCTTATTGAATAGATTAATGGCAATTAAAGAAAGTGGCCAAAATTTTTATCTAGTTTTGGACAGCTTTCGCCAGAGTTCTTACTATATTATTCAGCATATGATTCATGAGAATCTTAAGCAAGATCTAGACATTCTTTATGTTTCGTTTGAAACAATAAGCAGACCTTCGTATGCAACCGAGTATATTGACTGTATTGACATTTCAGGTAAGACGCTAAATGACAAAATTGGAAAAATATTAAAGTCGAGGTTTGGAGGATCAATTGGAAACAAAAACAAGGCTGTGCTAATGATAGATTCTTTAAATTTTATCAAAGATGAGGAACTTTCTGAATTTATGCAGATGATCTATAATGTGGATAAGAATATTATTGTGATTGGGACATTTCATTTGTCATATCCGGTTAGATCAGTGAGGAGTTTACATTTGAATTATCCCAGAGGATTGGAATTCCTAAAGTTTGTTGCAAGTTCAATTTTCGAGGTTCTTCCACTAGACTACAAAAGCACCAATGAAGAAGAAAAGGATTTTGCTGAGAAGTACTTTGGAAGCCCCTGCCACAAAGGATCTAACAGCTACAAATATGTTTTGAAGCTAGTTGTGCGCAAGAAGAGTGGGCGGTCAGTGCGTTTTAAATATGTGGTAGACTCACTGAAGTACGTGAGCAGCAATATACAAGATTCAGAAGACGAAGACAGCGAATATGAAATCGAGTCGAGTCTGGATGCCAGCAAAGAGGAGGACCTCTTGAAAGGGTTGACGACGTTTCGACTCAGCACCACAGCAGGTGAACGGAAGAGCAGAGAGGAAGTGGAATTGCCATATATGGAGGCGCAAAGCGAAGGAGGACGAGTTGGAGGAGCAATTGTGTATGAGTTTGAGAAGGACGACGACTACGATGAGGAAGATGCTTTTGAGGATCCATTTTGAACTGTGAAGTGTCCTTTTGGGTATGTTGGGCCGCTGTTACCCGCCGCCGCTTTGCCACCGGTTTGGCGCGTTGTGAGGCAGGAGGGCAACCCCAGTGCTGCACTTTCCTTCAAACACACAAACCAGCTCTGCTTCATGGTATATATTTACCCAATATCCAACTCCACTGATATCGAGCTGCTCCAACCTCCAGCATTGTATTGTACAGTTCTCGTTTTTTTGTTCCTTTTTGCGTTGGCCACTGGTTCCATCTTCTTATTCGCCTGCATTTCCACTTCACAATGTATAACAGGCATAACACTCAAATACCTACTTCGAATCCCAGCCCCAATCCCAATATTCACCTAGCTTCATCTTACTCATCTTTTGATTCCTATAAGAACCGCAGCTTTAGCTCAAACCAAAATCCAGCTTACTATGATTCCTCATTTTCAAATTCCATGAAGAACAATAACATCAACTATCTAGGCCCCGTACCTTTGCAAAAGACTTTGTTGGAAAATTTCGAACTTTATACATCTATTTTTGAGGATTTCATTGACAGCAACTTTTCTCCCGTTAAACCATACATTCCTGCTATTGGAAGATTTTTAATCACTGCAACTTTTTATGAAGACTCTTTTAGAATCATTTCTCAATGGGCAGATCAAGTTTTTTATTTATGGAATTATAGGCACATTCCTTATTTTATCGTGGTATCCTTTTTATTTTTAAATATTTTAACAATGACTATAGCTTCAACTCTACTAGTAATGAGAAAGCAGTCTTTAATTGCAACTGTCTGTCTTATTTGTGTTGTTATTTCTCAAGGCTTTTTTTATGGTTTGTTTTCCGAAGGCACTTTTTTATTAAGAAACTTCTCGGTAATTGGCGGTTTGTTATTGGCCTTTTCTGATTCAATTATCTCCGACAAAAGATCTTTGTTAACAGCTGGTGTTCCCATGATTGAAAATAAAGATCCAAAAAAATATTTTCTTTTGGCTGGCAGAATTCTTTTGGTTCTTTTGTTTGTGAGATTTATAATCGCTGGCTCTTGGTCTTTTTCAAAAATCTTATTAATATTAGTTGGATCAATTTCTTGTGTTTCAATTGTTATCGGTTTCAAAATCAAATTTTCGGCTATTCTATTAGGAATTTTACTTACTATTTATGATTTTTCTGTCAATTTTTATTGGAGCTATGGTTACCAAGATCCCCATAGAGATTTTCTCAAATATGAGTTTTTCCAAACTTTATCAATTGTTGGTGGTTTATTAATTATAGTCAATACTGGAGCTGGCGAGTTGTCTATTGATGAGAAAAAAAAAATTTACTGATTTTACTTATTAATTCTATATATGCTGATTTAATGATACTCAATAACAATAAATATACGAAATACTATATTTTACTGCAAAATTTATTAAATTGTCAATTGTCTTTGATATTTATTAAAGTATATTGAAAATATCTGCTACACAATGCTCGGTATTCAATGTTCAATGCTTAACAAAAAAAAACAATTGTCCAACTGTAAAATTAAAAAAAAAAAAAAGATTGCTTAAATGCTGAAATAACTAAGAGATGACGATGAAATTTTTCCATCACTGGTTAAGCTTGAAATTGCATCTTCTAAGATTTTTTTAATCTTCTGAGAATCCTTTACCTGGTTAATTTCTTTAGAATAGCTGGACAATTGACTGTCGTCTAATGCTCCAATTAACAATTCAACATCAGAATCAATCTTAGTTTGGGATGAAAGATCTCCAAAATAATCAACACCCTTAACAGAATTTCGAATTATTCTCTTATTTTTCTTTTTTGCTGATTTCAAGGCTTCTTTGGCTTTCTTAGAGTTTTGTTTTAGTGATTTGGCTTTTTCTTCAGCTTCTTTTTTAGCTTTTTCTTCAGCTTCTTTTTTCAATCTAGCTTCTTCAAGAGCCTTTCTGGACCCTGCTTCTCTTTCCCACTTTCTTTTGACTTTTTCTTCTTTTTCCTTTTTTTTGAATAATTTTATTCTTGGATCTTCACTGAAAGCTCTATCAACTAAAGACAATAACCTTTTATTGTCCTCCTTTTTTTTTTTATCTCTTTGTGTTTTGTTTTTCCTTTCAATGTACCGTTTATGATCTCTGTTTGAAGAATCATCAGGTACATCCTCATCTAGCCATTCAAATGTCCTCCAAGAATCAAATTTATAAAAAAAATTATAAAAACTTTCAACTTCAGCTTTGGAGGTATGTATGTCGCCGATTTTTGGTACATTCTTCTTTTTGGAAAATCTACCTTCGGAGTCAAAAATAGGCCCCCATGTTGTGAAAAAATCATATTTCAGTTGTTTTGAAGGAGGATAAATATCTGCATTTTCGTCTACAGAATCAAATCTTTTTTTTTGGATTGGATCTAACAAGGTTTCATACGCCTTTTGAATAATCTTAAAAAAACCATCTTCATCTAACCCTCCTTTTTCACCTTTTTTATCTGGGTGATGTTTTAAAACTTGTCTTCTATGTGCCTTTCTTATTTGTTCTTCAGTGGCATTATATCTCAATTTTGACAACCCTAAAACAGCATATAAATCTGCTTTTTTCCATTCTCTTGGATCGTGGGTTAATAACTCATCCGACTGGTGCTCATCGAATTCATCCAACTTATCATCATCATTCTCATTGACTGTTTTTACATTTTTTGAAGCCTCAATTCTCTCATATTCAGACCATGTGTGACCTCTCAAAGTTCTGCTAGCATGAGCTAAGAAATAACGACCAACGGGTTCAATGGGTCTACGAATAGGAGCAGTGAACGAAGACACGACCTTTGAAAGTGGTGTGTCTGAAGATGAAAGATTCAAAACAATGTCAGCCATTTCAATTAGATAGCAGTCCTAGACCCTAATTCTTCTTCCACTCTAACTCCAAAACAATTTTCAACCAGTTGCAAATAAAAAATTTTCAGCATGGCCATGAAGCACGTGCAATATCACGTGGTACACTTTCCCAACTTTTGCGGTGCTGTGTAGAATAATGGAGATATAATGAACCAAATCACAAAGGATGCCTGTTGCAGGATCTGATATTCTTCCTTTCTGTGTGAATTCTTTTTTCAGCAAAGTTCCATTTACTATTATCCAGCTTGTTTTCAATAATTTAACTCTAAGGGAAATTTTCTATTTGACCTTTTCCGGCAACAGTCTTATTTCTGATTACTGCAAGTCATTGTTATTTGAATCGGTTAATATTGTTGAAGGTCACGATGCTTCCTTCGGTTTTGAAAATGCCCTTCTTTCCCCTTATAAATTGCTAATTCGAAAAGAACAGCTTTTGATTTTTAAAACCTATTTAAGGCTAGTTTCAAATTTAACTCTCCATCTTGACCCTACCTTGCCAGTTTACTCAATTTTTAAATTATTCGAATCAAACAATATATTTTTTCAGGACTTATCAAGTGTCAACTATAATCCAATTGGCTACTGTTCTGATTCTTCTGATATTTTCAACGAGCACTTTCGAAAAAAAAGTAACCCATATGGTATAAATACGTTTCTTTATGATGACCTATTTGATTTTTTTGTAAGGAAAATTGTTGCCTATAATACCTTGCACACCTTGAAAGTAACTAGAATTAAAAATCTATCAAAAATTAAATTTTTTTTTGAACTTTCAAATGTTAATCTAAAAAAATTAAGCATTTCATATTCAGAATTTGATGAGTACGAGAAAAAACCCAATGCAGGTCTTCTCTTGAAGAATTTGTCAAAATTGCAATTTCTCGATTTATCAAATAACTTTCATTTCTCAAATAACTTAATTTTTTCAAATCTTCCTTCCAATTTAAAGTTTTTGGATTTAAGTTGTAATAATATTTCATCAATTGAAAATTTAAATCACTTGGGTTCTTTATCACATTTAGATCTTTCCGGAAATTGTATTAACCACCTATGCAATTTACATGGGTTAACTAGCCTTGAGTATCTTAATGTTAGTAAAATGGATTTTTCTTTTTACTCCTTTGAGAGATCCTTTTTAAAAATTGGAGATATTTCCTATTTAAAATCGTTGAAAGTCTTAAACGCGTCAAATAATTCTTTGTCTAAAATTGACAAAACATTAAATCAATTATCTTCATTATCATCTCTTAATTTGTCAGGAAACTTTATCAAGGTGATAGAAAATATTGACAAATTGACAAATCTCAAAAAATTGGATCTCTCTTATAATTTAATAGCTTCAATCAAGCCAATAAATCCAATTTGTTGCTTGAAGATTAATTTAGTCTATTTGAACCTAAATTATAATTGTATTAACGAAATCAAGGGTATTTGTCAACTTGATAATTTGAAATATCTTTTTCTAACCAGAAATTATATCAATGGGCTGGATTTAGAACAATTGAGAGTTTTAAAAAATTTAAAAAACCTTGTATGTGAGTATTGAAATAGACTTAGTATTTCGTCATCTATTCAATCTCTCAAAAAGTTTTCTGTTAATTTTTTAATTCCAGTAATAAAGTTATCATTCAAAATTAGAAGTTAAAAATAATCTACAAATAAAAGTTGTAATCTTTTTTTTTTTGTTTGTTGTTGTTGTGTTGGATAAAAAAGCCTGCTTCTGAATGAAAACTAATTCTTAATTTTAAATTATTTAATAAGTTTCTACAGTTTCAGTCCAATCTTTCTATAAAAAAAAAGCCTTTATAAAAATAAAAAAAATCTTATCAGTTACTTTTCATATGTTTATCGACGATCAAAGAGGTTCAGTAACAGTACCTATTATTATTCCCGAGAAAACAAACCAAAAGTTCTGTAATAATTAAAAGTTTTAAATAGTTCCCGATATTGCTGAAAGAAGTCTTTTTCTTATGAAACAGCAAGAAAACTAAGAAAACTCCCAAACCTGTATAATTTTAAATTCTTTCACTAAATTACATAATAGTGTTTGAAAATCCATAATTATTTCTTATATTCATGTTCATGAATGAAAATTGAAAAAACTTTTTGGTGAATTGGTCAACAATTTTATAATTGATTAGATTTAAATTATTGACCATAATAAATTTAAATACTTCTTCAGATATGAGAAAAACATGCCCCATCATTCCAAATTCCAATTGGGTTTTTTTATAAAACTCGTCATTCTTTTCATAAATGTATAGCAAAATGTTATTAATTTTCACATTAACAAATAAATCATCTATCAATAATATATTGAGATTAAGGTTGAAAGACGGTAAATTCATTATTTGTTGAAAAAAATCATACAAGACATTGTCTAACAAGATATGCCAGGGATATTTCAATAAAAATTTTCTAAAAAGTAATTTTAAAAAATTGGTTTCTTTTAATTTGAGTTTATACTTATCACCTAAAGATAAATAGTTTCTTGATTTCATCTCCTTCAAAATATCATATTCCTGATTCTCTATTTGACACACAAAATATGTCTTGTTTTGGAGAATGTACTGAATGAGAAAAATATATTTTTCAAGTTCTCGTTCTTGATATTTATTTAAAACAATATTTTTATCGTTTTTTCTATTTTCAAACTTGTTCAAAAAAATTTTGTAATCATTAAGACAACTGAAGCTTCCCAATTCCCGAATTTCAACTTCATTTAAATCAAAACCTTCGTATAAAGTATTGTAATCTTTAAAAGCAGTTGTTCGATCAATATAATCATTGTATTGCACACCATTTTCATTATCATTTTCTTCATTAATATGAATCTCATTCTCTGAAATATCTCTTTCAATATCACAATTTTCATTGTATTGAGAACCGTAGTTTTCATACAAATCATATTCACCGCCGTCATATTCAACGGCATGTACTTCTTTTTTGACTTCTTTCTCACTATTATTTATAGAATTCGTAGATAGTTGAAGATTCCCTTCACCATTGAAACCACCTTTCGAAAACTCAATTGTTGCCAGATTTCCAACATCTGTAATAAAATCACTACTTTGAGGGGATAGGGGATTTGGACTAAAACTTTTATTTGACGAATTTATATTTTTTTCGTTCTCAATAATGTCATTTACTAGATCCATATCAATTATACCATTTTCACTATAAAATTGTTCTTGAGACAAATCCGAATACACTTCTTGATTTGGTGGTGTTTTTGGAGGTGAAGAAGTATCTATTTTTAAACCTTTCATGGAATTCTTTATATCATCAATTTGGACAGTTAGTTTCCCAATTTTTTCCTTTTTGAGATCTTGATTTAACTTTTTTTCGTTATTTGAAACAGTCAATGATTCATGCAATACCGATTCTGGGAAGTTTTGCTCTTCATTTACTAATTCATCTATATCGCTATTATCAAGATCGTCAGTGTCATCGTATTCATTTTCTTTGATATCAAAATCATTGTTGGCAATGTCTAGTTTATCTAAATTTTCATTAAAGTAATAAATAACTTCCATATCATTAATATTATCGTTCTCTTCATTGTCACTTAACAAGTCATCATTCATCGCTTCAAAAATATTATTTTCACGTTCTCTTTGAAGTGTCATTCGTTCTTCAATCAAATCTTCGCAATTTATGGAATTATATAATTTCAAGCCAGATAAATGAAGTAACTCTGCTGTTAGTTCAATAATCTTAAATTTATCACGATTTAACCTAGGAACAATTCCCATGGATGTTTGAATAAAATTTGGATTTTTGGGTAAGCTTTCAGCTAGAGTTTTTAAAACATCATTATCAGAATCAATGTGATCTTCGGGATAAAAAGGAATTGGTATTTCAAGCTTATAAAAATCTTTGTTTATTTTATAGTTTTTATCATTAGCTTCGTCAATCTGCTCCTGATCAAATGTAGAACTATTATCATTTTTATCGGGGATATCTGAAGAGCTTAGAGGCACCTGTTCGCTTTTTTGTCTTTTAATGAATGATTCTAAAAAGTATTTGAAATTTGCACAAGAGCGTTGGTTCTGAATTTTTCTTTCTTGCTCAAGCGGATAATCCTCCATATTTTGTTTTTTTAATAAGAGTTCTTTTTCGCCAGCTTTTCTTTTTTCTTCAGATATATTCATTACATTGTTGTATGTTTCCAAATTGAAAGCTTTTATAAAAAGATTATAATCAAAATCGTTTTCAAAATAGGATTCATCGGTTAAATTATCACCATTAGCAGAAACTAAAAATTTATAAAAATAATCCAAGTATTCAGTGCCAATTGTTAAGATATTGTTTAAGTAAATAGGATCTCTTTCAGTAACGGGATATACCTCAAGCAAATCAAAGTCGTTATCATACACTATATCAAAATTTTCTTTGATCAATAAATTAATGTAATCATAATCAGTATTATTATTCCTAATTATATCAATCAATATGTCAATTGATAAGGCTAATGGAACTCCAGTTTCATTTTTGATTTTTTCAAATAACTTTTTAATTTGTTTGTATGAACACAAGTCCCTTAAAAGTGAATGCCCCCCAAGAGTATTTGGGTTTGTTAAATGAGTTTCTGGAAATAATAAATAATCATATTCATCAGCATTAGGATCGTGAGTAGAATAAGTTGAGTTTTTAATGATGTCTCTCAACAAGTCAGCAGCATTGTTCTGAATAGAGGAAGGATATTTAGAACTTAATAAATTTAAAATTGAAGAGATAAAACCTTCATCATTTAATTTATTTATTATCCCTGTAGAACTATTCCACTTGTCAGTCAAAATTAATTTAAGAAAGAATTCTAACATTTGATTTATATTTATATTTCTTTTTATAAAAATATCAGTTAAATTGTAGATAAAATCATTATTGGGGTTAATTAAAATATTGATATAAATTGATCTAAAATATTTATATTGATTTAATAACTTTTCATTAAATCTGATAAAAGTATTTAGCAATGGCTTGAATTTATAGTTAAATGGATAAAAAGTAATCGACCAAACCTTTGAAATTAACTCAGGAGAAAACAAAATTAGATTTAAAACTGAAATTGGTGTGTAAGAAGAAGTTAATATCCTTGAAATTTTCTCTGCTCTTGAAATGGACAGTAAATCATCAATTGATAACTCTTGAGGAGGAAATTTATTTAAAAGAGGTTTTTTTTCCACATTTTGCAAAATTTTATTATATATGCTATTTCCATAAGCCCTACTTTCATTATATGAATTTTTGGTTTTTCTTTTAACGTTTTCATTGTCATTTTTCTTATTTTTTAAATTAATAGGGGATTGATTATTCTTGGAATCACTATTCAGATAATTTATATAATCTTCATCATCTTGGTAGCTATAATAATAGCTTTCAACGTTGTCTATATCATCGGAGGAAATAAAGTTTTTTGAGTTAGAGGTGTACAATTTAAAATTGTAATCCTTCAAATAAGAGTAATATGAAGCAAGCCAAATATCTAAAAGCTTTGAGAAATTTTCTTTTATAAGAAACAACTGTAAGACAGTTTTATTGGTAATTTGTATGATTTCACTTTTACTATTAGTATTGTTTGCAGCAAGATCCTGCTGATTAAGATTTCCTGAATTCAAACTTGAAGGATCAGGTGGATTGTTGCAAGTGAAAGTATATAGCTTTGAATTCAAAAACTCGTCAAAAATACCAATTGGTTCGGAGAAATTGTTTTTTTCAGAAAAAGGAGAGGAATTTCTAAATGAGTCTAGCTTGTTGGCAGATGGAATAGAGTTTTCAGCAGAGCTATTAATATTGTTCAAATTGAGAAAAATTCCTTGGGTGTTATAAGTCTCAAATATGTTATTCAAACAAGAATATACAACACCTTTTTTTAGTGTAGAATAACGAACATTATCGGTAAAGGAGTTTAAAAAATTATAACCGGTGACTTTGCCATTAGTACTGCTAGCACTTGTGAAAGAATGATAGTTAAGATTGTTACTAGTGGAAGCGCCATTGTTAATATAGGTGTCTTCAAAAAATTGAAAAATTCTAGCGACATTAAATTCAAAATCGTCCTGATCAAGCATAAACTTAATGAGGTTAGAATCAAGCAAATATTTCGGTTTGTTGTGGTTTAAATTTTTTGAAATTTGGGCATTATTAAAAAGAATTGGATTTTTAAAATGAATTGGATTAGGGGTAGTGTTGTTACTGCTTTTTTTTTTGAGGATTGATTTAATTTTGACAGGAGAAGAAAGTGAGGTAGGAGATGAGGATAAAGCATGTTGCTCATGATTAAGAGGTTGATCTATTTGAAAATCTGAGGGATCTGTAGGTGTAAAAACCGAATCAGTATGAGTCTCAAAATGGACATTTTGGTTGTTTGTCTTTATGTTTTTATTGGGAAATTGATTTTTAGCAGAATATTGGCATTTCGAGTTTACAGAGGCTTTGTGATTAACAGCTTTCAAATCATCATTGAAATAATAGAACTCCTCATCGTGGGAATTTTTGTTAAAATTCCACATAGCAGAAACAATGAATTAGTAAACTATTCTGAAATGATTCAAAGAACTCCAAGAGGAGAATAAGGCACCGAAAGGTAATATAATTGAACTTTGTTAGAAAGGTGTGATATCAGGGAGGCAGAGGATTGAATAATTGTTGGCAATTGTAGAGAAACACCAAATGATTAAAGAAAGTGATTGAACTGCAAATTCAGCCAAAAAAGTGACAAGCAGCAAATCAATTTCCTGTAGATATTAATCGTGAGGCAGAAGAGGAGGTAATAAAAAGAATTTTCAAGAGCTGCTGGAGGTCCAAGTGATTGCTCTCCGTTCCAGGTGGCACTAAGTTGCGGTCGCCATCAGCGGCAGCTTCTATGGGGAGGGATAGGGGGTCTGCCGGATCTCTGCCGGCCCAACATCCGCTACCATCGGAAGTCGTAACAGCATGCACCCCAATGCACAGCTTGATGTGCAAACTAATTGAACCAAATACAATTTGAAATCCATACTGCTGGAACGTGTACAATGCCGCGGCATCTTGCACACGCAATACCAAGCTTTCCGAGCGTCAACGAAGCATATTGCGGAGGCTGTTTCACGGACGAGTTGCGAAGACGGCTCCTAACAGATTTCAGCTATTGTGCTCACGAATTTTTTTTTCCTTTTGCCAAACTTAAATTTCCCAAACATGTAGCTATCCAAATAGATTTTTCTACTTTAGTCCTGCTCTTCCTTGACAAAAGTATGGTTGATGATTCAAGTAGCCATCAAGCTTCTGATTCTGGCTCACCTCAAAAGGGAGCTTCAATGCTGTCGACTTTTGCTTCAAATGGAACTGATGAGCTTTCTAATAGCAATGGGCTGCTAAATCCTTTTGATCCCAACACACACACTTTCAATCAATTCTTTCCCACATTGAGAGCTCAGAGAGAAATTATTCTTAGCTCAATCAACCATTTTGTACTAAAGCAGAAAGAAACCGTTTATTTAATATCAAAAGCTTGGTTTAATACGTTTCTAAATGACCACTCTTTGAATAAGCTATCCACTCCCTTACAGTTAAAACTCGCACTAGGTCCTATCAATACCAAATGTCTTTTCAAAAAACACAGCTATGGGGAGGACTTGCTATCTGCTCATGATCCATCAAATATACCTTATATTTCTTTATCATTTGATGCATGGAATTCAATTTTAAATTGGTATGAGCTTGAGGAAGAAAATATTCCCGTTAAAAGATTTATCATCAGGTTCCCTAACTCTCACTCATTTGATATTGAATACCACCAATTAAATTTTGGAATCAAAATAGTGTGTCTTTCTCTTCAAAATAGCAATTTGGATTTTTCTTCTTCCATAAAATTTTCAAGAATAATTACCATGCACGAATTATATCTTAAAGTATTGAAGATGTTCACGCCATTTACTCAAAATCAAAATTGGAAAAACTTTACCTCTGCTTCTTCATCTTTGCAAAAATATGACAATATTCTATCTAAAGTTAGAATATGGTATTTAAATGATCCTCGCATTGATAATCTTTCCGAAGAATGTGATTTATCGATTTTTGCAAAAACTGATCAGATTGTCTTTATTGGAAATAAACATATGTCTCTTACACCCATCCAGCTAAATATGGAATCTGGTTGTTTTTTAGTCGAGTTAGAAACTCATCTAAATAATTTTCCAACAGATTATTTGCAATCCTTTTTTCAAGACTATACGAAGTATCATAGTTTTCGATTTCTAACTTTGGCCAACGATCGTCCATTCACTGATGGTTGTATTGGCCTTCATAATATTGGTAACACATGTTATATGAACTCGGTTCTTCAATGTTTAGTTCATATACCCGAGTTGGTTTTCTTTTTCTCCACTGATTCTTACAAACAAGAAATAAATCTTACTGATCTAACTGGTCCTGCTCGAAATGTTCTTTTAAATTTTATTGAATTGATTCAAAATTTGTTTTTAAATACCGATTTCTCTTTAGACAACAGTTATTCTCTCAACCCCAGCAAGTTTAAAGAGGCAATCGGCAACTTCAATTCGCTGTTTCACTCATACAAACAGCAAGACTCACAAGAGTTCTTATCCTGCTTTTTGAATTGTTTGAAAAAAAATATAAATCAATCTTTCAATCAACCAATTACTCAACCCTCTAATATTTCAAATGAAAAAGCTAAGAATTCTGCAGAAATTAAAAAATTATTTGATATTTACTTTTCCAACTATAAGTCCCAAAATAATTCTATTATTGATGAGATGTTTGTTGGTATTTACAAATATACCTACACTTGTTCAAATTGTGGAAATGTTTCAATTAATTTCGATCCCTTTGTTGATCTTGGCCTTCCCCTACCTTCTTTTGATAAATGGCTTTTCAAAGTTATTGTCTTTCCCGAAAATAGTTCTCCAAAATTTTTGGAATTTGTTTTAAAAAAAAATACTCTATATTTTGAATTAAAAAAATATATTTGTGAAGAATTTCATTTCAATAGCAATGATTTGTTTGGGTTTGAAGTTACTCAATCCAAATTTCAAAAAAACTTTGAAAACTTGAACAAAAAAAAATATGCTAATTTTTCCTATTTTGGAGATATTCATCGCACTCCTGTTTGTGAATTGATTCAAAAAAATGGACAACTAGTTTTTTATGAAATAAGTTTAAATAATGACAGCAATTTGCTTGTGCCCATATATAACACAAAAGCTTTCTCCAAAAAATACTATAATCAATTATTTGGTCTTCCATTTTTTATTTCCTTGAGAAAAGAAGAAAAGTCATCGTATCTAGCTATTCGAACCAAGATTGAGAAAATATACGAAAATCTTTCAAATAATATCAGTTTTAAACAGTTGGCAAGTTTAGCCAGAAAAAGACTATTCAAATCTGATGACTCAATTTCAGATCAAAAAATTTTCAAAAAACATAAAATATCAGAAAATAAGGGATTTCTTGTAAAAAAACTGACTGTTCAAAAAAATAAAAAAACAATTGAAAGAAAATATTCAAATGAAGATGACAGCCTGAGTGATGATTCATTTAATCCCGACAAGTTTGTGACTTTTAATGATAATTTAAGCTCTGCTCCTTTTACAGCTAATAATCATAAACTAACGTTTCTGCAATTTCTTAGTGAATTTGCATTTGTAATAAAACTCTATGACTTTCTGACTAAACCTAGGTTTCTTATTAATAACTCTGAGAGCTTACCCAATGAAAACAAGCAGATTTCTTTTCCAAAGCATTTCAATCCCTTTCAGGATCTACAAACTTTAGCAGATAGAACTCTAGAATACAAAAATTCTGAAACTGAAAAACTTGAAGTTGATTCTATTTCATTTTTAGAGTTAAAAACCAAGACTGCTTCTTTTGATTGTAATCAAAATGATTCCAATAGTTTAATGCCAAAACAGATTCAAAATTTGTCTCCGTTGAAAAATCCTTCACTCTGTGCCGATAAAAAAAAAATGTTTGTTGGAAAATGCACCGAACTGTTAATTTACAGAGATAGTGAATCTGAGGAAGAATCGGATGAAAATGAAGAGGCAAGTATTTCTTCTGTTGAGTCTGAAGTTTCTGACGATTTAGTTGAAAATTCTATCAATAAAGATTTTGGCTCTCTCATTGAGGATAAAATGGCCTTGATTTGTGAATGGGACAATAGGATGGCAAGCATTTTTTTTCAAACCAATAAACACGATAAAAAGACTTTTTCCAACAACATATCCTTTAATTTTGAAATTATTAGAACTAAGGAAGCAGAAACTATGAAAAATTTATTTGAAGAGCAAACGCAAACCACAACTTTAGAAAGGTGTTTTCAAAAGTTTTCAGAACCCGAAATATTATCAAAAGAACATGCATTTCATTGTGCTGAGTGCAAACATAGAATTCTTTCCAGGAAGATTGAAATTTTCAAACCACCTAATATCCTAATAATAAATTTAAAAAGATTTAAAACCAAAGGTAGCTTGGGTAAAAAAAACAAAGCTATAGTGTCTTTACAATCAGAATTGCACTTAAATATAAGTGACAATGATTACGAATATGAGCTATTTGGTGTTATCAACCACTTTGAGGGCTTAGGTGGTGGCCATTATACTTCTCATGTTAAGAACTTTGTCGACAACCATTGGTATTATTTTGATGATGACAAAGTGTCTCTTTCCAGTCCTTTTGAAAAACCTACAAGTATGCCATATATTTTGTTTTACCGGCTTTTAACAGCAGAAGTTATGGGAGGTGCTGCTTTACAACAGTTAACCAAATTATCAAAAGTCATAGTTCAAGCAAAAATTAATAATGTTCTCGCTCAGTTTAAAAACGATTTATAGCTGGGTCGTTTTTCAAATTTTCTTTGATAGTAGCAAATTTGGGGGTCAAAAAGTGAATTATTGCTTACTAGAAAATTAGATCATAGAAGTATTTTATCAAATTTCTCTATGTGATTCTCCATATATCTATATATAAATCATTATTGTTTATATTAGTTATAATAAATATAGAAAATAAAATAATTTTAGTTGCATTTCAACTTTTTGTCATTGACGATTAAAAAAAAAGCTAAAGCAGTTGCAGCTAAATTTAAACTCTAAATCTTGTGAAACTTTTCTTGAAAAAGTTCACTTTCTAAAAACTTTTTAAAGCTTTCTCTGAAACAATCAGCAGCATATATAAAATCACTTAGTTCTGTATAGATTTGAGCTGAAAATCTTGCCCAAATTTTCTCATTATGATAGACAATTGGAATAAAAACTCCTTTTTCAGCACTCAATTTTGAAAGAAAATGAAGATGAAAAAACTGATAGCATTCTGAGTCCCATCTAATTGGATATAACTTATCATAAAATGGAACTTCAACATTTACCATAGCTGTTGTCAAAGTATTTTTGCTATTCTCTAAATATTGGGTATTCCACCTTTGAGCTATTGTCTTTCCAACTATTGCTGCCAAATTATAATTATAATCAAGAATATTATCCAAACCACCACAGCATTCGTTAATAAACCTAATTGCACTAACAACGCTTGTATAAGCAGCATAATTCAGACTTCCAACGAACACAAACCTATCGTAATATCTAGTCTTTTCTAGTGGTTCCACCAATATTTCATCATCATCAAGATAGCTATGTGAGACAGGAAACGTGTGTATTTTTTTATGATGCTTAGGATCAACATATAAAAATGCAGCAGGCCTTGGTGTAAAAAACCATTTATGAAGATTGGAAGTAAAAAAATCGGGCTTCAATTCTGATAAGGAAAATTTCACCAAACCAATTGAATGGGCACCATCTACTAAGCTAAGACAGTTGTATTTTTTACACAAATCCACCAATTCTTTGAAAGGTAGACGAGCAGCTGGCATGGAGGAAACTGTATCAAATAAACTTAATTTAATATTTTCATTTTGTAACTTTTTTTCAAACATCTCAATTATTTCGATATCATCAAGAGGGTAGTTGAGAATCATAGTTATTGGGACAATTCCGACTCTATTTTCTAAAAACTTGACGGTATTGAAACAAGCACCATAAATGGTTGATAATATTAATATTTTATCTCCTTTTTTGAATGGGAAACTTCTCAAAACAACATTAACAGCAGTTGTAGCATTAGTTACTAAAGCAAGATTTTCTTTTGGAGAGTCCAACACCTTTGAAAGTTCTGTCAATGATTCCGAATAACAATCTTTAAAATTGTATAAAATATATTTGTCCGGATACCTGTTATCTCTTTTGAGATTTTTTTGATATGATTCGAAAACAGGATCAGGAGTAAGTCCAAAAGAGCCATGATTGACTGGAGTTACATCAGAATCTAGATTCGTGAAGTATTTTTGTCGAAACTCTTTCCCAAATGGAACCACTTGTGGCATTTTGTTCGAAGGAAGTGAATATCGATGAATTATGTTGCCCTGAAAAAAACAGTCAAAAGTGCAAGGTTTTGTAGCTTTGATCTAAAAGATCATTTATAAAAAGACCCAGAAGTTCAAATGAATTTGATACAGGTTGGACAGAGTGATTCAATAGTATATCACCAATAGCATAGGAATGGCTGTAAACCAAAATAGAAGTTTAAGCTCTTTGATTTAACTGCCAAAGAAACCTCCCGGATTGGACGAGTTTTTGGTTTGGGTTTTCCAAACAAAAAGGAAAAAAAAAGGAAAACCTGCGATATCTTTCTTCGAAATATAGAATCAACCCAATATTGTTGCAATACAAATTAGACATTGTTTATTCAAGAAGCTTTTGCTGGCAATAAACAGTAAATTGGGCGATTCAACAGAGAGCGAAGCCTATTATCGAGACTGGTCTTTCTGTCTGACAACATCTTCAAAACTTCATTGCAGTTTTAATTTGTGTCTAATACAACAGAGTGAATGGTCTATGTAGCATCCATGCTTCATCCTCAGATGTTCAAAAGGTTCATCTTCCCTATTTATAGGCGAAATATTTCAAACAGGCTACTTCATTCTTCATCTGCTCAAAGAATCAATCTTTTGCTGCCTTTTGACTTGTTAGAAGATCAAAACGAAAAAGATGAAAAATCAGACCAAAGTAAAGAAAACACTGAAAATAAAAACTCAACTGAATCTCAATTTAAAAATCTTGCATTCAAATGTCTTGAAACTGTGGGTATAACCTTTTCTTCACTAGCTATTTTAGCATTTGGTGGGTATTCCTATCATAAAATATACCAACATCATGTTATTTCGCAAATGAACTCTGCCTTTGATGAAGGTTTTGACACATTCGAGTCAATATTTCATTCAAAAAACGACAATTATTTGTTTAATAGGTCCATATCACCTGAAGAAGATTCTACAGACTGGGTGGCAAGGCCTGAGCAAAATTCTATAGATAACATTATTACCGGAAAAATAAAAGGAAGATACTATCTCATACTAGGCGAGAAAGGCACTGGAAAGACATCTATTCTATTGGAAGCAATTAAACATCAACAAGGGAAAAATGTAATAGCATTGGACGCACATGCTGATCCTGAGATATTTCGTTTGAGGCTAGGTAAAGCTTTGAAATTTTCGTTTTATGAGGACTATATCGGTTCATTGTTTTCTATAAGAGGACCAAGAGAAACTACTGCTTTATTAGACATTGAGAGAGCATTTACTAAATTGGAAGAAGTGGCAATTGAAAGAGTTCATCGGTTAAAAAATTCAGATTCCCCCTTAATCATCATAATCAATAATTGCCATTTGATAAGAGAAGACGAAACTGGTTTAGATTTAGTTGAATTGCTTCAGCAAAAGGCCGAATCTTTAAGTGGTTCTGGATTAGTAACAATGATTTTTAATTCAGATGATTATTGGTTTTACGAAAGGCTCAAAATTTTGGCTACTAGGTTGGATGTAATCAATATTAAAGATTTCAATAAACTGGACGCCATAAATGCTATCCAAGTCTTGAGAAAAAAGAATAAGAATGAGGACTTGAGTGTTATTGAAGCGTCTAAAATTTACAATCTAATAGGAGGGAGAATTCAACATTTGGCAAAAGTTTGTAAGAATGACGATATGATAAAAACTGCAAATGAATTAATCGATGCTGAGAAAACATGGCTATTAAATAAGTGTGGATTAATTGGAATGGGTATGGATGATGATGTCATGCAAAGTGGAAAATTTTCCAATTCTGCAATGTTGCTAGTTAAGGAATTTGTTGAGATGGATAAAGAATTTTTTAATCATTATAATTCTTTGGATAAGAATATTTCTCCGAATATTCAAGATAACAGTTATCGTTTACCAAGTTTACCTCTATGGAGAGCAAGACAAGTAATGACCAGACCCGATTTGATTAGGGATTATGATGCTTTGAATATATTCACCATCGATAAAGATGCAAGAGTTAGACCAGATTCAATTCCAATGTTGAGAGCATTTCATGAAATATACAATCAATCAGGTTTCTTAAATCTTTTAAATGAAAATTGTGAAAGAGTTTCAGCCATTGAATCATTAGGTAGAACAAGAGAATTAGTTGCCAAGGATCTAATTCTAGGTGCGAATTACAAAATAGATGATAACAAAAGAATTTTCATTGAGAACTACAATAGTGAAGATGATATTGAAAATATTCCAATGCAAAGTATAGGAAGTGGTAGTTATAAGGAATATTGGAAACTGCGATAAGTCATTATGAATATTTTTTTTCTAAAATTTTTTTACTTCTCTCTTGGTTTCTTCTTTGAAGTTTTCTTTTAGAGAATTTTTGGATGAATTGATGACATTGTTACTACATATGTTTGGATCATACAGAACTAACCTTGCAACAATGTCTTTCCTGCTTTTGATCATTTCACTTTATTGACTAAATTGCTTTTCCTAAAAACTTTCAGCTTTTTTTGTGTCACGTTTTGGGTTTAAAAATCATCGAATCTGATAAAATGCATAAGAGAGTTTTTTTTCTTTGAACTGAATTTTTATCTGTTAGTCGGAAATTTCAGTTGGGGTAAACAGAAATACTTTTTACCAAAATCCAAATTTAATTCAAAAATCAAATTCGCTCTTAAAAAGCACTCTCGGCTCATTTCTAATAGTGTAATGATCTACTTACTTTGTCATTGATCTTTGCTTTTAATGGGATTTTTTTTTCGGTAAAAGTATCTTTTATTAAATAATATTCATTAATTATATACTTTAAACACATAACTTAGCAAAGTTGCGATACCAAAGAAAGCACATATAGCCGTAGGTCCAAATTTATCATAATAATCAACAGCCCTTTTTTTTCTAATATTTTTCACTCTCCAAACAAAGATGTAAGATGAGTAAATGATCACAAAAATTGCACATAAAAAAAACCCAATTGAGGCAGTAATTGCACTAATATTAGAGCTATATGTCAACAATGAAGTTGCAATTCCTCCGAGAATCATCAGAATTGATAACCACGTTAGGTAGGTTCTCTCAGTAGCAAAATATACTTTTGGTTCAACTCTGACAGGCACACAAATTTCTTTACCTGGAGGAGCAACAAATTTAGTTTCAAATACTGTACCCAAGGGAACATTAAAAACCCTATCGTCGTTGAAATAATGATAAAGAAAATCAGTCAACTTTCTAGCAAAATTTTTAGAGTCATTGGTCTGTATTTCATTAGAAGAACCCAATAAGGGAGTATTTTCATTATGTTCTAATGACAAATCATTCCTTCTATTCGTTGAAAAATTATTTGATTGAATAGAATTATATGCACCCTCCTGTCCAATGTTATGACCCATTAACTCTTCTTCATCCAACGAGTTGCCAACGTTATTAATAGTGTTTATATTTGAGCCAGGAATACGGTTACTTATAGGTGTAGTGTAATTAGTAGCGTTAACCTGATAGCCATCTTCATTATTGTTTGACCTAGAAATTTCAACTGATTTACTTGCATTATTAATTTTAGGTTTTCTGATATCGACATCCATTTGTGGTAACCAAAAAGGAATTAAACTGACATTCTCTGGGAGCAAAGATGCAACACCATGAATAAATTTTGAAAATTTGGGAACTGCTTCTACTAAATGGCTAGCAACCAAATCTCTAACCCATTGAGGGGGCTCTTGACCGAGCTGTGTTTGTAATTTAACTTCAAGAACAGCATAAGGAAATCTAACAATGTCCTTCTCTGGTAATTGATTAAAAGGCCAGTCAACACCAATATCCATTCTTCTCCAATTTCCTTTTGTTCTGTTTAACCCATCAAAATTATCTTCTCTAATCATTGATAATTCTGTGTCTAGAGAAATCCTAACTCTCGCATCACCAGGAAGCTGAAATGCTGTTCTGTTATAAAAACTTCTGACTACAGGTCTTAAATTACTTTTTAAAATTGTATATTGAATCTCAGTTGCTAAAGCTTCCAAATTTTCAATTTCTTTAATGGATTTTTTTTTATCTTTCCTCATTTTGTCAAATACTTGATGGACAGTATACTTGCCTTTAATAAAATCATTAATATGCTTTTCCTTTAATGGGAATCTTGCTTTAACTGATTTTTCTCCAGTCCAATCCTCTCTATGTGTTTTTCGTTCAACAAAAATGGTATCAGAATCCATGGAACCATACCAACGTAATCTGTGTGCTTCCGCACCTTCATCTTTTCTTAATCTACCATAATATAAATCTAAATTTTTATTATCGAAATAAACAGATGTTATAGCAGAATCTTCTTTTTCAAAATCCTTATTTGAGTTAAAAACCAAAACAGGTAAATGTTTTAAAATAATTAGTTTCAACTCAGTTATGTTGTCAGGATGAACCCAGTACTTTGTAGTTTGCCTTACAAAATTTTGCTGAGAACCGCCTGCAGATGAATCACCTTTAACTGGATTACCTCTAGTTCTTACCAAGTCATACAATTCAGATAATTTGACAACTAAAATATCGTAATTATCTTTAAAAAATGGCTTGGAATTTAATCTGACCTGAAATATTGGTTTAAGGATGAATTTAAGATCATTTTCAGATAGATTTCTACTGGTAACTTTGTCATGCTTTTTGATTATTTTTTGAAAGCCTGTGTAATTCAATCTTGTAAATTTGGCTAGGTCATGAACATCGGCAATGATGTCTGATAATTCTTCTTCGCAGTCCTCAAAATCTTGTTCAGTTGCATTATTTAAATCATTCACTAGATTATTGACAACCGTTCCAGCGTCTTTCATTCTTCTAAGAATTTCGCCATTTTTTAATTTTGTAAAATTATAAACTTTGTCTAACTCTGACTCTAGAGAGGTTAAGAATTTCTCTTCCAATTCGTTGGACCATGAATCGTTGTTATTTACTAGACCCTTTTTCAATTGGTGTTTCAAGTCATCGTAGGAAATATAATAAAAACTATAATCTCTAATCAATGAACTTCTGAGATGTTCTCCAAACTTCATTTTCAATAGTTGGACAGCAATAAGGTAGCCTTGATAAAAGATAGTAAAAACCAAAGGCTAATGAAAAAATAGCTTCGAAGCTGCCAAAATCAAGAACAGTTGCGATGCAGCAAATGGGAAATTACTTGCTATTTATTATTTGGGGTTTTGTCTGGGAAGCAGCAGCTTCGAAAATGGACGCTACCCACGTGGAAGACGGCAAAAGCTAAAAAAGCAGCATTTCTGCTGCTTTTGGCCGAAATCACCTGAACCAAAATAATGTTGTTTCATCGAAAGTTTCGCATCTGCAATGAACCACATGAAGGGACTCAGCGTTGGATTTTCACACCTCAATTTATCCGGGGCAGTCCTGGACCTGAGATGTGTCTGGCACGTGTAGAGGTACCATACTGATAGAATCTTCCAGCCTGCAGTCCGTGCCTGAACCAGCCACAGCATAAAGCAGACAGCGTGCCACTACGCGGTCAATAAATAAGAAATTTCTAACACTAATTTTATTATAGTCTATTGCTCTTTGGTCAAAATGAGAGCATCCAAAAAACGCCAGCACAGTTTATATAATCGAAATTGATAGTCCAAACAGATATAAAAAATATAAAAGTACGATTATTTATTGTTATTTCCACAAACTTAGACTGTTTGTTGTAAGATTTTTAAAGTATTCCTCACCAATCACATTTGGAAGTTTTAGGGTGGCTCAGACCAATATTATATATATTGATTGCTATTAAAAACTTGATATCTTCTACCTCGACTTTTGGCTTCAGAAACCTCTCTAAATTGAAATGCTAAATTAGCTTGAGCTCTCAATATATCTAAATATTGTTTTGATTCCATCATGATCGTCTTATAGTTGAATTTTAAAGTGGATAGTTCTTTATCTAAAAACTGGAAATCTGGTTCAAGTCGATTTAGTTTTTTTCTAGTTTCAAACAAAACCTCTTTTATCTCATAAAAGTTCTTAAAGCTTTCCCAGTTTTTTATTGAGTTTAATTTATTTGTAACTTTCTTAGTGCTCAAATCAAACATTTTTTGTCTGTACTCTATTTTTCTAAGTTTATATATATCCAAAATTTTATTGTTATCTTCAGAATAGTTCGATAGCTTCTTTTCAATTTTTTCTTCCATTAAAAATCCTGGATTATAACTCAAAACTTCAATAAACCTTTGATCCCATTCATTAGTTAAAACAGCAGCTAATTCTTCGAATATCTGAATTGTCTTAAATTTCGCGTTGTTAAATTGAGTAATAATATCTCCAAGGTATTTTTCAGAAATCATTTGATTGGTATTGTTAATTTTTTGCTCCACCCCATTTCTTGCTTTACTAAATTTTTCTCTTACTTGTTCTCTTGTGACTTTCTGAATTATTTTTCCATCTTGATTAAAGGTCAAATTACTATATTTGCCAAATTTAGATTTCAATCTTTTAAAGCTGTTTGATTCGGAAATATCTTTACCAATCAACACCTTACTTAATATATGTTGAGATCTTGGAAGTTCTGGTTCTAAAATTGCCTCTTGATGCAAAGATTTGTTAAATCCAATATCCTCCATATAATTTAACATTTCAATGATTTTTAAATCTTCATTCATCCAAGAAAAAACACTTTCATAAAACTCGATCGGCATGTTGGATACATTCATTTCAACTCTCTCTTTATTCATTTTAGTATCGACAAATCTGTTTTCATCACCCATTTTCTTATAATCATTTTGTTTTTCAATTCCATCTTCAGTTGTCTCAATCTCGCAAAAGTCACTATCATCATGAAAATCATTCGGCAATGGACACATAAAATTCAAAACCTGGTGTTTTTGCTGCTGCAATGTTGGAAAGTCAAGTTTTGTTTCCAGATTAACAGTTGTAATCTTATTTTTAATGCTGTCATAAAAATCATCTAAATTAATATCCAATTTTTCATTATTTTTCAAATACAATATGGTGGAGTTAATGTTATAAATTAAATAATTAATTTCTCTATAACAAGAATTGACAAAATAATTTAAATCTCGAAGTTCATTTTGTAATTTCGGTTTTAAAATGTTTTCCAAAAATTGAATTTGATAACTATTAACTTCATTATTAAAATCCTCCAATACAACTTCACAAGTTTCAGCGACAACTGTCTTCCAATGAGAAACTTCTTGCGATAATTTGGAAGCAGGATTAATAGTAAGAGTCAAAGAATCAATAGAAGATTGAGAAATTAATGACAGATCTGAATTAATTGTTTGATAAGAATTGCTATTAATTGAGGTTGGTATCGAAGAGATTTGTTCATCATCTGAAATTGTCGAGTAAATCGTTTTCCTAATTGTTGAAGTAATAACATCAGTATAGTCATCATAACTAACATCATGGATGTTAATATAATGACTATCATTACTAGTATCAGTATCAGATTCATTATCCGACTCAGGATCAGATGAATATATTGAAAAGGAATCATTTGCAACAAATACTGTAATATCAGGCTGATATCTTGATTGGAAAATATTCTGATAATCAAGAAATTGATGATAGTAATTTTGAAACCTTGAAGTGTTATACTGAAAACTAATTTGCATCAACTTATAAACCTGGAAAAAAGAAAAAATAATAAACTGATAAAACTGGGAAACCACTGGCAGCAAATAGGGATGGATGATCAAATAGTAATTTTTCATATAATCATAAATTGAATCTAGCTTAGTGTAGTAATAAAAATAAACTAATCTTGGATATATGTAAGCATTGAAATTACTTCTAAAGTGATAGGTTAAAAATTGGAAAACAATTAAAAAATATTTATGTAAAACATTTTTTAAAAACTTTAAATCTTTGATGAGCTTTGGAAGAATGAAATTTTGACAAAGATTCTTACACAATATGGTGTAGTTTCTTATAAAAGGCAAAAATGTTGTATAAATAAATTCCTGAATAAAATCAAAAGACTTTAAAATAAATTTCACTGAGTTTGTTTTCAATATAATACAATAGGGTTTTATCGAATGAAATAACTTAACTGATTTAGATGTTATAAAATCCAAACAAGGTTGAATTCTATCAGAAATCTGTTTCTGTTTGACCAATAATTTTTGTAGATTTTGTTTTTTAATTGGACTTAAACAATAGTTGTTTATAAAGTTCATTGATTTGGTTATTGATTTAGAATTTCCCAATTTTGACAGAAATTCATCCAAATAACTATTTATATTTTCATAACTGTAGTGTAATGATTTACAAGTTAAATCATTTGTTGAAAAAGAAGAGGAAGCAGGTGAAAATGAGTAGTTCAAAGGACATTTGTAAATGCATAGATAGAATAGGTAAATGATATATATGTTTATAAGAATAAATTTTAGTTTTGATAGTATTCTTGAAGACATGATATCAATGTTTCAGTAGAGGGCAAAAATAGCTACAAAAGGAACAAAAGCTTCATTCTTAATATCAGCGCATCAAGTTACCCGCACATTAATTTATTATATCTATTTTCCAAATACAAAAAAAAAAGACTTCTAGAGTGGTGGATAAAAAACAGGAAACCAAAAATTAAAAAGCATTTAAGAAATGAGGTACTGGGCTGTGAGCACCAGCTTGAAAGAGCAGATGTCCTATTGAAAAATGTATGCAATTAGGTTTTCAAACCGATGGTCAATTCCTCTCATCTTCATCGTCATCAGGCTCAAAATGTTTAAAAGGCACCACCTCGTTGTGATAGTGTTTTTTCCTCATTTCTTCAAATCTCTTGCGCTTTGCTTGTTCTGGAGTTAGTCCAGCGTATGGGTCGGTATCACTGTCGCATCTGATCAATGTGCCACCATTCAATGACTCCATTTTAATAGGATTAGAATCGACCTCAGGTTCACCTAACGAAAAGTTAGATATATCATCAACGGTTGCTTCATTTTCACTAAAAACGCCATCATCAGTGATGCTATCAGTTTCATTGTCAGTTCGATAATAATCATTACTTGGGTCCACAGCACCTTGGTATGGTGTCTTTGGTTCATCGATTTTGGTAAATGTCATTGACGCTTTGATTTTATCATTTTCTTCTAAGTTTTTTTGATTGAATTGTACTTTTTCCAAACTATCGTCGTCTTGCAATGCTTTTTGCTTTTTCAATAAAATCTGCTTACGGATTTTATTACCTTCACTCTGCTTATCGTTTAGCAGTGCATTTTTTTTGGTGTTTTCTAACACTATTTGCCTGTTGTAATTAGATAATATGTTTTCCTTGTACAAATCTGGAGCATTTCTCAAAATACTCCTTGGTTGTTTCTCTGACATGCTTGTGTGTTGAAGATTGACTCGTCTGTTGAGTGTTTAACAGGACGAGCAGTGGGTTGCTTTTCAATCGACAATATAAAAGATCAACGCTTCCGTCCGGGTAACAGCCTGCTGTCGATATTCATACAACTGTAGTTTTATGGGTGTATGATTTTCAGGTCTCACTGTTTTTTTCTGTCTTCAACTTAAACCGCCACCAGCAAATAATCTGTTTACTCTAAAGCAGGATTTTGTATCACTATATCCAATTGTCTTCTTCTAGAAACTATTCATCATGGTATGTTGTCGGGCTCATCATTTTGAGTCTTGTTTTTATTGTTCCTTAAGAAATACACTGATTGGTTGACATATTGATTTTAATGTGAATCACAAGGCTAACTAAAATTGACTGATGTCGGCTTGTAATTTACAATAGTTTAGAAATAATTATGATAGTGACACTGTCACATTTTCACCAACAGGGCGTTTGTTCCAGGTCGAATATGCCCTAGAGGCCATTAAACAAGGTAGTGCATCAATTGGTTTAAGATCAGACACCCATGCTGTTTTGGTTGCTCTAAAGCGAAATGCTGAAGATTTAGGTTCATATCATAAGAAAATTATAAAAATTGATAACCATATTGCTATAGCCTTATCTGGATTGGCCCCTGATGCAAGGGTTTTATCAAATTATTTAAGAAATAAGGCAATGGAAGAAAAATTGGTGTATAATAGACCAATACCAATCCAGTTGGCTGTGAATTTATTGGCTGACAAAGCTCAACAAAATACTCAGAGCTATGGCTCAAGACCATACGGTGTCGGGTTGTTGGTTGTTGGATATGACGGTTCTGGTCCTCATTTGTTTGAATTTCAACCAAGCGGCCAGGTTTTAGAATTTTATGCAAATGCAATTGGAGCCAGATCTCAAGGTGCTAGAACTTATTTGGAGAGAAACTTTTCTAGTTTCAAATCTACTACGGAAAGAGAATTGATTGCAAAAGGGGTTGAAGCTTTGAGACAAACCCTAAAAGACACTGAGTTGACATCGTCAAACACAAGTATCGCAATTGTTGGGAAGTCTGGTTTGAAAATCTTTGAAAACGAAGATGTTGAGCCCTTCTTAAAACAAGAAACTGCTCTGGATCTGGCTGGCATCGATGAAAATAGCAATTCAACTGATATTGAAGAAAGAAATCCTGTTGAACAAACACAAGTAAATGATACAAACGTTGAAACGATGGATACTGATTAATATACAAATTGGTAAAAGAAATATAAGCATTGATTGTCTTGACTATGATTTCGAAACTATTGTCTGTTTGAATTCTTTGGTTTTTCGCGGATTGAAGTGTTTTATATATATTGTATCCCAGTATCTCAAGCAAAATAACAAATTTGTGCATTTAAACAGATAGTGTCTTTTGTCCATTCTGGAAGTACAGCTTAATATTCAACCGTGGAACCGCTGTAGAAGCACGTGCGATTTGAGTTGACGAAGTAAGTAACTAAATCTGGTTTCAGTGATGCTGTTTCTACCGCCATCATCAATCAATCATCACCACAAATATTGCTATGGCCAAAGTCAATCCATTAACAAAAATAATCAGTTTATCTTCTATTCTTGCTGTGGGCTTTCTTTTTATTGTGTTAGCAGGAGCCATCTTTGGAAACTGGCTACCTATCATAATAGGCGCTATATTTGCCCTTTCACACATCCCATTGATTGTTTGCAAGTCGTTGAATAGCAATGGCTACATTGACGATTTAAGTGAATCCTCCACATATATTATTGATTTCGGTAGATGGTTGTCAAGTTTTTTATTAATAAGTGGCTTTGCTTTGTCAATATTATTAAGCCATTGTCATATCATTACCTTTTCATCCATGGTACTAACAATAATAGGTGGTTTGTTGATATACGGAACTGTGGTTTACTTTACTTCTTTTTTTGATTCTAATCAGAGCGATGAATTTGAAATTTAAGTGTGGAAGTTGAAAAAAAACTTTATTCAAAGAGGCTTTTTGTAATTGGGTATTTTATGAGGAACAAGAGAAATATTTCAATTTTTCTTTCTTGGTTTTTTTTGCAACAATAGTTATTTTTTTTTTGACTTTATATATTTATATAAAGACTTTCTTTTAAGGCAATGTAAGAAATAGTCCAACACAAACACTCAATAGTTTTGGTAACAACACATACAAACCCTCTAAAAAAGTGATCCTAAAAATCAAAAGTTCTAAAATCAAACTGAGAGTTTATAGCGCTGCGATTAAAAAAAACAATTTGGACTGCTGCCAACATTTGCGTTTCTCAAAGAGCTTTCCCCAGAAAGCCATGTGAAACTGTCTTGAAAAACAGATAAACGTTTTTGAGTAAAGTGCAAGCGTGTTTCCATGGCTCTTTCCACGCTGTTAAAAGACTCTTTGTGTTGCTCATACCATCAAGAGCCTAGCTTGAGCACATTGCCATTTCTTGCTTTTAATACTTCTATTGTCCGATGGATTTAAATAGGCATTTTCCTAACTCTCTGATTTTTTTTCTACCAAAATTCGATTTGTTTCGTCGAAAGTGTGTCAAATATGGAATCACAACTTTTGATTTGTTACTTCAAAGCTCATCCAAAATTAATAAACACACTAATTTGGCCATTGAAATAGAGTATCTAAACAGAATTAAATATATTTTATCTCATGAAATTAAAAAAGAGAAAAAAAAACATCCACAAACTGTTACTGTGTTTGATTTAGCATTTAACACTCTGCCTCCTTCATTTCCAACATATTTTTCTACTGGGGACAAAAAAATAGACAGCTTATTAGGAGGAGGTTTGAGACTAGGTTATGTTCATGAGTTGTATGGAGAAGCAGGGAGTGGTAAATCCAATTTTCTATTTCAAATTGCAATTTATTGTCAACTTTACCGCAAATATGGTGGATTATCTGAAAACAATAACCCAAACTTGATGAAATGTTTATACGTCTCAACTGAACCGATAACCACAATGACAAGCAGATTAATTCAAATTCGCAACCAATTAGCAAGAGAATATCTATATTTAAGAGCACTTGAACTGCCAGATTTAAAAAATATTTATATTTATGAATTAAAAACTGTTTCGCGTCAAATTAGGTTTATAACAGTGGAATTAGAAGAACTTATTAAAAATAATAAATTAATAAAAGTTATAATTATTGATAGTATTTGCAATAACATGAGAACTTATTTTCAGTATCAAAAAACGTTTAGACTTTTTTTAAAAAGAACTTTTTTATTTTGGCTAATGATGAAAACTATAAAGCAAATTGCTACAAAATATAATGTTTGTATTATTTTTTCCAATCAAGTGTCTGATTATTTTCCAAAAAATTATTCAAAGAATTTTCTTTCAAATTTGTCAGCATCAGGAGCATATCAATTAGGTTGGAAACATGGATGGGATGATCTAACTTGTTGTTACAGTCAAATAATGAATTCTAAGAACAATAATTTAAATCGTATTTTTCAATCCATTAATAATCAAAATTACTTTGAAAAAAATGATAAATTGTTGTTATATCTTTATACTGGATATTGGAGAAGATTGCGTTTTAAAAAAAGAACAATAAATGTGTATAGAAAGAGAAATTTACCTCTTTATTCAGATAGTTCCGAAATCAAGTTGAGGAAAATAAATAATCTCAAGTTAAGAAAGGTAATTGATAATAAGATTCCTGCATTAGATCGGCGCTTAGATCGATATATTGACATTAAAATAAGATTAACGATATCTCAAAATTGTATTTCGGTTAATGATAAAAGAAAAGGGATCCAATCGCAAATAATAAATGAAAAAATATTGTTTTTAAATGAGAGCGATAATAAGCAAAAGTATATGCTATTCGGTAAAAAATATGATGAAAATGATTTGGAGCAAAATCATCTTGGATTTTACAACTTAAATAAAGCTAGAGAAAACATGGATTTAGGATTAAGACCACGCAAACATCGATTTATTCGTATCGTTAGAAGTCCATTTGTTAGCTCATCAAAAGAAATAGAATGGGATATATCAAGAAGATGCAATGCATTATGAAATATTACAAAAAATATTATAAAAAATACTATAAAAAATATTACAAAAAATATTATATATGATGTTATTAGGTAGAAAATATAACCAATAGTTATAGTGAAGCTATGAGATAGTAAGCCATGTTTGAGATTATAGATTATTTGAAAATATTTATAAAAATATGATTTTTTTTCATTTTTTTCATTTTTTGTTTTCATTTTGAGCGACATATGTAATTGAAAACTATAAGTTTGGGAAAAATTTGACTAAGTGCTCGTTGACAATGAATTTGTTTTTGTGATTATCAAATTTAGAAAAAAACAAACCTATTAAAGGATGATGAATAAATTTATTTAGAATTTTTCTGGGTATTCTTTGATTATGCCTAAATATATAGTTGGCCTCATTAGCAATATAATGAACTTCATCAGGTTCATACTGATCATCTTTGAACTTATTTATTAGCAAGCTATCTTCATTATAAATTGTTATAAAATCATCTGAATTTGTTAAAACGTTATAAAAAAAAGTACTTCTAGAACAGTTAAAACGTTTGTTGTCAAAATGTTTCCAGCCAATGATTAAGCAATAGGTACCTAAACGTTTATGATATATTAGATCACCGACCTGATATAAGGGCTGGATATCAATATTAGCATACAAACGATCGTTTAAAGTTAAAGATAAATTGAATTTTTTATAGTAAGATTCAATTGAGGCGTTATTTGAGTGGATTTGAGATTTGAAATTTTCCAAGTAAATCAAATTTTGAAAATTATTGTAAATTGAGGAAGGCCATAAGCGGTTTAAAAAAAAAAGAATGAAATCGATTGAATGGTCCAGATTTAAATGATTTTGGAAGATTCGTAGATGATTTTTTATTTGAAAGGAAGATAGATTTGATAAAGATAGGTTATAATAAGCTTTAATATATTCGTAATCTTTAGGAGTGAAGGAGGGATATCTGTAGTTTGTATCGTTTTCAAGATCAGTATTGGGGTTGAGGGTATTATTCAGAATAAAAGTTGATTGATTGGAAATTGATGAGTTATAAGACTGGTTGAAAAAGGAAAATAAAAGATCAGTATGAGTTAAGGGCTTTAAATAAGAGAGATTTAATAGATTGATTAAATTTGAGTCAGAAATATCATTGGTGTTGGAAAAAAGATCTGAGTTGAAGTTAGTTGTGTGAAAGGGTTGAGAGCGAAAGATTCTAAAGGATTGATTTGATTTAATGTCGAATAAGATTTGGTTTAAATTGAAGATGGAAATGTGATTATTTTGAATTAAGAAATAGGAGTAGTTGTGAATTGGGTCATAAATTGGGTCGTAGACCAATAATAAAAAAGAGGAGACGATAGTTTTGTAGCCTAATAATGAAGCCAAGTTTGATATAATGGAGTTTAAAGATATGTGATTTCCTGAGGATAAGCCAGAATAGATATTCAATATGAAGAAATCATTATAGGAAGGGGAGTTGTAGATGAATTTTTGATTTGATTTTCGGTTAATGTTGATAAAATGGAAAAAGATTTTAATTAAAGAATAGATTGCGTGAGTGTTGTGATTAAAGTTGTGGGAGGATTTAAGATTTAAAAATTTTTTGATTGTTTTGTTGATGACGGAGGATCTGTTGGAGGATAGGAGATCAAAGTTAGGATGGAAATGATTTAGGAGAAATAGTAGAGATTCCAAATTTGAAAGGGAGGGGGGAGGAGAAGTAGTAGCTAAGATGGAGTGTATTGAATTGAAAGCAACCATTGATCTTTGAGACAATAATAGTTTATTGGAATGATAGTAGATTGGTAGGTTGTTTTGCAAGGAGATTTTAGTATAATGGAGGAGGGAGGTGTTTTTATTTAGGTTGACCAAAAGAGGTAGGGAGTTTGAATTGAAGATGGAAATGAAGTTCCAGTAGTTGTTGACCAAAGAATCAGAGGAAGAAAGAGAAGAGGGATTAGAACTGAAGCAGCAAATCTTTGTTGATAGATAGTCTAACATTGTGAGATCAAGGTTGAGACGATAAAGGAAAAAGTAATAGGAGGAGTTGTTGGGAGGAATGAAAGGGTGCAGAGAGGCAAAGGCAGCAATGTCATGGTGGAAGAGGGCAATCAAGTCTGGAGAGGAAGCAGAGGTGTAGGAGTACCAGTTGTGGAAGATAAAGGAGTTCCAGAAGACATTGGAGGTGAGGAGAGAGTGCAAGCGTGAGTTTGTCTGGATCAAGAGGCAGAGGTCTCTGGAGTCCAAGAAACGCGAGACAGAGAGCCAGACGTCGAGGGGGAGAGAGTCCAAGGTGAGAGTGGGCATGGGGGAGAGGCAGAGGAAGCACAGGCAGAGGCAGCACGAGAAGCACAGGCACGAGAAGCACAAAGGGACGAAGGGAAGAAGCGTCTTATCTGGCGCTATCGCCTGGGCGCCGCGTTGCTTCTGCGCTGTTTCTGCGCCGACGCCCCGTTGCGTGCTATCAGCGCACGTGACCGGTGGCACTGGGTTGCTCTTCGTGGGCTCTTCTGCTTCTTCTGCTGCTTCTTCTGCTGCTTCTTCTGCTGCTTGTGCTTCCTGCTGTTCTTGTCTTCTTTGCTGTTTCTGCTGCTTCTGCTGTTTCTGCCTGTTGTGCTTTTGTCTGTTCTCCTGCACTCGTCCTGCCGTTTTGTTTGCCATCTGCCTGTCTTTTGTTCCCAGCTGCCTTTGTACCCTGCTGCTTCTGCTGCCTCTGCTCCTCTTGATCTTCTGTTTTCTCTATTTGCCATGCAGAATCGGACTCAGTCTGCTCTCACCTCCAGCACACACACCTCAGTGCCTCATCCCAACGTCTCCTATCTGCTTGATTCCTCCTCCAATGATCTAGAGGCCACCCCAAACCACAACTTGCCCTTCAATTCAAGTCAACCTTTTCTCTCCCTACTGCCTCTACATACTCAACTGCAAAACCAAAACCAAAACCAAAATCACACTTCTTCTTTTAATAACAATCCATCCTACTCCTCAAACAACGCTTTTAACCATAGTTTCATTTCTGCAAATTTAAATTTTAACCTGAGTAATCCTTCTCATGTCCTAGATAAAAAACCCCAACTTCACCATATTTCACACACTCATTCTTCTCAACCATTTAATTCTCATTCCTTTGATTCACAATCAAATTCTAAAAACACTTCAAAAAATCTATCCCATGTTCCTTGCAAATTTTTTAAACAAGGCAACTGTCAGGCTGGCCTTTCTTGTCCCTTTTCCCACAATCTAGATTCAAATTTAGAATCTAAACCTTGTGCTTATTTTCAAAAAGGCAACTGCAAATTCGGTTCAAAATGTGCTTTGGCTCATATTTTACCTGATGGCAGAAGAGTAAACCAAAAAAATCTATCCGCCTTTCAAAATGCAAACATAAAATTAATTAATTCTCAGCCCTCTCAAACATCTCAAACATCTCCAACCTCTCCCATTTCTCAGCTCACAGCTAACTTATCCAATACAAGAAATCTCAATTATCCCATTTCCGATCAAAATGTATCTTCATTCACAAACTCTTTCTCCAATTCAATTCCAAATTCTCTTTCCGATTCTTCTCCCAATTCTTTTTCAAATTCCTTTTTAAACTCATCTTCTCTTCCAAATTTGATCATGTTCAACCACTCTTCCACTGATCAATATTCAAACAATTTTAATCCTCCCCAATCTACTTATCAATCTTCAACCTCAACCTCAAACCCAAACCCAAACCCAAACTCAAACTCAAATTCAAATTCAAATTCAAATTCAAACTCAATATGGTTAAATAACAATAACAACTTTAATAACCATATTACTAATCATATCAATAACAACATTAACTCTAATAATATTAACACGTCTTCTAATAACGATTTGAATCGCAACAACTCGATCAATAATGATCCAAATAATAACATCTTCAATCTCAATTTCAATCTTTCAAATCTTAATCACTTTAATATTGACTCATATCTAAATACTTCCTCTAGTAATTTCAATTCCCCATCAAATAACAGTCTAAACTATAACTCGAATTTAAACCAAATCCTTTTTCAAAATGATAATCTTGATTCTGTTTTAATTCAAGAAATCTTCCCCCATAATGATTCGGCTTTAATTGATGATGAAGATGAATACGATATCACTAATTGCGGCGAGGATTATATTCCTTCCAGCTTATCAGATCTATTAACTGCTTCTGAGCTAGAATCAAAGGCTAAACGTTCAAGGCCTGCTTCATCCTCTCTACTACAAACCTATAATTCCCATAATAGGTACTCTACCTCCAATACTTCCACAAATTCTGAAATAAGCTCATCTGCTGATAGCTTTATGGCAAAATCAAATATCACTTTAAAAGTTGATTATGGTCCAATTAATGATCAATTTTTTAAAAAATTTAATACTCTAACTTTAAATGATAATAACAACCCCGATAATAATAATAATAATAATAATAATAATAATAATAATAATAATAATAATAATAATAATAATAATAATAATAATAATAATAATAATAATAATAATAATAATAATAGTGCTAGTGCTAATGCTAATGCTAATGCTAATGCTAATGCTCTAAATACTTTCTCTAATATTTCAGTAGTATCCTCAAATAATACCCCAAATCATCACTCACTAGATCTCCCAGATACTTTTCCATCTATTGAAATTAATCATAATAAAAGATAAATTTGTTCTCGCAAGATTGTTACTAGATATTCTTTCATATGTTTACAAACTTGATTAATTGTTGTTTTTTTTCTCTCTCTCTTTTTTCAACTGATTCGTTCATATCCCGTTTCTTAAAAAATTTTAATTGTGCTGGTTTCCTCAAATATATAAAATGAAAAGTTTCTTTTGTACTTATTCTATATAAATTTTTTTTCAGTTGTTTTGGTCTTTGTTTTTGGTTGGAATTTCAAGTTTTTTGGGCTATGGTTTTTTTTATTTTTATTAATAGTGATACCTACTTTTTATCTAATATTTTCTGTTTCTAGATATTTTTGTTTTTATATTTTGTGTTTTCTTTTATCAACTGATTTTATTTCCATTTCGACAGTATGAATATTTAATTATATTTATAATTAAAAATAAGAATAGTATTGCCCTATTATAGATGAAATAAAATGTAAATAATGGATTGAGACACAGGTTTACTTTTATGACACCAGAAGCAAAATATCGGTTACTTTATGTAATTTATATTTTATAAAAATTGAATTTATTTCATATTTCACACTACATAAAATAAAATACAGGGTTTCCATCTTTATTAATAAAATAAAGAAACTGTTTTTCAACAATTGACAAACTTTGGTCATTTTTTGATATGACATCGACAACTGGTCTAGAACCATTAACTACCGATAATTTGCCAGTAATATCACTTGCAGCTCCAGTTTTTAATGGAGTTATATGAAGGTTGAAATTAGAAATATAATGTAATCTCGAAATGTAATCAGTGATTTTATACTCAAGAGAATTATCATTATTTAAAGAATTACTAAAATCAGCCAATTTAGGAGAAAGGTTTGATACATGAAATAGAAGTTTGCATTTGGTCAATTTTATTGCTGTGAGAATTAAATTGAATAAAGTAAGAGATTGTAACATAGTCGAAGATAACAAAATCTCTGGATTATGAATAAAAATAACCATTTTTGAATTAGAACTAAAACGTTCATATTTTGCCAAAATCTGCCTAATAATATAATTCACAAAAAATGTTTTTACTGATAGATCGGTTAAATCATTTATTGAAAGTTTTTTTGTGAATAAATCAGTAAAGCAATCAATAAAATGAAAATGAAATTTTGATCTTGAAGACTTTTTAAAAGAAATATTAACATTTAGTTTTCTCATTGCCGTATCCCAAAAGTTTTTATTCTCAATGAACGAAACAAAAAACACAGATATATGGTCATCATTATCTTTTGCTAAATCAGATAAATTTTTAATTAATAGCCTTACCAACCATGAACTTGAAGAGCCAGGGCAAGATGTAATTGTTGAAAAGGAAGTTGTTGAATCATTTTGTAAAAGTTTGGGAGAAATTACAGTACTATCATCAAAAATATTGAATTGCTGCTTTTCAGCCAGAAAATAAGAGGCCATAACGCGTTTATCTCAAAACAAAAATTATTTCAATCAAAAATAATATAAGCATTTATTGATAAAACTTCAAAACTTCAATTTCTTTAAAATTTAGTTGGAATCAATCCTGTCAGGTGATATAATGTAATAGTATGCGTAAACACTGATGCATACATTCACATGCAATTTTAAGTTTAAGATATAGTACCTTAACACTGGATATAATAACACGTGTGGTTGCTTATGTGCTGTTTTGCGCGCGGACCTTCGTGGGTCGTAACCGTAGGCTTCCTGTATTCCAATTCTCAGGGGCTTACACTCTAAGACCGTAATTTAGGGCTTTTTATGTAAACACGAACAGAACTAGAAATATGTATTGGAAGACTTGATCCCTTTCTTTCGAAATTGATCAAATTACAACGCCTTTTATATAATTCTATATCGGTCTAAAGTAATTCATAATAATAAAAATAAAATATTATAATTGTTGTTGTTTTGCTTCCTCTGCTGTTCTTGCAGCCAATTTTCTGATGTATCGTTTCTCTGGCTGCATTATGGCTTCCGAGCCATCTAGGACTATGTTGTAGCGGTACAAACGGTACACTGACAGATTTCAAATCGGAATAGCACGTGTTCATAAACAATTTCGCAATCAACAATCTTGCGATCAAGATTGTGGCGATATTCGTTTTGCATGTATAAAATCCGTGACACTGGTAACTGATAAGGATATTTTGGGAACGCGGAGCAAGGTCTGAGAATCTGTCTCTGCCACATACTAAAAGTTATTTTTAGGACATAGGAAGCTCAACGTTCGTTTATATGGCACTGGCAGTTCAAGATTGAACGACATTAATTTCTAATATCTACAAATGACAAAACAACAGTTCACCCAAGTAAGAGAAGAAGTTCAAGAAATTCAAGAACTTGAAAACAAATTTTTGAAATCCCACCAACACCCAGTTCCAACACTGCAATGTACATTTCCCATCCATAGTTTAAAGGATTTTTCTAATAATGCGAGCCAAAAAGTGTTTTTTTTTGATATTGATAATTGTTTATATTCATCAAAATTACAAATTCATCAAATGATGCAGAGAGCTATTCAAAACTATATTTCTCAAGAATTAAATTTATCTTCAGACGATGCCATAGGATTAAATCTGAAATACTATCAGGAATATGGGCTAGCCATACAAGGATTAAAAACACTCCATTCCATAGATGCTTTGGAATATAATCGAAAAGTGGATGATGCACTTCCTTTACATGATATTATTAAAAAGGATTTGGTTTTACGAAACATTTTGATCAAGCTAAAAAATAAAAATGTCAAACTTTGGTTATTCACAAATGCTTATAAAAACCACGCACTCAAAGTCATTTCTTTACTAGGAATTGCTGATTTATTTGATGGATTGACTTACTGTGATTATGCTCAAGAAAACTTTCTTTGTAAACCATATAAAATGATGTTTTTAAAGGCAATTAATGATTCTGGTGTGGTTAATTCTCAGGAAAACGCTTATTTTATTGATGATTCACGTTTGAATTGCTTAAAGGCAAAAGAATACAATTTTTTTAAAAAAGTTTTTCATCTAATTGAAGATGAAAGTGAATACAATGATTGTGCAGACAATTGTATATTAATTAAAGATATTCACGATTTAACTACAGTTGTTCCTGAACTATTCGAACAAAAGCATTATACAGAAGAAGAGATGAATTGAATTTTTTTCATTAACCTGTGTTTAATTTAGTCTGTGAAAATTATCAAAACAATTTTCCATTGAATATTATCATCATTCTAAATACAATAATTATTATCAATCCTCTCTTAAAATTATAGTAAACAAAATTTATGACAATTTTTGTTTTCGAGAATAGAGTATATCAGAAAAACGTTTATTATAATTTAAATTAAACTTTAATTTCTTATTATTAAAGCCTTTTACAAATTTATCACTTTTCACTTAAAAACCTTGTCATTAATCATAAAAATCATACAAGAAAATTTCATCTCAGCTGAAGATCAATTATTTTCAAACAATACATATTTTTAGTGATTTATTTTTATCAGCAAATTTAGAACTTCATTGATATCTGTTAATCATTTTTTTCAATGTCTTTTATCTTTTCTATGTTTAATTAATTTCGAAAACTAAAATTAAAAAGTATCTACTCAATCCGTTTTTTGATACTATGAAACAAATGATAATTAGATTTATTTTCAAATACAAATTATTTTGAAAACCAAAAAAAAATTATTTGATTTACTTGTTTTTTTATTTTTATGTTTTCTTTTTAATAGCTATCTTTAATTATCTTTTGCCGAAAAAATAGTTTTCTTTTAAGATCTTTGTGCAAGTTTCATTTTCTGAAATTTTTCCATTCATCTTACTTCTTTATATAGAAAAGTCAAAATTTTCATTTTTTTTATAACTTGATTTAAAGCATTCTAAAAGGTTTTTAACTTGTTTAATAAATAGTTTATTGCTTATTTACTTTTAACAAAATTTCTCGATTACTAGTGCTAGGGCAATAAAAAGACCATTTCTTCGCTTTTCAAAGGAGCAATAAAAGACCACTGTTATGGTATCTTATGCACAGTACATGTAAGATGTAGTAATATATATGCTAGGCAACCCTGCTACACCTATCAAAACCACGATGTGGCTAATATATTTCTTCAAAATACTTTTCTAAAGAATAGAAACAACGAAAATATCGTCATAATGAATGTGTTCATAATACTTACGAAATATTAATAGGTTATCAAAAATATCCTTTTTATCTTATTTTGCAAAAATTCGAATAGTTAGAAAAGTTTTTGTAAGAATAATTGCATTCTCTATTGATAAAACATCAACGTTTACTATTTGTAATTGTTTTTATTTCCTATGTTAAAATATAATAAATTTTAACTTGCTCAAGCCATATTTTAATACTATTATTATAATCATTGATAAAATGAAAATTATTGCCAACCATCATTATAAATTATTAATAGTTTACCAGATACTATGTTTTCAGCTGACTTTTCTGCAAAAGTTATAGAATCATTGATTTATTCCAACGTCTTATAAAAATAAAGAAATCGAAGATAAAAAGTTGCTACATCTTTAGTATTAACCGCTGACAGCGGGGTATAATAAGGTTTCACCTCAGTTATGCATGCAATATGCAAATCAGAACTTGAAGATTGATTGAAAAATTACAACTAAATTGTTGCTGCACTTACCCTGATAGCCTGTTCTGAAATATATTTAGATCGGCGTATTCTGATACCAGCCGATAGGTGTTTTTTTTGCCTTACACAATTTATTAGTTCCAAATTAGTTTTTTTCCAAACTAATTGAGAGAAACAGTTGCTGTATTTAATCTTTCAATTTCAGCGCTCAATGGATTTTGTTAATTTTGAAAATATCAAAAGATATCATCATTTTTTTGCTTATTTTTTAAATTAACAAAAATGGGAATTCGAATCGCTATTGACAGAGGTGGAACTTTCACCGACTGTGTTGGAAATCCAGGAACTGGTGAAATAAAAGATGATGTAATTATCAAGTTATTATCTGTTGATCCTTTGAACTATCCAGATGCTCCCCTTGAAGGAATTCGACGTCTTTTAGAGATATTTTTGAAAAAGAAAATCCCAAGAGGCCAACAGCTAGGCACATCAAAAATTGAATACATAAGGATGGGCACAACAGTAGCAACAAATGCTTTGCTCGAGCGTAGGGGTTCTGAAGGAGAGAGATTGAGATGTGCTTTGGTAACAACTAAAGGTTTCAAAGACTGTTTAATCATTGGTAATCAAACAAGACCCAATATTTTTGATTTAAGTGCAAAAAGGCCTGATGTGCTTTATGAGTCTGTGGTTGAAATTGACGAAAGAGTAACTTTGGAGGACTATTCAGAAGATTCTTTGGGTTTTAAAACAGACATAAACTTACTTAATTCAAATGATTCCAAAAATCTCGTTCAGGGCATCAGTGGAGAGGCTGTTAGAATTCTCAAAAAGCCTGTTGAGCTGGAAGTGAGAAGCACTTTAAAATTATTGTATTCCACTGGAATAAAATCGATTGCAATATGTCTTTTGCATTCTTTCACCTTTTCGGATCATGAGAAGCTTGTGGCAAAAATTGCCAAAGAAATTGGGTTTTCCCATATTTCTACCTCTTCAGAGTTATCGCCAATGATAAAATTTGTTCCAAGAGCCAATTCTTCAGTTGCTGATGCTTATTTAACTCCTGAAATTCAAAAATATCTTAATGGCTTTGAATCAGGTTTATCCAATGGAATAAAATCCTTATCCACTGATTTAAATAATTCTAATTTGAAAGGTGTTTCTTGTGAATTTATGCAATCTGATGGTGGTTTAGCTGATGCAAAACAATTCTCTGGCCTAAGAGCAATTTTATCTGGTCCAGCAGGAGGAGTCGTTGGTTATTCTCAAACATGTTATGATTCAAAGAATAATATTCCTTTGATTGGCTTTGATATGGGCGGTACTAGCACTGATGTAAGTAGATATGGCGATGGAAAATTCGATCATGTTTTTGAAACAGTTACTGCTGGTGTAACTATTCAATCTCCCCAATTAGATATTAATACCGTGGCTGCTGGTGGTGGCTCAAGATTATTCTACAAAAATGGGTTATTTGTTGTAGGTCCTGAATCGGCTGGTTCACATCCTGGTCCAACTTCATATCGGAAGGGTGGTCCTTTAACTATAACTGATGCCAACTTGTTCTTGGGTAGATTGTTGCCGGAATATTTTCCTAGTATATTCGGACCCGATGAAAATCAATCCTTAGACGAAAAATCTGTTAGAACAAAATTCTTCTTATTAACAAAGGAAATAAATAAAGATAATCCTCAAAAACAAATGACTCCTGAGCAGGTTGCCTTTGGTTTTATAACTGTTGCAAATGAAACAATGTCAAGACCAATCCGAGCTCTAACAGAAGCAAAAGGGCATATAGTACAAAATCACCGACTTGTTAGTTTTGGTGGTGCTGGTGGGCAACATGCAGTCGCCATAGCAAAGTCCCTAGGTATCACAGTGGTTCTAGTCCATCGTTACTCCTCAGTTCTATCTGCGTACGGTATGGCATTAGCTGACGTTGTTGAGGAAATTCAAGCTCCTTCTTCTATTGTTTTTAGTGATGATTCAAGAGCTATTATCGAAGAGAAATTCAATGAGCTAAAGACTAAATCAAGAACAAAATTATTAAACCATGGTTTTGCTGAATCAAACATTCGATTTGAGCAGTATCTCAATATAAGGTATAGTGGGACTGATACAGCAATTATGGTACCAAGAGGCTTCAAAGGAGGTGACTGGGACTTTTTAGAATCTTTTAATGAGCTACATAAAAGAGAATTTGGCTTTATATTTGAACATAAAGACATTATTGTTGACGATATTCGAGTTAGGGGAATTGGAAGTAATTCTGCTGTGAGCGACTCCTCAGTTGACGATCAACTTGATCAGTTAAAGAAAAATGATTTGATTAAAGTTGTTTCAAAACATCATATAAAATTTTTGAAGGAAGTTTTCTTTGCAGAAGGAAAAATAATGACACCAATTTATAGACTTGAAGAATTAGAAATTGGAACAAAATTAGTGGGTCCTTGTATTTTAGCTGATGGTACACAAACCAATGTCATTGAACCTGGATGCGAAGCTATACTTTTAAAGGCCCATATTTTCATAAAAGTTGAGAATAAATCTAAAAATGAAATTAATAATATTTATGCAATTGATGAGGAAGTAAAAATAGATCCTATTTTGCTTTCAATATTCGGCCATAGATTTATGGATATTGCTGAGCAGATGGGAACGTCTTTACAAAAAACCTCTGTTTCAACAAACGTCAAGGAAAGATTGGATTTTTCTTGTGCATTATTTGATTCAAATGGAAATTTAGTTGCTAATGCACCTCATTTACCTGTTCATTTAGGTTCGATGTCAAAGTGTGTTTCATCACAAGCCAAGTTGTGGAAGGATAAATTAAGTGAGGGGGATGTTATCGTCTCGAATCATCCTGCAGTTGGTGGTACCCATCTACCTGATATTACCGTTATTACACCAAAGTTTCACAATGAACAAATTATTTTTTATGTGGCTTCTCGAGCACATCATGCTGATATTGGAGGAATTTTGCCAGGTTCCATGCCACCAAATTCCAAACAACTATACGAAGAAGGTGCAGCAATTTATTCTGAATTACTAGTCACAAAAGGAAAATTTGAAGAAGAGAAAATGATTGATCTACTTTTAAAAAAACCTTCTGAATTTCCTGGCTGTTCTGGTACAAGGTGTATCAATGATAATTTATCAGATTTGCGGGCGCAAATTGCAGCTAATCAAAAGGGCATTGAATTAATCCAATTATTGATTTCTGAATTTGGTTTGAAAACAATCATGTCTTATATGGTTGCAATTCAAGAAAATTCCGCTAAAGCAGTTTCAAATATGCTTAAAATAATTTCAAAAAAGTTTCTGGGACATGAAATTTCTGCTGAAGAATACATGGATGACGGCTCGAGAATTTCTCTAAAAGTTGATATTAGCTCAGATAAAACTATCTTTGACTTTTCTGGAACCTCTCAACAAGTATATAATAACATTAATGCTCCAGAAGCTATCACCTATTCTGCAATAATTTATTGTCTTCGTTGTCTTGTGGCTGAGAATATACCCCTAAATCAAGGCTGTTTAAAACCAATTGAGATTATTATTCCTAAGGACTCATTATTGTCTCCATCTGTAGATGCTGCAGTGGTTGGTGGTAATGTTATGACTAGTCAGAGAGTGACAGACGTCGTTTTAAAAGCATTTAATATTATGTCTGGTTCTCAGGGTGACTGCAATAATTTAACTTTTGGCACAGGTGGTAATGATCCAAAAACAGGACTCTATACTCCAGGTTTTGGTTATTATGAAACAATTGCTGGTGGTCATGGGGCAGCATCTTCTTGGGATGGTGTAGATGGTGTACATACTAATATGACAAACACAAGAATTACTGATGCTGAAATTTTTGAACGAAGATACCCAATCATACTCCGCGAATTTTCTTTGAGAAAAGGCTCGGGTGGTCAAGGGAGACGTAAAGGAGGTGATGGTGTAATAAGAGATATTGAATTTAGAATTCCTGTCACTTGTTCTATTTTATCAGAACGAAGAGTTATGGCTCCCTATGCATTAGAGAAAGGTGAACCAGGTGCAAGAGGAATTAACTTGTGGATCAAAACCATTAAAGACAAAGCGGGAAAAACCATTTCAAAGAAAGAAATCAACATTGGGGGGAAAAACACGATAAATGCAGATGTTGGTGATCATATTATAATTTTGACTCCCGGTGGAGGTGGATTTGGCAAAAAGGATGATAGTTTTTCTCAAAATTTTAATAAAAGTAAGAATCTGAAACTAGAGCGCTTTGGAAATGGATCAATGGGTAATCGTTTGCGTATTCAAGAAACAAATTAACAGGTCCAACAATACAACCTTATACTTTCAAAACAAATTTTGTTTTTGCTGGGTGATAGAAGAAATTTCTTTTATTTTTTCATACGTTCTTATTTTCAAGTATAGAAATCAGTTATTTGATGATTTGAATAGAAAAATGAAATTACAGAAAAATAATTTCCTAAAAAACTTATGAAACTTAAACTCTTCTTCCGGCGACTTTTCGAGCTCCGTATGCAACTTTTTTATTCATTAGTTTTTTTTTCTCAATGTTTTTATCAGTTATTTTTATTTTATTGTGTTTTTTGGTGTTTTTTGGTTGATCATTCTTGGTAATATCGTTAATAGGAGATAATTTGTCAGAACTATAAGATGAAAAAATTTTACCGAAAGTATAATTGTAGAAAAAAATTAGTAGTTTTAGAAAGTATGTGTCGAAAATTGATGGTTTTCTCAAATCAGTAGCTTGGACTGGATATAGTAAATCAGCGTTTTCTTTATCAATTAACCAAACGGTTCCATCGATTTTGACCAAAAAATAACTGTTGTTTCTTTGACAAAACACTTTTTTCTGCAAACCATCAGTTGGTGGAGTTCCAGTAGGCCATGCCTGTGATTTGATGTCAGATTGTAAATTTAAGATTCTTTGATAATCACCGTTATATTGAATTTTCAACACAAAATATTGAAAAACGGAAATCAAAATAAATAAGCCAATAATTACAACTAAAAAGCCGGGTTTGAATTTTTCATATAGCCAATTACCATTCCTATAAACAGGAAAACCATTCTTATAAAAAAAATCGTATCTATCTTTGTTTTGTGATCTCAAAATTTGTCCTATGGCTGACAATCTCTGGTATCTTTGAGTTGCTAGTTTTTTTGCATTTTTAAATTGCTTAGTAGATTGGAAATTTTTTTTAATAATTTTGTCAGGATGAATTTTTCTAGAAAGAGCTCTGTAAGCCTTGTTTATTTCATTGAATGTGGAAGATGCCCCTCTGGACAAATTTAACCATGAGTAAAAATTCACATCCTGTCCAAGATCTTTCTTAAGCTCTTGATTTAGGCGAAAAATTTCTTGATCAACTTGGCTTCTCATTGTCGATTGAAAGAGCAGGATTTAGATTGACAGACACCACACAATAAAGAGATAAGTTCAAAGGAAATGTATCACTAACGCTGGAGCTCTGGAAAAAATTACCTGGAATGAAAACTCGAATGTCTTCGGAGTCTACCCTTTCTAAGGTGGGTAACGTGACATCTGGAAAGTGATTCGAGCTCGATGGTCGAAGAAAAAGAAAAGAATAATTTATTGTTTTCGTTTCGTCAAGCGAACGGAACTTGGTCCGACTATTTATAGCAAAACTTATCCGTATCTCGTATACGGATAGGCCATGTACGGATAGGATAAGCAATCCGCACAAAAGCTCGTTTCCCCTTGGAAATAAGCCATACTTGCTACTCTGTAGTCTTACAGTCTGTTCCTTTTAGTCACCTTTTATTATCTTAAATTGCACACTCCTATTACTCGAAAATAGGGATACATAAGAGAGAACTAATCTATATATGCTAGCTGAATTTTAATCACGTCTACCGAATCTCAACAGAATGTGGGATGAGAAAGTTTCATTTCGTAACATGTGCACGTGATATTTACACATGTGTAGCTTTTTGCTTCTGCTGCATTTCAGATAAAGAACATTAAAGAGATGAGCTACAATGGCTTTTTCTTAATTAGTCATAAAGTTGAATATTTACTATAACTTCTTTATCGTCAGGCTCTTTTCTCACTTACTTGTAGTTAAAATTCAATTAGTCAGATATATTTAAAACCAACCCAATTAGAGCTCTGATTAAACTGAGGAAAAACAGATCAAGATAAAGAACAAAAAAATCATAACAAAAGCGTAAAAGAAAGGAATAAAAAGAAATAAAAGAAATAAAAATAAGTAAAATGAATAAACAAAAAAATATCAGTGAAAAGTATTCAAAACCAAAAAAACCCAACCATGTCAATCAAAAAAAAAGAAAAAGTTTTATTATTTTTGAATAGCAGTTTTGAACAAAAAGTGTTTCATCTTTTTTTCTTGTTCTTCAAGTCTCTTTGACAAGTTATTGTTTTCTTCAAGGGATTTCTGGAGCAATCTTTTATTATTAATTTCGTTTGCCTGTAATTCAGAAACTTGTCTTTGGAGCATACAAATTAGTTTATCTCTATCACAAGCAGGAAAGAGACCATGGTTTTGATATATTGCTGTAAATTCTGAATCGGGACTAATGTCAGATTCGGAGTCCAAAAATAAGTCAGATAAATTATTGTTCATTTTGGGGAGAAAATCAACATTGTTATTGAAAGAAGGTTCATTAAAATAAGTTCCAGTGGTTGAAAATTCTGATTTAGTTTTCAAACATTTTTGTCTCTGGATTAATAATTCCTTCAATACAAGTGATTTTTCATCTAGTAGTCGATCATCATCAGAAGTTAATTGGAGATAATTTGTATTGACTTCTCTATTAAATTTTTTTTTGATTGTATTAATGCAGGGAGACCTACCATATGTTGCGATAAAAGCAGTTCTTACGGAGGACCAGCTCTCTCCTTTTTTACTATATGGAGAAGTGAAAATTTTATATTTGAGCATTGCTCGAAAGAGAAAGAGGGTTTTTTCATAATCATCTTCAGTCCAACTCCATTTGGCATCAGTGTCACGGAAATTTTTGGAAGAATTTGTCTTTTCAGAGTCTATCTTTGATTTAAGAGAAGAGATTTTTGTAATTCGATTTCGATTAACGTTGATTGTAGTTTTATTGAGATTCTTTTTTAGAGTTGTAGAATCAGTAGAAAGTATTTTAAATTGATTTTTGGCAGAGGGAATGATAGTGGTGGGCAGGGTAGGTGTTACAGATTGTAGAGATTGTAAAGTGGGATTTGAGGATAAAGGTGGAAGATGAGAATTGGGATTAAAAGAAAGATTATTGTGTATAATTTGTATATGTGAATTGGGGTTTAAAATGCTGTTAGATTCATAAGACAGATTTGAAGGTGATTTATTATAATAATTGTTGAGATCATGGTTAATTATGTTGGGTATGGAAGACAGCAAAGAACCACTGGTATTACTGTTCTGTGGATTCTGGAAACGGCAATTTGCAGATTTCAAAACCGAGTTGTGTGGGTGATATGATGAGTAATAAGGGTTTCCAGGAATATTTAAAGAGGAAATTGAAGGAAGATGCAATGCTGGAGGCCTAGAAATAGCATTGTTAGTAGTGACGACATCCTTGATGTTGGTAGCAAGCTTACTGCTACAGTTGGAAGTGACATTATAAGCATTGTTATTAAAAGTCATGGTTTAAAAAGTGGGAAAATCAAAAAGAAGACAGAGGAGAAGGAGAGAGAAGAAGGGAAAAAAGAAAGAGGAAAAAAAATATGAAGATTGTATGGAGCAGAAATAACGAGTTACAAAGAGAAAAAACAGGAGATTATATATGATAAAAGTACAAGGAAAGAACAATAGAAAAATGAAAAATAAGGAATAATTTATAGAAAACAATCAAACATGAAAGGAGTTCATGGTCTACTCTTTGTGGACTAGCACTTTTCGTTTATAATTTAGGATTTAGAATTCAAACAAGTTAATTAGAACTGGTGCAGAAATAATAGTGTTATGGTGAAATGGTGAAGTGAAATAGTATAAATCGAAAAGGGCAATAATCAGTAAAAAAGAAATCCGAGAGCAGTAAAGTTTGAGCAGAGTTTGAGCAGAGTTTGTATGTATGTCAAATTATCACATGATATCGATGAGAAGCAGCTTTATTTTGTCTGACAAAGCTTTGACAACCTGAGCGGCGCATTGCAGACGGGGTGTTTTGTGCTCCAAACAGTGCGCCAGCAACAGAAAAACAGTGTTTTCGCAGGTGCACTTCTAGAACGCAGAAAAGCTTCGCTCACAAAGCAGATGGGGTGATTTCTTTCGTGGGCACTAGTTCGCAACCTGTTCACCAAGCGCTTTGTAGTGGTGGTTCTTTGTAGTGGTTCTTTCTCCAGCTTCCAAGTGGCAATTTCCGTCTAAAACAGCCAGTCTTTGTTGAGCTTCTGCGGTTGTTTGGTGTCTTGTTGTATTGTTATCTACCTCATGATTATCTACCGTTTTTATGCACCTGCCCCTTTTGTGCCCGCTTCTTGGTCCCGGTGCGTTGTTCACGCTCTTCATGTTGTTTGCGTTGTTTACGTCCCGCACAGAAATAGTGTCACGCTCTTTTCAGCGGTGTGAAACTGTGAATCTTTCAAAGAGCAATATTTCACTTCTTCCTCTGCCAGTACTGCTTTTATCATCGCTTTTGTTCCTGTTTTCCCTGTTTTTCTTTCCTTGTATTGTTTTCCTCTTCAAGCAATTTTCCATGTCTTCCAATAAGAGAAAACCCACTGACAAAAGCAAAACAAGAAAAAAAGTATGTATCTCTTCCATCCAACACCCGCCCATCGCCAAAACCTTGTTTTCCTTTTCCATTGCTAACCACCCATCTTCACTCACAGTACAAATTTGCTTCTTCTTCAATTGATCCAGGCACTATAGGCTGTTATGCTACTTGTCAACGAAACAAAGAACCTGTCTGCAGAAAAGAATTGTTAGATCTTTTTGCTGAAAAATTCCTCCAGTTTTATCCTGCAACAGATGACTCATCTCTTATCATCTCTCCCTCACCCACTGCCGAATCTCTATCGATTGAGGACTCAATCAAAAATGAGTTAAAACTCTTAAATCCCCCAAAAAATACAAATCACAATTCCACTACTGCCACGTCTGTTTCAAATTCAAATTCAAATCTAAATCCAAACCCAAACCCAAACCCAATTTCAACTATTAACCTTGAATGTGATTGCTTGAATTTTTTCAAATTTAAAAAGCCCATAATCCCTACTGAATTTATTGAAAAAATTTGCAATGAACTCTTTCAAAATAATGATTTCAAAAAAACTAAGTACACTTTTAAATTAATCCCAATGGACTATTCTTGCTCTGCATCTTTACCTGAAATCAAAAAATTAATTTCCATTGCTTTGGATCCTGTTTTCAATTCATCTTCGTCTTTATCTCCAATTTCCTATAATTACACAATCCAATTCGAAAAGAGAAATTTTAATTTGTTTTCAAGAGATGATTTAACAAATCTAATCAATGACCATATATCAACCTCGTCATCATTAAACCATAATTTTGTTTGGAAAAATTATGATAAAACAATTATCGTTTCTGCTTTCAAAAATAATTTTGGTCTAGCCGTTGTAAATAACTACTCAAAACTATCAAAATTCAATTTACAACAAATTTTTCTTAAATCACAATCAAAAGAAACTTAGATTCTTGGTTTTATATATTCAAAATTACTTTTATTTTACAAAAATAATTTCATTCACTTTCTCCATAATAATGTAAATACGCACATAAAGTTTTAGTACCTTGGATATAATTCGAAATATTTAACTTTTCATTGATCGAATGGGCTCCATCATCTCCCTTTCCCATTGGTAGCAATAAGACATTACTTTTCAATTCGTTTTCAAATGTCAACGTAATTGGAATCGACCCTCCTTCTCTTGTAAAATCTGGCTCAACTCCCCAAACTTTCTTTGTAGCCTTTGATGCTGCTCTAAAACTTTTATTGAATGGATCGCTCACCCAATAATCCCCATCATGAATTAATTCGCATTTACATTCATTTAATGAATTCAACTCTTTGAACTTACGATTAACAAATTCTATAACCAATTTAGTTAATTTGTTGGAGTCAATATTAGGAACAGTTCTAATGGAAAACTTCCCAATAACTTTTGATGGAATAACAGTTTTAGCACCAGATCCACTAAAAGCACCTTCAATTCCATGTAACGATAATGATGGATACCTCCATCTATGCATCAAAATATCCTTTTTAGATGAAAACAATGATGTCTTTGATCCTGATGCTGCATTTAGTTCATCAACATCAAATTCAATTTCTTCATATAACTTTTCCTCAGTTTCAGTAACAGGAGCAACCATTTCTTTGATACCAGGAATCAAAATATTCCCTTTATTGTCAACCAATGTTGACATGATTTGAATTAAATCAGTCATTGGTTCTGCTATACAGCCTCCAAAAATACCCGAATGTAAATCAGCACCAGGACCCTTTACTATAATTTGGTAATAATTACAGCCTCTTAAACCATAAGTCAATACTGGCTTTTTAGTTCCAAGCCAATAGTTATCGGAAATGCATACATCGTTTGTATTTTTGAAATATCCTTTTGCTTCATCTTTAATCAATTGATCTAAACCCAATGAACCACTTTCTTCCATGCCCTCAAAGCAACAGATTAAATTAACAGGTAAAGCAATGCCTAATTTTTTATGAGCTTCAATTACATTCAACCAGCCCATAACCGGACCTTTATCGTCTGTGGAACCTCTTCCAATCAACTTGTCGTTTTCTTCATCGACAACTAAAGTGAATGGATCAGAGTTCCATCCATCTTCAATTTGTGCAGGTTGGACATCAGCATGACCATAGATTAGCAAAGTCTTTTTTTGTGGATCATTTCCAAATTTTGCCAACACAATTGGTGGCAAAGGTAAGTTAGAAATTGATACAGGAGGAGGTTGAATTCCCAAGTCCTTTAATTGAACATCTGTTGCATCAAGTTTGATTAGTTCATCCTTAAGAAAGGTAGCCATTTTAAACACCTCTGGTCTCAAGGTTTCATCTCCAGAAACTGATTTGATTGATACAGCTTTTGACAATCTATCAATAAAAGATGGCTTTAAGTCATCAATCGTCGAAAATAGCTTTGATATTTTAGAATCTGTCGACATTGTTTTGAATTGGCGGTTAAGAGTAAAAGAATAATGAAGTAGTGATAAACTTGAAATTCTATGGGAACAATTGATTCTACTTGGATATAGGCGAAATAGCAATGCAGTGCTTTTGTTCATAGTATAGATTTCTACATATAAGAAATGGAGTTGTTGTAAAATTCAGCGTGGTAGATGTGTTCCTCCGCGTAAAATTTTTCAAGTTACAAACAAAAGCAACCAAACTAAAACGAAGCGTAGGACCACTAGCAATCGGTGGTATTGTGGTAGCGACTACTTATTTTCTCTAGCGACAGATTTGCTGAAATACAACTTATCAGAACAGGCTTGTTTAACTCTTTCAAGCACCTTCTTGTTGTTGATAACAAACGGATTGTCGATGGCTTCCTCGAGCCAGTCATCAGAATGAATAAAAGGGCCATTGAGATAGAACTTCTCAAGCTCTTTCTGGAATTCCTCCTCAGGCTGTCCTTTGCGTTGTTTCAACTTGCCTGAGGTGGTTCTGAGAACAACAGAGGCATCTGGCTCACTGCTAAGAAATCTTGCTGATATTCTGCCCACACTCGACATCTTTGAGAACAGATAGCTGTGTTTGGACAGTGGAAAGAGCGTTTTTTCGACAGGATGCGAGCACCACACTGAGCCACTGCCGTCCCGCTGGAGCAGGGATAGTCATATGGCCTGACTGATCTTTGTGTTCAATGACGGTGATCTGCACCTGAAAGGACCCAATTGTCCAGGATGCAACTACTGTTTGGGGATACTTTCAACACGAAGGGCTACTGCCAAATAATGGCTTCAGTTGGTGTCTTGTCTTTCAATCCAAAGAGCTGTTTCTAACGTGTTGATCATACTGCGAGATTTGTTGTAACAGAGTGGACAAACAATACTTTAGATTTTTAGATGGATGAAATTTGCTCATAGACTATCAATCTGTTTTGGTTTCAGAATGCTTTTTCTATTTTCTACAAGAAAACACAAAAAAGGCATACCTATAGTACTTCTAATAAGTCCCATCTTGGATTTATATTTTTAGCTAGTAAAAGATACCATTAGATGAAATGCCAATGAGAATCATCTTCTCCATCTTTTTCTGCCATTTGAAGATAATTTGGCTCATAAAAAAAAACCCTTACAAAATAATACACAAATCCAACTACAATCAACGCAACGGCTTTGAATTTCAAATTATTCCTAGAGCTGTAAAATGGCTTTTTCATAATCAATGGACTATCATATGGTTTTGCATGCAGTTCAAATATCGAATTCTGTAATTGACATTTCAAATTTTCCATTTCATGGATATAAACTTGTTTTTCTTTCGAATAATTTTTTAACATCTTTAGAGTTTCAACAAGTTTCTCCTTATAAAGATTAGTTTCTGTTTCCATTTGAATTTTTCCAATTTGATTTTTATATTTATCAGAAAAGCGTATAACAGAATCATGATTCTTTTGCTGTGTTTCTTCTCTTCCAATTAGACCTTGATATGAACTTTGAGTTTTTTCAGTACCTTTTACATCATTTATATTATCGCCAACAATGGGAATTCCGCTATTTATAACTGAGTAATTATTTGGTTTATTAATTAGTTCTTTACTTTGATCATTTTGAGTCTTTTTTGTTTCATATAGCTTAAGCAGTATTTGACTATTTTCTTTTTCCATTTCGGCAATATATTTTTCTGTGTTTTTATTCTGATTTGTGGTTTCTCTTAGTAGTTGTTGATTTTTATTTAATTTTTCATTCAAATCTTGAAACCTAAGTTCCATAGACTCTATCAATTTATCTCTATGATTAATCTCAACATCTTGTTTTTCGTTTTGGGATGCTAATTGAGCTATTTGAACTTGTAATCTTTTAATAATTTCAAACGGATCTCCCTCTACTTTTGACTTGTAGATTTGATTTGAATGAATCTCGTTATTCTCATCGTTTTTTTCCTCATTGTAATCATAATCACAGTAATTAACTGAAGCAACAGAAGAAGCAGGAAAAATAGAGCTTTCTGTTTTAGTAGGCATAATATCAGTATTCTTATCCTTGCGTATACCGTGAAAATTCCTATTGAAAATACTTTTATTCCATCCCAATTTCTCTTTATTATCTTTTGAGTTACTCGTGGAATTTGTGATCATAGACAGAAACCGAGAATGTTTTGAATCGACAAACTTGAAATTCGAATCGGATAATGATTCCATAGGCAAGGGAGTTGAAGCAATTATTATATCATCATTATCATTATCACTATCATTATCAATTTCAATTTCAATTAATTTCAGAGCATTGGTTTCTTTAAAAATACCTTTTTTGCTTAAAATGTGCTTTTTCAGTGAGATATTGAATTTATTTCGCTGTTCACCACTGTCATTATTAAAATCTCCTTGCTGAGTGGCATCAGCCTTGGAAGAAGACGTGTAAGAAATCTTGTTATCAGGTGTACAAAATTCAAGAGGAATAATTTTATTATCATCATTAATATCATATTTATCCTTATTTTGGTTGCTTCCCTGGTTTAGTTTTTCAGGCAAAACTGGAACAATAAATAGGTTATCGAATAACTCTTTAAACTCTGATTTTGTAACCGGAATTTCTTGATTAGATTCTGCCATTGAATCTATTAAAATTTTAACATTTTCAAATTGAAACTTCTTAGCATTACCAGAGAGACCACTGCAGTAATTGTTCAACAAATATTCAATCACTGCAAACACTTTTGAAAAGTCCTTTGCCTTGATTTCATTTCGATTCTGAGAATCAATCTGGTTCCATGCTATATCCACCACTTCAGTTAATGATGGAAGTGTATGGATTTTCTGAAGATGGCAGTCTGAAGAGTGAAAATTGAGCTGGTCTTCTTGAGAACTATTGTGAGATCTGAAAGATAGATCTGTTATCTGGTCATTATGAGATTCTAATGGATGAACACTAGTGGCAAGAAAATTAAAGTCTATTATATCTTTGATGTCGAAGTCATCGATAGCGTCTTGGTATCTGCCAACTATGCCCTGGATGGAATCCATTTTCCTTGTCTTGCTTCTTCTGTGTGATGCAAAAGCTGTGGTGGATGATATAACAGCTTCAATACAGGTTTGTCCAAGTATTGAACGAGAGATAGGAGGTTTGGGGTACAATGATGGCATTCTCCAGTCTCCAACTCACTTTTCTCTGGCACTGGCTCTCAGAAACAGGTGTTTTTACGGACCACAAACACGACAGGACGTGGAGCATCGTTCATTGTTTCTGGAGACATTTGCACAGAGCACTTCTTTGATGGTCTGTCGTTGGATTTATTGTTGGTTTGTTGCTGATTCATTTATCATTCATTTGTGATTGATGGATTTGTTGCTCTTTTCTGTTGTGCAGCTGCTGATGCATGTGGCTATTCTGGACAGAACAGGCACGTGTACAGTACATAGAAACAGGTTGGTGCAAAAGTACACGTGTAGAATGTTTTACGATCTGTAAAAACACAGGAAATGTGCACGTACATTCCCGTCCAAGTGGGATGTGAAATGGGGCTTCTGCTGTTGATCGTTTTTATGTCTACTTGTACATGCTCAAAAGGAGCGTTTTCTGCTTTCTATTTATTTATTGGACTGCTTCTCTTGCAACAAATCTCCAATTTCTCTAGTTGATCCACCAAATTCATTTTTTCAGCTATGAATATATATCAATTAGACCCTCATATTAAAACTCTTTTGAGTCTTGATAATTTTCTTGGAGATTTGTCTGTCCATGAGTTCATTGAAGAAATAACGAAGGACAACGATGCTACTGATACTCTGAAGGATCGAACTGCCCCAATCAACAACACTAACAATAATCAAGTCATTTTTGATCCAAAGCCTTTTATTAGAACTTTTGAATCGACGTTAAAGGAATTGAAGCAGGTTAATAATACGGTCAGTCACCAGAAACTATTACTTGAAGATGATGTTTCAAACTTTGAATTAAACCACTCTTATAACATTATCACTTTGAACACCCAAGTTCAGTCTTTGAACTTGAAATTTAATTCTTTAGACGAAAAAATTCTTAATGTTTCCAAATTAATCAACCCTTTAGGTGAAAAATTAACCAAAATCACAAATCTTCAAAAGAGAAATGTGGAAACCATTTTTATTTTGAAATGCTATGATGAATTTTATAAGCTTGGCTTTTCAAATGATTTAAACAAACTATTATCTTCTCATATTCATCAAGATCATGAAATTCTAGCCAACTATCTATCAAAGCTATCAAATTTAAGTGAAAAAATACAAACTCAAGATATTCCTAAAACAATTTTTACTCACGAAATAATTCAATCTTTTGCCAAAAATTTTGAATCAAACTTATTAAATGATTTTAACCAGGCTTATCTTCAAAATAATTCAACTAAAATGAAACAATCTGTTGACTTATTAACTGGCTTTAATGTTCATTCTGACATTGTTTCCATTTTTATTGATAACCATCAATTTTTCAAATTTCTCTCTGAAAATCCTTTTCAAATTGATGAAAACAATCAGTTTTGGTCAAATCTATCTGACTGTAATTTGCAACAGGTCTTCTATAATTCAGACTTCAAATCATTTCTCAACAACATTAAACTGCGATTAATTGATCTGGAACTTATCAATATTCTTATGACATACAAAAATACTCCAAAAATTATTTTTTTAAAAGTTTTTGAACTCTTTATTAAATATTTATACAATAAAATCATAATTCCTAGCATTTCCATGTTATTAGATTATTCCAAAACTTTGAGCAATCTTAGTTTTGTTCGTTTATTACACTCATCCTTCTTATTACTAAATGATTTTACTAAAAATTTGAAAAAGTTTTTTCAATCATCACAACTCAACATAGACCAAACCTCTAAAAAATTTGATGATCTTGATTTGCCAATTGAATTCAATGAAAAAAATTCACAACCAATCAACAAAATATTAACTAATAACACCTTCCTTCAAATATACGAAGACCTAAGTAATTTACTAGATCAACTAGCTCAGGATTGCTTTTCTGAATACATAAATAACAAAAATGACAAATATTTTGATTTAGAAAAAAAATCTTTAGAAGATATAATTTTAAATACAACTCTACCATTTGAAATCAAAAATGAAAAGGCTATTAAAGAAAAAAATTTGATGTCCAGAATTAATAATGCAGATTCAATTAAATCTCTAAATGATTCAAATTCCATCTCTATAAACAATTTTTCTAATACAAATATTTTACCAAAAAGCAAAGGTAGCTTAAGAATTGAAAACAATAAATTAGTTCAATTAAGGCAATTTATGAAGTCAAAACTTGAAAGGTCAAATTCCTTATCAAGTAAAATTTCATTAATCAATGAAAAAGTCTTGATTTCACAAAAATCTTCAACTAATTTAAATAGTTTTTATCACAACAATTTAACCAAATCCGAAAAAAATGCTATTCCATCCAACTATGCTGCTAACGTTGATGACTGCTTCTCCGACATCAGTTTTGAAGCTGTTGATAGAGTTTTAAAAAGCTCTGTGGAGTCAATATCCAGAATCCTTGAATTAAAGCCCAATAAAATCCCCGATTATTTATTAGAAGTTGTTCAAATTTTGATTTATGGTATTGGAACAAATTACTTGGATTTTGGCTTTGAAGTCTCTTACCATAAGTTGATTCACTTAGATTATAAAAATTCTTCTGTTAAAACTATTGATTTATACTACTTATTTATTATCAATAGGGCCATCGAGTTATTGAATTGCTTAACAAATTTCATTAGTATGTTTATAGTTCCATTGGTGAATAATTCATTTGATATCAAAAAGAGGATTATTAATTTGGTTAATGGTTATTTAACTTCTTGTGAGATTTCTCTTAATTTAATTGTCAAAGGAACCGTGGACATCATCAATCATAAAATTCTGTTAATGCTCAATAAACAAAAGAAAAAAGACTTTTTGATAAAGCAGGGAAAGTTCAACAATTTACTACCATCCTCTTTCCAATCCACCACTAACTCTATCTATGGAAGCATGAATAACAACGTTCAAGATCAGTTTTTTAACCTGAAAGGGATGGAAGTAAAAGAAGAAAAAGACACAGAAACATGCGAGGAGGTTTCTTTTTTTCTTAATGATATTTATTTTAATCAAATATTAAAACATAACCTTTTTACAAATAGTGCTTCTGAGGGAGACTCGATTAAGGATAAGAACTTGGAAAACTTTTTAACAGAAGTTGGTTTATCCCTATTAAGTTTATTGTTGCTTCATTTTAAAAAGTTTCAAGTTAATTCAGTTGGCGGTTTGGTACTAACTAAAGATATTATAAGATATCAATCTGTGATTGATAGCTGGAGTATTGAATCACTATCCGACAAGTTTTCAATTTTGAGAGATATTGCCAATCTTTTTACTGTTCAATCGGAATACATCCACAGTTTAATAAAGGAAAGCCAAAAATTAATGAACATAAATATTTCATTGCTACTTCAATTTATTTCCAAGAGATCTGATTATGATAATAATATGTTAAATAAAATTATTCAATAGTATTATTTCTAGTGTGGCTAATATTTAATGGAATGCTAGTAAAACAAATTATATTGCACCATACAGCAATAATTCCTGTCAACTGTTGGCGCAGTGAAGCAGTCTAATAGTATCTTTTTTTGAATTCCCAAGTTAACATTCAGAGAATATATTATTGGATTACTATATACAGTGAAGAACCAGGATAATTCTTTTTATTGACTACAAATATAATGTATAATCTTTTCAGAACACTCTTTCTGATTTCTTTCTCTGTATGCGCTGTTACGCTGGAAATATATCCTTCAGTGAAGGAGGTGCTATGAATGATTGGGATTGCCATTGTTGATTATCGTTTGGAGTACAACTCAGCACCTATACACAATATACTCACTGTATTCTTACTTATTGTGTATTCAATACAAAATCAATAAACATAACACTACTCAAAGATAATGTTTGATGCATCACTGTAGAAGTATTTCCAATGTGGTTTTTCTTTAATAGAATTAAATCTAGAATACAAACTAGCGACAAAAATGTAATAGATATTGAAACTCTGAAATTAAAAAAGAATGAAAAAATAAATGGAAAATCAAAATAAATCAAAGACAAAGAAAAGCTAAACAAAACAATGCCCAGAGAATGGATAATAAAATAAAAAGAAACCATAATCAATGAAAAATCTAATGAATATAAAGTATATCAATTATTTTAAACCTAAAAATTAAAACAATTCAGAGTGAATATAAAAAAATGGGTTAAGAAAATAAATATAAAGAAAAAAACTGACCACCAAATTAATAAAACAAAAGCTAAAAAAAACAATTAAACAATATAATATTAAAAAGAACTTTCTAAAATTAATAAACAAATCCTAAACTTTGAGCAAAAAAACAGTAAAACAGAGCTTGATTTACTTTCTGACCAAGTAATACCAACCATCAATATCCTCTCCACATTTACCTGCTGGTCTATCAATGTGCTCATCGTCTTGAGAATTATTATTATTCTCTTCATCTGTTTTCGAATTAAAAGTATTATTGTAATTATTTTTATCATTCAAAAGATTTTTATGGAAATTATTTTTTTTAGAATTTTTCCTTTTTAGCCAGAAATGATTGGACATACTACCACCATCGGCCCGATACTTTGGATTAATTTCCAACATTGGTAATAAAAAACTGCAAATTGAAGAACATTCATCAAAAGGAATCTGGTACTTTTCACTTAACACTTCTCGAAGTGGCCAATATTTTAATCTAAGAATTCGTCTTAATCCAGTATAACCTTGGTTGAAATAATGTTTTGCATAGACCGAATATTTTATCATTTCTAAAGGAAAAACAAAAGGTCCAAAATTATTATTCCTTGTATCATAATAATCTTCATCTTTTGGGTATTCAATAAGTTTAAAATTTATATTCTGTAAAGGATTCTTCACATCATGGCGTCCCTTTTGTTTGAGACTCAATTTATAGGCTTTTAAAAAAGACTTTTGTTCTTGGTATCTACTCACAATTGATTTAAACTCATCTAAATTCTTTTGAAATAAACTTTCATCAAGCAATAGCTCAATGATCTGAGCTAAATGATCTTCATCTTTCGAATATCTAGATGAATCTCTAGGTTCAAATAAATAATCACCTGTGATCAATTCAAAAATTAAACAACCAATTGACCATATATCAGCAGAACACCCCCAATTTTTACAGCCAACAATAATTTCAGGGGCCCTGTATTGTCTTGTTTGAATATCGTCGCTAAAATGACAATCAGTGTAACATGCATTTCCCAAATCAGCAATTTTCACTGAAATATATTGATCTAATTCTTCAAATTCGTCAACAATAACATCTTGAGCAATATCTTGAATTGTTGACTTTTTGGAATCATTATCAGAATCTGCACCGTTGTAAATATTTGTGTTGATTTTATTGAGAAATATTTTTGATAATTGATCTGTCAATTGTTCTTTTGAATCTGTTTCGGTGGTTTGAGAGGTGGATCTTATATTATTGCCCATTGAGAGACATGCCAAATTTGAATAACTGCTGACTCTTCTACTATCGACCTGCAATTTGTTAAGTGGAGAGTTTATAAAAGAAAGAGAGTTTATCAGAGAATTTCCGCTTTCGTTGGCCAAATTTCCAAAACTATTTACAGAATCAGTATTGACGGAATTGCTTTGACAGAAAAATTGATGTGAAGCGGAATCACCAACCAAACCATGGGCAAAAGCATTATTTTTCAAACAACAATTGGCGTATGAATTTTGTCTTAAAAGGGGTGATGGTAAAGGTTTTGAAGTTTTAACAGGGTTCCGATAGAATGATTTTCGAGAACGGTGCAATTTGGGAGAATAGGTTTTAGTGTCTGCTAGTTCAATAAGCTCATTTGCATTTGTGGTTTTATTTGAAGAAACAAATGATGTATTTGATAAAGAATTTCGGCGAAGCTGATTGATATTCGGAGATGATTTCAATCCAGCAATAATTGAGCCCTTTTGTTTTAATAAATCTTCTTCAGATAGTTTCTTGTAATAACTTTTTTCGAATTTATTTAAACGGTCTTCTTCGTTCATTAAAAAAATCAATTGATCAACATTTGTAATTTCCAATAATATGTTTTCTGGTTTAATGTCGGTATGAATCAAACCACATTCATGATGCAAATAATCGATAGCCAACAACAACTGTTTTGTAATTTTCTTGACAATGGGCAAAGGTAAACCTCCATAGCAATTTTTAAATAGCTTCTTTAGGTTATCAATGTTCATTGTAATAACTTCAGGGGGGACATCATCATCTAGTAAATTTGAATTACTTTTCAAAGAAGTTTGTGTATTGCAAGAGGCCGCACTGGTGGAAAGATTTGAATAATTTGATGTATTTTCAATTTGATAATTTTCTTTTTTGAAGTTTTTATAATCTTGGGCTGTAGTGGTATTGTTTTTTTGTTTTTGGTCTAATTTATTTGATGAATTTACTATTATTTCAGATAATTTTGCTTTATATTTAGAATTCAATTTTTTAAACTTTTGAATCAAAGATAACATATTCTCGCCCAAAACTTCAAATACCATACAAATGTGATCACCATTGGGACCGTTAATGACAAAATAATCCAATAATTCAATAACATGTTTTTTTCCAGGATGATTTTTATTTCCAGACTTTGCTTTCCGCAAAATCTTAATTTCATCTAGTGCAGCAATTCTATAGTTTTCAGAAGATTTGACGACCTTTATTGCAACGTGATGAAATTTCTCAGAGTCATAAGCTAACCAAACAGTTGAAAAATGTCCCCAACCAAGTTTTCTTAAAATTGTATACTGACCAGACGAGCCGTATTTGTCGCCAATTTTGATGGGATGATAACCTCCAGGACAATAATCCGAAACATCTTCCTCGTTTCTTTCATCATATTCATCTTCAACCTGATCAATGCCATCATCCATTTCATCCAGATCATTCATTTCATCCAAATCATTTAAGTCATTTATATCTTGCAAAATGATTTTATCATTTGGTTCATTTATATTGGAACCAAAATCAACTGAATCTTCTATGCTGTTTAAATGATCTTTATTCAGCAGCTTTGTGGAAGGGGTGGAATTTTTATTGTTTTGTTTTTTGTTGGAATTATCAGTTTCAATGATTGATAGTGAATCAGACTCGTCTTCCTCATTTATAACATCAAACTTTTCTTCAAGATTATTATGAGATAAAGAAGTCATAACTGGATCGTCAGAGGAGACAGTTGTCTGATTTTTGTGCTTTTGGATTTTGTTATTATTGTTGTTATCAAAAGCTTTTTCAGAAAGTGATAGATTGTCTTCAGTATTGTCGTCAATATTTTTAAAGTTTGTAATATTCTTTTTAGGTTTTTCTAGCTTGAGGTTCTTTATCTTGAACTTCTGATTTTCTTGATTATCTAAGTTGATGGTATTTTGGTCGGAATTATTGTTTTTATTAGATTCTTTAATTGGTTCTTTGTTTGCGGTTGTGGCACCAATTGTTCGAGCAATGTAGTTAAAAATGTTATAGGGGGAAGAATGGGAGGTGTCATTTGTGTCTTTTTTGAATTTTTGTTTTGAGTTGGGAGGATCAGATGGAGTTAGCGATGAAGACGATAGAGCTGATGAAGAAATATCGTTGTTGGAAGGGTCTGAAGGCTCAGAATCAGGCTGTTTAAAAAGAAGCATGTTGAAAGAAGGAGGAAAGAAGAAAAAGAGGATTCACAAGGGAAAATGAAGCAGTATGAACATGAAAACTAAAGAATAGAAGAAAGGGAGAGAAGTATGGATATAGAAGTAGAAGATAAAGCAATGATAGAAAAGAGAACAATAAAACAGGTTGATCCTTTTCTATCTTGAGCAGTGCGTCTGAGCTGGAGGAAGCCGCAACGGAGGGAGGACGAGAAAGCGCACCTCTGGGAGTGGGATAGCGGCGCAGGGAGTTACAAAAAGCGGCAACGCGAGCAACGCGCAACACCTGCAGAATCGAGACTGGGTGTGGGCTACCGCTGGGGGAAGAGCACGTCAGACACGGGTCAAACAGCGGGACGGGCGAGGACGCATCTGGACGCAGATAAGAGTCCTAGATCAAGCCACAGAGCGAGCCACAGAGCCACAGATCAAAAGAGAAGTAAAATGAAGTCACTCATAATTCATAAACCGTAAAAAGATGCAAGACACAAAAATGATGAAAAGAGAAGAGAAGAGAGGAAAAGAAGAAAGAAAAAAAAGAAAAAAAAGACGAAATGAAGACATGAAAACAAAATAAACACAAGGTAAAAGCGTAGAGTAAATAGCAACAGAAAGCTGTCAAAGCAGCAATTGAGTCCAGGAGTATAAACCAAAATCAATTAAAGCTCTGAAACTTATAAGTATTCAACCGACTGTTTTCTTAATTGATTTAATTTCCTTCTTCTAGCATTGATAAACCAGTTGCTTAATTGCTGGTGGGTTAAGCCTGTATAGTTCAATAATTCGAATTTTTCTTTTGAATTGGGGTAAGGGTTGCTCAAGTTATTATTCAACCACGTTAGCAAAATCTCAGTTGTTTTTTTGGGTAAGTTACTTCTCTTTCTCCTTTGAAGCCTTGAGGAAGACAAAGACGATTCCTTGCTTATTTTGTTGGCATTTGAAACTTTTTTTGTTTTGCCATTATTGGAAACGGGAATTGAGTCGGAAGCGATTTTGGAAATATTTGTAGAGTTTGGAAAGATGGAGGAATTGATTGAAGATAGAGACAAAGAAGTTAGAGTGTGAATGGCTTGAGCATCGGATAAATAAGAGGGCAAAGATGGTTGATATAAATCGTATTGGGGGTAATTATTTTTATAATCGTAGGGAAGAAAAGTTTGATTGTAATAGCTGGCATGGTTGTAATGGTAGTTACAATGGTAATTGTTGTAGCAGTTTTTACTTTTGTTTTCGCTGTTGTTTTCGCTGTTGTTTTCGCTTTTGTCTGCAGACATATCTTCTTTGTTATCAATCAGAAGATTGTTGCTATTTTGAGTATTGTTAATATCAACAGATTGATTTAATGAGTAGTTACTGAGAGAACAAGGAGAGGAGCTTCTGTTTGAAAACAATGGAGACGAAGGCAATGGAGTGGGAAGAGAAAATTGGTCAGATGCATTAGAATCGTCGGCAGAGACAAGATTATTGTTCTGGTCAGAAATTTTCAAAATTTCATTTATAGATGGTAGTTTGATGTTTGCGATTTTTGTTTGCTTTAGTGGTTTGACATATAAGTTGAAGTCCTGTTGGTAGTGGTACTTTGGAGTTGAGGTCAATTCAGGTAGGGATGCCATCATTTTGAAGAAATAAGAAGAAAAGCGGAGTGCAGTAGGGTAGTACAATAAAGAAAAAAGGTATAATATAGTAATGGAATATTTGCTAAAAAATTAAGATTGAAACCTTATTGGATGAGCTGTAACAGAATAACACCCGAAAAAGAATAGTGGATATCGAATTAGAAAGTTGAAGAAAAGTAATTTGAAGGAATCGATCAGAGTTTATATATTTCAAGAAAAACCCAAAGAACAGATGGAGAAAATGATAAAAGGAAAGCAAATTCCAGGACGCTGGCAAAGAGCCAGAAAATAAAGAGTATGCAGTGCAAAGGAACCTTCTTGAAAAGGGAAACCTAAACGAGCAAAATCCTGGGGATGAAAAACCAAAGAGATTGCTATGCGTTATTAATAACTCAAACTGAAATAACAACAAACACCAGCCAGGTCGAGGCAGTAAATAAAGAGCACTCTTGCAAATTGTTGAGGCTCTGCGAAAAGTTGTGTCAATTCTTAAGTCAAAAACCCCCTGAGAGAGCTGCAGTGAGAAGCAGTGTGGCACTGCGTGGGACCTCAGGGACTATTCCGGCTTTTCAGCACTCTCCAGCACCTGGCCCAATTCCACTGCAAAACAGGTGGGTTTCCCGAAGTGTGTCACTTGTAGCTCTGCTTTGTTGTGTTGTTTTGACACAACCAAGAAACAGGCCAGCTATGTGTCGTCATCTCTCCTGGACCCATGCACTGCAACCCAGGCGCTGGGCAAGGAAAAACCCGGATGGCACGGCACTCGCAGCTCATGCGCGGCAGACAGCAGCCTGAAACAGCGCTGTGGAAAGTCTGTTATTATGGTTTTTCGCGAAGAGATGGATCTCAGCCTGATTTCCACAGCTTTCCGCTGATTTCCATGGAATCCGCTCACTGAATGCTGCTCTTATCCATGGTGTTTGTTTGTTTTTCCAGGGATAACGCTTTCTGTAATTCCGCAAGTCATCAAACGCATCAGCCCAGCCAATCAGTCACTTTCTTTTTGTTGTTTTTGGCCAGGCCAAGAACATAAATCTGCTGATTTCATTTTTTCCATTTTTTTCAGTTGTTTCTGATTTGTTTTCAACTTGTTTTCAACTTGTTTTCAACTTGTTCAATTTCCACAATCTGAAATTCCTATCTCCAAAAAATAGTGATCACTATTTATTCACCGACATCCGACGTCGCTTTTGGTGAATCAAGCATTTTCCTCTGCTATCTTCTCCTTCTTTTCCCTGTTTCTATTGTTTCAACAATCTTTTTTCCATTTGGCGCGCTGTGGTTGGCCAGCTGCTCCAAGCCAGAGTTTGCTTCCATCATTTCCACATACACAGTGCGTGTTCACGCATTCTTGTCTCACCACGTCGCCTTTCTGCACGCTGCTATTACAAAGCGGCTTTCCCAAAAAGAGACATCCGCTGCTCACTTATCGCAAGCGCGCCTTCTCACGCACCAGCCAAACCCTATTAAAGCCGAATGCAAACAAATCAGCTCTGATGTTCGGCACATGATTGCATCCAGGAATGAACATGCATGCACATTCACAATCCCATACAACAAATACTATTATATTTACAATCTTAAACTAATCTCACAATCTCCCTTATTTATCCAAAATAACTTTTGTGATGTACTGTGCGTTTCACTCTGATGCTCGTGTGGGAGAGGATTATGGATTATAAATACTTATCTAATGCTTAGACACTGTTCAAACTTGCCTATTGAAGCGAAGAGACAAATACTGGATGATTAATCATTGGCAAAGGTCTGGACCTGGTACGGACCTGGTCTGGTCTTTTGGCGAGCTGTTTCTGATCCACAGCTATTCTTTTCCTCTAACATTATCTGTAGGTTTTGACAATTTGTTTGCTGTGTTCTTTCTACTTCAATGCTATGATAAATTCAACTCCCAATTCCAAAACTTTATTGTGGGTGCTTTTGCAACTTGACTATTTTTCTGAAACAGGATATAACTTTGACACAGATAAAACAATTTCATCAAAAGATTAATATATATCATTAATATCATTAATATTGTACATTTTATTATTCAATTTTAAATTGTTGAAAAATCTCACAAATTTATATGGTGTTTCAATCAGGTTCCTACTCTATTGTTTCTTGATAAAATAAATAATGCTGTGTTAATATATATATATACTTGACACTAAATATGACTTTTGTAAAGCAAATCAATATTTTAGTTAATCAGAATTAATTAAAATTAATATCAAAATTAAAACTAAAACTAAAACCAAAATTAATTCTCAATCTCTCCTTTTTTTTCAACCCAATCTTGAAATGATCCAATATAATTTCCTCTTTTTTTGTATCCAAATGTGCCTGCAAGTTCCTCAGCTGTTGTTGATCTTACTCCTGCATGACAATAAAAAATCAACTCTCTATCAATTCCTGGCTTTTCAAACCCAAATATTTCTTCAAACTTTTCTTCATCCAAATCTAATGCTCCTGGTGTTGTCTTCAAAGGAAGGTTAATCGACTTAGGTATATGTCCTGAGTTATATTCCTCTGGCTCCCTTACATCAATCAAAACTGCTGAACTTGCACTTTCATCCATACCTTCAATCACCTTTTTTATATCTTCAAACTTATAATTTTTTGCCTCGTAGGTTTTACTAATACAACTATTCTCACCTGGGGTTTCTTCAGGATTATTTGAATAAAATCTTAAATTGGAATGTCTGCTATGCCCATTAATTCTAACATATCTGTTGTATCCATTATATCCAATATGTATATTGTTTACTCTACTTTGATTCAAAAAAGAAATTCCTCTAAAACATATTATTGGCTGAACAAAAACTCTTTGTATCCCCTTTCCAATTGGTATCTTACTCATTACCATTTTGCAGTTCGCCATTTTCTATCTCACCCTTTATCAATTGATTTCTTATTTGTACTTTTTTTTAATTTTATTTATTTATTTTTTTATCGATCAACTGATATTTATTTACGCAGGCAAACTGCTCGGTTTTTCTTCCAACTTTTACAACCCAATCATTTTTAGCTCAATTACCCAGAAACAAACCCTAAAAATCCTTTCTTGAGCTTTTGTTGTAACACCAGAATAAAGTTCCATTCCTACAAGGAATGCCTTGTATCTTCCTGTGACCTCTCTCTTGATTTAACTATCATTACAACTCAAAATTAAACATTCATCTCTCTCTTCTACAGTAAATTTCCCATCCAAAAAAATAGATATATCACATAAATTTAATCGTATATAACTATTTAATCAATATTTCTTCTTTATTTTCGGCTTTTATCACTTTTTTTAATCTCTCTCTTCGACCCTTTGACTAACTCCAAATGACCAATTCTGCTTGCAATAAGTTTTTCTGTTGAGCTTATAATATTACCATACTTTTGAAATGTACCTAGATTTTTGGTAGTTTTGAGCTTACTGGTTTTTTTTGGTTTGATGATTTTTGGTGCTGCTTTTCTAGGGTTTTTTCTGGTACAAACACAATCAAAAAAGGAAAAAAATAAAAAAAAATAATTACATTATTAGCAATGAACCGAAAATAACTCAAGAAAAAAAAGATCTAAAACAATCTAAAAACATTCAAACCACATTATCGAATAAAACTTACTGTTTTTTAGTTATTCTTTTTAAAGGTTTATCCTTTAACTTCAAGTTTCCTTGAGCCATCTTATATTTTTGACTAGTTGTAAATTCGTTAATATGATATGATAGATATTCTTCATATCAAACCAACTGTTTTTTCAGTTTATTTTTCCTGTTTTTTTTTGCTGGATGAAAAGGGAACTAAGATAAATACTTTTTCACTCCTGCAAACTCTCACATGCAAACAATCAACAGTAGTGACACCATTCAACGGCTCAGTTGTACAGATATACACGTGCATTCATGCATTCTTTTTATTGTTTGTCTTAATTTCTGCGCGTGCACTTTTACACAGACCCATTGTTGTATAACACACACGTGTACTTTCCGTCCAGCATTGTGCAGCATCATCCAGCATCATCCAAGCAGCTTCAAAACACCAGTCAACAAACAAATTCATGAATCAATAATTGAATAAACAAATAATCCAACATATAATCTAACATATAATCTAACATATAATCTAACATATAAATACTTTGGGTATTTATTTATATATACCATAAAATCTTCTCAAAATGTGTCAAAAATTTGAAAAAAAAGTATAAGGTGCAATGAAACAAATTGATGTTACAATCCTTATATAATAGAATCTTGAATATTATATATCTTAATGAGTTTTTCCCAACTTTCATAGTCTAGTCTGAAAACGATATGATTCACTTGATCATTTTCATACAACTTTTTCTCCGATCTGTACCTTGAATCCTGGTTGTCTAACTTGCTCAATGGAACAACTTCTTCAACTGTAGGGAAACCGCTATCATTATTAAAATTAATTCTGATTTTATTATCTTTAACTAAAAAACTCATATAAAACATATTTTCAACAGTCTTGGAAAATGATTTTGGATTAATGAAAAAATTGAAAATATTAATTTTTTTATCATTTGGATGTTCTTTCGTATATTTTTGAAAAACCTTATAACATAAATGAACTGATTTTGCAGTGTCATCTTTCTTTAAATCACTAGTATTCTTCAAATCATCCAAAGTTAACTTATCTGCTGTAATTTTCTCTCCATTTGGTAAATCATTAATCTGATGCTGTTTAAATCGTTTTTTTTTCACATTCATTGTGGTATTCAAGAAATCAATTGTTGGTGCTTTCTTTGAAAAAAAAAGACTTGCAGTACCAACCCTTAAAAAATTTATTTTATTTGTATTTCTGGAAGTTTTGGCTGGTTTTTTTTTATTATTTTCTTTTGATTTCTTGCTTGGATGGTGATCATCTAAAGATATATACTTTTTATTATTGCTGTTTTGATGAACACCATAAAAACTGTCACTACCATCATGATCATGATCATCAAAATCATTATCAAAATCACTATATTCATTAGAGATATCGCTTTGTGGGTGCAAACTAGAAAATTTTCTCTTAAAATTTATTAAAAAATCATTAACATCAATAATTTTATTGGAATGATCAACCTTTAAATTCTTTATTGAGATCTCAGCATTTTCAGTAACATTTAAAAGAACTTCTGAATCAATCGCGTGAACAACATTATTGAGAATTTTTGAATCTTTGGTTTCATGAAATAAAAACCTCAAAAGCTGATAATCCCTTTTGACAGTTTTCAATCCATTTTCACCCAACACCCTTTTTCGATGAAGCTTTGTATCCAAATTAAGCAGCCTGTATCGTTTAACCAAGTTTTTTTTTGAATCATAATTTTCATCATTACTCGATATGTCATCCAGGTCTAGCTCTTGTAGGTCATCCTTCTCCAGGGAAAGCGAAGAAGTAAGGCTGAAGTTACTGGAGTCGCTGTCTTGCCTGATTTTTGCAAAAGTTAGGTCTGAAGCACCATCAGCACCTTCAGCACTGATGTTTTTTGCAAACATTCTTGGTCAATTCTCTGCAGCGCTACCACTGCTGCTGTTCAAGTAGCTGTTGCTGCTATGGCCGGGTGACTGGAATTTGAAAGCAGCATCTCCATCAAGAATCCATCTCAAGTTCTGTTGTGCAACACTTCAAAGCCATATTCATCCACTGTTTAAAAATGAAGTCCAATATTTGTCTAATCTCAAGGATTTGGTGCTTGCTTTTTATGGCTGTTTGGGGCTCAGCTACTCATCTTTATTTATTTCCAATCTTTAACGGCTTATCATCCAGTAGCAGCCCCATTCTCTCGTCAAATGACTTCAAGTTAATTATTGCTCAAAGAAGTGGATTGTTGGATAATTATTTATCTAATGAGTTTGAAAACCCTCAATTAATTGGTGAAATGGAGGGAGTTCTGGGTTTTTTTGATATAAATGAAATAGCAGACACTAAAGGAAAGAAAAAAGGTCATCTAGTTATCGTTACTAACGATAATCTAGACTTGAAATCAAACAAACCTGTCAACTTTCAAATTGATTTTGACGATGCATTGGTTTATGAATCAATTAATGAAATATTAACTGATAATGGTAATGAAGCTAATGAAATCGACCAATTCTCAATTTTTTATAATTTCGACACCGAAGACAGTGACAACACTAATTTTGTTGACAAAGTTTTGAGTTCTGAGTTGAGTGTTTTGAACTACGACAATATTAAAATACCTAAAAAATTGCCAGTCTTGAATTTCATTGAAAAATTGCAATCTTTCAATATTAAAATTACTTTACTTTTAATCAACAATAATCTGAAAAGTGAAGAATCCTCTATTTCCAAAAATACGCCTGTTAAAACATTGAAGTCTATTGGCAATTCAAAAATATACAAGAGATCACTATTAACCTCATCTGGTTGCTTTTTGTCTGAAGAAGATTGTATTATGTCTACAAACAATTGTAATACAAATGGCATTTGCTCGTCATCTTCTAATGGTGATTGCTGGAGTTGTGTTTGTTCTGCTTCTTATAATCAGACTAAAAGATCCACCACGACATGGGCAGGTTCTGACTGTTCAAAAATTGACATTTCTATTCAATTCAACTTGTTATTTTGGTCTGCGTTTTTATTAATTGTTTTTTTAATAGGTGCTCTAAAGTTGATCTTCAAAATGAACGAACAAGAACTACCAGGTATTTTAAGTGCTGCTACAAATAGTAAATAAGTTGCTAATCATTTGATTTAAGTTTTATATAATATTAAATAATCTATGTATTTCCGAAAAAAATATAGTACTCGTAGTATATATAGACATATATTTTTGCTATATTTTTCGATTTCTGTCACCCAAAATATTGTATTAACAATGTTCAGTTAAGGTTTCCCAATTTTAATTTAAGTCTAACTGCCCAATTTTATTTTTTAAAAACCAAACTGTTTATTTTAGCTGTGAAATAACTTTTAGCTTAGTTGATAACTATACGTTATACTAGAAGTGTATTTATGATAGATCATAGACTCTTATTGGTTAATCAAATAAAATAAAATAAAATAAAAGGTTATTTCTTTGAAAAAGTATATATAAAATGATTCAAAAAAAAAAAGATAACAATACATAGTTAAAGATTACAAATTACAAATTATGAATGATTAGACAAATCAATTGGTAAAAAGCTTTTGAATTTGATGTTGTGTTTCGGCAGGATATGTATGAATCATTTGAAGGGCAGCCTCATTCCCTAATTTTCCTAATAGAATCTTTAAACATTGAACCAACCTCTTTGCATTTTGAGCAATAATAGAACGATTATATGCTGCCAGTATCAAAATTTTCATAATTTTCGGCACTTCAGTTTTTAGCCATAGCACCAATTCCTCACCTTCAGCATTACTGCAAACACTTGAAACCGAAACAACCGCAATCTCACTTGTTTCAGGAATTGTCGCTAGATAAAATAATCTTGTCAATCTATTCAAACAATAACCATTGTAATTTCGACCCCCATATTGAGAACATAAACCGATAATATATATTGATAATTGTTTTATTTGCAAATTAGTATCGTTAGCAAGATTAACCTTTAAAGTGTCTTCGAATAAATCTTTGTAAAGATATGAATCAGGCCCACAAAATTCAATCATATCTGCAATTATATTAAAACCGCAAGACTTAATTGATAGATCTTGGTTGTCATTTAAAAGAATATTAATTAAAACAATCAACTCTTGAAAACCATTATTAAGCCAACTAGATCTTCGGAACTTAAACACAAATTTAATAAAACTGTTTATATTATCCAATAGCTCTTCATCCACATCCACATCATTATTATCTTCAAGTTCTTCACTATATTCGTCAAAATTAGATTCTCTTTCTTTAATTCTTTTATAACATTCCAATAAATTTTTATAGATTGCCTTGGCAAAATATAACAACTGATCATCAGTTACAGCATTGTCTTGATCCAAAATACACAAGCATTCAATTAAACACTCGTAATAACTAATCAACAATTCAGTTGAAGTTTCACTAATCAAGCTAGATACAATTTTATCAACAATACTTTTCCATAATTTCAATGTCTCATCAGAAAGTATGATTCTTGAATCGACTGATTTATCATTGCTTAAATTTTTTTGAGATTTACTAAGTTCATCATTAACATTTCCATTATTATTATGATTATTATGATTATTATGATTATTATTACTATTATTATTATTATTATTATTATTATTATTATTATTATTATTATTATTATTATTATTATTATTATTATTATTATTATTATTATTATTATTAGTAGTAGTAGTAGTAGTATTGTTATTGTTATCAAGGTTAGGATTTCTTGATGAGGTCGCCAATTTTGTACATCTTAATAAAGAAGGCATTGTCAATGCACAACATCTCCTAACTCCATCATGTAAATAAAAGTCTAAACCGGGCAAAATAATTTGGGTTGCAATTTCTTTTACATAAGGATAGAAATTTTGTTTTAAAACCACGCAATAAGTTTTTAATAATTCAATTGACGATACCTTTTCATCTAATATAGAAGTATGTACACCAATATGTTTTGTACCTAATTGAATAACATCCCAATCTTGATTTTGTTCCAACTCATTTGCTTGATCTTCATCTAAAATTGCTATATCTTGTTGGTATTTTGCAGATTTTAAAATTGGGGGTAAAATTAATTGCAAATAAGGAACAAATTGGGGACCAATTATCCTACATAATCTGCCCCAACCTTGTTGTAAATAAGGAATCATTTGATCGTTTTCGTCAGTAATTGATTGTTGATAGTTGACAAAAATATTAATCAAATCATCATAATGAGCTTGAAATTTTTCGTAACCAACAGCCAAGGCAATTAAAGTTGAACATTCAATGCATTTTGCTTTTAATAATTTAATATCACTATTTTCATTATCAGTTTTTAAAAAGTTTATCAATACCGGCATTAAAGCATCATAATATTTTAAAAATTTTTGCTCGGCACTATCAGCAACGACAGCAATAGTTGTTAATACTTGTTCTTGAACATAACGACAATTTCCCTGCAATAAAATAAGTAAATTAGTCAATAAATCATCTAGATAAGGCTCGAGCACTTCCTTTGAGGCATTTTCGGAAAAATTAACCAAAGCAGCAGCAGCATGAGTTTGAACTCTTGTTATGGAGTCATTGGTTAATTTTGATATCAAAGCAGGAATAATTCTATAGCCATATTGTACCTGAGTTGTTGTAGCAAAATCTGTTGAAATTTGACCTAATGTATTGCAACAGGCATATTGAACTCTTGGATGAGGATCATTTAATAAGGGTAATATTAAATTTAGTATTGCATCAATTTTATTGATGAGTACGTCTCTACAACCTTCTGAAGCAGAACTTATTGCCATTAAGGCAGCTTGTCTTTCTCTCCAAGAAGTTGAAGAGATCATCTGAGTTAAAAAATGAAATAAAGGATCAACAAGTGATTGACCACCGAGAGCCAAAGAGACTCGATCTAATGTTTGACGGCCTGAATCATATTCAATTTCATCTTCATCATCATCAATGTTAGTGTTATTTACCCAATCAGAATATTCGTCATCATCTGGAGATAGTTCAGTCATTAAGGACAAGCTTAATATAATAATTGAATTGATATAATTTGAGTTTGATTTACACATTTGAGGAGAAACTTCACTAAAAGTTGTTAATAATTCTAAGGAAGATATTCTACAATTTTGTTCTAAATTTTTATTTTTAGTTATTAGAGAACAAAATTCTATAATTTTTTCAAACATATCTTTAAATAGTTTGGGAGCTAGTTCAATTAATAGAATTAGGGATTCTAATACAGAAGATAGAGAGGAATCTTTGCCGTTGTTTAATAGTTTTGGTAAGATATTCATTAAATCAGGTAGAAGAGTGGCTAGTAGTTGCCAAGATTGTTTTGGCAAGACTTCAAAATAAGCTACAAAGGCATTGGAGCAGGCAATTAAAACCTCATCGTTTTCATCATTGAAACCATTTTGAAAAACCGGTAAAAATTGATTAATATGAGAGACGTTAATTAGGTCAGGAGTTTGTGATATTAACCTAAAGGCAGATTCTCTAATGCTTGGGAGAGATTGATTAGTAGTCGCATTGATTATTGATTCCAATAAATCGGGCCAATCAGGAGATACATCAGATTTTGCTAATTCAGCTATTGCATCGGCCAATTTGTGTCTAATATTAATTGGTTGGTCAGGATGGTTGAAGCCCTGTAATAATATTGATCTGATTTTTGATTTTGAAGAATTAGGGATTACTGATATGGATTTGGCTAAAGGATCATTGAGATAAATTGGAGATTTTATGGCAATTCTTCTAAATATTACAGCACTAAAAGCTCTTGAAGAGACGTTTTGACTGAACGAAGCCTGTTCAGCTAAAAAAACCAATAAAACTTGGTTTTGATCCTTTGAGGACAACCAATTTGAATTTAGTGAATGCTCAGCGTTAGAACGTATGAAGTTATCAGCAGAAGATAGAGAATCTAGTAAAACTAACAACTCCAGATTAATATTATCAGGTAAACAAGATTGGAAGGGGTAAGCAGACATTGAGGATTAAAGAGAAAAAACAGAAGAAAGTAGTATAGAAAAACCCAAAAAATATGAGATGGCAAGTGAAAAACAGATAGATAGATTGGTTGTTGTATCTAGTGATTGACTGCGTAACTGGTTATAGGGCAAGATATAGGAAGAATAGTGTTTGGTGATTGAAAGTATGAAAAACTATTTAAAAGTGATTGAAGATGCCAATTGATTTTCCTGCTTCCATCCGCCCGCCACCGCCGTCCGGCTGACATCCGTTAATATTTCCGCACGCGGATATAGCACCCCGTGGCATGCGCGGACAAGCTAACGGAGAGTCTGCAGCACCTGCAGACTCTGCAGCTCTATCTTCTCCAAGAGACAGCTGATTCTGGGAGCCATCAACGGCTGTCCCCGAGACGTCTTCTTTCCAACAGCCTTCTTGTTTTTTCTGCGAGTCTCTGCTCTGGCTTTTCTTTGATGCTGCTTCTCCTTCTGCTGCTGCTGCTGCTGCTCCAGCTTCTCCCGCTGCTTCTCCTGCTGCATGTTTTTCGTCCCTTTTGTTTTTTCCTTGCCACTATTTAAGCTCTTGTTGTTTGAAAACACATCTTTCTTTCTCTCTGGTACCTTTAATCCTTCCTTCTCCAATAGTTTGAAGTACTGTTTTTTAAGTCTGGCCTTCGTTGTTAATGAGCTTTGAATTTGTTGTCGTTTGGCTTCATATCGGTTGTGGGGCCTTCTGTTTGTCCAGTTACCTTTACTCACAAAGCCTTTCCCGTTTTTCATTATATACTAAGCAATGTTTCCTGTCTTCTCAATGTTCCCCTGTTGGTGCACTGTTATCTTCGATTCTCGTTTTATTACCTCTTTGAATTTTTTTTTCTGTTGAGATTCGGTACACGTGATTGAAATTCAGTAAGCATATATAGATTAGTTCTCCCTTATAGATCCCTATTTTGAAGTGAAAATTAGGGAGAAATTGAAGATAATTTAAAAAGGTGACTAAAAGGAACAGACTGTAAGACTACAGAGTAGCAAATATGGCTTATTTCCAAGGGGAAACGAGCTTTTCAGACGTCACGTTACCCACCTTAAATAGGGAGATTCCCAAGATTTTCTTTCCTCCATTTCGGGTAATCCTTTCTCTTCAATTTGAATATTTTACCGATAAACTATTGCTCATCTTTTCGAACAATAACATTTTTCCAGCTTCTTTATCTGCTCTTCTAACCTTTTGTTACTTTATTTCAATTTGAAATGCTTCAACATCCTCCAATTAAAAAGCTATCTTCGATCCAAAGAAAAACTGTGCCTTCAAGATCTTTTTCTGGTCTTCCTTCCCAATCAATCCCTCAACTGAATCAACAACTCCAATCACATTCTCAGTCACATTCCCAATCTTCAACAACCTACCCTTTTGTTAAACCTTCCCTAATCAATTCTCTTCCAACTGTTTCCACTGGTTCTTCCTCTATCGATAAACTATTACAGCATGGAGGCTTACCAATTGGCTCTTCTCTTTTAATCGAGGAAAAAAAAAATTCAGATTATAACTCTGTTTTAATTAAGTTCTTCATATCACAAAGTATTATCCAAAATCAATCCTTTAAAAATTCAAATCATTTAATATTAATTAATCACGATACTTCTTATTTAAACAATCTACCTAATTTATATATATCTTCAGATGATAAAAAAAAAAAAAAAATTTTAAATTTTAAAAACTTGGAGAAAAAAAATTTAATTGGCAACCAAAATGACATCTCAATTATTCATAACAATTCAAATAATAATGACATGAAAATTGCCTGGAGATATTCAAAAATTACACCACAAAGTTCCCCATCACAAATCGCAAATTCAATAGATAATATTTACTGCTCAAAATTTGATATTAGATCTTCTTTATCTCCTGATCCTTCCAACTTTTCCTTTTTATCAATTGACCAGCGTGATACCTCAATTTTTATCAAGAATTTGTTTACTTTAATATCAGATTTAATATCTAAAAACACAAATATTATTATAAAATTAATTCTACCAAATTTACTTAATCCTTCTTTGTATCATCCAATTTTGTTTCAATCTTATAAAATCTTACCCATCTTGATATCTTTAAAAGATCTACTAAAAAAATTTCCTAAGAATCTAATTCTAGTTTCCTCAATCTCGTCTGATTTACTACCAAGAAATTCTGGTCTCCTATCAATAATTAAATCTCATGTTTTTGATACAATATTTCAATTGGTGCCTTTCGATCAATCTCTAATAAAATTGCTACAAAAAAATTATCCAAAATCAAGTTTAAATTTAGTCCCTCATGGGTTTTTCAATATTTTAAAGGTTTCCTATTTATCTGACGTTAAGGCTTTGAATGTCACAAATACAAACCAGTTAACTTTTAAAAATACAAAGCATGGTTTTCAAATTGATACCTTAGAAAACCACCAAGTAATTTAATCTTGTATATGCTTGATACTTCTATAAATTTATACCCTTATATATCGCAATACACGATAATATCATTATCTTCACTTTTAAACATGGACTTTTAAACATGGGAGATAAAAACTGATCACAGAATTTCTACGTGCTACAATAGTGTAATAAGCTTTTCTATATTAGCTAGGATAGAATACGAGTCTTTGGTTATTACTGGGTTTTGTCTATATTATTATTGGTGGATAATATGTATTTAGCTATTTATATTAAAACTTATTCCTTGATTCTTTTTTCTTTCTAATTATTCTTGTCTTCTGCCTCTTTTATATTGTAAAAGAGATACTCTTTTTGGGGCAATCAGTACTTGTGGCTAGAGCACAATTTGGGGCTAAAAACTAAACTGAGACAGTGTATTACGTAACAAAGTCATGTGTTAGTGGAATAACAAAATAGGTTTTTTTCGTGATCAAATCCTGCTTCCAACATCAACAAATTTAAGTTTCTACTGCAACTTTCAAAACACTATTTTATTTATTTACTGAAATAAGAAGAAATTTTAAAAACATCGTTAGATTTTGCTTCATTTATTGAAAACAACAAAAAAATATGATATAAAAGATATGTCTGAAGATATATTTTTTACTCAAAGAAATAATCATATTAACACCGACAGTGTTGAGAATACAAAGAACAACTCAACTCAAGTTAATGAGTATAATGAAACGCAATTCCACTCTTTACCGAGTTTTGATAAACATTTACCTATGGATATTGACGATATTGAAATAATCAATCAGAACTTTGATATTGACTCTCAATTAACACAGTCCTATAAAAACTCTCATCAAAATGATTTATATAGCTTTCCCAATACAAATCCTCAAATTAATGGATTAACTGCTGGTGTGATTGACGAGATTATCTTAAAAAATTTTATGTGTCATGACCATTTTTCTTTGAAATTGGGGCCAAAGATTAATTTCATAATAGGTAGCAACGGTAGTGGGAAATCTGCAATTCTTACTGCGATTTCTATTTGTCTTGGTGCAAAAGCTGCTGTTACAAATCGGGGAACTTCTTTAAAAGATTTGATTAAAGATGGAAAAAATGTTTCAAGAATTTCAATTATCTTTAAAAATGAAGGACATGAAGCCTATGAATTTGAAAAATTTGGTGACAGAATTGTTGTCGATAGGATCATCAAAAGAGATGGAAAATCATCTTATTCAATCAAGAATTTTCAAAATAAAATTATATCCACTAAAAAAACTAAATTGGATTCAATTTTAGATTCTTTCAATATTTCAATTGATAACCCAATGACTTTTTTAAATCAAGACGCTGCAAAAACGTTTTTGCAAACAACAAATGATCATATCAAGTTTAATTATTTTAAAAAGGGTATATTAATGGAGACAATGACAACAAATTTTATTTTGACCTCTGAACATTTTAATAAAATTTCAAATGATTTGCAAACTTTGAAACTTGAAATTTTGAATTTAAAAAGTGATTGCCTTGCTGCTATGGAATTATTTGAAAAACTAAATAAATCGGATGATTTGATAAAACAAAAACGAGCATTCAATGGAAGATTATCATGGGCCGAGGTTTTATTTAATGAGAATTTGATTTTAAAAATGCGGACTCAAAAAACAAATATCGATAGTAAAGTTAAACTATTTGAATTGGATGTTTTAAAAATTAAGAAAAATATGTCGAAATTCAATCAAGAAATTGAAATAATAACTCAACAGTTGTTGCATTTTGACAATAAAAAAAAGGAGCTATTGAAATTTCAGAATATAATACATGAAAAGAGAAACAATCTATTAAACAATATTCAACAAATAAAGGATCAAGCTAGTGAATGCGAGAATTCGATTAGAAAAAATGTAAGCGAGATTAATAATTTAAATCTCAGAATTAATAATGAACAAAAAAAACTAGACCAAATCAATGGTGGATCAAGGGAAATATTACTGGATAGAGTAAACCAGCTAGATAATGATAATGAAAAGGTTTTAAAGCAAATAACGGATTTACAGAAAGAAAAAATGAAAGTGGACGAAAAACAAGAACTGATTGATTCTGAATTTAATAAAAATATTAAAGATAATATAATGAAAATCAAGGATCTCAGAAACGACATTATAAAATTGAATAGGCTAAAAACAAACTCATTGGAAGCATATGGAGATAATATTAGTAATCTTGTAAATGAATTAAAAACTGGTAAGAAGAATCGATTTATTGAAAAACCAATTGGACCATTAGGGTTATATATTTCAGTGAAGCAGCAATATGTGACATGGACTAGTATATTAGAAGTATTTTTGAATAAGTTTTTGGACTCATACCTTGTTGAAAACAGCAATGACCAAAAAGAGATGAACGGTTTGCTACAAAAATATAAAATAAATAAACAAGTAATTGTTAGAAGTAATGAAAAATTTACTTTTAGAGATGGATTGCCGGAGAAAAAATATTTGACAATTTTGGATGCACTAAAAATTGAGAATGAAAATGTCAAGTATACATTGATTGATTTTTTAAATGTGGAGTCAACAATATTAGTGGAGGATAGAAATGAAGGTAGTAAAATAATTCAAGAAAGACCGATTAATGTTAAGCAAGCTTTATCTTTAGGAGTTAATGGGGGAATTAAAATGTTGATTAATCCTGTTAATAATTCATTTCGATCTGATCCAATTTATGTAAATAAAAGTTATTTAAATAAACTTGGAGTGGATAATAGTTCGATTGAAAAACAAAACAAAGTTGAAACTAGTATCAAGAGGCTTGAAAGTGAGATAGCAAATATTGAAAAGGATAATCAATTGATTAAAGATGAGTATCGAAAACAGTTGGAGAAAATCAAACAAGACTCTAGATATCTTGAACGAAAAATATTTGAGCTGAAAGTTGAAAATCAAAAAATGGAAAAAGAAATTTATAAATTGAGAAATAAAATTGAAGAAAATAACGATGGGTTTGTTTTACAAACGTATATTGAACGAAGGAATTTATGTGAAAATGAGAATGAAATTTTCAAACAAAGTATAGAGGGAATGAAAGAAGAAATAAGCAAAACTGAAGAAAAACTATTATTAGTGGAAGAAGAAAGAAACAAATTGAAAAGAGATATTTTGGTTGTCAACGAAAAGATCGAGGGAATAAAAACCGAGAATAAAAAGATTCGTGATAAAATCGAGCAAAGTAGCTATAGTCAAGTGGAATTAAACGAACGAATTGAAAAAGGGAAGTCAGTGTTGAAAAAAATTGAGAATAAAATTTCTGAAGTTGAAGAAGATACAAGGTTAATGATAAAAAATGCTGAAAAGTGGTGTAAAAGAAATGATGTGAAAGATGATATTGAGAACGAGAGCCGAGAGGAAATAGAAAGAAAATTGAAGAAGATCGAAGAATTGATTGAAAATAACCGAGAAAAACTAGGGATGTCAGATGAAGAGATTATCGAAAACTTGAAAAGAAAACGAGATAAATATCATCAAGCGTTGAAAGAATTTGAAGAAACAAGTATCATGTATCGAGAGTTGCAGAATTCATTGAGAGAAAGAATTGAGTTTGCAGGAAGCACGATGAAAATGTACTGCTTAGATGCAGAGAGAGAGTTTTCTTATTCATTGCAACTAAGAGGATTTGAAGGTATTTTGAAGTTTGATCTTGAAAACGAGGAATTGCAAATGTTGGTCTCTACAAAGCCAGATGAAGAAGCAAGAAGGATCGATTCGCTCTCAGGGGGAGAAAAATCTTTCACCCAAATTGCACTACTCTTGGCGATTTGGAAGCCTATGAAGTCGAGAATTAAAGGGCTAGACGAGTTTGACGTGTTTATGGACAATGTGAACCGGAAAATAGCAACAAAGCTACTCTTGAACAACCTCAGCGACGGCAACCAATCCATTCTCATCAGTCCTCAGGACTACAGCAGCTTTGAGATGGGCGAAAACGTCGTGATCCACAAAATCAACAAAATCAGTGTGTGAGCAGACCCAGAACGGTGGTTTTGCGAGGGGCGCCACTGCAGTGGTCTCGTTCTTCCCGGGGTTTGAGCCAAAGCCTGATCTGGCTGTAGTCTTATTCATCAATTAGCTAAGGTTTGTCCAGCTCTTTACTCTTCACCTCCATCTTCACCTCCTCACCCTCACCTCCTCAAGCCTTTTAGCATCCTCTTCGCATTTTATGCTTTTTTCTACGACAGAGTTCTAAATAATTATTGGATACCCGTCTATCAATTTGTTTGCCATTTAATATTCTTTGCGCCTTTCCTCTTCGGTTTTTTTTTGATTTTTACTCAAGTCCGTTACTGGAATAGTATTCTCATGCCTCCAGCCAATACCACCACTTCTGGTTCAATCCATGCCTCCTCATTGAATTTGCAAAACTCCAACGAAGCCTCTGTTCGACCTGCTTCTTCCATTTCCCTTACAAACAACATCTATAATACTCATAGTCTCCCTCTGGACCTGAGAGAAAATGACGATGAGAAATCAAGGCAGATTAAATTGAATTTACAGCTACCGCCTGTGAAGCATAGACCAAATGCAAAACACGTTAGTAGAGCTTGTTTACAATGCAGAGCAAGGCATTTAAGATGCGATGGAAATCTACCGATTTGTGGAAGATGTTCTAAATCTGACAAAACATGCACCTATGTTAAATCTCACCGGGGTGGTTCCAGAAGAAGAAAAAGACAGAAAAACAACAATATCTCCACTCATGACACTAATGACAATGCCAGCGATGATATTGCTGTTGCAATCAATGGAAATCTAATTGAAGCGAAAGAGATGTCAATTACTCCTCTGGAATCCAACACTGAGATTGATTTCAATAAATTTTCCAAGAATTTATCCTTTGATCAAATGCTAAAGATGCCCTGTGTGACTGGAGCCACCAATGAACCTTGTCCTACTTCTAATTGTCCTGTATTTGATCATTCCACTAACTCGCAGGTTAGAGATTTCGATTTACCTTGCCTAAAAAGAGATTCAAACAACAAAGTCACCAGTGTAGAATTTCCTGGTTTTACAAACCCTTCTCAAAAAATTATATTGGATAGTCCTATTGACGGGCATGACCTAGATTTACAGTTAGAAATACATAAAAGACTTCTTAAACATCCTTTATCTTCTTCCAATTCTTTCAGTGCAAAAAGCGAAAATTCTAATGAAAATTCAAATAAAAATTCAAATGAAAATTCTAATGACAATTTTAACGAAACTTTTAACGAGACTTTTAATGGCAATTTCAATCATGATTCTGAAAATTTGCTGAAAATTGACATTCTGTTATCCAGTATTTATTTTTCTACCAGTAATTTATTGGACTTTGGTATCGTGGACCAAAAATTAACCGTCCAGCTATACTACTCGAATTTTCATAACATTCATCCTTTTCTACCTCCAAAAGAAGTCTTTTTACAAAATTTCAACAATATATCTTATAAAGATGATTTAATATTTGCCATGAAACTAATTATTGATGGCCAAACAACTTCAAAATATGCAAACTCCCCTAATTTAGTTTCAGATAGAGTGAATCAATGTTTACACTTAATCAATAAATCAACTTATGACTCAGATCTAATAGCTTTGCAAGCTTTGCTATTGTTATCTTTAGTCGCTCATATTTCTTCCCTACATGACTTAAGCCGGTACTTAAGAGAAAAGTGCGTCAAGTTTGCTGTTGATTTAGAACTCAATTACATCGATAAGGAGCACCTTCAATTGAAGCCTGATACCAACAATTTAAATAATCCTAATCAAACTTGGGACGCATTATCAATCAGAAATAGTGTCGATCATGGGAATGATAATGAAAGCTCTATATATAATAACAATATTGGTATATCTAAAAATAAATTCAGTGGTTTCGCAGGGTCAATGAATATGACACCAACCAGTTCAGATGAAGCTTGTTCTCCTGAAATACAACAAAAACTCAGAATTTTTGATTCCCAACGTCTAAAGAACATTCCTTGTGAAGCGCTAATAGATTCTGCTAGAAGGTTGTTTTGGGAGTTATATATGCTTGATATCTGCATTGGTTCGGCAGATGGAAAAACTTTATCAAAGTTGGCTTCCTTGCCTATATACGTTAACTACCCGAACCTACCAACACCAGATCAGTTCGATTATAAAGGTCGTTCTGAAGCAACAAAATTAGTCAACGATGTTATTAGGATGAATATTGCTATAATAGAACAAAAACCTTTTAATTCATATTTAATTCAGGCTACTGCTGCTCTAGGCAATTGGGAAATGAGATTAGAAGACCCGACTTTATTCCAGTCTCCATATCTAATCAATGAGTTTGGTGAAATCAATGAAGGTGTTCATCAAGCCATTATAATGTTTCACTATGCCAACATATTTCTACACCGTCCATTTTCTTATCTTTGGAAAACTGAAGTTCCAAAAATCCCTCGATGTACCAACTTGGACTCCTCAGACTCAATGGTGTACCCTGATAAAATAGCATCGAGAAAGATAATTGAAACGAGAAAAACTATTGATGCTGCTAACTCAATTGTGAAACTATTAATAGATACCAATGCTTCAAAAATCAATAAAAGAACTCCATTATTTGCTTGCTCGTTAGCATCTGCTAGTTTGGTTCATCTAAGCGCTTACATTTGGGTTGGCTCGATTCTAGATGGTGCTCAAAACAGAAGTGCTAACCCAATTTTAAATTTTGATAGATCTGAATTGAAGCTTTATGGAGAATATATCAAATTAGAGTTAATTGGAATATATTCTATATCAAAGCACTGGCATTTATCGTGGAAGTTGGCGCTTCACATTAGAGATTGCATTAAAAAACTCACGCCTATCTTATATGAAACCTTAAAAGAATCGTTGCCTTCTTCATTAGTGCAAAACTCTTTGAAATCTGTGCCACTGGCATCATCTTCTGTGACGGCTTCAACAAATCAAAGTGAAAGTGACACGAAACGATTACCCACAAGCTCGGACTTTCAATTAAATTTAAACCAATATTCCTCTGTTTCAATGGCAAACAATTCAGATAATAATAACTCTACAAATAGTTTTATATTCAACGATATTAGCTCGCTGAACAACACAAGCATACCCCAAACTTTCATGAATCCTAAAGATTCATTATTTTCTACAAACAATAGTAATAGTGATTCATTCGATAATAACAGCGACCACAGTAGAACAAATAAAGATAGTGTGCAATCAAATAGTAATACAAATAGTAATACAAATAGTAACAATTTTGAAGGGAATATAAATGAATTTATGGACAATTCTATATTTAATATTGAAACAATCAATAATTTTGAGCCTTTGTCACCAATATCAGAGACTGGGTGTGACTGGATTGATAAAAATATTTTTGACCATTCAGAATTGAATTTTGAATTTGATTTGTAGTATACTCATATTGAGCACATATTATAGAATACTATTATTTTAAAAACTTCCTAACACCTTTCTATACATTAATATATTTTTCTTTTAGCGTTTTCTATATTCTGTATTTTTTTATTTAAAAATATACAGCTTAATTCGGCCTTATTTTTTATTTCTGTACTTATAATCTACCAAGAGCTAGATAACTATAAGGAAAATAGAAAAGAATTAAAGCTTTGATAAAGTCTGCCAAATTCGTGTTCGAAATAAATTGAAGAGACAACATTAATAAAACAATTTCAGAAAATTTTTGCAAAGGAAAAATAAAAAATATTTTATATTTTCTAAAACAATTAACCCATGACAGGTTAAAAAGAAACTTGAAATAATTGATTGTTTCATCAAAACTGTAAGAAAAAATCAACAAAGAGTAACTCCAATGTCTTGTAATCCTTTTATAGTTAATTAATACTACCCAGATAATGAACATTAAATTTAAAAACTTGAAAATTTTAAAGAATATTCTGCTCTTCCTGATTTTCAAAATGGAAAAGGAAAATAGTACTTCCGACAAAGTGGAAATTGTAGCAACAACATGAAAAAAATCAGATATTCCTCCAGGTAGAAACTTTCTTCCAACCAAAGGCAATAAAATCAATAACCTAGATAAAACACAAAACCACAAAAAAAAGAACACCATATTATTAAAGAAAACTAATCGCTGAGTAAATTTAATTTCCAGTTGCTTTTTTTTCCGAAGATGAGCTGGGTTCCTCGATTGAATTTTGAATTCTGCATGTTGAAGATAATCAGCGGTAATTGGATTTTGAGAAGAATCTGGAAAGGAAGCAAAGCTCATTTATTTGGTTGATTGTTGATTGTTGTTAATTTTCAAATATTAACTGAGTTCAATGTTGATGCCTAATCTTTTCACCAAGTTGAAATACGGTGGTTGTTTATCTTTACAAATGTCTCGACTAAGGTTTTTAGCACCTGACCTTATTTCCAATGAGAAGGACCCATTCAGTTTGAAAGTGGAAAAAAAACAAAAGCACCTTCTGATAATGTCCAGCTTGTGTGGCCCAAAAAAAAAGAGTATCAGACAATTCAATTAGGCTAAGATAATATTTGGATTACGTGCTTTGAGACCTCTGAAGACCTCTGAAAAACCAGTTTTGGTTTTTCAACCACAAAAATTGCTGATAATGTTCAGTTCTCAAGAAGCATACGGGCTGCATCTTATCTGTTTTTTTCGCAAAACCAAACTGAGGCTGAAATGCCATCAGTATCAGATCAAAGCTATTCAACATACGTCAAAATAACATATCGAGATAACTAGATATAATCGGTAGGAGAATATTCTATTTATATTTGATTTTTTTGATTTGATTGAAAATTAATATGGCCAGTTTAGTTATTAAAAGAAAATATTAAAAATGTAAAACTTAGGGGAATTAGAAAAAATATAGTATAATATATGCACAAAATCTAAAGAAAAGAAACTAATTGGCTGAAATGATGGTCTAGTAAAAACCTGAAAACATTTTTTATAAGTTTGTTTTGGCAACCATGATCTAATAAACACAAAAAGTATTTTCGTGTTGTCTGGTTGGATTACAATATTTTTTTACAAAGCACAGATCGAAAACCATTGGCTTTAGAACTTTTTTTGAGTTTGGACAATGGTTTTACCATAATGACTGAAGAAAGAACCCAGTGTGGTGGTGCTCAAAGATTTAGCATACTATTAGGGCTATAACACTATATAGCCCTGGTTATTTTCACATGCTTCAACGTTTCAAATGAAAAGTGTGACTTGCGAAGCGGACCAGCCCAGCTCTGACTACCGGCTTTTCGAGCGAGATTGTGATAACAGCAAGTTGGAAAATAAAATCTGTAGCTGCTAATCTTCTTCTACCTCTTGATATAATTCAGCACAAATAATTCTTGGTTAGAAAGAAGCATTATTTTATATTGCAGACGAATCCAAGATGCAAATTTTTGTCAAGACCTTAACAGGTAAGACTATTACCTTGGAAGTTGAATCTTCTGATACAATTGATAATGTTAAATCCAAAATTCAAGACAAAGAAGGAATTCCACCAGATCAACAAAGATTGATCTTTGCTGGAAAACAATTAGAAGATGGCAGAACTCTTTCAGATTACAATATCCAAAAAGAATCCACTTTACATTTAGTCTTAAGATTAAGAGGTGGTGGTAAGAAAAGAAAGAAGAAAGTTTACACCACTCCTAAAAAGATTAAACATAAACACAAGAAAGTAAAATTAGCTGTTTTAACCTATTATAAGGTTGATCAAGATGGTAATGTTGAAAGATTAAGAAGAGAATGCCCATCTCAAACTTGTGGTGCTGGTGTATTTATGGCTAACATGAAGGATAGACAGTACTGTGGAAAATGTCACATTACTTTCAAATTAAAAAAATAAAATAGTTGTTGAACTAAACATTTAAATTATTTACATGTTATATATTTTGACTGTTTGTAATTTATATAATTTTCTTTAACATAGGATTTGTTTCTTGCAACTTATAATTTCAAAAATGTAAAATATAGAAAAAGTGATATCTACTGGTAAATATCAGTTTCAATCTTACAGAGTTTTCAATTAAGTTAGAGCTATGACAAATAATAGTAGATATGTAGCAAACCACATTGTATATTATAAGATTTATATTGTTAATATATACAGGAAACACCATTAGGTTTTTTTTTTGCTTTATGATTTTAGAAAAACAAAAAAGAAAAAAAAAGAAATCAAAAAAAAATATTCTTTTAGATGCTAACAGTAAAGAACACAAAAATAAATGAATAGAATATAAAATTATAGAATAAACCGAAATCATGAGCGACCGATCAAAAAAGAACAAATTGAAAACGAATAAGCCAGAGAAAAAACACAGAAAAAAAATAAAAGGGCTTTTGATTAAATGCAAAAACAACAAAAATTTAAAATTAAGTTCTAATCTTTGATTTGAAAATAGAGAATATAATAACAGAAAGCATTTTGGTACATCTTATTATAATTTAGCGGGATTAGGTTTAATATTAGCTACCTGTTTGAGAATTTCATCAAATCCTGCTTTACCCAATTTGGAATTGGAATCAAACCTTTCAACACTCCAATCCTCAATTTTATTGCACAATTTTTTAAATGAAGCATATGCTGTGATTTGTGCTTCTTGTAAAAAAATTGTTTTGGTTAAAGGTTGAATAGGATCAGGTTTATAAATAACAGTTTCGTAAACTGATAATACTTTATTCATTGTCAAATTAATTGACCTCATGGTTAATTTTTGATTTTTTGGGTCGATTTCAGAAATCTCTCTGACATAAGACTTGTCTTTTCCACCAACTAAAACTAGTAGCCATGAAGGAATTTGCTGCTGGCATGTTATCAATCTTTCAGTTCTTAGAATACCAGTTTGAGGATCTACTTCTCTTCTCAAAACATCAACTGCAACCACATGAGCAGATTTATTATTGGGGTACTTCTTCCAATTGGCAAAGGAAACCAAGTTCCATGAATAATTAAAAGATTGTTGAGATTCAAATATCTTCATCTTCTGTTTCAATCTTCTGATTTTGTGTTTCTGTTCAAGTTTAAAAATAACAACTTTTGAACAGTGCCTTTATATAACACCAATAATAAAAGTTTTGAGTGAAAAAGATCCAGAAGATATTTTTTTCAGTGAAATAACCTCTCTTATCATAAACAAAATAAAATAAAAAACAAAAACATCTTTTCTGCGCAGACCAGAAAAAAGAAGTAAAATTTGTCACCAGAAGTTCTGCGTATTCGGCGACAGGTTCTCATCCAGCCGGCTTGGGGGCTGCTTAATGACCAATGAATGCAGCAGCCAATCAGCGTGCTGGAAACAGTCATTGTACTATCACATGTAATTACGGTCGACGTTATGTAAGCATGCGTGACGCTCATTTGAATGGTTGCTTCGGTTCACCACAAATCGTTTCTTCTCTTCTCGTCCTTATCTTCTAGCATAGATACTATTGTTCGAGTACCACAACTATCTTGTGAGAATCGCAAAATCCAAACCTAATTTTACTTAATGAATAAGACCCACAAAATGCTTTGCCGACCTAACAAAATTTATACTATTTGGTGTGCATTCTTTTTTCATTGAGCATTTCTCAATTGCCAACAGTAAACAATCAGTATTGAATAGTGGGTCTGAAAATATGTCAAGTATAGTCCTGATATATATTTATCACGTGAGCTATTAAGTGTTTTGAAACGTCGCAGCAAGTGACTGATTTTGGCCAGTTCTATTCATACAAGTTTTGTTTATTCAAAAAGTGATTTTATATCACGTTCTTTTAAATATATCTCATTTTTATCACTCTTACATGCGCTTGCTCACTGTTTTTTGTTTGAAAAACCTATTCATATTGAGATCCAAAAATTGTCTTGTCAATTGGCATGCTTTTGACAAAAAATTTCTTCATAGACACCTCTCAAGATTATGAACATGGAAAGAATCATCGTAAATTTGTTCCACAATAACTATAATATTCATTCATGACAATTGCAAATACTCAAAACAACAATAATAATATTGACTGCAATAACATCGGTATTAAAAATACCAAGATTGCTGTCTCTGAAGTCAAACCACCAGAATTTCATTCAGTGAGTCCCAAAGAAAATGATGCATTTATTGAGGATTTTCTTCAACTAGACCAACCGTTAATCGATGATATTAGTTCTAAAAAAAGGGAATATAGCCAAATCTGTCTGGATGATGAGAACATTGATTTATTTTTAAAACAATTTGATGAAATAATGCAGGGAAACAATACATTTGTTCATGGCACCAACAAATCTTCATCTGAGAATAGTTTTTCTTCACAATCTCAAGATCCCTTATTATTTATGTCCAATAATAATGAATCTTTGGCTCAAACTCCCTTATCTTCAATATTTTCCAATCTTGATCGAAAAAATGTTGATATCGATGCATATAAAAATTTGCTAAAAAACTACAACAGATTGAGATCAAAATTGGTGAATCAAAATAAAATTATAGTTACATATGATAAGCTAAAAGAATCATATTTGCATATATATAATAGTTTTCTAATTGTCATTGATGCATTGAATATTAATGAGAAAAAAAGAATACAACTACAAAGAGAAAATGATGAGTTAAAAGATTTTGTTTCTAGCAAAAGTGACTGCTCATACTATTTGGACAATCCAGGGTACAAAGATTATATCTTAGAACAAAAAGAAAAACTCAAAATTTTGAGGATGAAAAATAATAAAAACAAAATAAGTAAAATCGATAATAACAGAGTTTCTAAAAGAAAAAGACCAGCTTCCGAAAAATTCTCAAAATCTGAACATTTTGAAACAATTAATTTGGAAAAGAATGGAAACCACAATGAGAATGAACTTTTATATCAATCTTTATATGATTATTGTAGAAGTATATAGATATATATGTATTATAATTGAATTATATAGTTGAATAATGGTAATTGGATTTTTATCGATTATTTAAATATTTTTTTTTTTTTTGTATTTATTTTTTCGTTATTTTTTGACTTTTTAAGAAAAAAACATTATCCAGAAAAGCATTATATATTTAATATTATATATATTCAGTCAGTCATAAGGATGAAAAATCAATCTTTTATCTCTCTTTCAAAAAGCTATTTTTCTTTTTGATAAAAGACCAGAGTGTTTGGTAAAGCTTTTCATTGGTTTGAACCCCCATTTTCTTAACATCGCTTTATCTTCATCCCATCCTGTACACATTGTCGTAAGCATTTTTTTTCCAGTAAAAATTGCATTAGCACCAGCCATGAAACATAAAAATTGTTCATGCTCCTTCATTGTATATCTTCCTGCTGCAATTCTTATTATACTTTCAGGCATTATCATTCTTCCAGTCGCAATTGTTCGAAGAATAGAATCAAATGTTAAACTTTTTGTAGAATGAGCAGCTGCTTTAGGAGTCCCCTCAATTTCAACTAATCTGTTTATAGGAAGAGATTCTGGATGTTTCTTCATATTAGATAGTGTGTACAAAAAAGATATATGATCATCTTCAGTTTCCCCTAAACCTAAAATACCTCCTGTGCAAGCAGAAATTCCAACTTGATTAACATTATCGATGGTTTTCAATCTATCATCATAGGTCCTTGTTGTGATCACATTAGGATAATGCTCCCTTGAAGTATCAATGTTATGGTTATAACAGGTTAAATTTGCATCCTTCAAAACCTGTAGTTGTTCCTTTTCAATCATACCCAAAGTAACACAAGACTCCATACCTAAATCATTGATCCCCTTAATCATATCAGCAATTCGTTTAAGAGCGCTTTTTCTCCCATTCATATCTCTCCATGCTGCTCCAAGACAAAATCTAGTACTACCGTTGGCCTGAGCTTCTTTAGCAGCCTCTAAGACATCATTGACTTTCATCATCTTTTCCGCCTTAACACCGGTATCATATCTTGAACTTTGAGCGCAATAAGAACAATCCTCTGAGCACCCACCTGTTTTAATTGATAATAGGGTACATAATTGAATCTCTTTTGGATCATGAAAGTTACGATGAACAATCATGGCATGATGCATCAAATCTGGAAGTGAAGCATTGTATATTTTTTTAATTTGCAGTTTAGTCCAATGGTGATAGGGTTTTTCAAGTGAAGTGGCAAATAAAACTGGATCTTCATCAATTTCATTTTCAATACCAGTCTTATTAGGTGTATTTTTAACATCTTCGCAAGACTCATAAAATGATTTGTCCAAAGTTTGATGTTTTACACTAAACTTGGAGGGTTTTTTGAAAATCGGATCAAGAGCAGGAGAAGAATAAAACTTCTTTATACAAAGAAATTTTAATGATGAATTTGAATATAAGGACAAACTTCTTAATGAATTATAGGACATCATGTTCAAGAAAGAAATAAGTTGAATACTTGTTTTACTAGTTTTGCTTGTTAGAGTTGTTAAAATTATAAGAATCGGAAAATAAAAAAAGGGATTTTAAGCAAATAAAATAACTGGAAAAAGAAATTAAAAAATTCTGAGCCCATACAAAAATTTGAACCACTATAACAAGTTTTTCTTGAGTTCCAGGACTCTAAAACTAAGATTGAGCTTTTAGATGATAGTATTACTCCAGAAAAGAAATGATTGGTTAAAAACATGCTGATTGTGATAAAATGACTATCTAGTTACCGCTTTAGGAAATTATAGCTAACTTGTTTTATGTTCAAAAACAATTATCAGATTTTTAATTAAATCTTAAGCGAATATTCACTTTTTTGTTGAACCAATAAAATTAACTTAAAAGAAAACAAACATCAATAAGTTTTATCTTATGATTGGTTGTTTGTTTTGTTAGTAAAACAGGATTCCTGGTAATTAAAATAACTCAATAGTCAAATCTATTGCTCTACAAAATTCAAACTCAAATGCTCCTATAGCCCTCATTAAATGTTTTGTTAAAAAAAAAGCAGCCACTAGCTAATAGTCTTTGTTAACTGCCTGAAGTTTCAGAGGGAGCAGTTTTTCAGAGAATTGTAGAGTATTAATTCTGGAAATAAAAAATATGACTAGTGTAATTACCAAAATAGGAAATATCAGAAATGCAACTGACTCACGTGAGACTAAAACAGCAAACAGATTTTTTGAAGGGAAAAAACATAATCATGTAATTTAAACAAAACATAGCTCAACAAGGAATGTCTTTCGGCTCATCTTCATTTGGGGGAACTGGAACAACCAACTCAATTTTTGGAAAGTCTTCTTTCGGGACAGGCAACTCAAATTCTGGTACACAGTCTTCTTTCGGGGCTTTTGGGAACACACAAAACAATTCAGTTTTCGGAAAATCAACGTTTGGGTCAGGAAGTAACAACAACACCCAAGCATCGCCATTTGCAAGCTCTAATTTCAATAACAACAACTCTAATTCTATATTTCAAACATCTCAAACCTCAAACTTTGGCAACTCAAGTTTTGGCATTGGGAACACTCATTCAAGTAGTAATAATTTTCTGCCATTTTCTTCTTCTAATCAGAAGAGCGACATTTCCAACGCCACCAATTCAGCTTCTCCTTTTGGATCACTTGGGAATTCCAAACCAGAAACCAATAAAAGTTCTCCTTTTGGTGCTTATAGCACAAATAATAATTCTATATTCGGTTCATCATCTGGAACAAACACAAATAATCTGCCATTTGGAAGCTCAACATTTGGAAGCTCAACATTTGGAAGTTCAACATTTGGAAAAAACAAAAGCGAAAAAAACAGCGATTTTTCAACCATAAACAATCCATTTAATACCTCTTTTGCAAATACTATAAATAATCTGAATGCAAATACTATAAATAATCTGAATGCAAATCCATTTCCATCTGGTAACACAACTGGGAACAAATTTGATATTTTTAAGAAAAATGAACCCTCTCCATTTGGGTCATTTGGATCAAATAACAGTTTTTCAAATGCTTCTCCATTCAACAGTACTAATTTTAACAATAAACTGTCGCCGTTTGCGTCTTTGGAAAGCACCAATAACTCGGCTTTTTTGGAATCAAAACCAAATCTGGGTATAACAGCTGGAAATCCTTTTGCATCTTCATCAAAGTCTATTTTTGGAGATCGCACAGACCCAGAAAAAAGAAGCAATGCAAAGAGCGATAATATAATATTCAAACAAGCCAGCGATGAGATTCAACGAGTTTCTTTAGATAGTTTGGATGAAGAAACAGTTAGGCAATATACTTTAGACAAATTTGAAAGAGGGAAAATACCGGAAATTGCACCTCCGATAAAAATCTGCTAATGGTGTAGGTGTCTCTTATTATTTCATTATGTTTGATCCAATCTGCTTTTCTGTGCACTTTTCTGGAAATTCTTTGCACATAATGCTCTTTCCCTAGTAATACCAGATACACATATGTTTTATTTTCGGGCCATATTCGCTGAAACGCCCTGATGGCGCTAGGCCAGGGGCTGCCATCGTGTCCAAAAACTCTGCCATCGTATCGAATGAAGTTCTGCAAAAACTGGGCCCTAAAGGACAACCCTTTGGCACAGTTTTTTTGCATCGCTTATTTCCAGAGTGGATGCACTTTTCAAACACTGAGAAACACCACCCTAGACTTTTCCGCACGTGACTCCCATAAAATTTTTTCCTTTTTTCTGATCAATAGCTTGATCAATTGTGCTGTGCCATGCTTTGCGAGACAACTATTTAATCAGTTATTGGTATCATTGGTGCTGCTATCAAATATTTGGTTTTGCTTCTACATCGTTGGTAATATGTTGTAGTGATCAATTAAAACATTGATTTGAACCGGAGATTCCTAATCTTAATTGCTAATAACCAAGGTGTTATATTTACTGGAGTAAATCCTTTTTGTTTTTCAATTCCCAATTAGCAGGTATTTTCTCTATAATTAACCATAGCTTTTGATCAAAAGAAATTTTAATAAACCCACATAAAACCTGGAGGTAACTTAAATAGAATAAAAGGATACATATTTGAACAGTTCCTAATCGAATCCACCAATTTTCAGTTCTTTAGGTGACTAACTTTTTCATCTTCTCCGATTATTTTCGGTATTTGCTTTTTTCTTTGTTTAAGTCTTACAAAAATAAATATTATCATGCCTGATCCTTTGATATTATCAATTTCCTCGGCTAAGGATAAATTAGATGAACAACTAGCATTGAGATATGTCGATGAATCTATTTTATTAGGGATAATTAATTTTACTCATTCTAAATTCAGAAACATTATTTTAAACCGTTTGAAAGAGCAAATCGTCCTGAATGAGTCAAAACAAGCCATTAACTTAAATTGTTCTACTGATACACATAAACAAAATGAATCTGTTCCAAATCTGAAAAAATCAAGTGAGCAACCAAGGGATATTCCAACTGACTTACATAGCACTTCAAATCATACCACCGAAGCTGATTATTATGATTCCAATCAACTACTTGAATATCTTTGGTTAAATTTTCATTACCCTTTACTAAAATATTTTCAATTTCAAACTCTGTCGATTTATGATGAGTCTCTACTGAAAACAAATAAAATTAATAAGACTTTGAAGAAAAAGACAAAAAGTAATTTGGAAAATAAAGATCTTATTTTCAACAAACCTATTGAAATTCGAAAAGTTTTTGAAAAATTTTCAAAGTTTTATAAAATTTTTAATGATTTTTATTTTGATCTAATTAAGCACATACTACTCAATTACAATCTATCTTTGATACTACCTCCAGAATTTTACAAATTCAATAAATTAGATTACAATCTTTCAGATGCAAAGCCTGTTAGTACCAACCTAAATATCTCAACTTTGTTGTATTTTATTTATTTTTGTCTATTATATAAAGGCGATATAACAAGATATCACTCCCTTATTAATCTTCACGTCCTAAGAGCTACTTCAAATTCATATAAACTTTTTTTGCAAAAAGTTTCTAATCTACAGTTGTTTGAAAAATCTTTGGCATTTTACAAGTATGCTTTAATGATTTTGCCATGTTTTTCGGAGCCCTATGTTCGTATTGGTATGATCACCAACAGCTTTTCTCTTTTTTCCAATGAAAATGTTAAAACAATTTTATTTGATTTTCCAAATGATAATCATCTAATCGATTTTATAAATTTGAGTAACAATGGTGATAAATTTGAAACATTATATCAACTTATTCGTGGTTCGTGCTCGAGATTATCCAATCCTCTTGGTATTATCAATGTGGAAAGATTTTTATTAGAAATCTTTTCAAGTGATAAAGTATCATATTTTGATAGATTATTCAGAAAAACAATTTTAGAAAGAGAAGAATACATTAAAGAGTTTTATAATTATCAAAATTCCTCTTATCACAATAACACTAGTTATAGTTATAAAAATAAAAAATTTGATAGAATCAATAAAAATAAATTTTTTGAAAAATATTTGAAAGCTGATTTTATAATATTATTTGGCTATTACTTTAATGTTACCAATAATTTCTCCAGCCTGGAGGAGCGTCCGTTAGATCCTAAATCACTTTCTTTCAATGGATTTTCCATCGATGATATACAGGAATCCTTTTTTAGTATTCTTCAAAACCAATTTATTTCTATCAATCAAAAAAATGTTGAGCTTGTTAACAAAATACTTATTGTTTTAATTGGTGGCTATTTTATTTTATTTTCTAAAGAAACCAAAGAGTTAAAATTAAAACCAAACAAAATTACTATTAATGATATTTCTGTTCATTTAAAAAATTACCTTTTGTTTACTTTTAAATTTTCTTTGGAAATTTTTAATTACATATTGAAAATATACAGTAAAAAATTCTTGAAAAGCAGGTATAAAAATAGCACCAAGAGTTATTCTCAATCTAATAATAACAAACTGTCTCTATTTTTAGATAGGGATAACAAAAAGTTTTTCGAGGAAAGTTTTTTTTTATTTTTGCCATTCTTAAGAATATTATTGAATTGGATAAAAGAATTTAAGATTTTATTATATTTGGTTCATCGAAATAAAGATTTTGTTCAAAAATTTGCAGAGATTTTGAATATTATTTATGAAAATTTCAATAGTTTACCATCTTGGTTAGAAAATGATCAATTGAAAGCTAATAAACCTTTAATAAATTATTTTAATCATAGACAATTAAGAGTTTATTATTTTAAAGAGGATATTGAAACTAAAGATTTCATGCCTATTGGAAATTATTTAAAAGATGTCAAAGATGATTTTATAAACGGTTCTAAATTAAAATCAATCAGACTCCTAGGAGTTCTCCCAGAGAAGGATGAGGCTTTTTTGAGTGAAATTAATTGTAGAAAGGAGAATGATATTTCAAAACATGATAACACATCTGAAGTACCTAATAATGAAGATGAAAAGAAAAATGAAAATGAAGGTGAAAATTTGGAGATTAGAAAAAAATCAGATAGCTTTGTCAAGCAATTTGAATTGGAAAGCCAATTCTTTACTAACGATTTACTGCTTTTGAAAAATGATAATCTCTCAAGAGTTTTTGCAGTTGGTTGGCTTGGAAAACGAATATTATATTCATGTTCCTGGGTTTCTTGGAATACATCATTGAACAAATTTGATTTCAAAAGAATTAATGCGTACGAGAATAAAGATGTTTTAAAAGGATTTGATCTAATGGTCAAATCTAAAAGTTGCATGAATCACGATCTGACAAATCATAGTTTATTTGATTTAAAAAAAGACAAATATAAGGTTAAATCTGAAGAGGATGGCTTAAAACAAAAATCTAGTTGTAATAACAGTATTGATAAAAATAGCGATAATAAAACTAATAAAGATAGTAGCAGTGATAACAGTAAAATTAATAATAATAATAATAATAATAATAATAATAATAATAATAATAATAATAATAATTTTACAGTTTCTGATATCAAGAATAACGAGAACAATGATATCAACAGAACAACTGAAGAACCTAATTTACAAAATAAATCAACTCAAAACGAAAAGGAAAAAATATCAAAATTGGTAGATGGAATTCTTAACGACCGAATTCCTGTGATTCAATCGTTTCAAAAAACTAATGAATCACTTATTTATTCCGAAAGTAATCAAGAGCAAGAAAAGTCTTTTCAAACAATGGTTGATCTGTTGGTCAGAGATGATGTTAGTAAGGTAGATTTATCAACAAATCAAAAATCTAATGTCCATAAAGTTGATGTTATTTCACAAGAATTGCCTTCTTCGCCTGCAAAAAATAAAAATATATGGTCAGCCTTGACTGTTCAAGCGAATGCACAGTCAAGTTTACCTTCTTCTGAGATCTCTTTAGGAGTGGATAAGTTGGCTCAACCAAATGTAATTTTACCTGTTTCTAAAAGTCAAAATCCATCTATGGCAACAATTGTTTCTGGTGAGGGTTCATTGGTAACACAGAGAAAAGCTCCTTTGTCTTTAGAAGAAATTGAAGCCTCTATGTTTTCAAACATTCAAAAAAGTACAAGTGTTCTTAATTCCAACTATTCCCAAAAATATAATTTTAATACAAATGGCAATTCATCTCTAAAGGGAACTCAGAATAATATCAATTATGGCGACTACTCCCAAAATATTGGAACACTGATCGGTTGGAATCCTGCATTCAATGGAAATCCGGCACCATATGGGTACAATTCATCAAATTTTAGCCAAAATGCGTTCTATGGACAACCAGAACAACCCTTACCATATAATTCAACGAACAATGGTCTTAATAACTATCCTGGTTATACAAACAACAAACCCTATGAAGGTTTTTACTCTTCAGTGCCTGTTTATGGAAATGTGGATCAAAAAGATCCTGCTTATGATTATTCAGTGATGTCTTCTTTGAATAGATATTTTCCTCAAACCAAAAAGCACGAGTCTTTTGAAGATCCTAATCTTAGTTGAATATACTTTGAATTATTTAATTTTTTGTATTTGTATGTGATTATTCGCCGTTCTGTAGTAACCCTGTGTAAGTTAAATGGATTGTAAATTCCACCAATTACTGCTCATTCTAAAGGTACCAAACCAATATTAACGCAATTGACGACCAAAGCCAGGAACATTTTCATATTGATTCACAACGATGTTGTTGAAACCATTATACCATGGCCATGTGCCATTAAGAACAATTGATAGAGCATTGATGGTTATATCCTGTTCAGTTGGAGCGTATTTCCATCCAGAAAATAATAACTATATCATTGGGTTAGGAGAATCGACTGCATTTAAACCTGTTTTGGAGAAACTAAGGGATGGAATGCTAAGTGATAAGACAGGAAGACAGATTTTGAGAGAGCGACCCAGAATCACTTCTAGCTCTTTGAATTTAAACTATTTAAAGAATCTCCCTTCAAACACGTTAGGAAATACCTATTATAAATGGCTAGAAAGAGAAAAGGTTTCACCAGATACAAGAGCTCCAGTGAAATACATCGATGAAGACGAATTAGCATATATATTTCAAAGATATAGAGAATGCCATGATTTTCATCATGCTATAGCAGGTTTACCAATTACAATTGAGGGTGAAATATCGGTCAAAGCATTTGAATTTGCAAATTTGGGGTTGCCTTTTGCAGGCTTTGGAACATTGTTTGCTCCATTTAGATTGAATGCGACTCAAAAAAAAAGAATATATCAAATTTACTATCCTTGGGCCTTTTCAAATGGAGTTAATTGCAAAAGCTTACTTAATGTGTATTGGGAAAAGATTTTGGAACATGACATCAATGAATTGTGCAAAGAACTACAGATTGAAAAACCACCAGATTTAAGGCAATTAAGACGTCTTCAAAAAATAAAGAATAGAAGCAAATAGCTATAAATTGTAATCAGTTGTAATAAATAGCAGTAAATACTTACAGGTAGATTTCACTGAATATGTTGCTTTGCAAGGCCAACAAGTTCGAACCACTAAACCCTACCGCTTCTGTTATTAGTTCATAAAACAACATCACCTTTACTCGATTTTTTTTTCTTTCGACTGCTTTTGTTACCATCAGAGATAGATTTTGCTCTCAAGATGCCTGAGCACAAAGAATTATCTGACCAATTATTTCTCGAATTGAAAAAAAGAACGATTCAAGCAAAAGACTTGTCATATTCACCTTATTCTAAATTCAAAGTTGGATGTTGCATTTTGGCTGATACAAATAATGATACTGGTAACGGGAACACAGTGTGGTTTGTTGGAGCAAACGTTGAGAATGCCAGCTATGGCGCCTGTATTTGTGCTGAAAGATCAGCAATTATTCAAGCTGTTATGAATGGCTATAAAAAATTCAAGGCAATTGGAGTCTCGACTATTTCGACTGAAATTTCCTCTCCTTGTGGTATATGTCGCCAATTTATCTATGAATTTTCTAATGGTAAGGATATTCCTATTTATTTATTTAATGACGATGGTTCAAAATTTATCAAAGTCTGCTTATTTGAATTGTTACCTTTAGGTTTTGGTCCTAGCGATTTAGATGTTCAAGTATAATTATGAAAATTAATAATTTTTTTTTATTTTTTTTCTTAAGCAATCTGGGTTAACGCTGATTAACTATGAAATATTGACTACTCAAAACTATAAAACTCTGTATTTTTTATTCCCAAACATGTACTAAACTCTTTTACGAACTGGATAGCGACATTTTCAATCGATAAATCATCTGCACCAACCATATTTTTGTCTTTAATCAGTTCTTTAATTGTAACTGTTTTACAATCTGAAGGCAAACCACAAATAACAAAGTTTCCCGAATTAAAATAATCAGTGTCTGTGTCGATATTCAAAGCAATTCCATGACTTGTTATCGCTCTTCTAATTTGAATTCCAATTGATGCGATCTTATGATGTTCGTTCAACCAAACTCCTGTGTGGCTATTAGTTATTGCAGTTATCCCGAATTTTTTTTTTAACAAGGATATTATTGAATTTTCCAAAATTGAAACATAACATTTTGGAGACAAGTTGGCAAAAGATCGTAAATCCAAAATTGGATAAGCTACCAATTGGCCAGGCCCATGAAATGTTATTTGCCCACCTCTTTCAACTTGTAAGTAGTGTGCACCATTATAATTGTAAATTTCAGAATCAATTGTTTGTTTTTTCTCTCTTTTACCGCCAGTATAAATTGGATTGAATTCAAAAGTCAAGACTAATGGTTTTGGTTTATCAGCTAGAATTTTTTTGACTAAATTTTGTTCGTAATCTGACATGTTCAGTTCATCTTCCTTATTAATTTGGCTTTTATCTTCATTATGATCTTCAATGCTTGCTTGTTTTTCATTCAATAATCTTAGATTTTTAAAAATCTTTGATTCAATTTTTTTAAAATCAAGGTTTAATCTAACAAAATTTTCTTGGATCTCTAAACCCTTTTCATAATCCATTATATTTTTGAAGTGAATATGAGTCAACACATTTGAATGTTCATTAGTTGGCTTAATTTTCATATATTTTTTATTATTATCAGGAAACTTCAAATACTCATCACTATTGATTTCTTTGATGGCATTAAAACAATTTGATGACAAATATTTTTGATTGAGGTTAAAACTTTTGAAGAAATGAAAATTTTTCAAACATGGAGGTTTTAAATGAATTGGATTCATTTTGATGAATAAAAAACAAAAAAATTTTGACGTTTTAAGAGTATTTTCTCATCCAGCAGTTTATGATTAATGACTATCAAACAACAAAATGAGTGCTCATGTGTGTGAAATGAAAAGTGCAAACGGAGATGCACTATACTCAGAAAATAATAATAGAACATAATTAAAGATGGTGAACATTTAAAATTATAAAAGCAAATAAAAATAGCACATTTTTATTAAACAAAAACAGAAAGAAAAAAAAATTATCCAAAATTTCCAAAATTTAGTATTTAATATTTAATAAAAGTTAAAAAAAACAGAAAAAAACACTATACAAATACAAGACAATATTTATAAATGAATTCAAAAAAGCAAATTAATAAAGTGATAATCCAACAGTAGAGCGAAATGAAGCAATCTTGTCAACCTTACCAAAAGGAACCATTTTTTTAGGCATCTGATGTTTATTTTCAGATTGGTTAGCGTCAATTGGCTCGCAAGGAGATATTTTATTCTCAAAAAATTTTTTATCAAAATTCATGATCTTGGTCTGAAATTTTTCATCGTTATCAGTTCGTATTGGCCGACTCCAAGTTTTTCTTAATTGTATTTCTTTAATGCATTTAACTTCAGGAACATTATGTAGAGGAGAAAATGGTTTGAAACTAAATTTGTTATTTGCGTTTGAAAGAGGTTTTTTATGTTCATCTATTCTATTTTTATAAACCAGAAGGTCGCCCTTTGATTTTTGATCGTCCTCATCTTCATCTTCAAACTTGTACTTTGATTTCAAAGCAAATGCTTCCTGATTTTCCAAATACGCCTTTTGAGAGTTGTAATCCTTGGGATGAAACACCTTTTCATTGGGATCCATTTCATACTCCCTTACAGTTATCAAATCATTGTCCTTCCACTTGACCCCTCCAGCGATTTTTCTTCTCTTCCTTTTAACAAGCGAGGAATCAGACTCTCTTCTCAAAATACTCTTGTTTCCATACTTGTCGACCTTTGGTGGTAGAGCGACTTCGTGGATGGTTTTCGGGTCTGTGTTTTGTGAGGGCGCGTCAGGTGACACCGGCTCTGTTTTCTTGCTTTCAGCCAAATAGGACGAGATGGTCCAGGGCTTCGAACGAACAGAACCACTGGTGAGGGACACCGAGGAAGAGGAGGAAGATGCTGCTGCTGATAAAGACTTTGGAAAAGACGTAGGTTTCTTAGTTGAATCACTGTTGCGGCTTTTCAAAGTGGAAGAAATAGATGGAGAAACGAGTCTATTGTTATTAAATACTGAAGAAGCTAATTTACTTGAAGCAGAAGCAGATGTGGAAGCAGAAGTAGGAAAAGCAGACTGCACTTTTCTGGACATGTTGTTATTGTTGTTATTATTGTTGTTATCAGAGTTAAAAGCATCTAATTTCCTAGCATTTTTCATAATTTCATTAGAGAGATTTTTGCAAGTGACGGCATGGGAAATATTATTGATTGAATTTAAAGGTAGAGCAGATAATTTATTTAAAACAGGAGTGATTTTGTAATTATCTAGGTATGAAGAATTAAATTGAATATGATTTAAAAACCCTAGCGTAGTTGAGATATTTTCAAAGTTTTTATTTTTCAAATCGTATCTTAGCCAGTTTGAGATTCTGCTAAATAGTTTTAATTTTTTCAAATATTTTTTTTTCCATATCAGATTATCGTTTGCTAGTAAATACCTGATTCTATTGAGAGAAATAAAACGATAATCAGGGGAATTTCCCCAAGTGGATTTATCAAAGCATAGTAAAATGGAGGCAAACCTTTCTATTAATCGAATGGGATCATTTAAAGACTTTGTTGGATTTTGGTAATATTTTTTAAAATTTATATTAATTAAAACTCTTAAAAAATCATCTGCATTTTTACCTAAAGCTCTCAAACTTTCGGGTAAAGTTGACAAAGTTTCATCAAAAAACTTATCATCGGAGACCAATTTATCAGCTTGATTAAACAATGAATTAAAGACTTGAGAGTTTGTTTTAATGGGCTTGTTATTTGTATTAGTGATTGTAAGAGGGGAATTTGAACGAGATTGGGGTAATGATTGAAGAGATATTTTTTTATTTTTTGTTGAAGAATTCTGAAACGTGGAAGAATGGGATCTTTTTTTGGATGAGTTAGAAGATGTAAATTTATTATGTGTGTCCGAAGTTTCTTGATAAGAAAAGGGCAAATGTTGATAAACCAAGTTTGGAGCCGATTTTCGTGTTCTTTCTGTGATTGGGGGTCTAATGACAGCCAAAACCTCGAAATCGCTAGAACTGGAGTTGTCATCATCGACATTAGTATCATTAGCATTTTTTGAAGAAGAATATTTTGAACTTGAAGATTTTGGATCTGATTTTCTCTTTTGAATATTTTGATTATTCATATTTTGAATATTATGAATGTTGTTTGTATCAGAGAGCAAATCATTTTGATTTATGTACATTGAAAAATTATCCAAATCAAACTCATTATTCAATTGATTATTCAAAGGGTTATTGATATCAACTAGATTTAAAGGCTTGTTTATACTGTTTGTATGATTGAGATGAGCGATTTGGTTAAGCAGTTGATTTTGGTAATCATTGGACATTAGAAGGTAAGGTTCGATCATATTAGTAGAGTGATTAGTGGCAGTTTCCTTACTGATGTTGTTGCTAACGGTATTTGAGTTGGGGTTGCTATTGCTATTGCTATTGTTATTGTTGTTGTTAGTATTAGTATTAGTATTAGTATTAGTATTAGTATTAGTATTAGTATTAGCATTAGTATTAGTATTAGCATTAGTATTAGTATTAGCATTAGTATTAGTATTAGTATTAGTATTAGTAGTATTAGTAGTATTAGTAGTATTAGTAGTATTAGGATCAGGATTGTGAATGTTGATAGTATTATTGTTAGTAATGTATTTGTGGTGGTTATCCATTTGAGAATGGTTGAGTTGTAAGTTATAACGATTTTGCTCCAAGGTGTCAGAGTAAGGAATACTGGAGAGAGTGGTGTTCTCGTTGGTGAATAGAGAGGATGGATTGATGTTCACATCCAAAGCACCCATTTCAGACAAGGTATTGCTCATGTTCAAAGAGTTGAAGTTGATTAAATCATTCAAATTGTCAATATCACTACGATCAATATTAATGTTGTCAGACATTAACGAACTATATAGTATCAGCGCTTGGGGGTATGGAGGCACAAGAGGCAAAGGCAAAACAGCAGACGCTGGCGGCGACAACGGAAGCACAGAAGAAATAGAAACAAAGAAACAAAAACAAAGAAGCACACGCAGCACACTCAGCACAGACACTCAGCAGACATTCAGCAAACACTCCCCAAGCAGAAGAAGCACAGGAAGCAAAAAAACAAGCACAAAAAAAAACCACCAATGCACGTGAGGCCACGTGCTTTTCACGTGCGGGCGTACTGTGGAGGAGGGCTTCTTCTGTGGTGGTGCCTGAGCTTCCTGAGCTTGGAGCTGCTCACCAACATGATCTCGATGGACCATCCTCCTTCTTCTCCCTTGCCCTTGACTCCTCCAAAGGATCCCTTTTTTGCCCACAGCGACTCGCCTGCCATTGGTGCCATTGTCGCCAGTAACACCCTCATCAACTCCATTTCCTCTGCCAATGCCACCTCTGCGCCTGATCTCAATCGTGCCTCCATTCCCTCTCTCAGCAGCAGTCCCATTATCATTCCTGCAAAGGCAAAGGGAAGGAAACGATCCTCTTCAAAGTCAAGGAAAAACTACTCTTCTGCTTCCCAGGTTTTGAACAACATGGGTTCGTTAAATCCCTTGAATCAGCTTTCCAACGATCTCGCTTCAACTGCCCTCAAGGCTTCTGCTGCCTCCGATTCTTTGGACACCTTTCCAAAATCTGCTACTGCCTCAACTAGATCTACCACTTCAACCACTCCATTGCCAACCCAAAAAAAAAATATAGCTTCTCTTCCACTACCAAAGACACCACCAAGAACAACCGATCCTAATCTTGCTACTACTAATGCTACCACTACCACCACCACCACCAACAACAACAACAACAATAACAATAACACTAAAAATAATAGCAACCCATCCATTCCTCCTACTTCCTCCCTCCTTGCTCCAATAAATGATTTGAAATCTCTTTCAAGATCTCAATATCAATATAATATCATACTATCCTCTTTAAATGACTCCTTTGAAAAAAAATCTTTAATGATTCCTTTTTATCCTGAAACTCTCAAGCTTGGTAGACCCGCTGGAATTAAAGTTAAACCCACTCAAACTAATGGCTATTTTGATTCAAGGGTACTATCTAGAAATCATGCTCAACTATATGCTGAAAAATCATCTGGAAAGATTTTCATTAAAGATCTAGGCTCTTCTAATGGTACTTTTGTAAATCAAAACAAAATTTCCACTGATCATAATTTATCCCCCTGTGAAATCAAAGTAGGTGATCAAATAGATTTAGGTTTTGATATTGAGACTCATTTAAATCACAGAAAGATATCTGCTAAAGTAGAATCCTTAACCTTAATTCCTCTTTTGTCTAATTCCGAATCTTTAAATTCAAACATAATAGTTAATCAAAATTCTTCCTCTTCTTCCTCCTCAATTAATAACGATCCCTCTCAAACTTCTAATTTTAATTCAAATAATAAAAATTTCAATAATAATGATCCAAACAACAATAAAAGTAACAATAAAAATATTAACAACAATAACAATAATCTTTTCAATGTTAATTCTCCAAACGATTTATTTCAAAACTCAATTTTAAACAACGCTTTTGATTCTGCTTTATTCGGTGACATCTTACCCGCTTATGAAGATAACGCAATCAATTTTAAAAATGAATTAATGACTGGCTTATCCATTAACTCAAATTTATCAACCTCATCAACTTTGGAATACCAAATAAGAACTTTAATTAATGAGATACACTTAATAAAAGTGTCCAATTTAAAATTAAAATCTGTTGAAAATTTCCTAATTCACTACAAAAAAAATTTATCCTCTTTCCAAAAAAAAAAAGATGAATTAAACAATAAAAACTTGAGAAATGCTGAAAATAAAATATTTAAAAAGCTTGAAAAAAATTTTCAAGAAAACTATCAAGAAAAATTCCTGAAAATTTCAAAGGATTTACAATCTAAAGATAATATAATCAATAATTTAAAATTCAAAATAAGTGATGACTTAAAATCAGTTAACAATTTAAATGATTCAATCCGTTTTTTAAATAATAAAATTGTTGTCTTAAATAATGACTTATCTACCAAATCTCAATCTATAAACGAACTTCAAGTTTTATTGAAAAATTACAACATCTTAAAAGCTGATAACGATAAATTACTGAAAGAAAATGAAGAACTAACTGACTTGAAAAAATTTAAACGAGAATTCGAACTTGAAAAAAAACTGAAAATTTATATCGATCAAGAAATTCAAACAGACGATTTAAATATTTCTAATCAATTCAATGATAATAAAGTTAATAATAAAAATGATAATCAGAATCATAATTTTTCTGGAGTTATTAGCACTGTCAATTCTCCTCTTGTTGCTTCTTTTACTGATACTACTAATACAAATAACACTAAAGATGTTATTATTTCTGACAATTATAACACTGATTCTAAAGCAGAAATTTCAAACAGTAAAAAAATTATTACTGATAATCAAGAAAAATGTTCTAGAATTGACGTCTTGTGTTATGCCTCAGACAGTGACTCGATTTTATCCGAAGATTCTCAAGATGATTCTTTTTCTCGTATAAAGCGTAATTCTATCAAGATACCGATATCTATTGTGCCAAGTGTTTCAATCAACGAGCTTCAATATCATCATCGCCATTATCAAAACCAAGATCAAAACCAAGATCAACATTATAATCAAGATTATAATCAAAATCAAAATAAAGACCCTCCTTTTAGTAAAGTGGAGAAAAAAACAAGTCTTTTAAAATCTGAGAAAAAATTTTCAAATTTAGATATGGATTCTAGAGATGACATTTTAAAACTTATACAAGATTCTAATTCAGATAATGAGCGATCTTTTGATGATTTAGTTGATAAAGATGGTCAAAATAGTGAAAAAAATGGCAAAGAAAGTAAATTTTTTTTTGATAAAGATTTAGATTTAGATACAGCTCCGGAAACTTCAATACTTAAAAATGAATCTGATGGTGTAAGCGATGATAATATTAGTAAAGAACAATTAAAGAAAAAGTTGGATGAACAAATAACATTAAATGAAAAACTAAAACTAAAGTTAATGCAATTGGAAAACAGTTATGATAATTTAAGTACGAACTACACTAAGATTAATATAGCTAACAAAAATATTAAAAAAGAAATCTCTGATACTCAAGTCACAAATAGAAAACTAAATTTAATTATTGAAAACCTAAACATGAAATTAGATGAGTCAAAATTAGAGATGAAAATATTATTTGATAATCAGAAACAAGAAAAAAAAAAATTATCCCATAAAGAAGTTGAATTAAATACATTAGAAAGACAGTTGATGGAGAAAATAGAAGAACAAGAAAAAATAGTCAATGAAAGAGTTATGGAGGCTATAAATGACTTTCAAAAAGTAAACCACCACGGTGCAAATAATAGTGACCATAGTAATAATAGTGATAGTGATCAGAGTTTAATAAAAGAATCGAATAATGATTATATCTGCGATGATTTTGATTTTGATAACAATCTCAAAGAACCAGAAAATACTGAAAATAATGTATGTGAACTTGAAACTGTTTCCACCGCAGAAGCCAACCTTTACCTCCCATCCTTTTATAATAAAGTTAGTGAAATTAAAAACAATTTTTTTAATCTCAGTATATTAAATAACCCTGACGCCAAAAATGGTATTGATGAATATCCTGATATTGAAGAATCAAGTGAGTCGGAAGTTGAAGTGATAGGGAGTAGTTTCAAGTCTAGCAAAGGAAACTCAAAAGAGCTTGAAGTTAATAAAATTGGAAACGGAAATGAAAAAATTAAGATTGAGCAAAAAAAAAAAATAATCGACAATAAAAATTTGCTGAAAAACATTATTTCCAAAAAGGAAAATCGAAATGTGAATAATTTTTTTATGAATTTAAGTGCTATGGGAATTATTGTGGGTGTCGTTATTGTATTAATAAGTAAAGACAAAGTTTAAACTTTTATTGTGCCATTATTTTTCAATTCAGTTTCTTTTTAATTATTTTTATTGTTAAACCATTCAGTTCAGTTGTTTGAATATCTTTATTTAATCTGTTATTTCATACTCATTCCCTAATTTGATTTTATCTATTGAATGAAGTCTATAATCCGTTTTTTCAGCTCACTTATTTCTTAATTGATAACTTGGTTGTTTAATTTTGCAATACTGGTTTTATATCTCGAATAGATATTTGACTGCTCATTTATAATATATGCTGAACAGGTCTACTTTCAATTTTTCATCAAACCAAAAAATTTTGCTCAAATTGCTTTTGACAGTGGATTTGTTGCAAAACCAGTGCCATGGAGCACTAAGCACGTGTTGCATTCAATTTCATTGGCTGAAATGACTGAAATCACCCAGCTGAATGGTTTTCTGTTTCTCTGCATAATACTGCCTGATAACGCACAATGTACATCTTCACTATTTTAAGCCTGGAAGGGAGTGAAAAGCAGGGCTGTCGAAGATAAAGAAATTGATAAGAGCCAACAATACCAACACCAACAATCATTAACAGCTTTTGGAACTTCCAAATTCTTAGCAAAAATATAACAGTTAAAGAAATAAAAACAAGAAAGGTAATAAAATAAATAATGAATCTCCCAATAAACCTAAAACAATACAAACACACACAAACAAAACTGTTAATTACCAAAATAAAAGGCAGAAGACGCTAAAAAAACTCTTTAGGTAACTGAAACTCTTCAAAGTCATTACTCTCTATTGACTTGCACCGATTTTGATTAGACTGTCCATACTTAAACAATAAATTATATGGTAGCGGTTTTCCAAAGCCCCATTCTGGTAATATTAAACCAGTTTCTTTTACTCTATAATTTCCTTCAGTAACATAATTATTGATATCAATTGTAATCATCATTCCTTTTTTCTTGATAGTTTCATTCATGTTTTTTTGAGCAATATCATTTTCAACTTTATCCATAATAATTTTGTCACTTTGTTGTTCTTGACCTACATCTTTATCAAAATTACTTTTTAAATACGAGTTCTTATAACGTATTGCCTTATTTGACAATTCATTAATATTATAGTCAATTTTAGAAAGTTGCCTCAATCTAGAGGTTTTATTTTTATTTTTTTCTGAAATTCCTTTTTTATCATCTTCTGTTGTATCAAGTGATGTCTCATTACCAAAACAATTTTCCCCTATTATTGGCTTCATTTTTTTTATCACTTTCTCTGTATGTGTTATAGAATCGGTCCTAACTGTATTCTCATTTCTCTTTCTTTTAGTAATATAGATTGAAAATTTAGCAGGATCTCCTTTTTCTTTGTCAATGTAATCTTTTAATTTCTGCTCTGTGCTTTGAAGTTTATAATCATAAGGTCGAAAATATAATTCTTTTTCTTTTGGATTAGTGAAAAAGGAAACAAATATTGATTTGTATTCTTTTCTATCTTGTTCAAGCAATAATTTTCTATTTCTAATCTTAGTAGATTTTTTTGACATAATTCTCTTTTCTTTTTGTTTTTTGACTTTCACTTTATAAAAAGATGTTTTCTTTAGATCTTCAATTTGAGATTTTCTTTCTCTCAAATGACGATTTGAATTTTTTGAAACTTTTTTAGTGCTCGCCATCTCGTCAACTTTTATATCATTAGAACCTAATATATTATTTTTTTCATCCAAATATTTTGCCAAAAGTGAATTGTCGGAATTTTTCTTTTTCTTTATTTTTAACTCGTTTTTATTATTTAGAGTTGAAGTTATTTCTCCGGTTTTTTGATTAGAAATAAGTTCATCTTTCAAAATTAATTTATTCTTTAAAGAAATATGTTGGTTTTCAATAAGAGCTTTATCACTACCAGATTCATAAATATAATCTGACCCGTTAATCTTAGGAAAGTCTGATAAACAATTATCAGGATTAGTAGTTTTTTGTTTTTCAAACAATAAGCCATTTTTGAAAAACTCATTTTTAGGGTCTAAAGATGATTTATTTTCATCCTTATTCAAATTATCATCAGAATTATTGGGAGTTGTAAATTTAAAAAACTCATTCAAGTTATATATTTTTAAGCCTGACCTTATGTTGTACATTAACAATAACAGTGTGCTATCATTATTTACAAAAAATTTAATTGGCTTAAAATTTTTCCAAATTTTATTATGTTCTTCCTTTTCATTAACAAAAGTTCCCTTTCCAACTCCAAATTCACTAAATTTTTTAAATTTACTTTGAAATTTTTTTTTTCTTTTTTCTCTTATTTCATCAACAGTCATAAAATTTTCTTCTTGATCTGAATAATAAGAATCTAACAATTCTTTTTCCAAATTTAATCTATTACGATTTTGAATATGTTTTTTAGTTAAGATTTCAGATCCAGTCACATTACTTAAATCATCTATATCATCTAGATCACTTGAATCACTTTCAGAATCAGATATAAAAATTGATAATTCTTCATAAAGTTTATCTGAAACAATTGGATTTGAAGAGCTAAAAGATGCAGTGTTTCCGTTAACCTTGTGTCTAATTTTATTTTGAAATTTCTGAAGAAAGTGTTTTAGTTGTCGATTATTTTGAAAATGATTGCCTTCTAGACTATTTTTAAGCCTTTTATAGTGGTCGAAACTTTCATTGCTTCTCTCATTCTGATAAGTGATATTTGAAAATAGATTTCTAATAAGCTCACTTCTATCTTGGGTCTTTGATAATTCTTTTTTACAGTTATAAATAATAAGTTGATTTTTAAAAGACCAGATTTTAAAAAACCTTAAAATTCTAAATAGTTCATATAATGATAGAATTATTAGTAAAAATAAATAGTTAAGATTTTTCAAAGAAGTGATTGTTGGTGATTTAACAGAGTTAGTGGCATCTTTATTGTTGTTTGGACAGGGCATCAAAATCGAATGAGGGTTGATATAAGTAATTTTAGACAAAATTTTAAGTATTGATTTATCCTTAGTAGTTAATGTGGCAGGAAAACTGATGTCTGTTTTAGTTTCAAAAGTCTCAAAAGTTTCAAAAATGTTGTTACTTAACATATTCTTAAAGTTATTAAAACTATTAAAAGTCAATGAAGCATAAGAATTAAAATTTGGCTCTGAGTTTTGTGAAGAAAAATTTGGTGAGTCATCAAAGTTTTTACCATAATCAAAATTACTTGGAATAAAATTACAATTGCCTTGTATTTCCTTTACCAAAAGAGAATCAAGATTAAGATCTGTGTTTTTTCTGAGAAAACCATAATTTTGAAGTTCTGGATACCCAAACTGAGTGTTTAAAAATTTTTTCATAGATTTGAAATTGCTGGAGTCTGTTTTCAAATTTAATGGTGTTGAAGAATACGCATTATTTGCAGAATCAATATTTAATAAATTATTATTTAAAGAGATCAAATTTTTTGATTGATTTGATTTTATATTTAATTTATTAATAAAATTAAAGATATTAACAAGAACTTGACTTTTGGAAAAACCCATCAAGTTTTTATTAAAATTTAGATTTAGAATATTATTTAGATAACTGACTATTATGGATGATGAAGTTGGAGCTAACGAGGTGTTGATCTGATTTGTCATTCGTGTACGTAATCTTCTAGTTTCTTTTCCAATTGAATCAGCATCAGTAGAATTTGGGCGATCGGTTTCAAAATTATTTGTTTGTGCTAAAGAAGTGTTATTAACAAGTAAAGAAAGTAAAGAATCAAAAAAGGATTTCAGTTCATCTATGTCGTTAAGAAACTTCAATTTATCTAAGTTATTATATCTTTTCTCTGATTTCTCGGAAGCTTTATGAAATTTGAGATACATTGAATCATTAAGAGGATCATTTTTGAATAATTGTAAATACTTCTTTTTAAGATGATTAAGATGAAGAACGTTTATGTTTATGTTCAATTTTTGATCATCATAATTTTTTATATTCAAAGTTCTTTTTCGTAAATTATGTCCATGATGTTTATTTTTTGTAGAAAAATCTTGAGCAAAACAATGCAGAATATTTATTTTTTCGTTTTTATTGGATATATTTTTCACAGTGATATTTTTTTTTTTCTGCAATACATTTACATCATATTCATTGATAAGTTCAGAAGGTTGAGATATTGGCAAGAGTGACTTCTCATTATCATCAAGACTACAATCACATAGATTAATCAAAATATTGTTATTATCTGGATTGTTATTTTGTTTGAGAGAATCGTTTAATTCATTGTCTAAAGATGAAATAGAAATCAAGTCGTCAGATTCATCAATAAAAAATAAGTTATCGAAGTATTCATCATTCAGAATAAGCAATTTCGTTTCATTGATTAACTGAAAATTATAATTGTCATTGTCATTGTCATTGTTATAGTAAGTTTTAATTAATTTTCTATCAAAATTGAAAATATAATCTTCCTCTTTTTGAAATGAATTTGATTTATTGTCGGCTGTATATTCAATTAGAGTTGTTTCCAATGATTTGTCAATATTTCTAGACTTTCTCTTAAGAATACAACGATTTTTAATGATTTTTTCACCAAATTCTTGAGGCAAACTTGATTCGGATAGAATTTCTTGATTGTGAATTGATTTTGAAGGATGGCTACTGGTGTTATGTGAAGTCAAATGCTCGTCACTTGGTGGAGTAGCGATAAATGGCTTACTATTGGTATATCGATTTGGACCTAGTGAGTTTTTTTCGGAATGAACAGCATCTTTAGCAGATGGTGTATGGAATGACAGAACCAGAACAGAATGGTTCATGGCTTTTGGATCCAGTGGAGTCGAGAAGCAGTTGCAAAGTAGTTGAGAAGTGGATCAAAGATGAGAATTTGCGATTGCTGTGAATTCTGGTGTAGAAAGTGTCATCTGACCTGAGGCCCGAGAAGCAGGAAACGAAAGAAAGCAGAAGAAGCTACAGGGCAAACAAAAAAGAAGGTGGAAGAATAGAATACAAGGCCCAATACTGATGCTATATATGATAAAACCAAAGAAATTCTAGATAGATTCCCCAGATTGTGACAAGCTCTACGTAGGCAAACCTGACGAGTCTTTTTTTGATCTGTTTGTTTTTACTATTTTCATTGTCGTCTTTGAGATAACCAGACAGGATTTTAGAGGAGTTGTTTGTGGAAAATTTGTGATAATAATCATCGTAACCTTCTTTTCTTTTGTCAAACTTGTTTCTAAGTTGAAGAAAGCAGTCCAACCAAGTTAGAGGACTGAAGATGGCTGGAAAAAAAGAGATTAGAAATATATAGATGATTGAACTAAGAAATATAGTTATGTAGGAAAAAAGCATTGTATAAGGGGGGTCCATTAGACATATATTTGATTGAAAAGTCTCTCTTTGATGGGCTCTCGGGTAATCAACTTGAGCAAGATCATTTGAAAGTGATAACATTTGGAAAGCGGGATATTTAATACCCATGTTCATAGAAAAGGATTTAACAGTTATTTCCTTTGTCTTTTTTCCACTGATTGGATTTGTATGGGTAATTTCACAATAATCGTGGTCATCGCCAGAGAGAATGAGATCGGGTTTGATTTGATTTAACAATTGATTAGATAGCTCGTAGGATAAAACGGTTTGAAAATCAATGCCATTGACCAAAGGAAATGGGTTTTTGCTTTCTCTTGGACCATTGCACTTTAATTTATTGGGATCTCTGAAAAATGGAACATGGGTTAGCAAAATATTTGGATAATTATTGTTATTAAAATAAGGATTTGAAGGCAAGTAATGATTTATAAACTCAAGAGAATTGTTGTTGAGGCCTGATTGCGACTGTTGATTTGATAAAGAAATGGTATCTAATGTGATTATGGAATGATTTCCTATGAGATTTAAAGAATTTGATTCACCAAAAAAAACTTGAAAACGATCATTAAGAGTTTTATTCATTGTTGTGTCCCAGCCAATATCATGATTTCCAGGCAAGTTTTGATAAATGTTGGCACTTCTTTCAATGTATTTTTTTGAAAAAATTGAATTGTATCTTGTATATTCTTGAAACCATTTTTCATCATTAAACCACTCTCTACCTCCATCGAATAAGTCACCTAGAAATATAAGAGAATCAGGCTGCAAAACTTGATTTAACAATTTGAAATTTTTTCTCATATAATTGTCAGAAATAATTCTGGTGATATATTGAAGAAGATACGGCCTATCAGGATAAGTATGGTCATCAACAATTTGAGGATCAGCTATGACGACAACTTTATGGTTATCCCAATTATCCCAGTAATCCCATTTTTGACAAATTTTCAAATAGTTGTAAGGCTGGACAGATTCAAAATAATTAATTGTGAAAAAAAAAAGCAACCAAATAAAGAAGATGTGGTGAAAAGATTTGGAGATGGTGGAAAAAACATTGACAATGTTTGATTTTGAGGCTAAATATGAACCATCGTGGGTCTTGTGAGAGAAGACATTGTGACTGTCGTGGTTATTGGGGAACTTTTGGGGGTGAGAAGAGAACTGAGCAGCTGAGTGGGAAGCAAGTGGATCAGCATACAAGGGAAGAGCCCCGGTGTTTGTTCTTTTCCTCAAGGGTTTGAGATTCATTTGGTGGATAAGAGCACAACAGTAAAGAGCCTGGAAATACAGCAGGAGAAAAAGGGCAGAGGTGCCAGCTACAAACACCTGTCGCCAGCGTTGGCAGCGCACCGATGCTGTCACCGCGCCTCGACAGGCAGGTGCAGCTGCGTGTGCTGCGTGCTCTGGCACACGTGCCTTTGGCGCTGCGCGTGCGTCACGGGCCGGAGCCCTGGAGCCCTAAGGGCTTTTGTACACGTGCTCGTAGTGTGGATCAAAACCGGCGGGCGCACCAAGAGCTGTTGCATCCCCAGCAGGCCGAGATGGAAGAGCTACGTCGTTGCATAGTGCTGTGCCAGGCCTGTCTCCAGACTGTTCTCTCCAGCGTGGAGAAGAAGCCGTTGCTTTTTCTGGACACCCCAGAACCTCTCGTCCAGGCCTTGAAGTTGCTCAGAATCTCCACTGTCAAAGTCGCCATTCTTTTCAAATTGCCCTTTAATCAAGATGATAACTTGCTTCCTGCCTTGAAGGAAATCACTGCTCTTTCTGAGTTGGCAAACGCAAATGTCTTGCCTCTTGTATCTCAAATATATTTTGAGCCACACAACTACAGCCATCTTGCGCTTTCCAGGCTTTTCACCGCCAAAATTTTATCTGGTTTATTTGCTCTTTTTTCCTCCATTTCTAGATTGATGGATGAGTTTTTATCCATCTTGTCCCTCATTGACCAGCATCCACAAAAAAATTCTCAAAATCAAAATCTTTCTAATAACCGATTAATTTCATCTGCAAATGTTTTAAATAACATTGATTCTTTAATCAAAACCCTTGAAGATGGTGAAACAATCTTGTTTTCACTGACTTTATCTTCTTCTTTAAATATGATTAATGACGCAATAGACGACTATGATGAATGGACTCAAAATCCACAGCAATTAGATGATCCCTTTGGCTTACAATCTAATATCCATGTTGACCACAAAAATCTCAATCAGTTGGTTGAATTGAGTGCAAAAATCTATATTCCAAAGGTAAAATTAATTAAATTATTGTTATCATTATCAATTAAAAAATTATTGTCAACACCTCTTTTCAAACAAATAAGTGATGACTTATTTTTCAAAATAAACCAATTAAATCTCTTGATTGACGATTTAGTTTCCTCAATATTGATGAACAACGATATTCTCTACATCCAAAATAATCCCATGAAACAAATTGATTCAACTATAATCCTCCTAATAGATGATTTGAAAAAAACATATAAAGATGATCCAAATAAGTTGAAATGGTTTGATAATTGGTTATCTAAATATTCTGCTCTTTAATAATAGTATTAGCAGTAGTAGTAGTAGTAGTAGTAGTAGTTGTTGTTGTTGTTGTTGTTGTTGTTGTTTTCCTTTATATAATTTTATAATTTTATATTTTTATCTAATCTCCATTTATATAGAGATTAATTGACAATACATCATCACAAAATTTAAATTATCCAGCATAAACTTTAATAATCATTCCTATTATCACTATTTGAAACCTTATAAGAAAAAACAAAATTGTGTTCGGCATATTACCTTTTTTTATCTATTTTATCTATTTATTTTTTATTTCTTCATTTATTATTTGTTTTTATCTATTCATTTTAATTAATATCTATATAGATCCATGTTGATCTATTTTGATCTCTTCTTTGTTGTATTCATTAATAAAACAAATTACATTTCAAGTTTATCAAAGTTTTAAAACAACTGTACACAATATAAATTTTAAAGTTTACTTCATTTTTAATTGGATGTACTGATAACAAATCACTTGTTTTAAAACACTTGTTTTAATGGTTTCAATCATAAATTATATTGTTTTTTTTAATTTTTTTAATTTTTTAATCATTTAATATTTAATTTAATCTATTACACCACTTACAACAATTAAAATAGAATGGCAATTTACTTAATAAATAATTTTAGAAATAAATTCCAACTTCTTTCTTTAATAATGTGTATTTTCTTAATTTATTCTTCATTTTTATTCTTCCAAACTTATATAAAATGTATAAAAGTTATTCAATTTTATCAATTTTATCAAAAATAATCGTCTAGTAAAGGAAAACAAATAATCCTTAATTTCTCATCAATAATAATCTATTAATAACAGTTGAATATTAAATTATCCCAAAATCATTCCGTTCAATCATATCACCTCGTAATTCTATTTTATTTTCAAAATTTTTTAGCAAATATTCAAAAAACTACAGAGATAATCAATAAATAATATAATGAATAAAACAACTACAAAATTTAATCAAAATATGAAAAAACCAGAATATGGCACCTGGACTTGCACTTACTGTTTAAAACCCAATAGTTATATCGTCAAAAATAATGGTCAGAATCAAACAATAAAGCTTTTTGTTTGTAATAGCTGCGGTCAGTTTTCAGCTGTTGTAGCTTGATGTACTTAACATCAGTTTTTCAATATATATATAAAAAAATGGACTCTTGATTTATACTTTTAATGTGGTAGTTTTTTTTTTAGGTGCTTATTATGCTTTGTTTTGTGTTGAATCTAATAAATCTTATTTTCATTCTTTTCTTCGGTTTTTTGAAATTCCCGGTACTATGATTTAACAACTTATGTGTTTGCTTTTGTTTAAAACCCTTTTCTATTTATTCACAATTCTGAGTTTTGAATCCATCTCTCTATGATGTTTCATCAGTTTCAAAAGTTTTATATACTGTTTTAGATAATTGAAGGATTCACTTCTAAAACAAAACTCGAAAAATTTCTTTTTGTGTAGAGCGATCATCATAATGTATGCATAATGCATGCATTTTGCGTTTATATGCAGACAGACATCATTTACATGCACTTCCTAATTAGGCATACTGTTCATTTATAAGCAATAATCTTCTTATTATCCTCAAAATTTCATAGCTAATCGACTTTAGCAATTTTCAAGCTTTACAGCATGAAAGTTGCTGGATTTTTTATTTTCTTGCGTTTTTATATAATGCTATATACAAAAAAAAATCAATATAGAAGCAAATTTTGTTTTCCTTTCAGACTTGAAAACTAATTTTTACGTTGTTACAGATTGTTTTTTCAACATTTACTAAAACAACTCGTTTTAATAGTATTAAAAACAAAATTATTAATTTAAATTTTCTATTCTATTCTATTCTATTCAAAAATGAAAGTTCTTACTAGGGATTTACCTAACTCATTTAGTGAATTTGCATTTGGATGGTATCAAAAATCTCAAAACGAGACTTGCTTCTCCAATACCACAAAAAAAGAGAAACAAAAAAACTTTGATGAAAATTCCAATATAACCCACTCAATACACTCAGAGCTAGAAAACCAGAATCCTCAAACTAAAAAAAACAGCATATGGGCCGTTTTAAGCTCTGGAGCTGGATTATTTTCAGATGGATACATTAATAATTCTATGAGCACTACATCCACCTGTTTAGCATTGTTATATAATGAGAAATATACAAACTCTAGTGCCATGAACAACGTTGCATCAATAGTGTTTGCGGGCACAGTTCTTGGTCAATTAATCTTTGGTTATATTTCCGATAAAGTCTCAAGAAAATCTGGTATGCTAATGGCATCTGCAGGTTTAACTGTTTTTTCTATTTTGTGCTCAGCATCTTGGGGAAAAAATAAGAATGATGTTCATGGTATGCTTATTGCTTTGACAGTTTATCGTTTTATTCTCGGGTTTTTTTTAGGTGCTGAGTATCCATGTGGCTCGGTTAGTGCAGCAGAAGCATCTAGCTGTTTACCTAGAAGACACAGAAACAGATATTTTTGCATGTTCACAAACTTTTGTATTGATTGTGGATTTTTGACTGCCTCAATTGTTCCCATGATACTTTTATCTATTTTTACGCCTAATAACTTAACACCTGTTTGGAGAATAACTCTTGGTTTTGGTGCAATTCCACCATTGGCATTATTTTTTATGAGAGTCAATTTTAATGATGATGAATCATTTCAAAAATTGAGGTTCAAAAAAACCTCTATTCCGTATTTTTTGTTCATTAAATTTTACTGGTTCAGATTATTTATCGTTAGTTTAGTTTGGTTTATTTATAATTTTAGTGTTTATGCATTTGGTATCTATGCTACTTTTATAATCCATAAAATTACTTCGGATGGTAATTTATATAAAACATTTGGCTTCAACATTTTGCTTAATTTTTTTTATATTTTAGGTTCTTTTCCAGGGTGTTTTGTTTCTGATTATCTTGGACCAAGATTAACTTTGGTTCTTGGTGCCTTTCTACAATCTATAATTGGCTATATCATGGCTAGCTGTTATGCAAGTCTTCTTAAAAATATTGGCGCTTTTGTTTTTGTTTATGGTATGTTTTTAGCATTTGGTGAATTTGGCCCTGGCAATAATATTGGATTATTAGCTTCAAAAACTTCAGCTGCAGGTATAAGAGGAACCTACTATTCAATTGCTGCAGCAATGGGAAAAGTAGGAGCTTTTGTTGGCACATATACCTTTTCAATTATTGTTAAAAATGCTGGAGGGTATGATACAGTCAGTGGATTACAGGCCCCCTATTGGGTTGCTTCTTCATTATGTCTAGTTTCAGCTATTCTAATTCTTTTCTTTTTGCCTTCTGTTGATCCAGATGTAATGAAAGAAGAGGATAAAAATTTCTTGGAATATTTGAAAGCTAGCGGTTTTGAGATTAATCTATTAGGAGCAGATAGAAAAGAGGAAAAGCCATAATTTTCACAAAATTTGACAATGTGTAAGTTAAGTAAATGCATATATAAAATAATAAAAAAAGAGACCTGTTGAACTAAAAACAATAAAAGGTACTTGTTGACTAATTGATTTGTGAATTTAGTTTTTTTAACTATGTTTTTTTTATATTTTTTTATTAAAGACTTTCATTTTAAAATTTTGCCTTGAAAATTAAAAAATCAAAAAAAATCAGTGGTTTAAAAATTAATATGGAATGAACCAAAAAAAAAAAATGAATTATAATCTTTTAACTGGGCCACCTGGAGAATGTTTGAATCTTGCAGTTAAGACCTCAACTCCAGTTTGAGTAACTAACAAAGTGTGTTCAAACTGAGCAGTTAATCCGCCATCTTGAGTTACGGCGGTCCAATTATCAGGCCATATATCATCTTTCCATGTACCTTGAGTTATCATAGGTTCAATTGTGAATGTCATACCTGGTTTGCAAACTCCGGCAGCTTTATTTTTTGCATAGTGGAATATATCTGGCTTACAGTGAAACAAAGTCCCAACACCATGCCCAGAATAAGTCCTTACTACTTGTAGGCCATGTTTTTTAGCATATGGCTCAATAATATTGCCTATGTTTCTGATCGGAAAACCAGGTTTGATGCTTTGAATAGCTAAATCGAGACATTCTCTAGTTGACTCTATTAAATTGACAATTTTAGGATCAGATTTGGCCTTATCTCCAACATAATATGTTTCATTTAGGTCTGAGTGGAAACCATCTTTATAGAGAGATATATCTAAATTGACTATATCGCCATCTTTTAAAGGTCGTTTATCCGGTATACCATGACAAATAACTTCATTAACAGAAGTGCATACAGATTTTGGAAAATTATAATAGTTCAATGGTGAAGGATAGGCTTTTCTCTTTATTGTTTCGTTGTGGACAATTTCATCGATTTCATCTGTAGTTATACCAGGTTTGATTGCAGCGGCTGCTGCGTCCAACACTTCTCTGCCTAGTTTATTAACCGTTCTAAAAGTTTTGATTTCAGACTCACTTAAAATATGCATTTTAGAAGTTCTATCGGTCTGCTGTTCAGAAACAGGAATACCATTGGTAACATATTCTGGTTTTTTAATGGAGTCAGGAACAAATCTTCTTGGGGATAATGGATAAAAGGGTCTGAGAGCGCCTGTGAATTCATAATCTGGAAAGGGATTATAAGAATCAACACCGTTTTTAACATGAATTGCTTTATGATTCAACCAATTTCTACGAAAGCAACTTTGATCACAAAATACCGAAGTTAGATTTTGTTTGAGACAAATAGGGCATTTTAAGCTGGAGGTTGTTTCTTTTCCACAATTGGGACCACAGCAATATATTTTTTGATCAGAAGCAGACATATGGAAAATACCTAAGGATGCAAGATCAACAGTATGTTCTGGTTTAGCAGATGTTTTGGGAGATGAAAAATTTTCAGAAGGATGGTGGGAGAAGTTTTTTGGTTTGAAGGCTCCTTCACGTGAAGCTGGTGATGGAGTCACTGGGGCGGCGGTTGGCGTGCAGCAAGTGTCTTTTGGGTCAGGAACAGATGCTACTACTGGTACTACTGGTACTACTGGTATTACTGGTAGAAACTAAAGAGCATGTCGATTACTTATCTTTCCTACTACATCTGCAGTTGCTCAAATGTTCATCGCATTCCATACTGGCTTATTGGGGCCCAACTGGACCACCAGGAGGACCACCAGCCAGTGGAGCTTCTTTTAGCGCCGATTTACCAGCTTTTAATAGCTCATCACACAATAGTAAGTTACTGGCTATTCCTGTGGCACTGGTAATAGCATTTCTCAAGACCCTAAAGGAGTCCCAAACACCCTCAATCTCAGGGTCCATTGGTTCTCCTGTGTTTAAATCAATACCAACCATTCTTCTATCATCTTCATTTTCTTCGTTTTCTTCAATCTCTGCAATCTCGTCCTGACAGTCAGATAAAACATCCAATGCATCAAAACCAGCATTTACAGATAAAATCTTTGGTATGACCAATAGCGCTTCAGAAAATGCTTTCAAACCTGTTTTAGTCTTACCTTTGCAAAGTTTATTGATGTTTTTATTCAAATGATTTGAACACCCTAAAAAAAATGAGCCTGCACCAGGAATCACAACTTTATCTTTGACTGCATTTGATACAGCTCTCAACCCATCCCTAATAGCATCTTTTGTTTGATTTAAAGAATGTTGTGTCGCACCTCTAATTAATATCGAAACTGATTTAGGATTTTTCACTTTTGTAACATATGTGAATTTTTCCTCTCCAATTGTTTCTTCATAGACTAAACCAGCATATCCCAATATTTCCAGGGATAAGTCATCGACAGAATTTTGAGCTTCACCACCGCAAATTAACTGCAATCTTTCCATATTTCTTCTTTTGGCTCTTCTTAACGCTAAAATATTATGTTTAGCTAAAACATCAAGAGACATTGGATCAATTCCCTTTTGATTTATAATTACAAAAGATTTGGTAGCATCATTGCTGCAAACTTCATTTTTTAAATCAACAATTTTTTTCAATTTATTATCAACAAACCTTCTTTCACTTTGAACTAATTTGTCTCTTTGATCTGCAGATGAATAAAAAAAACTAGAATTAACTTCAGTTTTCTCATATTCTAAAGAAACATTTAAAATCAAAATAAAACAATTTTCCAAATGTTTTGGCATATCAGGATGTCTTGCACCATGGTCTAATACCAATCCTCTGATCAATTTTGTATCTTTACTTGAATACCTTTGTTGCGTCATTATTTCAATCATATGCAAATCCAAGTTTTCCACAGATAATACCGCATCAGTAACAATTGGAGTCAAAATTTCTGACAACTCTTCATTAACTTTTGTTGATAAAGAAGATCTTGCAACTTGTAACAATAGTTCCCTATTGAGAACTAGATCTGAATAATGTCGTTTTAATTTATTCAAATAATCCAACGATTCCTTTCTTGAAATCTCAAACCCATCGGTTATAATTCTGGGGTGAACACCTTCATTTATAAACCTTTCAGCTTGTTTTAATAACTCACCAACTAGCAAGACTACTGTAGTGGTGCCATCACCTGTAATTTCATCTTGAGCAGTTGCAGCACGAGCAATCATGACAGCAGTAGGATGTTGAATCTGCATTTCGGACAATAACACTTTGCCATCTTTAGTTAGTTTTATGGTTCCTGCACCATCAACCAACATTTTTAAAGTGCCCTTTGGCCCTAAATTTGAAGATAGGACATCTTGTAAGCCCTGGGCAGCAGAAGCATTAACCTTCAAAGCCTGAGCTCTTCTAATTGATTCTGCATTAGGATTCAATAATTGAATTGCTGAAGACATAATTACAAAAGGACAAGACAATTGATTGATAGTTAGTTGAGTAGCTACTCTTTAAATATAAGACGGCTTGATGTTGAAAATGAAATATTTTTTCAGATAGATGAAGATATGTGCTACCCTGGGCGGAATTGATACACTCTTGGGAATCTACCCTTTCTAAGGTGGGTAACGTGACATCTGGAAAGTGATTCGAGCTCGATGGTCGAAGAAAAAGAAAAGAATAATTTATTGTTTTCGTTTCGTCAAGCGAACGGAACTTGGTCCGACTATTTATAGCAAAACTTATCCGTATCTCGTATACGGATAGGCCATGTACGGATAGGATAAGCAATCCGCACAAAAGCTCGTTTCCCCTTGGAAATAAGCCATACTTGCTACTCTGTAGTCTTACAGTCTGTTCCTTTTAGTCACCTTTTATTATCTTAAATTGCACACTCCTATTACTCGAAAATAGGGATACATAAGAGAGAACTAATCTATATACGCTAGCTGAATTTTAATCACGTCTACCGAATCTCAACAGTCCCTCAAATTCAGCAGGTTCTATATAGATTTCAATCTTCTCAGGTTACCAACATTTTTGCTCGAAGTTCATTAAAGTTTTTCGAACAAACTGGTTTTGTTAGAATATCAGCCACATTAAATTGAGAAGCAATATATTTGAATTTCGATAACTCCATTTGCGATCGTTGCTGTAAAAACCTTAGACAGATGTCTATGTGCTTAGATCCTTCATGACTCTCAGAGCTATGAATGAAGTATATAGCAGCTTTGTTGTCAATATAAGTTACGGTAGAAATTAATTTGAACTTTAATTCAGTTAAAACCATGACAATATACATGTTCTCTTTTTCAATTTCTGCCGCCGCAAATAATTCAGCTTCGAAAGATGATAAAGCTACACTGCTCTGCCTTTTAGACAGCCAATTTATTAAGTGGTTTTTGTAATATATTAACCAACCGTATTGTGATTCTCTATCATTAATCGTTCCACCAAAGGATGCATCAGCATATGCTGTTAAATTTTGTTTATCAATGCCATTAGCTTCGTATTTCAATGACAATGTTTTGGTGTTGTAAATATAATTAATTAGGATGATTAACTGCTTCATATTATGCTGCATCGAGCTAGCAATACTTTGTGCGAGCATCAGGATTGTACATGCAATATCTGGTCGCAGACTAGTCGATAAGAAAAGCATTTTTCCAATAAATGATCTATAATAGTTATGGTCAGTTTCATTTAAAACATCTGTAACAGTTTCTTCCCTTATCTTAAAAATCGGGTATTGTATTTTTGGTAATATGACAAAATTCTGAATATCTTCTTTTGCTTTATTAAAAATATCTTCAATATAACTTTCTTGGCAAACAAAAATATCAAACTTGTTCAATTTCAAATTTTTCTTATAAGTGATATGAAGACCAGGAAATTTAGTTGCAATTCCTAGATTAGAAATCTTTAGCTTCAGTTCGAGATATGAAATGACTTTTTCTACATCGTTACTCTTGTTGCTTTTGATCAAAATGTCGTTCACATATATACCAATAATAGTTGTTAATTTTTTGTTAATTTTTTGTTAATTTTTAAAAATAAACACTGGGAGGACTCGCACATAACAAATCCCATTAAATGTAGAATAGCTTTAATATGATTATTCCACTCGAAGGATGCTTATTTCAAGCCGTAAACAGCTTTTCGAAGACAGAATACATTGTTTCTCAGTGAGTCTCTAAGTTTGTATGACTCTTTTGTGTCATAGATATTAATATTATCTGGAAGCTTAATGTAAATAGTTTCATTTAAATTTGCATTTAAAAAAGCGGTTGTGACATCGATATGTCGTGGCTTTACTTGTAATTCAACCGAAATTGCAAATAGTAATCTAACATATTCAATTCTAATGACCGGAGATGCAACCCTATATGGGTTATATGCCTCGAATGCCTTTTGCAAGTATCCCTTTGCAACTAGTCTCATTTTTAGTTTAATGATCCGATCATGATGAGAATCATACTTATAGCTCGGGACCCATTTGGTTTTAATTATTTTATTTTTTAAAATGTCATCATCCGGTTTTGAAATTTCAAGAACGCCTAATCTCATAAATGATTTTAATTCTTCATTAGTCGCGGTTTGATAAAGTTCTTTAAATTCACCACTAAGCATATTGTACGTAATAACCATAGGTTTAGATGGCAAGGGTGGGTGTTTAGTATTTAGTAACTTTAGCTTGGATTCAACAACATCTGTTTCATGAAACTTAAATGGGAGCTCTAGTCTACCTTCTGATTTGACATTGGTAGTTAAAATGATCAGGTGGAGGCTCTTATAAAATCTTTTATCACCTAATAAGCTTTGAAGTCTGGTGGTCTTTTTAATGATGCGACGACTCTTTGTCTGATTTTTGAAGGTTATCCATTTGGGATGTCTCTTAGAAGAGTTGATTTCACGGTTATTATTGTTTAATCTAATAGCTCTACTTGTTGCAATATCTTCAGCCATCGTTCTTAATGTGGGTTCGTATGGAATAACTTTCATTTCTATATCGTCAATTAATGGGTTTTTCTTATCAATGATTTCAATATCTGGTTCAGATTTATATTGGATTGGTTGCAATTTAATGATTTCATTTATTCCATCATCGGACTTAATCATTCCTCTTTTATCATTGACAGTAAAACTACTGTTATCTTGCTGTTCATTTCCAGTAGCCTTCAGATGCTTGTCAAGACTGCTTCTGCGATTTGTAGATAGACCTTCATTTTCTTTTATGTTTCCGAGGCGCCTCACGAATTTTCATTGTTACACCATTTGCTATGTCCCCCAAATCGTTAAATTCAAGGGTATTATAATCTTTATTAGCTTTACGAATATCTAACATCGTTGACTCACACACTGGTACAACATCTTTAGTATTAATATTTCCATTAGATGGTTGGTCAAGGTGAATTAAAATAGTTTCTGATGAATTGTTTGTGGATGTGCCAATCAACTCTGGCTCATGTTGGAAGCTCTCATCAACTGTCTGGGTCAGAGAGTTAGCTGTCATTTTCCGTTTGTTAGCAGGACGATTAAAATCATTATGAGTGTATATAAATATGTTTTTATTAATAACGGGTTTATCATTGGCAGAATCATTATCACCATCATACATTGAATCTTTTTCAAGTTGTCCTTTCAAAAAATTATTAACATCGATTACTTCATTTTTCTCCATCATCTTAAAAAATGATTCTGGTGATTTAGAATGAGTTCTTTCAATGAGTGCTGCACCAAGCTTAGCAAACTTATATGAGTTTAGGAAAGTGATATCATTGTGAATATCAGTTCTGAATAACCTGTCTTTGTAATACCAGCATTCCAAACCATTTCGGTTATCCGAAAAACCAACAAGCACTGCTGGGACCATCGGATTATGATTCTTTGGTAATCCAAGTTGCTGTAGCTTTTCTTGTGATAATTTTACTAATACATCACTTCCAAATTTGTGGATGTGATCATAAGTTGGTCTCTTCCCAAATAGTATTTCTAATGGTGATTTCGCTTTCACTCTGTTGGGTATTCGATTTTTGATGTACGACGCCCAAACCAATGCTTTATCAAAGAGGCATTGTGAGTTTCCGGAGCCTGTTGGAAGAATTAAAGAAGATGCTATGGTTTTTAAAGTTCTATTCATACGTTCTGCAATGCCATTCATTTCCGGTGAGTATGCAACTGTCTTTTCTAGACTGATGCCTTTTTCTTTAATGAAATTGAGTAAATTTTGATTGAGGAACTCTGTGCCATTATCTGAGCGTAAGACAACTGTTCTGTGCCCAGACTGTGTCTCCAAAAACCTGGGGTTATTTGCAATTGTTGAACTCACTAGGTTCATAGATTTTCCATCTATAAAATTTATCATGGAGTATCTAGAGAAATCGTCTACCATGATAAGATAGAATTGATTTTTGCCTCGAATGAGGTATGGTCCCCCTAGATCCATGTGTACTCTTTCTAAAGGCGTCTTAGCTGACTCATCCTAGAATGACACGAAAATCAAACGTATTGTAGGAACTGTAATTGCTACCGACTGATAATGATTCCTCTTTGAAATCAATTCCCGGAGTGAGCCTTAGAAAGTTTTCAAACTTATAATTATTATTTATAATCTCAAATAAATTTACATAACCGAGATCATTAATTTCAGGGAAGGTGGTTCCATAGGATTTCTGGAATTTATTGTTAAATGTGTCAACATTGGCATATAATAATCCGTTTAATTTTACTGCAAATCGGTCAATTGCAGTACAACCCTCAAGTAACGAAAGACCATCGCTATCGCCAGTGTAAGTAAATCCTGCTTTTACAATATTATTTGTCGATAAAATACTAATGGAAACATCTTTGGAATATAAAACATGTCGAATTAATATTTCTTTCGACCCATTAACACGGATAATCATATCACCTATACCTGATGACACTAGAGATTCAGAGTTTATATCTGAAGACGATAAGTATTCGGTTTTCTCAGTGAAGTTTGTTAACCAATCTTTGTGGTTGACAATGGAATGTGTAGCTCCCGAATCAATAATAAGACGATCCATTGATGATTCACTTTCAAATTCTTTGAGAGTATGTAAGGTTGAAAGTTCTTTGCTGATCCCACTGTTATCTTTATAATCGTTGAAGCTATTGTCTTGGTGCATAAACAATAGATTGATTGACTCAATGATATCATCTGTCTTTTCAACAGATATGTTTTTAAAATATTTCAGTTGGTCTTTCGTGGTAGAACTACCAACGGAGTTTCTGTCGGTTTTGTTCAATCTTGTTAAGTGTAATTTCTTTTCTTGGGCTACTGAAATGGATTTGTTTGTGTTATTATTTTTCCCATATCTTTTATTCCACTTTTTGTTTTTGGTTTGTCTAAAATTATTCTCCCTAGCTAGTATAAAGTCAAGTTTGCGTTGACAATCATTATTACCATGAGATGCTTTTCCACATTTTTTACATCGGCCATCAAATAAAACACTATAGTCATAAGATGTTAGTCTAACTTGGCCTTCATAGGAATTTTTATTTGACCCATTATCAGAAATAAAATTGATAGATGAAGCGTTGTTTGGACCTCTTACAAATACATCATTTGAGAAATGTTTTTTGTTGTTTGCAAATGCAAGAATCAGGTTTCAATTGATTGGTTGATTATTTACGATCGCTTGTTCTAATAAGTAGCAGAACTCATTCCAACCAGGGGTATGCAGATATAAAGAATAAGCGACATTAAATTCTGGAATCCCTTTGATTAATTGGTATACCTGGGGAAACTCGTTTTCGGCTGTTTTGTGTGCAGTGTAGTTTCTTTTGATAAAACCATCAAAGAACTCAGATTTTTGGGGTACAACCATCAAAGTTTTAAAACAATTGTTGATTTTGCTTTGAATATCTTTCGTTTGCATATCAACAGCATTGTGCAAAATTTCAAGTAGTGTGTCTTTGCGACTTATAATTGATCGTGGTGAAGACTCGAAAGTTTGGTAAACAGCATGAATTATTTTTCTATGAATCAGATTCCAGACCGCTTGACTCTCAGCAATTGTTAGACCATCTTCAACAACTGATGAATCTGCATCCATTACCATTTTCATAAATGTAGGATCAAGAAACTCATTGACATAATCAATGGTTTCTAAGACAAAAATAATTTGTTGAGACCACTCCCTGCTATTTGAACCATCTGACTTTCTTTTGGGAACTTGTTTTAAAGCATCATCAACTTTGAGCTTACACCATAAATCGATAGTGAATTTACGTGCCTTAGGCCCACCAGCAGAAATAATCCTTTTGACATCATTGGAATCCTCTTTTAGTCTCACAATCTCTTGGGAATCTACCCTTTCTAAGGTGTAACGAAAGGAACAGATTGTAAGACTACAGAGTAGCAAATATGGCTTATTTCCAAGGGGAAACGAGCTTTCCAGACGTCACGTTACCCACCTTAGAAAGGGAGATTCCCAAGATAAACAGTGGTTTTAAACATTGCTCATCGTGAAAACGAAAATATGAGTGGTAATGTGAGAAACAGTTGCTACTAATATGATATTTTGTATAGGATTATCAAAATGGTATTATGGTTCAAAATATATTTGATAGTTTCGATTCTTATTAGTTTATTCATTATCGTGCTCATAGCATGTAAGATACCAATGGTGAAAAATTGGAGGATGACACGGTTCCATAATACTGTTGGCAATGAAATCAAATTGAAAGTCAAAAGAATCATATCAAAAATCAGTGAGAAAATTAATAATCAGAACCAATTGAAAATGGTACGAGATTTTATTGTTTTAAAAGTTTTTGATAAAATGAAGAATTGGATGGTTCCATGTTTTTATTTAGCTTTAAATCTTACAATGTTTAAAGTTTTTTTTGATGTTTGTTATTTGGCATATTTAAAAGAGTATAAAATACAAATAACAACATTAATATTGAATTTAAATTTGTCATTTTTTTTGGTGATTTTTGTAAAGGCTAAAGAATTGACAGCTAGAAACTATGAAGAGTACCTGAAAGTGTTTTCGAATGATAATTTGATTTTTTTTGATAATAATTATTGCTTGAGTTGTTCAATTTTCAAAATCAGTAGAAGCAAGCACTGTTCAAATTGCAATAAATGCATAATTTATTATGATCATTATTGTTTATGGGTGAATAATTGTATTGGAATGGGGAATTATAAATTTTTTTTAAATTTTTTATTTTCTAACGGATTGATATTAAGTTATGGAATGAAATTGGTTTGGGCACAGGTAATTAATGTAATAATCAAAGATTATAATGATCATAATGATAGCGAACTTGTTATTAAAGGTGTTTTAAATAAAATCAATTTTATGGTGATTAGTTTTGACAGCGATAAAAATAAAATCATCGTTTTATTTTTTTTGATGTTTTGTTTTGATATTGTTGTGATATCATTTACACTTTACCATATCTATATGATTAGAGCTGGGAAAAGTAGCAGCGAAACAGATAAATGGGATTTCATACACCACTTGATTCAGGAGAAATTGCTTTTCCAGTATCATCCTAAAAGCGAAGAAAGAAAGATTGGGCTAATTCGGAATGAAACTAATGACGAGAAAAATGTTTATACCAAGTTCATTGGATACCAACCTTTGAACCAGGAAACAATGTATTTCGAAAAGATTAACAATGAAACGTATCTTACAATCGATGGAGGTTTTGTGTTGCGTGGTGCCGAAAATATCCGAAAATTGACAATGGTAACGAAAGAGAACGAGGTGCAAAATATATACAACAAGGGATGGTGGAGTAATTTGAAGCAACGCTTGAAATGAGAAACAAAAGAAGCTGAAGAAGCGCTTATAATGAGAAGCAGAAACAGCAGAAGCAGCAGAAGAAGCGGTCTGCACGTGATGGTATCGGTTATCACATGCCAATTCTACGTCTTCCGTTTTCTTGTCTTCTTTTTCCTTTATATTTAGACAGATTCCTCTATTTTACATCTCCAAGATTCAATTTGTAATCTGATCGAATCTAATCTAATCAAAACACAGTAATCTATTTTACAATTTCAATATTCAATAAACATGAAAATAGATGATATATTCTTAATAAGACATGCTGTTAGAAGTGACTTGTTTACCTATAATCAGTTGTTACAAGTCTTGATTCGATTAGCCACCCTAAACCCCAATTCAAACACTCCCCATCAGCCAGATAATCTCAACTTCACCCACTTGCTTCAATTCACTGTTTCTTTTCTAAAAAAATATAATATCATTAACACCAGCTTCCAATCCATCATTGACTGTCCGACTTCTTCTAACATATCAAAGATAATTTCTCTATTGAAAAAATTAGATTGTTCTTTTCATGGTGATTTTACAGCTGACTTGAAAGTTATTATAGACAGCGCTAACAATCTTTCTGGTAACACTACCATTATAAATGCAATAAACTTTCCATTATTAGATTTTGATCAGCTAGGTCTATTACAATCTTACTCTATTTCAAATCAAATCGTTGATGTATTATTCACCAATAACCAAAACACTGAGATAAAATATAATTTTGTAGTGCATACTTCTCCTTATTTAAGATGCATTCAAACATCTTACTATTTATTAGAACATCTAGCTTTTTTATTAAACCACAATAACAATATTACAAACTCTACTTATTCATTCACATTAAAAATCGACTCTTTCTTATCTGAATATCATTATGATAGTAAATTGGACGATGAGAATAATTTATTTAGTTCAAACAATAACAATATTAATTCAGAAATAATATCTTCTGCTCTTCAATTCTTATCTAGTATACCAAAGAATCATAATATAACTTTTGCTTTCAATTGGGATCCAAACAAATTTCATAACCACTATCTCTTTAATGAATCACTATTACAGTTTAATATTAGATGCTATAATGGAATGTTTAATTTATTAAATTACTATTCAGAAAAAATCATTGATATTAAAGATAATCCACCTCAAAAAAATATTCTTTTACTTGTTACCCATGGTGCTTTAATTAACAATTATTTATCAAAATTTCTAGATATAGATAATATAGCTAAAGTTAATGATGATATCATTAATTCTAATCTTAGTTTTAATTTTAATTTCAATTTTGATCCCAATGTTAATGATGAACTCGGTTATAAATACTTGGATATTCCTTTTGCTTCTTTAAATTATTTCAAGAATTGTTCTACTTCAAAAAACCATGAAAACAATTTGTGGTTTTTATCATTTTCATCTTCTCCAATTCCCAATGTAATTTATAATAATTCTGTTGATATTTACAATTTGAAAAAGCATTATATATCAAAATACTTCAAAAATTTTAAATTTAATAATAATAATAATGATAATAATAATAATAATAATAATAATAATAATAATAATAATAATAATAATAATAATAATAATAATAATAATAATAATAATAATAATAATAATCATAACCCTAATAATGATAATGATAATAACGATGATCATAAAGATGATGAAATTAGAGACAATTATAAATATTCACTGCCGATTAATTACAAAACCACAAATCAAAATTCTAATCGGTTACTTGGAGCAATTAATTCTCAAACTAACACTATTAAGAACCCTATATTTGGTGGATTTAAATTCAATATATCAAATTCAATTGATATGTTTAATGAAAAAACAAAACAAATGAAAAAAAAACATCATAATCCTAATCTGAGACAGATTTCTTCGATAATTAAAAACAATACTGATAACAATAAAAAAAAAACTAGAGTCCTTGAAAGCAATTCGAATATTGCTAACGATTTGTCTGCTTTTATAAAAAATGAGTCCAAGGATTTGAAATCAAATTTTACTAACACATACAATAGGGATTATTTATATAATAATGCTTCTAAATCTTTTCATAAAACAAAATTAAAACAGGAACTTCTTGGAAAGGATACTGATTTTGGTCTTGAAAGTTTCAATTTATTAAATAATTTTAAATTTAATTATAATAGTAGATCAATATCAATGTCAGCCTGTGGAAACAAAGTTTATCAAGATGGGGATTGTAATTCTGATTCTGCTGAAAAATGTTTTGTTAGAAATAATTTGGGAAACCAAACAAATAATACACCTAAAAGAGATGAAAATGAAGATAAATGTTATAAAAATAATAATTCCAGTAATGAATTTTTAAATGTAAAGGTTAATAATAGAAGAAGATCTAAAAGTGCTGGATTTTATATTCCTGACAGTGATAATGACAGTAGTAGTGAATCCGAGTCCGAATATGAAGCAGATGAATACGGTATTTCCAAAAATCAAATTGAAGTTTCCATTTATCCAAAAAATATCAATGTTGATAATCTTGATAATTTTGATAATTTTGATAATTTTGATAATTTTGAAAATAAGGTTATTGATTCTCATTTGAACTCAATGACTTTGCAAAACCAAAAAATTCCTGAAATTAACATAAATAGTAATGGATTTGAAAGTGATGAGTATTCAATTATTAATAAACTGGAAAATTCAAAAAATAGTAGCAAATCATCAATTGCAAGCTCAAATTTTGGAAATTACACCCGATTAGATGATATTGTTGATTCTTCTGCTTTTTGCAATGGTAGTCAATCCGACACTAAAAATAAAGTGCTTGAGAATAAAAAAAATGAAAAATTTAAACAAAGTTTAATTGAAATCAAAACAGAAATTAAAAATAAAGATAATTTATTAAAAAGTTTGAATTCTTTGGATCATTTTGTTAATTCAAATATAAGTGCAGGTGAAATCAATAATAAACAGATACTTAATATTTATTCGTTTTCTGATTTGACGTTTAAAGATGAAAAATTGATAGGCTTAATCGATTTCACTTCATCCAATGACAATTTTAATAGTGATACGAATGATACTAATGAAGAATTAAATGATATATTTGGTACAAGTATTAACGATGACTATCATAACTTTTATATAAACAATAACATTTCGAGAAACCAAGCACATTTGAAAACAGAGAACGAAAAGGAATCAGAAAGGATTAATATTAAGAATCAACTAGTATCATATAGTCACGATAGTATAAATATCGATAATTACAATAATGAAGGAATGGAATTTGTTTCAAATGTTAGTAGCAAAAATTCCGATTTTTCTGATTATTGTTCTTTGACTGATTTAGAATCTATTTCATCACAGGTAGTACTTAATTCGGATTATAATACTGAAGATGAAGAGGATTTTGATACTAGTAATAGAAAATCAAATGATAGTCAATCAAATGATAGGCGATCAAATGATAACAATAGTGTTGATTTAGTTTCACTTGACAGCAATAAAGGTAAAAATGAGATAAAAGAAGTTCATCTAAAATGTATAAATGATAAAGCTAGCGATTGCAAGAGTGAAAAACCAGAACAGCTAAAGAAAAATAGAATGGAAAATAAAGAAGAGCATAATCATGAATTGGGAGAAAATATTAAAGAAAACAGTATTGACAAGCACTCAAGCATGGTGATTGTTCCAAGTGAAATCAAAACAAAAAGCAAATCTGTCAGTAAGGCCAAGATTATATTGATTAGCAATAATAATAGCACTATCAAGCTAGATCTTGAAGAATTCTCGAGATATAATAAAAACGATGACGGTTTGAATGAGAGTGAGATGTCAAAAAAAAGAAAAAAAGCTGGAATTGAAAAGAATTACACGCTAGCAAAAAATGCAAAAGAAGCCAGTGGAAAAGAGCTGCATGGCAGCAAAAGAAGATACGCACCCAGAATGGATTTGAGAGTGACGTTGGTTCCCAGTTTGAGTGACAAGCATGAGTATGTATTTGTGTAGAGATAAGCGCGTGTGAATGCATAAACGCACTTGCGCATGAAATCACGTATAATTACTGGCACGTGTGTTACTCACCCGGTCGAATGGTCGGAGGCAGCAGCGTCCACGCGCGGCTCCCAAGGTGCCCACTTTTCCGCTTCTTCTTCCTCTGCTGTCTCTCCTGCCTCTGCTGCCCATGGCTAAATTATTTAATCGCTCCTTGCCCGAGTCTATGGTTGCTCATCACAAAACGCTGCGTTCTGCCGACAAAGAGGAAATCTCCAAGATCGAGTCGCCAAACAACAAAATATTAAGACAACAAAGAAAGCTTGAGAAGCGCCAGAGACAACGATTGTTGAAACGAAATCTCAACCAAGATGATATCTTGCAGGTCGGCTCTCTTCATGATGGAGGCACCATGTTCAAGACTGCTGTCAACGACTCTCCATTCTATAATAACAACTGCACCGATAATGACCATAACATTGATGACTACACGAATAACAACACAAATGTTCTTAATTCCAACGATAATGATAACAGTGCCAATAATAATACCCTTTCCAATAGTCACAAAAAGAATCTGAATATTGGTAATTTAAATATACTTGAAAGATTTCTATTATGGCTATTCACCAATCCAAATTCTGATAAAATTTTAAGCAAAATCGACACTCCCAATATTACTGATACAAATATCAATATAAGGAATTATCAAAAAATGAACATTTATAATTATTTGTTTTTTTTTGGAGGTCGAATCAGAACAGTTAATAATTTTTTCAAAAGGCCTTATATAATTATAACCATTTTATTGATTTTTGTTCCTGGGTTGTTATATTTTATATTTTTATCCAAGTGGTATTGGAATCATATATCTCCAATATTAGTGGTTTTTTTCGCTTACTGTTGGCTTATTTGTTTTTTTTCGTTTTTTAAGGCTTCAACAACGGATCCTGGTGTATTACCAAGAAATTTAAATATAACAGACAATTTATTTCAATTACCTGATGAGTATTTTAATACAATTAATTTACCGGCTAGATCTTTGTTTTATTCAGATAATTTACATCATAATCCAAATTTTCAAAATAACTCAACTAAAAACATGTTTTCCTTGAAAAACCCCTCCCTCTCTGTTAAATATTGTTCAACTTGTAGAATCTGGAAACCACCAAGAATTAGCCATTGCAGTGTTTGTGACGCTTGTGTCATCAATATGGATCATCACTGTGTTTGGTTAAATAATTGTGTTGGCTCAAGAAATTATTTTTATTTTTTCAATTTTTTACTATTTTCCTCAATTTCAAGCATTTATTTGAACACATTGGCTTATTATTATCTTTTTAACTATAACCATAACTTATCAACTATAGAGACCATTAAGCAAAAACCAATATCGATTATATTGGTTGTTTTTTCTCATTTAATAATGACTTATCCTTTACTTTTATTATTATATCATTTTTATCTAAAGGCTTTGAATTTGACGACAAAGGAGTACTTGAGAAATTTAAAGACAAAAAGACATATAAAAAAACAAAATCTAAATGCTAGCAACAATGAACGCCAATTTTATGATACTTATATTAATGTTTTCACCACCAAGAACTGCTTAGTTAACTTAATAATAGGAATTTGCCAACCAAGAGGTATTAATGTTACAAGCCCAAGAGAATATTACACCTACGATCAAACCTTTGATAAATTGCCCAAAGCAAGAAACTTTACAAAATCCAATGATCAATAAACATTTTTTTAATATACAACTGTAGAATTGTCTTTGAAAAGCAGCAAAAGCAGCAAAAGCAGTGCACATGTACTACTGCATACACATGTGTGATAGTGCACCACCGCGTTCTTGTGCACACGCGGTTTGTTTGGATATATCTGTTTTTGTGGGAGGTGAATTAATCTCAACAAATTCAACCACCACTGCTTTCAAACTGCTCTCTTTATCTCCACAGTCCAGCAGCATCAGTTCTACATTTTGTCCATATGAGTGCTCATTTGTCGCTTTTGAAACCTTTGAACACAGACAATGGAATATATTACAGGTCCTCATCCCCTTTTAAAAAGTCAAAAGCCATCTACAAATCTCCCAAAATAAAGTTATCCAACAAAAATTATAGAAGATACTCCAAACAAAATGTCAACTCTATCTATACAATTCAGAATGATTCTTCTTTCACTATTGATTCCACAGATTTGAACAATGGAAACTTAGTTTCTAAAAGTAGAGAAGATAATTATAATAATCAAAATCGGAATCAAAACATAAACCAAAATCAAAATCAAAATCAAAATCAAAATCAAAATCTAAATCTAAATCTAAATCAAAATCTAAATCAAAATCTAAATCATCACAACCATCAAAATAAAAACAGTAACAACATTACTAATAAGAAATTCTTTAAAAATTCTAAGAATTCTAATAATAGCCCTATATCTCAATCAAGTTATGCTAAAGACTCTATTGAATATAAACAGCACTTGGTTCGAAAAATATTTTTTCCAACTGCTTCTAAAGATTCAAATTTGAATGACTTTTTACCTGCTCTAACTTCCTTTGCGGTTTTAGATTTAGATTTATATTGCTTTTTAGGACTTTTGTTTAAAAATTTTATTAATGAATGGTATACAAAAATTACTGATGATGAGAGTTTTTTGAATGAAATTATCTCAATAGTAGCTCACGTCACAAGAAATCTAGAAAGTAGAATAAGATCTAATTTAAATTTAATTAGTTTAATTTTTGATAAGATTCCTTATATTTTAAACAATCATTTATTGATTTATTCTTTTTCTAAAAGAAACTTTAATACTCAATTATTACCATTTGAAAATTTGCTGGATTGTTTTAATTTTTTAAATCCACATCCTGCTTTATCTCCCTCTTTCCATGATTATTTTTACAATAAACAGTCAAATGATGATATTGAATTTAGTTTTGATTTAAATGGCTTCACCGATAATATGTTAGAAAATCAATATTTACAAATTTTGAGCAAAGGACTAACTTCACTCATTTTACCTTTCGAAGATTTGGACTCAAAAGTCACAAGTAATTTTGTTTCCATATTATTAAATAAATTAGTTTTAAATGTTATTGTTGAAAAATTATCTCAAACACACATAATTTATGAATTATTAATCACTTGTTGCGAAAAGATTCAAGAAAATTTATCAAATGATAATCAAAACAATATGAATCAGTTTAATGAGAAAATTGATAATAAAAGAAGTTATAAAGATATTGTTATATCATACTTTACTTCTATTAGTAAATTAGTTGCCAATGCAACTAGTTCCATTGACGTCAAGAGTATTATAATGAATTTTAAGAATAACGGGTTTAAGAATTCACTTATTAATAATAACAAAAAAGACAATAATTACATTTTAGATTTTGAAAAATTCAATAAAAATAGTTTGGATAAAAATAAAAAGGGCCATCAAAAAGTTTTGCAAAATAATAATGTTAATTCAAATTTTAAAACAAAAAATCTGTTCAAAAATATCAAAAACAGTGATAAATCTAGAATTGATAAAACTATTCCAATTACCAGTCGTTATATTTTCAAGTTTTTAAATAATTTTTTAAACTTAAGTGATGAAAACACCTTTTTGGTACTAATTTTTAATCTATTGAATAAGGGTATATTATTATATGACGAAATGGATTGCAATAATAAAAATAACGGTCTTTACAATGATGATAGTAATTATGATAACATCAATAATAATAATGATCATAATGACCATGATGATCATAAAGACTCTAAAGGTGTTATTAACACTTTTAAAGAAGACAAAAAACCATTTCGGAAAGAAAATAATTCAATAAATAAAAATAATTTGAAAACAAAAAGTCTGAATTCAAAACAGAAAAAAAATAATGTAAATTATTTGAGTAAAATTTTTGACAATTTATCAACTAGTAGATTAAAAATTAGTTTGAAATTAAATAATCTAATTAATAATTTAATTGAAAGATTGATAATCGACAAATTTTTAAAAAATGAGGAATTTTTAAGTGAAATGGTTCAAATTGGCAGAAATGTTCTTTTTCCAAATGATAATGATTTAGGACCACCTCCTATTTTACCGAATGAAGAAGAATTAAGGCTATTAGAAATAAAATGTTTTAATATAATGAAACAAACAATACCAAACTGGATAAAGATTTTTATATTAAATGACAGGATTTCAAAAACAAACAATATAAATGATAAAAGCTTAGATGATCACGAAAAAGAATTTGAAATTGAATCCAAAACTGATATTAAAATTTACAATTTTTTGGAAAGTTTCAAAGAAGTTAAGGTTAATAAATACTTGATATACAGGTTACTTGACTTAGTATTTATCGAATTGTTTCCCGAGCTAAGTGAATATAGTAGCGAATATTTAAATAGTTTGTATGATATATAATAAATTTTATATACTGCTAAAAAGAATCTTGAATCTGAAGCTTTGTAAATTATATTGTAAAAATCATAATTCATTTAATTCTTGTTTAATCCAAGAAGGCAAATCACCTTTGGGTTTATTTTTGGTTGTTTTTTTTGGTATTAAGTCTTTCCATACATTATCAAAATTCCAAATAAGAGGAGCATAGGTTTTGACTTGGGTTAGACCAACCTGTGTTAAAGAAAAAGCAGAATGTAAAGCGATTTGCTGAGGAAATGGAGGTGAGATATGATGAGCCGACAAAAGATTAGCTGAGTTAAATTTTTGATTGTAAATAGAATAATTATTCTTGTAAGACAGCGGGAGAGAGTATTTTTTGTCTCCAAGAATATTATAATTAATATAATTTAAATGTTTTCTAATTTGGTGTTTTCTTCCAGTCAATAATTCTAAAATCATGCAATTGCTGTTTAATATTTTAAACTTTGTTGAGGATGGTTTATTATCAATTGGTAAATCAATTAAACCAAGAGTATTCTGAGGATTTAAAAATTTCAAATGTCTCAATGAGGAGCTATCAAAATTTTTGTCAATTATTTCAACAGCTGCTATATATTTTCGTTTTATCAAATGACCCGAATTCCCACCTTTTACTAAATTTCTGTTAAATTTGGAAGTTGTAATATTATTTTTGGATATTATAAGAGCACCAGAAACGTTGTAATCCAATCTGTTAATTGGTTGCAATTCTTTTAGCATTAAATCTTTATCATTAATGTTTTGAAACGAATCTGAGTCTTCAAAATTACCTAAAAAGTGCTGATGATATAGTAAAGGGATAAGACATTTTTCATTTAGAACAAAATCCTTGAATTGGTCTCGAGTTTGAATACCCGGATCGAAAAAACGTTTATGTCTTTTGAAATAGGCATTCGAAGTATCAGGAGGCTGCGAATACAAAAAGGGAGGTTTGTTGACAATAAGATAGTTTTTGCAATCATATAAAATTGGAATAAAAGTAGAAAACTTTGTAGGCAAAGACATGGCTCTCATCCAAAAACACCACTCAACAGCCAGAAAAGGATAAAAGAAAAAAAATAGAAATAATACTCTTCTCTAAAAAACACGTGCCATGGATTAAAGCGCCAAAGCTGCTGAAAAACGCATGGAAGCATCAGTTTTGGAAAAACGCGGTAATTATAAGAGAGCCTAACAATAGAACTTTGTACCGTTTACACCACTCTTCTCTAGGGTTACAATATACATGGCTCCGAAGCCAATTCGTGCAGCCAGAAAAACAATACATCAGAAAATTGGCTGCAAGGACAGCAGAAAGCAAAACAACTACAATTATAATATTTTATTTTTATTATCATGAATCACCTTAGACCGATATAAAATTATATAAAAGGCGTTGCAATTTGATCAATTTCGAAAGAAAGGGATCAAGTCTTCCAATACATATTTCTAGTTCTGTTCGTGTTTACATAAAAAGCCCTAAATTACGGTCTTAGAGTGTAAGCCCCTGAGAATTGGAATACAGGAAGCCTACGGTTACGACCCACGAAGGTCCCTGCGCAAAACAGCACACCTTGATGGTCATGTGTCAGATGAACCATACTGATGGCTTTCTGCAAGAGGTATAGTATATGCATTTGTGCACTTTTGCACGCGTGTAGTGCCGTTCAAATGCAGAAGAAGCGGTCTTGTCTCGGATATCTCAGCAACTGTATTTCATGTGGGGAGTTTTACACTTCACAAAGAGAGAAAGGGCACCGAAATGCTATGCAGATTTTAAAGAATATTGGTAAAAAACACACTGGTTTGATAAGATTTAAAAGAATGAAGAATAAATCCTGATGTAAATATTTAGTCCATTTCTTTAGTTATGGTTGTGGCTACTTCTAAATTGTTGCTCAGTATCTGGACAATTGTTTAATAAAGACTTAATGTTGATAACACTACCGTTTTGTCGACTGCTTATTTGGCTATTGGGGTTTCTCCTAAAATTATCCTTCTTATGATTATTATCGTTGTTGGAACACTTGGGTTTGTTTAGATATCTGGGATGTAGAAAATTATCAGAGTGATAGTCAGCAATAGCAGATGAGATTTTATTACTATTTTGGGAGTTGCAATGAGATTGATTTAGTTGAATATCGTCATTATCATCATCTTCATCGTTGTCATCATCATTTAGGATGGAATTAATGGTCATGTTTATGTTCAGATTTGAACTAGTTGGGGTTCTATAGTAGTTTAAACTGGAAATTCTAGGTGAATTTAAAACAGCAGTTTGCTTTACTTTTTTATAGTTCTGTTTTTCAGCGGAATTTTGATTTGAATTTTCATAATACCTTTGAGTACTGTTGATACTCGATTTTCTTTTAGAAGGATTTTCTCTGGCTCTAATGGTCTCAATGTTGTGAGTATTTAGATGATTATTTGAGAAGTGGTTTTCGTCAAAAGAGCTTAAGTCATTATCACAGGATCTATTATTAATAACGGTATTAGTAGTTTTATTGTCATTATTATTATTATTATTATTATTATTATTATTATTATTATTATTATTATTATTATTATTTAATTCAAATACAGCACTATCATTGATAAAATTATCCGGATTGAAATTATTAGGGTTTGCAAGGGTAGGAGGAATATTAGTATTAATAAAATTATTTGAAGGAATTGAATTATCAGAAATAACAAAAGAAGAGGGAGAAGTGCATGCGGAAGTGGAAGTTGAGGCACAAGTAAGACTAGTCAATTCGGGTATACGAATATTTTTAGTATCAGAAATGGTTTTCTCCGAAACATTTGAGTAATTCAAATCTTCAAATTTTAAACTGTTTTCAATATATGAATCTTTTAAGACTTTTAGAAAATCAATTAAAAAATGTTTTTCAAGGAAATTTTTTGGATCGATATTGTCATGCAAAACCTTCAAGGATAGTTCAAAGGCTTTATTGACTTTAGCGGCAGAATCAAGTAAACTTAAATCTATACTTCCAGTTTTTTTGTTTGGGGGTTTATTACTATTATGATTATTATTATGATTATTATTATGATTATTATTACTATTATTATTACTATTACTATCACTATTATTATTACTATTATTATTACTATTATTATTATTATTATTATTATTATTATTAGTAGTAGTAGTAGTAGTAGTAGTAGTAGTAGTAATAGTAGTAGCAGTAGCAGTATTAAAAGTATTTGAAATGATTTTATTTGTTGATAAATCATAAAAATAGTTATAACCATCAGATTTAAAAATTTTATTAATAATGATATCTTTTGTTCTATTGATAAAACGATCAACCCATCTTGAACCCACGTAATGCAAGGTAATAGTATTATTTTTAGTTGGCACAGGGTATTTTTTTAGATGTCTTTTAGCATGATTGGGTCTTTGTTCAATAATTTCATCGACCATATAGTATAGTTGCAATTTTTTGATTGATTTTCCGTTATCAATTAAGGCTTTAATTTTATTTTTCAAGAGTAATTCCTCTTCATCTGTTAAAGATCTGTTATGAGTATGAGTAGATGAAGATAGATTTGGGGGGTTTTTGATGATGAGTTTTGGTAAATTTGTATGTGCATTATCATTTATAGCAGTGTTACAGGAGATAGAATTCTGGCTATTATTAATAATATTATTGTTATTATTGTTATTATTGTTATTATTGTTATTATTGTTATTATTGTTATTATTGTTATTAGTTGTTGAGTTGAGCGGGTAGGTACAATTTGAAAAAGAGTAACTAGGATTAGTAAGAAATAGGGCAGAAGAAGCAGGTGTGACAACTGAAGAGGGATGTGGAGGTTGAACAAGAGGAATAGAAGGAGGAAAAGAAGTGGTAGGGGCAGTAGAAGCAATAGAAGCAGTAGAACACGAGCAAACAGAAGGAAGAGTGGTAGAAGTGGAGGTGGAGGCGGAGGTGGAAGTGGAGGAAGCCGAGGCAGAAACAGGAGCAGAAGTGTAGGAAGAACTGAAGTTGTAGTTGCAATTTTGATTGTAACCGGAGTTCAAGTTCAGATTGTGATGAGTGGGAGGAAGGGAGTGAGGATCGTATATATAGTTGCTCAGATTAAAACTGTATCGAAGGGGTAGATAAAGATGAGAAAGGGAATTCGAGTCTAGAGAGTGATTGAAAGAGTTGTTGGGAGGAGGATCATGACTATAATTGGCGAAATTTGACCTAGCCAACAATAGTTTTTTCCTTGATAGACAAGTTCCTTTCTTGACTTGAAATTTCATCTCTATTTGCTTCCAAGTTGTTGAAGGGAATTTATCTTTATACTCTAAAGCCTGTTGAATTCTAAACTCTCTCTTTGAGGCGTCAGCCTTGGAGTCCTTATCAGACATTGTTGAGGCAGATTAAAGTAGAGCAGAAATAAATTGGAAGGAGGAGTAAATATATATGGAGGAAAAATGATGCACCAACCCTGAAAAATAGCAAGAAAGCAAAGCGAGGGCAGCAGGAGAAGCGACAGAAGCAAGAAAATGGGCCGAAGCAAGAGAAGCAGGAAAGAGAGAAGGAAAGGAGCGAAAAAAGAAAAGGCAGAAGTGAGAGAAGAAAAACAGAAGAACAATCGAAGGAAAGAAGAATATTTATAGCTGGCAGCGTTCGGCTGTTCCACCTTATTGAGGCCCGCTGGGGATTCGCAGAAGATGGAAGCTTGAAGTTTGAGCGCGGCCGCCCACGCAGGTAAGTTGTCCGACGCCGTTGCCGACCGGCAGGGTCCTGCGCCGACAGCCGTCTCGGTCACATGGCCGTTGCGTGCCCGGGGCTGCGCCGGGTCACGGGCACACGTGTCTTGGTGGGATGGAGAGGACGCAAAGCAGCGACACAGAGGAAGCAGAGGTAGATGCTGCAGACTCTCCACCAGCTGTCCGAGACAATGTCCACAAATATGGTTTTGCTGACTGTGCGCAGCGCCTTCGGTGTTCTGTCTTGCTCCTCTCTTTTTCTTGCCTCTTCCAGCGTCCGTTTTTACTCGGCTGCTGCTTCTGCTGCTTCTGCTGCTTCTGCCGATATTAACTACCAAGACCCAGAGCTATTGAGAGACCCCAAGAGGTGGATTCTGTCCCGATACACTTCTTCCCAGATCTTCGAATTGTATCGTCATCGATACGCTCTTTTGAGTCATCAGTACACAAAATCTCAGGATGAGTTGGATGCTATATTGTATGCTTTCAAAAATCTAAAAGACCTGGACAGTCGTTGGTCTCCACAAATTATCAAAAAAATCTATAATTTGGACAATTCTCCCACAGACGGCGACGCTGCTCTTGAATACTACTTGGGCTCTTTTTCCTCTTCTAAAACTGACTTTACTTTGCCCAACTATAAGTATGATGAATACTCTTCTATTGCTACCACTCTAGTCGACCAACATCGCGATCTAAGATACTTCAACAGAGTTATTGCTTATGAGGCTCCCTTGCTAGCAAAATATAAAAAGCCTTATAAAAAGATGCATCCGGTCCAAAATCCAATAGTAATTAAATACAATAAATGGATTGGTGAGGAAAACCATCCTCTAAACTCAAAGATATCAGTTTATATTGATTTGGATCCTTTTTTTAAAAATTTGAAATTCGACAAATATCAAAAACATAAATTCTTACTATTAATTTCTCAAAGATACAATTTCGATAAAAATCAGCTCAAATTTTCTTGTAATAAATTTTCAGATTCTTCCCAAAATGTTAAATATTCTATTGACATTATTAAAAATTTAATCCGTCTATCAAAATCCGATCCTCAGCAACTTTATGATTTGCCCTTGGATAACAGATACTTTCTTGCTACAAAGCTCAGAAAACGTAAAAACCCTTTAAATATTGCTAAAGCCCATCCTTTCCCAGAAGAATGGAAAAGACTCGATCTTGCTCCAACTCCAAAGACAGATTTAATTAAACAATTTGCCGACACTTTTATTGGAAGACCTCAAGATTTTGTTGCTTAGTTACTGTCGTGCTTGGTTACTTTGGGGCTTTATATAATTTTCCTTTATTGTTGCTTGGTTTTTTTATAAAATATGTAAATATTATTCAATAGTTTAAATTTATTATATACTATTATTTCTAATACTAATACTAAAAAATGAAAGAAAAAATGAAAAAAAAAATAAAAAAAAAAATAAAAAAATAAATTATGTAAAAGAATGCAAAATAATGGAAATCACAAAAACTCATGTCATTTGTTGATTAAACACTACTCAACCTTTCTTCTTTTACTTCTTCTTGTTTTTCTATCTTTACTTGAAATTTCATCTGAAGAAAATTTTTCTAGAACTTCAATCTGTTGATCACTCATCTCAGCATCTGAAGCTTGAAAAATTGAGTCATCAAGATCAATGTTTATCGTATGACTACTATCATCACTATCGTCGCTGCTGTCAATACTCTCATTTTCCTCATTTTCCTCATGGTCTATATGAATAGTACGGCCAAAAGTATCATCCGCATTCTCAACGTTGCCCTTATCTACTTGTGAATTATCTGTTTTTAAAGAAACACTCTCATCATCAACATTTAAAGTAAGAAACTGAGATACACCACCACTAAGATATACTTCGGGAATTGAAATGTTTGAATAAGTTGAAGGAATAGTATACGAGTCTTTATTGGCTAAATATTTGAGTTTTTCAGTTTGATAAAGAACAAAATGTTTGTTATATGCATCTTTCCATTTCAGTTTTTCAGTTTCTGGTAATTCACTCCATTTTGTAGAAACTAATTGAGTTACAACAATACTTGGTAATGTGTCTAAACCAGCTTTACGTCTTTCTAATTTTAATGCCTGTCTGAAAAAATTGCTAAAAGCAAAATATGCAGTTAATGGTTTTTTTGGAGCATTTGGATCTCTATCGATTCTTCTCTTTTTTAGCAATGTTTTTAGTGGAAGGATGGTAGATGGAATATTTTTGGTTGAGTTTCTGGGTTTAATATTAGTTGGGACAGAAGATCTGCCATTTTTGTAAGCAATTTTGGAAGATCTAGGAGTTTTCCTATTTTTAGCACTGATACCATTATTATTATCTTTATTATCGTTATTATCATTGCTATCTTCATTGGTATTCTCATTATTATTGCTACTATTGTTACTATTGTTGTTGTTATTATTATTATTATTATTATTATTATCTTTATTATCTTTATTATCTTTATTATCTTTATTATCTTTATTATCTTTGTTATTGTTATTGTTATTGGTGGTTTGAGCAATAGAGCCAGAGATAACAGAAGAGTCATCAATATCACTTAGGACAGATTTATTGGCCAACGGTTTGGAAGATTTAGAAGATTTGGAAGATAGATTGTTGGGATGAGAATTAACGGTGGGAGACTTTGGGTTATGGGAATTGGAATTGGTATTTCCATTTTCGTCTAAAAGAAGAGAGTCAAAAGTTGCATGGAGAGCAGAGGAAGATTTTGCAAGAGAAGATAGAGAGTTAATCAAGGTTTTGACAACCAAGTCATTATCTGAATCGGGTTTGGAAACTGAAATATTATAAAACTCGATTGTGTTTGTTGCAACATTATTAGCAGCGTTGGACAATTCAAACAATGATGCGACCAACTAGGGGAGAATTGATGTTAGCAGTTGGCGAAAAAAAAGAGAAATAGAAACAGAACTTACAGCATCTTTCGAAAGCTTGAAGGCTAGTTGGTCGTGGGACATGGAAACTAAGGCAAAAGTCGAGCAGTGGGCAGTGAGCAGGACGCTTTCACGTTTGGCAGAAGAAGCAGATATAAAGCAGCAAAACACCTCCCTGAGTCTCTCGCCTCCCCTGGCGCTCGCACCTCTCCCAGGCAAATCTTTTGCCTGGTGCCTACCGCTTCCTACCCAGGCCACGTGATCTGCGCGGTCTGCTATTTGAACTACATCACTGGTATCAGTGTCATCATGTGGTTGTATGCATATTGGACCAAATCCACCCTGCTGGTGCTTGGACGAGGCTTGCTCCATCCCATCCCTTGAATCTTCTTTTTGTTTTCTTTCTTCTCTTTCTTTATCATCTTCTGCCTCTCCTTCCTCTGCGTTTTCTTATTATTCTTTCTTCTGAAAATGGTTTCCGAGTACGCCACAATCAACAACAATCCTGTTTTCAAACATGTCGACTCAATCTATGAAAACCGTTTAAGGCAGTTCTTTGATAATGGCCAATATAGAGATTTCAATTTGCCTAAGTTTATGGATTATCAAACTTCCTCAGACTGTATTTCTTTGAGAGTTCACTCTGTAGCAAATAATGCTCGTCCTTTATTCAAAGATATTATACCTGATTTGAAAGATGAGGACTGGTCTTCCTCAAAAGTCGGTGATAAATTTGGTCCCTCTTGGGCCACTTTTTGGTTTAAAATCGAAGCAACCTTGCCTTCAAATTGGCTTGTCGATTATATCAATAACCCAAATATTCATTCTGATCAAATTTGGTTCAGATGGGACTCTCAAAATGAAGGTTTAATTTATGATCAATATGGAACTCCCTTGCAAGCTCTAACTGGAAATGGTGAAAGAATTGATTATATTGTACCCAAATCTTGGTATTCCTCTAATAATACTTTCAAATTTTATCTTGAAATGGCCTGTAATGGCATGTTTGGTAACGGTGAACCAACTAACTCAAATAACCACTTTTCTTTAAATACTTGCCAACTAGTTATTCCAAATTTGCAATGTAGAGCTTTATATCATGATTTTCATGAAATTGCTGACGCTGCAAGAGAATTTCCTTCAGATTCATGGCAAAAACATCAGGCAAGAAAATTAGCGAATCAAATTATGAATACTTTTGATCCCAACAACCCAGACTACTCGATTAGTCTATCTAGAAATTTGGCCAAATCCTTTCTCGGTAATGACATTGATTCTTCCAAAGTTTTTACCTTGAATGACACTATCAATTTCAAAAAAATTGAAGTTTTCAATTTTGGTAATTGCCATATCGATACTGCTTGGTTATGGCCCTTTGCTGAATCAAGAAGAAAAATTGTTCGATCTTGGACCACTCAATTAAATTTAATCGAAAGATACCCTGAATACATATTTGTTGCTTCTCAAATGCAACAGTTTAAATGGTTAAAAGAAGATCATCTCATTATTTTTAATCAAATCAAATCAAATTTGGATAGATTTATTCCCATTGGCGGTACCTGGGTTGAAAATGATACTAATTTACCTGCATCTGAATCTCTTGCAAGACAATTTTTAAAAGGACAATTTTTTTTGAAACAAAATTTTGATTTTTATTCAAAAACTTTTTGGCTACCGGATTCTTTTGGCTACTCCTCTCAATTACCCCAACTTTGCCAACTCTCTAAAATATCAAGATTTTTGACTCAAAAACTATCCTGGAATAATATTAATACTTTTCCTTTAACAACTTTCAACTGGGTCGCTTTGGATGGCTCTCAAATTTTAGCACACATGCCTCCTAATAACACATACACTTCAGCTGCTAATTTTGGCGATATTAAAAGATCTCTTCACCAACACAAAAACTTGGCTTACTCCGTCAAGTCGATGCATTTGGCTGGCCATGGTGATGGTGGTGGAGGCTGTACTCCCGAAATGTTAGAAAGAATCCGTCGTTGCAGAGGAATAGCCAACACTTCTGGTGAGTTGCCTTATGTTCATTCTGGTATATCAATTGATAAATTTTATGATTTAATATTAGACGAAACAAAAAACGGAAAGGAATTGCCTTCTTGGGTTGGTGAGTTATATTTTGAGTTTCATAGAGGTACTTACACAACTCAGTCTGATGTTAAAAATTTTATGCGATGGGTGGAAACAAATTTGCACTCTTTAGAGTATTTGTCAACATTAGCAAGCTTATTTTCTAAATCATATATTTTTCCAGCAAAACAGATCTCGGATTTGTGGGAAAACGTTTTGTTATGTCAATTTCATGATGTTTTGCCTGGCACTTGTATCGAACTTGTTTATTCAGATGAGGTCAAACCAATGCTTAGTAAATGCATAAGAAAAACTGAAAAATTGATTTTCACTGCTTTAACTTCGTTAGGTATTAAACAATTTCCAACAAAAAAAACTTTTGAGAATGACAATCATTTAAACTATGAGATTTCTATAATTTATGAAAAATTGGTAAATCGAGCTTTTTGGTTAATAAATACTTATCCTTGGAATGTTTCAGAAATCGTCAAGATACCAAAATTATCAAAACTATTTTTGAACGAAAACCAAAAAACATTAAAAGAGAAACCTAACTTTTATTCCAAATTATCGTTTATTCAAGAAGGAAGATATGAAAACGATTACGTTTTATTTCAATCGTTACCAGATAATCATTCAATATTAGCGCCATTGACAGAAAAAATCAATGCGGAAGTTAAATTGTTTGATTTGGATGATTATTTTGTTTTAGATAACTCATTGCTAAAAATTGAGATTTCAAAAAGTACAGGAGTAATTACAAGCATTATTGATAAAACTTATAATGACAAAGAATTTCTTGATATTAAAACTGGTAAAAATAAAACAGGAGCAAACCAATTTGTAATTTTACAAGATACTCCGTTATCATGGCAAGCATGGGATACCGAATTATTTTCATTGGAAAAAATTGTTAACTTAAATGCGAATAAAGTCGAAATTTATGAACAAGGACCATTGATCACAACGATTAGGGTGTCGATTGTAATTAATGAAAAAACAAATTCATGGTTAAATTCATACATTTCCTTAAATGCAAATTCGAAATTGATTAATATTGAGAACGAGTGTGATTGGCATGAGAATTGTAGGTTTTTGAAAGTTGAGTTTCCTGTGGATATACACAATTCTTACTGCTCTTATGAAACTCAATTTGGCATTACAACAAGACCAACGAATTATAACACATCTTATGAAGTTGCTAAATTTGAAACTTGCTGTCATAAATTTGTGGATTACAGTGATTTTACTGGAGGGGTTTCTATTTTTAATAATAACAAGTATGGATTTTCTACACATGGAAATTTAATGAGACTATCATTATTAAGGTCACCTAAAAGCCCCGATGAGCATGCTGATATGGGAAAACATTTTTTCAAGTATGGAATTTTTCCTCACAAAGGTGGAATTAATGGCGAGGTTGTTAGAAATAGTTTTAACTTTAACACTAGATTTTGGAAAAGTGACGATAATGAAGATTATTACAAAATCTGCAAGTTTACCAATCGCATTAGTAATGAAGAAGACTATAGAATTGAACAAACAGGATTTGGTAGTTGTGTTTTACTTGAAAATATCCACGAATTCAATAAAGAGTTTTTTAATTTTATTAGTTTAGAAAATGATGAAGGTAATTTGATTTTAAGCAATATTAAAAGAGCTGAATTGGATTCAGATGTGTTTGTTGATTATAATTCCGAGGCACTGTATTCAGAAAAAACGATGAAACCATATCAGGCAAACCATCAGCAAAGCAAGTTTTTGTCATTTTCTAATTTAATTAGTAAAAACAACAATGTACAAGAAAACACAAAATCAGTTATTATTAGGGTATATGATTCTTTGGGAGGTAAAAGTAAAGGTGTTATTGTGGTAAAGAAATTATTACCATTATTAAGAGTTTATAAAGTTAACAATTTAGAGGAGGACGTTGAAGTATTAGAATTTAGTAGTTCAACCGAAAATGATGAATATACTATTCAAATTGAGTTACGGGCGTTTGAAATTGCTGGGTATAGATTAGTTTTGGCTGTTTAGAAATTTAATCAATTATTGATTAATTGCTTTTTATTTTCTTTTTATTTAAGTTTTATTTTTTTTTATTTAAGTTTTATTTTCTCTTTACTTATTTAACTGTCTTCAGATGTCTCAAGATCAAATCTTTAAAGAAACCTCTTGTTATACTTTTACATTATCAGGGCAGGACAGGACAGCTAAAGCCACTCGTGTGTAGGTCGGAATTGCCGGTTAATATTTCACAATCCTCTAGCCACAGTCCGAGCCCAGTTGGGCGTTTCGCTGACGGAAAAGCAAAGGGCGAGGATCTGCCTCCGGATGGCTTTTGAACCTTTGTATCAACAGCTCTTAGCGGTTGGCTTTTGCAGCATTAGTAGAAGCAGATTTGTCTTTCATTGCAAGTGAATGATAGGAGGCAACAATCATGGAAAACGTTTTGGAAACAATATCTTTATCCTCTTCACCACATCAACTTAAATCTCAGATCATATCTCTACTTGAAGATTCAAGAACTTTTAACTTTAATGTTTTAAGGATCAATCCAATATTGCAAGCAAAACTAACTACTGACAATAAGAATTCTAACAATAGTTTAAAATACCTTAAAACCTTGGAGTTGTTTTCTTTTGGCGCTTTTGAAGATTATTTTTACAATATCGACTATCAAAACTCAGAATTTATTCAGTTGTCCTTCAATGCCATAAACAAATTAAAAGCGCTAACAGTTCTTAGAAGACTAGTGCATATTAATTCCAATCGAGTAAAATACAATCAATTAACTGGTCGAAGTTCACAGCAAGATTTTGATTATGCTGAATTGGAAAGACATTTGATCTACTTGAAGTTCCAGAAATTAGTCGATCTCAAAATTGATTCGTTCAATCAAGAAATAAAAGTAAACAAGATTTTTTACAAAGAAGATATCAACTACAATCAGAATTTTCCTCATACCGACTGCAATCCCCAACCAGCTTCAATGGATGATTTGATTAAGCGTTTGATAGTTTTTAAACAAAATGTGTTAACACTTTCTACTTCGCTCTCATGCTAATATGAAAAATCATTATATTTCTGCCATTACACTACCAATTTTAAACGTTTCCTTTTACTTTCTTTATTTATGGATTTACAGCACGTGATATCTGACCAGCATTTCTTTCTTATCTGATTTTCGTAGCATGTGCTGCAACACAGTAAACACACATGATTATTAATCATAAACAAAACATTTCACAAAATTAATGTCCAGAGAAGTACAAAACATAGTTTACATCCCTCAAAAGAATTGTGCTGCACGTGAGATACAAAAAAAAATGAACGTCTTATGGGCAAACAGCGTTTGGGCTACTAATATCAACCACAATAATAGAATTGATGAACAAAAATATCATAATGGTTTATACGAATATTAATCATGAGTAGGCTGAACATCGCCAAAATCAACAATGTTGATATTCAAAAAATCAATTCCGGACAAGTAATTATAGATCTTCAAACTGCTGTCAAAGAATTGGTTGAAAATTCTTTGGATGCTAATTCAACCTCAATTGAAATATTATTCAAAAATTATGGAATCGATTCTATTGAGGTAATTGATAATGGTGATGGGATTGATCGATTAGATTTCAAAAATATTGCTTTGAATAGCTATACTTCCAAGCTATCTTCATTTGATGATTTAGATATTTTAAACTCCTTTGGATTTAGAGGTGAGGCAATTCATTCATTAGTTTCCACATCAAAATCATTTCAAATAACAACTGCGACAAAGGAAACTTATCCTAAAGCATCAATTTTAAACTTTGGTTCAAATGGACTTTTGATATCAATTAAACCAACAACCAGAAATGTTGGCACATCCTCTTTAATCACAAACCTATTTGAAAATTTACCAGTTAGAAGAAAAAATTTTATCAAAAATCATAAAAGAGAATTTAATAAAGCAATTGAATTATTAACAAATTATTGCTTGATAACAGAAAATGTTAGGCTTAAAATATTTAATATTTTACCTAAAAGAAATAACAAAAATTTAATCATAGCAACAAAGGGCTTAAATAACAAACTAAAAGACAACATCTATTCGGTTTTTGGTTCTAAAATCTTTAATTTTAAATCTTTAATTGAAATTGATTTTTCTTTAAACTTGTTTTCAACCTCAAAAGTAAAATTAGTTGGTTATCTTTCTAATCCTTCACCAAAAATGGGTGTTAAATCTCCCTCCCACCAATACATATTTGTTAATTCTAGACCAGTAATCTTAAAGAATTTGAAAGATTTGCTTAATAATCTTTATAAAAGTTTTAATTTATTGCAGTATCCTGTTTTTTTCTTAAACTTAAAAATTAATCTGAACATGATCGATATCAATGTTACCCCTGATAAAAGAACTATCTTAATTCAAAATGAAACTGAAATACTAAATCTTATCAAATCTAAAATTTTAGATCTTTATCATAACTCTGACGCTGAAATTTCAAAAAACAATTTTAAATCAAGCCCTTTTACTAATGATAAGTTTGATATAACAAAGAGTAGAATAGACTGTGATCTTGAACCCAAGGATATAGAAGAAAACTGCAAATCTTTGGATTCTAATACAGATAATGACATAAAGACATTAATAGAAGACAACAATACATCTTGTATGTTTGAAAGGCCCACAAAAAGATTGAAAAATAACAATTTATCAAATTATACTACTTCTATTTTAAAATCATTTACAAATGATTTATCTGGAGATTCATTTTCTGAAAAAAATGCATTTCAGCATTATATTAATAATAATATTGACAATGATTCCAAAATAAAAGAAAACAGTTTTGATATTCAGAAAAAACATAACGACTATCATGAATGTAATAAAACAGTAAATCCTTCTCTGCAAGAATTGAATAACGGTTTAGAGGTTACTATTTTTGAAGGTTTTGGTGACAAATCAAATAATAATGAAAATAGTACAGAAGTTTCAAATAGTATAAATGCTATAACTAACGAAAGCAAGAATGTTTTTAATATTGCTTCAAATAATAATTTTAATGATTTTAGTTCTCAAAGTGATTCTGTTTTTTGTCAATTAAATATTAATAAAAGTCATCTGGGCTTAATCAATAAGAGTGATGCTAATAAAATAGTTGCCGATATAAATAATGATGACAAGGGTATTAAAAAAATTAAAGGCGATAATAAAAGCAAAGAAATTTTAAATAGAAATGACCAGTTGAGTAAAACTTTCTTTAATCAGAAAAAACTGAAAAATCGTGAATCTCAAAATCAACTAATAGTCACAAATGCTTTTCGAATGGGCGAAATTACTCAAGAGTTTAATGAGGTATACAACTCAATAAAAGATAATTACATTAATAACATGAAGGATAATTTTTATGGAAATTCAAAATGTTCTGACATTAATACTGAGCAAGAAACAACTGAAGAGCAGTTAACATTAAAAGTTAATAAAAAAGATTTTCTGGAAATGAAAATTGTGGGACAATTTAATCTTGGATTTATTCTTGCAACCTCTAAGCACGAGAATTTATTTATAATTGATCAACATGCTTCAGATGAAAAATTTAATTTTGAACAATTAAGAAAAAATACAAAATTTCAAAGACAAAGGTTAATCAGTCCTATTAATGTTGAATTGGCAATAATAGATGAAATGATTGTTAAAGATAATATTGAAATGATCGAAAAAAATGGATTTAAAATTAGGGTCAATGAGAATAATAAAGCAGGATTCAAAATTGAATTGATTTCGATACCAATATCTAAGAAGACAGTATTTGATTTAAGTGATTTTATTGAATTAGTATATAAAATTAAGGAGAATCAAAGTGGTGGATATAAGATTAATAATGAAGTGAGTTGCTCTAAAATATATTCGATGTTTGCTTCAAGAGCATGTAGAATGAGTATAATGATTGGTAAACCATTGAATATTTCAAAAATGAAAAAGGTTGTCAGTAATTTAAGTCAATTAGACAAACCTTGGAACTGTCCTCATGGAAGGCCAACAATGAGACATTTGATGGAGTTAACAAAAATTGAAACATTTATCGAAGACTATACAATTTAGTGACTGCAATTTTATTATTAAAGTTAAGAAAAAATGAATAAAAAATGAATAAAAAATGAATAAAAAATGAATAAAAAATGATGTCGTATATGAGCATATAATTGAAACACAATTGAAATATAATTAACGTATAAATTTATGATCAATTTTTGATTTTAAGAAAAAACATTTTTAAAAATTTTTTTTTCTCGAATAAGACAACACAAAAAACAAACAAACTTGACACTAAAAAATAAAAATAAATGAATGAATACTTAAAATGTAGAAATCAAGTAGTAATCTGAAATAAAAGGGAAAGAATAAAAAAAGAATAAAATTAAAAAAAACAAAATAAGACCCTTAAAGAAAAAAAACAAAATAGAAATCATTGAAAAAAAAACACACTAACATTTAGAATTAGCTTCCACATTAAAAATAAAAAAGTATAATAAAAAAATTCATCAAATTAAGTCATAAGAAAATTGAAAATTGAAAATTGAAACAAAAAAAAAAATAAAATAAAAAAAATTAAAAAAAACAACGCGTAAAAACCAGTATTTTTAAAGAGTAAAACATTTCTTCTGAAAAAATTAGGCTGAGTGTAATTAGAATCATCGTTATGATTTATAAGTAATTTTTCGTTTAATAAATCGGAGGGAAGATAAGAGATATCTAAAGTGTTAGATTTGTATTTAGATGAATTTGGAGAAGGAGAGGGAGTTAAAGGAAAATCAAAGAAGGGATTTTGATGGATAGGGGAATTATTTTTAGAGAAATTATTTGAAATGATAATTTGCAAATCCTTTAATGAAGAACTGTCACCTAAGAAAGTAAAATTAGTCAAGTGATTTTGAGAATTAAAAGGTGGTAAGTGTGAGAATTGATTGTCAGGGGTAAAATCAATACCCAATGAAGACCAATTTAAAGATGGAATTGACACAAATGATGAAAGGTTTTGATAGTATAAGTCATCAAGATCGTCTCTCGTTAAAGATAGGTATGACAAAGAAGGTTGTTTTTTTAAATCTAAGGATAATCTTGAAAATTTGAAGATATTATTTTGAAAATTAGATATGTTATTTAAATGGGAGTTTACAATATCGTCAAGGGGAAACAAGACTTTGTAAATAAGAATTGAGTCATTTGATGTAGTATTATCACCAAGATTTGAATAATAAAAGGTTAAGGCCTTTAAAAATGAGTCATAAATTAAAATCAAGTTGGTGTCGAATTGAAGCAAGTTGACAACATCTAAAGAATTCAACAGAGAAACTATGGTAGAGTTATAAATTAAAGAGTTGTTGGTATTAGTATAACCTAGTTTAAACTTTGACCAATTGTTGTTAATAAAAGCAGAGGAAATATCGATTAATTTCAATTGATTTGAAATAAAATCAATTGGCTTATTTTCTAAATAGAGTGGAATTAGACCATTGAATTGGAACGAATTGTTTTTAGTGAGATTGAATTTTTTAAAATGATCTATATTGTACGATTTTCGATTCGAATTAAACTCAGGATTTGATAACTCGATATAAGAGTTAATGTCAATTAAATAACTAGGATTTGGGAAAGACGAAGATGAAGAGGCAGCAGCCATTTGAGAGAATAAAGGGGATAGAAGGAATAAAGAGAGAAAAGGGAATCGAATTAAACAAAAAGCGATAAAATAGAATAATAATTAATCAATCACCGATTAAATTTTTTAAAAGTTTTATCAGTAAAACAGTATAAAATTGTTCAAGTAAAAAGAAGTAAAAGGAAGTTAAATGGAAATTGAAGAGTATTTAAATAAATGGATGGATATTAGTGAGCGAAAAAAAAGATGAAAAAAAAAAAAAGATAATGGGAAAAAAATGAGATAAATGTGCAGATAGAAGGCCCTGGCCAATGAAAAGAGCGGTGATTGCAAAAAGCGATGCAAAATTTGAGGGATCGGAAAGGGTGAAAAACGAAAGGGAGAAAAACAAAAAAACAAATGGGAAAAAGAGAAAAATATAGAGAAAAAGCGAAACACATGGATTAGACGAAAAAATAGCAAATAACGATAAAGAATGATAAAAAGTGATAAAAAGTGATGCAAAACAAAAGACGATTGTGGGAGATTGGAAAAAGTGAGAGTTATCAAGGTTCATTTAAAATGGCTGGAGGAATGCATCCAGAACATTGGCATTTTGAGTGTGAGTGGAATTGCTAAAGAAAAACAAGAAAAAAATCACCAAAGAAGTAACAAAAAAGCAACAGGCTGAAATTAGCAGAGATCCCAGTAAACACAAACATCAGCAGCGCGAGACTCCCGAACTAGGACCAGAATCCTGGGCTGATTACATGAGGCAATTTCAAATGCTTCTGGCCACTTCCGGTTGTGGACAAGGATACACAACAATCCTTGCGGTCGATAACCTAAACGCGCCAAGCGGACATGTCTAGCAGAAATAGAATCTCATATACGAGAAATGTGGTAAATCCTCCTGCTGTCTCAAACCCAGTTGCAAGAACAGCCGATGCAGCCAATTAATGCTGGCAAACTTGATACTTGCAGAACACGCGCCACAGCCGGGTTTAATACCCTTGCACGTAATACTCAGCGCGTATCTGAGACATAACGCAGAACACGGCAGAAGCCAGAAACGCGGTTCAGATGTCAAGGTATTGATTACACGTGACCAAATTTGGTGTGCGGCTGAAAACGTGATTGCGCGTGCACGTGTCCACTGGAGTGGTTGCTTTCTGGATGAGCATCTAAGGCACGTCAAGCTCAACTGTAAAAAGCATCTTTTGAGAAGAGCCATCAAATCATCCCTACCTGTTTTAGCAGTGTTTAATTATAAATCAATCACAGAATAAGGGTTTTGTATTTATAATCTCTTTTTTTTTTTGTTATTTTTTACTGCAATATCGTTTCTCTTCTCTATCAGTTTACTTCTGCCATTTTCAAATATTATCACTGCTTATCTTAAAATTTCCTATAAATAAGAGTCATTTTTCTTCCCTTGATCTCCTCAAGCTGAATAATCTGAGTATTGATAATTCAGCCATATACTATATATATATCTATATATTTTCTATACTTCTTCTTTTGTTTCTTCTTCTTCCTATTTTTTCTTCCTATTTTTTTAATTACTTTTCAGCATATTAATCATTTAATTATCTAATCAATTGTACAACCTTAATCTATTCATAATATTTCTTATAAATGTCTTATCATTCTCAGACCTCAGCTCCATATTCAAATCTAAATTTAAATCAAAATCAAAATCAAAATGGTTTATATTATAATCAAAATTACACCTTTAATCAAAACTTAAATGAGAATCTAAATTTAATTCATTCTTACCAATGTTTAAATCAAATTGTAAATCAACTTAACCAAAATTTAAATTCAAATTTAAATTCAAATTCAAATTTAAATTCAAATTCAAACTCGTTCTCAAATATTGATCTATCTTATCTAAATCAAAACTCATTTACTTCTTTTCCATATTTAAATACCAGCACTAATTTCGATCTTAATAACCACTATATGCATTGTTGCAAATGCCATTTTAATGGCATTGATAATCTACTTAAAATAACCTCTCCAAACCCTCATTGTTCCTGTACTCATGTATTTTGCGCAAATTGTGGTCTAATTAACACAAATTATAATTTTAAAGATCAATTCCAAAAAAATCTTTTATATTTTAAAACATTAAACCTATCATTAAATCAAAATAATTTGAATCAAAATAATTTGAATCATATAGATAATAGTAAAATTAAAATTAAAAAGGATATTAAAAATAAAAATAAAAATAAAAATAAAAATAAAAATAAAAATAATTACAATGGCACTATTAGTTTTAATACTAATCATAACGATAATCTCAGCAAAAATTATGATCTTAATAATCGTAATCTTACAAAACCTTATAGATCAATTCTTAAAAAAACTCAGACTGATTCTTTCCCAACATTGACTCCAAAAGCACACAAAAAAGTTCATTTTATCTTGCCCTAGTGAATAATTAATCCATTATTTATTATATTTTATTGTTATCCCTTTCGATTCTTTCTATTCTTTCTATTCTTTCCATTTGTTTTTTTAGGGTGGTTTATTTTCATGAGAAATCTTCACTATTAAAAACTGGTTTATTTTATCGCTGTTTTATTATTGTTTTATAATTTTTTATGATGTTCTATGATTTTTTATGATTTTTTATTTATACCTTATATTGTAGCTAGGATAATAAACAATTGAGATAATATGTATTAAAATAGCATTATTAAAATAATATTATTGAAGTAACATTAAAATTAATAAATAAAAATAAATTGAAAATAAAAACCCCAAAAAAGAAACAAAAAAAAAACAAAAAAAACAATAATCATAAATAAAAGAAAAAATCTATTGGATAACTTTCCTAGTTTTTAAATAATTGTAAAAATATAATAATTGTAATAAACTGATAAATATTAGTAAAATTATTATAACGATTTGAGACTTGACAACATTAATGTATGTATTTTCATTAGTATCTCTTAGATTTGCTTCTCTTTTAACAAGATAATATAAATTATCTGTTAAATCGTCAATTTCGTTTTCAATCTGAATTAAGTCCTTATGTAATGGAGTTAGTTTTTCACTTTGTTTAATTAAATTTAAATCTCTCGATTTTAAACCAATTTCCAAATCCATCACTATTTCCTTGTTTTCACCATCATTTGACCAACTTGCATCTTTAAGATAATTTTCAAAACAAATTTCAAAATATCTTTGTGAAATATCATAATCATTCATAATTTTATTACTGTTACTATTATTATTATTGTAATTATTTAAAAATGAAGTTTTGAATATAATACGTAATTTTCCAGAGATGTCAGATTTTGACCGATAAAGATTGCCAAATTGATCAAATACTTTAAAATTTAAAGATTGCGAGTTAATCTTATCACCAACAAACATACTTATTATAATCAAATTATCATTATCATCATCATTATTATTATTATCGTTTTTGTTGTTATTATCAAGGCTAGACTGACTATTGTCATAATATCTGAAACATGATTCAAAATCGTATTTTTTGTTGTAATTTTTTTCATAATTTTCAATATCTTTTTGCTTCAAAGGAGGTACAATTATACCAATTGAACTAACCAACTGTAGATAAAATAAAGACACTAGTATTATAAAACGTAATATAGTAAGGTTGGAATTAAATTTAAAACCATTAAAATTGAAATTGAAAATTTGACCTATTCCATGCCTGCTTGTTAATTTCATTATTATATCAAAAGCAAATCAGTAGAAAAAACCCCAAACACTCTAAAGGAAGATCTCTCGACCCCAAAAATAAAAAACGTAGAATGAGAATAATTGTTGGCCAGCAATAGGTATATCTACCGACGTGTTAATACTTCGATAAAGAGCGATGAAAAATAAAAAATAGAAAATGGAGCAGCTAACAAAAAAAAGAGGCTGCAGAAGATGCACAAGTAAAAAGAAGAAAAGTGAAACGAAAACTGGTCTGTTAGTAAATCCAAAATCGATAGCAAAATGAAGCATTGATTGTCTCTTGCAGCTCATGCCTCAGGCGCAACAGAAAACAGATCATCCTGCAAATTCTCCAGAACAATAAGAGGCAGAACACGTGTACTATACAGACCATAAACACGGTACTGATTTGGAAGCCACTGTGTTGGTACTTTACAACGTGATGTACTTTGCACGTGCGCAATGCATTTTTTCCGGTTTGGGCTGTGGGAGTCCACTGCAGTGGATCGCGGGTACTTCTCAAAGCAGTTGCTGATAAACTCGAAAACTCGAGTTTTCTTATCCAAGCTGATTCAACACAGTGGAGAAACTCTGATATATAAGTATGGAGCAGCTTCTCCAGTTTTGAAGCTTTTCTGCTCTGCTTGCTGTCACAATTTGCTTGCAATGGACTGTTTTTCTTCCCAGCATTTGGCTGCTCATTGGAAATTGCTTGTTCTTCCTCTTCCTCTCCTTACCCCCTTTATTTTTTATCACATCTACAACTATTTCAATGCAAGCTCTGATAAACCATTGAAATTGCAGGCTGCTTGTGATCAGAAAGCTTCTGTTTTGCTTCAGTCTACTGAGCTTGTTTATCCCATACCATCTGACTATGTTTGGCAAGATCAACTTCCCATTCCATATAGACCGTTTAAACCAGTTTATAAAATGAATCTAGGAATAAAATTCATATCCATTGATGATTTGTTTTTAATTGACAATACCTACTTAACTACAATCGACGAAAAAAAAACATTATTATCAGATCAAAATCATGTTAATAGAACTATCTTTTTTGATAAAGATGATCCAGTCACAATCCTAGCAATAAAAGAGGCCTATAACTATATTGTAAATGTTTACTTACCAAAAAGATTTCCAAAATATTTTCAAATTCTTCCAAACGAAAATCTTTTATTTAATAAGATTACTAATCACAAAATCCCTTTAGACTCTTTATATTGCTTAAATACAGACCAAATAAACCAACTATTATTCGATTTATCTTTACAAATTCAAGAAGATTTATTATGGTTAATAAAAGATCCAGACAATCAAAATATTCTGCCAGAATTTAGAGATGAGTATGTTTTAAAAGCTGCCACTTGTTTGCTACCCTCCAGTTTTGATCCGAGTGAAAAATTTCTTAAAAACTTAACTGCAATACATGGCCCTGTTCCAAAATATTCTTTGTCATTAAAAACTTCAATGAATAAATTTTTTAATAATTTGAAATTAAATAAAATTGTTCAAAGAAATAACTGGTCTATTCAACTAAATTCAAATTTTAACCAAATATCAAAACAAACTTCAAGATTTGATCAATCAAGATCTTCTTCTGAAAAGGAACTGCTATCTGCTAAAAATTTGGATTTTTCAAATGATGTTTTTTTAAGATCCGAAAGGCAGTGTTTAATTAGATTACCAAAATCAAATGCCGTTTTATTTTCTATTAGATATTATAAAACTAGTTTAAAGCAAATTAAAGATGAAAATCTTGGTAACGATCTTGCAACTGCGATTGATGGCATCTTCCCCGAAATGGCTGCTTATAAAAATAGAGGTAGATGGGGACAAGCATGTAAAGATTTTCTTTTAAATAATGAAAATGGCATTTTAAAAACTTTATAGTTGCTTGAATCTTTATTGTTTTCTACATATCCCATATATATACCCAATCATCTTATACTAAAAAATAAAAAAACAAATAATACAAAAAAATTTTAGTTACAAAAATAAAACAAAGAAAACGAAAAAAAAAAAAATAATCCGTAAAAAAAATTAAAAAAAAACAACCCTTTATTCGAAAAGATTAATCTGTTTGACGATGCCTAATTATTCTTTCAATAAATTCATCATCAGAAGACTCTTCTTCATCTAGAAATCTTAACTTTTTCCCAATTTTTCTTAACTTACTGTCATTAATCCGCCTCTTGTAAATTTTACCACTAGGTAAAACTTCAACTTCATAATTTGGATTAACATTTCTTGACGTATTCGAACTTCCTTCATCCTCAATATTTCTTTCCAAATCCAACTCATTAAACTCAATATTAGATTTATTTTTTGTTTTCGATTTATCAATATCTCTGCTTTTGTATTTTAAAATCGACCTGATTTTTTTTTGATTATTTCCAATTTTTTTGCCAATTTTACTATTTCTTAACGAATGGAAACTTTTATCTTTATTTGATTCCCAAGTTTGATGCAACTCTTCATAAGCATCAGTTTCAAACAATTTCCTATATTTATAATTTCTTTCGATTTGCTGAAAAAAGTCAACGTCTTCTGGAAAAAACCAATTTCTTAATGCTTTTATTATAACCTCAATCAAAATTCCAAGAACTGTAATGAATACACAACAAGCCCACCAAGTATGATCTTTTCCAAATTCATTATATAATCCTGAATCAACAAAGTAGATATTAGACGATTCTCTCGAATACAAAACTGGTAACGCCATACACCAAACAAGCCATCCCCCAATTTCAATTATAAGAGATAAAAAATTTAATATTGTTCTGTCTCGTTGCTCAATTATTTGACATTTAATGTTAATAATAACAACAAACGCAGTAAATGTTAAAGTGCCCATAGGGTAAAATGTGTTATCGCTCATAGAACTAAAACCCCATAAATACCATGAAGAAAAACAGACTGCAACACTTATAAATAATGCCAAAAACATCCATTCAAAAAATATTTTAAAATTAAAGCATTTATTATGCCTGCCAATTGAATATAATTCGGGGACAGCAATTAGTGTAGCAGCTTTCAAATCTTTTTCAAACATACCAATGCATAAAACAGGTAAAGATGTGAATAGAGTATTAAACATTGATAAAGACCAGGGCTCATACAAAGATGCGCCTGTAAATAAGGTATTAGATTGAAACAATAATTGAGATATGTAAAATAAAACCTCTTTGTAGAAAGTGCATAAAACAAACTTTGAAGTTCGAATATAATTGTACCGACCATGCACTAATAATAATTTAATCAAAAATCTAAATTGTGCAATTGAATAGTCAGATGATCTTGCAGCCTGGAGACCCTCTTTACCTGTAATTCCAACACCTATGTCTGCACTTTGAATCATTGCAATATCATTTGCTCCATCTCCAATGGCAAGCGTCACTGAATTTTTGTACTTTTGCCTCACTGATGTTACTAAATTTGCCTTTTGTGAAGGACTAGCTCTGCAACAAATAACAGAATCAGCTTTGATACATAAATTAATAAACATGTTGTAGATAGTTTCATCGTTATCCATAGATGTTAAAGTTGTTCCATCTATTACAACAACACAGTGAACAACATTCCCTTCAGATAGTTCAATTGTAGCTGCTGAAATTCTCTCTGTTAACGCCTGATCTCCATCATCATTACTTAAGATAATGACAGTTGAATAATCCTTAACCAATCTGCAAGAGTAACCAATGTTAATGGCTGTCTCTCTTTTATCTCCAGTTAGCATCCACATTTTAATTCCAGATCTGCGAATTTTTTCAATAGCGTTCGCTACACCTTCTTGTAATTTGTCTTCAATAGCTGTAGCGCCACTTACTTCTAAATTAGTCTCAATTTCAGCACCAAGCGCATCCATTTTCTGTGATCTATCTACTATCGCAGCTTTAGCCTCTTCATACTTCTCTGCCCAAATTCTGTATTCTTCTTCGTTTAACCATTTGAATGAATATAACAACGTTCTTAGTCCTTCTGTGGAAAAATCTTCAATGTGCTCCAATGTTTTTTCAATTACATATTCTTCATTTAATACCAAGTTATCATCACCAATATAATCCGAAGTAGGTGCAGACCTCATATTATCGGTTGAAAGTTTTGAGTTATCGATGCTGTATTTTTTTGCTTGGTCATAATGTAATGATTTTCTGGAAAACTGAGCAACATCTTCAATTTCTTCTTTGTTTCTTTGTTCATTAAATAAAATGCTATCAATTGTTTCATTTTGTATATTTACACTTTTTCTCATTGATTGCATTGATGTTCTCATAATGCTTTTAGCTCCTTCCATGGATTTTTTATTCTGCTTTGCAATTTCAGCTTCTGCTAATTTTCTAGATTGGCTAATTGAAGAAATCTTTTTCATAATTTCCATAGCAAATTTATAATGTTTGGAATTTTCAAGAATAACATTATCAGCACCTTTGCATAGCAAACAAATCTTATCATCAGGAAATTTGACAATAACTGACATCCTTTTTCTAACAGAATTAAATTCAATAGTGTTTAAAATTTCGTACCTTTCATATACTGGATTTTTGTGCAAACCATTTGGATAAACCTGTAAAGTAATTAAATTGTTTACTTTGTCAAACACCACAAAACCCATATCCCTAGCGGCAGTTACCAATGCAAGTTCATCAGGAGAAGAAGACTGATATTCAATATTATCCTTGGTATTGTTTATTTTTTTGGGAAAACATGAATGACACAATGCAATGGATAAAATAAAAAATTTTGCTTTTCTAGCGTAAACTGAATATGGATTCTGTTGAATGTATAGTATTAAATCCAACGAAGATTTGATATCCTGTATTTTATTAGGAATAGCTTCGGATCTCCACTCACTCATAGCGATACTAGATCTTAGATGATTGATGCCTTGATCGGAAGTTAATGAAGCCATACTTGGCCTTCCAGTATAAGTAGAAGTTCCATTTCCCCTTCTGATATCCACAGAGCCTCTCATTTGAGAGAAAACCTTTAATTTGCTTTTGTCAGCAATCTGAGTTGAATAATCAATACTATCTCTGGTTTTATCAGCCGAAACCATTCCAGCCATAGCAGTTGGGTTGTTAATATCAATAGACAATCTTTCATCATTTTCCTCATTTAATAAGAGATCAATGTCATGCAACCAAGAAACCCCACCCACGCTAAATTTTCTAAAAATCATCAAGTTATCTGTCAAGGTGCCAGTTTTATCACTAAAAACAAAGGAAACCTGACCTAGTTCTTCCAAAATTGTGGCAGTCCTTGCTTCACAGGGAGTATTTGTCAAAGGGTAATACATATCAATATCCCACTGTAAAAATAGTAGCTGAGTTACTTTGATCAATTCCATTGTAACATATAGGGACAAAGGAATTAGTGTATAATACATGATTAAAAACCCCATAAAAGTAGCTGCTATACCGGCATCCTGACGAAGTAGATACCAATTATCATCTTTGAATTTATTATATTGAATCAATTCACCGGCCAAGGAGCCAAAGGACAAAGACATAACAAGACCAATCATAAACAATACAATCATATTAACATGATGCTGCAATTTTGGAGCTTTCGTTCTGGGATTTTTAATGGCATTCATTCTTATTTTTGTTTCTTCACCGGTGAATACGACCAAGCCCAATAAATTGGAGGTATTTCTGATTACCGAGCCTCTATAAACTATATGATCAGAATTGAGAGAAAACTTTTTGTTATCAATATTTAAATAGCCTTCGAAATTATACAAATTTAAATTTGGATGTTCAGTAGTTATGAGCGCGTCAATATTTTTCAAGCCATTAGCTGTGTTACAGTATTTATTTAATTCGATATGAGGGTTTTTAAGCTTTAAATTTGTTTCGCCATCCAAATCCATTGTTTCAATAAAAACATCATTATTTAGGTTATCGGAGGATAAAATGATTATATCCGCAGGGACCAATTCATCTTGCTTTAATTTGATAATGTTTCCTACTCTAATGTCTTTCCATAGAGTTTTCTTTTGAAAGATTCCAGCTTGATTTAAGAGATTTGAGTAAAAGGAAGAATGTTGATCATGGATGGATTTGGGGATAATTTCAGAGATTCTGGAATGATGGTTAAGGGAATTGCTAGAAGAGTGGTTTTCATGTTGGTCGATTGAAAAACCATGAGAATCCAATGGAGAAAAGAGATTTACTGATTGAGTTTCAGTTTGTATGGTGTTGTTATAAGAGTTAGAAGAAGTGTAGGGAGTTAGGATGTTTTTATGATTTTTATTTTTAAATTTATGAGCAGGATTTTGTAGAGTTAATATAGTTGAAAACTTGTTATTTTCTTCTTTATCTTGAGAGTGTCTTCTAAGATCATCATAACCTTCTCTGGATATGGAAATTAGCATAAAGATGGAAAGAGGAATTATTGTTGTATAATTACCGGTGGTTGACCATGTAGGGATCATTTGCATTATTGCAATGGAAAAAAAATAGATGTTTGCAATTTTTGAGAATTGGAAGTATAATTGTTTTGGTAGGAAATTATACAAGTTATACCTTGAAGATTTGATCAAGTTATTTATAAAAGGTTTTGAAGTTCTTTCATCAATCAATAGTGAATGGTTATCTAGTAGGATATCGTTCTGGGAAAAGTCCTTTTTAAAGAAAGAATTTTTTTGGAGAAAGTGGTTGAAACTATAGGTGTTTTTTGTTGATATTGATAAATTGACAGGTATTTTTCTACCATTTTCCGAATCAGTGATTGGATTTAGATTGAAAATAGACTTGAATTTATAAAAAAGGGAATTTGAGTTTTCATGTAGCGAATTTGACAGCGTAGACAGGAGTGTATTAGGGTGATTAGGATCATGATTATCGTTGGTTGAAATTCTGTTGTTTTGAATATTAGAAGACGAATTTATAGAAGATATGGTGGAGAAGTTTTCAGTTTCAGGATGCAAAAAAACAGCATTAAAATCAGAGGAAGCTTGGTGGCGAGAGGTGGTAGAAGTATTTGCGGTTAGATGTGTTTTTGAGGTTACATTTGAGGGTATATTTGTGGTTAAATTGGAGGAGCTGTTTGGGAAGCGAGGATGGTCAGAGAGCTCGATGTTGTCAGTATAAGAGTCAGTGCTTTGACTGGAGGAATTGGTGAGCGAAACACTGATGTTGTTGTTGTTGTTGTTGTTGGAAGAGCTGCCTAAGCCATCTTGATAGAAGGGATTGTTGGAGCCTTTCATTGTGTGGACGCTGGAGCTGTTCAGTTCTCAGAAGAGGTGGAGGAGAAGAAGAAGAAGAGCGCCACCAGAACCGGCACAGGAGAGGCGCCTCCGTCTTCCCGGGCCTTCCGCTACTGCTGCTTCTGCTGCTTTTTCTGCTGCTGCCTCTTCTTCACCTTCACCTCTTCCTCACTTTCTTCTCTTCTTCACCTTCTCCTCCAAACAAAATGCCCCAACGCGAGACCCTGCTGCATCAGAAGATCTCTGTGGCTTTTGTCTGCCTCGGCAACATGTATGCATTTCCTTCTCCTTCTCCTTCTCCTTTTGCACCTCCTTCAACATCTACTAATCAGTCGTTACATCTTTCCTTCCAGCTGTCGTTCCCCCATGGCTGAAGCTATTTTCAAGCACATCGTCAAGCAAAAAGGTTTGCACAGTCACTTTGACAAAATTGACTCTTTCGGCACAGCTGCCTACCACATCGGAGAACTGCCAGACTATAGATCTGAACAGACCTGCCTCAGACACCACATTACAGTTGATCATCGTGCTCAGAAAATTGCTCCCAAGCACTTTGAAGCTTTTGATTTCATTTTTGCTATGGACAATTCCAACTTATCTAACTTGAAAAGGATCCAGCCAAAGCATTCTAAAGCCCACCTCTCTTTATTTGGCAAATATAATGAGAAAAGTGATCAATTTCCTGCTATTGTTGATGATCCGTACTATGGAGGAATTAATGGCTTTGAATTTAATTTCCAGCAAATATCTCATTTCACTGAAGTATTTCTCAAAAATGAAATCACAAATAAGTGATCAGCTGTTTTTCTGCTCTTCTACTCTCTCGAACTTGCCAATTTTATAAAATTTATAGAAATCCACGTTTATTAAATCTAAAATAAAATAAAATAAAATAAAATAAAATAAAATAAAATAAAACAATTCGAAACAATTTGAAATAATTCAAAATAAATCAAAATAAATCAAAACGAAAATAACAAACCAAAACCCAATATAAATATCCCGAAGTTACAATCTATCAAAACAAATAAAAAAACAACCAATTCAATTCAATTCAATTCAATTCAATTCAATTTATTGTCAAATTTTCTAAAAATTGCTTTTGATCGGATTCTTCAATAGAAAATTCAGGAATATCCTGATTATTATCAAAATTCTCGTTAAAAATATTGTCAATTAAATTGTTTGAAAATAAAATTGGTGATGTTACCATTAATATAGGTGAATTTTTCAAATTAGAAATTGATGATAAGATTGGTGACAAATCAACTGATTTTCCTTTTCCTTTTCCACCATTCTCAATCTCAAGTTCACCCCCATTCTCAATATCCTTTCTATTTTCATCTCCTCTGTCATTGACTTTATCATTCCCATTGAAACTAACATTATTGTTTTTCTTCTTATTCCTATTCTTATTATAACTACCACTACTTCCAACTAAATTAATAATACCATTATCATTGTCATTGTCATTGTTATCATTGTCATTGCTATCATTATCATGACCACAATCATTCATATTATCATTCCCAAAAAATTCACTATCGATAATTTCCTCGACATTATTTATAATAATCTCATTGGAATTTTGAAAGTTTACAAGAATAAAACTTATAAAAATCAATAAAATTCCAAAATAATAAAACACAGATTTTTTACTAAACCCGTATATTAATGAATCTAATAACATTGTTATAGGAATCGCTGTGGTCAACGATATAGCACTTGTTAAAGGAGATGTTAATAACATTCCCAAAACACAAAAGTAATCTGATAAAACCGTCAACAAACTAGTCATGAATAAAATTAAAAATATTTTTTTTATCAAAAATGGATTTTCAAACATTTCTAATCCCGTAAAATCAGCTAACATAACATATGGCCAACATGTTAAAAATGTACACAAACCAACAAACCCAAATAACACTCTGCAATTTTGTAATGAAAAATCAAATATAGATGATTCATCATCAACTATTTCAAAATTCTTTGATTTTAGATCATTTACATGATTCTGAGTGGATCCAATCTTAATTTGATTAAATAAAAGATAAACAGAATAACAAAAACAACTTAATAAAACAAGAGAATTTCCCAAAATTGCATTTTCTTTATAGAAAACAACAATATTATTATCATTATTAGAAATACTAGTGGCACTGGTATGATTCGATAAAAACGTTAAAAAAAAAATACCAATCACCGATAAAATAACACTGATGGATTTAATAACATTAAACTTCTCAATTTTTAAAATACATCCCAAAATCAAAGTAAAAATAGAGGTACAAGTGTTTAAAATTGTGGCATTAGAAGCAGATGTGTATTGCAAAGCAGCCAAAGCAGCATAATTGTAAAAAAAATACAACCAGGAAATAATTATTATAATGAAAAAATAATTAGTATAATTGATCCGAACAGTGTTAAGATCACCAAGATTATCAGAAGTATAAGAAGGAAAAATAGTAACTTTTTGATTCAAAAAGAGTCTTTTAAGTATTTTAAAAAATTCAGGAACCAAATACAAAGCATATAAAGAACCAGTGAAAAAACTGATGAAAACAGGTTTATCATAGTTATGATGATCAGTATTAGAGTTTCCATTTCCACTTCCACTTTCACTTCCACTTCCATTATCTTCGTCTCCATCAGTTTTTAACAATAAATTATTTAGCTGTAAAGAGATAATCCAGGTTGAAACAGTGATAAATAAATAAAATAAACCCAACAAATAAAGTCTTCTTTCATGAGACAATACTTTGTTAAATTTTTTTTTGAAATTGTTGAAAAAATTGGCATTAATATAATTCTTATTACTTCCAGGTTTGGGGAACTGAGTAGAAGCTAGATTAAAGTAAGGAACAGGAGTGGAAGAGTTCTGCGAAAGCAAAGGTGCACTTTCTGAATGAGATGACATTCTGTACCAAAGAAAAATGTACAACGAATGGATAATTCATTGTGCTAGTAACTTGGGCTGTTATATATTTTTGACTGTATTTAGCTATCTCTCAACTCTTACAAAGCTTGATCTAAGGTGGAACTGTAAATTCAGTGTGGTTTGCACTTTCCGCTTTTGGTGTTTGTCACGTGCGAGAATTCAAACCTTTTGTGCTGGATAAGCAGTATGCGACAAAAAGCACTCTCTAAAGGCGGTTTTTGGAAAAACCCGCCACAACACAAAACGGCTTTCATATCGATAGAGTTCTACGCATTGAATTGCATAGCATTGCAGGTAAAAATGCAATAAAGGCGGATGCAAACATATAAAAGCAGAAGACACAAAAAAAGCGTGAGACGAAAGAGCAGAACAACTCAAAAGCGTGAAGCTATGCTGACGCTACTTCCACTACCATGGTGACTTTCTCTGGGCCAATAGCCAAATACCGATCATCTATAGATAAAACTTTCTTTTGTCTTTGTCCATACTTGACTTGAATTCCCATTCGATGTCACCTTTAATGTCTTTTTGAATTCTTCGCAATCTTAATGTGAATTGAGGCCCCAACTCTTGTAATCCAACTCTCTCTTCATTCTTAAATAAATATCTGTGTCGTCTGAAAAAAATATAATCTCGCTGGTTATGTAACGTTAAAACTTGTCGGCCCTCAAATTCTGGAGTATGAGGGAACAAACTTTGAAATAATCTTCCAACTTTTTTTCCTAAGTTTGTTTGAAAATTGTTCAAAATCAATTCGGGTATATGGTTTGTTGCATTACCATGCCCTGATATTTTCTTACCATCAACAAATGACGACAATGAAAAATAAAAACTAGGTCCTTCAGGTAAATGGATAAAGGTTATGCCATTCACTTTTTTTTTGTTATCATCTTCATTCACAACAATTAAATAAGTGAAATCTCGTTTTATACACATTTTTGCCATTTCTTTGATGGAGTATTTGGATTGTCTTTTAGTAAACGTTATATCATTGAATAATTCACTGAAAAACTCGATAAATTTATATGTGTCTTTATGAGGCTTTGGCGATGATGTGATCAATATTTTTGGCTCAAAACCTTCCTCATAGTAAGAGCTAAATTCTTTACTCTCATTATCTTTTTCAACCTGTTTTTCAATAGTTTCATCAAAAACTCTTTTGGATTCGATAGTTGCAGGTATTTGTTTTGGTAAGTTTTGTTCTTTTTGCACTTTTCTTTTTTCCCTTTTTTGCTGTATTTTCTCCTTTTTTCTTTGAATATTAATCTTTGAACGAATATCTTTATTTCTAATTTTAAAATGATTAGCTTTTTCGATTCCCATTTTGCTTTTATATTATGCACTCTTATCTTTGTTCTTCTGTTCAGAAAATCAACTCAAAAAAATGAAAAGATGGTTTATTGCAAAATCGTTGAAAAAAAAAAATTTCATCCGGTCATCCTACATCTGACGTTCTGCTATTTTAGTTGCACCGTGATCTGTGTTCCGATATGAAACAGCCCTCAGAATTTATTCAATCACTATGATTGTTCTTATAACCTATTTTAAAGTAAATCTCTAATTAATAGCAATAAATTATATTAGGATGTTCGGTTTGCTACATTATTTTTGTCTACTATAAAATTTTTGAAAATAAACTGACAAGGAAAACTGCTCATGTTTTAGATGCCTGTGGTTCCAGCTATTATTCTATTCACAGTGCCCACTGATTATAAATTGGACTATGTCTAGTCATTCTCATCCAGTCAATGACACCGTTTGTTACCGTTGATTACCGTTGATTACCATTTATAACCTCTTAATAGCGTATTGTCCAATAAAGTAATTAGCGAAGGTGTATTCAATGAATTAGTTCAATTCAATCCTTATAAAACAAAATTATATAATATTATAAAAAATCCTATAGAGAACCACTTTTGATATTGTTTTTCATTTAAAATTCAAGCAGTTTAAAAAAAAAATTGGTATAAAATGACAACAACCACAGAATTAACTATTTCATTATCAACAACAATATGGTGTTCAATAAAACCTATTCTAAAAATTTATCTCATAATTTTATCTGGATATTTTTTAGGAAAAAAACAAGTTTTAAATAACAACACAATAAAAGATTTATCGTCAATGATAATTTATTTTTTGTTACCTTGTTTAATTTTCAACAAAATTATTACAAATATAACAATAAATGAATTGAAACAAATTACTATAATTTTATTAAGTTCTTTAATATTATACACTGGTTCCTTAATTTATGGCATAATTTTAAATCTGATTTGCTTTGTTCCATCAAATTTTTTTGGAGGCTTTTTAGTTGTGTGTATGTTTCAAAGCGTTAGTGATTTTCCAATTGCCTATATTCAAACATTGGCTGATAAAAGTGATGCAGACAATAATTACTTAATATTCAACGAAATCCAGGCAGACAAAGGAATTGCTTATATTTGTATATTTATGGCGATATTAACATTTATGATGTTTAATTTTGGTGGTTATAAATTGATTGAACTAGATTTCAAAAACAATCAAGGTAAAAAAACAACAGATATTGAACAGTTGGATAAAAATAGTTCTAATAATGCACAAAAACTAACCATAACAATAAAAGTAGCAAAAACGATAAAGCATTTTTTTTTTAATTTTCTTCATCCTGTGTCAATATCTTTAATAATTTCTTTTATATTTGCTTTGGTTCCATATCTAAGAGGATTGTTTGTGTATGACCCGTCTTTGAATATAAAAAATGCACCAGACAAAAACCCTCCTTTGAATTTTTTAGTGGATTTTTCTGCTTATGTTGGATCATCTCAGGTTCCCTTAGGTTTGACATTATTAGGTGCAACCTTATCTAAATTAAAAATCAAAAATCTTGACAAAAAATTTCTACTAACTTGTATAATTATGACAATTATTAAATTGGTAATAATGCCAATAATCGGTATAGCATGGGTCAAAAAATTAGTTCAATTAAATTGGATTATGACAAACACAGATGAAAAAGTTTTGGCGTTTGTGATTATACTAGGTTTTGGTCTACCGAGTTTTACTGCACAAGTATATTTGACGGCCTTATATTCTCATAAAATAAAAATCACGCAAGAAGGTCAAAACAAAATAGAAATTGAAAGTCAAGATGGCCAGTGCAATAAGATTAGCACTTATGATATTGATAGTAATAACTCTTTCCAAATGGATTGTTTGGCAGTTTGCTTACTAATTGAATATCCCGTTTTGTTTATATCAATGCCCTCTATAGTTACCTATACTTTAAAAATGGTTTTATTACTATGACTATATTATTAAATTTTTAAACCGCAAACAACAATAGTTTCTTTTGCCATTTTTAACTATTAGCTTGTAGAGGAAGCCGGGTATAATTGAAGTAGATCACTCCAATCTCTTTTCTTTCTTCGATTCCAATAGCTTTTCTCACCATCAATGAATTCCCAATTTAATTCAGCACTGTCACCTTTACCGACCTTTCGAAAAAATTTAGGAGGAAATTCTTGGTTTTGATTTCTTCTGTCTCTTTGATGTTGTTCTAATTCCAATTTGGTTTCTTGTGCCCTATCAATATCTCCCTCAACATACAATTTAAGATCAGGTCTCAATCTTGAATCAGTTGGTGGTAAATAACCTTTCTCAATAGAAGTTATTTCATTTAATTGTGCTGCAAACAATGTAAACCCATATTTTTTTTTGCAATTATCAACAGTAGGTCCAACTTTCCATACTTCTTTTTCAAAAATGTTCTGCTTTTTATTTTTTTTAGACTTGTTTTCACCCAAGTCATTAGTTAAAACAAGAGAGTTTGTCCATGTTCCTTTAACTATATATGGTTGTTGGTTTCCATTTGAGTCCCAAGCCTTGATATTTAATTCTTCTGATCTGCCAGAAAACATACCTCCAGCCTTGAATTCAATCAATGCTTTTTCACCATTTGAACAGTATATTGTAGTGGTTTCTACAGGTTCAACATATCTTTCCCCAGCAATAATATTTCTAATCATTGTTGTCGGCTGGGTCCAGGTATAGACCAATCCAGATCTATTAAATTTCAACTTTATTTCTCCTTTGTTGATAATCTCAACACTCTTGGCCCAAAATTTTTGAGTTGGGAGAACGGTATAATCAATCTTCCAGTGTTTACTTTCAATCCTGAAACATATAATTGGTGGCCGGTGAGAAACTTTTTCACAAATAAATCTGATACCCAAGTCATCCCTCACAAGTTCAAAAGTCTCTCCAAGCAAGGGATTAAAAGGTTTTCGAACACTTCTTTCTTTTATTCTCATTGATGATAAATAACTCACAGCATATGTCGCAATCCGCAAAATTCTTTCACCAAAATCATCTGTATTGTTAATTTCAATTGTTTTGTCTATCAAATTAACATATTCGCACATTTCCGAAAATTTTTGAATCATTGACAATGGCTCATTAGCAGTTACAGGCATTGCAATTGATGCTAGATCTTTCCCAACATTATTTTTTAAAAATTGAAAAAGACTTGGTGGTGTGCAAATATATTCAGGAATATCATATCTTCTTTTTATTGGAGAACCCAAAATAGGTAATGGGTAAAGGTCATTTTCAATTTCCAAAGGTTCAGCCTCTTTTTTTTCCAGATAATCTTTCTTGGATATTGTTAAAAATTCAGCTTTTTGATTATCAAAGATAGTTTTATTTTTATTTTTATTGTTTTCCAAAATGCTGTTTTTTGATTTGTTGGTCAAAGCTTGGTTTGAGTAATTTTCTTTATTATTTTCTAAAATAATATCATCATCCTCATCTTCATCATCAACCAATAAGTTTTCATCAGAAAGATCACCGTCATCATATTCGAGATTTTGATCATCAATTAAAATAACTCCCTGATCTTTAGACTTGACGGATTCCAAATACTCATTTGCATCCACAAACTCATCGTTGGAAAATAAAGAATTCCTTGATAACACTCTTTCAAGATCATTTGTAGTATTGTATTCTCTGTTTACTGTCAAAGTTGAAATTGACTTAGTATCGTCTGAACTATCCTTTTTAGATGAATCACCAATCACCAAATCAAAAACAGAATTATTAAGCTCATTTAATTTCATATACAACTTTTTGCAAAGAGAAATCTCAAAAGTTAAGTCAAAAGTTAAGTCAAATGTTTCATTTTCAAAACTGTTCGAACTATCATTTGAAATTTCATTTTTATTAAAGATGTTAGAAGAGCTAGTGTTGATATTATTGGTGTCAAACTTTTGTGAAGAAATATTTTGAATCTTGGGATCATCATTATAACTTTTTTTTCTTCTCCAAACGGACTTTCTTCTTGGACGAGGCGTATGATCTGAAGATTGAGAAAGATTGATATCTGTATTTCTAAGATCATTGTTGATATTTTGATCAATATTATGACTTTGAATTTTACGAAAGTTATTATTAGTAGCACTATTTGAAGAATGAATGGAAATTAAAGATACAGATGAATTTTTATGATTCAAATTAAGAGCTGAGATTGGAGAAATCAACTCGGTTGAAGAGGTTGAAGGCATTTTATTGTAATGGGTATGGGACAATAAACGATGATGTTTTGTGTTTAAAGCATCAAGTAAATTTTGAACTAAAACCTTATTCAGATCAATTTGATTTTGAACAAATTCAAGTTTATCAAGGGAAGAAGTCGAAAAACCACTATGGAATAAATTATTATGATTATTTGAGGATAAACCCAAAATATTTTTAAAATTCATTTTATTATTAATATTATTAATATTATTGATATTATTGTTGTTTTTAATGATGTTTTTTACTGAGTTTGATCTGATGACATCTAAGGCAGAAACCCAAACAGTCCAATCATAATCATTTAAGGCCTTTAAATGCCAAATTTCACCACCACTATCAATTACAATTTGTCTTTTTTTTTTAATTGCAATAATTTCCACCAAATTAATTAGCATGTTTCCTCTTAAAATGTTTGAGTTTTCATTTAAATAATAATTTAAAATGCCATGTTTGAAATTTAATAAAAAAAATCTCTTCAGATAACTCTTTTGAGATTTTTTTCTTTTCTTTTTAAGTAAATAACCTTGAATATATTGACCATTTTTTGAAGTTAGTATATTTTTTTTGTCTTTTATTTGATGGTTCAAATTTATTTGGTCAATTAAGTTTGAATTTAAATTTAAATTTGTGTTTGAGTTGTTTAAATCTAAAAAATTTGGAGGGAAACTAAGTGTTTTAATTGAAGAAGACCTTGTTTTATTTTGAAATAATGATTCAGTATTAAAGGTTGGCTTTTGGTCTAAATATTCATTGGGAGAAATATATTGATTAAATTTCAATTTTTTTGAAATACTTTTTGAGAAAGTATTATCAAAAATAAAAGCATAAACTCCAGGAGATAGCGAGTTGATATTATTATTGTTATTGTTATTAATATTAATATTATTATTATTATTATTATTATTATTATTATTATTAGAAGAAGAAGAAATAGAGGATTGGGATGAATTTAAAGAGGATACAATAAAATGACCCGAAACCAATTCATCAGGCAACAATTTACCATACCACTGACATAATTTTAAATTTGAATTTCTCAATTTTTCTTGTAATAAAGAAAACTTTGGAGATTTAATTCTTTTTTGGTTAGTGGAGAATTCGGAATTCAAAGGAATATTATCACCATCAAACCCATTATCACCATTGAGAAACATTGAAGTTGTGGATGCTTTTGAGTTCGATCTTATTCTGCCTGAAAAAGTGGAACTAGGAAGTTTTAAAAAGCTGGTGTTGGAGATGGAAATGCGATCTGAGTCCTTTTCAATAAAATTATCTTTTTCATTGGGCAAAAAGCCAACATCGTCAAAACCCTTATTAAGTGCAATGTTACTGCTGTTTGAATGGTTTAGTTTCACAGATTTATAAACAGCAAAATTGACAGATTTCTTCAAAGGCTTGACTTGCCAGTGGACAGTTGAGTTGTCAGGAACATTGATCCACTTGATTAAAATATCTTTGGAATGAACCTCCAACGTTTCCATTGCAATTAGAATATGTGGTGACAGCCAGAAACAGCAATAGCAGCAGCAGTAGAAACAGCAGAAACAGCGGCAGAAGAGGCAGAAGAGGCAGAAGAGGCAGAAGAGGCAGAAGAGGCTGTAGCAGAGCGGAACTTAACACATCCACGGGTCTCTGAGCGCGCCGGGACCCGCTCAGAGGTCAGGTGCACAGTGAAGCCAGAGATGTGGGTTCGCGGAGCCGCTGCTTTGGCTCATTCCAGGAATATGGGACAGTTGCCCTGCAGAAGTGGGAGATTCATCCACTTCAATGAAGTTCTAAAACCAACTTGCTGATTCTGCTCAATTACACCTAGCTACTCTCTGTTTCACCACCAATTGCCATCAATTACCACAGCTGCCACCAACTATTATTATAATTTACTGCTGGAATTTATCCTTATAGTTGTTGCATTATTTTAAATGAATTTTTTTCAAAGCAGATCCAATCAGCAGAAGAACAAAAAGAAAATCATCAGAAAACAGTCAATTTTTGTTAGAATCAAAAATTATCCGTTTGACTTATATCTTCAGCTAAATGAAAAATTAAGTCTTATTGATCTTGAATACTATGTTGATAATTACTTGAAATCTGTTTGCATTTTTTTGAATACCTTGTTCTTTTTTTGCAGAATCTACCAGATTTATAATTCCAATGATGGTCAACAACTATCTGGCAATTTGAGCTCTAATAATTACCAATACTCTGATTTGTTTTCGAAAAATTCTAAACACCTTGATGACTTTAACGATTTATCTCTTTTGAACATAAACACTTTTTTTCAAAGTTACAATGACAATTATCCTTTGCTTCATAAATTGAATAAATATTTCCTATGGCTATCAAACTTGATCATCACCTTAATAATCTTGATTTCTATCTCAAACACATATTTTTTATTCAATCAATCGAATAAACTTTATACCCTATTAACCAGAAATCCTAGTTCCAAACCATCCAATATCAACACTCCATCATTGCAATTCAATTCACTCACAAATAATTGGCAATTAAAAATCTGGAATCCCCTAAAATATCAATTAATCTTGTTTTCTTTATTCTCGCCCATCAATTGTTTCTACCTACTTAACTTATCTTCTATATCTTGGTCGGTATTGTTGAAAGCCATTTTACAGCTATCGCTAATTGATTATTTATTATACTATTTAATTTTTAATAAATTTTTGATCTTGATATTGGATAAACAGTTTTTATTTTCAGAAATACTAAAAGAGTATGACATAAAATTTGTTCACCCAAACTTGAACAAGTTTAAGAGAGAAGTATCAATCGATGCAACCAATGGTCCTAATTCCAAAGACGACATAAAAATATCGGCTAGCAGATATAATAACATCATTAACACCAATTCAAATTTCAATATTTAGCAAAATCAATATTTCTAACATGGAAAATTATATATTTACATTTGTAGGTCAATTTTTATTAAACAATCCATATACATGATTATTTCTTTATTTTATTTCTTTATTTTATTTCTTTATTTTATTTCTTCATTTTATTTCTTTATTTCTTTATTTTTTTATTTTTTTTCCTGTTTTTCATCTTATTATGAAATATTCGCTATAATACTGCACTTCACCGTAACTCAAGTATTATCGGTATAAAAAGAATAATCTAAAAATAAAATGTTACAATTTAGTGCTCTATATCTTTCTACTTAACAAATCAAAGATTTCGGAATCGCTCAACAGCTTAATGTTGAAATATTTTCTGATCGCATTATATTTGGTATAGTCTTTTCTTATTCTGTAAAACAAATCGGTGTACTCTTCTTCATCTTTATCAGTATCTTTATCAACAAATATTTCCCGAATTGATTTTTCATCTATCATCAATATGTTACAGTGATCAATAACCTCACAAAAATCCCTATTTGTAGCATATTTTTCATATTTTCTGTGATCGATTTCACTTGTCATCTCTTTCCTTCTATAATCTATTTTACCATTTCTCTTACCCATTGAATTCTCATCTAAATCATTAATATCACTGTCAAAAATGTCTATAATAATTTCAAATAGTTTTAAAAAATCAAACTTTATTCGATTACATTTAAATATTCTATCTCTTTTATTATTGCTAAAAACTTGAATTCGAAAAATATACTCAATAAAATAATATTTCAAATTATGAATTAATCTTCTTTTAATATCATATAAATCGATTTTGATCTCGCTTTCAATTTTATTATCTTCAAAATTGGCTTTATTTCCAATTAGATGCCGAATGAAATTTAAATTTAATCTTAAAAAATAAATTGGTTGAATTAGTTCATTTGAAATTTTATTACTAATAACTCTATTCTCTTTAAATAATCCAACTTTGATATAATCTTCAAACTTCTCAATTTTTTTAGCCTCATAAAAAATCTCTTTTATATTCTTAGTATCAAAAACATCATTTTCAACTTCTTCATTTTCCCATTTTTTTTGCAAATAATCTTGTAAATAAATTTTCAATATTTTTTTCAAAAATTCATCTAAATCTTTCAATAATCTTGAAATCAATTGATCATACTTTATTATAATGTTACTTAATATACTGCTTTCAAACTTAATCAAATTATTTTCACTAAATTCTTCATCAATGTTTTCCGTTACAATTAACAATTTTAAGTCATCTATTTTTAATAAACTTTTCTCAAAATAATATTCAATTACTTTATTTTTTTCATTTTTTTTGTTTTTGCCAAAAAATTCATCATAATCAATTTTTTTCTCATCATTAAAGTCGTTATTGTAATTTGTAATTTTACTTTGATCCATATTATAGTCTAATGTTTCTTTGTAATTTTCGTTTTCTATTTCAGAATGATCTTCACTAAGATTTCCGTCTTCGTCTTCAGTAGTTAACCTTAACTCTAAATCATTCATTTGAATTACTTTAGTATAAATTTCACCAAATACGGTTTCACTTTCATTTAACTTTTTCAAATTTAATTTGATATACTTTAATGATCCATACAATGAACACAATAACTTAATTTCTTCTAATGTTCCATCATCTTTTAATTCAAAAGAGTTTTCCTCCTTTTTATTCAGATCTTTCATTCTTTCTTTTTCCTTGTAGTTTCCATCATTGTCCTTATCATCATGTATTTTATCATTGAAATCAGTATTACTATCAGCAGGTTTTGATTTTAAAAATGAACTTGTAATAATTTTACTTAATCCAATTATGTTTGAATTGCTTAGCTTAATTTTTTCAAATTCAATCAATTTCGTTAAAATTATATTAACAATATAGTTATCCAATAAATTTTTTAGAATTAATTCAACAAAAATTTTTGTTTTAATTAGAAACGATAAACTGTTATTATTCAAAAAAAACTTTTTAAACAAGTTCGAAATAAGCAGGTATAGACTAAAAGATGAATAAGTTGTTTTCAAATCAGATTTCTTAAAAATTTCATAATTTATTTTCAAATAATTTTCACTCATAATAGAATTAAACCTTTTTTTGATAAATTTTGATTCCAAAATAATCCATTGTTTAAAATAATCTTGATTATTAAATATTTCACCTGTTAAACCGACCCATTTATTATCTTCATTAAATGAAACTTGGTTTCTAGAAAGTTTATAACTCGTATTTATATTTAAAAATAAGAAATTAAACTCGCTGTTAAAATAGTTGTCAAACTCAATCAATTCATAGATTAAATGACCAAAAGCTCTGTTTTCAATATTTTTATAATTTTTTTCATCATTTGCTATTATTAACAGCTTGTTAAAACTTAAATCATTTAAAAATTTTTGTTTTAGTAGTTTGATAATAACTTTGAAGATTTCCCAGAGAAATATAGACTTACAATTAATATTGTCAAGCCTTTTATTTCGATTCAAATAAGAGCTTTTGATTATACAAGAAAAATTTTTCAATAAATAATTCAATAAATTTGAATCACTAAAAAAACTTTTTATAATAAAATTCAAAGCAATTTCAGGTTGATGAATATTATTTAGTTTTAAAGCTTGATTCTGGTCATTGAAAAAATGATAAACGAAATTTAAAATTATGGGATCTAGTAAAATTTCAATTGCCCACAAATTCACAGAATAATCAATTAAATAAGGATCGGTGTCAGCATTAGTATTAACATTAGTAATAATTAATTGCAAGTCAAGTAGATGAACCAAATTTTTTATAACGATTTCCATAGAGTTTGAATTTTTATTGATGTTATAAATAGCTAAAAAGTCCAAATGTTGCAGAAAAGATAAGTCTTGATTAATTAAGGTAGATAAAAAGGTTGATATTAAATTTTTTAGCAACAAGACTTTTGAAAGTAAAGTCTTAACCAATGTCGTAACAGATTTCAAGCTTAAATAAGCATAATTTGCAGTATGTTCGGCATTAATAATTAAGTACAGATGATTAAAATTGTAAATGGATAGTTTAACAGCGTCCAATTGATCTACTATATCAGTAATATCAATGGTTTCCGAATAAGAAATAGGGATTTCAATGGAATTGAGTTCAAGCAAAATTGAATTATAATTGTTCAATAAATCTCGTAAAAATTTCAAATCCGGCAAAGATAACAGTTGTGAATTAAAATTTTCAGGAATATCGATTAAATGTTGATTATTTTGAACATCTGCACCAATATCTTGTTTAATGGCTTTTTTAATGGGGATGGTATGGATTTGAGAAAGTGCATGCGAGGTCATGGAAGCAATACGCTTCAAATCAAGCTCCAGAGAAGATTCAAAGAGATTCCCAATGGCATCAATCAAAGACATCTTGATGTTCTGCACAACAGCAATGATCAGAAGAGCTGTTGAAGTTCACTTTGCTATTATATCGTGTTATTAAAAGGGAAAGACGGTGGAAAGCATGGTTTTGTTCATCCGTGCAGCGCGGAACGGGCGGTATTGTTTTGAATGTGCTGGAGATGGTGAAGGTGGAGATGGTGAAGATGGTTCTGTGGCAGCAGTTGCAAGAGCAGTATGATTCGTCTGGTGGTTGGGTCTGTGTTGCGACTGAGATTGGGGTCAGCTAGGGCTTTTCTGGTTTTCATCACTGGTTCCAGGACTGTTTTGGCACAGGACAGACTAAATATCTCTACCGATACTCGATTCTGGTACTCAACAAATTCATCTCTCTCCACACCACCATCTTCAAATTTGTCACCACAGCTGGAAGCTGCCGGCTTGTTGAATGTTGATGAAGTGAACTTAAGACTAAATAAACTCAATTCTTCTTTATTCAAAAAACTTGAGTCTTACCAAAAGGATTTGGAAAGTATGCAAAATAGGTTATCCTCTGGAGAAATACTATCCGTCGATGAGCAAAAACAGTTTTCCAAGTTATCCAGTATGATGGAATTGTTTCAGCGGTACCAGAAATTACAAACTAATATATTTGAATTGAATGAAATGATTCAAACTGAAACAGATCCCGAACTCATATCCGAGTGCCTAAAAGAATTAAATGACATTTATCCAAATAATAATTGTCTCATAGAACTCTTGCAAAAAAAAATTTTACCAAGTGATCCTGATGATGAGAAATTTTGCTTGATTGAAATTAGACCGGGTGTTGGTGGGGAAGAGGCAATGATTTTTGCTTCAGATTTATTTAACATGTATATTAATTATGCAAAAATCAATAAATTACATTATGAGATATTATCTCAAACTTTTAATCAATCTAATAATGGTTTAATTGAAGGTAAAATAGTCATTAACTCCTTAAATTCCTACGGTTTTTTAAAATATGAAAGTGGAGTTCATAGAGTTCAGAGAGTGCCAAAAACAGAAAATAAAGGCAGAGTTCACACATCAACTGTTGCTGTTATAGTCTTACCAAAAGATTCAAATAAAAAAGTTGAAAAGAAAAAAAAAAAAATTGAAGACCCTGAGAGCACTTTCAAACCGGGAGAAGTTAGAATAGATGTAATGAGAGCAAGTGGTAAAGGTGGTCAACATGTTAATACAACTGATTCAGCAGTTAGACTAACACATTTGTCTACAGGTGTAACTGTATCAATCCAAGATGAAAGATCACAGCACAAAAACAAAGCCAAAGCATTTCGGATATTAAGAGAAAGATTAGACAACATTTCTCAAAAAGCTGAAGAAAACAAAAATAAAAAAGATCGGTTGAGTTTAGTGTCGACTACTGACAGAAGTGATAAAATCCGTACATATAATTTTTCACAACACCGAATAACGGATCATAGATGTGGATACTCTGCATATAATATTGACGAATTTTTGAATGGAAATTTATTGGACAGTTTAAGAAGTGAAATAAATAAAAAAGAAATAGAAGATAAGATAAACCAGTTGTTAAAAGAACTTGAAGTTGAAAATAATAATAAACAAAAAGATTAAAAATAAAAATGATAAAAATGATAAAAAAAATAATGAGAAACATGATAATGAGAATAAAAAGCTTGGTAAAAGATTATCATGAATATTTTATATAATATAAAAATCAAACAAAGAAAAAAAAAGAAAACACCAAACAAAAGTAAACAAAAATAAAACCAAAAAAGTAAATATACCTAAGGAATAACAAATATCACAAAGTAGAGTGTTCATAAAAAATGCAATCTGATTGTTTTTTAAGTCCAAATTATATATATTAATATTGTCTGTAAATAAAATTTTTAAAGTTTATAAAGGTTAAAAAAATTAGTTAGCAACTAATTTCAGCTTTTGTTTACGTTTTTGGGCTTGAATTTGATTACCATTGGCAAATTCAGAGACATCATCTAGAATTGCAGTATTTGGGACCTGAGGCAATTTGTAACTTTCTAATTCGTCTTTACTTTCTTCATTTACCGATTGTTGTTTATCTATACCTAAAACCTCTCTTTCCAAAGAAAGCAATTCTTGGTTAACCTCCTCTTCTTCTTTATTTGTAATGGATTGACTTAACAAAGTAGAAACCTCCTCTTGGTAACTAATGTTCTCGTCGGTTTCATCTAGTAATTTCTCAATTTTTTCAATATTTAACTCTTCATTTAATTTTTTCAAAATTAAATTACCTTGCGTGAGACCATAAAAAATATTTTTCTCAATTTGTTTGAACTCAATCGTTGATATTAACTCATCCAAGCTATTAAGTTGGTTAAATGACTGATTTAGTAAAGACTCTTGATACTTTTTTTTTTTCAACGAAAGCAAAGCTCTTTCTTTGTTTTTTTTCTTTAAGAATATTTTAGCGATTAAGACTTCTTTATCAATCACAGATTGAATACTGGCCTGATATTGCTCAAGCTTATCTCTCTGCAACTTAAGCTGTAAAACTGCTTTGTCTTGGGGTGTGATCTTTGGTGAGGAAGTTGTCTGGCCCATATTGAAACTGATAAAGCAATACAAGTAGCTATTGTAGCATCTTTCACAATCACAACCACATCAACCTTCTCCCTTTTCCATCAAAACTTATTGATATACCCGTTCGGCTTGATTTGGTTCGGTTAGGTTCGGCCATTTCCGTAAAGCTTCAAAAACTTCAATATCGTAAATCTCGTGTTTTGTATTCGAAACGCTTAACCAATGTTTATTTATCCGGAATGACGCAAAATCCTACATCTACACAAATAAGCAAAATACTGTTTCCATAAACAGCCAATCAAATCGACGCTACTGCAAAGACTATCAAGCACAATATCCACATTATTAGCTATCCCAATTTTCCCATATTTATTGGCTCAACCTGTTGAATTTTTCCTTAGCTGTGCTGTTGATTATTTCAATGAATTCAGAAACATTAGATAGCAATTCTGTTGGTGTCAATTCGAATATTCCTGGAGCATCAATTTTTTTATGATTGGTATCGTTGATCCATTCCAATGTGGTATCATCTTTATTTTCTGTCGTTACGTCTTTTTGTTTTTTGTCATCGGATAACACTGATGATAAATCTATTGAATCCAGTGCATTACTGTACATTGTCTGTAATGATATTGAACTCTTGGAAAAATTTAAATGTGCACTTGTTGGTTTCAGTAATCCTCTGTGATTGATTCCTAAATTATTAATACCAACTTGATTATCACGAATTAATTCTCTCAAATCCCTTGTTTGAAAATTAAAACTAGCTTGGCTTTCTCTATTATCAACCTTCTTACAAACCTCACCAAGACTTTCTTTAGTAGGAATATCAGTATCAAAATCGGATTCGGATTCGGGTTCGGGTTCGGGTTCAGAATCATTATTATAATCATTTTGAAAATGATTGTTAACCAAATGATCAACTACCAACCAACCGTAGGCGTTGGAAAATCTTCTTCTCACAATTATATTATTATGAGCATCTGGTTTCAATTTAACCAATACTTTTCTCCATGTCATTCCTTTGTGCCATTTTAATGCAATTGTTTTTTCTAGCTCTTCTAAATTACTAAAATCAATGTCTTTAAAAACGTTATTTTTATAAATTTTACTGTTTTGATTTCTATTAAAAGTGCTGCTTTTCAGTAATTTCTCCAAACTTCTGCTATTAATTATTGTATGTTTCTTATTCCGTCCATTTGTTCCATTATTATTATTGATATCTTTAAAAAAAGTAATACTTTTAGTTTTTTTTTGGTTTTCTTTTAATATTTTTTTTTTTTCGTTCAATTTTTTGAGTAACTCATTAACAATTTCCTCTGTATAATATTCATCATGAATTATGCAATTTTCTCGACTTTTAGGATCCATTAAATACTTTTTAGAAGGTAATGGCAGAAACAATATAGACGCAGCGCTTTCAATCATTGATGCTTTTGGTAATTCAATTCCACTATTTATACTTGAATTTTCGAGGATAGGAATGTTGCTTTTATCATCTAAAATAACTGGATTTTGAGGGAAGATCCATGATGATACTGCACTTTGTAAAGGCTTGAAGCTCTCCAATGGATCTATTTTGAAAACGGAGTTGTCTTCTTTTCCAACATCTATCTCGTTTTCAGTCTTAATCTTTGAAAGCAAGTTTTTTTTGTCTTCATCAACTGGTATTGTAATTTTATCGTAATCTAAAAAAAATAACCCGCTAGTTCTCAAAGGCACAATTCCATCATTAATTGCGTTTGCATAGATTGTTCGGTTTTTGAATTTTTTTAATATTCTATGAGCAGGCCCAGTTGGTAATAAATATAACAATGGTGTAGTAGAATTTAGTTCAGTCAATTTCAAACCTAGATCCATTCCTGTTTTGCCAACCATGCCAGAACTTAAAGCTATATTGATATATGATGGTTGATCAATATTTAATATTCCTAGCAATGGAGATGCCAACGTAATAAAATTAACTGGTTTAATTTTTTTAAAAAACCATGGGTAATTATTTTCAATGTACGCTATTGAAAATGTTTGAACTAAACCTCCTAAGGAGTGTCCAATAAATGATATTTTATCAATATTCAGATGGTTTGGCAATATATCCTTAATAATATATTCAGCCATTCTACTACCAAGATATTTGATGCCTCTTTCAGTTTTGCAAATATTTCCAGGATAACCTCTGACAATTAAGTTTTCGCCTGTTTTCGAGCTAGTTTTATCGATTTGCTCTTTAATATAATACATGTCTGCACTAACATTTGAATGCAAACCATGAGTTAATAGCACCAAATGCAATGGCTTTTCTTTTATTGGTAAAGGCAAATTCCACAAATCAAAAGTATCCTGTTTTACGATAGTTAGTAGACCGTTTTTAATAAAGTGATTTTGATGATCAACCTTCAAAAATGAATGCAATTTCTCTTTTGATTTAGAAAGCAAAATCTCAAAGGAAACAGAAGCAGAATCGGAAAATATTATTTGAGACACGATGTCGATCACCCAAACATATTTTTTTTTAATTGTGTGACAAGATAATTCGTGAATCATTGTTTGATTGGGATGCAAGTTAGGCTCAAACCTAGGCTGATCAGCAGTGATATAATTTAGCAAGTCATTATGACCAAAACCAGGATTTCTAATATCACAGTATAAAATATATGGTCCAAGCAAATAAAATGCCTTTAATGGCAACAACTCAAGATTTTTGATTCTAACCCAAAATGACGACTGGTCAAAGTCTTCAAGATTCAGAGAGCTATTCTTCTGCGTTAGATCATCATGGAATTCGGCACCATCTTGATTGATGTTGAATTCTTGGGTGTGTGATTGCAAGGATGCAGAGGTTGGAGCAGTTGGAGCAGTTGGAGCAGCTGAAGCAGCTGGAGTGTATGTTATTACAAATCGCTCTATCTGGCCGAGCTTCACAGAACCTCTATACTTGTACAATAGACCAGCGGCAGCAGCAGCAGAATCCTCTGCACCAGTGCAAAGAACTGGCTGAGATAGACTAGGAAGAACCAACATGTTAGATTATCTCGAGGAATGCTGAGCATCTCTGGAAGAGTTGAGCAAGACAATAAGATGGGTAGTAAGATGAGCAGCAGAAAGCCAGCTGGAGAGTTGCACTGGTTTTCCAGCCGATTCCCGGTTCCGAAGACCCTGGGCCACAAAGCCAGACCTGGTCTGGAAAACAGCTACAAAATACAACACAACGAACAGCACGTTTGGGAGCTTTTACTAAACTGTACAAAGTCTGTATATAGTCTTATATAGTTGGAAATGGCCATGGACCCCAAGAACAGCTTATTGCAAGACGGTGTAGAGGCCCTGTTCGCCATATTTGCTAGCTAAAGCAGCTGCATGTGCCACCATTTTTAAATACTGCCTTAATTTGTTGCCTTTTCTAAAGTGCTCGTAAAGTTTGTTGTTTCCATCTGCAACCTGAACAGCCAAAGAAAGAGCCTTTGTTAAAAACTCTTTGCCATATCCACCAAATCTTGAATTGATTAGGATTTCATGCAAGTTTATAATCAAAAAGGGGATATATAACGCCCTAATGTTTTCTAATGTCTTTAAAGTATCATCATCAATTTCTTTTCTTCGATCTCTAGTTAACTCAATTAAAAATGAGTCTATCAACCTTTTTAAAGGTTTAATTATCTCTGAATTGAGGTAACTATTCACTTCAAATGAATGCCATGATCTCGAGTCTTCATTTGGAACCAAATCATGTTCGCTTAAAAATTCTTTATATTTGTCAAAAACTTCAATTGATTTTGAAAAAAAATTAATGTACTCCAATAATTCAAGTTTAACCAAAGAAAATTGTTTAAACCTATTCTGGCTTGTCATTTTATTAACCACAAATTCTGAATCTGCTTTTTTAATGATTTTTTTAAAATCATGACGACGATAAAATTCCTTCAATGATCCCAATCTTCCGGCTAGGAAAAGTCTTCTAAATAGCCCTGCAATGGCTTCAACTCCGTCAATATTCATGTCATTTAAAATTAACCATTCAACATTTCGGCACACATTTCTATCAAATAATGTGACATCAAAACTAATGCTTACTTTATTAATATCCAAAGATAAATCATAATACTTTGATGTTTTTGAAAATGCCCTATTAACTGTTTCCTTAATGATCGTATTGAATTCATCAATTTTCAAAAAACGACCCGAAATTGAAATCACTTTTTTCTTGTTTTCTATATTAAAAATTTTCGACAAATAAAATAAAAATGCCTGGATTTTAAGTTTGTTTATCGTTATAAAATTAATATAATTGGGAATTAAATTGAAAAACTTCCAATCAAATAAATAATTAAGATACAAAAGTATCAATGAATTCAAATTTAAATCTGATACTAAATTATCATCAATGATTTTTAAACTAATTGATAAATGCGTTAAAATCCTCAATATGTTATCTTGTTCAAAATCATTAGCATTATCAATATCACTATTTTCATAAACTGGATAGGGTATTAATGTTTCATCTTCATATTTATTCTCTGTAGAATTATCAACTAAATTTATCGCATTTAGCGATTGCTGGGAAATAAAAGACTCAATTAACTTATTAATTTTATTGGAAATAATTGAACCAATAAGTGTTCTTAAACTATGCTGACTTTGTTTTTTAATAATCGCATTACTTTTATCTAAAGACAAAATATTTAAAATATCTTCAATAGTATCAATATTTCTCGTATTGTAGTTGCTATCTTCATAATTTTTATCTTGATATCTATTTTTATTATCAATTTTAGATTGAATGAAATTAAAACCATTTTGGTGGCTTTCGTTTAAAATTTTGGTGAACAAAAAATTTGAAAAAATCAAAAAATGATTTTCCCAGCTATTAGAAATTTCCAAATTGTTTTGCAAATTTGTACCAGATAAATAACTGTAAATAGCTTTTTCGTAAATGGACAAGTTTGGTTGAATTGAAAGTTGAGATACAGCATCTCTCCAAAATTTTAAGGCGTTAACCTGAATAAAATCTTCTGAATGTTGAAACTGTTTATTATATCCAGATAGTATAAGATAAAGATTCCAATTATTTGTTTCCTTACAATATTCTAAGGCTTGAGGGTAGTTTTTAGATAGAATCATACTGTAAATATATTTGAACTGAGCCTCATCAGATTGAAAATCTAAAGAATGAATTGTTTTAGGATATTGAATAAAAATGGAGTCTGGATCTAAGTTAGAAACATAGTTATCAATCAAAGTAGAATTTTTTTTTTTGTTATTATATAACAATAATTTATTCGTTGAAGAAATTTTGTTTTTTGTATTTGTGAATGAAACGATATTAGCTTCCTGTATTGATAATTTGGTATTTAGCCATTTTGAATTTTGAATTTTTGGTTTCAGAGAAGCAGAAATGTTAGGAAAATTTGATTGTAGCCATAGTATAATCAACCAAATTTCCTTAATGTTTTTATAATTAGAATCCAATAAAGGACTATGCCCGCTGTTCAAATTATTAGTGGTTGGATTTGAGCCTTCTTCTGAGATCCTGAAAGAAATTAATACATCTAATAGATGCCAAAATTTGGTTTCTAGATCCCAATTTTCAAAATTTTTGTAATTTGGATCATTTTCACTTTTAAGCAAGTTTGACTGGTTAAAAATTAAATCCAACTCGCAATCCAAAGAGGGAATTAATGATAAAGCTTTTTGAGATGAAATAGATTTGAAATTTTTAATTAAAGTGAAAGGATTGTTATATGAGGAGAGGTTAAGCTGGTCAAGACCAGATTGGGGGTTTGTGGAACTATTTTTATTGTTAATAAATACTTGAAAATGATCAATTTCATTTGCAAAAGCAACAATAACCTGAGAATCCACAGGAAGTGATGTTTCTTGGATAGACATTTCAAAGTGGTGATAGTTGGTGGCTATTAGAAATAGCTGGTGACAATTGAAAACTGAGCATTTTCTGGAGGTTATTTGAATATTATAAAAATTTGCCGGATTGGGCCAGGGAGGGTAAAGTGGAATTAAGACCACAAGGCTGGAACGTAAAATTTCTGCGGAAATATGACATTATATACGTTTTAGTGCAGACTTGCATTGTGCACCATTTGGAATTCTTTAGTGTAACTCCATTTATCATCTCTCCGATTGGAGTTGTAATGATGATTTAAATTAATTCTACAATAAAATCACTTCTGTTATAAATGATGGAATTAAAAATAGATGAAATAAAAATGAGTAAAATTCAAAAAAAAAAACAACAAAAAAACAAAAAACAAAAAAACAAAAAACCTCAATAAAAAACCTCAATAAAAAAACATATAAAAAATCTCATAGATTTATTGAGTACTATTTTGAGCATAAAAAAAGTTGACAGCATATGGTTCTAAACCATATTTAGTTGCCCAGTCGTAAACACCAGTTGCAGGTTTTCCTGTACCCCAATTTGGTCTATCACTGGGAGCCTTTGGTTCAAGTGAATGATTTTGTTTAAATAAAATAAAAACATAACGATGCTTGCCGGTTTTAGGGGGAGGACCAGGGCCCATGTAAGGAATTAATGTAACGTTGGAAGATGATTCCAATGGCAATTCAGCACTTAGGAATTGGTCAGTCGAGGCAGAACCTGGAGTCGTATCTTTCAAAACCAAATTCGAAGCGATATAGTGACAATATTCAGACCATTTTTTATCTGTTCTAGATGGTGCATCTGGATCAGTTACAACCAAAGTAAATAAATCCGACGAAGTGATATTAATATAAGAAGAGTCTAGGTTGCCTTCAGAATTCTTATTTGACGAGGCCGAAGTAGTCGATGAATCTGGTTGATTTAATGTAAATGCTATTCTTGGTACACTTTGGGTTTCGTCAGGAGAAAATGTATTGCCCAACGCAACATCCTTATCTTTACCATAAGAAATTGTTAACAATCCCTTTGGTTTGAATTCAGGCAAAACATCGGGGAAGACTTCGTGTTTATTTAATGATTCGATAATTGAATCAGAAATAGTGACTAAAGGTCTAAACATGATTATTTTGTTAATTGGATTATAAAAGGGAGAATGAGAATAGCTGACGGGTGGCTTGTAAAGATATTTGAAATTCTTCGAAAAGGATTGTTTAAATATATTATTAACTGGATACTTTGCACAAGAAAAAATCATGAACTATTTAAAAAAAAAAATATTGCAATGATTCTTACTCTGTTTATCCTGGATTTTAGTTAGCAACACTGCACTAATATAAGCAACAAGAGAATTGTTTGCTCTCAAGTCAATCCGTGAGAGCACTGAGGAGCATTGGCGTGCTTTTATTGGCTGTGGCAAAATAGGCAATAGCCGACACTTCAAACCAATACCTTTTTTTTGGTTGTAGTGGCTAAAGGGGTTAAATTTACAGACTTGTTAGTTTCAATAAAGCAGATGAACAAAATTTATGATTTTTTCAATTTTTTTTAATTATATAAGAAATTAAAATCTATAAAAAAAAATAATAATATAATGAAAATGAAAATGAAAATGAAAATGGCAAATAAAAAGTAAACAGTAAAAAAATGAAGATGAAATAAAAGTGGAAATGATATAAAAATAATAAAAGATCGAGTTGAAACAGTCAGCTATTTTCTAGATTAGGCAGATAAAATTCTCATTGTGTTTGAATGACCAAGACCTCTAGTCCAACCTTGAATTGCAATTATGGTATCACCCTTTTTAATAATTTTTAGCATAGCAGCATCAGCGATGGCAGTTTGCAATCTTAATTCAACATCAGATTGCCAATCATCTAATCTATCTTCAGAATAGACGAATGGATAAACACCTCTATACAAATGAGCATATCTTGCGGATTTGGGGTTTCTTGTAATCATAATGATTGGGCAAATAGGTCTGTATTTGGATACTAGTCTTGCAGTTGTACCAGATGTTGATAAAACAACAATAGCTTTTGCGTTTTGTTCATAAGAAGCGGCAACAGCAGCACAAGCAATTGTTTCGACAGTTTCTGTTGGTTTTTTTGTTTCATCTCTAATATCGTTAAACAAGGCTGGATAAGGAATTGTTTGTTCAGCTAATAAGGCAGTGTTATGCATCATTGTGACAGCCTCAATTGGATAGTTACCTTTTGCAGTTTCACCGGATAACATGACACAATCGGCACCATCTAAAATAGCATTAGCGACATCAGAGACCTCAGCTCTTGTTGGTCTTGGGTTATAGGTCATTGATTCCAACATTTGAGTAGCGCAAATGACGGGTTTTCCAGCCAAATTGCATTTCGCTATTAGTTTTTTTTGAACCAAAAAGACTTCAGGAGCAGGGATTTCAATACCTAAATCACCTCTTGCAACCATGACACCATCAGTTACTTTTAAAATTTCATCAAAGTTGTCGACACCTTGTTGAGATTCTATTTTAACGATGATTTGAATATTTTTACCGTCTTGACCTAAAACATCTCTAATATCTAAAACATCCTGGGCAGTTCTAATGAAAGAGGCAAAGACCATGTGGACGTTATTATCAACACCAAATCTCAAATCCTGTTTGTCCTTTTCAGATAAGGCAGGTAAGTCGACGTCTGTTCCAGGCAAATTGATACCTTTATGAGAGCAAATTTTACCAGCGTTGATTGAAATGACTTTTAAATTTTGATTGTCCAAAACTTCTAATACTTCAAAAGATAATACACCATCATCGACATAAATGATTTTCCCGGGCTTGATGACCTTTGTGATATTTTTATAATCAATATACATGGTTTTGTCATCTGAAGAATATATATAATCGTCGTTAGTTGTAAAGATCATTTCATGATTAGGAGGAATAGGGTATTCTTTGTCATCTAAAGTTGTACCACTTCTAATTTCAGGACCTTTTGTATCTAAAGCAATACCCAATGGTCTTCCAGGGAATATTTGTTCTGATTTTCTTGCATTGTTTATCACACTTGCATGGTAGTCATAAGAACCATGAGAAAAATTCATTCTAACAATATTTAAACCCGCTTTTCTCAACTTTGTGATCATTTCGACAGAGTTTGTCTTTGGGCCAATGGTCCCAATGATAGAAGAGCGACGATAGGAGGATTGTAATTCATCGTCAGAAATCTTTAAATTTGTCATCCAAGATAATCTTGACATTGTTGCTGATGGATATAGTATAGAGGAAATTAAGAGAAACTAAACAAGTGAATCAAGTGAAAGTGAAGAAAGCAAAAAGTCAAAAGGTCAAAAGCTTGAGACTTGAAGAAATATAACGAATTGTAGTGAAGTTGATGAAAAAATCTTAAAAAGCAAAAAAAGTAAAAGAAGCAGAGCAGACAAAGGCGTTTAAATAAGAGAGGAAAAGCAGAGATATTCAGCAACAAGACTGTTGCACGCTCCAACTGCGGGAGGATATCAGTGTTGGCTTGTCTGCTGATGGTCTCTGGCTGTTTCTGCTCTTGCTGTCAACCGCTGCGTCTTGTCTCACCTTGACAGCTGCCCCGTGCCACTGGCCCACCACCAGCATGGCGCGGAGCCCGCCCGCGATAGGCGGATAGCGCGAGCGGGCTGACGGCATTGGCCACCACCTGGTCCGCTCTGCGTTTCGCGCAACGTGTCCGATGCTGCTCTTCCGGTGCTGCTCTTCCGGCGGCACGTGTGCCACGAGTGCACGTGCCTCACTGCTACTTGTGCTCCCGGAAGATTTTCGGGAGTTGGCAACACAAACACTTGTACATCCATGGATTCTCGCGCAGATGAGCTTTGGAAGGAAAAGGTCGTGCGTTTGTTGGACCAGAGAGACGCCTATGAGGACCTCTCTACGGAATACTTTCATTCCTTTCATGTTCTTCTAGAAAGAGCCTTCCTGGTTGAACCTCTCCTCGCTGCCAACTCTCAACTTCTCTCTTCTCCAAATTCTCCAGACCATAAATCTGCTGCACAACTATTGGCACAGCTTTCGGTCTTGAAAAAGCAAAATGAAACCCTCTCTTTAAATTGCAGTAGACTATCTTCATCGAACAAAGACTTGGTTTCCGATGTAAATAACCTAAAGAAACACTTGAATTTCAAGGTTGAGGAAAACCTAATGAAAAACAACGCTTTGAATTTGATCAACGATGAGCTATTGTCTTTGCAAATCCAAAATAATTTGTTACAGGACAAAATCTCTAATTTAGAATCAGAAAATCAAACCTTGGTCAACAGATGGATTGATAAGGTTAAAAGCGATGCTGATAAAATTAACGATGCCAACGACTTTTTGCAAAACTATAAAAATTTTACCAAAAAAAAATAACAACCTTTTATGTCTTGGTTTCTCTGTTCTCTGTTTCTCTGTTTCTTAGTTACTCAATCTTTTTCAAGCTTAATGGCTTCAAAACATTCCTTTAGCTCTTTTAGTTCTTTAGTAATAGGCTCCCATTCATCATATCTTTTCTTTAAATTTCGTATAATCTGTCTTGATTCAAGACTTTTGACCTTTCTAATCTCATTTATCACATTATTTAATATCCAAGGTAAATAATAAATATTTTTAGATATTTTCTTGCAATCAATCTGCTTTATTTCAAATCCAAAATCGTCATTTTCATTTTCATTTTCATTTTCATTTTCATTTCCATTTCCATTTTCATTTCCATTTCCATTTTCATTTCCATTTCCATCTTTATCACTTTTTTCACTATTTAAAAATCCGTAATCAGTGGTTTCCAACACATTTTGAATTCCATTAATATAAACCTGCCGTTCGTGATAAATCTTAGAATGGCCACCACCAGTTAAATTTCCCATTAAATATTTACTAATTTCTTGGATTAACCCAAAATCAGAAAACCCAACATTTGTAATTAACACGCAAATATGAATCAAATCAATTAAAAATCTGCAATCTTTAAATTCATTTTCTAATAATGGCCCATGAATAAAAACTCCCCTATAAATATTTGGATGATTCATTTGATAACAAAGTGATGAAAATAATGGAACCAATTGATCATTAATCGACCCTATAAATGTCACCTTAACATTATTTCTTAAAATAATTTTAAGACTTTCAATCAAATTCTTGGACTGCTTCGATTTAGGATTTTGAAATTCAAATAATTCCATCATTATATCTGCTTCTAATGTAGAATATGCCCGAATTAAATATCGCTCTTCTAATCCAGGAAATGGCCCAAGACAAATCCCTGCCATTCCAATTAACCCAATTTTTTTAATATTTTTAACAATCTCATATTTTTCTTTTATTAACTTAGCCAATATATTTATCGAAACCGGAACACCTTGTGAATGTGTCGCAAATAACAATAAATCACACTTCATTATCTTATCATACCAATTTTCCAACAATTTACTCAAATTATCAACCCTATCGCTGATTCTTCCCTCTCCTTCTAACGCAATTGTTTCAATATCCAAATCCATTTGATTCTCTATCCCCCATTCTATCAATGCTTCTTTACACTCACTCGCAAACTTAATTGATGTTCCCGTCGGCTGTCCGATTAATGTTCGAACTATTTTTATAGGAAAAAACCCATGAACACCAATAACAATACATTTATGCACTTTATGATATAAATTTTTTGAAGGAATATGATATAAATGTCTTTCTTCTGGTATTATACTTCTAATCAAATTCTCATTATAACTTTCCTGTTTAATTTTTTTACAATAAAAATTTAAAAAATATCTATTTATAACTAATCTTATTCTTGTACCTATAGAAATATCTCGATAACAAGAATACAAAGGAGGCAAAACTAAATTGTTTTTCCCAAGTGATAAATTAGAATTCTCCAAAAAATTTTTATTGCTAATATTGCTATCAGCAAAATTACTCTCTTCCACAGTTTCCATTGGTGTAATCGGAGAAAATGAACTAGAGAGTTTTGCAGGATGAGTTTCTGAATTAGTTCCTGTTACAGCTAACTCACTGGCACTTTTATTCGAACTCCAAAATCCCCATGATTTTCCTTGATTTGTTTTATTTTCCAAGTTTCCATTTAAATTGTTTGAAAAATTGCTATTTGTAGTTATTATTTTTTTGGCTAGTTTGGCACTCTCAGATTCTTGATTGGAATTTATATCAGAATTTACATCATTATAATTTGATTGATTATCTGTAATATTGTTGTTTTTCGACTTCCAAAACCATTGAAGCCAATTGTTTTGCATATCAATTTGATTTTCAGGATGCTTTTGATTCAAGATAAGTTGATCTTGTCTAAGGATACTAGACGTGTTATCTTTATGAATGCTTTGATTTTGATTTGAACTTTTGGTAACAGAATATTTCCGACCCAACCAGGTTTTTTTAACAATTAAATTTTCATCTTCAACAATAACAGAATTATTTTTGGTGTTATTTAAAGACGTATTATTATCTTGATTTTTATTTGAGTTTACTGAATTTGATGATATCCTTGAATTGGTAGAATTATTTGAATCTAAAGATGACTCCTGTGTGACCACATGGCTAGAAAGCTGAATATTTTTGTTGGAACTTATCATTAAATCTGTCAGAGGCTGAGATTGAGATTGAGATTGGGATTGTTCAAATGATAATTTTGACCACCAGCTTTTTTTCCTTCCATTATGAATATGATTGGAAACAAAGTTGGTATTAGAATTGCTATTATTTTTGTAACTATTTTTTGGTGTAGAAGTATTTGAAAGGGAATCACTAGTAGGATTAATTCGATTATTAAGAATATTTGATTTTTTACTCATCATTTTATTTTTGAATTCATACTCATTAAAGTTGGGGTAGCTTTCATTTTCATTGCCACTATCAGAATCATTATCGTTATAATGATGATGGTCATTATTATTATCGTTATAGCCATTGATATCACCATTATTATCAAAGTGGTTATCGTGATTGTTATTTTTTTTTTTATTATTATTATTCTTTTGATTCAATTCAACATTTCTTGGAACCTCAATTTTATTTTCATTCTGAACAACAGCAATTTTGCTATTATCTATGATCTTTTTTCGTGTATTTTGGTTTGTACTTTTACTGTTATATTGTTTTCTTAGCTCAGAAATTCTAATAGGATCAATAGCCTCAGACATTTTCCTAAGATACACAGTATTTAAATTTATGTTCCAACTATTGTTGTTATTGAAATCAGAAGGAGCATTATCAATACTGTCATGATTGTTATTGCCGTTGTCATTTCCATAGCCTTTACTATCTTTATCATCATTATCACTATCGTTATCACTATCGTTATCACTATCAGCACTATTATTTTTTTTGCCTAAATAGTTAATTTTATCTTCAAAAGCCATCTTGATTGAAGAAAAAATTAAAACGCAATTTGCAAATTAATATGTTGCTTATCTTCGATATAACTCAAAATGGCGAGGTTGCAGTTGAAAAAAGCCGTTGAAAGCCGGTCCAAGATTACCCTATCAATAAGAAATACAGGAAATGAATAGGAAACAATTGCACCACACAGTTGAGTGTTTGAGTAAGAATTTCTGCAGTTGAAATCAAAAAAATAGAAATGTCATTTAATAATAAATTCAGATTCAACAGACCTAACAGTTTGGATTATGATCATGAGTCTTCATCAGTGGTATCTAATGTTACAACTTCGACAAGCAACTCTGCATCTTCAAATATCCATCCGTTAGAACTAATTGTTCAGTCAATTATAGGACCTTCAATAGAATCTTATTCAAAAAAATTGAACAATTTACAAGAGTCACAAATGGTGTTAACGTCAAGAATAAAATTGTTACAAATTAGAATTGCAAATATTGACAAAGACCTTGATCTAATAGACTTAAATCAGTTGAACAATTTGGACAACGAGATCAATTTCAAAATTAAAATGCTTAAGGAAAAGCTTGTGGGAATTTTCAATTTGTTGAAAGTGATTGAGAACAGAGTGAACAAAATCAGCAACAACATTATCTTAGATCAACAGGAAAGACTCAAAGAGCAGGTTGGCAGTACAAAGCAAAAATGACGGAGGATGGTGCTGTTCAGAAAGGATAAGGAAAAACATTTAAATGGTTTCACGATTTTAGGGCTCTTTACGAACACGTGTTCGTTTAGTGCTTACAGTCGATCATCATGCACGCGCATTGCGCATGTGCTCTGACGCAAACTTCCGTCATCTTGTAGTAGCTTCCAAAACTATGGGTATTCCAAAAACCTCTCACAGTCGGATTCAACCAGTCTCGAAACAAAAACAGAACTAAAATTGCATAAAATTTGGTACAAAACATTTATAGCTTAAGCAATTTTATTTTATGAAATTTATATTTTATGGAACTTATATTTTATGGAAATTTAATACGAGCTAAAACCCAGAAGGAAAATTTTATTTTGATATAATTTAAATGGAACAGAAATTATAAAATGAAGTGCGAGCATAATTTTCAACCGTGCCTATTTATAATAATAATTAATTATTCTATTATTCTTTATGTAATTGATATATTTAGCAATTAAAAATAATTAATGCTCACTTTGATAATAAATTAGTGATAAACTATAAAGCACTAACAAACAAATATCAAATGTGTACAAAGGGGTTATTTTTAAAGTAATCACAAGGTTTTTCTTTTTTGTTTTGAATTTAATTTTAATTTAATAATAATAATAATAATAATAATAATAATAATAATAATAATAATAATAATAATAATAATAATAATAATAATAATAATAATAATAATTTTCTGATCAATTATCAGTGATTAAACATAAAATAAATGGGTAATTGGAAATATTTCCCTCCCCTTAAAAAAAACAAAACCTAAAGGTACCATCATGAATTAAAATTTGGAATATTATTTATAAAAATGAATATTGACAAAAATAATTTGTTGAATTTCAAATTATTATCATACTGTTGATTGTGCAGCTAATTGACCAGTTCCTGAATTTTTGTCATTATTACTATTTGTTGGATTGTTACTATTTGTTGGGTTGTTACTATTGCTATTGGTAATAATATTATGATTATTAGTAGCATTGTTATCATCTTTGATATTATTAATACTAATACTTGTGCATTCGTTATTATTAACTGTGGTATTAGCATTAATGTTATTGATAAAAGGGTTGCCATTAACAGGTCCAATGCGATTTAAATTGCTGCTGATTGAAAATTTATTCGTGTTTTCTAAATTCCCTCTAGGCTCAACGCTATTTCGAATATTGGATGAGATTGGAGCATATTGTGGGTTTAAATGTGATTGAAAATAACGATTTTTAGCAATAAAATCTGAACTGATAGAAGGCGACTTGGAATTCCAGTTGGTGGAAGAACTCAATTTTCTCATGTTTTCATTTGTATTTGGTTCAGCGAAGGATAAATTTGTTGATGTCGATTGATAGCTAGGCAGAATATAATCAATCTGACTATCAAAGGAGAGTGGAGCAGTTGAGGTAGTTGAGACATTTGAAGTAGCTGAGGTTAAAGGCTGATTCAGTGAGAAAAAAGATATACTGCTGCTGTTAGTTGTAGGATTCGAATAACCTGGATTTTCTTGAAATTTATCTTTACTAAGATCAATGTTGTTGTAGATATTCATATAATGTGTGTTTACTTGATGATTAAGTTGGGTATAATTCGGATTGGCAGTTTTCTTAAATTGATAATTATTTGGATTAAAGGAACCTAAAGGGCTTATGAAATTATTATTATTGCTATTATATGACTGTATTGTTAAAAGTTGAGAATTATTTTGAGAAAAAGGAATTGGGCTAGGGATTGAATGTTTTTGATTTAAGAAATTGCCATGAATATTAGGAATAATGTTATTAGCATCAATATTAATATTATTTAAATTTGTAGTGTTTAAATTCGAAGATGTACTTGTTGGAGCAGTTGAGTGAGTTGTCAAACCAAAATTTGATGTGTTTGACGGATTTGAAATTAGCAAATATTGGGAGATATCAGATAAATGAGGCAATTTGACCAGAGAATCATTTAAAGAAAGATTTGGGGTGAAATTAATTTGGCTGTTATTGAGATTATTATTATTATTATTATTATTATTATTATTATTATTATTATTATTATTATTATTATTATTGGTGATAGTGTTAATTGCAGAAGAATTCAAAAATGAATTTGGGTTAGTCTGGCGATTTAAAAGATTGGGAGACGAGTTTATTAAAACGGAAGTATTTTGGGTGTTTAAATTTTGAGTATTTAACAGTGATTGTGAAGTATTTATGCAACCAAAGGATGTTGGAATTGAGGAGGGATTTTGAGTTGTTGAATATAGCGGATTTTGTTTGTGAGAGTTATGGTTTTGATATTGATTTTGGTGTGGTTGTGGTTGTGGCTTCAAGATGGGAAGTGTGTGTGATTGAAAAGTTGATGATGGTGGTGGTAGTGGTAGTGGTAGTGATGTTAAATTTGGATTTTGAATTGGAGCAAAAGGTTTTTGGAAAGAAGGTTGGATTTTAAAATTTTGAGTGGAATGAAATGAAGGAAGTGAAGAAGAAGAAGAAGAGGAAAAAGATGAAGAAGATGAAGAAGGAGAATTTGATGAGTTGTTGATGTTTGTATTAGGAGAAGAAGGATTTAAATCTGGAGTATTTAATAAATGGTAATGAATAATATTTTGCAAAAATTGTAAAGAATCGGTTGCACCTTTTAGGACATGAGGGGTACTTTTTGGGTTTTGAGAATTTTGAGAATTTTGAAGATTTTTGTTTAAATAAGCTGAAGCAACTTGCTTCGAATCGGAAAAATCATCACAAATTGACCAAATATTTGACAGACAGCCCTTTTTATCATTAGGGAAGAAAACTGCGAAATTTGGAGGAGCAGATAAGAATAGTTTTAGGATGCTTAGAGAGTTTGGAATGATTTGGCCTGGTGGAAAAAGATGAGGTTGAAAGTTGGTTGAAATGACGATATCTAGAGAGAAAAAAATTCTAAAGATGACTCTTTTAGAATCTATGTTTGAGGCAAAAAAGTAATTTAATTCATTTGTTATTGAAGAATAAAAAACCAAAAAATCCACTGAATCTTGCATTAAATTGAATAAAGATTTTGGAGCTAAAGTGAAATCAGGTTTGTGATAAACCAAGCGTAAATTTGAGGTGCCATTTATTTTTCCTTGTTTAATTCTTTCCCAAGAGCCAACGGTTAAGGAAGCACAGTCGATTAGTAGATAATTGTTTGAAAATTTTAAGGGCAAGTTTTCAAAGGATATCATTAAACAACGCATCGCATCATCAGACATTGGAGTAGAAGATTGATCGAGTCTTTCTTGTTTTCTTTGTTTTGCTCTTCTATTTTGGAACCAAATCCTAACGGTTTGTTCAGGCATATTCAAGGTTTGGGATAGATGTTTTCTTCTAAAAGCATTTGGGGTTGGATTTTTTTTAAATTCTTCTAGTAAGCGTTTAAGTTTGTCACCGGATACTCTTGTTCTTTTAAAAGAGGATAAATGTTGATTTTTGTAAGAGTGAGGGTATGATTGATCATTTGGTGGTTGTGGAGTTGGTGAATATTGAGAAAGAGGGTTTATTTGGAGAGGCTGATTAGATGAAGATGTATTTTTGGGATTTTTGGGATTTTGGGAATTCTGAAAATGAGCAAGCTGTTCTTGGTGATTTACAGGCTGGGGCACTTGTTGTTGAGCATATATTTGAGGTTCTGTTTGGGGTTGTATTTGAGGATGAGAGTAAACTTGAATAGGTGGGGGAGTGTTTAGGGTGTGGTTGACAGAAGTATAAGGATTTTGAGACATGAATAAAAGATTATGCTGATTTTAAAGATTAAAATAAGTACTTGACATGAGATACATGAGATACATGAAATACACGAAATAAAATAAAATAAATAAAATAAAATGAAATAATATAAAAAAGAAAGAAAGAAAGAAAGAAAGTAAAAAGATGCACTGAGATATATTATAGAATATATTACAGGATATATATTGGAATATATATTAGAATATACTATATGGGCAGTGTGATTATTTTGTGCAATTCGTAAAAGATAAGAGAAATGAAAAAAAAGAAAAAAACTTGCAAAGTGGTTTTGTGACGAGCGGAGGTTTAAATAAAGAAAAAGGAGGACAGAGGAGCAGTCAACAAAACTACAGGGGAGAGCTGGTAGGGAACAGCAAATTATCAGATTGTCTGCGATAATCTTAGATTTCAGCAGGGGAAACAGCATCGGTTCAGGTGTGGCCAACAAGAGGGAAGAGGTGCACAGCAGAGGTGGTTCGCGAGGGAGCGGCGAAGCGCACACCCCGCGAGCCGAAAGCAGGAGCGACGCTCATCGTCCGATGCTCTTGCGCGAAAACACCACCAGCGCGGCCTCAACCTTGTTCGATGCACAATATGAGACATATCCACAGCAGCTGTCTGGGCGCGTGTGGGTACGCGCAGAAGCAGCGCTGCAAAAGGCAGATGACCGCGCTGCTCAACTGGGTTTAGTGCGCGATGGGAATGAAGTTGCCGACGATGCAGCTGGGGATGTTGTAGCGGTCTCTCCTGATGGTGAAGCTGAAGCAGCACGGCTTCCGTCTGCGGCCGTCTTTTGTGCGGAGGTTGCAGCTGGTCAATACGGCCTTCTGGCCCTTGTCGAACGCAATGGCGCCGTACTTCTCCCAGAAGTTGACGGCGCTTTCCTCGCTCATCAACTCGTAGATGGCGAGCTTGCCGTTCTTCAAGTCCTCGCTGCTCACCTCCACCAAGCTCGCAAACTCCTTGTTTCCCCTGTAAATTTCCCCGGTTCTTCTCCAAAGACACGCTGGAATGGCCATCGACGTGAACACCCGGTCGTAATCTAGCAACATTCTCTCAAACGCCTCCTCCACCAAAACCAAATCAACGTCCTTGAGCGTCCTTGCAATCGCCCGAAACGCCGGTCGAAAAATCGACAACGGCTTCAAGATCCGCTGCCTGGAGGACTGGTTCATGTAGTTGTCCATATACCCCTGTAATCTGGAGTAGCCTCTCGCGTAGTTGTAGGGCTGGAGCAATCCGGCTTCTAGTTTGGCATTTATCACCTGTTTTAATCGTTCTTCTGGTGATACTTCGATAGATGGGTCCGCTGCTGTTAGGAAAAATTTGGCTTTGGCAGACTCTGAGATTTGAACCGGCGATAATTTATTACTACTTCCCTCTGTGTTGTCTTCGTTCTTCCTATCCATCTTAATATAGCTCTTTAATGGCTGAGCAAATGTATCATCCTTTTCATTACTCTCGTTATATCCTTGATTATCAAATGGTGCAAGCTGCAAATTGTTTTTACTGTTATTATTGCGGTTGTTATTGTTATTGTCATTTCTTTGGCCCAAAAATCCAAAATTATTTGGTTCATATAACCGGTTTTCATTTACCAAAGTTCCCATAGCTCCACCATTTTGTTCTCCAACCAAATCACTATACCCACCAATTGGATGGTTATTATTTAAATTTTCATTAACGTCATTAACGATTTCAGGATCATCAATCATTTTAAAAAACTCATTAATAGATGAAAACTCGGAATTAGCGTGTTCTGAATAAAAAAAGGGTTCATTTAAATCCAATAAGCTTTTCTGAGATCTTGAAATTGCTCTATTATTATTATTATTATTATTATTATTATTATTATTATTATTATTCGAATTAGAGTTAATATTCTTTAGACTCATGTTCATATTCATGCCACTAAATTCAATACCTTTCACATCACCTTGATTATATCGATTGGCATTTGAATTCACTGATAAAATTAAATTCTGATTGCGATTTATTATCCCATTCTCACTAACATCAATTTTTTCATTATCTTTCCCATTCGAATTTGAATTGGGATTCTTAAACACAAAATTTGATGATTCTGATCGACGAGAAAGAGATCCATCATCATCATCATCATCATCACCATCATCATCACCACCACCACTACCACTGTCGTCATCACCACCACTATTATTACTATTATAATTGTTATTATGATTGTGATTATGATTATGATTATGATTATGATTATGATTATGATTATGATTATGATTATTATTTTGTGACAAAGAAATTGATGTACTTTGTTGTAATCTTGATAATCCATTATTCAAATTTAAATTCCCATTATTCATGATAAAATTCATTCTTTCTTTCCCAGGTGAAATTTGTTCACTACTTAACTCAATAGAAGGTGGTGCACTAATTGTCGCTGTGGAATTTGCTATTTGAACTAAAACTGGAATAACAGAATTTTGTTTATTACCATTGTCATTACCATTATTATTATTATTATTATTATTATTATTATTATTATTATCACTGTTATTGTTATTATTTTTGTCATTATTACCACCATCTTTGTCATTGTCATTATCACCATTGCTATTGTTGTTATTAGCAGTAATATCCTCGTTTTTATTATAGCCATCATTGTAATTCCCGCCATTATCGTCACCACCATTATCATTTTCATTTGGTATTATTGAACATAATTTAAAAGAGTTGGGAGCTGAGCTTGAATAATGCATTTGAATACTCGATATATCACTATCTTGGTTAAAAATAGATCCGATCGAAACAGACTGTGACTGAGAATTTAAATTCATTGGTATTGAATTCAAAACCTCCATTCGTTGGTTTGGCTGCTGCTGCTGCTGCTGCTGCTGCTGCTGCTGCTGTTGTTGTTGTTGTTGTTGTTGTTGTTGTTGTTGATTAATAAATTTTCTTTGCCTGGAATTTATTGGTTCGTCATGACATAAATGCCCAATGTTTCTTTTAATACATCTAGCACATGGTCTATTTTCATCACATATCATATGAGATCTTCTACAATAAACGCAAGCTATTTGAACTTTTCTCTTTTTCTTTTTCTTTTTTTGAATGAATCTATTATTATTATTATTATTATTATTATTATTGTTATTGTTATTGTTATTGTTATTATTGTTATTGTTGTTATTAAAATTAACATTTTCCATCCTTGAAAATACATCACTCGATTTATTTTCTGAATTGGAAACAGGCGAATTATCACTAGAATTAATTAGTAATCTTTTAGATGAGTTTTCTTGTTGAGGATTAGTTGTATATTTTGATTGGTTTTGTGAGTTTTCAAATGAACTTATAAATACAGAGTTACCAGGTTTTTGTAGTCTTTCACTAGTTACACTAGTTAAAGACAAAGTATTTTTATCATCCTTATAAGCATTGTTCTCATTTTCATTTTCATTCTCCTTATTGTTCAATCCAGTCATTTTAAAAAGTAGCAGTTCTAAATTGTATGGAGTAAATAGAGATTAAAAACAGCTTTCAGACTGGAAGTTGAATAATAACCATGAAATACCAAGCAAAACAAACTCAAGCAAATCCTCTCTCTTCTATTTTTGCAGCTCGCTATTTGTATCCAAGTCTCATCAATCTTTACCCCAGGTTTTTGTTTCTCCAACAAAAACAGATGGAAAACAGCTGAAGCCATGAATCAAACAAATACATCTGCCTAGAATCCGCTTAGAATCCGCCTAGAATCCGCTTAGAATCCAGCCGGTACCCTTCTTCTGCGCCGCTCAGCACCGGATCTAAACATGCACTACAGATGTGTGCGTTGATTTTGCTGATTTTGTTGATCTTACAGATTGAACTGACTAGGACAATTGAAAATTTAAATATAAACTATGCTGACAATATAATGTTTCTATATATTTCTAAAATGCAGCCTTTTGAAATTCTTCAATTCCTGCAGTGTATCCAGAATCCCACTCCCAAATTTTATCGCTTGAGCCTCTAGCGTAAATATGCTCATTTTTTCTGGCTGTTTTAATAGCATTGATTCGACCAATTTTGGACCCATCAAACTTGCTAAACTCAACGGAATCGTTCCAACCTGTTATGAATCCTTCTTTGTATCTGTCATGTTCCCATGCCTCATTTGGATTTTGACTATTCCAATAATTCGAATGATCATTAAAACTACTGTTTAGAATAGTATTAAATTCATTTTCATCAGGAATTCTTTGAGTGTAGGATTGTCTTTGTGGGATTGCTCCATCTTTGACCATCTTGGGAAATCCCCATTCCCCACCATCTCCGTATTGAAACTTATAAGTCCAAAAATAAAAGCCAGATGTCCTTTGATTAAATAAAAATGATAACGCTTGACCATACTCTTTGACTTTTTCATCTCTATTTCCATTAAATTTTTCCCAGGATGAAGAGTCCAACACACAAGAATACTCTCCAACTAAGATATCCGCTTGACCTTCCAAGGTTTTAGGATTAAAAACAGTTTCATCCAATTCACTAATAATTTGGTCAGGGTTTTTGCTTTTATCATCTTCGGAAAAGCATCTATAAACGTGGGAATCAATAACCAAACCCAAATAGCCACCAACTTCCAGCTCCAAGTTATTGACCCATTTAACCCATTGATTTGGAGACCAGCCATCGCTAATAATTATTGGAACATCTGGATTTTTCTTTCTAATATCATGGATTGCTTGTCTATAATATTTATCTTGACTTTCTCCATCACTACTAAATACACTTTCATTAACAATTTGTAAACCAGCTATATTATCATAACGCAAAATATCGCTAGCTATAAACTTAAGACATTTTAAAGCTTTAATTCTATAGCTAGTAGAGCTCCAAAATTCAGGCTCAGATAAAATTTGACCACTGTGATCACCAGTGTTTGCACCACCAGGCAAAGCATGCAAATCAACTAAAACGGATATATTATAAGTAGAAGCTTTCTCAATATAAAATTTCTTGTAGATGTCCCAAGCATTTTGATACACGGCAGATATATCTTCAAAGGGGGTGTCCTCATTAATAAAGCCAGAATTAATTTCCCAGTAACCAATTGGAATTCTAACACTAGTTACACCAATTTGTTTCAAATATTGCCAGTCTTCATCGGTCATAAAACTCTTCCAATGATTCTCTAGCAATTGTCTTGTAGCATCCAACCCATTTTGGGATACATGTTCAGTTATGCAATCTAGCTCTGCTTTTGTATTATTAATGAAAAAATCGCCATACATAAAGGATTCCAAAATAAAGATGGAGCCTAAATTAACACCAAAATTTTTACGTAGTTGATAAATATTCCTTTGATTTGGGGGCTGACCAGGAGCAATTGGAGCTTGTGAGGGGGTTTCAATTGAGTAATCTTTGAAATGGTGCTTCAAATACGAAAACATTATGAGAGATGATAAAATTAAAAGTAAAAGAAAATGAACAAAAAGGATATAAGGGTTTTTCTGCTGAAAGTAGCTAAAGTTATTTTTCTTGGTGTTGTGTCCAAGAGAGTTATGGTTAAGGTTATGGATTGAATTATAATTACAATTATGTTTATAACTGTAACCGTAATTACTGATAAATTCTCTGAAGTGGAAAAAATGAATTTTGAAAAGCAAATCAATTATCTAAGAATTGACAATAAGAGAAAAAGAGAGAAAAGAACATTTATGGGTGAAGATGGAAAGAAGCAGAGTATTTATACTGAAAAAACAGCAGTTGCGAATGTTGACAAGCTCTGTCTATCAGATACAGCTGTGGTGAATTGACTCCAGCAGCAGTCTCTTACACCCTTTACATTGTTGATTTTTTTTCTGTTCTTCTGCTACGCATCGCACCCACTGAACAGCACTGTGATCCAGCACAGTATGCACACACCACGCTCTGGTCACGTAGCGTAGTAGTGGCTTTGCTGATATCCAACGAAAATGTCCAAGACATCTAAGCCATAGCCAACTCACGTGGTTTACGCGTGCTTGCTCTCCGTGGTTTGCGAGAAGTAGAAGCAGATGCTGGATGTCGCTGGGGCCTGAAATAGGGGTCTAGTGTGTCATACTAATTCCCTAGCATTTGCAGTGTTAGCACGTAATGTATCGCGTGACATGCTTATTATATCACCTGCTAATGGCGTTTCAAAGTGCGTGTGCTTCACAAAGTGCGTGCGCGATAGACACCCAGAGACTCTATCACAATTGCTGCTAGGCCACTATCTTTTTTCTTTCTTCCCACTATCTTCAATATTCTTAGATTTATAGTTATATTATACTTTTTCTTCTTCTTTGTTGTATATTTCTCTATTTTATGTTCCTCAGGAATTGCAAATTATAATTTTTTTATTCCCAAGAACCACGTCAAGTCGTCGCCTTTGATGATTAAGTCTTACTGTGCTGTTTTCCTTCTTTTCCTATCCTCTTTAGTTACTCTATCATGGTGTATTCCTCAGCCTGTTTATCTTCACTTTTCAAAGTTGCCAAACCATGATAACGATAGATCAAACAGTCCCAGTTTGTCTGCTAATCTCCACGATCATAATGCTTATAGTCTTAATGATCTTCATAATCTTGATATTTCCGACTATGTGCAGGTTATCAACCGCCCTACTGACACAACTGCTGATAAATACCAATACAAGAAATTACTTTCTGATGACAATAAAAACAATTTGATTTCCAAACACTCCTCTGAATCGTCTGAACCAGTTGAATCTGCTGAACCTGCTAAAAGAGCCAAACCAGCGGAATCCAATAAATATCCAACCACAATTCTATCACCCCCACATTTGTCCTCGCCTTTGTCTTCACCTTTATCTTTATCACAGTTTCATTCACTTTATTCCACCAAAATGCAACCATCTTCTTCGGCTCCATTATTGACTCCCAACATAATCCTATTAATATCTTTTTTTGCCTCTTTACTTTTTTTTGTTTTAATCATTTTGGTTCTATCTTTAATCAAATATTTTTTTTTAAACAAAAATTTCTCTTCAATCAAATTAACTAATGTCAGTCCTGGGTCGTTTGATGATGAGCAATACGAAATTGAACATTTTAATGATTTATCTCCAAATGACCAAATTTTATTTAAACAAGCTAAATTATTTTTCAAATTAAATCCTCCAAATTTTAAGCCTAACAATTCTTTATCTTTATCTCAATGCATATTAATTCAAGAAAAGGGTATAATGGCTTATGATTTTTTACCAAATTCAAATTTACCTAAAAATATTGTTAATATAAATGAGAAATTTGAAATTAATTTTAAAAACAACTCCATTAATAAATTCTTGAATGCAAATTATGGGCCAATATCAATATCAACAAACTTACCAATCCCAACTTCAAATGATGTTTATTATTTTGAATCAAAAATCTTTGATGTAGACTACGATTCAATCTCTCAAAACCAACTGGAAAATCAATCGCAAAGCCCCTTCTTTTCCATTGGTTTATCGACTATGCCTTATCCATTTTTCAGATTACCTGGAAGACATCCCTGGTCTATTGCCTATGATTCTAATGGGTCGAGAAGATTTAATAACTCTTTTCCGATTCCACCACCACAATCGGTTTCTTCTTCTTCCTCCTCCTCTTATTTGCCTCCTCCTCCTCCTCCCCCTCTTCCTACCCCTGTTTCTGCTCTGGCTCCTCTTTATTTTCCCTTCTCTTCTAATCGCACTTTTCCACCATCTTCCTCTACATCTTCATCGAAACCTAAACATTCCTCAAAAAAAGTTAATGAATCAAATATTTTTCCGAAAATTCTAAAAGGTGATGTTATTGGAATAGGTTATAAAACTAAATCGGGTGCTATTTTCTTTACAAGAAATGGCAAGAAATTAAGTGAATCAAAAATCGGTGGCCATGTAAAAAACATTAAAAAATTCTTATTATATCCAATAATTGGTTCGTCTATCAATTGTTCAATTCATTTAAATTTTGGTCAATGTGGTTTTGTTTATATTGAAGCTAATGTGAAAAAATGGGGGTTTACAAAGGATATCTATGGCAATCAACCTCCACCTCCTCTTTATTCAACTTCTTCAAACGATTTATTATTACAGTCAAGCAATTTTTCTAACAGCATTAACATAATTTCAAGAAATTCTTCTTTTTCGTCTTTGAATGATACCTCAAATGAAAATTTGATTGAAATTTCAAATGACGATCTGAATAATAATTCATTTAACAATTACAACAATTCATCAAATAACTCATCCCTCAATAGTCTATCTAGAATATCGTCAAATATTACAAATATTTTCAACAATTCAACTAATGGTTCAAAAAATGGCAATGACTCAAACAAAATTCAAAAAACTTTAAATGAAAATATCATTGAAATACCCAACTTTCCTCCTCCCTTTTGGGCAAGTTCATCGACCATTCTTGACAACATTACGTTGAATACCATCAGTCAAAATGAGTTGCCTCCAATCTACACTTCGGATAATGAGCTGAATCAACACAACACCAGTAGTAGTATAGATAAAGATAATATAGCAGCTGAGACTGCTGGCAAAACCATAAAATTTTCCAAACCAGATATGGATACAGACGAAGCGCACGAACAAGCAGAGACTGAATATAATCAGCAAAATAACAAAGACTCGATAAAGCAAACAAATACAAGTTTTTTTAATCAAGGGAATAGTGCTTGAAATTTAAAACTGATCAGTAAAAAGATGTCAGTTTATAAAGACCATCATCTCAACCAGAATTTAAACGTTTGTACTATAGATTATGTTCGGAGAGGTTGCTTCCGGTCTCTAAGAGCACTAAACATTTATTTTTTTAAATAGCCTATTCATTATTATTCGCTTTGCATAGTTCTGTTATCCAAGTTTCCATTCTCAAGCATTCCTACCGTTTTCAGTGTTTTTGTTCACCGGTCACATGAGCGCTACTTTTCGAATCAACACAAAGAGCTCACAGAGAAAGGCTTCACTGCATCCAGTCAGGATTTTAGGAATGGTTAAGTATAGTCCATTTTGCACAGTTTTGGAGCAGACTTTTCTGTGAATAGCCCTGCAGTCAAAACTGTAGCTATATTTAGTGATTTTCTCTTTTGAGGCCAGTTTTGATGTGTTTTATCACCACGGATTGTGGATCCCAACTCCGGCTTCGTGAAATTTTAACAGATCAAACACAATTGAAGTTTCAAAGAAGTTAGAAAACAAGAGGAATAAAACAAGTTTTATACATGAAGTATGGCTACAGAAAGAAAGCTGAAAATACCTCTACAACAATTAATAAGAAGAATTTATATATAAGTAAATAAAAATATAGAAAGATATAAAGAAAATAATCAAGAAATAGAAATGATAAAAATAACCTCTAAATCATGAGTAACACTAGAAGTAATCTCTATTCTTCTATTCCTAAAATGGAAGAAAAATCAATTCCAAATAAAGATGTACCATCAATATCCTCTGATAACTCCCCAAATCTAGAAAAGGTGAGTCTCAGAATATCCACTATTGTCGCAAACGGATTTGAAAGGATGATATGGATCCTATCCGACTTACTGGCACGGATTTCCCAAAATCGCAACAGTTATTCAACAAGTTTTTTATGTAAGCATTGCCCAATAAACTTCAATAAACAGCTCTTAGGAAAAACATCAAGATTCTGGTGCTACAACTGTTCGTGCACAACTGCCATGTTGAGGTCGACTGTTGTATGTTCTTTGTCTGTCTGCTGCTTTGCAAGGTCAATAGCAATTGCGGCTCCTAAGTGCCTCAGCTCTTCACTCAGAACATTAAACGATAAGGCAAATCTGGAAAGGGAAAATGATAACACCACTAAATACGATTTAGTAGCTTCGTCTTATCTGGCATCAGATATACCTGAGCTTGACACTCCTCAGAAGTTGTCTTTTTACTTGCAAAAAACAAAAAAGTCAGGAAGTTTTCCGAATTTCAAAAATTTTGACTCTCTTCCTATTAATTTTGGAATGAATCAATTCTTGAAATTATCGAATTCAGCCAATAAGTTGTCGCTGGCCAATCCAGATAACTCTATTGATCATATTTTAAAAAAGATTTTGTTTAGTTTTAGCTCCCCGATTGACTATTCTTTTGCGTATGGCTCGGGTGTAATCAAACAATCAAACTATGATAAATTCAAGAAAAAACCTCAAATCGACTTGATATTTGCAACTAATTACCCTAAAACCTTTCATTCCTCCAATCTAAAAGAAAACTATAATCATTATTCTTTTTTGAAATATTTTGGTGCGGATTTTTTACTGTTTTTTCAGAAAATTGGAGCTCATGTGTATTTCAATCCTTATGTTTTAATTGATAATCATCAAATAAAATATGGAATTATTTCAATCGAAAATTTAATTGATGACTTAGTAAACTGGGAAAACTTTTACATGGCAGGAAGACTACAGAAACCAGTCAAAACTTTAATTGAGGATCCAAGATTGAGATTTGCAAATCAATTAAATTTATATAATGCTCTAAATTTGTCTTTATTGTTACTAAATTCCCAAAATAACAATAATTCTAACCAATTTTCAACTTGGGAATTATTTAATAAAATAGCTAGTTTAAGTTATTCAGGCGATATTAGAATGAAAATTGGCGGTGAAAACCCTCATAAAGTTTCAAATATTGTATCTGCTCAATTTCACCATTTCACTAACCTTTATAAACCCTTTATTGAAATTTCCAAAGATGAACAATTTATTTTGCCTTTGAATAAATCCAATGAAACTTATCAATTTAATAATAATCCCATGTATAAATCATATTTGATTGAAAACTTACCTCATAACTTCAAGCTCAGACTATATAAAAGCTATCTCAAATTTTTTCCTTCAAAGTTATCAATTGATAAAAAGGCATTGGATGTTTTCAATGGAAATTCCAAATTTAAAATTCTTGATTTCAATAATCCCCAAAACGTTTCAAATAATATTACCTATACAAGCGATCAAGATTATGAATTTTCCAATGAATATAAGCCAGGCGAATTTTCTTTCGCTATTGCAAAAGATCCCACCTTACACCAACATCTAATGAATGCACTAACAAACACTATTTTTTACCCAAGTATAACACAATCTTCAAAGGGCATCTTAACTGCAGGTTTATCTAAAAGTATTAGTTATGCTTTAGAAAAAAGAAATAAAGCTAAATCTTCATAATTTTTTAAAATTAGATGTATATAATTTCAAAGATTTATAAATTAAAAGCGATTGTCGCATGTGATTAACAAACATTATCTTTCTCCCTCCCTCTCTCTTTTTTTTAATTAAAATAAAACTGTATTTTTAGAGAATTTTTACAGATTTTTTTGAATAACTTCATCAATCTTACTACACATAACCTCTCTTGTAAAATTCTTCTCAATATGGTTGTACCCATTTTTTTTATAAAGAGATTTTTCATTGTCATCCCATTCCAAAATTTTAACCAAGATTTTAAACCAAATATTTGGATCAGTTTCTTTTAACCAGCCAGTTCCATCTGTACCAAATTTATCAATTGGCAAAATGGTCTCAGTTGGACCTCCAGTGACATCAGCTAAAACCAAGGTATTGAATTTCATTGCCTCTAAAGGAACAATGCCAAAATGTTCATATGATGGAGTATAAAGCAAACATTCAGCGTTCAAAATAAATAGATCTTTCAAATTTGAAGAAATTGAAGGCAAAAATATAACCTGATAATTGGAAATCAAATCATAAGAAAATTTTTGAGTCGATGTATTGATTATTGTTGAACTCAATTGTAATTCTTTTGTTAAATTTTCCAATTCCTTTAAATACTCAACATTTTCTATTACTTTTGAATCATAACCGCCTGAAACCAATAATTTAATGTTTTTGCTTTCATCATTTAACAGAGGAATTTTAGAAAACGATTTTATTGCTAATTCAATGTTTTTTTTTCTTTCAAAACGATTGATACTTAAAAAATATTTAAAATTTGGTTTATTTTGTAAAAAATTCCCAAATTCATTAAAAAAGTCATTATTTTGAGGTATTTTAGATAAATCAACACAAGGATAAATAACCAAAGGTTTATTATTTGACTTTTTTGATAACCAAGTGAAGGTTTCATTGAATACTTTTTTTGTGAAATTTGAATTGACAAATATTTTATCAGAAAAATATAATGAAAATTCTTCAATAAAATCAAATGGGATCCTATAAATTTTTTTCAAATTTGAGTCTCTTTTAGCTAAATTCTGATCGGGAAAATGACAATAAAACAAACACCTGGGTATTTTGTAACGCTTTTCGTCCAATATTAATATATTGATGAATAATTTAAGCCAGAATCTATAAAGGAAAATAAACAAAATTGAAATTGGATTTTGGTCTATTATAAAAAAATCATAAGTTTCATTGTAAAAGAAAAGAACATATAGAATTAAATAAATTTGCTTCAAATTATTTATTAAAATGTAGAATTTATTAAAGAAAGTATTTGGAATACCTTGAGCATAGGTTTCGATTTTTAGCTGCGAACAGTCTTCTTTAAAACAATGGTTTGGATCAAAAAAGTTTGTATGGATAGTTATAGTGTGGCCCAAATTTTGCAACCCAATGGCAATGTCAACCATTAATCTCTCAGCACCACCAATGCCTAGATCAGGATGAATTAATGCAATTTTCACTTTGTTTCTCAGGTCCATTTTAGATACCAGTTGTTCTGTTGTAGTGATGAAAGAGGTGAATTTGTAGCTCTTAAATGTAGTGGACAAATAACTCGATTTGAGGGTCAGCTGACCGCAAAGACGTATGCGGAGTACATGCAATAAGACATAGAAATACATTAATATACATATCAGGAGCAGAAAGCAATAAGAGGAAGAAAGACTAAACAATAGCAGTGATACAAAACTGAAAGAAACATAAAAAAACATACTGAATCAAAGAAATGGTTTATTCACTGTAAATATTCCTTTATTTTTCTTTTGATTTCAAAAAGCTTTGACGTGCGTAATTCTTGCTCTTCTTTCTTAATATCATTCATATGCTTCAAGTATGCTTCTTCCTCGGCATCAACATAATCTTTATAAAAATATAGGTCTGCCTCTTCAGGTTTAATAAAACTAGTTTTTTTTACAACTTTATGAACCAAAAATACAATAATGAATACAGGCATCCCAATGTATCCACTAATAAACTGTTTATAATCAAAGCCGTCGATAAATGAAGTAAAATTGCAAATAATTGTCACTATTATGTTAATGAATAACGCAATTGAAGTGGTGTAAGGGGCTCCTGGAGCATAGTAGTGTAGCTCTTCTTTTCTGTTGACTCCCTGTGTTTTAAAAGCTCTGACAAAAAAAATATGTGTTAATAAAATGCAATCCCAGACAATTAAACAAAATGAAGAGGCAGAATCAACCAAATAGTTAAAAACAGTTGTTGAGCCTTGGGTTGAGTTCATAAATGCTAGCAATTCAAAACACGAGACCACAGCAATACAATAACTAGGAATACCAAATCTATTTGTTTTTGATAAAATTCTGAAACAATCACCGGAGACAGACAAACCATAGATAACACGAGTAGCAATATAAAAACTATTGATTGCACCAGAAAGCGCAAATACTAGGATGCATGCGTTAAATATACTTGATAAAATTGGAATTGAAGCATTTTTTATTGCTACAATAACAGGACTGGAGAACGGATTTTGGTTTATTAGTTGTTGATCATCAAAGGCAACGCAAATTCCAATCATTGTAATAAACGAAATATACACTAAAAGTAAAGGATAAACAATGAATTTTCTTGCTTTTGGTATAGTTGCTCTAGGATGAACAGATTCAGCTGCTGTGACAACAAAAGTTTCAACACCTAAGTAAGAATAGCAGGCAGTGACCAAAACAGATAAAAAGGACACAAGTTTGCCCACGTTTCCATCAACAGATTCGGAGTATGGAGCAAAAGGACCAGGATCTTTCCAGTATCTAAAACCAATTCTATCATGATTGGGGCCACCTCCTAACATTAATATGAATAATAAGATCACAACACCAATCATGATTATTAATTTGAAAGAAATGAAGAAAATCGAAAGAATGGCGAATTTGCCTACTCTGACAGTATTAATAAGAATAACAACTACTGAGAAAATAGTGACCCAGACAGCAGGATTAACAGTGTCTCTATCAACCCAATATTGAACAACCAAAGCACCAGCAGTTAATTGGTTCGGACCAGTAATTAAGTTTACAAACAAATAACAATATCCCAAGGCAAAACCAATTGAGGGATCAAGATATCTTGAAGTATAGCCGGAATAAGCGTTTGGAATTGGAATATAGGACATCATTTCACAATAAGAATTTAATAGTTGTAAGGCGACAAAACCCATGACAATATAAGCAATTAATAAAGAAATAGGGCCTGCAATGTGAAGAGTTTTAGCGGTACCAATTAGCAAACCTGTACCAAAAACTATGGTTAAAGTTATTGCAGAGATATCTATGGCTGTCAATGAATGAATAAGTCGATGACCGGGAGTAACGGCGAGAGGTTGGGGAGATTGAACTTGATGTAGTTCATAAGAGACTTGACGATATATGGTCGAGGAAGTACTTGAACTGTTCATTGAAGCATTATCGATATTATTGCTGTCGATATTATTGGTATTTGTATGATTAATGTCAGAAAGTTTATCATTATCGATATTTGAGGATTGAATATAATCAGTATGAACAGAATCATTTTCTGAATAGTTCTCTATGTCCATTGATTTTGAGAAGCCAACAAAAGAATTTCTTCTTTTCATTTTTAGGCCAATATCTTTCTCCTCATCATCAGTATTAGTGTCTGTTGTTTTCTTTGTGTAATTATGAGAAGAAGAGGACTCAAGATCGCTAAATTGCGGGTTGTTTGAATAAGGGTAGTTGTTATCGCTATTTGAATATAAGTAAGTCATATTGAAGAGGTGAAGCTGTTTCTAGAAACAAAAAATGAGACAGAAAAAAATATGAAAAAAAATGGAAGGAAAAGGAAGATAAAGAAGTTCAAAAGTTCATGATTTTATAGCAGATAGTAAAAAAAGACAACAAAATTATTCAGATAGAGTAGTAGAGTCATGATCTGATTAATTATTTTGATATTTGAGAAATTTAGTGAGACGATTTTAGTTTTTTTGTCTTACCATATCAGCAAGAATATCAAGTTGGAAGGACTCAGTGCAGTCTAGCAGAGTAGCGTTCGAAGTCTCGCATGAATATACAGAAAGCTTTTGAAGCCAAGAAAAGTATCCAACGGTGCGCACTGCAACGTATGATGAATGCATGATACATACAGCACAGACACTGGAACTGCGCTAGCCAACAGTTCCGTCGACAGCCGAGAGTTGAAAAAGCAATCAGATACGCGCTGAGACCAAGACCCGAAGAGCTGGTGCCATGTGGAAGGGGTCAACTTTCCGAGTTGGCCCAGCTCGTCCGTGCCCAGCTCGGCCATGAGCCGCAGATGCCTCGAGCCGAAGCCGCTGCGTGTGCTTCTCGCGGGACGCCCGGTCGCTCGGTCTTCTGCCTGAGGTGCCAGCAGTCACTGCTCTGTCTCCTTCCTGAAAGTTCTTCCAGGATAATTTGTTGGTCGGCGGTGACTGTAATGCCGGAAATTTTAGTGGTTTTCAGCGTTTTTGGCGTACTGTAGATGGTTTCTTATTCACGCCCTTACTTTGCAGCTTTCGCCATTTTCAAGCCTCATCGTTAAAATCATCTCCTAGAATTTTATGCCACTTCTTGAACCAACTCTAGATTCTCCCTGATTTCGATTTTTCCATTATTGTGTTTTTCTTTTCGCTTTTTCGCCATCTAGGTATGCTTGTTTTTGGGCGGCAGTGTTATTTTTCCACCAATGCCAATTTTCCGAGTTTTCTGAGTTCCAGAAAACCGCACCATGCCTAGCAAAAATGCAGTTAATAAACTTGCCATTTCTTTTCTATTCCTGGACTTGCGATGATTCAACAGGAGCAAAATCATCACCAGCATTTAATTTAACTTGCCCATAACCATCAACATGCCTTTTTGTTTATGCCAAACGTTATGAGCTCTAGTGCATTAGATAAAGAAACAAGGCTTTTATTAAAGGGAAATTTGGATAGAAAGAAATCAGCCCAAACCTACCAAAGGATAACGAATGTAGTGTCAATGCAATGTATATTAAGATATTTAATCATTAAAACCAAAGATAGATCTATTATTCGAAGGCGTTCTAAAAAAGGATTTTAAAAATTCAAACTATATCTATTGTATTTATAATATTTACTGCATCCACTTGTTTTTCCTCACCTATATACTGAATATTTTTGTATATTTTAATCAGTCTCTTCTTGTGGTTATTGTATGATTTCAAAAAAATTTAATAATAACCAAACGAAATAGCAGCTCTCTATTGAAGGGTAATGCGACTCCAAGATCATATATGAATCCAAAGATATATCAGCATGCCAAACCTCATAGAGTCTATGGCTCACAAACTTTTTCTAATTGTAAATTCAGAACTATATTTTTAAAATTAATAATCGCGATATTTAAACATTTGTCCAGACCCAATATTTTATAGCCTTATTTTGCAATCTTATGCTTTCATTATCTGAAAACGGCATCAAACCTAATCTTAAATGTCAAAATATTCAAGATAAAAAGTGGTATACCTGCATTACTAACAACTGTTTTTTTTCTTTCTTTTTTTGATCTGCGACGTATAAATTCCATATCTTTCTTGTGAATCGAAATTAGTTTTTTTTTCAACAATAAACCACATAATAGAGTGAAGCAACACGGCAACAATCCATCCAATTGAGCCTATCTATACTGTTTGATTATCTGTTTTTCATTCTTTTCATTCTTTTCATTCTTTTCATTCTTTTCATTCTTTTCATTCTTTTCATTCGTTTAAAACTTTATTTTTCCCAATCTTTGTTTTAGAGATTTTTGAAAATTCATGATAAAACTGATCTTATTTTTTTTATGATACACATATTATACCTTTCTTTTCATTTCTTTTCATTTCTTTTTCTTTAATTGAGATAAAATCGCTTATAAAACTATTCATTTAATAATCTCGATAATCTTCTTTTAAACATTTCAAATCTACTTGATGGCTTACTTTCTTGGATTTCTCTTTTTTTCTGCATTTCTTTTAAATACGCCTCTTCTTCAGCATCAACATAATCTTTATAATAATATAGATCTGCTTCTATTGGTTCAACAAATGATGTTGAAAACTTCAATTTATGGACAAGACATATTAACAAAAAAACAGGAATACCAATATAACCTGTTATAAACGACGTATAATCAAATCCATTAGCGGTGTCAATGAAAACAGTGAATTTTGTTATAAAAGTGACAATGATGCAAATTATAAATGCAACCCAAGTTGTATATGGTGATCCTGGTGCATGATAACAAAACTCGGATTCCCTATCAAAGGCTTGTACTTTACAAGCTTTGATGAAAAAAATATGAGTTAATAAAATACAATCCCATAGGATTAATCCAAAAGAAGCAGAAGCATCAACAAAATATGAAAAAATTTGTGTTGATTCCTTTCCAATATTGGTATAAGCAAGTAAATTGAAACAAGAAATTGTTATTAAACTATAAATTGGAATACCATGTTTATTAGTCTTTGAAAATAATTCAAAAGTATCCCCGGAGACAGATAGGCCATAAAGAATACGAGCTCCCATATAGCAAGATGCATTGGCGGCAGAAATGACAAAAACAAGTATGCAGCCGTTGAATATATGAGGCAAAATAGGAATTGAGGCATTTTTTATAGCAACCACTATAGGGCTGGAATAGGGTTTTTCATTGACGAGTTTTGGATCATTGTAAGGAATACATAACCCAATCAACAAGATGATAGAAAAATAGAAAAAAAACAATGGATAAGCTATTAGTTTTTTTGCTTTAGGAATGCTGACTCTTGGATAAACTACTTCACCAATTGTGACTACAAAAGTCTCAGCACCAAGATAGGAATAACAAGCATTGACTAGAACTGATAAAAAGGAGGTGAAGTTACCAAGAGAGCCATCTATTGATTCTGAATATGGAGCAAAAGCACCGGGGTTTTTCCAGTATCTGAAACCGATTCTATCATTATTTGGCTGACCCCCAAGCATTAAAACAAATAAAAAGCAGAGGAAACCCAGGAGGACAAGAAATTTGAACAAGATGATAATGGTTGAATAGATAGCAAAATTTCCTATTCTAACAGTACTTACAAAGGAAACAATTAGAAAAAAAATTGTTATCCAAACAGCAGGGTTAATGGTGTCTCTATCTATCCAATTTTGAATAACTACAGCACCAGCAGTTAATTGATTTGGAGTTATAATTAAATTGCTAATTAAATAACAATAGCCGAGAGAAAACCCGATTGAAGGATGAAGATACCTTGAGGCATAGCCGGAATAAGCATTAGGAATTGGAATATAGGTTGCCATTTCACATAGAGAGTTCATTACTTCGTTGGTTACAAAGCCCATAACAATAAAGGCAATTAATAATGAAGCTGGACCTGCAGTATGTAAAGATCTAGATGTACCAATCAACAAACCAGTTCCAAATATTACACATAGGGATATTGCAGCTATATGAACAGCTCTCAAGCTATGGTAAAGTTTATGACCTTCAGTAACAGCCAAAGGTTGTGGAGACTGGATTTGATGAAGCTCGTATGAAATCTGGCGGTAGACAGTTGATGAAGTGCCGTCGGTGGCGGAGGTACTTATTGAGATATTGCCATCGGATTGAGTATGAAGATGGGAGTTGAAAAAAACATCATTTTGCGACCATCTTGTGAAATTATCATCAAATGTTCTAATTTCACCAACATTCATGAAGGAGCTTCCTGTTGGTAGCTCATTACTGTGATTGAATCTATTTTCAGTATTCTGGTCCATGGCGGCTGATAGTTAGGAACAGTTGCTAGAGTTTTTTTAATTTTTGTGTTTTAAATGTTCTATTTTTGCTTCTCTTCAAAAAAAAAGTATAATGAAATTAATGATCATCATGGGTAGCTTAAGATTAATAGAAAGGGCTACTTATTTATTTGACAAGATTGCGGTATGATATATTATGCTAGTTGTCTATGAGAGTGTTACAGGCATTTTATACAGCTGAAAACCATAAAAAAATGTGAAATTCGATTCCAACTTAGAATTGGAAAATGTTTCACAAAATGTGTTATTTTTTTCTTTTTTCTAGGCACGCGATTGGTCTGGCCGAAACATTTGGGGTCTTCAGGGCTTTTCAGAGTGGGAGAAAACAAGCAGCAGTAATGGGAAAACCGAAAAAAGCTGGGCTGGAGGAAGAAGCTGCCCCTTGCAGCTTTGGCGTTGGGGTTTACCATCTATTCTGATTTGGGTCTGGACGACAATCAGCTGTAGTAGCTGTATTGCCTTTATTTCTTCAGACTATAAATAAACGATGGCAGTGGTTTGCTAAAATAGTAGGTTTCAATCTCAACACCAAATCCTCAGTTCTTCGTCCATGGAGATCTCTTTTCCCCATCTGGAGGGAACAAAGCATTCCCACAAAGATAAGCAACAGCCATTACCAAAGAGCCAGGCTTTTCTCCCTACGAAAAACCTACAGAGATACGCATTCATGCCTAACCCAAAGTATGACAAATTCCACACAGCTACTTTGTTCGAAACGCATCCACCCAAAGGGGAGTGCTCCACTGAAATAATATCCACAAGCAGCAGGCTCTGCAGCTATCCGCGCTTACAGGCTGTCTAGGCATGTGCCTGCGCTCGTAATGCAGCGCTGTTAATGCCAATGGCTCTTTTTGCCGGCTCGTTCTTGCGAGCCAATGGCCGTTTGCCCCAGAACAATGTTGCGAATTGATTGGGGCCGAGAAATAGCCGGCACACCGGTACACAGTCGGGACGCGCGTAAACCTGGCTTTTCTTGCTGGCAGTTTCAGCGCCCACTGAGTGTTCAGCGTGTAAGTCTTGGTCCTAGAAATATTCATGTGACTATCTTGATTGTGGTGTTCCTAGCTCCTGTTTTGATCTGCTTTCCTCGAGAGGCACGTGCAATGCCTGACGCTGGCAGACTTCCGGCGCTCCTCTAGGCCGGATCGGCGTGATAAAGGCCAAATAAATCTTACACCGGTCTGATATCATTTCCTTACCTGAAAAGTTTTATTTTTTGTCCCCTTTGACATTACACCATTATAAATATAATAACTATCATAAATATCATAAGCATAACCTTTTATTTTGTTCACTCTAATTTTATTTGGGTGATATTGACTTAGGCTTGACCTTCAATTAGAATACACTATTGTTATTCTCTAGTAATTACAATGCATATATAAAAACTCTTTTTAACTAAAGACTAATGCTTATCTAGGTTTTGTTCATTTCTTATTGTTGGAATTTTTTAAAAAAACTAGATATTCTTTGCTGATCATATATAACATGTCTGCAAAAAAACGGAAATTGAGCACTCCAAAATTATCAAAGAAAAAGACACTTGATCAAAAATTTCAAACTGGCGTCTCTTCATCTGATTCAACTCCAAATGCCAATACTCAACCTTCTCTGTCAAGTTCCAATGTCAATGCATTGTCCAGTACAAGACCCTCATCAACTATACTAGCCATTTCACGTTCAATTGCTGCATGTCAAAGATGTCGGTTAAAAAAAACAAAATGCGATCAAAAATTTCCAAATTGTTCAAAATGTGAAAAGGCTCAAGTTGAATGTGTTGGTTTAGATCCTGCCACCGGTAGACTGGTTCCAAGATCTTATATAACCCATTTAGAAGATAGAATTAATCTATTAAATTCTATCATACTAAAACTTGGTTTAAATCCCAATGATTTTAAATCACAAGATGATTTATTAAATATAAATCCTTCAATAAATATTCATAATAATCAAAATACGGAAACTCAAATTTTATTCTCAAATTTAATTAATCATGCCAATATTCCCTTAGAATCAACATCTCAATCTCAATCTCAACCCAAACCCAAACCCAAATCCAAACCCAAATCACTTGAAGAAAATTCTCAAAACTCAAGAGTGAACTCATCATCATCATCATCATCATCATCTTCTTCTTCTTCTTCTTCTTCTTCTTCTTCTCCTTCTCCTTCTTTATCATCGTCACCTCCTACTAAACCTAATAAAATTTATTTTTCAAAATTAATGGAAGCAGCTGTTAAAATCAATGATTTGTCAACCGCTAAAATTAATACTAAATATAATAATCTCTACCCTCCTCAATCATCTTTATTACCAAGCAAAAAAATTGCAAATTTTTTTCTATCCTTATATTTTTCTCAATCAAATCCTCAATTGCCTATTCTTCATAGAGAATCCTTTTTAAATCTTATGTATAAACCCATTTATGGAAAATTTAATTCAACTGTTTCCCTAGCAAATAATTACACCAAAATAACTAACACTCACGATATCATCGATTTTACTGATAATAACGAAAATTTCGATTTTAATATCAAAAATAATAATGAATCAAACTATTTCAATTATATCATAAACCAAATTTCCGTTGATAAAAATGAGATTTATCATTTTCTTGATCAGCTTCTAACTGACCCACAATCTATCAAACTTGATACAACCCCCAAACTTGATAATATCCCTTATTATATTATTTTTTACAATTCTTTAAAAAACAAAATTTATCAAAAATATATGAAAATTCCCCTAGAAAAAAGATCGTTGAATCAATTTTATAAAAACGAAAATGAAAAAAAAGATCACATTTTAAAATTAAAAAAACAACTTGATCCTATAAAGATATCCCTGTCAATTGTCATTCCAAAAAAATACTACATCAATTTGTATTTTCTAAACATTATATTTGCTATTGCAACCTCAATTATTAACCTAGACAATGATCAACAGACAATCTTGTCTGAAGGTTTTAAGATCTCCTCTGAAAAGTTTTTAGATCAAGTTTATCTATCTTCTGATAATTTACAATCTTTACAAGCTGTTTTATTATCTACTTTATATTCATTGATGAGACCATCTACTCCTGGTGTATGGTATAACTTAGGCAATGCTTTAAGGGTATCTGTCGACCTTGCTTTGCAATCTGATAGTCAGAACAGCAAAGTCCAATACGATTCATTTACTAAAGACTTGCGACGAAGACTTTTTTGGTGTACCTATTCTTTGGATAGACAGATTTGCTTTTATCTTGATCGACCTGTTGGAATTCCTGAAGAAAACATAACTTCTTTGTTTCCATCAGAACTAGATGATTCCTTGATTTGTGAAAATGATTTAGAAACTAGAGATTATTCTAAAAACATAAATTTATTTAGTTTTACAAGTGGAATGCCCAGCTATAAAGTAATCTCTTTAGCTTTTTTTAGAATTCGAAGAATTCAATCTGAAGTTTTGAAATTTCTTTACATTTCTCATAATGAACTTGGTTCTTATGATAATTACTATCAAGGTCTTTTTATTAACACTATTCTAGATTATTATTATCCAAAAAAGATTTTAAATATTGGTGCAAATCACAATTTTAATTTTACTTATTCTAATTCCGATTTATGTTTTGATCCAATTCGTTTTCATAATAAACCTAACCAAAAAACAATCATTCCCGAAATACCTATTTACCGTATAAAAAAATACTTATCTTTAAAATTAAACAGTTGGAAAGCTTCCATTCCCAAAACAATAAAGAAAATGAATTGCAATTTTAACAGCGAATTTTTTAGTCTAAATTATTATCATACAAAGCTAAATATATTCTGTTTATCTCCTAAAAACCTAAACTTGATTCAACTTGACTATCTAGTGATAATCGATTCATCAAAAGAAATAATCAACACTTATTTCAAATTGTATTTAAAGAAAATGATGAATTATACATGGGCAGCCGTCCAGAACCTATTTTCTGCTGGAATTGGTTACCTTTACTCAGTTTATAGTTATGATTGTGATTATGATTATAAAGATCTCTCAAAAGATATCTATCAAAAAGAACAGGCTTTATTTTCGAATCAAATGGAATTTGTTGACTACATCGAGTTTCTTAAAAACGACTTGGAAAAACTACTAGATAGCAGATTAGAAAAAAGCAGAAAAAAACTAAAAGCTAAAAATAAGCACACAAATTCCGGAACCGATGAAATCACCGCAGAATTTAATATATCTGCAAAACCAGATAATTTATTTAAAAATGAATCTTTAAACTCTTTCTTGAAGTATACTCAGGTTTGTTTATTCATTTTAGATTTGTTAAAAAGCTCATGTGAAGCCGCCAATAATTGTTTGAACATTTTTAGAACATTAAAAAAAGTAATTTTAAAATTGAATTACAATTTTGTTGTAAATAACCCCGAGACTGTTTTTAAAGATTTTGATAAAAATATTTTGTATAAATTAGGTGATATCCAGAAAATTCAGGTTTATCCAAATGACAACGACGTTATAGAGACAAATGCAGATACAATTAAAGAGACTGAGGCTAATTTGTTATCTGTCAATGATTTTCAGCAGTTTAAAACTTCAAGTAATTATAACCTATTTAGTAACAATATTAAAAAGCTAATAAACATGTTACCTAAAGATGAACAAGAAATTAATTCCAGTCGAAAACAAATTTCATTTCATTCTTCAAAAAACTCCACGGATGAAAAATTTGATAAAAATTCAAATAAACTGATTCTGAAAAGTAAGAATTTTGTCCAGCATAACAATTCAGCTAAAAATAATTTAGAAATTAATGAGATTAAAGAGAAAATGGAAACAAAAAATCATGAGTCGAATGATTCTAGCATTTATATACTGATTCAGAATAAAGAAAAAGAAAACAATTCATTATTTACTTCTTCACAGAACAATAATTTAAAAGTTAATGAAAATATGAGCTTGAAATCAGAAAAAAAACAAACTTTTGGTGCTCTCAAAAGCAAGAGTTTATCTAAACAGGCATTATCAAAACAAAAATTGCCCAATGAAGAATTAGATATATTTTTTTCTGAACTTGACCAACTTGGACCAATTTCACCATATTCAAGCACCTCCTGCAGTTCTAGGTTTCCTGAAAATTCGGGGGAAACTGTTAGTAAAACAATTCAACTAAAGGATAATTTAAAAAATGAAGAAAATTGTTTTACAAACCAATCAATAGACAAGAGTTATATTGAAAATAGAAAATCACAAGGTTTTAATGAATCATCAAGCACCTCAAGCTCTAGATTGTATAATTTTCAACCAAAAATTCCAATTTTAAATCCAGTAAACATATATGAAAAGCAAATCAGTATAAAAGACAATTTAGAAAGTCAATACACAATTTCTGATCTGAATTATGCTGATAGAACAATTTCTTATCAAAAAAACCCTACTTTTTCTAACAAGATATTGAAATCATCTGATGAAAATTTAATAAAGTCAAGGATTAATATAGAAACTCAAAAAGTGGTTCATGATACTCAAAGTTCAAAGACTCAAAATTTTATTTTGTCTAAAAAAAGAGACTATTGTAATGTGCTGTATGCTTCTGAATCTGATCAGCACTTTAAATCGGTTATGAAACAGGAAAATACAACATTAAGACAAGCTTCTTTACCACCTACATTCTTGTTGCCTTTTTCAGAATCAACCTCGTTTCCTGTAAATCAAAAATTGCAAATACCATGTAACAATTCTCAGTTTTTTTGGAAAAATAGTAAGGGAGTGGAAGACCGGCAAGACTTGAAATTGACAAAAACCAAAATTCCAAATGAACTAATAAATAAAAAAGCTGATTGTGATAAAAATTTATTTGAATTGATGCAAGAGAATGATGATGATTTAACAATACCTTTAGATTTGGAACAGGAAGAAAACTCGACAAATCAAAGGTTTCTATTTGAGAATGATCAACCTTATTCTTATTTGCATGAAGATTATAATAAATTGACTAATATTCAGAACAACAAAAATTATGGAAATGTTAATGGGAATATTGATGGAAACATGAATAATAATTTCTTGAATAAAGAAAAATTAAGAATAAGCCTGAACAAATTAAATTTAAGTCATAAGTACCCTAATACTAAAGATGGACAAAGAATATTTGAAATGATTTATCAGGTACCAACGGAAAAAATATGGGAGCAGTTTTTTGGCAAACATGACAATATGAGAGATAATATTAATAAAAACAGTAGTAGTGATTATTTTTCCAAGACTGATGAAGATAATGACAGTGTTAATAGTAAAAATGATAGTGAACAAAGGTGTAATGAAAAACAAGTAGAAACATCATCTGATAAAAATAGAAATCAAGGTGATATGCAACGTGTTGGAAGTGAAGCTAGAAAGGAAAAAAGAAATATGGAAAACTATAAAGAAACTAGTGAAAATAACAATAGATTATAGTATAAATTAGGAAAAAATGACAAAATGACAAAATATAACAAAATAACAAGATTAGCACATGCAAAAATTAAAATTATTGTAAATTTATTGTTTAGATAAAATATTAATGATGGATGATGTTTAAATAAGAGACAAAGCTGAAGCTAAAACTAAAACTGAAGCTAAAGATAAAGATAAAAATAAAGAAAGAAAAAAATAAAGTACATATATAGAAACAATAATATTTCAATTTAAAACTAAAATCAATTTAATGTAAACAATCAAAGCAGTAATTAGTGTTATATTTCTCGACTTTGCATAAAGAACATATTAATTTTTCACATAAACAACATTTAAAATCATTAAAATCGTTATTATTGGATATTGAAACGTTATTATCACAAATTTCACACACAAGTAGCAGTTCATTATCCGTTTTCTCGGTGGAAAGAAAGAGTTGATTAACAGACAGATTCAAATTTGGCTTAGATATTTGAGGCCAAAAAGGCTTAATATTGTTATTCTCATTGTGAAAATAGTCATCAATGGCATTGATAGTGCGATTATTTTGAGTAGAAGCATTAACATGATGACTATTTAAAGTTGAATAATAAAATTTTGAATTTTGAATCAACATCTCCACTGTTTTTTGGTGGATCTTTGAATCTATTTTTACAAGCTGTTTTCTTTTGCTTGAATTGTCTGATATTGCAGGAAAGTTGAACATATGATTCAGCTCATTAGACAGATCATGAGCATCATCACGAAGCCTTTTCCTGCTGGCGGAATTGGAGTCAGCAGCAATTACGTTAAAACAGTTGGAACAGTAATCGAACTCAAAATGAGCGTTGGACGAGGTGGTAGAAGCATTAGGTCCATTGCCACTGAGACTTTGGTTACTCGAAATATTAGAGCCAGGACCTGGATTTGAGGTGGATATGGAGGGCATGGACATTCTGGCTCTGTTGATTTCTGGTGTCTAATCTTTGGTGTTGGATCTCTGATGATATATTGTTTGATCAGAGATGTTTTGATCGAGATCTGACCGCCAAACATATGACGAACAGCAGAACAGCATACAAATACAGTTTGTTCGCAAACACATGATTGCACGTGTGTTTATTTACTTTTGTCCGTTCTTGGAAATGTGTTTACTGCATCATCAGTTCTTCAATTAGTAGATCAGGTATATCTACCCAATATTCTATCCTGCCAGTTCTTTTGATTGTTCTTTTTATATTCAATGAATCCACTTCGTTATGGCTGTCTCAAAAGTGGCATTAAAATATCTTGAAAACATCAGCAATAACGGCAACACCAACAATACCAGCAATACCACCCAGATCGAAAACTCTGCCATCAGGCCCATCATTCAACCCAACAAACCAAATCAATCATTTAGCAATAATCCACCAAAATTTAGATATCCTTTGAAATCTACAAACACCAATACAAGCCCTATAGCTGCGCGCAATGATTTTAATCTGAAAAGCAAAAACAAGTTTAATAATAACGATTTTCCTACTAAAAAAAACTTATCACCAGCCAAAATCAATAACCCTATCTTGAGACGAAATTTAAAAAAAGTTGATTCGAATTCAAGTCCAAATTCTAAGTCTCCTCAGTCTCCTTCTTTACTGACCTCTTCTTCTCCCACAAAATCAAAATCGACATTATCATCAAAATCAAAATCGAAATCAATTGCAAATTCTATTGCTAAATTTGAAAATTTTAATCATTCAACTGACCCAATTTTGCCCGTTAATAACCTCTCTTTAGGCACAAAAAGCCAAAAAAATTCTCCTAATTCACCAAACTTGTCAAAGTCTTCCTCATCTAGCTCTCTTTCTAGTTCAATTTCAACTTCAAACTTCAAAAGAAATTTTTCAATTAAAAACAAAGAAAGCGTCATTGGTTTAAAAGGAAGAAAAAAACTCATAATTTCAGAAGATGATCAAGCAAACTTAAATCAATTTAAAATTGATAGCAAAATCAACAATTTGCAAGGTTATGAATATCTTTGTCGAGTTGGAGAAGCAAAGCAATGGTTGCAAAATATAATTCAAGAAGAATTACCTTCTGAACATTATTTAACTAATGATGCTCTAAGAGATGGTGTTATTTTAGCAAAATTGACCAAAAAAATTTCTCCAAATTTAGTTAAAAAAATTATTCCAAGTAACCCAAAAAATAAAAATTTACAATTCAAACATACTGAAAACATTAATTGTTTTTTTAAATTATTTGATTTAATCAATATGCCTGAGATCTTTAGATTTGAATTAACCGATTTATATGACAAAAAAAACATCCCAAAAGTTATATTTTCAATTCATGCTTTATCTTATATATTAGTCAGTAATGAAGTCTCTTTGAAAAAAAATTCAAACTTTAATTTAACCGATATCAACTTAAAGAAAATGGATAATTTGGTTGGTAAATTAAATTTTACTAATGATGAAATTTTGAACTCTCAAAAAATTCTAGATAATTCAAATACAAACTTAAATAATTTCAATGATTTATCTAAAAGTGCAACCTCAAAAAGTAATATTAATGCAAAAATATCAAGAAAAAAATCAGTTTCATTTAATAACACCCCTGAGATTTCATATATTGAAGATAATAATACTAACAATGAATACAGTCCAGTTGAATTTGACAAGAAACAATTAGAAGTAAACATGAAAATGCTTGATATTGATGATTGTTCTCCACAAGATGTAAATCAAATCACTAAAAAATCCGATGTTCTTGATGATAATGATGATAATGATGATGATGATGATGATAATGAAGCTGAATCAATGGAACTCGATATTCTCATTGACTCTATTATAAAAGTTCAGGCTATTTCTAGGGGATCAATATTCCGCTATAATATGTTTGTTAACAAACTTTTGCTTAAATCTTTTGAAAATGATATTATTATGTTGCAGTCAGTTTTTAGAAAAAAAAAGTTTTTAAATTCAAAATATTATAACGATTTAAAATTTGAGAAAAATGTTACTCCATTAATCATTGGCTTACAGTCAGTAATAAGATCAAAACTTACAAGAAAGTATCTTAAAAAATTACTTAAAAAGTTAGATCGGTACAATTTAAATTCAAAAAGTAAAACAAAACCAAGGGTAAACATAGTTACTTTGCAAAGCAAAATTAGGGGGAATTTATTTAGAAATTATATTAAACTACATCAAAGAGATTTGATTTTAGATAACAAAAACTTTATTGATTCAATTATAGCTTTACAATCTAAAATTAGATCCAATTTATTTAGAAAAAAAAGTGACAAAAAAAGTAACGATTTATTATTGAATGCTACTGGTTTTACTCAACTTTTTTCTGTCATAAGAGGTAATAAACTAAGAAATGATCTAATGTTAAAACACTTTTTTCTTAATAAGTTTATTTATGAAATAGTTTTTTTACAAAGTTTTATTAGATCAAAAAATTTAAATCAAAAAGTCTCTAACAAGTTAAACTATATTGATTTAATGTCGAATTCTTCAATTAAAAAGTTCCAGTCAATCATTAGATCTAAATTGCTTCAATCAAGATTAAAAGCTGAAAAAAAAGTAATAAATTCAAATGATGTGATAAAAAGTGTCGAAATTTTGCAAAGCAGTATCAGATCTCTAAAAGTCAAAAAGAAATTAAAAGAAATTAACTTGAATCTTTGGAAGTATTCTGATCGATTTATTGATTTACAATCCATTGCTAGAGGTGGTTTGCTAAGAAAAAATTTAAATTTTATTCTTGATACAATTGATTTCAATGAAAACAAAATCAATGAATTAGTTTCTATATCAAGAGGAAAAAGATTAAGAAAAAATTTACAACTATTTAATCAAGAATTAAATGCTGGAAAGTCCTTAAAATCGATAGTGGAAGTCCAATCTATTGTCAAAGGTTTATTATCTAGATACAAAACAGATGTTTTGTTAGACGAGTTAGATTTGGAAACAGATGTTATTATTGAATTACAATCAATAATTAGAGGTGGTTTTTTAAGGAGTAATATAACAAAAATGTTTGAGTATTATAACAAAAATGTCGACAAAGTTATAAAAGTTCAAAACTACATTCGTTCAAAATTAATCAAAAATTCATATCAAAAATTAATCATGATGGAAAATCCTCCATTATCAATTGTTAAAAACTACGCTTACTTATTAAATGACACTGAAAAGGATTTTCAAGAAGAAATGGTTTTAAGCAATTTGAAGCAGGAAATCAAATTCAAAACTACTTCAATCAAAAAATTGGAGGATATAAATTCCAAATTAGATATTAAAATTGCATTGTTGGTTAAAAACAAAATAACATTGGATGAATTAATAAAGCAACGAAATAACGGATACAATGGATATAAAGTTAACTCAACAAATAATCAAGTAGGTTTAATTGATATTACAAGTCTTAATAAAAACACTAGAATGATAATTGAAAACTATCAAAGCTTATTTTATCTTTTGCAAACACAACCGGATTATCTAACTCGAATTATGAACCAATTTATTTCAAAAAGGTTTTCTTCAATTGACAGAGAAGAATTTGAAGAACTAAATCAAAAGAAACGACAATTTCAAATTTTTATAATCAAAATTTTTAATTTCAGCAAATACGTTATTTCTAACGAGTCGGACTCGGGGTTTCAAAATTCTATTTCATCAAATTCCAACAAAAGACATAATATAATAATTCCCAAAAGAGAGGAGTTTTTATTTATACGATTTTTGATTTATTTAATCGAATTTGCTTTTGATTTTTTTGCAAAGAGCATTGATGATTTTATAATATCATTTAATTTTGCATCCAGTAAACTACTATTTTTGTTCAACTCTTGTTTATATCAAAAAAAGAAATTAAGAAAGATTGTTCAGGATTTTATTGTTCACATCGCTAATCTTGAAAATTTATCGTTGGAATCTGATCCAGTAAAGATATATGAAAGTCATTTAAAAGAAGAAAGTAAAAAACAAGGAAAAAAAATATTACCAAATCCTCAGCTAAAAGTTGAGGAAATTATTCAGGAACCGATAATAAGAAATAAATTTATTAGCAATTTACAAAATTTAAGAGAGTTGACTAATTTATTGATTAGTATAATTGAAAAAAAGTTGTTTGAAAATCCCAAAGCGATTAACGAAAATTTTCCTATTCATATTAGATTGATTTGTTTTAGTATCTATAAGAAATCAATTAAAAAGTTTCCAACCCTTCCTGAAAAAAACCATTTAGGATTAATTGGATCAATATTTATTGACAATTATCTCAATATGATTTTGAAAGCACCTGAGAACTTTGGACTTGATGTTTTAATCAGCAAAAATTTGAAAGAAAATCTAGGTGAAGTTGGGTTATTATTATATCAAACATTTTTGATGAAACCATTTGGTATTGATAATGTATATTTGCAACCATTGAATGATTTTATTTATTCATTAAATGATCGGATTGGAAAAATCATGAAAGAACTTATAAAGGGAAATGATGATATTGAAAGTGCATATAACATGACAGTATTTGATGATATTATTGCACATCATAGACCAACACTATTGATCGAACTTAAAGATATGATTAATATTTTCGAGTTAATACGGGAAAACTTGAATATTGTCTGTATTGACAAACAAGCTACTATAAGAGAATATATCATTGAAATTATCAAATTAAGTAAAGACACAAAAGATTTAAGGTTAATAATAGGTTCAAAAGAGTTTAAATTAATGTTGGACCCACAGACATCTGATATATCTAATACAGACGTCAAAACAAATACTTTATTAATTCAAGCCAAAAGATGCATTTTATATATCATGAGAGTTCAAGAAGCTGACAATTTATATGAATTATTAGTTAAAAAGATTGAATTGGAGGACGAAATTAAATATAAGAAAATCATAGAAGATGAAATGAGTGAAAAAATGGACAAGAGTATATACACCAAAGATAAGCAGGGATCATTAGGTGTTAATTTATCCAAAATTACTTTTCACGACCTAAAATGTTTATCTTTAGAAAGAATACTTGAACTAGATAGTATTGGAAAGATAAGTAGGGAAGATAATTTTCAATCATTGTTGAATCAGATTTCGTTTGATATTAAAACTAAGCACAATCAAAGATTGAAAAGACAGAAAGAAATTAAATTAATTAGACAAACAATTAAGGGGCTAGAAAATAAAGAAGAATATCTTAAGAATTTATTGAAAGTTTATAATAGCTATATTGAAAAAGCAATGATTAATTTACAACGGAAACCAACGTTGAATTCTAATAAAAAGTTGATAAATATTTTTTCAAAGCAATATGCTTATCAACGAAAACTAATAAAACAAGGGAAAGTTCCAAAATTTGGATCATTTAAATACAGTGGTAAATACTTATATGAACATAAAATACTAAAAAATTTGAAATTTGGTGGAAATGGTTTGCTAGAATTGAACAGAGTGAACTTTATGTTTTCTAGTGATGAAATCGGTGTTTTTTTGATTGAAGTTGAATATTATGGTAATAATGTTATTCCAAACGCTGTTGTCAAATTAACATTAGACAATTTGCTCCAATATCAGTATGAAAATAAAGAGTTTATTGAAATGTTTAGTGGCATGGCTCAATTTGAAACTAATACTTTGCTAACATTTATTTTCAAAAAGTTTTATGACAATCAAAACTAAAAGAATATGAGTATTCAAACTTTCACTATTTTCATTATTTTCATTTCATTATTTTCATTTCATTATTCTTAGTTTTTTTGTTTTATATATTCCATATTTTTAGTGTTTTTTGTATACCATTAATAATTTATAATGTTTTTAAATGAATCATACCAAAAAATAGTTTTACTGTAAATTATGATGGTTGTTTAAAATGGAGATCAAAACAAACTAAATTGTGAAGCACATGTACATATGTGCATAATTTAGCTTTTTACGTACTATTGTTCGCATGTTCCGAAAAAAGTGTCATTTCGGTTTTCAACCCTACGATTCAAATCTGACGAAACATCGTCCGGGGCTTTCGATTGTTAGAATTCAAAACTGGTTGTTGTCAAGTTAACAATAGGATCAACCCAGATTAGTAAAGAGTATTGATTTCATATGGGCAAGCCTGGAAAGTTATAATGGTGAATAAGGAAAAGGAAGTAGTTGACCAGCAGAAAATTGATTCTATCAACGACGATAATAGCACAGCCAGCGACCACAAAAATGTATCTGATGAATATACTGACACAGACTCAAAGACCTCAGATCCTACAAATTTGCACAATAATAATGAGGAGCTGGTGAACTGTTCCATTGATCAACAGACTCATATAAAAGATATTAATAGCGTCAAAACTACAGTCAGTGAATTTAACAACACAAAAAATACCGATAATAATGATAGCATCACTCCTAAAGATCAGATAGATACTAACATAGCAAAATTGACTGCAAGAGTTAATGACTTAGATTTGAAGTTGAAAGAAAAAAATGCTATTATTGAGGAGTTAAGGCTGAAAGATATTTCAGATAGTTCTAATTTGAATGTTAATAAAAATAAAAACCACTACGAAGTTATAATTGATGAATTAAATAATAAGTTGGAGCACTCTCAGTCTGAAAAATCAAAATATGAATCCCAATACAATGCTTTACTAAATAAATTATCTGGAATGAAATCAGTTTTTCAAAAAATGAAAACCTCACAAAATGATATAACATTAATGAATGAAAAAATATTGACATTAAATGAACAAATCTCAGGTTTGAAAAATGATAACATATTAGCTCAAAAAGAAAACAATGATCTCAAAAAACAGTTGAATTCAATGAAATTTGAAAATGATGGCGTCGTTTCTGCTTTAAATTCAAAAATGAGTGATTTAAATAAAGATTTGACAAAAAAAACAATCACTATAAACAATTTGAATAATTCGATTCAGGATTATCTAATTTTAATTGATGAAAATAAGATATTAGTCAACACTTTAAATAATCAAATTGTAACTTTAAAAAACTTGAACGAAGAGAAAGCTGTGCAAATTAATTTGATTAACCAAGAAAAAAATGAATTGCTTCAAAAATACTCAATTAATCTGGATAATTTAAACAATAAAATTCTTCAGTTTTCTGATAAAAATGAAGAATTACTCCAGAAAAACAATAAATTAGTTCAAAACCATAAGGAACTGGTCTTTGTTATTGAATCATTAAAAAATCAACTTTTAGAAAAAGATTTAGAAATTACTAAGCTAATCAAATTTGAAAAAGAAATTAAAGAAAAACAGTTAATTATTGGGAAATTAAGACACGAGGCCATTATTTTAAATGAACATTTGACAAAAACATTTAAAAAAATACAAAATATTGAAAGCAACGAAAATTCAAGTGTTGATAAAGAATTAATCTCAAATTTAATTTTAAAATTTTTATCTATTCAAAGAGGTGATGCCAAAAAATTTGAAGTTTTGAAATTAATAAGTAGCTATTTAAATTGGGATAAAAATCAACAAATTCAAGCAGGTCTCATCCATGGAAATATAGTTCCATCTTCACCTTTTAGAAAGAGAAATTTTAGTAATGCAACTACCACAAATTCTAATAGCAGTGCTTATTCTTTGAACTCACATTCACCAACTAATATCAGTGGAATGGAAAACAGTTATAATTATAATAACGATAATGATTCAACACCAAAACGTAGCTTCAGTGGAATGCTACTAAATGACTCCAAAGAAAGTTTTGCATCTTTGTGGACAGAATTTTTAGAAAAAGAATCATCCACAAAAAAATAAATCTTTTAGCGCTTTCTTAATATTTTATCTACTTTTTATCATTATCATTAAATTTTAATCATGATTTTTACTTCTACTTTTTAATTTTAATCGCTTTTTTATTTAAATTATTTTTTTTTTGATTCATTTTTCATATGCTTGGTTTTTTTTAATTTCATTTATTTCATTTTTTTTTCTTTTATCCAAAATTATTTATTGGTATCTATAACTTTTTATTTCGATAAATCATTAAAATTAGTAAAATAAGTAAAATAAGTAAAATAAGTATGTGAAAGTGAAAATTGAAAAAAAAATTAATAAATATATCAGTTTAAAATATCAATGAATAAATATAATTTTTAATGGAATAAAACCCCAAAAACCAACTAATCAATGAATTTGGAAAAATATTGCCAAGGTATACATAAATTCGTGCACCTTTTCCAGAATAATAAGTTTGAACATCAGATTTATAGTTCAACTTCATTTTTTTTTTATAAATTGTTTTATCTTTTGAATTTGTTTTTATTGAGTTGATTATATGGTCTGTGATAGATCCGTCAATATCATTATATAACAAATCAAATAATTTATAATGTAAAAATCTTAAGGATGTGTTTTTTTTAATAAAAAAGTTTATTGGAACAATTTTTTTAGAAATTTTTTTAAAATTAGTAATATACCTTTTTTTAAAATTATCAATCTCGTCTGAATCAATGTTATTGTTATTGATGTTATTACTATTCCAAGATAATAGTTCAGCATTAACTCTATTATTTATGAATTTTGAATTAATATTAATAGAAGAATTTGAATTTGAAGATATATCAAAAGAACCAAGATTTAAATTTATAAATTGAATGTTATTTTTATAAGAATTTGATAATTCTCTTGATAAGCTCAAAATCAAAATCTTCAAAGAATTAAGACAGATTGACTCCAAGGAATGAAATGGTAAATTAATGGAGGAAATAATTGATGGGGTTAAAAGAATGACTTTAGATTTTGAATAATAAGAAGGAGATAGAAATAGAGATGATGAGTTATTTGCTTTTTTGATTGAATCGTTAATTATATTATAATTGTTTCGTAAAATATTTAAAAACCCGTTTGATAATAAAGTTAGAGGCATTAATAATTTAGTATTAATTTGGTTATTCCAATTTTTTAAAGAGGAGTTTTCAATAGGTCCAATTGAATAATATAGATCTGGAATGACCAAAACCCCCATAATTTTATATAGAAAAAAACTATTACTATTATTATTAGTGTTGTTGTTGTTATTGCTATTGTTATTTTTATTGATTGAATGAGATTGGGATTGAAACGAATTAATAAAACTATTAAATTTTGATAAAGAAAGTTTTAAATCCTCTAAGCTTGATAAATTTCCAATTTTTAAAGGTCTTATATCAGTAGAATTTTCATTTTTGATATAATTCAACTCATTATCGTTAATTGCTGTTATATATATAACAAAACCTCTTTTTTCTAAGTCTCTCGCTATCATTCTTATCAATGACTCAACAGGAGAACCGATTATTATAATTACATCGGTTCTAATTCCATTATCCAACTTATTTGCTTTTCTGGTGATAATTGAATTAGATGAAACAGAGGGTAGATCGGACAGAATTTTAGGATAAAGAAAACGGTTGTAAAATAATGTTAAAGAAAAAGCTGCAGTTCCAAAAAAAATTAAAGATAAGAACTTGTTATTTTGGATAAAAGATTTTAACTGGGAAATGTTTTTGAAAAAATATTGATTATTTGAAGATTGAGTGTTATCCACAGTCAGGTAGAAATCTGAATTTTCAGTCAAACCAGCATTTTGATAGCTCTGAATACCAATAGAAGACAATATCTTGTTTTTATTATCGATGATTTTGTGATTAAGAGTGGTGATATTATCAACTGTTTCGATAAATAAGGGATTGGTTTTGATATTGTCAATAGAGTCCTGTATGTGATAAGAAGCGTTTTGCTTGAAGTTGTATAAAGCATCAAGAGTCATTTCAAAAGGATCAACCATATTAAACAACACTAAGGCAAAACAGCCAAATATTAAGCAACAATGGAAACAAAAATAACTACAATCAATAATTGAAGAAGAAAAAAAAAAAGTTGGGATATATTTGCCTTCAGATCAAGAAAAAATAAAACCACCCCTACGGTGCAGTTAAATTTGCAGGATTACACCTATTTGTGCATGATCCGTTTGAATGGTAGATTACTTAAACCAGCCCTGTTTGAAGCCCTTTGCATAAATAGAGCCCTGCTGCGTGATACCCGAGATGGGGTTTCAGATAAAAGAAGCAATACTCTCTCAAAAGGGCAATCGCCAACCAGATATAATGCGATGGGGTTAAGCTGGATCAATGAAAGCCCATCTAGTTTTCTGCTCCTAGCCCAAGTATCTTCTTGTTACCTATTTCAATAGGGTTTGTTCTTATCTTTGTGTTTATAGCCAAAGTTATATTTATCTTTTCACGTATAACTTTATTGATATTGATATCCATATTCATATTCATACTCATATCCATATTTATGCTCATATCCATATGTTTTCCGAATTTAATCGCCAATTTTCGGTTTTGATACTAATCCTTCTTTTATCAAATCCCATATTAATCAGTTGCAAGATACTCGAGCTCTTTTACGAAGCAACTTGGGTCCAGGCTAATCCAAATGGTTTATTCAATAAAACCGTCATTGGTTTTAATAACTCATGGCCTTTACCAATAATCAGAGCCAATAAAGGCGATACAATCAACTTATATCTAACAAACAAATTGAAGACCAAAAACACATCTCTTCATTTTCATGGAATGTTTCAGAATGGCTCAAATTTAATGGATGGTGCTGATATGATAACTCAATGTACTATTCCTCCCGACCAGACCTTTCTATATAATTTTACTCTATCAGATAATCAGGTTGGTACTTATTGGTATCATTCTCATACTGGGTCTCAATATTTGGATGGTTTAAGGGGTTTGTTTATTATCAACGATAATAATGTTAATGATGTTACCAACACCAATGCTGTATCATATGATATTAACAACTATAATAACTCATTAGCTCCTTTTGACTATGATGAAGAAATTACAATATCCTTATCTGATTGGTATCACAAACAATATTTCCAATTAAATGAAGAATTTTTAAACAGATATAATCCAACTGGTGCTGAACCAATTCCAGATTCCTTGATTATTAACGATACTATTAATTTAAATTGGAATATTTTGCCAGATAAAACTTATTTGTTAAGACTTATTAATGTTGGCGTATTTGTTTCTCAATATTTTTCGATAGAAGATCATGAATTAACGGTTGTGGAAATTGATGGTGTTTATGTTACACCTGTTAAGACGAATTTATTATATTTAACTGTTGCTCAAAGGTATTCGGTTTTATTGAAATCAAAAAGTATCGATGAAATCAATTCAAAATATAAAAATTATAAAATCATGCAAATCATTGACAAGGATATGTTGGATTTTATTCCAGATAAGTTACAACTAAACTATACAAATCATTTAGTTTATGACAATAAAATACCAGTTGATAATAATCAATATTACATTAATGATTTATCTACTCATCTTAATGATTTTTATTTAAAACCTTTAGATGATATTCAAATTTTTGATGATTACGATTATCAAATTATTTTGGATTTCGAAATGGACAACTTAGGGGATGGTATAAATTATGCCTTTTTTAACAACATTACATATGTTCAACCAAAAGTTCCCTCTTTATTGACTGCTCTTACTGCCCCAAGTCATTTAGTCAACAATCCCTCGATCTATGGCTCCAACACAAATACCTTTATTTTGAAATATAATGAGGTTATTGAAATTGTTTTAAACAATAAGGATTCCAATAGACATCCTTTTCATTTGCATGGCCATAATTTTCAAGTAATTCAAAGATCTCCTGCTTTTGATGATGACGACAATCCCGTATCTTACAATGAATCTGACCATCAACCTTTTCCAGAATTTCCTTTAATAAGAGACACTGTTTATGTTGAGAAAAACGGTTACTTGGTATTAAGATTCAAAGCAAACAATCCCGGTGCTTGGATATTTCATTGTCACCTAGATTGGCATTTGGAGCAAGGTTTAGCTATCATTTTAATGGAAGCACCTGAAGTCCTTCAATCTACTCCTTCTCAACAAATCACTGAAAATTACAAACAAATGTGTATTCATGCTGGTATCCCAGTAAAAGGTAATGCTGCTGGGAACTTTGAGAATTTTTTGGATTTATCCAATGAGAATAAGCAACCCAATCCATTACCAGATGGTTTTACTTTAAAAGGTTATATTGCAATCATATTATCTTCATTATTATGTCTATGGGGTATCTTTTCAATTGTGAGCTTTGGTTTAAATGATAATGATCAAAATAATCATGATGTTTATGAGAACTTGAAAAAAGTTTTAACAGATCATAATCTAATTGATGAAGAAAACTTTAATCATTCAGGAAGGATAAGCTATGGAAAACTTAATAATCAAGAAAGTCAAGAAAGTCAATCTTTAATAAATATAAATCGAAATTGATTTGTTTAATTTGAAATACTTTTATCAATACTTTTTGCATCAAAAAAAAGTACTTGGTTTATTTTATGCTGATCTTGTTATATAGTCTTTAATTTATTTTTAGTCAGGTTTTTGGGCTTGAGTTTTTTTGAAGTCTTGTTTTTTTATCTTATTTTAAGAAAACTAATAATATGGTCTTTGCAATTGTTTTAAAATGTCAAAAAATTGTGAATTTAAAATAAAGTGTAAGAAAAAAAAAACAAAGCCGAAATAAAATAGAAATTAAAAATTATACTATAAAAAACATAAAATAATACTGATTAATATAAACACAAGAAAGAAAACAAAAGAAATAAAAGAAACAAAAGAAACAAAAGAAAACAAAAGAAAACAAAAAAACAAAAGAAAGAAAAATAACTAAAAAACATAATTTTTTTTAATAAAATTAGTACACAATAAAAACAAGTTCATTATAATCCTAAGTTTCTTGTTTCCCAAGATAATGATCCCATATGACTTCCCTTTGCAATTGATGAAGGAATATTATATTTTTGTTGATCAATTCTATCGATACCAGCTCCACCAGTTATTGAACGAATAATTCTTAATTTTTGATTTTCTGAATTTTCATCAAAATTCTTTTTCTCTCTTTTAAATTCAGGAACTTGAGTTGAATGCCCAATTGACATACCAACTCTGACTAATGTTTCAACCATTTGTTTTGAATTGTCTACTAAATCTTCATCAAACCTCATCGAATTTTCCTGAAACAATAATAAGCATGTTGATCCTCCAAATTTGAAATAACCTAATTCATCTCCTCTTTCCACATATGTATTTTCTTGAACTGTTAATACGGTAGAACCAACCATCATTGCTCCAATACAAATAAAAACTACAGTTCCAAATTCTTTTGTTTCTATTGGTAATATTACTCTAATGTTTTCACCATAAACATCTAGTTCACTTCTTATTGCCATTGGATTAACTGTATAATATTCTCCAGATATAAGCTCCAATTTTCCAACAGTGCCAGTTACAGGAGTGTGAAATCTATGATAATCTTGTGGAGCCAATCTAAATATGGCTAATGAACATTTTTTATTATTAAATTTTTCGTTGAATAACTTTTGATGTTTACCAGCAAATAATTTTTCTAATGTGAAATCTTTACCTTTAATCCAGAGATCAGTTGCAGATGATATGGTTTCAAACACAGATAATCTGCAATCAGCAGCGGAAACAATAACATTGTCATCATCTTTAGCATCAATTGGTCTTGCATTTGGTAAAAGTTTTCTATAAAAGAATTCATTAAAAGTCTTGAATTTATGAATTGGTGACAAACATTCAGACATATCTAATTGGTGAAACTCAATAAAACCTTGAATATCTTTAATTGATTTTGGATTGTCGTTTTTCTTTCCTGCTTTGATACTCATTTTTTTTAAAGCTTTTGTAATACTTTTATTTGATACTTTATCAGTACCTTTATATAATAAACGAATTCCCAATCTAACATAAACACTCATTTTTTCTTCTAAAATTATACCAGATTCTCTATCTTGAACTAAAATGTTTGCATTATTGCTACCTAAAGCATATTTGCCATAACTTAATTTAATAAATGCTTTACTATACCATCTCTTTGAAGCAAAACTTGGAGAAACATAAGAAGTTGTCAATAATTTATCTACAGAACTCCAATCTTTTGATAAACAAAGAGCTACATGGGTGATTATATCTAAATCACCCTTTATAGATAAATTATCCTTTCCACAAACTGGGCAATTTTCGATATTAATGATTGATTCAGTTTTAATATCTGAAGTAATTGAGTCAGATTCAGATTCAGAAGAAGGAATGAATTGGTGATTAGTTGTTGGGACTTTAAATGATATACCCATATCATCGTCATCGTTGCTTATATTGACAGAAGAAGTGCTAATATTTTTGTTTTCAAGTGCAAGAGATGAATTCATTAAATTTTTTTTTAATTTTAATTTGACGGCATCTTCTAAAAATTGGATGACTTCGTCATAAGTTAAAGTATTTGAATCATTATCTTTATAGGATGAGGAGGAAGAAGAAGAATTTGAACTAATGTTTTTATTAAATTTCAATCGAGCATAATGAATAACTTGATCGATTGTGATTGTTGAGCCTAAAGAATCTAAAGAGGCCATTAATTCTAAGATTGAAAATCTGTTATCATCATTAAAATCGAATTGTTTAAGGATTGCCAACCAAAATTTTTTTCTTAGAGATTCATAGTCTTGATATTTAATGTTAATTTTAATTATTGGGTTAAATTTTGATAAATTCAATTTAGTTGAATTTGGATCGATAGTTAGAGATAAGGGTATGATTAATTCAGTAAAACGATTATAATTTAAGATTTTATTTAAGGATAGTTGAGCAGAACCAATATGGTCATGTAAACTTATACCATCTTTATCATAAACATTAAAATGAATATGGAAATTTTTTTCTAGGGGGGAGATTTGAAATGCTAATTTTTGATTAAAGATTGGGTTGAGATTGTGTTTTTTATGAGGAGTTTTAAAAGTTTTTTTACCAAATGAAACGACCACAAAGGGATCCATGTCAAAAGAAGTCCTAAGAAAATTTGATAATGGGGGTAAATCAGAACAAGATACTACTTCTAAGAAACAAACGCCTAAAAGTTGTTTAGCATTTGAAAATTGATAGTAAGAAGATCTTGAGTTTGAGTTTGAGTTTGAGTTTGAGCTTGAGCTTGAATTGGAATTATTATTGTTGTTATTAGAATCGGAAATATTTTGATTATCAATACTGTTAATACTTAAAACTGAAGATCTTGATCTATTAAAGGGTTTTGATAATAAGTATTTAGGAGATTTTTTTTTCGAGAATTGAGAAGAATTATCTAAAGAAGGGTTGTTTTTGACGGTATTAATATCATTCAGATCATTTGAGATCAAAGTCGAATCCAATTGGCTATTTCTAGACAGAAAGAGGGTTGAAGAGATTGAAGAAACATCAGAATTATTAATAGATGATGAATCATTTAAGTTATTTATATTTGGATGTAGTAGAGAGTTGCTTTGATTATCTATTAATTTAGCGTTTGTAATGTAATCCAAAGTGTAGATACTTTTGTCGTTTATTTTTAATAAATCATTTAAATGCAGTTTATTATAATTCAAATTATTTAGCCAATCAAACCATTTTTGGTGTAAAAAAAGGAGGATGTCAGATTGAGAATAAAAATTTGGATTTAGATTTGGATTTGGACTTGGACTTGGACTTGGATTTGAAGTTGAAATTGAATTTTGAAACTTTTTGATTTTTTTTTTTTTGAATTTTGTGATTTGCAAAGAAAAGATTTCAAAACTAATTTTAATTGAACCGCATATTTGATTTAATAGGTTCGTTTGTTGGTAATATGCTAAGCTTGACAAGTATAGTTTAAACCATTTTAAATTTGTTGCAATGGAATTATTGGAAGAATTGAAGTTGATTTGATCTAAATTGAGAGAGTCATCGGCAGTTTTCAAGCTTTTAAAGATTGAGTTGAAGATATCGATGATAGAGATTCTAAACTCGCCCAAATAAGTGTTGGAATTCTTGTCATAGCAAATGAAATAAAGGATGGGTAGAATTGAGGTAAAGGGAGAGTGGGACTGGGCCTGGGCCTGGGCCTGGGGCTGAGAATTGATGGGGGTGTTTAAATAGTAGTTCAAGGGCAAATTAAAACAAGTGGTCTTCCTCTGCAGTTTGAAAGGCAAGGACTGATCATCGTTGTAGTAGCAGAGCAAGATGGGAGAGTCTGTGTTCAAGTCCTTCAACAGAATGACGTTGATCTTCAAGATCAAATCGCAGGAAGAGTCCATGGCAGAAAGATAAAGAAGGTGGAAAAGAAGATGAACAAGAAGGTGGAGCAAGAGCAGTATATATACCAGCAGCTAAGCGCCGAGATTCGCGGACCGCGCTGCGCCATCGAGCAGCGCGGGAGAAGCTCCGCCGCAGGAAGCAGAAGCAGCAAGATCAGCAGACGCACCAAGAGCAGACGCAGCAGATGCACCAGAAGCACCAAGCGCAGCAGATACGTCTCGCAGTTAGAGCGCGTACACATCCAAAAAGAAACGGAAGAAACGAAACTCGTCGCCGTACGTGCGCCGGAGACGCTCGAGCACGTTCTCCTGGTAGAGCGACACGCGCAAGACGCCTGTGTTGCCTGTGCTGCTTGTGGTGCTCGTAGCTTCCATCCCCAACTCGTCCAACTCGTCCAACTCGTCAAATTCGTCCAGCTCGTTCATCTCCTCCAGCTCGCTGGCCTTCTCAACGTCCTGCATCGGCCTCTTTATTGTCTGTATCTGTGTTTTGGCTTTGGGTCTTAGTTTTATGCCTTTGTAAACTGTCTTGAAATATTCCATCTCGATTTCCTTTATCTCGTTTTTGTTGAGATTGAGATTCTGCAATGTCTTTAATTGCTTCAAATTTTCAATTTTGCCAATCCGGTTTCCCTCCAAATCTAACACCTTGAGCCTATCCAATTTATCCAACATTTCAATTTTCTCGATTTTATTGTAATTCAAGTTTAAATATTCCAAATTTTTCAATCCTTCATTGCCATTTAAATTATCTATTTTGCAAATCAAATTATTCGACAAATTTAAGTACTTGACATTATTTAAATTCAATTTTTCAAAAATATCTGGAATGCTTGAAAACAAATTGTAGCTTAGATTTAAAGTAACCAATTCGCTGAACGTTTTTTTCATATTGTTATTTTTCTCCCTTTTCTCCTTTTTCTCAATTTTTTCCCTCTTTTCTTGTTTTTCCTGTTTTTCATCATCAAATTCAGATTCTTCATCACAGTCCTGATCACTCTCGGTGTGATCAGCTTGAAACATCTTTTGATAATTTTCATTAATATAATCAATTTTACTGATTTTATTAACTGATAAATCCAAATGTTCTAAATTCCCCAAGTATTTGAATTGATTCAAATTAATTTCTTCTATTAGATTTGACGACAAAAATAAAAATTTCAAGTTTTCTAAATAGTTTTCTTTCTTTTCTTCCACTTCCTCTTCTTCCCCTTCCTCTTTATTTTTTTTTTTTCTCCTGATTTTTTTTTTGTTATAATGATAATATTTGTTAATAAAGTAAATCTTATTTATCAAATTTGCTGATAAATCCAATTTTTCTAAAAATTTCAAGTTTTTGTGATTTAAATTGCAAACTCTTTCAATTAAATTATTTGATAAAATTAGTTCTCGTAAATTTTTGAGATTTTTCAAATTTTCAATCTTATCAATTTTATTTGTACTCAATAATAGACATTTTAAATTTTTCAATTCTTTTAAATTCTCAATCTTAGCAATTTTATTGGATGATAATGATAGCCTTTCGAGTTTTTTCAATTTATTTAAATTTTCAATCTTACTTAAAGTATCACTATTGATTATTAAATCTTTTCTTTGTGCCGAAATACTCAAGTCCCGTAATTGATTTAGTTTGTTTAAATTTTCAATTAAATGAATGCAATTGTCATTTAGTATTAGAATCTTTAAATTTATTAGATTATCTAAATTTTCAATCTTAGAAATATTATTACTAGATAAATTCAAGAATTTTAAATGCACTAAACTCTCCAAGTTTTCAATTTTCCAAATACTATGAAATGATAAATTTAGATGATTCAACTTGTTTAATTTTTCTAAATTTTCAATTTTTGTCAATCTACTATTATTATTGCTATTGTTGTTATTGTTGTTATTGTTGTTATTGTTGTTATTGTTGTTATTGTTGTTATTGTTGTTGTTATTATTACCATTATTGCTATTATTGCTATTAATATTAATGTTAATGTTAATATTATCAAATGGATCACTAGTTATAATCAACTTTCTTAACTTTGTTAAATTATTTAGATTTTCCAATTTATTTATAAAATTAAAGGATAAATCTAATGATAATAAATTTTTCAAATTGTTTAAGTTTTCAACTTTTTTAATTGCATTTGATTGCAAATTTAAAATTTTCAAATTTTCAAATTGGCTTAAATTATCTATTTTAGAGATTATATTTGCAGATAAATCTAGATATTTCAAATTTTTATAAAATTTGTTGATTTTAAAGATTGTTAAAGAATTCAAATCATTAACAGATATGTGAGTTAAAGTTAAAGATTGGAAGTTGTTTTTCTTATTAAGGTTGTTATTATATTGAGTGTGTTGCGTGTGTTGAGTGTGTTGAGTGTGTTGATTACCATGTGAAGTATATTGATTATTGTTTTTTAAAGTATTTTTAAAAACATTTTTTAAAAAAATGTTTAAATAATAATCGATATAGTTATTATATTGAAAATCAAAGGGCATATCTAAAAAGGATAATTGGAAATTAATTAGATTTGGATTTAAATTCAAATTTGTTTTATTATTATTTGTTTTGATGAATTTCAAAAATTTATCCAAGTCATCGATATTCAAACCAATTTTAACAGTCTTTGAAAAGAAAAATAATTGATATTTGAATAAATGCAAATCATTGAGATTCAAAATTAAAGTTCGGTTGAAATCGAAATAATTACTATTACTATTACTATTATTAATAACATTAATGTTATTAATGTTATTAATGTTGTTAATGCTGTTAATGTTATTATGGATGCTGCTAATAATGTTGAAATAGTTAATGTTATTAATAGATCTATTGTATAGCGAGCGGTTAAAATAATTTGAATTTATAACCAAAGTATTGAATAAAAACTCATTTGCGATGGAAGAGATAACCAAATTATCTGATATAGATAAAATCCATAAACAATTAAAGGGTAATAATTTAAATATTTGTTTAATGATTTCAAAAGGAATTTTGTCGACTAGCGCCATGAAATATGATATAGGGTATGGGATGGTTTTAAATTTTTAGGTGATTTTTTTTTGTGTTTTTATTTTCAATATTCTGATTTGAACAGATTAAATAAACAAGTTAATGAAAAACTTGTAGAATAGGATATGAACAGGATATGATTTGATATAGTAAAATAAAATAAAATAAGATAAAATAAGATAATATAAGATAATATAAGATAATATAAGATAATATAAGATGATATAAGATAATATAAGATAATATAAGACCTAAGACAAGCAAATTAAGAAACAGAACATTAAGAATAGAGAAAGATGAATTGAATAGTAAGGTGTATTATGAAATAATGGTCCAGTTGCAGGCAAAGGTATAAAGGGAAAGTAATATATTTGCCCAAGCGGGATGGGAGCTCGGTTTCGGTTCAGGTGCACGGATGAGGCAGAAATCTGCAAGAAGTTGTAAATCAGTGCTAGCATGCACAGTAGTGCATATAAGATGCCGTATGACGTGTAAAATAATATGCTTGTGTGCGCGCTCAAAAGCAGATTTCTGTGCGCACACTATTTATTGAGATTCAATGAAATGATACTATCGTTCCCGCTTCATTTTAAAACAGCGCTCCCGTGTCATCCCCCGTAAAAACAAACCAAACTCATGCATGAAACCAAGCTAGACGCATTCAAGTTCATTCACATACGGCTAGCTGCCAATATGCAAAACATAATAAAAGAAATATAGTTCAAAATAAATAAATATAAAAGTCTGTAAATTGCTATTTAAAGCCAAAGAGGTAATGCAATGCGCCTCAATTGTGCGCCGCCGTGCACGTGAAAAATACAAATCTGGTGCCTGGCTTTAAATAGTTTTTAACCATGCAATGTGCTTCTGCGTGATTTCTGCAACTTGCTGTGTATGATTTTGAGCAAATGGAATTTTTTTTTTGCTGTTACAGAAGTGATAGTAATTTGTTAATAAAATTAGAAAAACAATATTATTTATGTATTATGTTGTTAAATATGGTATGTAAAAGCGTAGAATATTGGTATAAGATATAATTAAATCAAGGCAAATTAAATAGAATATAGTTAAATAAGGGTTGAAGAATTAAACAAGTAATATTTGGCAGCAGAAATCAATCTAGTCTCTGGCCAATGGAGTGAGTTCTAAACAACCACTTTCTGAGAATTCCATTGGGACAGCTAAATCATCAGCAAGATCATTTTGGATCTCTGGAATAAGAAATGGTTCATTAATTTCACAAGCTAAAACTAAAAAATTTGAGGCAGCCATTTTGGGTAAGATAGATTTGTGTAGTTTTTATAAGTTGAGTAGGATGAATTGGATTGAATTGAATTGGAAGAAGATTAAGAAACTCGAAAGATAATTTATAAGGAATATAATTGAAAATAGAAAAAGAGGAAAACCAAGTATTTATATTGAATTTGTTTATAATAAATTGAATCTGTAATTTGCACTAGGATGGCAAAACAATCTATCCAGCTGAATAATCAAAATCAAAATCAAATAGAAAAATAGTGTGAAGGAGAATTTTAGTTTTACATCACACCTTTGATGTAAAAAATAAAATTATTTGATTGAGTTTGACACAAATCTGAACAAGAGTAGTAAAAGAGCTGAGCTAGTGGCAGACACTGGCCAATCAACAGTACGCATTTGTTCCGGGCACGCAAGAACAGTTGAATCACTATTAAATCACTACTGGATCACGTCTTCGATCACTACTCGATTGCTGGCCCCGTGGCATTCTCCGGGAACACCAGCCGCAGCTGCCTATCAGGGTCAGAGCTGCCTATTTGAAAATATATACCTATTTTAGTAACTTCCTAATTGGTACATTCCTGTTAGCACAGTTGTAAATTGTGATCACGTGAGATACATATTTACTTGTTATTTCACCTCTGAAAACGGGATTGTGGTGACGCTGAAGAACGAGCACTGGTGAACAACAGAAGAATGGCTCCAAGATGCACCTCTTCAGCCAGCCGACCTGGGTCTCGAGGCGCCTTTTGCGCTGGCTGTTTGGCAGAACTTTCAGCAGTTCGCTCCAGCGCAGTGGAGTTGTGCATTCCTCGGATCCTTACAAGGTGCTCCAGCTCGAGACTGGTGCCACTGCGGTTCAGATCAAGAAGGCATACTTCAAGTTGGCCAAACAGCATCATCCAGATGTTTCCAAGGAACCGGATGCTGTCCAGTCCTTCCACATCATCCAAAATGCTTACGAGAAATTGACAGACCCGAATTACAGCCCCTACAATAATCATTATGATGGTGGCGATGACGATGATGATGATGACTACGATACCTACGATGATGACGATGAAATCTACACCGATGATTTGGGTTCTTTTTACAGTCAATTCTATCTGTGTTTTTCTGATTCAGACGATTTTTTCTGTTATTCCAACCTAAACGACTTTGATTGTTGGGCTGGATTTAATGCAGATTTTGGAAGCGCTGGATCCAAATCAAAATACAAAAAAAAGAATCAAAAAAATCAAAAACCCAAGAAAAAATCCAAGAAGAAAAAACCCAAGCAGAAGAAAAAAACGAAGCGAGAGAGGAAGCTAATGAGGAAACAAAAGAAGCTACGAAAGAAACAAAGGAAGGCATATGAAGCTAAAGAAAATGAAGCTAAGGCAAATGCGTTGAAGGAATAGACGTTCCCCACCTATCTGTATATCAATCTCTTGTATATCATCTCCTGTATATCTATTTTGTATCTCTTGTATCTCCTGTATCTCCTGTTTATCATCTCGTGTATCTTTCCAACGTCTGCTCGTCAACCACAGCTTCCACAGCCTGTTCCATCATCCAGGCTCAGCCTGAAACAGTGTCTGTTCAGACTCCGGAGCAACTTTCTCCTAATCACATCATATAAGACGTAGCAATTTAGCAATTCAAGTATTAGTATATATTTATTCATTCTATTTTTTGAATTCGTTATTTTGTTCTTGTTCTTATACTCTTCTGCCCTTATTTTCTTATCCACTTTTAAACTTGCATCCAATTGACATCAAACGACTTTACAATCTTGTTCTCCTCTTCCCTCGCAAATGTCTACTGTATTACTTTCAAATGTTGCAACCACAACTACCTCTGAACAACTAAGGCAATTTGTTGAATTCTGTGGCAAAATCGATACCATTGATAAGATAAATGATGACACCTATAAAATTGTCTTTGTTGCTCCTGAGGCCTCTGAAACCGCTCTACTATTAAACGGTGTTGTTCTTGAGGGAAAACCTGTTTCAGTATCTGTATCTTCTCCAATTCAAAAAGATAACACTGCTAATAATAATAACAATGATAATCTCGATAACAGTAATGTTCCTCATTCTTTAACAACTTCCTCAATTCATCCCGATGCTACCACTGTTTCCTTAGCTTCTCAAGTTCCCTTGCAAGATTCTTCTAAATCAGTTTCCAACAATAACTCACAGGCCACAGAAACTCCAACTACTGATATTGCTCAAGAATACAAACCCAAGAGTACCATCTTTGCCGAATATTTATCTAATGGTTACGTTTTAGGTGATCAAGCCTTACAAAAAGCTATTCAATATGACTCTCAAAAGGGTTATTCCACTAAATTTAGAAATTTCTTGTCAAATTTAGATTCGAGATACCATGTTCAAGATAAATTCACCCAAGAAAGAACAAAAGCTATTACATCTGCCGAAAATGCTCATTTATTTGAAAAAAAATCAAAACTTGATTTAACTTTTGAAAAATATTTTACCAGAGCAAAATCAACCACTTATGGTTCAAGATTACACGACTTTTATTTAAAAGGTGTTAGTGATATTAAAGATATCCATGAAGAAGCAAAAAGATTGGCTCAAATAAAATCTGCAAAAAATCAATAATTGTTTATTATCTATCATCCACTATCTTTTTTTTTGTTTTGAGTTTTTGAGTTTTTAAGTTGAATTTTTTCAACTTTGAATTTTATATTTACATACTCTTGTTTTTTTTTCTATTTTTCCCTTTTCTTTTGCTTTCAACTTGTTTTGTTTTGTTTTGTTTTGTTTTATTTTTATTTCAATTTTTATTTTTTGAATTTTTATATGTAATTTGATTAATATAATGTAATACAAATTAATTTCATTGGATTTTGTTAAAGTATAAAATTTTAACTAATTTAAATATCTTAAATGATGCTTCTCAATATCTTTCAAAGTATCAATTAAATTAGTTCGCTCATCTATTAAAGTTTTCCTAATCTTCTGTTTATTTATTTGATAATCTATCCAACTCAATCCATATAAAAATGAATCACACAAGTCATCCCCCTTTTTTGTTTCTTTTAATTTTGATTTCAATTTCAATTTCAAATCTGAATTTGAATTTGAAATTGAATCTGAATCGTCAATTTTTTCTAAAAAATTTTCTATTTCAAACTTTTGTTTAGTAGAAACTATATTATTAAACTGATAAATATAATTAGATATACTGTATTTTTTCTTATCTTCATACTGTTTATTTAAAGCAATAATTTCATTCATATTTTTCATTATTGAATTTGAAAATTTAAATGGTACATTAATATTATTTATATCAGTATTATTCATGAATTTTTGAAACCAACCATGAATTAAACTGAGCCTTAAAATTTTAGATTTTTTCAGGTTTTGCGTATTTCCATCATTGTCATCTTGACCAAGAAGTTGACTAACACAATGATTTTTATAATTGAGCCAATATTTATCCAAATCCTTCGGAAATACTGACAAAACATTCAATCCTTGATTTCCTGTAACACCAAGTTTTTTATCCTTATTAATACTTAATAACAATCTTGAGCGAGTCATTAAAGTAGAATATAGCATACTTTCCAACATATTAACTCTCAATGTCCACTCCAACACTGCTTTGCTATTTAAAGTTCTTGTTCTTTGTCTCTCAATCAAAATCACATCAGGTTTATCGTTTCCAATAATAAGCTTTTCAACCAAAGTATATACAATGTTTGAAATATTTATAGGATTAAAAATATCATTCAATTTTACGGTTTCAATTACCTCAGTATTTATTCCATCTTGGCTATCATTGGCGCTACTTGATTTCAAATCATTTAATAAACTATCACCAAGTGATAAAACATTCAACTTGTTCCATTCATAAATCTCGGGTTTTTCGTTTAATTTATAAGTAAACTTGCAATATGAAAAATTTTTAATACCAAGATCAATAGAAACGATATCCAAACCATTTTTCATAAGTGAATTAGTGGTGATGTGAGAAACCTGCAAATACAGTGGTTTAATAAAAAGTTCTTTGTATATTGAATTGATTAAATCTGCTTTTTTGCCGGTGATAGCTATGGGAAGATGTTAGTAACAAGTAGCTGTAAAACAAAACCAAAAAAAAAGCAACGCACTAATGCCAGAGTTCACACACAACGCTTTTAAAACCAGAAGCTTATGTTTTGCCAACACGTTTTGAACTACTGCGTATGAGGGCATTGGAGACTTCATTGTGGGAGCTGTGGTGGTTTTGCTTCTTGAAAGGCTCTGAAAAGCTGGAGGCAGCTTCTACGGCGATGCCGGAGTCATGAGAGTAATACAAAGAAAAGCCGTGTGTCGGAAGAGATGCACCGTCGCGATGTTACGTGTACGGCTACGGGCCCACCGAGTGATACACAGATGTGTATTGTATGAGCAGTAAATCCAAATCTGGTTCAGAAAATTGCAGAAAAAGATCGTTGCATTTCAATTAGTTGAACAGGCCAAAGGTTTCAAATACAGATTTTGGATAGGGTACAAACAACTATAAAAGCAAGAAAAAAAAGGTTGTTGTGTGAAATAAATATAAAATTTTATCAGTAGGAAGTTACTTTTTTAATTTTCACTGTCAGTAATATCATTATTTTCTTTATTATTGTCTCCATTGCTGCTTTCAACTATTAAATTTCCGCTGGGGCAAACATACTCGCAATCCTTCAATAGGATATCACTTGGTTCAAGATAAACCCTTGGAATTAGGGAGTATATTTTAAAGTTAAATTTATAAACAAAATTGGAATCAAGCTTATCGTTGTCGTCGTCGTTGTTGCCATCGTTATTGTTATTGTTATTGTTATTGATGTAGTTAATGTTTTGTTTAATTATTTGGTTATCATGATCTATTAGCAAATTTTTTAAATCATTTAAATGATCTAAATCATAAATTATTAAATTTTTGATTAAAGCTTCAATTAAAATATAAATATCAAGAATTTTACAATTTTTATTAAATCTTCTTAAAAATCTTTTGTTATTTAGATCTGAAGATAATCTGATGGCAATGGTGACGTAATTATCGCGATTTAACAACTTGTCTTGTTGGGTTAACAAGTTTTGATTATCAATTAAATTTTTAATTAAAAATAAATTTTTTTTTCTTAAATATAAAGATTTTTTTTGAAGGAGCAATTTTTTTTTTCGATCTTTAAGTAAAGACACTTGATAATCATGATCTTGTTTAGACTTGATTAGTTTATTATAATTAATTTTATCTTGTTCCAATTTAATTTTAAGTAAATTCGGTTTATACTTGTTTATTTGGGAATTAAATTTGTTTAAAATTAAGTTTAAATCGTTAATACCTTGAACTCTAGCTATTATTGAGATTTTTGGATTAGAAAAATTATTGTTAAATTGTTGGGATTGAGATACAGTTAAACAAAGTAAAGCTAAAAAGGGTAATTTATTTGAATTTAATAAATTTGATACTTGAAATATTTCAGATTTTGAGATATTACCACCATATAATAAGATGTTATTTTTTTTTAGAAATTTATTAAATTTATAATTGAGCAAAATATTTTGAATAAAAAGTCGATTATAATGGTTGTATTCTGAGGTTATAAAGACAAGTAAAAATAAGTAATTTTTTCTAGTTAAATATAATGCCTCAGAGTATGTTCCATTAAAAAATTGTGGTTTCACAAGTTGATTATGAAAATAAATATCGTTGTAAGCATTAGTGTGAGAATTATCGGTATAAATATTATTATTAGAATTGTTATTAGAATTATTGTTAGAATTGATATTAGAATTATTATTAGAATTATTATTCTTAGTGCTAGAGTTAATATCAGAATGAATAACAATATTGTTATTATTATTATTATTATGATTATTATTGTTGTTGTTGTTGTTGCTGTTGTTGCTGTTATTGTTTATAATTGTATCCGCCATTTTATTAAAACTCTCAATGAATTGAGAAGCATTATCATCAATTTGATTATTCAAGTTATCATTGCTATAGTTGAAAAAAGAAGACAAAATCTTCTTCAAATAGACAAAATAAAATAAAGAAAGAATCTTCAATAGATAAAAAATCAATCTAAAGGGCAAATAGAAAAAAATTAAAAGAAAGAGGTTCCTTGCTGACCTCAACAACACAAAGAAATTTTTTGAGTTAAAGTATTTGGAGAAAGATCTGGAGTTGGTGGAGGAAGGCATTCCAGGATAAGAGCCTGGAAGCTGTTGTTGGGCATTGTTAGGAGAAAGAAAATGAAAAGGCCTGAACAAAGGAATTGAATCACTTGAGACGTTATTTGGCATTGTGGTGAGCACACAAACAAAAGCAAAAGAAGAGGCACAAGAAGCACAAGAAGCATAAGAAGCAGAAACAGCTTCCCGGGCTTAATGCACCTGACTTGCACGTGTAGTAGTGCTGTGCGATTCTTATGACACATGATTTTATTAGGTAATCAAAGCAAGACTCAATTCAAAAGGGACTTGCCACAAATAGTGTTTCAGTTCTTGAAACAGACCGCCCCAAGTTTAATAGAAATATCAATATATAAAGAGTAGGAATTCAACAAGGAATTAAAAGAGAAGAACAAGAAGAAATAAGTTTTAATATAAATAGCTAAATACATATTATTCACCAATAATAATATATAGATAGAACCCAGTAATAACCATAGACTCGTGTTCTATCCTAGCTAATATAGAGAGACTTATTACAGAATCGCACACATGTGATGTGTCACGCGACACGCGCTACTTGCATGAAAAACGCGCAAAATGTGTAGTGTGCATTGATATATATACAGAAGATAATAGCGATGGTGCAAGAACAGCCATGTCCTGAAAGCCAGCAGCGCAAAGGTCGTCAGATTAGAACCCATTAGAAGCTTTCTGGATTCTGCTGATGTACGTTTTCGAAATAATGTTCCACGATCTCATGTATTTTTCCAAGCATTGGTTAACACACAACTAAATGCATCAAGTTAGTTATTGGCCTCTACTTTCTGTTCACAACCACTTCGGCCATTGTACTTGCTAAAATTCCTCTTTTTTGACGAAAATACATACATCATCTGCCATTGGGCACTTTTCAAAACAATTATTGCTAATTTTTTCAACCAACAAGGTGGCGTTTTCAACTGCTAGTTCCTGAGAAATCTGCTCTTTTAGCTTTCTTTTAAAATCATTGTCTGAATCTAGCCTGGTAACTGGTTCGGAAACTTCAGAGATAAATGGTGTTGCATCATTTGCACCAACCGTTGGTGGTGCTGCAGTGTTTGTTGGCCCTCCAAATAACGACGATAATCCCATTTTTCTATTAGATGCTTCTGTTGCACAGAAAAATTTCTTCATCTTTTTTTCCTATTTATATTCAGCCCTAACACGTGACTCATGTGTAAATTGAGCCCTTCGTTATCTAATCTCTGTTGCTTTTTCTCTTTTACTTTTATTTGCTCATCTCTCATTCCCCAATGAGAAATTACTTGCAGAAGTAGTTATTTCTGCCCAAGTTACATTAACAACAAAAGACTATAGAGTTTCCCATCCACCAATATCTGTAGTGTTTTCCACTTTTCTTGTAATAAATTTCTTCTCATTGTGATCTAACCAAACGTCTTTCATGAAATTATTGTATTTTTCTTCACTTAGAACTAGCCGGTTTCCTCTTCGAATATTGATCTCTTTGTTTATTTCGCCATGTTCATCCAAATATGGTGTTTCCATAAATGTCCCCATCCCATCCACTAAAATCAAAAATGCAAGGTTTTTAGGTAAAAAGAATAGTCCGCATTTTTTAACACAGTCAAATTGATAATGAACTGAACATTCTCCTTCTTCATGGTCAACGCTTTCTTCTTGAACCATTAATACTTTATTGCAAAATAAACAAATAGCCGGAACAATCGAATAATCTTCAAACCTTTTATACAAAAATTGCGAGTAAATCCTATCTAACTTCTTGGGTAAATTGATTAGTTTATATCGATTTGGGAATTCAATATTCAAAAATTCATCATATTCATTGAAATGTTGATTGAATCGAAACGTTCTATCAATTTGACTTTTATCAATATTTTTCTTATGAATCGCATTGATATAACTGTCATCAACATTATTTTGATCTGTATAATACTTATTAAACCTTAGGTTTAAATTGGAATATCTTTCCAAATATTTCAAAAATTCTTGAAATTTCTCCCCTTCAAATGTATTTTCATCGTCAATTATCCCCAACATTTCCTCAATTTTTGGTATTTTCAAATATTCACATAACTTATCAATCTCTTTCTTATTTTTATTTTTATTTTTATTTTTATCTCTATCTCTATCTCTATCTCCATCTCTATTTCTATCTTCATTTCCATCTCCACTTTCCATTATTTCATCAACGTATGTCTCATCAAAAACATTGCTCTTATTTATATCTTCCCCATCCAAATTTTCTTTTTTCAAGTCTTCTCCGCTTACCTTTTCATTATCTTCATCATTTGGGCATTTGATGAAAACATATATCGATGAACGTCTTAAAAACGGCAACAAACACTTGATTAATAGAATGTAAAATGTTTCTTCTTTAATCTTTAAATTATCAACCATTCTCTCGGATTGTCCTATTTTGAAACGTATGCTAGTTAAAATCTGATATACAATTGATTTTATATTGCATTTGACTTTTTCATATACATTTAAATTATCATCACCCTCATTGAATTTATCTGTAAGGTCATCAATATTCATATCAAATGGATTCTTATTTCTCATATTATATTCACTTCTAAACTTTTTTCGAATTCTTTCATTCTCACTTTCATTCTCACTTTCAAAATTGTTCAAATATTCTCTAAAATCAAAATCGGAAATGAATTCATCTCTAACATTATAAGCTCTTGGTTTTTTATCATTAAAACTTAAAAGATCAAAATTATTGATTAAATTAAAAATAACTTTTAACAATATTTGGAAAATTTCGCACATAAAAAATACACGGATAACAATTTTAAATGGAATATTATAAACTTTCATTTGTATAGTTGATATTAATCTTTTAAAAAAATTTTGGTTATCTAAAATCTGATGAAATATTTCAGAATTTGAACTAATTTTTCTGAAATTATTAATTATTTTTAAATAATCTCTATTTTTACCAACTGACATGATTTTATCGCTAATTAAAATTGTTTTATTTTTGTTTTTATTTTTATTCTTATTTTTTAATTTTCCTTTATTTTTCATCTTAGTTTTACCTTTACTTTTAGTTTTAGTTTTAGTTTTAGTACGATTAGTAGTATTACTACTGCCTGTATTCCTTGAATTGTTATCTCGGTTAAAAAGTAAATCAAGATTGCTATCAACCCGATTATCATTGTCATCATTTATAAAGATATCATGACTTATATCATTATTATTAAAATTATTAAAAGGAAGATTAAAATTATTAAGCCTGTTGATCATATTATTATTTGAAGTAGCATTATTAAAAATTGAGTTAATAGCATTATTAGTATTAGTGATGTTAGTGATGTTATTATTATTAATATTATTAATATTATTAATATTATTATTATTATTATTATTATTATTATTATTATTATTATTATTATTATTATTATTAATGTTATTAGTGTTATTAGTGTTATTAGTGTTATTAGTGTTATTAGTATTATTAATGTCATTAGTGTTATTAATGTTATTATTATTATTAATGTTATTAGTGTTATTAGTGTTATTAGTATTATTAATGCTATTAGTGTTTCTATTATTTAAATTAAAACCGTTAACACCTCTAAGGTTATGATTTAGATTACTTAAATTGTTAGCACCCCTGAGATTGTTATTAAGATAATTAAGATTATTAAAATTATTATAATTATTATTAGGATTACTAAGATTATTAAAATTGTTATTAGGGTTACTAAAATTGTTATTAAAAGTATTAAAAGTATTGTTAAGAGTATTTGAATTAATATTTCTAGAGTTATTATTTAAGTTAGTATTTCTCAAATAATTATTTGAATTATTAAAACTATTAAAACTGTTAACAGTACTGTTAAAATTACTATTATAATTATTTGTCAAATTACCGCTGAAATTGTTAAAAATACCAACATTCCCAACTCTATTATTACTATTAGTAGTAGTAATAGTAGTGATCGTAGTAGCATTAGAATTAACATTAGCATTGACATTGGTATTGGTATTGGCATCTGTATTGATAATAATATTAGTATCAGTGTTAGTATTAGTGCTAGGATTAGGATTAGTAAAGATAGAGGTAGGGGTATTACTAATAGTAGTGGCAGTATTATTATTATCACTATTATCAAAAATACTAGAAAATCTCCTGGAATTTAAATTACTGAAATTAAAACTGTTATTAGTGGGATTAAAAAGACTTTGTGAATTGAAGTAACTAGATGAAGTGGGAGAATTTAAGGCATTCAAAGAATTCAAAGAGTTCAAAGAATTTAAAGAATTTAAAGAATGCGGAGAATTCGAAGAATTCAAAGAATTAAACGAGTTTAAAGAATTTAAAGATACCATTGGAAAACTAATACTTTCTAATTCATTCTTGTTAACTTTTTTCTTTTTGTTTGGCGCTGGAGTCACAAAATTTAATAAGTTTTGAGTTTTCTGAAACTCTACTAATAATCTCAACGATGTCAAATTTTGATGTGAGATTTGATGTGGTACTAATTTTATATTCTTTTTTAGATTAATTGAATCTCCAGAGCCCGGAAAACTTCCACCTCCATTCGAATCCAAAATACCAAATCCTCTTAATGAAATTTCAATGCTGGATATTGTATTGCAAATTAATTCGTTTAGCGAATCATCTGAAAATGTCATTGTTATCACTGAAATTGCTTTGTTTATTTTTTCAATCAATTTTTTCAACTTCTCCCTTTTGACCTTATTTTTATCTTCGAGAAAAATCTCTTTATAATTGTTGCTTAAGCAGTTTTCTTCTTTAAAAATTTCCATTGTTATATCTTGTTTGAAATCTTTTATTCCGCTTTTATTTAATTTTTTTTTTATTGTTTCTACATCTTGAAAGCTCTTTAAACCTTCAAATAAATCATATGTTTTATCTTTTGTTTCTTCTATTTTATTAGTCTTATTTTCTGAAAACTCCAAAAATTTGGTTAATGACCTAGAATTTTTATTCCAAAACACTGGTATTATCATGTTGTTGATTGATTTACATAATGGACAAAGAAATTCTTTGTTTGCTGCGTTTTCTGGGATGGTTTTTGTTATTAAACTTTGACGATCCTTTGATGATGAAATATAATCATCAAAACATGAAAAATGAACACCATGACCACAGCTTGAAAAAATCTGTTTTGATTTAATTTCGCAAAACTCTGTTGGAAAGCCAGGGCCAACTACACTTTTATTTTCAATTAATTTGAGATACTTGCTGACCCTATCTGGATTATCAAAAAAATCTTTGTCGCTTTGTTGCTCATCCAAATTTAAAGTCCCGGAAAATCCCAGAAAAAACCAGTATTTATCATTAAATGGTACATTTCTGAAAATTGATGTTTCTGATATATAACCCATTACACCAAACACATCATTTGGTTTGTCTGACATTTGACATAATATGCAACATTCTTCAGGAAAATTCCACCCTTCTTGGTTGGAACTCAAATTTAAATGCGATGATTTGCTTGACCTTCTTTTGTTGCCTTTACTGAAATTTTTCATATCTTTTTGATTATTAGCCATAAATTTATTTTGATTTCTCTTGAAAGCAGCTAAAACTTTTGCTTTTCTTGCAGCGGCGATCTTCTTTTTCCGTTCGTTTTCTGATGCCCCAGAAGGATCGACAGGCTCTAAATCAAGTATGCTTGGGTCAAAACCATCAAATGTTCGATTTAAAAAATCCAAGACTTTCTTACTTTCTGATTCATTGATGAAAACTTTAAATATAGCTCTGATTTTTGAATGGTATGCTGAATATGTCAGAGAAACTAGCAAACAATAAAGTACTGAGGCAAGACAATCATTAGAAATTTCAGTGTTATCCACTTTGACTTTGTGTAAATTTTTAAAGCAACATTCGACAAAACTATTATTGTAGTAATGGTGATTCTCCAACGCACATATATGAATTAAATGCAATGTTGCATTTAGAATTCCATCGACGTTATTTCGAACTACAAGATCGTTTTCCGACTTGTTTCCATTCAGTTCTTCCAACGAATTTTGAGTACAAAAATGCAAGGAGCTGAACAAAAATTCAAAAAATAGTGAAGATATAGTAAACCTAGGAAAATCAATAAATAAAGAATTTAGTTTTTCTAATTTTGGAGTTATCACGACTTTTTCTGGAGAAATTCCTAATTTTTTGGCCATTTTTTCTTTATAAATCTTTTCTGTTTCATATTTTTGAGTGTAAGAATGATATGGATCAAGCTCATTATAGTATTTTTCTTTTAATTTGTATGAACCAAAAGCTGTAGTTGTTGGAGGTATAAACGTTGATATTTTTTTCAAAACATCTAAAAACTTTTTATCTGTAACAATGTTATCAGGGAAAAAACTGACAATTTTTGAATAAATTAACGGCTTAAAACATAGAATATGAATTAATTCACGTTTGATATACTCGCACAAAATTTTCTCTTTCTCTTTATCATTGATATCTTGAAGTGAATTGTAGTTTATGTGATTTCTTTCTATTAATAATTGGATAAAAAACACAAGACATTCTTCAACGATATAAGGTAGTTTAGATGCTTCGTATACATCAACAAAATTATGATCGCCTTTTGCCCATTCAATCAAGCACCAACGATCAAAAATAGTAGAAACCACAACATCTGGCTCATCTAACATTGCAAAAACCCTTATCAAATATAAATCTCTAGAAAAACAATATTCTTTGAAACCACTACTTATGTATGAATTCATTTGGCTGCGAACAGTAAACCCATTTCTAACCCAATGATTACATTTAATTTGAGCAATCAAAACAACAGTTCTTAATGAATAATCGGCAATTTTTGAAAAAATATATGGATCATTAGCACCATTGCTGTAAATAATGTTATTGATTTTAACAGGATCATCGAAATCAGCGTATTCAATAACCCAACTCATAAATGAAAATAACGGATGCAAAAAACTAACCTCTTCGGAATCAACTCTGTAACTAATAATTTGGAAAGAATTTGAGTCGCTTCCTGTATTGAAATCTTCTTTGGGATTTATAAAACTCTGGTTTTCATTTTCACTATTATCATTATAATAATCATCATCATCTTCTACAAATGGATCAATTTTAATAGTCTTATAATTGTAAGTTAATTGCAAATCATTTTGATCCATATTGCTGCCCACATATTGGTTATTTAAAATATCTGAATATCTCAAGATTAAATAACCTAGAGCAGTCTTCAATGTTTCATGTCTTAATTCTGAATCTAATTTTGTTGAAGATCTGGTGATAGACTCAATTAATTGAGAAATTATTAAGCAAGCGTGGTAATAAATGGTATATTCTGGATTTTCATACTCAACATGTTCTTTTGCTTCTCTTTTAATCACAGGAATACCATGAAATAGTAATGCAACATCAACTAATTGGTAAAGAAAATTTTTTTCAAAAAATATTTCAACATTTCTGTTGCTTTGAATTAAAAAATTAAAATCAATAAATAATTGACTCCATTTTCTGCTCCTCAAAGATTGAGGAAAAATATGATCTTTAATATTTAAAGACTTAAAAGTTTGAATATGACCAGTGGTTAATAGGCCATAAATGCCAGCTAAAAAATTTGTCAAATCGCCATGTTCTGCAATTAAAGTCGAATCAATATCGTTTGAGAATAATTGAGTAGATAACTTATTCATTGTGCTGAAGTCCATATCTCTATCGAAATTTAGGTATAAATCAGCTATAATGGGGTATATATCAGTATATTGACAACATATTAAAGATTTTGTATTGGATGAAACCATCCAGGATTTGATGTAAAGTTCATGCAAAATGTATCTAAAATTTTTCCATAGTCTCATGTCAAAATATACTAAATACTGAAATCGCGAACCATTAAAAGAGGATTGATAGTTATGTAAAGTGAAAGAAGGATCATATTGGACTTCTTTTGAAAATTCTAAATCAAGATTCCAATCTTTCAGATTTGAAATACTCCAATGAGAATTATCTATTGAATTGGGAGAATTTGGTAAAACGGAAAATAAGTTTCTAATTTTATTTTTATCAAGAGTAGCTAAAAAGGGATATTTTATGGCAACCGGGTTAATAGCAGTATTGTCTAATAAAAAGGACTTATTATGAATAATGGTGGAATTGATATAATTTGAAAAAAAGTCGTTGTTATTAGGTTTAACACCGGGATTCCATTTTTTTAGTAGAGCGGTTGATAAAAGTTGACTTATTATTGAAAAATCGTCAAAAAAGGCATCAGAAGTTAAATCTTTGAAATAATTTACTATAGCAAAAGCCATTTCTTCTCTAAAAAAATCTTTAAAAGATTTGACAATTGAATTTAAGTTATATTCATCTAAGATTTTTTTTCTTTCTATTAAAAAATTTAAATCGGGAGAAGCTAAAACAATGGATCTGCCATTTTTAGATAGATTGTTTAAAACCATTTTATTAAACTCGGGTAATTTTAAAGTAGCTTGTTGCAATTTTATTAGAGCGTTTTGATATTGTTTTGAATTGTCATTATAAAGAATAAGATAAAATTTTGAGATATTTTTATCAGTATCATTGTAAACATCTTTTAATAGAGAGGAGTTGTTTGAAATATCAATGGTATAATTGGCGTTAATGTTTAAGGAATTGTTTAAATTTAAAATTAAATCCAAGTCAATTGGGATTAAAGAAGTTGAATTTGAAGTAGCTATTACATCTATTATAAAATCTAGTAGACATTCAAAAATGCTTAATAAATGAGCTTTAAAAGAAGGAATTAGGGTTAATTGATTAAAGGTGTTTTTATAATTCGAAAATTTCAAATGGGTTAGATAGGCTTGATTAATTTTACAGGGAGGCAATATGTTATGTTTCCAACAGTTAGAGTCACCACAATCGCATATTCCACAATTGTCTCTTGAGGAAGTGTTTATGATTATATTATGGCCCTTGTGATAAGATTGATCGAAACAGTTTTGACATAAAGCTCTTGTTATACCAATTGAGCAAGTTAAGCATCTATAAATTAGCTCGCCTTTTCTAAAAAATTTTCCACAAACTTTATTAAGATGGGGAACATCTTTGTTTATATCTTTTTTTAAATTCAAAGAATTGAATGAATCATTGTAGAGTAGGACGTTTTTTGGAAAGTTTTGCAAGTTTAGCAAAAGAGGATTTGAAAATGAATTGTAGTAAAAATCTGAATTGGGAGACTGTGCAGAGGCATCCTTATTGGTCTTGTTGGTATTGTTAAAATTGATAGGATTATTGTTATTAAGATTTCTTTTTACCCTATTTTTTAGATTGGATAATTTCAAATCAAAATCGGTATCAAATTGATCTATGGCATTCTGATCCAAAAAATTGATAAGAATCAAGAAATTTAAATAGTTGTAGATATTCTTTCTAATTTTTTCATAGTTGTTTTCAAACTTGAATAGAAAGGTTAAATTGACTAAAAATCTTTTCAATCTCAAGACATTTTCGCCGCTGTTTGAAGACAGGCTGCCAGCAATGGCTAAAACATCTTTGTTGGTGAGCAGATCCGAAAAAGAGCTGTTGCTCTCCATAGTGTGTGGTGATGGTGAAGCAAACAGGCGAGAGTGGCAAGAATTGGGAAGGAAGAGTTGCAGCAGACTCAGCAATATATATAGCGGCAACACCATCGTGAACCACGCCTGTCTCAAAGGGGCAGCTATCCAATGCGGTAGCTTCTCTTTTAGATCTTTCCGCATCGGGTGAGCTTCCCGAAGAAGCTGACTGGCTCTAAAAGGCAGTCCAACCCTAAAAGGCAGTCTGCTCCAGGGACTCGATCTATAGCTCAACAATCTAGTTCACAGACCTCCTTCCTTTCTTCACACTCTTCTTGGTGAGACAAGTCCTATCACTTGTGCTTTGAGAATGAAACAGTATCCATCAAATAGCAAAGAGGTTGCTATCATCGGCGCAGGCTTGGTTGGTTGTCTAGCTGCTTTGAATCTCGCTAAACTTGGCTACCTGGTAACCATCTTTGAGTACAGAAGTGATCCAAGAACCATTCAAGACCACCAAAATCTCAGATCCATTAATCTAGCCATTTCTGAACGAGGTATCGCAGCTTTGCAAAATATTGATCTTGATCTATCAAAAAGAATATTGGATCAGATTGTCCCAATGAAAGGCAGATTGATCCATTCTGCCCCAAATAGCTCCAGGTCCATCACCTACGCCCAAAACTACGGTGTGAACGGTATTGAATGCATCAACTCAATTGATAGAAACCTATTGAATATTAAATTACTAAATGAAATCGACACTGTTCCAACTATTTTTGCTCAATTTAATAGAAAACTAGTCAATTTGATTTTTCCAAACGAAGATCAAAATGACAACGCTAACCCAATTTTATATTTTCAATCCACAACTAATCAGGACTCTTCCTCTCAAAACAATATTCTAAAACGTCATGACAATTTTAATTTTTTGATTGGTGCTGATGGTTCATATAGTACAACAAGATCCTTACTACAAAAACATATTAGAATGGATTTTAAACAAGAATATATCGATATGGCTTATTTAGAGTTGTTCATTTCCTCAAACCCCACTCATAATACTGATAGCAACTCTCGCTTTAAACTAGATAAAAACTATCTTCACATTTGGCCGAGAGAGAATTTCATGCTAATTGCTTTACCAAATTATGATGGCTCTTTTACTTCGACTTTTTTCGCTCCATGGCATATAATGAACTCTTTAAACTCAAATGAGGAGATCATTTCTTTTTTTCAAACAAATTTTCCCGACGTTTTAAATTCAAATTTGATTTCTCAAGAATCCTTACTAAATTTTTTCAATTCAAATCCAAAATCTTCTTTGATTTGCACAATTTGTAACCCTTACAATTATAAAGGCAAATGTTTATTAATTGGTGACGCTGCTCATTCAATGGTTCCCTTTTATGGTCAAGGAATGAATTGTGGTTTTGAAGATGTTAGAATCCTATCAAATTTAATAATTAAAAATCAATTTGATATTCATGATGCCTTTGAAGAATACACTGAGTCAAGGCATCGCGATTTGATTTCCATTCTACAATTAGCTAAAGACAATTATAAAGAAATGTCCTCCAATGTTAATTCTTCTATTCATTTATTATCTAAAAGATTAGACAATGGTTTATCCAAAATTTTAGGGGATTACTGGTTGCCTCTTTATACAATGGTGAGTTTCCGAAGTGATATATCCTATTCCCAAGCAATTAAAATAAATAAAAGACAATACCGTATCTTGTCTACTCTACAATTATCTTTATTATCCTTTTCTGTTTATTTTGCCTTAAAATATTCAAAACCTTTATTAAATTTCTTTAATAAGAAGTAAATCTTTTTTTCCTTGTTTTTCTTTCAAAAACAAATATAAAGAAAAAACTCTATATATTTTTTTTTTTAAAAAAAAAAAAAGACATCTACTTAAGTTTCACTTAATAGTTAAACAAGTTTAATTATAATGCAGAACCTATTGTACAAACCTAATTCTTTATGGATTACCTAGCTAATTTCCTCTTTATGTTTATTTTGGAGTTGTTTTTTTTTGCTATTTTTTCCCCTCTTAGTTCTCTTGTTTTTCATTGAATCTTCTTACATGCCAAAAATAATATATTCAATCTTTTTTTTTCTCATTTATTATTGCTATTTCCAGATCCTTTATTATCCAATAAAACAGGTTTCAAAATTCGTTCATCTAAATTTTGAAACCATGTTGAACTGTTATCTAAAGATAATAAACTTGAAACAGATTTGTTTTCGCCTTTTTTTCTATTAAAATTTTTATTATCGCTACTGTTATCGTCACTGTTATTATTATTATCAGCGGCAACTGTAATACTGCCATTATTATTGCTTTTGAATGGTTTACTAGATTGGGAGTTTTGAATAGCGGGAATATCTCCTATGAAACTTCCAGCATCATCATCATCAACATCAATGCTATCGTTTTTTTTATTACTATTATAAAATAATAATGAATCTTCCAAGTTTAAAGTTTCAAGTTCATTAATTGATGAAGTTGATGAATGTCTTGATCTTAAATTGTTATTATTTCCATTTAGTATTCTATTTTTGCTATTATTATTATGGAAATATAAAGACATTGATGAATTGATGTTATTTAAACTACTACTATTATTATTATTATTATTGTTGTTGTTATGGTTGTTATTATTGCTATTATTATTGTTATTATTATTGTTATTATTGTTATTATTATTGTTATTATTGTTATATTGTTGCAAATTATTTGTGCTTTTTAAGTTTTGAGTATGACTAGAACTTCCCCCTGGCTGATCTTGATATCTTCTATTTGATATCGTAGAATTGTTATTTTTATTACGGGAATTAATATTATAACTGTTTGCTTCAATATCAAATTCGTCATCTGAGTCAGATTCCTCGATACAACCTGTTTTTATACCTAGATTTTCTAACATTCCAGCAGTTGTCCCGCCAAAGATTATTACAGTTAATACAACCACCACCAATACATCAGCTAGTAAAGTGCTCTTAAATTCACCTTGGATTCCCATGGCTAAAGCAACACCGACAGCACCTCTTAAGCCAGCCCAAAATGCCATCATTTGATATTCCCATGGGATTTCAGGGGAAATGGAGTTATAATTAGGATTTGCTGAATTATTTTTGGTTTTGTATATAAAATTAATAAATTTTGAAAGGGGGAATATTGAACAGTACCTAGCAATACAGATAGATATTGTTGTAACAATTATTAATAAAGGTTTATAAATCAATTGAACCTCAGTGAATAAGGATAATCCAAGATAAATAAAAATGAAATTTTCTGATAATTGAGCTAATAATTGAAAAATGTATTTCGTGGCGATTTGAGTCCTTCTAGACATATTATAGTAGGCATAATGTTTTAGAGTGATACCGAAAAATAAAATGGAGACAATACCAGACATATGACAACCATTTGAAAAAAAATAAGATTCATACGCAAATAACAAAATTAAACAACTTTCAATTTGTGGGTATCTTCTAATATGAGTGTGTTTCAAAAACAATGCAACTATTATACCAACGACTAATCCGATTAATAAAGAGATTGAAAAAATCATTAAAAATAGTCCAATACCTTCAAATAAAGAAGAGAAATAAACATCTTTTCCATGAAACTTTTGACACGTTTCAAACATGACAATAGATATAGCATCGTTTAGTAAAGATTCACCAAGAATTATGGTGTATAATTTGGGGTCAACTTTATAGGCATTAAATATGGATAGAATTGTTACGGGATCAGTAGCACTCAAACTAGCGCCAACGGCCAATGCGTCGACAAATTGAATATTGATTTTCTCTAGACCTAAAGAGGTCCATAAATATAATATAGAACCCAAAACCATAGCACTTATAAAAGTTCCTGGAATTGCATAAATTAGAATTGAGACTATATTGTTGAAGAAGTTTTTTTGGTTCAATTCATAGCCACTGTTCAAAATAATTGGGGGCAACAAGACATTGAAAAAATAAGAAGAATTGAATGTTACAGTGTCTTGAATATAATGACCAGGAGATATTCTAATAATCAAACCAACAACCATTCCATAAAAAATTGATAAGACGGTTTCATGAATTGCTTTAATTCTTCTTTGCTGCAAAAAATATGATGACCAAAGTGCAAACGATAACAAAAACAACAAAATAAATAAAGCCCAAGAAGAGAAGATTTCCTCAGTTAATGGGTTATTCTCTCCTGGATCATCGGAATCGTCAGGAATTGAAACATCAGGCTCATCACTCTCATCGCTATTCGAATCTCTTTTGGATAAAGGTTGATCGTGGGAAAATAATAACAGAGATAGCTGGTTTATTAGTAAATGAGTTAGAGACATTTTTTTACCAGACGATGAATAAGTAGATAAGATAAAATAATTAGTAGGAAGACAAACTAGTGTTATCATTTTTAGTATGTAAGAACTACATCCCGTGACAGGAAATGAAATGCCAGAACTAGATTTGAGAGGCGTGAGATTTTGGGGGGAAGCCCTACAAGAGCGCGAGAGTAGAATCTTTCAGTTTTTCATTTAATTTTGATCTGCTGGAGCATTTGTCTAGAAATAAACCTCATGTTGAGATTAAAGATAAAAGCACTTTTTGCCCAATTATCGTTTGCAAAACCAGGCCTTGTGGAGCTTCTTTTTGGAAAGTATGGGACGAAGAGCGATCATCAAAGAAATTAGCCGAGGGCTCCGTCACCGTGAGAGACGACCTGCAGAGTGCGTTTCAGCACGTGTCTGAAGCGTGAGAAAGTGATATTTCAAACTCAGAACAAAAAGAAAAACGGCACAGAATATCTCTAACAGTAATTCATCATGGGGATTTTGTAAGTATTAGCTGGAACTAGCAGCATTGGGGTTTCAAATTTTGGCATGACTTATTAACTATTTTGCAAAACCACATTGAGAAACTTTTTAGAGAAAAGATTCAGCAAATCGAACTCGAGTTATCACGAACCCAGAAAAATAAAGCAACAGAGTACCACATTGGGCTCTTGAAGGGAAAACTTGCCAGATACCGTAGAGAGTTATTGGAACCCAGTGGAGCAGGCAGTGGGAGCTCGAGCAAACAACAGGGCTTTGAAGTGCAGAGAAGTGGTGATGCCAGAGTGTCGTTGATCGGGTATCCTTCGGTGGGAAAATCGTCATTTTTGTCAAAGGTCACCAAGACCAAGTCTGAAATTGCGCACTATGCCTTCACAACATTGACATCTGTTCCTGGGGTGTTGGAGTATAATGGAGCAGAAATCCAGATTGTTGATTTGCCCGGTATAATCAAAGGCGCCTCTGAAGGAAAAGGCAGAGGCAGACAGGTCATTGCCACAGCCAAAACTTCAGACTTGATATTAATGATCTTAGATGCTACAAAGTCGTATGAGCAAAAGAGCTACTTGGAAAAGGAATTGAACGCCATTGGAATCCGTTTGAACAAAGAAAGACCAAATATTTATTTCAAGATCAAGAAAACAGGGGGCATCAAATTCAGCTTTATAAATCCTCCAAAGTATTTGAATGAAAAGAATGTGTATGGGATATTGAGAGACTATCGGATACACAATGCCGATATATTGGTCAGAGATGAAAACGTTAGCATCGACGAATTCATTGACACTATTAACGATCAGCATGTCAGGTACATTAAGTGTCTATATGTTTACAATAAGATTGACGGGATCTCGCTTGAGGAATTGGACAAATTGGCCAACGAGCCCAACACAGTTGTAATGAGCTGCGAACTAGACTTGGGAATTAAAGACGTTGTGGAGGAGATATGGGAGCGGTTGAATTTGATCAAGGTGTACACGTTCAAAAAAGGAGAGAGCTTGCCCAACTTTGAAGATCCCATGGTGTTGAGAAAAGACAGCTCGATCAAGGAGGTGTGCGATGCCATCCACAAAGACTTGAAACACAGCTTCAAACACGCCTATGTGTGGGGAACAAGCGCAAAACACAGTCCCCAGAGATGTGGTCTCAGCCATCAAATTGAGGACGAGGACGTGATCACCATTGTCAGCAAATAAGAGCCCGGCATCTGAGACACCAAGGGGTCTCAGAGGTCTAAGGAATCTCAGAGGTCTAAGGGTCTCAAACATGTATATGTGTTGCCCAAACAGGAAGTAGCCGAACACGACCAATACTGGTCAGCAGGGCGGGTAAGTTTTTGACACCTTTCTTTTTTGTTCGACAATTCAATTTCAGCAAAAAGTATATAATATGAACTGTTTCGTTCTAGATTGGTTTGGATTTATTTACTCGCAGTGTTTCTTTCTATTCTTGTTAAGATAATTTCCAAAATACACTCAAGGCACCCTGTCTAGCTATATTATAAGTGATTATATTATATTGTCTGCCATCCAGTTTAACCAATTGGATCCAATTACCTCTAATCTGTCGCCTCATCCCCTTTCGACTTCCTGTGCTGTAGAAATTTTATTGTTCATTCTCAGTGACTTGAAGAGCTGCAAGTTCTTAACATAACTTTGTCTAAACTTGCTTACTACATACTTTCTGATAAAGTCACTCCAACTGCCTATTACTTTAGGATTTATCAAATACCTTAAATATTTTATTTACACCACCTCCCAATTCCAATTTTATTTTTTGCATTTTTAAATTCAATCTCAATATCCAATCAAATTATTCTCGGTATTGTTTTATTCTGTTCTCATTATAATTATTATTATTATTATTATTATTATTATTATTATTATTATTATTATTTCTTTTTTATTTTGAGATTCTTTCATTCAAAAACTATAAACTCCAATAAAGAAAAACCTTTAAGTATTAAATCTTATATTTATTTCATTTTCATTCTTAGTCATTATCCTTTCATTACTTTTACTCAAATTTTGCATTCAATTTATTTTTTGCATTCTTATATTTTGCATTTTGCATTTTCATCTTTTATTTTCATCTTTTATTTTCATCTTTCATTTTCATTAATTTTTAAAACAATTTTTTATCAATTATTTTTATTTTATTTTTCATTCATTGAAATCAAATCTATATAAATCTTGTTATTCAATCTAAAAATATGAATCAACAAGATTTTCTTTCAAATTATTCTGCCCTGAACGCAAATCAATTCAATATTTCAAAACCAATCACAAATGAGCAAAACATTAACCAATTGACTCCTAACAATTTAATTTCGTCTAATCCACCAATTGATATATTAAACCATCAAATCCAGATGAATCAGATGAATCAAATGAATCAAATGAGTCAAATGAGTCAAATAAATCAAATAAATCAAATAAATCAAATAAATCAAATAAATCAAATGAATCAAATGAATCAAATGAACACCAGTAACAAATTTGAAAATATGCAAAATAATCTTATTCCAGAAACTGCTATTGATTCTGAAATGGGAAGTTTTAAAGCAACTCACACAACTCCTGTAAACCTGCAAGATATCAATAGTTTTAATAGTTCTTTGGAACCTAATACTTTTATACAGTTAAATTTGAACAATATGGATATTCCTATGCAACTTGTACCAAGTATGAACATAGAACCCAACTATGAAAACATCAAGAATTTTGATACTTCAAATATATCTCAAAAAACTGCAGTTTTGCCAAATAGCAAAAAAAAACAACCTTCTAACATTAAAACAAAAGAAATGATAGAGGATGAAATAGTTGCTAATATTCCTTTTTTGTATAACCGAGGGATGCCAACAAATCAAGAAATCTATCAACATACGATTGCACAAGAAGCATTATTGAGAACATTAAGCAAACCCGATTCCACCTCAAATTTAAAAGATGATTTGCCCATTAAGTCCTTTTCTAATCCAACTCAAACTGAGCTGTTGGTGAGCTCCAATATTGCCAAAAACCTTATTGACAATGATAAACAAAACAAAACAAGCGACCCTGTTAATATGAATCAACAAAACTGTAATTATAATGTCTTATCCACTAGTGAAACTGGTAATAATAATAATAATAGTAATAATAATAATAATAATAATAATAGCAGTAACTCTTTACAGTCTGATTTTTTCTCAGTCTATCCTCTTCAAAATGTAAATGTAAATCTGAGTGATCCTTCCAATACTATTGCAAACTTTAATTTACAAAATAATCAGAATTTAGGATTAAATTCAAACTCTTTTCTAAATGATTATCTGTCCTATTATCTAAGCGAATCTCAGGCTTTTCAAAAAACAAACAATTTAAACAATTTATCTTACGATATTCAAAACATTCAAAACACTCAAAATACTCAATCTAATCAACCCATTTTATTAAATCGCTATCCAATTGATCAATTAACGAATAATCAAATTTATCAACAAAATTTTTATAATCAAAATACTCCGGTTGAACCAGAGAAAGTTATTACAACTGATCAAATAACCAACCATAATCAAAACAATCAAAACAATCAAAACAATCAAAACAATCAAAATAATCAAATTGAAAGCTTAAGCAGTACTCTTGACTTGTCTCAAAATTTACTTAATCAATTTCCCAAAAATATTAATTTTGAGTTGACTAATAAAACACAAACAGTTTGTTCTAATAAACTACCACAGACAGAATTAGCATCTATTAAAATTAAATCAACAAAAAAACATGCTAATGTTAATTCTTCCAAAACTCAAGATCAAGGTGTTTTTCCTTCAAATAATAGCACCCAATTTAAAACCAAAACCAAAACCAAAACCAAATCTAAATCTAAATCTCAATCTCAATCTCAATCTAAACTTACACCTAAACCTAAATCTCAACCTCAATCTAAATTCAAATTTAAAATCAAAACTAAACTGAATTTAACTTCGAATTTAAATTCCAAATCAAAGTCTAAAAAATTATCCAATTCACAAAAATCTTCTCAAAACAGATCTCAAAACTCGCCAGAAAAAGAGTCTGAACTCCAACCTTATTCTAAATCTAATACTAATTCTAAAGAACAAACCCAAACCCAAACTCAAATTCAAACCAATCAAAAAATTTCAAGTGCTTCAGGCCAAAATAATTCAGGGACTGCTCAAAACCAGGGAAGAGAATCCGGTTTTAACCAAGACACAAGTAAATGCTTGCATTTTACGAATAGACCTAAAAAGAATGATTATAATTTCATTAATAATTCTCGTCCTGTCTTTAAATTAAAAAAATTCACTGTTCTTCAGCAGGAAGGTTTAAAGAACCTAAAGTTAAAAAAAGACAAAGAAAAGCTTTTGCTGATTCAAAATAAAACCGTTCGAGATATCAAGAATCAAAAAAATAGTAACAACAATAAAGATAACTTAAATATTCAAAATGATAAAATTAATGGTCCTAGTTCCAATCAAAAAACTACTGATAATGAAATAAACAAAAACAAACAAATTATTCAAGTAGTTGAAAATGCTGATAGTAAAGTCAATGCCGGCGTTAAAATTAACGCTGACTTGCAATCCAATCAAAAGAGTCAGCTAAATAAAAAAATTGAAAAAAACAAAGATATCGGTAGATATCAAAGAGTTGTTGATTCACAAGCTTTGGAGCTTGTTGAAAATAGTGAACAATTTAACAAATCTAATCAAAACACAAGTAATCATGAAAATACTTTTAGTGCCATCCAATGCACAAATGGAAATCAAGATATTGGTGTTAATCAAAACTTTCAAGCAAATCACCTTACTCAAAATAGATTTGTTCAAAATAATAAAGATACTCAGATAAGTTATGGTTTTTGTGATTATTTAAACCCACAAATCAATCAAAATATTCAACTAAATCAGAATACTGAAATCTCAAATGATCACGACCATCAGGTTATTCCTAGTATCCAAGAATATTTTGGTAATTTAAATGATTTGAATGCCCAAAACCATTACAAAAATCCAAAGTTTGAAGGTATTGAAAGCAATCACAGTGTTTCTGATAACCAAAAAATATTCAATCCCAATATTGATGGTTTATTTTTTGATAACAATGGTTTTTCAACATTAAATGGTATTAATGATTGCCAAACACACAACAAATCATCTGATATAAACATAATCCATCCGATAAACCCTTCACTTTTAAATGATGAAATAAATGTGATTAAACAAGCAAATGTTTCTTCTATTTCAAATACCTTAACAAACGCAAAAAATATTTATAAACATAGTGATAATATTAGCATATCAAACAACAGTAATGGTCATTGTTTTAATTATCTAACTGCAAATTCCAACTCTGAAAATGTTTTTTCTAAGCTAGGTGATAATAATACTGTGGTAAATACAGGGACACCTTCTGAGCTAGTTAATTCCTATTCCAAGCCTTCAAATGACTATAACAATATTAATGTTCAAAATTCTAATAAAAACAGTGTTGATGGTTCTGATATTAACTTTTTTAACTATATGAATCCATTAAACAATATAAATTTAAATCTAAACTTTTCTTCTCCACCCTCTTTAAACACTATAGCTAACATTTATAATAATTCATTGATGAATTCTGGTGTTGATCTTGATACTATTAGTTTTAATCATAATGCTTTTTTTTCTAATAAGAACATAAATTTAGAAAAATCTAGCGAGAATTTGGATATGAATTTTGGGTTTTTCGAAAACCCGTTTACTACCTATTCAAATCAAGTTCAAAAAGAAAGTGTGGTTCAGGATTTAAATAATTCAAATGCAAATTTCAGTGAATTTTTTAAAAATAGAAAAGAAAACAAGCATACTACAAATAGCACAGAAAAATTGGGATCAATCAACCAGAATAATAACCAAAAAGAAAGTTCAAATGATTCGGGCTATTTTTTGAATGATTTAGCACCTTTTGAGAATATGTCCTTGTTTACTTCCATGGCTTCCAATGAACTAATTCCTTCGCTTAACAATTGCCCTGATGACTTTGATGTTGATAATTTTACGAGGAAGGCTATTGTTTCAGATACTACGGCAAAGGATCCAAAACAATTATTTCTTGTTTATCTTTACAAACATTTGATTGACAAAAACATGGTAGAAACGGCCAAATCTTTATTAGCTGAGGGGGAGGTTCCTATTAAAATTCCAACTGATCTTCTGTTGCCTCTCACACCTCTGACTTCAAATTCATCTCCAACATTGATAAAAAATAAAAATATTTTTGCAAAATCTTTAGATAGAATAGCTGAAGAGGATGTCGAAAAAGCCACTGTTGAAGAAAATGTTAGCCAGATGACTAATAACGAAAAAGTAACTGACCAAATCAAATTTAAAAATTTAAAAAATACTAAAACGAAAATTTCTCTTGAAAACAGTAAATCTAAAGATAAATTAGAGGTGTTAACTCATACTGAGAAAAAAGGCGGGGGCTTACAAGAAATGAAGAACACTCAAAAAACGGAAGTGCAAATAGCAACAGAACTTGAAACTGAAAAACAGGAAGCTTATAATTGCCAAAAACATGTATTTCCAAAAGTTAATGAAATTTGCAAGCAAAAAAATAAAGAGGATTCTAATGAAAACAATATTATCCAAGATGTCGACAACTGGGCAGAAAGCCAATTTTTGGCCATTCCAAATTTTCAAATATTTAACGTTGAACTTAAAAAGGAGTTTAATTCGGAAACATTGTCTCGGATATCATACAATCCTGATACTAATGACGAAACACCAACATCATTGGAGGCATGGTGGACAAGGTTCCAATTATTATTTACAAACTCTGATAAAATTGATTATCTTAAGGATGGGCCAGAAGTTTCTTCTACTTCCAAAAGACTGCTGAATCTGGTAGATTTCCTGGATGAAAATTTGTCTATTGATGAAATTCATCCCAAAAGCTCTTTATTGGAAGATTTAATAATTCATGCCAGCCCTCAGAAAAACAAAGAGCATAGTTTCAAAAGCACTAAAGACGACAATAGATTAGTTAAAAACAGTTTTCATTCAAACAAGACAACGGAAAACACAGTGTTTGGCTCAGATGATGTTATACTGGTTCACTCTTGTAGAGATTTGATAATTGATCTTACTAAACAAGATGATGATCATTTAATTTCAAAAACTAATAAAACTTATGCTGAAACCAAAAATGACATTTCTCAACAGAAAGTTCTTAAAAATCCGGAGGTTAATTTGCAAGCCAATTTCTCTGGCGAAAGAAACAATTCTAATAATCATTCTCTTGTTATTAGAAATAATCTTAACCAAAGTGAGGCTTTTAATGATACCTTGTCTTTCAAAAACAAAAAAAACGGTGATTATAATAACGAGGTGCTAAAAAATACCAATATTGGTGATGCTGATCACATTTTTAAAATACTGACCGATGCAAATAATGATAATATTACTGTTGACCTATGCGAGGAAAATCAAAGTATTTATTTAAAGACAACAATGTATAAAAATAAATTATCAAGTAAAATTAACCAAAATATTAGAGTTCAAACAATTGATAATAATTTAGAAGATAGCATGAATCAAAGTAAAAATATTAATTCAAGTCACAAATTGAATTTAAATAATGATCATAGTGATTTGGTAAACAAGAAAGAAAACTTATGTAGTAAAGATTTAATTTATGAAAATAATAATATATTCATAAACAATGATGAAAACGGAAAAAATAACAATAGCACAATTGCTGATATAAAAAATAGTAAAGATAAAACAATTCTTGGAAACGCAATTTATTCTCAAAACAAAGATTCAAATAAGATAGATAATGGTCTTGGTACCAATAATGATAAAAATTGGGATCAAAGCAATAAAAATAATGAAAAAAGTTCAAAAAATGTCATCAACAATTCAAAAATTGATATAATTGATATTAATTTAGAAAATACTGATTTTCATGTCACCACTGATGAAACTACCAATATCGTTCAGAGAAGTGATAATAACGTAAATCTGAATGATGAGAAATTTTCTGGCATAACTATTGATAAGAACAGCGGTAACTCAGTTGATATCACTATTGTTCAAAACTCTGGTGGTATTTCTAATAATATTAGCAGCATCGCGCCTGAAACTGTTTCTTTTCGAACCATTTACAAACCTTGCAGTGCGACATTTAATGATGACCAAAAAGCCTCGAATAATAAAACTCTTCAAATAAAAAACCACTTAAAAGATACTACCAGTTATAATAGTAATATTAATGAAAATGACAACGATAATAAAAATGAAAATAATAATTGTGATAATTTTAATGATCAAAGCCATAACAATAAAAACGCTAATACAGAGAATAATGACAGTAACAATAACAATAACAATAACAATAATGATAATGGTTATTCTTTAAATAACTCTAATAAAACACAAATCAATCTTAATGATAATAATAAGTGTATTAATACTTTAACTGCTTTTGAAAATTTTTCAAAAATAAACTCTAATAAACTGATTCGAAATAAACAAAACAATAGCAATAATATCAAGTCTGAAAGAAAGATTGGAAACGGTAGAAGAGGCAATCTGGTTAAAAAAAAAAGGGTTAAAATTGTCCCAAAAAACAATAAAACTATGATTGAAAAAACCTCTAATATAAAATGTAAACCGGTTTTAATATTACCTGCGCCTCCAACAGAACTTATGAAATATGTAAATTATGATAGTCCTAGTCCTGTGAATAGTCCTCTAGTAAGTCCAATTTTGAGTTCTACCTGTTCCATTCAAGATGTCAGAATTGATAATATATCTACCGATAAAAACCAGCAGAAACCTGCTGAATACTTGAGATATCCTAACATGCCAGTTACACCATCAATATCACATAGAATTGATGCTGCATATATCCCCACCTTAATGATGCTGCACCAACAGCCTTTAATTCATGCTCAAATTCCACCAAATTTACAGGGACAAGGACAATCGTTTCCTGTTCATCCTATTTATATGCCTTTACATTCAGAGATGCAATTTTCACACGCACAAAAACAGCCTATGATAATGGGAACACAACCTCATTTTTTTCCTAATTTTCATTATATGGGTGCACCAAGTCAATTTTTGCAAAATCATCCACCAAATAACGCTGTTTCATCTCAGGAATTACAATCTAAAGCTTTTGTTGAACTTAATAAAAATCTGATTGAATCTAATAAAAATCTAACAGAATCTAATAAAAATCTAACAGAATCTAATAAAGATTCAGAAATTATTCATGAAACATGCATAGTTATTCTGAATAATTCCAAAACTGAGGTCCCTAAAGATAATCGCTCTAAATCAGATAATCCAGACAAAGTTACTTCACCATCACCACGAACTGCTCGTATGGTTGTTCATAAAAAGAATATTGAAAATGAGAACAATGATGAACAAATTCTGATATCTTCTGAAAACCACGAAACTTCAGATGATTCTACAGAAAAACAAACGCAAAATGTAGAAAGTTTGCCTGCTTTAGATATGAACAATAAGGACTTATTAAAAAACAAGCAGAAAAAACAAAAAGAAAAAGAACAATCAGATCAACATCAATCACAGTTACACCCACCGTTAGAGACTCAGAAAAAGCTGCCAAATTCTCAATTAATGCAACTCAACAATGAAAAACAAAAAATTGAAGAAAGTAAATCTTCTTCAACAAAGAACAAATCGGATTTTCAAATTCAACAAAAACAGTTGTTGGAAATAAAACAAAAAACTGGAGAAATTAAAACACAGGAGACGAAGACAACAAAATTAGAAATACAAGAAAAACAATCAAAAATATCAAAAATAGAAAGATCGGGTTTAAAACAGCCAGAATTTTCTAGTCAGAGGCTTCAAGAAAAAGGCCAATCAAACGATTCCAATCTTATTGATCGTTCTCAGATTCAAAGTTCCCAATCAAATTGCAAAAATTCAAAATCACAGGTATCACAAAATTCTTTATTTTCAGGGCCACCTCCTTCACTTGAAGAAGCAATAAGAATGAGAGATGATGATCCAACTGTTTCTCTGAGCTCAAATGCAAATCAAACTTCTTCGAATGTATTGTTATCTCAATTGAAAGATTATGCTACGCAACAGGCTTCCTACCAATCCAATAAATATAATGTTCAAATTGACAAAGCCAAAGTGCAACAATCATTATCTAAAACTGATTATAAACTTACAACTGAGGATCACACTCGAGTTGAACCCAGTCAATTGCCACTCTTTGATCTTCAAGAATTTACCCAATCTCAAATTCAAAACCAATCAAACAACGATCATAAATCACAGCTGCAGTCTGGTCAAATTGTTTCGCAACCAATGGTTCAAGATGTAAATACACCAATGATATTTTATGGTCTTACTAACTATAAATATATGTTAGAAAGGGATAGTGCTAGTTCTTCAACAGGAAATCAAAGTAAACATACCATGGATTCAAATTTCATAAATTCATTTCAAAGAAAAAACTCTTCAACTGAAAAGGTGGTATCTAAAAGTCCTTCTCCTTTTAACAAAACAAAAAGAATTCTTTCAACTTCATCGTCAAGTTTAGCTGGAAAATCTTCAAAAAAAAGAAAAACGAGGCATTTGTCATGCGCTCCAATTACTGATTTTCATCATAGTAACTCTATTAACACCAATGAATGTAATACTGATAATAGTAATACTGATAATAACAATGTTGGTAATAACAATGTTGATAATAACAATGTTGATAATAAAAATATTGATAATCATGACATTGACGTTACTAAAAAACCTCAACATTCCAACCACCTTGATATTAGAAGTTTCAATGCTCATATTTCAAATCTTGACAACAATTTGAATTTTAATATGAAAACCACTTCAGGTGAAATTTTTTTTGATGTAATGAAAGATATAAACATTAATTCTTTTTCTGGTTCACCAGCATGTTCAACTCGTTTGTATCAAAATCTGACTGGAGCTATTGAAGATCTATTTCTTCCATCATCATCCAATGAAATGGTAAATTTTGATGATTGTAATGATTTTGCAAATCCTGATAATAGTTTGGTTTCTATGTTTCCTAAAGGTGATATTGATCCTAGTTTTTGTTTATTTGAGGACGACAAAGATTTAGATGATGGTATGTCTTACTTGAATTTATAGGATTGTTTTTATTTGTGGATTGAATTATTTTTTTTTTCTAGATCGTATTTGTTTATATATATATATTTGTTTATTAGTTACATTACATTACACTTACTCTAATATTAGATTTTAGATGGCAGATGGTTGGACGCTACAAACTATAGATTGTTTTCATAAACTATATAACAATCGAATAATCGAAGTTTATTCTGCACTGAAGTCACAAAGAAAATTAAATGTCGGTAATATAATATTGTGTTTTTTTGTTTTTTTTGTTTGCTGTGGCAATTATTATGACCTTTTGCTTTTATTTACTCATCATTTGGAACAACAATACAAATGGGAATAAACATTAATGGGTTTTTAAATAGAAACCGATCACCACTTCTAACTACATTTTCTGTATTTGTTATTGGAGCCACGATATTTGGGATTTTTAGTCCAATCAAGAATATTGAGCAATCAAATAGTGAGGATTCAAAATCCAAAAAACTGAAGCGAGTTGATGGCGAGGATTCTGAAGAAAACGAAGAGAAACCTATCGACGATATTGATCAAAAAAATAGAATTGAGTTATTTAGATTATTAGGAAAATATAAGATTTTTCCGGATATTAACACAGATTTGAAAGAGCTAAGAAGAATAGTCAAAAATTTAAAGGGGTAAGATGTGAAGATGAACGAATTTATATTGAATTATAATTATATAAAAGGAAAAAGACTATATACAATAAATAAATAAAATAGATAAAAGATTGAGTGAAAAATTAATCAAAGAGGTTTGAATAATCTTGAATCTATAAGTGACCAATCAATTAAATTCCATAAAGAATTGATATAGTCTTCTCTTCCATTTAGACCGTAATCATATAAATAACTGTAATCCCATAGAGATATTGATAAAACAGGCAAAACATGATCAAAATCACTACTATGATTTTCAGTATTTGAAATTTTCAAATTTTCATAATCTTGAAATTGATGAATATTAATTGGACCAGAAAGATTGAAATTTTGAAATCTTTTTTTTAAAAATGGAGTACCATCATTATTTAAGAAATATAAATTTAGTGATTTATTTTTATCTTCAATTAAGTAGATCCAGCCATTACCTAGATTATTTTTTGCAATTTGGATGATTTGAGATTTCAAATCTTCAATAGAATTGAAATTTGAATTTTCTTTTAATTTTTTCAAAAAAAATCTTGAAGGTAAATTTTTACTCCTGGTGGTTTCATTAGAATCTTGTAAAAGCTGAGTGAAAAAAAAATGATTGTTAAAGGCTTGAGAAGCGTAATGAAAGATCTCAGAATCTAAAGAGTCCTTTGATGCAGTTAGGATAATTTTCAAAGGAGTTTTAAACTCATAGTGAGTCTGTGCTGTTAACATTGAAAGATTCATTGTCAAAAAAGTTTGGTAATCCTTCCAAGCTATTTCAAAACCTCTTTTTGAGTACAATTTTGGAATTCCATTTTTGAACCATTGATTTCTGTTGGGAAGATCAGGAACCAAATGAATGTTTCGAGATTGTATAGCAAAGATTCTCGAAGTTGATGTTTTAAAAGACAAAAGCAGTCTTTTAAAGGGGGATAGACGTTGAATCAGCATATCAAAGAAACCACAACTGCTGGTGCTAATCTGTGTCTGGCTCTTGCTGCCGAAGTCGATGGTGGTGTATTTGGTGCTGGAATTGCAACTGCTGCTGCCGGTTTTTCTGCCTCTGTTGTTTTTGTGGAGCTGAAAAAAGAAGTTTTTTCGGTGCCGAGAGGTGAGCACGTGTTTTAAAAAGGCAACCCTCGGATGTGAACTGCAAAAGCCGGTCATAGCCCTGAAGAGCCCTAAAGGACAGTAATGAGTGAGCAAAACAATAGATAAATCAGGCAGTAATGTGAGATGTGAAATGTGAAATCTAAAATCTAAAATACTAAAATATAAAGTGTAAAGTGTAAAATGTAAAATGTAAAATGTAAAATGTAAAATTGAAACTTGAAAATTGGAAATTAAAAATTAAGTTAAAAATCGTAAAAAAAATTTGTAAAAAAGTATAGAGTAAAGTGTAAAATATAAAAATAAGTGAAATAGTTTTTTATAAAAATCACTTGATGGAAAATTTGCAACCATTTCAAATGATTGGACTGATTAATTAATTGATTGACCGATTGATTGATTATCGAGAAAGAGATCTTGCGATTCTTTGAATTCTTTGGTCTTTTGAGACTTCATCAGTTACCTTTCGTTTGATTCGGACTTCTTTTTCAGTGGCTCTTCTTCTTAGCTCTTCGTTACTTGGAGGCATTGCTTCATTTTGTAAATCAGCTTTTCTTGCTTCTTCAAAAGTATGCAAAGCACCTTTCAAACCTGCTGAGCCGGCTAATAAAGTTCCCTTTGGTAATGAGCCACCAGCAATATCTTTTAGTTGTTGAACATTTTCACTTTCTTCTCTCAAGACTTGATACATTCTTGAAACTTTACCAATTGCGATAATTTTATTACGTAGTTGTAATTTTTTCGAGATTTCATCGGGGGAGTTGTTATTAAATTGGGATTGATCTAGTTGAAAGTTGCGTTGTTCTTTTTGTTTTTGATGTTGGATTGAAATGTCATTAACAACATCAGTAATGGATTGGCCTTGGGCAAATAAAGTTTCTTCTTCCAATTCTTCTTCAGAGCAAATGTTTAATAAAGAAACCAACATATCAGTGACTTTTTCACCAACAAATGGCAAGGACCAAGTAAAGACGTCCATAAAATGGGGCAACCAATAAGGATGGGGAGAAGCATTAAACTGTCTGATGTTCATTACATTATTTTCATATTTCAAGACAGCGGCTTTGTTATTATAGCTGTCTAAATAATTTGGAGCAGAAAACATTGTTAATAGAGAAGGGAAGCCCATTGTTTTAGTTCTTTTATACATTCTATAGCCAGCATCTTGAGCTTCATGGGCTCTAATAATTGATAATAAGCCTGTATTTTCTAGAAATTGACAAGAAGCTTTATAGGAAAAAGAATAAGAGCAGCCTCTGACAGGATTTGGGATATATAGTCTATCATTAACATCATCGTCATAATTTTCTAAAGGATCAGCCCATAGTAAGTCACACATCAAGCCCTTTGTTGGAGGTTCTCTAAAACGGTTTAGTTTTCTGATATCATCTAAAGATCTTAAATCTGGGGACAAGCCGCCATGGACACAGAAGAATTGTTTGTTCATTATAGCAGCTAATGGAAGGGAGTTGAAACAGTTTAAAGCGGCGTTGTAGACGTTGATTGAGTATTTGTGTAAGCATTCAGTTTTGAAGGTGAAGAAGTCAGTTAGGTGTTTACATTCATGGTTACCTCTGAGCATCCAAAAGGTTTTCCTAAAATTTAGTTTTAGGGATAGGAGGTAGACGAGACATTCTATAGAAAAGAAGCCTCTATCAACATAGTCACCAAGAAATAAGTAGGCAGTCGATTTAGGGTCACCACCAACTTCGAATAGTTTCATTAAATCAAAGTATTGGCCATGAACATCACCGCAAACGGTGACAGGGGCAGGGACTTCTAGTAAGTTTGGTTCACTTTGTAGGAATTTAGTAGCCATTTCAATGATTTTGATCAAGTCTGGTTCATTTAGTCTGCCTTCTCTTTTGAAGTGTTCTTTAATGAATTCGTGGTTGGGAAGACCATTTGTCATAAAGACTTGACTGGTGGTGGGTATTTTTGAAGCAATTGGAGGGATAGTGTTTACGATTCTTTGATTAGTTTTATAGGTTTTATCGTCAAGGGTATAAGAGGTTAGATCCTTTTTTAGGTCAGTGAGAATTGAATTGTTAATTGGGCTGTCAGTAGGCTTTGAGGGAACCTGGATTAAGCTTATAGCATTTTTGAGTTTGTCGGTGTTGGCAGCAGCTTGTTTTCTAATTTGGGTGTTTCCTCTTCTAACGTCCATGATTTGAGTTGGTTTGAATTGATTTACAAATGTATAGAATAATTAATAGCCAGAAAGAAAGAAAAAGCAAAATAGAGAGGCGGAATTAAACAGGAAGTGGATTAAGAGTTGGAATAATTGACAAGAAGGCAAAAGAAGCGACTTGAGCTATAGGGCAGTAGAACAAGAGGATGGGGAGGCAGAAGAAGAGGCAAGAGAGGAAGCTGAAGCAACAAGAGCTGGGAATACCACAGCAGAGTCTTTTTGCTGTCCAAGGCTGAAAATACACGTGACAGGGGATGAATGGCAGGCGGGGGATTAGTAAGAGGAGCCGGAGAAGAGCAGAGGCAGCAGAAGAGACAAAAAAAAGCGTATATTAGAACTACAGGCTATGAGAGCTATAGAGGGGCAGTGCAGCGGCCATTGAGTTAGGCGGCAAAGCCAATGACACCACAGGCAGGTCTGCCGCCAGCGTTTCCGGTTTTTAAGGAATCAGGGTGGCCTCCCTTGCCCAAGTCGTCCTCGCCATCGTGGACAACAACAGTTCTGCCGATGATGGAGGTGGGGCCAATGAGCTTTACCAAGGAGTCGAAAATTTCACCAGTGGCAACACCCTGAGCATCGGTTTTGATGTTGCCCAAGTCACCAACGTGTCTCACAGTTTCGGTTGGAGCACCATGGGTGTTGTTGAAAGGGTTGAAATGAGGACCAGCACTGGTACAGCCGTTGGTGTTGTCACCGAACTCGTGGATGTGGAAGCCCTTCAAGGCATTGGGAGAGTTTCCAGTAATTTTGTAGGAGATCTTGGTAGGTTCGTTTTCGGAGTTTTGTTCAAAGGTAACAACACCACCAACACCAACGGTGCCTTTTAAAACAGCAATAGCCTTGACCATCGTAAGAATATGAATCGAGTGAGTAGAATATGAATTGAGTGGACAGAATTGAGTGGGAAAAATGCGAATTGGCAGAAGATGGAGCAAGAAGGAAGTGAGAGCAAGAGAGAACAAGAGCAGAGCAGAGCATCGCTTATATAGCACACGATTAGTCAGCGTCATTAGTCAGAGCAGACCCACTGGGCCCTGACTTACGGGTAACGGCAGGAGGCACAGGAAGCAGGGGAAGTGCCAGCACAGGAAGCAGGAGAAGCACAGGAGGCATGGGCGAGAAGAGCGGCGAAAACAGGCGAAGAGAGGACCCAGGCTCGAGGGCAGGCCTGAGCCTATTTATATGCCCAGGCAATAACTTCCAATGGGCTGTCTCTGCTCCCAACCACGCTCTGATTGGCCCGCGCCCTGAGAAAATATATCCTTTTCCACTCGATAACCTCCATGGTTCTTTCGCTGCACTGCTGCTGTTGCTGTTGCTGTTTCTGCTGCTTTTGCTTCATGGCCAGAAAACTCAAGGGTCGTCCTCGCTCTCACAAGAACCCTTCCGGCTTGAAGGCAAAGCTACTTCTTCATCAAGCCTCTCTCAAAAACTCTTCTGCTGTCTCTCCTCCCCATCCTACCAAAAAGAAAAAAATTCAATCTTCTCAAATTTTTATTCCTTTCCAAAAAAACGATAAGATCTTGTTAATTGGTGAGGGCGACTTCTCTTTTTCTTTATCGCTTTTAAAATCAAGTCTAATCGCCTCTCCTGACAATTTAATCCTCTCTTCTTTTGAAAAATCTACTGACGATTTACTGAAAAATTATTTTAAATCTTTCCCATCTATTTACAACCAATTAATCAATGATTTTAATTTTATTTTAAATAAAAACTTCTTTCTTAACATCGACTGCACTAATTTAATCCAGTCTTTTAAATCTCAATTGAATGATAAAAATTTATCTTTATTATTAAATTTTTTTACCAATAATAATAATAATAATAATAATAATAATAATAATGATTATGATTATGATAATAACAACAATAACGATAAAAATAAAAATAACAACAGCAATATAATTTTATTCAATTTTCCTCATCTTGGTAATGGAATAAAAGATTTTAAGAAAAATATTCATCAACATCAACTTTTTCTACTATCTCTTTTCAAAAATTGTAAACAATTTTTTAATTTATTAAATAAATTTAATAACAATAAAAATAATAATAACAGTAACAATAATAAACTAGTAATATCTCTATTTAATGGCGAACCTTATGATTCTTGGAATATTAAATCGTTAGCTAAATCTCTTGATATTTCTCTACAAAGATCTGGTGATTTTAATTGGCGATCCTTTCCCCTTTATCATCATAGAAGAACAAATAGTATGTTTGATACAACAAAACCATCTTATGATCGCTCTGCTAGATTTTATCTCTTTAATCTTTAATCTTTAATCTTTAATCTTTAATATATAATCCCTTTTGTTCTTTTTCTTTTCATTCATCTGTATACTCATTGATAATAGCCTCTTTGACTATATCTCCACACAACTTCCCATAGGGATTAATCTTCATTGAAACCCTCTTGGATATCTCATTGCCAAACATTCCTCCAATAAACATATACTCACTAGCTAATCTCTCGATTTTCATTTGTTCTTCCTTATCTTCTTCCATCTTCACAGATTTACAAATTAACATTGTAGCATATTGTAAATACGCTGATGATAAAACTTTACTTTGCATTTTAGACACTTTACATTGTTGTAAATGCAACTCTTCAATAATACCCTGATTATTTCTTTCATTCATTTCATCTCTTTTCAACTCTTTTGGTAATGTCAACTCAATTGCTCTTTTCAAATCATTCAAAATATCCCTTTCCAATTTCCTCATCTCCAATATACTACTTCCTTTTTTTTCTTCTTTTTCTTTTTCAAGAAAATGCAAATATAATCTCTTCATTTGCGCTAAATTGTTAAAAACTGATCCATAACTTTCACCTTCCTCATCTTCAAATATTTCCTCCAATATTTCTATACTCTCTTGAATTTTTGTCAAATTGATATCTTTACTAACATTGGTACTAATAAATCCCTCTATAGATAATTCTTCATTATTAATATCCTTTAAAATCTTTTCATTATCCACATCACAATTTTCAATATTCTTTATAGCTCGTTTTTCAATACCTTCAAATTTCTCAATTTTTTCAATCGACGAAATATTAACATCTGGAAATAAACTTAAATCAATCTCAACACCATTTTCTTTATAAATTTTTCCATTAACTTGATTACTCTCTAAATATTCATTATAACTGTGTTTATTATAACTGTGTTCATTATAACCACATTCATTTTTTGCCTCCCTCTTCCCTTCATCACTATCATTAAATTCACCTTTATCTTCGTCTAAATTCGCAGATAATCCAGCTGCCTCTTTGTTAAAAATCGTAGAAAAAATAAGTTTATCATGATCTGTCAACTTATCTTCAATCTCACAAGATTTTAATCCAGTTGGGTTTTTAATTGATTCTGCTGCCATAACATTAATCATAAAATATAACTATATAATAATATAAAAATTTGAATAGAAATTTGTTAAATTCACTAAATTTATTAAAATGTAATTAGAAAATATAAATAATGTAAATATAAATGATGTTAAAAAAAAGATAAAAAGAATATTTTGGTCTTTTATAGATTTCACTTTTTTCTTGTTTTTGTCTTTTTTTTTGTGATTTGTGTTGCTAAAATAAAATTCTCTTTGTGCTGTTTTATAAATGATTAGATATGTATGAAATAAAAGTTACAAAAAAATAAATCCAAGTATGTGAGTAAAGAAGAAAAAGAAATAAAGGAAACTATCTGTGTGAAAAAATAAAATTAAAGAAATAAAAGTAATAAAAGTAATAAAAGAAATAAATGTGATAAAAGAAATAAAAATAATTGAAGAAATAAAAATAATTGAAGAAATAAAAATAATTGAAGAAATAAAAATAATTGAAGAAATAAAAATAATAAAGCCACAGAACTAAGATTATCAATAAATAATCTTTTTAATATGATTAATTTCTTTTACTTCTATAAAGTCTTTGAATCCTTTTTTTGGATCTGCTATAAGCATTTTCATTTGAGGCGAAAGAATTATTTTGAGTAGTCTCCTCATTGACCGAAGGATTATTGTGAGTAGTTTCTTCCTCTACAGAAGGAGAAACATCAACAAAAGTGACATAATTTGAATCAAATTGAATGTAATCTTTATCTGATTCATCTGAAGAAGTAGCTTGAGAACCAGAGTTTGATTTGGATGGAGATTGAGAGGGAGGTTGAGACTGAGATTGAGACTGGGATTTGGATCGAGATCGAGATTGGGATTGGGATTCGCGATTTAAATTGATTTTTTTAGGTGATGTAGATATTGAATTATTATCATTAGTATGTTTATTGCTTATAATAACTAATGGAAAAGGTTTTTTAATTGGGGTTTTAGGTTTAACAATAACAAGAGGAATGTATTTTTTGAAAGAACCTTTTGAGATATGTTTATTATGATTTGAGACTTTATGGTTATGATTAGGTTTAAGAATGTAGTTATTTTCCGGGACAACTTTGGTACTATTAATAAAGTTATTGTTGTAATGATCTATAAAGCTGGATTGATTGGCATTTTCGATTTTAGTTTCATTATGGTAATTAATAGGGGCCGATATTTTTGGGATTCTGATATTTTTAAGATACAAATTATCTAGATCAGCTTGATAATTTCGATGGGCTTGATCAGCTTGATAATTTTGATAATCTTGATTAACCTGAATATTTTGATCAACTTGATAATTTTGGTCAGCTTGATAGTTTTGATTAACTTGATAATCTTGATAGTCTTGAATATCTTGGTTGTTTCGATTATTTTGGTTATCTCGGTTGTCTTGATTATCTTGATAATTATTATCATCGTCATTAGTATTGACTACATTTGGGATATAACATTTATAGTTGATATCATATTGACTGTTAATAGTAGAGTTAATAGTAGAGCTAATAGTAGAATTAATATTGGTATTGATATTGGTGGTAGGGATATTATTAAATGTGATAAAGGGAGAATAAAGGTGATGGAAATGAGAAACATAGGCATTATGATAGGTGATGTAATCGATAGACTTGATTTTATTTGGGTTGAATTTTTTAAAGTCGTTGAGGGTATAATAGGGACTGAAGTTACAATTTGAGGAGTTTGATTGGTTAAAGTTGAGTTTGAAGGAGTCCCATTGGATGTTGTTGTTGATTGCAAGAAACTTGCGAGTTAAAGAAGAGATAAAGTTGATATAATTGGTGGAGTCGGTATTGTTTTGGATATTATTGTATAAGATTTGATCATTTTTTATTTTTGATAACTTATTTTGCAAACCGATTTCATCATTCAAGTTTTTTAAAAAGGATAATTGGTCAGGAACGATCGCTAATAGTTTGAATCTTAGTTGGTGTTGGTTTTTGAAATAATTGTCGAAATAGTAGTGTTCAATTTCGTTTTCGAAATTTTTGAACAATTGAAAATTGTTAAAGTGATTTATTTTTGCTTTCAAGATGCTAATTAGGGAGTTGTAGAAAAGCTTGTTAATTGATCTTTGATCAAGCTCAGAATTTGAGATTGTATTTAAAGGCAAATAACCATGATAGATTGGGGCTTCTTTTAGAACATCTAGTTCGAAGATTTGATTATTTTTTTTGAAAAAGGCTACAAAGTGTAGATTGTCTATAGATTCATCATTTTCAAGATCATTTGAATTAATTTGATCAAATAGATCTTGAATGATGGGGGTTTTTGGTTCGTCAGGGGTATTTGAATCAGCTGAAGTAATTGAGTTATAAAAGTCAATTAAAAGAGACAAATTTGGATAAAATTTGTTATTTGAGTAGTAATTTAATTGGTTAATTAAATTTTTAAAGAAAAGCAAGTTTGGATTTAGTTTGATTTTGTGGTCCAAATTTAAGAGGACATTTAAAATGGTTTGAATCAAAGTGATTTTATTATTTTTAAAGAAGTAGTTGTTGTTGGATATGTTTAGAGAATCTGGCGAGCTGTTAGCGAGATTGAACAGGACGTTGTTTTGGAGGATGTTGTTGATGGGGTTGTTGATTTGGTTGATGAAAAAGATATCGTTGTTTTCGGATTTGTAATCGTTTGAGGAGTCATTGTAGTAGTAGGTGCCAATGGAAGGGGGATCAAACAATCTGTCCCTAAAAGTGTACTTGAAGACAAAAATGACAGCGTGAATTGGGTCAAAAGAATCAAAGTCCTGGAAGTCGAGTTTGAAAATGTCCTCAAATTCAACATCGTTGATGTTGAACATTTGGATGATTTTGTTGTAAAAGAAGGGATTAGCATCCGGGTTGTCCCAGCCAGTGGAGGCATAGGACATGGAGTTGTCGTCATCGATGTCGATGTCCATAAAGCACAAACGGCAGCACCAGCACCAGCAGAAACAGAAACAGCACCAGAGACAGCAGCAGCAGAAGAGGCACACGCAGTAAATGCAGCACAAGAAGAAACAAAAAACAAAGGAACAAAAACAAAAAGGAAACACGCCATGCACGTGATCAAAGCACATCATTCTACTGGTGTTTGGATCACGTGCCGCCAGCCGCCCAGGGCAGGGCTGAAGACGTGCTTCTACTGCTGCTTCTGCTGCGTGTGCTTCTTCTGCTGTTTCTGCTGCAATGTCCCGCGACCACTACACCCCCGGCACTCTCTTTGCCACCAGTGGCAACACTGCCAACGCGAACAACAGCACAAATAACAACACAAACACCACCAATAACAACACTACCACCATTGACACAGACAGTAATGCCTCCTCCTTGCTAGACAGAATCGACCAGCTAGATCTCCATGCCTTCATCGAGAGCAACAACCCTCCTCCCAGCTCTGTTCCCAACGACACCTCGTTGGCTCCTGTGGTGTCCAGCGACGACTACTCTCTCTTCCACCCCACTGTATCTCTCAACAACACCAACCTCCTCACTGGCAACTCCCTACAGCCCATATACTCTTCTCCCAACAACTACCAGCTAACCACTTACAACTCAAACACAAACTTGGTTGCAAATCCAAGCCAAGTTGATTTAACCAATTCCAATTCCAATTCCAATTCCAATTCCAATTCCAACTCCAACTCCAACATCAACCACATCGATAGAAAAAACCTTATTTTGGATGACAACAACAATCCTAACAACAACGATTCTAATACTAATCTGCATATCAATCAGAACATTACTGACAACAACTTGAATGTCTACATATCCAATCCTCCATCCTCCATCTCTTCTGAAAAGAAAAACTGGTCCTCAAAATTAAAATCAAAACTAACGTTAAATTCAAAACTATCTTTTTCAACCCATTTTTATACTATTCTTTTCCTCCTAATATCCTTATCAAGTGCCATCATCATACTCGTCCTTCAAATTACAATGTCAATTATCTTCAATCTTCACTATATCGAAAACAATACTCAAAAAACACTTAAAAAGAGAGCAATACTAACATACCTTTCTTTATTTATTTGTTCAGAATTTTATCAAGTCATTCTAACCATAACTTCCTTAAAATTTAAATCAAATATTCAAATCCTCCTACTCATTATATTTTTATCCTGCATGCTAATCTATTCAGGCATCCAATTCTACGAACTAAAAACTCATCTAGAGCAAAATCTAAACACCTTTCATAAAATCATTGTCAAATCTTGTTCAATTGCAATCATTTGCATATCCTCTTCAGTCTTACTATCTCAATCCCTAATTTTTTTTCTAAAAATTAAACCAGAATTCAATTGGTATAATTTTAAAAAAATAGGCGCTTCAATCGAATTCAAAATTTTCTTGAAAAACTTCCAGGTTTTTAGAACCTTACTATATCTAGATGGCTTTTTCATACCAGTTTTCACCATTCAGTTTCTAATCATCCTAAAGAATCCAATCGTCGAAATCATTCTAACTAGCCTTGTTATCCCCCTCAGTATATTAATCCTAATTTCCTCTGATCTTGCCTCTTGTTTAGAATTCTTTAAACTATCTCTATTCAATCTATTCTTCCAACTATTAGGCCTATCCTTTTTAATCTTTAAATTAGTTCGAATATACACAAGTGATACAAAACCTGGTGAATACTACCCAGGCAGAAAATCCTTAACTGTATTTGCGAGCTTCTCCATTTTTCTACTAATTTTAACTATTTTCTTTCAGTTAAAAATCATCCTGAACTTTAATAAAGGCTTAAAGCCCTTCATATCAAAATCATGGTCTGTTTTTATTCAAAAAAATATAATCTTATCAAAATTAATTAAAATCGATCACGATAATCATGATAATGATCACAATAGCGCTATCACTGATAATAATGATAACGACAATTTTCAAAATTATAATAACTCCAACAATTATAACAATGATTACAATATCAACAACATCAACAATATCAACAATTCTAACCAATCTAACACCATTGTACAAAATGACAAATCTAACAACTACTCCAACTACAAACCTCCTCACTTCAATTCCAATATTCATCATGGACATATGGATCTGATTGAATTAAATCAAAAGCCAACATCCAGAGCTGATGTTATCAGACCCAGATTGTCAATTGATTGAATTTTACTTTAATTTCCACATTTTTTACATTTTTTTACATTTTTTTACATTTTTTTACATTTTTTACATTTTTTACTTTTTTCATATACTTTTGATATTTGTTTTATTAATTTCTTATTCGTTTTTATCTATTTTCTCTTATTAATTTTATGTTGTCCATCTCCTCTGATATATCCTACTCTAATGTTTACATTTTGTTACTTGAAACTTGCTCCATCGCAACTCGAAAACACATCCAGCACACACCACACACTGCAAAAACTCAAAAAACACCACGTGAATACCGGCCCTGTGATTTTTCGCTCATTTCCGACCTTTTAAAAAATTACTCTGAAGAAATTACAACCAAATGAAGCAGAAACAGCAGAAACAGCAGAAGCAAAAGGAGTAAAAGAATTACAACAACAAAAGAGAAATACAAAAGAGAAATACAAAAAAAAAAGCATCTCCTACTCATGAAACAATAACTTTATTTGTTTTTTAAATCACATTTTACCTGGTTTTGATCCAAACTTAATGCTCGTCATGTTTAAACTACAAGTGATTATTATTCCCCTTACTTCTTTCTCTGCTGAACAATCCAATGACTGTTCTTCATTGTCTGTTAATTCAACTGCTCTTCGTCAAAATTATAATCTTCTTCCAACAAACAACGACTTCAGCTCCTCTGGTTTACTCAATTCTATACCTAGTGCAAATGCTGTCCCAAATATATCAAATATATCAAATATATCAAATAATGACCCCACTATTAATATCTCAAATTCTCTCATCCCAAATTTCAATCTCCAAAGAAAGTTTCTTCATTTGACTGATTCAAAGATAACTTTGCACCAATTATCAATTGAAATTAGATCTCATTTTTTAAAACTATATCCCTCAGAACATTTATTTATCATCAATAGAGTGCAAGATAATCATAATAACGATTTAGACCCCGATTATTTAATATCCCAAATTTTTAGTAACGACAACAATATTGTTAAAATCTTACTAAATAATGATTTATCCTCAATTGATTTCAATAATCATCATAATGATAATAATAAAAGAAAACTAGATCAATTTCTTTCAATCCCAAACTATTCAAATTTTACAACCGTTTGGGAACGTTTGAGTTATCCCCATAATATTAAAAAAATTAAACTTTCTTCTTCACAAGACAATATATCTTCCAATTCAATTATCTCAAATAAAAAATCATCTTATAAAAATTTGAAAACTCCCCAAATTCTTGAGAAACCAATAACTTCTCCTTCAAGTAAAAGAATCACTTCTGGCATGTTAAAATTACCAAACTCATCAAAATATGTCTCAAATTCAACCATATCTAATGATATCCATGATCAGTCAGTCTATAATAGCTCCTTTAATGATTCAACCTTATTATCTCCTCCTATTGATCTCCCGGTTAATCCAAGAAGATCAATTACTCCAAATAAAAGAGATTTATCCTACTCTCTTCATAAAGATCAGAACTCTGATATTTCAGATAATTCAACTGATAATCTGAATTCTCAAGATGAAGATGATAATTTTGGTAATGATATAACTAACAATATCAACAATATCAACAATAACAATGATAATAGTACCATTCAAGATATTAAACAGATCAATGATACTACTATAAATAATTGTGATAATCATTCACAATCAACTATTCAGAACTCATATCAAACTTCTATCTCTACTCAAAATAATAATTTTGAAAAAAATACAGGCAATGTCTACTCCTCTTTTCAACTTAGTAAAAATCAATTGCATATCAATAAATCAAAATTTTCCCAAAATTTTAACATTTTAAGTTCTTCCACTCCAAATTCGAAAACTAAAAAATTGTTAGATCATCAATTAATTTCTTCTGATGCTATAAAAAATAGTTTCAATTCCCCAAAAAAATTTCAATCCAAAACAGACTCCATAATAAATCAAAAACTAAAAGCAAACACTACAAATGATTCGATCGATGAAATTTTAATTAAAAATTCTCAAAATAATACTGAAGATTCAATTAAAGAAAAATTTTCTATTCAAAACTCTAAAGCTGCATCAACGTTAAATGTTGAAAACTCTAATAAACATGAATTTAGTAATCTTATATCTGAAAAGATTATTGTTAGTGGGAAGCAAGATATTTCAAAAACTGAACCACAAAACAAAAAAAATGATATTTTGCCCAGTATAATCGATAAAAAAGTTTCATTGGATCAAGAAAAATTGACTAACAATAAAACCTCTATTGTTACCATGCATCATCAGCTAAAAAGCATAACAGATGATGCAATTGGAAATGATTCAAACACATCCTTGCATATACAAAAAATTGAAAATGATAATAATACATTAAACGATGATAATAACACTTTGATTGCAAAAGTTCCTTCCCAAAATGAAAATAAACAAAAAGAGAAAAAGGCTAAAATTGAGAACATTGAGAAAAAAAAAATATCATTCAATACTTCAGAAGCTGCTTCAAATAAGGACTCTATAGATAATAAAATTGATGATCTGATATTAAATAAAGTAAATGGAACTATATTAAATGCACCAGATCTAAACAGAGATATAGCCGTTAATGGTGAGTTATTAGATTCAATTATTTCTAGAAAAAAAGAAGATTCTAATAAAAATCAAAATGAAAAAAAAATGGAAACGGAAATGGAAACCAAAGATAAAGCTGCTAATTTTAAAGTTAATGAAAGTCAAAAAAATTCTATGAATTTGAAGAATGAAAAAAATGAGAAGAGCATTAATACTATTAAAAATGATAACTTTCTTGGCGAAAATGACCTCAATAAACTTTTGAGTGAAAGGCACAATAATGGATCAGATAAAGACACTGATGGAAACTTCGAAAATATTTCTAATTCAGCTTTAGATTCTGATTCTGGTTCTGATTCCGATTTGAATTCTGGCTCTGATTCAGACGTGAATGTTGACGGTGGTACTGATTCCGATGCTGGTTCTAATTCTGATGCTGATGCTGATTCTGATGTTGATTCTGATGCTGATTCTGATTCCGATTTTAATTCTCTGTCATCGGGTAATGAAAGTGATGCATTGGGTAAAAACAACAACGCAAGGCGTATTATCTCTGCTTCAAAAATTCCGATTTCTATAGCTGCTGGTTTTCTTTCCTTGTCACAAAAAAAGGATTCCTTATCAGATAATGAAAACTTAGATGCGGATCAAGGAAAAAATGAAAAGACCAAAAACGCTGATTTAAACTCATCCCAAGAAAAATCCGGAACAATCGAAAAACAAGTCAATGATGAATTGCAACTCAAAAATATTAATGTCATAAAAAGACCTAGATCAAATTTAAGTAGTTTAGCAGATCTAGCTAAACGTGGTATTCCAAGTGTTAGAGATAGTAAGGAAATTATTTTACCAAAAAAGTCTCAGCAGAAACAACTTGATAGTTCAAGTAGCGAATTTGAGTCCAGTTCGGATTCAGATTCGGATTCGGATTCAGATTCAGATTCAGATTCAGATTCATATTCATATTTAAAGCCCAAAAAAAAAAATGATAAAAATAAAAGAAAAAATGCAAATGAAAAACTTCTAAATAAATTTGGTTTAACCAAAAAACGGAAAAGAAATCCTTTCAATGATCTAATTAGAGATTCAAGAAAATAAAAACCTTAATCATATTTGGTTTTTTTTTTATTTTTTCATAAATATCGATATTTTTATACAATATCAATACTTTTATTTATTTTTATAATTATTTCGATATCTATTAATTCAGAAATAGTTTCCCTATTTTATATAAGTTATATTATAATTCAATGCATTTTATATATTTCAAAAAAGAAAAAAAGCAACTTCAAAAAACTCCTGAAAATGATTTCAAGAATTGTATATATTAACAATATCAGCTTTTCATAAATTCAATTAAAATTTTGAGGTTGCAGTTTTATTTTTTCAATGAGAACTTTGCAAAGCAATTTATAAATGCAACAAAATTGAGAAAAATCTTGAACCATTCTAGCTCTCTGTGATCTCAATTTCTTAATTGTTTCATAAATAGGGTCAGTATCATTATTCGTGTTTGGGGATTTATTATTTAACAAATATTTTAAACTGTAATAATTGTCTTTGAATTGCTTCAGGTAGTTTAATAAATAATGCAAAGTTATAAAAGTGCCAGTTCTACCAACGCCAGCAGAACAATGAATAAATAAAGGCAAACTTTGCTTTTTTTTGATGAATGGAATAAAAATTCTCTTTTCACTAAAATCTTTAACTTTGTGCAAAGAATGGGTATAATTAATTAGATTGTATAGATCATCAAGGTTAGTTGGTTGACTGAAATCATTCCATCTAGCAAAATAAAGATGGTGAATAATTTTTGAGGGATAAGCATTTTCAGAGGCATTATCTTTGTCCTCAGGAATGTATGGAGTTAGTAATAGTTGAGAATGGGTAAAACCACCATCCTTTACATACTTTTTAGTCAAATTTCTAAGTTTTAATTCGAACTTGTATTTTGTGTTGGTGCTTCTTTGAGCTAATAAAATTTCACTATCTTTCTCCATTGGCCAATAACAAGTGCATCTTTCTATAGAATTTTCAAGTAAAGGAGTTAACATTATAATAACTGAGTGGTAAGTATTATTATCAGATAAAGAATTGTCATAAACCATTTGCCAAAAATCATTTATAGTATTGGATAGTGGACCTTGAGCAGCAATGTATTGTTGATCTTCTAAATTAATAGAGGAAGCATTGATGTAATCTGAAAACTTGGTTTTTTTGTCTTCAACAACTGGCAATTTAATTCTGTTTCTATCAAATGGGAAAATGTTTGAGTAACGGTTATAACTTCTGTTCATCATTGAACCTGAAAGCAGACTAGAAAAGGGAGTGTCAGAAGGCTCAAACAAGTTTTTAGCTTCATCAAATTCTAATTGGTTAAATTTTGAGAATAAATCATTATTATTTTGCAATAAAAAAGGAGGAAGAAGATCTGTAAATTCTTTGGTTTCATGTTCAACAACAGCAGTGTTTTTGATTATATTAGCAGGTTGTTTTAACATGGTGTTAAATGGGTAAAAAAAAATAATTGAAGTTCCTTTAAATGAGTAACTGCTGGTATGGAAAGCAAATAAAATGTTATTTGAAAGATCAAAAAAACATATAAACTGCAAAAATAAAGGAGGAAGCAAATGAAGTATTATAGAAGAAAATAAAGATCTTTCTTGATAAGAGCAGTGCTATTGTGATTCAATGAATATTCCAGGAGCCTGAAGTACAATTGAATCTTCAACCCATATTAGCGATCTCTTTTTCTTTGAGCAAATCGTGGAGAGAGTAAAAGGAGTCTTGCTTTTCAACAATGTGAAACATGCTGAAGCTAAAAGAAGACCAATTCAAAGTAAACTACTTTTTCAATCAGTACAATTAGGTTTTCATGAAAGCATAACAGAAAAGTGATAAGACATTTGAGGATCAAAGACCAACTCTTTCTACAGATCACTAGAGAAAAAAAATTGCGTTAGAGGTAAAACAAATGATCGAAAGTTCATTAGTTTTAGAGATTGATATTGGATTACCAACTCACTTAATTTAGATGCTGGAAAAGAAACACATATATTGAAATAGAAAATAGGAAATCAAACTAATAATACATTGGGGTTTTTAGGGTAATATTGATAAATATATATAAAACAGACATAATATTTAGATTAGAAAATTTATTGGGAGGAATATTTTGTGACAGCTCTGGTGCCTTCGGAGACAGCATGCTTAGCCAATTCACCAGGCAATATCAATCTAACAGCAGTTTGGATTTCCCTGGCACTTATGGTGGACTTTTTGTTGTAGGATGCCAATTTTGAGGCTTCAGAAGCGATTCTTTCAAAGATGTCATTGACAAAGGAGTTCATTATGCTCATGGCCTTCTTGGACATACCAGTGTCTGGATGAGTTTGTTTCAAGACCTTGTAGATGTAGGAGGCATAGGATTCCTTTCTGGCTTTGTTCTTCTTTCTGGTTTCGGTAGGAGGAGCAGCAGGAACAGCAGCTTTGGAGGCAGTTTTGGCGGGGGCCTTTGATGCGACTTTTTTCTCAGCGGTTTTGGGAGCCATAGTAAGTAGTGTTGTTGGTGTTGGTGTTGGTGTTGGCGTTAGGAAGAGTGTTGTAGTAGGAAGAGCAGAGTATCGTGAGCAACAGCAAAGGGAAGAGCAGCTTGAAGAGCAGCAGCCTGAACTTATATAGCAGTGGGCTCCTTCCTAAAGTAGCAGAGCTGGCGCTACCTGCCTACACTAAAAAACAGCAGCAGGGCACTTTTCTGCCCGGGCGCTTTCCGCTGGTGAAAGCACTGCTCTCAACGCCGTTCCCAGATGTGCCACAGCGGCTGCAGATCCCAGCACGCTGCTTCTCTGGTTCGTTGTATAAATAGCTGTGTGGGCGCTTATCAGTCTCTGCTTCTTCTGCTTCTCCATCTCTGCTTAAGCATCTCTGCCATTTCTCTGCTATCACGTATCTTGTTCTTACACTCACACTTACATTCATAACTACTCTCATAACTGCTCTCATAACTACTCTCATCGTTCACAATGTCTGGAGGAAAAGGTAAATCGGGCGGTAAATCTGGCGGCAAAGTTGGCAGCTCAGGAAAGACAACCACCACAAGATCAGCCAAAGCTGGCTTGACCTTCCCAGTTGGAAGAGTTCACAGGTTGCTCAGAAAGGGCAACTACGCTCAAAGAGTTGGTAGTGGTGCCCCAGTCTACTTGACTGCTGTTTTGGAATATTTAGCTGCTGAAATTTTAGAGTTGGCTGGTAACGCTGCCAGAGACAACAAGAAAACAAGAATCATCCCAAGACACTTGCAATTGGCCATCAGAAACGACGAAGAATTGAATAAGTTGTTGGGTAATGTCACAATCGCCGAGGGTGGTGTCTTGCCAAATATCCATCACACTTTATTACCAAAAAAGACTTCAAAACCAAAGGCTTCTCAAGAATTATAAATTTAGGGATTCTTTACAGAACCTTATTCTACTATCATTAATTTGTCTTGATTTTTTTTGTATTTTAATGTCATTTTTGTATGTTTCTATTTTTCTATTATTTTTATACTTGGGTTAATATTCTGTATAATAAATTTATATGTTATGTTTATCTATATTTGATAAATTTTATAATTTAATAACTGTCTACATTTGATCTATATCGTAAAATTGAAATTAAAATTAAAAAATTCGCCAATTTTATTGAAATATCTAAAAAGATAATTAAACATTGAAAATGAAAAAAAAAGGTGTTTTAAAAAAAACTAAAATATAATTTAAATGATATTACAATATTTCACAGCTTTCATAACTACCAAAAAAAAACCCTAAACGAATGAAATAACACAAAAGAAATGAAAAAAAAAATAAAAAAAACATTATGCTTGTAGTTATTACTAAAATATAAATCAAAAATTGAGAATATCATTGATCAAAATAGAGAATTTTATTGATCAAAATAATTATTTTTATGAGCAAATTATATTTCCTAAAGCAAAGAGACAGAATCATCTCTCAAACTTGAAGGCATATTAGGAAATGGCTTATTTGTAGGATACGGAAGAGTAGAATTTTTGTTTGAAACCATATTAGAAACTTGACTATTTTCATTTGTTTCAAACAGACTTTGGTTTACGTTTGATGAAACGTTTTCATTTGGAGAGTTTAAAATGGAGGTTGAATGTGTATTTTCTGATTGTAGCTTTGATATATTATTATTATTATTATTATTAGTAGTAGTAGTAGTAGTAGTAGTAGTGGCAGTGGTAATATCAGAATTTAAACCAGTAAAATTGGGGTTTAAACCTGCGGTGACCGAATAAGGAATTAAAGGTTTTGGAGGCAGATTTGAAATGTTCTTGTTGTTATTAGAATTATCTTGAATTATATTTTTCATTTCAACGGGCTCAGTTATTGAAATTGGATCAACTGGAATTGGTAGTAGTGGGGAAATAATTCTATCAGGATTATTGTTTTGGTTATTGAAGAGATTGTTGGGTTGACTAATTGTATCATTACTATTTCCAAATCTATATTGTGCAGGTGTTGTATTGGGATAACTGTCAAAATCTATTGTTACACCACAGTCTCTTGAATCAGAATTTTTTATAATGTGATTATTATTGGAATTGGGATTGGAGGAGGAATTTTCTAAACCACTGGGTATTTCATTGATATTATAGGCACCAGAAAATCTATTTTTGATGTTAAACGTTGAGGAATTTGGATTTGATTTTATAGAATGAGTAAAACTGTTGTATTGATGGGGATTATCATGGGTTATATCAAATGGAATGGTCATCGGTTGTTGATGATTAACTTGTTTAATATTGATATCGTTATTGTTATTATTGTAATTTTGATTGTAATTTTGATTGTAAATGGTTTTTGTATTGTTATTGCTATTACTTATATTTTTATTATCAGCGTCCAAGTTTAAAGGTAAAGGTAAAGTTGGATAAATAACACTAAATGGGTGTTTATGATTATTATAGTTATTTGTATTAATTCCTGGTAGATTGTGATTTGAAATGGGATTAGTTGTTGAGTTATTAGTGGAGTTTGAAAATGAATCAGAAGGCTTGTAGCTGTTTAATCGATATGGCTGTAAATTATCTTGATTTTGAGAAGAAAAAAGGAAATTTTGGTTATCCATGGCGATTCTTGAGCTTATTGATCTCCGCAAGACGCAGATGACACCACTTGCTAAAGCAATTAAAACAGTTGCAGGTAAGATTATCCAGCCAGCCCAGCCTAGATGAGGAATAAACAATAGGATGTCTACTAAAAAACTTAATAGACTTAATAGAAAAGTTGGTAATGTCCAAAGTAATAAGAAAAATAACAATTTTAAATTTTTCTTGAAACGATTAAAATGAATCAAGATCGATAAAATTAGTAAAATCAAGGTGAAACCAGTGGATATGGGATGAACAATTAGCAATCTTGATACTACATGTCTTGCATTTGAAGGTAAAGAAAACCCAGACAATTCATCGATGATTGAGTCATCAGAATAGCCTATTGAGATAGAAGAACAAACACCATTATTGTTACATATTCCAAATACACCAAATCTATAGCCATCGTATCTGCAAAGAGTTATATTTTGAGATATAGGAACAGATAAAACAGAAATTAATTGCAAAGTAGAGGAGATAATTAATAGTATAGTTATAGTAGAAGCTATTTGATAAGCCATGGTAAGACCAGTGGAAGGTGTTGATAAAGGCAAATAACAAAGCAAACAGAAGAGAAAAGCAGGGTGTTTTTGATATAGTAGTGACAGCAATTATATCAGGAGAATAAGCAGCAGTATATTCTCAAAAAAAAGAAGGAATAAAGAATAAAACAGAAAGAATAAAATTTTCATTTGTGCAAGAGGTGGTTCACATCAGAAGAGAATCTGGTGAAGAAACTCAAAGTGAAGACGATATAAAACATGAATAACATCACCTAAAACAGAGCAGAAGATGAGCACATGATGTCCCAAACACACCCACCCCGCGGCGCACACGCCTTTTGCACGCTTCAAGAAACCAGACGGGATGAGCTTTGGGAAGACAATAGACATCCCTCCTTCCAATATCGTGGTCCTGCGCCACAAGCGTGGTAATCTGCAGGTAGACGCACACCCATGGCACTGGTTTATGTTATTGGTGAGAAAGCAACAAAGAAGGAAGAGGTGTGAAAGTCAGCAAGCTTGGTGTTCAATCTGTATCATTTTTTTCTTTTTTTTAGATGTATCAAGAACAATAGTGTAGGATCTGAATTTTTGAGTGCTTTTTTCTTGTCAGGTAATCAGGTAATCGGGTAATCAGGTAATCATTTAGACAGCTGGACAGTTGTTTTCAAATCAGTTATTGATTTTTCGACTGTATTTCGCATTACAAATTTGGAATTTGCTAACAAATCAGCTCGCCAGGTCACTTTTTCAATAGAATTTTTCCCACCATTATCTTCAAACAATCGAAATTATTGCAGCTATTCTTCTGGTTTTGTTAGTGTTATAAATTGATCAATTTTTTCTAAGTTTTTTTTTGCCTCCAATTGTGAGCTGCACAGAAGAAAGAAGCCAGAACAAAATGGACAGAATAAACGAAAACAATAATAGCTGTCAGAATGATATCGATCCAGATAACAGGTACAATAACAAGGATATACAGTATGTGACGGATGTTTTGGGAAACGGGTTTTTAATTGAGGAATTTGCAAAGGAAATTGGGATGGGTAATGACAGCAAAGAGGATGGATATCAAAATCTCATGGTGTTGAATGATATTATTTAGATGATTTGGTAAAGTATGTAGGACTATAGGGATGGAACAATTTAAGTTTCTCATGCGCAGACCCGGCACAGTTGCGTTATTGGGACCAACATTGCATGAGGTAGGCAAGAGAAGCTCAGTCACGTTTGCATCCCACTGGATGGTAAGTCATTTGATTTTCCTCGCAACGCAACGCAACAGGTATAACCAAACACAAATCAAAAGAACATCTAGGTGGGCAGTCAAACGATTAAAGATTTCAACATTTCTAGATTTCTAGATTTGAATAAACGATTATTATACATCAGTAGCTAAGAAGTACATAGAAGTGAACTATAGCACGCATAGCCAAGTATAGGGGATTGATATTGGGTGTATCAAAATTGAAGAATAATGGGTCAAGTGTTTAGCAAAATTTTTGGAAAGCTATGGAGTCTGAATAAAGAAATACGTATATTGATTCTTGGATTGGATGGAGCAGGGAAGACTACAATTTTGTATCGATTACAAATTGGAGAGGTTATTAAAACCAAACCAACGATTGGATTTAATGTTGAAACGTTGACATATAAGAATCTCAAATTAAATGTTTGGGATCTTGGTGGGCAGACTTCTATAAGACCATATTGGAGATGCTATTATGCCAATACTGCAGCAGTAATATTTGTTGTTGATTCGACGGACAAAGATCGTATTGAGACAGCTAGTAAAGAATTACATATGATGTTAAGAGAAGAAGAATTAAGTGATTCAGCATTGTTGGTGTTTGCAAATAAACAGGATCAACCTGGAGCCATGACAGCTGCGGAAGTCTCAAAAGCATTAAATTTAGTGGAGTTGAAGGATAGAAGCTGGAGTATTGTGGCAAGTAGTGCGATCAAAGGAGAGGGATTAAGTGAGGGACTAGATTGGTTGATTGATGTTATCAAAGACGAGCAACTTTAATATTTTTGTTGAGTGATTAGTTAGTTATTTACTTTATAATAAGTTATTTAATTATATACAATAGAAGTTTAGTGTCTCTGCATTTTTTTTTTGTTTTAGTTTATTTTACAATCATTTTTTATCACAGCTGATTTAATTTTTTGGTTTTCAGTCCGATAAGTGGAGTATATAAGAAAAAAGAGAAAAAAATCGGAACAAGAACACTTCTTCAATTTATTAGTTTAGTAATTTAGTAATTTAGTATTGAAAAATCTATGTACAATTAGTTAATAAAGTAAAATAAGATAAATTTAGTAGGGAGATATAAAATCATCAATTATTTTCCACCTGAACAACAACATGAACCGCTGGAGGATGAACAAGAAGAGGAACAAGAACAAGAGGAACCACCGCAACAAGATTCAGGCATTTTGAGTAGGTGCTAGAAATAGATAATCGAGTTAAATAGAAGAAAAGGAAACCAAGGTGATAGATTCTTTGATAGTTTTGGACTTTGGAGGTAATTGTAGAAGAAAGAAGGAATCAAGACGGAGTTTATATAGAAAGAAAAAGTGACAGGGAGTGGTGGGACACTGATAAGAGACGACCCACAGGAGTGGTCTGAAGCGGTTCTGGAGCGGTTCTGGAGCGAGCAGGACGGAGAAAGAAGCGTGTTGGTGGAGCGGGTTCAGTGGATGCGCGGATTGATGATTCTGAGTCAGTTACGGGCAACGTGACAGCTGGAACAAAGTTGACGGAGCAGGCTCCATTTTTCCCCAGAGAGGTGAGCAAATCAAGCAACCAAACAAACCCGCACAGAGCATCGGAACACGAAAGGCAGGAGCCAGGCCGTGCGGTGATTGGCCAGAGAGAACAGGAGACGGGTAGTTCGATAATCGGAATTGGCTCCAGGTCGAGGAGGATAAGAACGGGTTCAGGGTGCGTCGCACTGCGGGCCTGCGAGCAGAGCCAGGGTGGGCAGACAGCGCAGCGAGGGAGGGTGACGGCGCAGACTCTCAGGCGCAGAGTGTGGCAGCGCGCAGACGGGTCCGTGCTCCGGCTGGGGGTCACCCTGTCTGTGTGCCGAGGGTGTGCTGGGCGCAACCTCAATACCCGGGCATAGACGTGCATGCCCACCCCAGAGCTGGAGACTATCGGAACTGTCAGAAGCTTGCACTGAGATGGAAAGGTGTTGAGCTTTGCTTTTTTTTTACTGGAAAGCTAATCGATTATAACGCTGTGTTTCTTACTAGATTCCACATTATTTACTATTTAGTATTTACCATTTGATATGGGAAAAAGTTAGTTGTCATCAAGTTTATGGAGAAATGGTAGATTGTTTTGATATAAATAATCTTCAAATTCCTTTGCAGTTGATGGGTAGCAGATTAAAGAACGTTGATGATATAAGTAGAATTAGTTTTGGTTCTCTATACTTGTTTCGATATTATTTTGATATTATTTTGATACTATTTTGATACTATTTTGATATTATTTCATCATTCTTTCAATATTACTTTATTACTTTATTACTTTATTATTTTATTACTTTATTACTTTATCACTATCACTTTAATATCATAAATCTTAACAATTTTAAATAATCATTCAAAATGTCATTTCCTATTAACTTATTACCTATTGAACTCCAATTCAAGATTATTTGCAAAAGTGATATCAAAACATGTGTCAATTTATTGAAAACCAACAAAAAACTAAGATGTTTAACATTACTTGCTTTAAATTTCAAAGTCTCCAAGATATTGGGTGTTGATTTGTTAAAACAAGAATATAATGGCGACGAATCTCTAAACAAGTTAAATTTAAGTTTGTTTTCCCCACAAAATAAAAGGTCTTCCAGTGACAAGTATTATTATGAGTTGTTACCAGTTTTTGCAAACCGTGGTGATAATGATATTAATGAAGAGGATATTATTAATATTGGCAAGAGATTTGAACATTTCTCAGTGAAATTGAACAAATGTTTATTATCTAAAAATTTATTGTCTAAAGAAGTGAAAAAGGTTGATGAAAACAAACAAAACTTGCAAAATTTAGCCCTTGAAGATAATCGTGATAATAGCAATGATAATCAAAATGATAGTCAAAATGATAATCAAAATGATAATCAAAATGAAAAGGATTTTTCAATGAATTTGCTAATTAATGAATATTCATCCTTTTTCAAGTTTTTCTACACATTATCCGTCACTAAGGATAATAAGTCCAATGACACCACCATCAAAAGAAATAAGCTAGCTGAAAACAGCTCATCAATTAAGCTAAACAAAATGAAATCGACAGTTTCAAACAATTCTCTTATCAATAAAGGCATCAAATTGGATTTGAATGTTACCAATCTTGACAAAGTGGAACCACCAAAACACGATTACGACTTTGATGTTTTTGAAAACTTCAAGTTGGACATAATCAACCTCCAAATCAACACCTGTTTTCTATTAGATTTAATTGAATCTGGCAATTGATTCAAAAGACACTGCTCACTGTATTATATTTTTTTTTTTTCATTTCATTTCATTTCATTTCTCTCCTTTCTCCTTTCTCTTACTTTTTCTCTGTTATAACTCTGGCTGGCTTTCATTCATACCAATGCATTGCATACCTGTCGGCATTGGACAACTGTTTACTTTTCTATTCCTGGCATCTATACACTATCTATATACTATCTATATATTCTAATTTATAATCTATAATTATCATCTATAATCTATAACCCATAATCTATATACTCTAATCTATTATACATCATTCAGCATCCAACCTCTACAGCTGCATAATCACCAAATTATACTTCCAACACTCGCTCAACCCTGCCTCCACCTCTCGCACGCATTTCTTTTTGACGCGCGTGTCCCTCTGTGTGTGGGACGTGTATCCATACACACGTGCAAAGACCGGGCTCCAATACCTGAGTACGAGCCTAGACCATGCTGCGGCCCTGTTTCCGCGCAACACGGCGGCTGCTCACTTGCTGCGAAAAGAAAGAACACTGTAGCGTGTATAAAAATCATCTTCTGTTTTCCATCTGTTTTTCCATCTTTCTTCGTCCTTCAATTCCACTCCATCTCATTATATCTCGTTTTATCGATCTTATTATATCGATCTCGTTATATCGATCTTAATATATCTATTTTATTCTCTCTCAGATCTGCTCTACCTTCCTCTATATCCCTATCTATACTTCTCAAACCTGCTCTGCTCTGCTCTGCTCTGCTTTCCTGGGTCTGTTCTCTGTCCACTCTGCCAGAGTTAACCACACCTCTAAGCGCTGATATTTTTCCCAACCTCTTAACACTGATACTATCTTTCCACTACTCACAATCTCTCATTTTCTTTCAAAACCATCGTTCTCATCCTCTCTGCAATCCTCTACACTTTTATTCTTATCCACTATTCCCCAAGTTTTGCAATACTATCCTTCAAATATTCCTATCTCCTATTCCTTATTCTTTTCCACCTTTTTTCCACCATCTTACAAAGCTCAATTGTTATCAATCAAATCAAATAAAATCAAATCAAAAACAATATACATATATACAAAAATAAACAAAAAAATAATAATAAAATATAAACAAAATTTAATCCAATTTTTTTCAATTAATGCCTAATATAATTTAATAATTTGTTTTTCTTTTTAATTTATCATGTCTTTTCAAAATATCAACAATAATATTAATAACATTAATAATGTTAATAATATTAACAACAATATTAACAGCAATATCAACAGTAATATCTCCACTCTTACTCCCACCTCTTTGACAAATACCATCAACGATCAGCTAGATGATCCCAATAGATTATCTTTAAATTCAGAATTTTCTTTTGAATCAAACGACAATATCCGTCCTGATAACGACTTGGATAAACAATGCTTAAAACCTATCATTTCAAACTCTTCTTCATCTTACTCACAACAAAATCGTTTGAATTTTCCTTTTCATTCTCAATCACAATCACAATCACAATCTCAATCCACTAATAACCAAATTTTAGATATCAACAACCTTAATTTAAACCTTTTAAACTCTTTAAACTTCAATCCAAATAATATCTCCATAAATTCTAAAAATAATTTAATCTTATTACTTTTAAAAAAATTGGCTAATCTCTCAAACATTAAAAATAACACTCCTTATGATTTTATCGATTTTAATATAAATGATTTGGATCATTTTATAAACATGGAATTAAAAAATCAATTTTTACCAATTAATTTCTTAAATCAACATACCAATACTACTACTACTACTACTAATAATAATAATACCAATAATAATACTACTAATAATAATAATAATAATAATAATAATACTAATACCAATACCAACACTAACGCTAACGCTAACACTAAAACTAACAGTATCCAAATTCCAAGAAGATCATCAAATAGATTACCTAATAACATCAATACTAATAATATATCTCTTCAAGAAAGCCCCGTTTTAACAAACACAAACCAATTAAGCTCCGATTTAATTTTATTATCTCCATCTTTATCTTCTTCTTCCTCCATTTTAAAATCAAAATCCTCTGAAAATTTAACCCTAAAATCAGATCTTGATCATAATCCTGTTAAAGAAGATATCTCTCATAATAACACTATTCATGATTTGTCTATAATTACAAATCCTACTCTACCAATTAATCTCTCCTCCAAATCTTTAAATAATTCAAGAATTCATTTACCTCAATCCCAATCCCAATCCCAATCCAGTGCTCCTGATTTACGCTCTTGTCCAGATTCTACGATTTTGAAATCTAATTCATTTGTTATACCGCATGATGTTATTTTAAAATCATCTCCAAAAAGACAATTTTCTTCTTCCTCTTTAAAGTTACCAAATAACAACAACAACAATAATAATAATAATAACAATACCAACAATACCAACAACAATGGTATTGTTGCATCATCACTGAGTCATTCTTTATCCTATAAAAAATCAAACTCAAATTTAGACGTTTTGAATTCAATCCAAAACTCGTATTCATCTCTGCATAATAATTTATTTCGTTCAAATATTTCGGAAAGACGTATGATTTTACTGAAATTAGAAATACCTTCAAATAAAGATGACGATAGGTCTAATAATTTCAATGAAAACAATAGGGACTCAACTACACCTGTGGAAGAAAAAAAATTACACTCCCCTGTCATTGTCAAGAAAGAACTAACCTCTTCTCCAAGGTCAATTCGTTCCCCCAGATCTTTAATTCCAACCTCACCATCAAGATCTCAACTTCAAAGATCTCCCACACCAAGATCCCCCTCTGCTAAATCATCAACTGCAAAATCACCTCTTAATAGATCTCCAGCAAGATCCTTCCCCGGATATACATCAAACACAACATCTGCCAATTCTCACAAACTAAACAACGTTAGATCTCTTGATAAAATAACAAACAAAAAAGAACCTCCAACACCAAATAAATTAAATACATCCAATCCGCGGCCATCTTTAAGAATATCAAATCAATCTGTTTCTTCTTCAAGTAGCTTGTCCTCTCAAAAACAACAATTTCCTCAGTTTCAACAAATCAGACAATCACAGATATTACTGCAAAATACATCCCATTCTAATTTGACTTCTCCAATTCAACAACAACAAAATGAAATTATTACAAAGTCTATTAATTCCAATAACGATTTTTCAAATCGCGCTGACAGCAATAATTTCTTAGACCCTAATCACTCAAAATCATTTCTGGATAACCACCAAACTAAAAATCTTAATTCTAACAAAATTTTATTGGATTACAGAGGAAATTACGTATCACAACCTACAACTCCTATTGTCACATCCTTTCAAAATTCTTCTCAACAATTACAATCTCAACAACAGTCAACTAACGACCTCAACTCTAGAAATAACCATGTTTCAAGAGAAACATCTATTTTATCTCCTCAATCAGTTCATTTTCCTATAAATTCTCCAGGTTCATCTAATATGCTTTCAAGAAGAAAGGAAAAAGATGATAAAGAATTGGAAGAAATACCCAGAGATACTTCATTATTTGTTAAACCTGAAGATTTCCACACAATTACTTTGAATATTATTTCAACTTTATCAATAAATAACAGCAATGCTGTCGATTTCGATCCCTATATTTTATTTGCATCCTGTGATAAACAAACAAAAAAAGAAATTTGGAGGTTTAAAAAAACTTATTCTCAAATTTATGAGTTGGATATCGAAATTAGAAGCACTCTTGTGGATTCCTTTACATTGCCTCCCATTCCAGATAAATCTTTGTTTATCACAAGTTTGCCAATAAAGATTGATCAAAGAAGAACAGGATTAAACGATTATTTCAAAACCTTAATTAGTTTAAACAACCTTCCTTATAAACTAATTTATAGAATTTGTAAATTTATTTCTTTAAATGTTATAAATCCTTTGGATGATGTGGAATTCAATTTTAATTCCAATGTTTCATCTGGCTTAGAAATAGAAGGTGGTGAGAACCACGACATTAAAAAACACGGATATTTGATTAAAAGATCTAAAGCTATTTCTGGAAATTCATGGAAAGTTAGATATGCTAAATGTGATGGACCTTCATTAGACTTGCATCTGTCTATTGGGGGGCAGTTGGTTGAGTCAATTCGATTACCAGGGGCACAAATTGGAAAACAAACCACAGAATCTTCAAATAATTCCAACACTTCTCCATACCGAGATAATTCAAACGAAAGTCAAATAGCAGGTGCAAATAAAGGTTATAGACATGCATTTTTGATCATGGAGCCCAAAAAAGCAACTCTAAGCTCTAATCCATTTACAAGACATATATTTTGTTGTGAGACAGATGAAGAAAGAGATGAATGGGTAAATGCTCTCATTGATTTTGTTTCTTTAGATCAATATCCAGTTCAAAACGGCAATACTAATCAAATTGATAGTCCCGTTGTGACCATTACTAAAAAAAATTCTAATAGCTCAATTTCTACAAACAAATCAAAGGCTCATAGAAGACATCAGTCCGTGGACTCTAATGCAATTTTATCTCAACCTCATTTATTACAATCTCAAACTAATCAAGGTCAACAGACGCTGCTTGAAACATCAACATCGTCAGAAAAGTTTAATAGCTCGGAATCGATATTGTTTAACGATAATGCTAGTAGACATACTCACTCTCGAGGAAAAATGAAGAAAAGAAATTTCTTTTCAAATTTTAGAACAAAACATAGACCAGCAGTCTCTTTGTCACAGCAAGAACAATCAAGTTCTAGAAACAATAGTGAGAAAAACTATAATCATGGAAAACGAGGCACAAGCGTTGGAGTCTCTACTTTGTTGAATTTTCCTATGAATAATGAAGATTCTAGTTCTAGTAAAAAAAATGACAGTGAAAGTGTATTATTACAACCAGTTACTCAATTGTCTCAACTGAATGGAAGCAATGACCAATTACCAACACCAAACATGCCAATCAAGTCTTATCAATATCCAAGATCATTGTCAAACACAAATATCAAGTCGATTCAAGAAACACTTAATAACATGAATCTTTCTGAGGGCAATCCCGAGCACCTCTTTGGAGTTGAAATTAACAAGGCTTTTAAATTATCAAGTCATTCTTATAAAGGGAAAGATATTCCCAGTATTATTTTTCGATGCATTGATTATTTGAATCAAACTGGTGCTATATATGAAGAAGGGTTATTTCGGGTTAGTGGTTCGTCAACAACAATCAAAAATTTAAAAGAGGAGTTTGATTCAAAATTTGACTTAGACCTATGTAATCCTAAATATCGTCCTGATATTCATTGTATTACAGGATTATTGAAATTATATTTGAGAGAGTTACCATCCCCATTAATATCTGCTACAAATTTGGCCTCTTTTTCAAGTGTGATAAAGGATTATGAGTTTTTGGTAAAAAAAGGAAAATCCAAATTCAACCCTCAAAATAAAAGCAGTGACGCATATTTAAACTACATAATGCAATTTAAAAGAATTTTAAGTTGCGAGGTTTCTGATGTAAATTCTCACACCCTATACGCTCTTATAAGCTATCTTGTTGAGGTTATCAAAAATGAAGACATGAATAAAATGAACGTTAAAAACATTTCTATTGTTTTTTCACCAACATTACATATTGATACAAAGATTTTAATTGAATTCATTTCAAACTATAAGTTTTATTGGGAGAAAGGGGATTATATTCAAGAAATAGATCGTAAAGAGGTTGAATCGATCAATATACCATTTTACTAACTAATCGTTCTTGTTTTTTTTATTTTTCTTTTGAAAATGAAGAACAAGGAATTAAAATAATTAGAATAAATATTAAAAACATAGAATTTCTTATTTCTGATTGGATGCTATTTATAAATTATTTAATAATTTTTTTTTTTTTGCTTTTTTTTTGGCTATGATTTCCTTTTCTTTTTTATTTAAAGGTTATTGTTTTATTTTATTTTATTTTTTTCTATTTCAGTTCTGCTATTGTTATTTATTTCAGATTTTATTTTGTTAGAACTTTTGTTCGTTGTTTATGTGTCTTATTTTATTTTTTAGTTTTTCCGAATTTTATTTTTATTTTATTTTTTTCTGCATATTTTTCAGTCGTTTGTTTCTTGTTAAAAAATAATTTGTTTTAATTTTGCGAATATTTAAATCGTTTTTTTTATTTTTTATTTTTTGAAATTCCGTACTGTATTTCCTAATTAATTTTATAGTTTCAGATTTCTTGTTGTTTATTAGAACACTAGTTAATTGTTTTTATTTTTGTATTCTTTCTGTCAAGACTTTTAGTATTTGAAATAATATCCTAAATTAATGAATAATCAAATAAATTATTAAATATATATCTATACAATATGATATCTGTTTTAAGTTATAGGTTAATAAACTCAATCAAATGTGTAAGTCTAATTGGGGCTTTTTCACAATTCTTTTTTTTCTTCCAGCACCTGTTAGCTGTTTATCGAATTGAGAAACTTCTTTTAAATCTCTTCCAAAAGGGTCTTCCTTTTTCACTTTGTAGATTCTAACTATCCAATTTTCAGACGTAAAAGCCTCTTCGAGAATGTTCAATTCAGGGCTTAAAGAAGGATTCAACTTTTGATTTCTTACCCTATCAATGCCATCTCTACCGTTGTATAATTCAATAAAGTTATAATAAGACATTTTGTACATCAATGAGTTTTTCATGGTTTCAGAAGCTTGATCGTCAACTCTATACTCACCTCTAGCAGTAAAAAACAGCCTCTCTTTTACCTCGTCGGGCCACAAGCCTTCAGCTATTCTAACCATCCAAAGAAACTTATTCAAATCATCCCCAGAAAATCCAATAACACCACCAAATATTATTAATACATAATCAACATCGTTTTCTTTTAAAATTCCGTATGAAACTTCCTCAGACGAGCACATGGCTTTACCAACAGTGGCAATATGAGTATTATTCCAAGTATTATTGTCTACTAAAGTGGTTCTGTCTGCCATTCCACCAATTTGATAACCATAATCCCACCAAGACATGATTTTGGCATCTGTGGGGGTGTTCATACGTAACCAGTAATAAGCTTCACGATAATCATCAATTAATTGTTGAGAGCCATCAGCAGCTCTTGATGCTAAAACAACGGATGGTGAAGAGTATGCATTGGATGTAACCCAGGTACAATGGTAAACAAAATAAACAAGGTACAAACCAAAAGTAAGAATAACAGAAAATTTGGAAACAATCTTGATCAATTTATTTGAATTTGCTTTGACTGTCTCAGATTTCGATTTTTGTTTGATAAACTCAGAAAAATCCATATAAACATCAAATAGCTTAGATAAAGCAATTGCAGCACTGACACAGACAATAGGAGTTAAAGTTAACATTAATCTAACCATAACACCAGCAAAGTAAGAACATAACACACCATATATTATGACAAAAACGTGTTCATTTTTCAATTCTTGAAATAAAAGATAAATTCCGGCAGGGAATAACCAAATTAAAAACTGGGTGTCAAAAAAAAAAGCAGGCCAAGCAGTTGGTTGATGTTCAGAAACAGAAGCAATAATTGGAATATGAATTTTAGCATATGAAGTATCCCATAATGAATAAAATCTTCCGGTCCAAGGAGCAATCAAACCGGCCATAGTTAAGCCAACAAGACCAAAAATCCCAATTATAGTAATTAAAATGATGGAAAATATTAAAAAAAATCTAAATTGAACAGAAGAAACCTTTGATTTAACGTAATCACCAAATGCCACAAGTTGTAATAAACCAAAGACACCTAAAGCAGCCATATGATCGTTTGACCTAATTGGTAAAAATCCAACAAAAGGAATTTGCATTGATGCAATAGTACCAATGGCATACCAAGTTGTATAGGAAGTGTATAATTTATGATTGTATCTTCCCATGCATAATAGAACAAAAACATGTAAAGGAATGAGGTTGGTAATAAATACATAACCACCCCAAGCAGCAACCATATAAAAATAAAAAACAGCGGTTACGGCACTCCAAAATATGGAACCATATTTCATTGATCTAATCCAAAGATAAAAAGTAACCATCAATAATGTGATTGCAATGGCTTCGTTATCGTATGAACCTGCAACAGATCTGGAAATGTAGCCTGGAGCAATTGCAATAAATGCTGCAGCTAGTAAACCTGCAGATTCATCTTTCATTTCTTTTGTAAACAAATAGGTCGCAATTGCAGTCAAACCAGAAAATAAAGGAGCAAGTAAAACACAGACATTTCTAATATCAACAGGCAATCTCAAAACTTTTCTCAAAAAATTCCATATGAAGGCCGAAGTGATCATTAAACCTGGGTATAAAGTACCGCCGGTGACTCTCCCCAAAGGGTACCAAGTTCTGTCATCAAACCAATTAAAAAATTCATAGTATGAGCTGTTGACTAGTTTCTGTGTTGCTCTGTAGTTAAACCAGGGATCAAACTCATGTATAATGCTTTCAAATCTTATAACAGAAAACAAACGTGAAGATATTGCTGCGCCAATGATGGATACAAAAATCGCAATTTTCAACAACAATACCACGCTAACAACCACCTGTGGATCTATATTCTTGGATATGGATAGCATTGCTCAGGAGATAATTGACTCAAAAGGATGGCAGTTCAGTTTACTTCAGTTCAATTCATTTATTCAGGCTCCATCTGTTATCGATTTTGTCTTTTTGGTTGACACGTTGAATAATTCAAAACGTGACACACAGATCCATGGTTCTGGGTCAAAGCATAGTTGCATATGCATCTCGTATATTACACATAAATATGAATATCACCGCATGATGAAGCGTACTGCTTGATTTTTTCTTGGTGCTCAGATTCTCAGATTCTCAGCTTCTCGGTTTTTGTGCTGGACTTTTCGAAGAGCAATATCGAGCTGGAGCTGGACACCAAACGCAGCAGCATTTTTTTCCACTATCACCAGGAGCAGGCCATACTGTGTTCCTGGTTTTGAAAACCAGCTTGGACCTGCAGGGGAGACTGCTGAGTGTTTCATTTTTGGGGTTTTCTTACAGACTCGCAGTTTAATGAACTCTCTGTTGTTTTTTGGGAAAGGAAAGCAGATTGTCTGCTGTTGTTTGCCTCTGTTGATGTGTGTGATAATGTAGAGAAACGAGCAACTCAAATAGATTATTTCCATAGATCACTGTAAAATTATCCTTGTCCTTCTCGACTCTATGTCCAACACAATATTTGATTCATATCCACCATTACGGTCCACATTCTATGCTGTTTTTATCATCACAAAATACCACTTAGCACATTTCGAATTTGGCCATTTTCTAAATTTCTATTCTTTTCATCAACATTTGGTAATAAACATATCTAAAAACAACATATAATCTTGTCAGCCATATAAATTGAATACCTTGAGCATTGACCATTATCATCAATGATTCCCAACAAAATAAACATTGAGACTCATTCATTCCCATCCTCAGATAGAAAAGACATTAAAATCAATAATTGTGATACAAGATTAGCTGGTAACAACAATGTTTATTCACATTGCTCAAATTTCGATGATTCTACGCATTCATCTCAAGATCAGAATAAAAATAGTACAAAGAAAGATGAAAATCATCAATTGGTAAAATTTGATATTGAACTTAACAATTTAATAAAAAGCAATTTTCATTTTGCTCATTTTCATAAAACATTGTTTAATGAAATCAACAATCAAAATATACCCTTGATTATTTTATCGCCTTTGTCTTTAAATCATACCTTTGGTAGAAGTTGGGTTTCAAAATCTGACCTTTCAAGTATAGTAGAAAGACCCCAAAGATTATTAGCTGCTTCGATTGGTATAGCTGCTGCGCTTTCATTATTCCCACAAAATTTCAAAGTTTATTTATCAAATTTCAAATCTTCTTTATATTCTCATCATGTTGTCAAGATTCATGGCAAAAAATGGCCTCAAGAAATCGAAAAATTATGTCAAGAAAGTGAAAAAAAATTAGCTAAAAATCAAATGGAAGTCCCTGAGGGCTGGCCCAATGGCGACATTTACTTGAACAAAAACACTATATTGGCTTTAAAGGGAGTAGTTGGAACTTTAGAAAAAAGTGTTGATTCAATTTTTGATGAGAAAACAAGGTTTTTTAATTCATTTAAAAAGGTATTTGTGGTTATTCGACCTCCAGGCCACCATTCTCACCCTTGCACACCCTCGGGATTTTGCCTTATAAATAACGCCCAAATTGCTATTCAATATGCTAGCGATACTTATAACATTACACATGCTGTTATTTTAGATATTGATTTGCATCATGGAGATGGAACTCAAGATATTTGCTGGAAAAGAGCTGGTTTTAACTCGGAGAATTTGGTTTCTGATTTCGATTCTGCTTTTGATCTCAATATCAATAAAAATGAATTTTCTAATAATAAATACGATTCATCTACCAAAAAAAAATCCCTGGATCCAAAAGTTGGTTATTTTTCTTTACATGATATTAACTCATTTCCAACTGAATTAGGACATGCAACAGCATCAAGAATTAAGAATGCTTCAACTTGTCTAATAGGTCATGGCCTATGTATATGGAATGTCCATTTACAAAAATATAAAGATGATAATGAGTTTTATCAACAATATAAAACCAGATACAATCAGATTTTATCAAAAGCAGAAGAGTTTTTAACACAGGAAAAATTAGAATACAAAAACAAACTAGATGATTATTACATTCAACTAGATCGATACAATAAAACGAAATCTCAATCCTTTCAGACACAGAATTACATTTTTGATGAGAATCAAAAGAATAGCTTGGATCATAATGAAAACTATAATAAAAACTATAATAAAGGTTTTCAACTTAAAAAACCTTTAAAACCAGCGGAATTTAAACCGATGATTGTAATTTCATCAGGTTTTGATGCTTCAGAATATGAATCTCAAAATATGCGAAGACATGATGTGCATGTTCCAACCTCTTTTTACTGCAATTTTACTAAAGATGTTGTAAAATTGTCAGAGAAGTTTACAAAAGGCAGAGTTCTATCATTACTAGAAGGTGGCTATTCAGATGCAGCACTTTGTTCGGGTATTTTTTCCCATTTAATAGGATTAGCAGATTGTAATTGGAAAGAAAATTGGGGAAAAGAAGAAACAATAAAAGAATTAACAAAAGGTTGTAGAACTAAATGGAAGCAAATAAAATATCCTAGAAATGAACTCCAAAGGTGGGCAACACAAGTTATTAAGTTGGGTAGGTTATTATTGCCAGATTCAATCATTGATCCAATAGAACTTTCTGATAAAAAGCAAGAAGTGTTGAGAAAAATTTGGACAAGATCTCATGAAAAATCAAAAAATTATAATAAAAATAACAATAATAGTATTTTTGAGGTTAATTTTAAAGATAATGATGATAATGATTATGATTATGGCGATGAATTTTTTGAAAACAAAGAAAACATGAATAAAGAAAATGGACCGGTTAAAGAAAATTCACATATTGTTGCAACAAAAAAAGTTTTAAATTCAAAGGCTAACAAGATAACAAAAGAACAGAGATTTAATTGCACAAATAGAAAAAATACTAATAAAAAGAATCTAGGCTATACTAATAATAATTTGCTGGTTTCACAATATGAAAATGATTTTAAAACAAAAGATTCCGCTGTAATTAAATCGCCATACATTCTATCACAGTATGAAAACTTGGATTATTCCAACATTTTAACATTAAATAATCGAGCAATATCAAGATGCGGTTCAAACTCTACATTTGAGAAGCATGAAACCCCTAGCTAAATTCAAGCTCCTAAAATACTTTCAAATTCCTCAGTAATTTATATGGAAAATAGCTAGAAATGAGTTCATGGTTTTTTTGACCAAAGTTTTTTAGATATATTATAGACTTAGCTTTTTTTTTGGATTTCTGTTTCTGTAGGAAGAAACTACAAAAAGATCTGATATATCCAGTCTCACGGATCATGCGTAAACGCATTATTCTGCAGAGTAAAATTGGCAGTGCCGTTTTGATGTAAACTTGCAATTTCCGCTTTGGGACAGTTTTGTGTTTGGGGTGTGTTTTTATTGGCCAGTTTTTTTGTTCGCTGATAAAATACAAATCGCTTTTTATCTCTATTACTCAATTTTTTTAGTTTTAACGCTTTGCCTTACTCTGATTGAAGTCATTGCTTTTCGTTTTGTTCTTAGCGATTTCTATCCGCCTTTCGGTATTCTTTCTGCTTTAGACTGTATTTTTTTGTTCTTCATAATCACATAAGTTTTTTTTTCTGAAGTTACCTTGTTCAAAATAGTTAGTGATATTTGCATCAACAATTAAATTTTTTTGACCTTTTTTTTGCTATTTCTTTTCTTTAATAAATTATTAGGTAGTTTGAATGATTTATTTGTTAAATCAGTTTATTAGACAATGCATTTGTTCCAGGTAAATAATTTTGATATTCTTTCAAGATTACCCAATATTACATAGTACCGAAAAAAACGTTCTTCATGAAAAACAATTTCCAAAGAGCTATTGATTTTATTGTTAATTTTAGAATTTATTCAATAGTTAGTTTAATAAGAATACTTTAATATTCATCAACCAAAACTTCATTAAATTGCAAAAAATGTTGTTATCTAATCTCAAAATGATTATATCAACAAAGTTAAAAAATAATTGAACCATCACTTTCTGGTGATAATTCAAAGATTGTTAGCTTCAACAAGCTATATGATTGGTTTAGTTTCTGATTTTTTTATCATGGAGTAATTTTCATAGTTCACTGCTTAGATCAGAATTATTTGAATCTCGATTCTACACTACTCTTTTTGGTTACAAAGTATTAGAATTGTGACTTGAAAAATCTAATTATTTTTGATTAATTATTATATTAACTGTTTTATTTATTTTTTTTAAGAAACCGATACTTTGTTTTTTTTTAACCTCATTTTGATTATTCTTTTCTCTTAGCTGCTGATACTATTTAACACTATTTAATTTTCCTATTGTTTTTTTTATTTCTTCTTGTTTCTTCTCGTTTCATTTCATTTTATCTTGCTTTATTTATTTGGATTCCAGCAAAAATTCACTTCTTTTATCGTCTATCGGCTCTGTTGCTGAAGAAGCATTGAGAAGCAAAAAAAAACCCAAATTAGTTTTGTGTGTTATTATAACCGATCTACAAAAGAAAACGCGAATTGTGGTTAGGATTTTGATTCTGTTGATTGGCTATTATATACTATCTGTTATAATATGAAACATACCACATACCCACATAGATAGATTTTTTAAGTATAAATAATTCATAGCACCACTGTTTAAAAAATTAATTATATAATCAGTTTAACATATCACTGATTTTCAAAACTTCTTCCCTCCCTAAAAGAGAAGGCTCTCCATTTGAGATTCTAGAGGCATTAATCAGAGAGGTTTTCTTGCTATGTGTTAACATATGTTTTTTGATTCTCCAACGTCTATGAGAAGTCATGCCACAAATACCACATTGTTGACCTGGCGGTTCATGCTCCTTGACATGTTGAACAAGAGCATCCTTTTCAGCAAAACCAAAAACAGAGTAAATACAAGATTGTTTCTCACATTTATAATTATGGGAGGCTTGGTGGTTGTAATAATCCAAGTGATGCGCAAACTCTTCTAGCGCTGTGAAGATTAATGAACAAGAGTTGCATTTGTATCCACCTTTTTTCTTTGCATTCAAATCGATCTCTCTGTTATCATATAGAAGTTTGGATATTGGAACTCCATTATTATGTTTTGGTTGAAAGTTATACTTTTTGTTTTTTCGAAAAAAAGGCTTTTTAGCACTACAACCAGTTTTTTTAGATTTGTTATTCAGGTCACAAGAACTATGGCTACTATCGTCAATAATTTGATGTGAATTTGAATGGGAAACTGGTTGAGTCATCCCATGGTTGCCTTTATGAAGTTTTTTAGCAAAACCCGGTTTCTGAGGTTGATCATAGGCATGGAAAATAAAATTAGCTTGAGAATCACTATGAGTTTTAGAATCAGCATTATCTGTAAAAGAAGTGGAATTTGGGGCCCTACAAGAAACAGTATTATTGATAATGCCTAAACGATTTGATTTAAATGAGTTACTACAATTTAGATTATCTATGCAACCATAATTAACACTGTTATTTCTCAAAAGGTTTTCACAATAAGAAGCAGAAACATTATTTCCACTATTAAAATTATTATTGAAGTTCAAGTCATTATTAAAATTGACCAAATTACCTGGACTATCATTTATAAATTTGGCATTAGCAAAATTGACAATATTATCAAATTTATCAAGAAATTTATTGCCATCCAATGAATTGAAATGGGAATTATAAATGGTATTTGGTCTTTCATTAAGAGCAACAGAATTAAATGCTAAGTTATTAACAGGACCAACAGAAGAAGAGGGAGAAGCAAAAGAAGAAGCACATTTCGAAGTATAAGTAGATGAAGGAGAAATGTTTGAGGTGACATTGTTTTCTAAGGAATTTTCAAAATTATTTCTTGTTTTCAAAGCAGAAGAAGAATCATTATTATAAGTTCTATAGCTACTGGTAACTGGATCTGTATGATTTAAAAACATTTTAAAAACTTGACTTTAAATAAAACCAAAATAAATAAATAAATATAGATAAGAAATTATTGAAAACAAAAATAATTTAGTAAAAAACCAATAATGAAAACAATTAAAAACAATAATTGTGAATGAAAAGAATATCAGAGCAGAATTTGATTTTTATATTTAATAAAAAACTCAATAATTAATGATTTTATCCCCTTATTTTTTTAACTGATAAGTATAATTTAAGAAGGAATGGAAAAAAAGAACTGGAAAGAAAAATATGTTAAATAATGCTAAAAAAATAAGCAAAACCCACTCTTCACCATTTTCAGTATTTCTGTAAAACAATTGGTCGACATGTAACTTCCAAAAAATCAATTCAACTTGAATGAATCCCACTTTTTTATCAGTTAGGTATATTTTTTTTTATCATTCTATTGATTGAGACTTTTGACTTTATAAAGTCTCAGATAAAATTTAAATAATTCTCACACAAAAAAATTGTTGTACAGAACCAAAAACATAACATATTAAAGTAACTTTTTTTTTTTGAAAAGTGAAAATTTTATTTTAAATTATTTCCTTTCAAAAAAGATGATTATTAATTTTGATTTTCATAATATCATTTAAAACAAATAGAATATGGCCAATGATTAATTTATTATTATTATTACCAATTATTTTATTGAATTTTTTTTTCAATTTTTTGTAGACTTTTTTCTCAATTTTTTTTGTAAAGTCTTTTAAAATATTTTTTGTGAGTACTTCTCTAAATGATTTTCTAAATTAGGTTTTCCTTTACTTTTTAAAATTAAATTGAATTAAAATATTGTAATAAAGAAAAGTAAAAAAGATTTCAAAATTTACCCGAGACAATAGAAAGATATTAAAATTTAACAACTGAGCAGAAAAAAGAACAAAAACAAAAAAGAAAGTAAAAAAGCCCACAGTTTAAATAACTGTTTCGCTTTAAATAACCCTTGAAGCAATGAATGTCTTGAATTTTACACAAAAAAAGTTGCATAATTTTCTTATTTTAAATTTTAAATAAAAAAACAAGTTGTTGAAGAAAGAGTAGAATTTAAATAATTAAAGCAAGGCTTTAATAAACAGGGTCATTAATTCATTAATTAAAAATGAAATTGTAGAGAAATCATATGAAATGTTATATGAAATAAGAACAAACAATAATATTCTTAAATTTAACCAAACAAGTAATAGAAGTAGTTTTTCTTGTGGTTGAATAAACAAAATATGGATGGTATTGATAATATAAATGACATCGTTTTTTTTTAGTTTATGCTATAAAACATGAGATAAAAAAAACAAAAACCATTTGAATTTTCTAATCAGAAATTTAAGCATGTTGATAATTATCTCATAAAATAACTGCCATATTATAAGATAAAATAGGATAGAATGAGATAAGATAAGATGAGATAAGATAAGATAAGATAAGATAAGAAATTACCATGTAATTTAAAACAGTGAAAAAAATAATAGAATGAGCAACAGATAGATATTAACCCTTGAAATCAATATGAAAAATCTATTTCAAAATATTGAATCAAAAATAATTCCAAAATAACATGAAAATAATATAGGCATTAAAAAAAAGCTCCATTTGACCTGGCTTAAATCTTTTTGATATATTGTCATCATTTACGCTGTATAATAAGCTTAAGATCTTTAAACACAAAATAACTTATTATTAGACCAAAGCAAGAAGTTTAAAAGATCGCTAGAGAAACAAAAACATTGTACTTTGTAAATGGGAAGATCTGAACTATAGTTTTAGTTATGTTTTCTAGTTTTCATCGATTTCTCCAATGCTAACCAGAATCAAAACATGAAAGAATAAAAGCATAAAAGCATAAAAGACGAGATAGACACCAGGAAAACACACAAAATTGCAAGTGCTAATTTTGGTTAAGCAAAGAGAATTTAATCCAAAGCTTCTGGAAGGTAAACAGAAGCAAGCAAAAAAAATCAAAGCAGCAGTTGGGGCTGAGAAGATAGGAACAGCCTGAAATGTTTGCAGAAGAAGAGCCAGTGTTAGTGAGTGGCCCATTTTTGGGGGAGGTTGAAGACAGTGCTTTTGGTGTTTCTGCTGTTTTTGGTGCTTTGGTTTCTTGAAAGCCAAAAGGAGCCAAAAAAACAAAAAATGGTTTCTAGCAGGATCGAACTGCTGATCCCCGCGTTATTAGCACGGTGCCTTAACCAACTGGGCCAAGAAACCAAAGAAACAGCAAGCAGAACACTGTTGATTTTCAAAAAAACTATTTCTGCAGCCTTTTTCCAGTTTATTTTTTTTTATGACAAAACGACGCGATCACAAAACACAAGGTGTGTTCTTAGCGGTTATTTCTAAAAAAAAAATAAAAAAACAACACTTAACACTTTTGAGAGCTTTGATGGTCTTTGCTTGAGTCAAAATGGTTAAAGAAGTGGTCTTTGTGACTGGAAATTCGAACAAGTTAAAGGAAGTCGTCTCCATTCTCTCGGGACCCAGTTTTGACTCACAGGCTTCTGTTAATGTCGTAGGCCATTACAAGATTGTGAATCAATCTTTGGATTTAGATGAGGTGCAGGGCACTATATCTGAAGTAACAATAAAGAAAGCCCAACAAGCTGCAAATTGGATTAATAAACCGGTTTTGGTTGAGGACACTGCTTTGGTTTTCAATGCCTTTTACGGGGAAAACAATGGTGTCAATGATTTGCCTGGTCCTTATATCAAGTGGTTTTTGAAAAATTTAGGTCTAACTGGTTTGATCAATTTGCTATACAAATTCGATGATAAATCTGCTAAGGCTATTTGCACTTTTGGCTATTGCGAGGGTCCAAATCAACCTGTTTTATTGTTCCAGGGCATCACTGAAGGTATTATAGTTGATAAACCTAGAGGCCCAACAGATTTTGGGTGGGACCCTATTTTCCAACCTGTTGGTTTTAATGAAACTTATGCTGAACTAGATAAGAAAGTTAAAAACTCTATAAGTCATAGATTCAAAGCTTTAGATAAAGTGAAAGATTTTTTTCTCAATAATTAATTGTTTGATTCTAGTGTAAACAAAGTACATATAAATTTACGCATACATATTTACACATATATATTTATATAAATGAATGAATAAATGAATGGATAGATAAACGAGTAAATTAATTCATCGTGTGTTTTCCTCATCTAAACAATAAAAATTAATATTTATAATCTAGATGAAGAAGTTGATAGTTAATCCATATTTATCACAGCTCTTATACAATCACCAGCATGCATATCATTAAATGCAGTGGTGATTTTTTCTAATGGATATCTATGTGTAATGAAATCTTCTACTTTGATTTTTCCTGCCATATAATCTTCAACCAAGCCAGGTAATTGAGTTCTACCTTTAACACCACCAAAGGCACAACCTCTCCAGTTTCTACCAGTGACCAATTGGAATGGTCTTGTTGAAATTTCTTGACCAGCTGCTGCAACACCGATTATAATGGATGTACCCCAACCTTTATGACAGGCTTCTAATGCGTTTCTCATCACTTTAACGTTACCGGTGCAGTCAAAGGTAAAGTCACATCCACCATCTGTCATTTCAATCAATTTATCTACAATTGCAGTATCTTTTGGTAATTCCAATGGATTGACAAAATCAGTAGCTCCAAATTTAAATGACCAATCTTTTTTCTTGTTGTTAATATCAACAACAATAATCTTTCCGGCCTTCTTTTCAACAGCACCTTGGACAACTGATAAACCAACACACCCTGCACCGAAAATGGCTACATTTTCTCCAGGTTTAATATCAGCAGTGATGGTGGCTGCACCATAACCAGTTGTAATACCACAACCTAATAAACAGGTCTTATCCATACCAGCAGCTGGATTCACTGCAACAACAGAAACATCTGCAACAACAGTATATTGTGAAAAGGTAGAACATCCCATAAAGTGTAACAAATCTTGGCCTTTGCATTTAAATCTAGAAGTTCCATCAGGCATTAATCCCAAACCTTGAGTAGCTCTAACTGAACCACACAAATTGGTTTTACCACTTTTACAGAATTTGCATTCACGACATTCTGCGGTATACAAGGCAATAACATGATCACCAGGTTTAACGTTGGTAACACCTTCACCAACACTTTCAACTATACCGGCACCTTCATGACCCAAGACAACTGGGAAAGCGCCTTCTGGATCAACACCAGATAAGGTGTAAGCATCAGTATGACAAACACCAGTATAGTAGATTTTGATACGGACTTCATGAGCTCTTGGTGGTAAAACTTCAATATCTTCAATTGATAATTCTTTTCCAGCTTCCCATGCGACAGCTGCTTTACAAAAAATAGACTTTCCAGTAGTAGACATTTTAATATAAATTTTGATTTTTCTTTTTTTTTTATTTATTTATTTAGTTATTTATTTATTTATCTTGAGTTCAGTTTGTTGTTGATAAGTTGTGATGTGATTTTGTGAAGTTGGGAAAAGAAAACAAAGAAATAAAACAATCAAATAGCCTTTAGTTTAAGATATAAATTCGTTGATGAATGGTTAAAATGAAAAAATAAATAAATGAATATATTGGCAGGTATTTATATAAAGAATCTAGGAAAGGTTGAAAAATAAGGAAACTCAAACCTCAAAGAAACCAAATGAAAAAAACAATTGTAGAGATTTGCTGATATCATGATCCACAGATTGCGATGAGGATAGGAGATGGGACCGAAATAATTTTCGATATCTTCGAAAGTTATCCTGAATCATATAAAATTAAGTCCGACCTAGACTATTCCCAATCGAGTTATAAATTCCTGTCGCGGACTAGCGCATAAAAACGCACATACACCGCTACATACATGGTTATTATATAATTGCAATGAGGAAATGCAATTTGTGCTTACCTCACTACACGTGCCGGTCTGGCATTGTTGGGTGTTTTTGTTCTGCAGCAAAGAGCGCTCGTGCAGCATCGTCTGCTTTGGCATGTGAAAGTGGGCTACTCAACATTGCTCTGTTTTCGAGAATCTGTTCCTTCTTCTGCTGCTTTTGCTGTCACATCTGCTCCCATTCTCTTGTTTTTGCTGCTGGTTCTTCCAACTGCTGTCTGGATCCCTCATCACCATGTCTCCCAGAGTTTCCTCTTCTCGTCGCAGCGCTCAGTCTGTTGCCAATGGCACCAAATCACAGCTTGATCAGAACGCCCAATTTATCGATCTTTCCTCAACTTCTTCTGCTTCTTCTGCCTCCTCCAATCACTCAAACTCCTCCACAGCTTTGAAAAATGCTGTATCTGACACTATCCCTGACAGGACCAGATCTTCAAGAAAAAGAAAATATAACCAACTGATAAAAGGTTCACATCAAGATTTCACATCTGATTCTCGTCTCAATCGTTCTGAACCTGAATCTGAGCTTGATCATTTGCGAAAATTAAAGGAGTTTCGTAAAAAAGAAATTGAATATGATTCAAAAATCCCAGAGATTTATAAAAAATATCGCCCAAAAGGTTTCCCACTTGATTTGCCTGATGATATCCAAACTAGAAAAGTCAGAATATACTGTGATGGTATTTATGACTTATTTCATTTGGGCCATATGAACCAACTAAAACAGTGCAAATTGATGTTTCCAAATGTTTTCTTAGTTGTTGGTGTTCCAAGTGATGAAATTACCTGGAAAAATAAAGGTTTAACCGTTTTATCTGACACTCAAAGATGCGAAACTCTATTACACTGCAAATGGGTTGATCAAGTTATACCAAATGCCCCATGGGAGCTTAATACAGATTTTTTACTTGACCATAACATTGATTTTGTAGCTCATGATGATCTTCCCTATGCTTCTGCTAACTCTGACGATGTCTATAAACCTATAAAAGAATTGGGAAAATTTTTAGTCTCCCAAAGAACTGAAGGTATCTCTACTTCCGATATTATAACTAAAATTATAAGAGACTATGATAAATATTTAATGAGAAATTTTGCTAGAGGCGCTACAAGAGAAGAACTAAACGTTTCTTGGCTCAAAAAAAATGAATTGGAATTTAAAAAACATATTAATGATTTTAAATCTTATATAAAAAAGTCCAAATCAATCTCAAATGTCTCAAAAGATTTATACTGGGAAATTAGAGAATATCTTAAAATAAAAGCATTTAAAAGAATCACTTCCACTCCAAATTTCAAATCTCTATCAATGAACACAAAATCAATTCAAAATAATATCTTTAATAACAACAAAAACAAAAATACTACCATTCATTCAGATTCTGAAATTAACAATTTCGATAATAACAAATTTATTGACAAAAATAATATCAATACCATTAATGATAATATCAATGATAATATTAATAAAAATAAAAACATCAACAATAGTACTAATAGTCTGTCTCATGATGAAGATTCATTTCCTGGTTATATGTCTCCAGCTACTGATTTTGCATCAAGATACTCCCTAGGTCATCCTTCACAACAACCAAATAAGAAATCCTTTATTGATAATTTTAAAGGTTGGATTAGTAGAAGTGAAAACCCCTCTGATTTAGAATATGATGATGATGATGATGACGATGATGATAATCGTGATGACAATGAAGATAATGATAGTGACAATTCAAGAAGATCTTCTGGTCAATATTTAACAGTTGATTAGATTTTTGAAACTATTATTTTTATCCTTATTTATTATCCTTATTATCCTTATTCTTATATTTACCGCTAAAAAAATTCAATCGTTTTTAAGTTTTTTTGTGTTTTTAATAATTTATAATAACACTTTATCTTTTTTGTTTTTTTACTGTATTTTGATGATTATTTTTTCTTTATTAATCTCATACTATATCTGCTAATTTAAGTCACAAGCTTTTTATATTTTTATATTTTTAATTATTTCACCTACTTGTACATCTTATTACCTTCATTTTCAATTATATTAATATTTACCAATTTTTTATCTTTGTTTTACCTTTCCTGTAATTTTATAAACTTCATTTCAAACCCAAATAAGTTCAGAATCTTTAAGCATTGAATTAATTGATTGGAATCGTTCTTCAATCCTATTTATCTTGATCCAAAATTAAGGGAGTAATAGATTTTTATTATGATTGCATTCACAATAAACGATTCTATTTTTGTTCTAAGACAGATTCATTAATTTTAAATACTTTTTTAATAGGTCTTTAGTTGAAACTATAACATACCTCATCGCATTTTCAATTTGAGTAAAGCTGTATAATTCCTTCGAGAATCTTTTTTTGAAAGCTAATATTCTCTAAGGTGTGCTACTTAATAAATATTATGTTACAAATGATTTATGTCTCAAACCAAAAAAAATTTTACGGAAGTCAGTGTGAATAATATGTAGTACATATTTTAAAGGTCACAAAATAAACAATAGTAAAATAAATGTTTATTGATAAGATTTCATTATGAACTAAAATAAATTAGAGCAGATAATTAAACAATAAGAAAATAAAAAAATAAGAAAATAAAAAAATAAGAAAATAAGAAAGTAAGAAAGTAAGAAAGTAAGAAAGTAAGAAAGTAAGAAAGTAAGAAAGTAAAAAAAGAATAGTTGATGAAAAATTTTATAAAAGATTTCAATCATTGAGGACTAGTAAAAGCAGTAGCAATAGGGGAATTTGTCTTAATATGGCCACATTCAACTTCAGACTCAACTTCAATCTTATCATTAGTATTTTTCTGATTTTGGGATTTAATGAAAGCCAACAATTCATTTCCATTAATGATTTCTTCATGGGGATCCATGAGATATAATTTGTTGGTATAATAAGTTATTCTTCTTGCTTGCAATTCCAGCATATCATCTGCACTTGGATTAAAAGGAAAATCATCTACAAAATTGTTATCATCAGAAATTGAAAATGAAGAATCATCAATCAATGCAGGATAGCAATCGTTGGACCAAATTGTGTCGCCTAAGGGGAAAATTGGAACATCAAGAATCCATTTAGATACTTTTTCTTTATGAGGCATATTTGAAGCTTGTCTTGGTTTAAAAGATTCAGGAAATGTATTCATTTCAGTTTCATAATGAAAAAATTTCTTTTTATTATCATTAGCATTTCTACTATTTCTACTATTTCTATTATTTCTTTTATTTCTATTTGTACCATAATTATCCACTTTATTTAAGTTAATAAAGTCGTTATGAACAATTGAACTTGGCTTTGAACCTGTGGCAATAAATTCTTCATAATTTTGAGGAAAGGATTGAGGAGGCAAGAGAAAGGTTTTGGGAGAAAAGTTTTGATGAGCTAAAGAAGGGGATAAACTTTTGTTTGGACTTTTTGCTGTATAATGATTGTGAAGCAAAGGAGAAACATAAGCAGAATCTGGAGGAGCAGCCATGTAAAATGAAAAATCCGGTCTAAATAGTTTATTAGGAACAGGAGTTAAATACTAGAATAAAATATAAACGGAAGTTAGAATCTTAGTTATCTTAACTGAATTATAATAATTTAATAAAATATGTGTTTATTTACCATATTATCATGTAGAGTATCCATTTTTTGGTAACAATCAACCATGTTATTATTTCTTTTAAATAAACAAACAATCCAAATAAATAAAATAAAAAAAATTAAAAAAAAAAAATTGATATTAATTGTTTCTCACAAGAAACTAAAAATAAGAAAAAGGAATTGATCAAAAGAAATTGGATTTATATTGAAGGACCAACTGATAGAATATTGTAAAGATAAAAAAAACCAAAAAAACACAAAGACAATTTTTGTGTTTAAACTTGAATAAACTTAGAAAATGAAAACAAAAAACTAAAGAAAATTCCGTTTTAGTGTTTTTTATGTTTATAATAATAAGCGAGTTATTTATGAAAGTCAATTGAGCCCAAAACTTGCCAATCTTGAACATTTCCTTCACAATTTACTATTTTCAAAGTTCCATAATTCCAGCCTAAGTTTGGGTAATTGATTAAATTATTTTCATTTAAATTATAAATATCTAAAGAATCTTCTATTCTAATTTTGATGGTTCTAATTAAAGAGGAATTTAATTTGTAAATATTTGAATAAACGAGAGATAAGTGAGGATTAAATTGGTTGGTTGACCAATCTTCAGCGATTTTTTTTGCTTTTAGAGTTAAATCGTTTTCATTTAAAATAACGGATGGTGGTTTTGCGTTTGGTGGGATAATTGCATCTAAATCGTAACCGTAGTTGAAAGTTGAGTTATTATATTTATTTGAGGAAGATGAGGAAATTGAGAAATGAGAAGAATGATTATTAATCGATTTTGATCTTGATCTAGAGGAATTCCTTGAATGGGAAGGTAATTTTAGAGACGAATTTCTTGATAGAGACAGAGTCTTTGAGATTGAGGAGTTTCTTTTAAGATCAATAGTATTTTTTTCGTTTATAGTGGAGTTTTCTTGGTTATTATTGGTATTATTATTATTATTATTATTGATATTGGTATTATTATTATTAAAATTATTATTATTAAAATCATTATTATTATTATCATTATTGTTAATATTGTTATTATTGTTATTATTGAATTGAATTGAATAATTGTTTGGATTATTTAAAATTTTTAGTTTAGGTAATTCAACAAATAATTCTCTGATAATTCTAGCAAAACTGATCAAGTTTGGATTTTTAAAAATTTGAAAATGAATTTTATTAAAATAGTTTCTTCCAACAGCAAACTTATCAAATTGAATCAAGTTATTTAAATTATTTAAATTATTTAAAGAGATTTGGTCATTAATTGTTGAGTTATTAGAATCAATAGTATTGCTTTGATTTGAATCATTGTGCAAGATATTAGAGGATATATTTAAAGAGGACAAGGCAATTAAAGAAGCGTTCAAGATTTTGTTTATATCAGAGTTTGAAGAGATAAATAAATTTGAGGTTATAGTGATATGAGGTTCAAAAATTGGAGGAAAATCATCAAATAAAGGTTGTAAGCTGATAATCAAATTTGAGAGAACATCATACAACTGAGAGCTTTTTTTGGGAACAAACCAAAGAGCAATAGCCATTTCAGAAAATGCAATTGAAAAATACAACTGAGAAACTGGTATTGAGTCAATGTACTGGATCTAAAAGATATAAAAGATATAACGAATATAAATATATCAAAGAGAAGATCAAGAGAATAATGAAACTGATAAAGCAAGTTGTTGGAGCGAGATGGACAAGCCGGAAAAGTGCCAACCAGCTGGATGAAGCCAGTAGTGTGGAAGCACAAAAGAGTCAAAAGGAGGGCGAGCTCTGTGCACGAGAAAGTCACGTTTGGATTTTCCCAATCAGAAAAGATAAAGATAAAGATGGAGATAGATAGAGATAAAGATTGAGGGCAAAAGCACCAAGAAAGACAGGCCATGACTATTGATTCAAACAAAAAATACATCAGTGTCTTTGTTTTGGACACACCCATAAGCCACGATATCTACGCTGAGTTTGGGGATTTTGGCGATCAGGGAATCGAGTTGATGAAAAGATCACAGTTTTATGATCAGGAAGAGATTTATTTCAAAAGATTTGATGTTATCGGGAAAATTGAGTTGCCAGACTTAGGTGATGCTGAACAAGTGAAAGATTTGGAAAAAAACTGCTTGGGAATTTATTTGACAGGATCAAGAAGCGATAGTTTTACAGATGAAGAATGGATTTTAAGATTGAGCAAGTTTTTGAGAGAGGTGTTGGAAAAAGACGATATTAAATTGCCAATTGTCGGGATTTGTTTTGGACATCAGATTATTGGAAGGATTCTTGGATATAAAATTGGAAGAAATTTGAAAGGTTGGGAGATAGGAGCTACTGTAGTCCAGCTTGGGAAGAAATTTCAGGAGGTAATTGGTGAATTGGATAGTAGGCAGGAATTGGTGATCAATGAATCGCACCAAGACGTTGTGTTTAAAGAGTTGGACGGTGAAGGCAGTAAGAACATAGAAGCGAATGATTTTACAATCATTGGAACATCGGAAATATGTTCCAATCAAGGATTTATAAGCGAAAAGAAAAAGGTGTTGACCTTTCAGGGACATCCCGAGTTTTCCAAAGGGTTTATCCTCAAGAGCTTGTATGAGAAGTTGGAAAAAAAGGAAATTGATGAAGACGTAATCAAGCAAGCGCTTGAATCAACCGAGCTGTTGAAAAACGACAATTTGTTGATTGCTGATTTGATTGTGAAATTCTTCCTCGATAACAGCAAATAAATGGAGCAAATTACAAACCAAGAACGCCAAGAGATGCAGGCACAGGTGGGCGCGTGGGACTTGAGAAAGCGGTAAAACACGTTGGAACGCTGGACCCTGCGTTGTGGAAGCAGAGCGCGCGGGGGAGCTGGCCTCTGGCAGGCCCGTCTGATGATGGCTGATTGCGGGTGCCGCTGCCGCAGCGGTGGTGAATTGTAGCCAGACAAGGTGTGGATGGCGCGACGCAGCGCCAAGGACAGCAGCAGCTAGCACTGGCACCAGAGAAGCAGCAGAAACCGCAGAAACCGCAGAAACCGTAGACACAGCAGCGCCAAGGCCCAAGGCCCAAGGTCCTTTGTTGCAGCTGCAGCAGCTCTATTGCTTGGTATTACTGCATGTGTGCGTTGCTTTCCGTCTGCAGCTCCAGATCAGCGTGGTATAAATACTGCCCGAAAAGTCCCTCTTTCTCTTACTCCAGTTTCATCTGGCTGCTTCTTCTGGCTTATCTGCTTTAGACTTGTTCTTTGTTTCTATCTTTTCTCGTTGTCCATAATACTCCTACCACCAATACTATACTATATCTTCCATCTCTTTCTCGTTTTGTGCTTTTCGTCATATACTATATTTTTTTTTGCTTTCTGTATCCATATATCTTTCTCTCTTTCTCAAATGTCAATATCCTCAAATCATTCTCCCCACGATCTCTCTTCATTTCACTTTCAAAAAAGAGTCTCCTTTAACAGTCTTTTCATTGACATAATAGACCCTGAAAAGCCTCGTTTTGCTCCATCTTTTATTTACAACATAGACGGCAATTCTTCTTCAACCACTGATCTTCTGGCAAAAATTAAAAAAAAAAAGCTAGATTTAAATTTTGGTTATGCTCCTGTCAGGTCCTCTTTGGCTTCCTCAAACCTTGATCCTTCCTTATTTAAATTCGATAGTTTCAATGTAGTCAATTCTCAGGATATTAAATTGAACCATATAAAAAAATCAAACGAATACAAACTACAGAGAGAAAAAATTAAAGAAAGGAAAAGAAAAAAACTACCCCCTCCAAAAAATAAAAGTATTCTAAAAAAAACTTCTTTAAAATCTTCCTCTCTGAGCGAAAATTCAAGCTTGAGATTATCAAATTCAAACTTTTTAACTTCTTCAGATGATTCATTAGATGATCAAGCTCTAACTGATTCAAACACAAGATTAAATACAATTCATCCCGATTTATTTCTAAATCCAAAATCTCTTACTTCCATTCAAAATAACTCAAAATCACCCAATTCTAAAAAGAATTCCTTTTCAAACCCGAATTCCTTTTCTTCGGTCTCAAAAAAATTCTCTTCTGAAGATCAAGACTCTCAAACTTTAAAAAATACTCAGCTTAATATTCTATTCACAAGTGATAATTCCAATTTCTTTTATCAACAACAACAACAATCTTCTGCAATTGACATTGATGCCTTTAACAATATAAACAATTCCTTAACCGAGGAAAAAAAAAGAAGGAAATTAACTGAAATGACTGACGAAGAAATTTTAAAATTAGACAATCAGTTTTCTTTGAAAAAATCAACTGACATAAACACTGAACAGTTTCTAGGAAATCTTGTCTTCGAGTTTAACCTGAATAACAATAATACTATTGATAACACTAATGATGATAACATTCTTAGCATGAATAATAGTAGCTATACTGTAGATGACGCTCCAAAGTATAGCGAAGATGGTACAAACATAACAAATTTATTCAATAAACAATACCCTTCAAGGCCAACTGTTGGCTACAAATCCTTTATTTTAAAAAAAAGACATCCAGATTTCGATCAATTTTTATTGAAAAATACAATCCATAAACCCAAAGATCACTACACGTCTTTTAAACAAGAACAAGAAAATTTTGCCAATTTAAATATTAACAGTCTACCACCACTAATCAAAGAAGATTTAGAAGAAGAATTTCAGTCTTCCTCTCAAATAATTTTACTTTATTTAAGTGGCAGAAAACATACCTGGTCTTCAATTGATTACACTTTGGACAACTTGATTCATAACGGTGATCAATTGATTCTTATAACAACCATTCCTTCAAATTTTGAACTGATCGAAAACTGGCTAGAGTCTAACAGTTTATTGAAAATTAAAAAAAATATTAAAAAAAAGTCCTACAAAACATCTTCAATGCTAGATGATTTGGAATCGTCACTATCCAGAGTTAATTCGAGATCTTCATTTTCAAGTCTTCAATCGAAACCGGCTCCATCGATTTATAGTTTATCACTAGCAAATACAAACAACAAAAGTAGAGCGCCTTATAAAATTGTTCCCCTAGAAAAACAAGATAAAGGCTTCAAGTCGTCAAGTTATAAGAGTTTAAATTTTTACTACAATGGCAACAGCAATAGCATTAATAGTAATAGTAATATTAATAGTAATAGTCTTAGTAAATATAATGGTGAGAATAGTGATGGCATTACTGGAGATAAATATAATAGCAATAATAGTAATAATAATGAGCACTCAATTGAAATCAAAGACATCAACGAAAGAAATGAAAAATTAATTGAATATATCAATAAAAAGCTTTCCAAGTTGATGGACTATGTTATCAAATTATGTAATGAGAAACGATTAAAAATTGAAATCACTATTGAAGTTTGTTGTGATGAACCAATTAATAAAAAATATGAGGAAATCAAGCAAAAGGAAATTGAAAGTAATTATTTAAAGCAAAAAAATCTAAGTGAAAGTAATATGAATAATCTTAATGGATTCCGTAAAAACTCTGCCAATATTGAAGATTTTCTATTGTATAAAAAGGACAGTGAAATAAATAAAAAAGAATCAAAATTAACATCAATGTACAAGAATTTATTGCATAAGAAGTTAGATTTGAAATATATTTTCCGAAATGTGATTGAAGTATATAGTCCCAATACGATTGTCATTGGATCTAAAAGAGACGATCTTAAGTTAACTGTCGGAGTTGAAGAATTAGAAAATTTATCAAAGGTTACAACAATGTCATCAGAGGCTAATTTAAGCGAAGAGAGAAATAAAAGCAAAAGCATTAATGGCAAAGAAGGAGATTTATCTAAAATTCGAACTTCTGCTTCGTTACTTTACTATGATGTAAAAAGAGAATTATCAAGAGATAACAGTGGATCAGATGTATTAAGTCGAACAATAACTTCATTATCGCAGATTGACGGTGTGACTAAATTTGAAAAGGGAATTAAAAATAAAAGAATTAGACTATCTGAATTTTTGGTTAAAACATGCAAGATGCCAGTATTGGTTGTTCCAGATGTTTATTATAATGAAAACGGAGGAGGAAACAAACGCAATATCAACAGGAAATGGGATAATGATTGGGATGGCATAGATGATGATGATGATGATGATAATTATAATTATGACGAAGAATATGATGAAGAATATGATAGTGATGAACTGAGTGAAGAAAAGAAAATAAAAAAAATAAAGAAAGAAAGAGACTATGATAACAATGATAATGATAATGATAATGATAATGATAATGATAAAATAGTTTGTCAGGATTTTTTTGAAAAGTTGCTAACTGAAGTGAGTGATAAATCCCGTAAGGAGAGTATAAATTATATCAAAAACTCAAGATATGATTATTCTAATATGAAAAATAAAGGACATAAAAAAATTGGAAAAGAATTGAAGGACTACAAGATGAGTAGTGAATACACAGATTCAAGTGACAGTGAATCTGATGACAATGTGGATGAAAAGCCATACTTCCCAAAGGAGTTGAAGCCCAAGAGGGCAGCACCAGCAAACACCACGTTGCAGTTGAATGGAAAACCCAGAGCAGGAAGCAATTGCAACACTTCTGTGGCTGGAATGACCTCTCACATCCAGTTTTTAGATGAGCTCAACCACAATAGCAATACGAAGAAAGCAGTCAGCGCGACGAACATGTTGTTGGGAACAGATCTGGTTTCCAGCGGTAGAAGCAGGAGGATGTCGTACCAGGAGATATTGGCGAGATGTGACACGAACAAAGTTGCCAGCGAGCTGGAGAAGGAAGGCGACACTGCCAGGAGATCCAGCCGAGTGGAACCGGCGGGGCCTGCAGCACAAGCGGCCTCTCTGACGGCTGGAGCAACGGCACCACCAAAAGCACCGCTGAAGACAGGCTCCAAGAAGAGCAGCGTCTTCGGCGGCTTGATCAAAAGATGGAACCGAAAAAAGTAATACACAACACCGCGTCCACGCAGATGGATTAACGACAACACAATAGAAAAACGCTCAAATACGCGCATAGTCGTCAGCCACCGCTGCACATGCGTCTGCACAAGGCAGAACACGACGGAACACAGCGGAATAACGCCGTTCCGCTACGCCTGTTCGGACAAGTTAGAAAGCCGACGATCACGTGTATATACACAACGGGGCCCGGCAGCAGGGCGCGAGCCGGCAAGGGTCCTCTGTAAGGGGATGATTTGTAATTCTGGCGCCAAATTGTGTGGAAGAATTTCAGCACTTACGTTTATCTGCTGGCGGTCGTGTTTCTGCTGCCGGAAATGTTTTGCTTCTTTAGGAAATTGTGCTCCTTTGTTTGCTATATATAGGCGTTGGTTTTTATTGTGTTTTATCTCATCCACTTTTTATTTTCACTCTTTTTTTGTTATATATCTAACCCCATTTCATTTCATTTCACTGGATTTAATTTTATCTAATTTTATTTTATATTATTTTATATTATTTTATATTATTTCTTCTTCTTTGTTATCTGGGTTCCTCTCTTCTTATCCTCAAGTCTCTCATTCACCTTACAGAATACTCTATCATATACCCTTAATTTTCACCAGAACTCTATCCTTAAACTCTATTAGACATACATAATACTTCTTTTCAACTACCCTTTTTTGCCATCGTCCAATCACCTGAAATTGTCAGCCTCTCCATCAAAAATGAGTGAAGGCACATCTTCATCTTATGAGAAATCTCCTCAAAAAAATTTAAAACATGATTCCGATTACGATGATAATTCTATTCGTGAATATAGCGGCTTTGATTCAAATGCTGATCAAAATATTCAATCTTTAGCAAGACAGTTTACTAACAACTCATTGAATTCTGATCTTAATAGCAACAATAAAAATAAAAGTAACAGTAAATCATTCCTCAACATCATCAAAACTTTATCCAGAGTTTCAACTGTTCCTGGTCCTGCTCAAAACACTTTTCATAACGATATTGATCCCAAATTAGATCCAAATAGCGATGAATTTAGTTCAAAAGCCTGGATTAAAAACTTGAGAAAACTCATTGATACTGATCCTGATCATTACAAACATTTCTCTCTAGGCTTAGCCTGGAAGGATTTGAGATCTTACGGTGTCGCTGCTGACGCTGACTACCTCAAAACTGTCTCCAATTTCCCAATAAAATTAGCTTCGAATTTTGTCAACTTGTTTAAAAAAACTGATGAAAGTAAATATTTCGACATCTTGAAACCAATGGATGGTCTAGTCAAACCTGGTGAAGTTGTCGTTGTTTTAGGCAGACCTGGTTCTGGTTGCTCGACTTTTTTGAAAACTATTGGTGTTCAAACCCATGGTTTCCATGTATCAAATGACTCTTTAATTTGTTATGACGGTTTAACTCCACATCAGATCAGTAAAAACTATCGTGGTGAAATTGTTTATAACGCTGAACAAGAAGTCCATTTTCCTCAACTCACCGTTTATGATGTCTTATCCTTTGCTGCCAAATTCAGAACTCCTGAAAATAGAGCCCCTGGTGTTGATAGAGAAACCTATGCTAACCATTTGACCGAAGTTTATATGGCAACCTATGGCTTGTCTCATACAAGAAATACTAAAGTTGGTAACGAATTAATTCGTGGTGTCTCCGGTGGTGAAAGAAAAAGAGTCTCCATTGCTGAAGTCTCCCTTTGTGGTGCTCCCCTTCAATTGTGGGATAACGCAACTAGAGGTTTAGACGCTGCAACTGCTCTAGAATTCATTAGAGCTTTGAGAACTTCTGCTGACGTTCTCGATTCTACCTCTTTTATAGCAATCTATCAATGTTCTCAAGATGCTTATGACTTGTTTGATAAAGTTATCTTACTATATGAAGGCCGTCAAATCTATTTCGGCTCAACTGAAGATGCTAAAGAATTTTTTTTTACAATGGGTTATAATTGTCCTCCAAGACAAACCACTGCTGATTACTTGACTTCTTTAACCAATCCATCTCAAAGAATCCCAAGAAAAGGTTATGAAAATAAAGTCCCAAGAACCGCCGAAGAATTTGAATCTTATTGGAGAAATTCTCCCCAGTACTCCCAACTAAGAACTGATGTCGATGAATATGTCAATCATTGTATCACTGATAATGTTGTTGAAGAAATTAGAGAATCTCATGTAGCAGCTCAATCAAAAAATCAAAGAGCTAGTTCTCCCTACAGAGTAAGCTATGGTCAACAAATTAGATATCTTATTCAAAGAGATTTTAAAAGAATTAAAAATGACTTATCCATCACTTTAGTAAGTGTTCTTGGTAACACCGGAATGTCCTTTATTCTTGGTTCCATGTTTTATAATCTCGATCAAACCACTTCTTCCTTTTTTCAGCGTGGTGCTGCTCTTTTCTTTGCTGTTTTATTCAACTCCTTCTCTTCTCTATTAGAAATCATGTCTCTTTATGAAGCTAGACTGGTTACTGAAAAACATAAAATGTATGCTCTCTATCATCCATCTGCTGCCTCTTTTTCTTCTATTTTAACTGAAATCCCTTCCAAAATTATCACTGCAATTGCTTTTAATTTGGTTTATTATTTCATGGTCAATTTTCGTAGATCCGCCGGTCACTTCTTTTTTTACCTATTGAATGTTATTACTGCTACTTTTGCCATGTCTCATGTCTTTAGATGTGTTGGTTCTGCAACTAAATCTCTTACAGAAGCCATGACTCCTGCTTCCGTTATTCTTTTAGCCATGACTATTTTTGTTGGTTTTACTATCCCAACAAGAGATATGCTTGGATGGTCTAGATGGATTAATTATATTAACCCTATTGCTTATACTTTTGAATCTTTAATGGCAAATGAATTTCATGATAGAGAATTTCCTTGCGATACATTTATACCTTCTGGTTCTGGATATTCCGCTGATGATATTGATCCCAGTAATAGAGTTTGCTCCACCGTCGGCAGTGTTATAGGTCAAAGCTACGTCAATGGTGATAATTTTATCAATACCTCTTTTGAATATTATAATGACCATAAATGGAGAAATTGGGGTATTGTGTTAGCTTTTGCAGTTTTTTTCCTTTTTATCTATCTAGTTCTTTGTGAATATAATGAGGGTGCAAAACAGAAGGGTGAAATCTTGCTCTTTCAAAGGTCAACCTTGAAAAAAGTAAGAAAACAAAAAATTGATATTGAAAGCGGTAATGAAAAGATTCAAGTTGGACAAAATGAAAGTGATAGCTCAGATATGGCCAAAAAAATGATATCCGGCAAAGACATTTTCCATTGGAGAGATGTTTGTTATGATATCCAAATTAAAGATGAAACTCGAAGAATTCTAAGTCATGTAGATGGTTGGGTTAAACCTGGTACTTTGACTGCTTTGATGGGAGCTTCTGGTGCTGGTAAAACTACACTTCTCGATGTATTAGCCAATCGTGTTACAATGGGTGTTGTTACTGGTAATATGTTTGTCAACGGTCACCTCAGAGATTCTTCATTTCAAAGATCAACTGGTTATGTTCAACAACAAGATTTGCATTTAAGAACAAGTACTGTTAGAGAAGCATTATTGTTTTCAGCTTTTTTAAGACAGCCTGCTTCGGTTTCCAAAGAAGAAAAAATTGAATATGTTGATAATGTTATCAAGATTCTTGAAATGGAAAAATATGCAGATGCAGTTGTTGGTGTGGCAGGTGAAGGTCTTAATGTTGAACAAAGAAAAAGATTGACAATTGGTGTTGAATTGGCTGCAAAACCACAATTATTGTTGTTTTTAGATGAACCAACTTCTGGTTTAGATTCTGAAACTGCTTGGTCAATCTGTCAGTTGATGAGGAAACTTGCCAATAACGGTCAAGCCATTCTTTGTACCATCCATCAACCATCTGCTATTCTTTTGAAAGAATTTGATCGTTTATTATTTTTAGCTAAAGGTGGTAGAACTGTTTATTTCGGGAATTTGGGAGAAAATTGTCAATCTCTTATCAATTATTTTGAAAAGCATGGTGCTCCAAAATGTCCAAAAAATGCCAATCCTGCAGAATGGATGTTAGCTGTAATTGGTGCTGCTCCTGGTTCCAAAGCAAATCAAGATTATTATGAAGTCTGGATGAGTTCTAGCGAAAGACAAGAAGTTCAAAAAGAGTTGACCCAGATGGAAAACGAATTGATTAAATTGCCAGTTGATGACTCTCCTGAACATCATAAATCATTTGCAACTTCATTACCTTTCCAATATCTTCTTGTGACAAGGAGAGTTTTTGAGCAATATTGGAGAAGTCCAAGCTATATTTATCCAAAAATCTTTTTAACAGTTTTTTCTGCTTTGTTTATTGGGTTTTCGTTTTTCAAAGCAGGTACATCTCAACAAGGTTTGCAAAACCAAATGTTTGCTGTGTTTATGTCTTTAGTTATTTTTAACTCTCTTGTTGAACAAATGATGCCAGGATTCGTCTTCCAAAGAGAATTGTACGAAGTTAGGGAACGTCCTTCAAAAACATTTAGCTGGCTTGCCTTTATTTTGGCTCAAATCACTGTTGAAATCCCATGGCAAGTTATTTGCGGTACTTTAGCTTACTTTTGTTTTTACTATCCAATTGGGTTATATGAAAATGCTATTCCAACAGATGATGTTAATGCTAGAGGCGCAACAATGTGGCTTTTCTTTGTTTCTTTTTATGTTTACTGTTCGACTTTGGGTCAAGTTTGTATTGCAGGAATTCAAATGGCAGAAGCTGCTGCAAATGTTGGTTCTTTGCTTTTCACTATGTCTTTAACATTTTGTGGTGTTCTTGCTGGCCCAGATGCCTTGCCTCGTTTCTGGATTTTTATGTACAGAGTATCACCTTTTACATATTTTATTGATGGTGTGTTATCTGTTGGATTATCTGGAAATGAAGTTGTTTGTTCTAGTATTGAGTATTTGAATTTTTCTCCTCCAAGCGGTCAAACCTGTGGTGAATTTATGAGTGATTATATATCAACTGATGGTGGTTATTTGTTAGATGAAAATGCCACAGGGCAATGTGATTTTTGTTCTATTGCGAGCACAGATGTTTTCCTTGCTTCTATTAACTGTGATTTTTCCAGAAGATGGAGAAACTTTGGTATATTTATTTCCTATATTTTCATCAATTTCATCTTGACAATATTTTTGTATTGGTTAGCAAGAGTTCCAAAAAAAAATGATAGAGTGCAGAATCAAACAGTTGAAAATCAAACAATTGAAAATCAAACAGATAAAAAGCAATAAAGCTGTTTCCATTTATAAACTAATGGTTAGTTTAAAATATACTTTTAGAATTAAAAACAAATAGAAAATTTATGTTGTCTATTTATTTCTAGCATTTAATTACTTTCTTTTTTTTTTCCTGTTTCTCATTTTTTGTGATATTACTTTATTAATCCCCATGTTTCTAGAAATTAGAAACAATGTTTATTTTAATTCTTTTACAAAATTGACTATTTTTATTAATTTTTCTGTGTTCTTTGTGTTACTTCATTTAATATATATTCTGTTAAATAAAATACAAAGTTTTAATTTAAAATACCTTTTCTTTAATGGTTTAAAACAGTAAAATACAGTAATTACATCAGGAGTTGAAATGCTTTTTGAAAGCTACACATTCAGGTAGCAAAAAAGACACACAAAACATTGGTTTAGTTGGTGCGACTTTTCTTACCAAATGAAACTTTGCATCAATTTTTTTGCAATTTAAAAGATTTATAATTTTGAGATAAATTCTTTGCTGCAATTCTTCAATTGATGGTTCAGGCTTTTCAGAGGGAGAGAATTTTTCAAAGCAGTAAACATGGATATAAGGTAACTTGAAAGAAGCGTCAGATTGAATTAATTTTTGGTAATTGATATCTGAGTAGCAGCCAATAAAGGATGGTAAGAATTCAAGTGCAGAATCAGGCAAATTCATTATAAAATGAGAATAAAAATTTGGGATTTTTAATTTGATAGTTTCCAAATGAGATATTTCTCCATCGTTTTTTTTTTGTTTTTTATTTCTAATCTCTTTTTTTACAATGATTGTATTATCGAAATGTTTTGATAAAAACACAATTAAATTTTGAGTGCAATTTTTTATGAAATCGTTACCATCGAGATTATAACATTGGACAAATTTTTCTGTTTTATTTAATTTATTGTTGATTTTTAAATATTTGAAACTTTCAGGATTCAAATCGTTGGCCAAAACAACGCATTTTTTTTTAGCAGCAGGTATAGCAAAGGGACCAACGCCAGCCATAACATCACAAATCAATTGATTAGGCTGAAACAAGTTAATCAATCTATCATGTTCAGTATGTAGTCTAGAGTTCCAATAAACTTTTTCAAAGTTGAATCTGAAAATACAGTTTGATTCTTTTTGTTCAACATCAAAGTTGTTTTCTCCTGCAATGATTTCCATTGGAAAAGTTCTGAATTTTGTTTCTATTGAGTTTGTTTTTGTAACAACAGTTTTTATAGCTTTAGTTTTATCCAAGATAACTTGGCCAATCAAGTTTTTATAAGGTAAGTATTCTTCTTTGAGGTTCATATGAGCAATATGACCTGTTGTAGTGAACGATGATGGAGGATTTTCTTCATTTTGTATGGGTAGGATTGCATTTAAAATCTCATCAGTTTTCCAAAAGGAATAATCCAATTTTAAGGTGTATGGAAACAATAATGTTTGATTGGCAGTTAAATAGTGAAATATTTCAGTAGAAACTTGAGACTTCAATTCATGAAGATTTGTGGTTTTAATATCATTTCTTAATAGACAGACCTTATCAAAGACATTGCCATTTGTCTCGATGTGGAAATTGGGATTGTTAATTTGGTACTTGGTTAAAAGCTCTTTTATGTTAGGCACTTTGACTAGATTTGGCACAGATCTGACTCCTAGCAACACATCCTTATGGTTCTTAATAAAGTCGTTGATGAGCTTGGGATCTTCAAAATACAAAGCAACTAGTGGGACTTCCTTGTAAAAGAAAGAACGATCTAGGTGTCTCATGTTTTTGTTCACAGGAGGAAGATAGGTTTCGCTCAAGGACAGTTCATGAGGAGCAGAGGTTGTCATTTGAGCAATTGAAACAATAGAGGACATAAACGTAGACCTGGAGTTCAGTCGATGCCAAACAAGTTTTGTATTCCTGAACAAACACAGTGATATTATCTCCTTTCGAAAAGCGAATGAGCTCAACATCAAAGCAAAACTGGGCTATTTCTGATTGTGATGCCCATTTTTGTGATGTCCTCGTTATGCTGAAAATTTTCGTGCCGTTCCACTGCTACGGTTGGAGCTCGCAGAAGTGTTGGGGAGCAGAAGAAGAAACAGCAGGAGAAGCAGGAAAAGCAGGAGAAGCAGGAGAAGCACCAGCAGAAGCAACAATGGAAGTGCTAACAGTATCAAAGCCCATACAGAACAGAGAAGACTTTGATTCGGATTCAGATTCGGATTTGGATCTAGATTTTGCCAGCCCCCAAAAACAGTCTCTTCAAAACTCAGTGGTAACTCCTGGAGAATTGGTAACCTCAGATCCAATGTTGATGAGAGGCCATGGAACATATTCTGTTGGCAATAAAACTTACTCTTCAGTTGCAGGTACCATCTCCAGAGTTAATAAGTTGCTATCAGTGATTCCTCTAAAGTCTAGGTTTCGACCAGAAACTGGAGATCATATCGTTGGAAGAATAACAGAGGTGGGAAACAAAAGATGGAAAGTCGATATTGGTGGCGAACAGAATGCTATTCTATTACTAGGCTCAGTCAATTTGCCTGGAGGTATCCTCAGGAGAAAATCCCAAAATGACGAGCTTACTATGAGAAATTTTTTAAAAGAAGGCGATTTATTGAATTGTGAAGTGCAGATGCTCTACAATGATGGTGCTGCTGGTTTACATACACGATCACTAAAGTATGGTAAATTGAGAAATGGATTGTTGGTATTAGTTCCAAGTTATTTAATTGTCAGAACTAAAAACCATAGCTTTGATTTGCCCGGAAATGTCAGCATTATACTAGGTGTGAATGGATTCGTTTGGTTATACAAGACTCCATTGAAAACTTCGTTATCTTCTTCCAGCACTTTAAAAAATACAAATCTAAACAAATTCCAAACGATGCTAAATAGTGACTCTTCTAATTATACTCCTGGCTCAACATCGGTTTCAATTACAAGATTGGAAGAAGAATCAACCTGGGAAATATACTCTGATAAAAATGATCCAAATATCTCCAATAATGTCAGACTAAATATAGTCAGATACAAAAATTGCTTGAAGTGCTTATCGCATTGCGAAATTGGAATAACTAAATCAAGAATTGAACATGTTTATGATATCAGTTTGGAATATGAAAATTCTGGAAACTTAATTGAAATAGAAGTTATGGAACGAATAGGCAAGGATGTTTTAAATGGCGAGAAAATGAGAGGTGTAAACACTAGCAAGATGATGAGTTTATAGGACTATATACATTGGAATCTAGAAAGTTTATGATGAATTTATCTAGTTCTTTCCCTGTATACGATAGTTTTTGTTTTTTGTTTTTTTTGTTTTAAAGAAACAAAAACAAAAAAAAACCATAAACTGTTTACCAATATTTTTAGTCATTAACGATACGGTTGTTGCATTGAGACTTATAAATGATTATTGAAAAATAATCCTAAAATTCAGGTACGATAAAGGCTCATGATTTTTTAAAACATTCTTATGGGTTTTAGAATCAAAAGTGAAAAGTTTTATTCAAATTGAAAATAGGTCTTTCATTTTTTTTTATTTTACTCCAAGTTTTTTAAAAGAGTCCTTTAAAAGTATATCTGTAAAAAAAAAAGTTTAGTACTTTGTATAATAAACTTAATTTTATTTTATTTTTCATTCTATTTAAAGTTAATTGAAGTTAAATTAAAATGAATAACTCAACAAAGCCTAATTTATTAAAGCTGATCATTAGGTAGATTTGACATACTATATTTACTAAAGCGATAGTCCAACTTTGAATCTCTCCATCAACAACATCGACTTTAAAAAAAGAGTTAAAGGTAAACGTTTCCCATCTTTAGTCTCGATTGCCAAATGATTCAAGTTGATTAACTGCAAATGTAAACTTTCAATCTATAATATCATCAAAAGGTGTAATTCCGACCTTAGGGTAAATCTATGGGATTTATTTTAACATTTTTTCCTTCTCATCAACTTCTTCATCTGCCTGATAAATAATTTGAGAATATTGGTCATTTCCGTTATTATAACTTTTTTGATTATCATTCTTGCTATCTCCGATATCATTTTCAGCATCGTCTTCGCTATCGTCTTCACTATCATCTTCACTATCATCAGTATCGACTTCATACTCATCATACTCAGCTTCGCTACTATCATCATCTTCAGTTTCCTCAAAATGTTTGTGTTCGGAGTTGAAATCTTCGATTATTTTTTCATCATTTTCGGCAAAAAATTCATCTAATGTTTGAATTTTATATTTATTTCTAAGTTGTTCATCTTTAATTTGAAGAGTATCTCTAGTGTTTGTTTGAATACCATTACTAGACAAGTTATTGCCAAAATTTTGGCGAGTATCTTTGTATTGAATTTGGTTGGTTTGGGTTTGAATAGATTTATCGGTATTAGGTTGACGTATTGATGGATCTGGCAATGTTTTTTGATCAGCCCATGGGGGAACAGATAAATACAGAAATAGAATGTTTTCTCTTTGACTACTATTATGACCATCATTATTATTATTATCACTATCACTATCATTATCATTATCATTATCATTGTCATTGTCATTATCATTATCATTAACATTGATACTGATTTTTGTTCTATTTGTGGAAATTTTTGAAATCGGTTTTTTCACTTGCAATAATAAAGTAGCAATTTCATTTCTATCATCATTTTCTAATAAGATTTTATTAAATAATCTTGTTCTATCTCTTATATCATAATTATCATCATATTTACATAGTTGAATTAAATATAAATAGTTTTGATAAACAGGATTATTAATTCTTGGATAATTTTCAATTGAATCAACTTGATTAACTTTTTTATATAAATCATAATCATAGGACAAGAATTTAGAAGCTAATAATAAAATTTGATATCTTACTCTAAAGGATTTTTCCTTTTTAAAATTTTTAATTAAAATTCTTAAAAAATTGGGTAGAATCTTTGGGATTAAAGGAATAAATTCCCCAATTAACCAAATGATACTTGATTTTGCTTTAGAATTTAGTTTTTGATTTTCAAGATTATCGGCTTCTTTGTCTGGGGTATCAGTTTCGTTTGCAAAATCTGAATCTGGAATTGAATCTTGAGGTTTTTTTTGATCTTGAGTGTCATTAAAAAAGGATTCATAATCATTTAAAATAATTTTTGATAATTGTACAACAGTTTTGATATTATTATGGGGATCTTTTTGAATAAAAGATCTGACAACATTAAGACATTCATTTAGGATTCTTTGTTTGCTGATTGATTTTTTTGAATTAATTTGTTTTAGTAACCAATTTAGAATAGTTGGGGAGTAGTCGATTGATAAATTAGTTAATTGAGCAATTTTTCCAAAGGAGATGACAGAATAGTTGGCGACAATTTTATTTTTTGAAAATAGAGCATAATATTTTAATTCTTTTATGATTTGTAAAACATTTGAATCGTCGATTAAAGATATCAAAATGTCTAATTTTATTTTTGATAATTTTGGGGGGTCATTTGGTAATAAATAAAAATGGTTTAAATAATTTTTAAAGATTGAAATATTTTGAGAGTTGATAAGATTAGAAGAAATTAAATTTATGGAATAGATAATTTTGTAAATTAGTAATTTAATTTCTCGTGCTAATAAGTTTGATTTTAATAGTTTTATTAGGGATTGATTTAATTTATAAGATGAAAAATCCAAAGGAGAAGATAGGGATAATATTGCTCTAGTTATTGATAGGATGACAGCATCATTTCTTGAGTAAAATAAGAATTGCAATGAATTTAAAAACAATAGTAAATCATGATCATCATATTGGGTTGTATAGTCAATTGAATTGAAAGAAAGAGAATTTGAAAACGAGTTTGAAATTGAAAATTCAGGTAGGGGGGAAATCATTGAATTATCTCTTAAAGATATAATTTTTGGTCTCTTAAGGAAAAACCTTGAATAATTAGTTAAAGTTTGAATTAAAATAGCTTGAGTCCATTCGTCGAATTGATTTAAATTATTTATATAAAAGTGGAAATTTTTATGGATTAACTTAAAATTATTGGGACAAACTTTATTAAAAGTCAAAATTGAAGAATTTAAGACCGAAATATGGGAATCGTTTAATAGAGTGGATAAAAAGGATAATAAATTTTTTTTCTCCAAGATTGATGAAGAGTTGAAGTTATTGAATAGATTTGAGATTGCAATTGAGCAAGATTTCCGAACATTGGGAGATAAATCATTGATTGAGTTTTTGATAGATAAGATGATTATGGGGATAATTGCCTGGATTTTAATGTTTGATAAGGTTCTTAAGGATAAAGACCTTATATTGGGATCATTGTTAGACAAATCCTTTTGGATAGAGTTGATGGACAATAGAGTTGTGTTTGGTTGCAAATCGGCGAATCTTAACAAGTAGATATAGATCAATTTTTTGATTTTGATATTGGGAGAAGTGATATTCTTAATGACATCAGGAAAGAAGGATAGTAGAAGATCGTTTGTGTTGGAAGTGGTTGAGTTGTTATTTGAATTGGACATTAGAGAGAACAAGCATTTTAAACCAATCAATTTATCTCTCTCTAAAGGCGAATTCAAGAACTTTGATATTTGCTTTGGACGTAGATGAGAAGGAGTTTCTACCAACTTTGAGGATGCAGCAGCAGCAGTCTCAAAGGTCAAGTCTCTGGCAGACTCAAGCATGGAGGTTATCCTGGAAATAGAATCGGCCATTGGAGAAGAAGAGCAGCAAAGGAAAGAGTGCCTCACAAACAGCAGCTCCAGCAAAAACAAATCCATCAGATGAAGTGGCTTCTCCCGTTGCCTTTGGAGGCAAGCACCGGGACTTCGACCGGAATGCAATCGGCATCCAGACGTATGTTCAAATACGGCCATCCCCTCGTAATACCAATGATATCCGGTTATGATAAACGGTACAGTTGTTTTGGCGCACATTCCGGTTGAAAAACCGGCCGCGGTGTCCCGTCAGATAATAAACACGGGGCAGTTCGGCCGGCGTGTAGAAGCATGCATGTCTAGAATTGTTCAGCAGAATTTGTCATATGTCCTTTAAGCACTTCATTTGAATAAATTTTTTCAGTAATTAGCAAGTCAGTAATATATAAACAGCTCCGATTCCATGATGGTGAAAATATTTTTTTTTTGATTTTGTTTGAATGACTATATATCATATACACTGTTTGCTGAACTAGATTGATTTATTTTTAACTTTACCGATAGCAACTAATGAACCATTGAGCACAATGCAGGCTAATACCGTAGATACTGTGTGTCAACCTATTTACCAAGGCAATTCACAATTGGGATTACATAGCTCTTACATGATATCTCCAGACAGCTCCAACACAACATTTCTTGAATTGTTATTGCAGCATTATGAGGTTGATTATGGCTATAAGAAACCAGGTGGTTATCGCTGCAATCACTGTCCAAATCCTCACACATTTTCATCCTTGTTTCATATTATAAAGCATTTTGATCTTATCAATGCTAAAAGACCCTTTAAATGTAAGGTTCAAACGTGCTATGCTTCAGTACTAGGTTTTACAACAAATAAGAGTTGCGCGAAACATTATAAAAACAAGCATATTGGATTAATTAAAAAAATCGGCTCCACACCAACTGCAATCAACGACAGTCATTATAATTACCACTTGTTTGATGAAAATATCGATTTTGTTCATCGTTTTAATAACAATTTTTCGTATATTGATTTTTATCGAAAACAAGATGGATTTAATTATGTCGATTATGATAAATATTCCGTTTCGCATGCGAATGCTAGTATCACACCTCCTGTCAATGAAATCCAGCAATTGCCACGTATAGTTGAATCATCAAGAAGTGTTTCTGTTCAACCTCAAGTCTTTTCACAAAACCAACGTGCAGCAGAAACCGGCCAGGCAAGTCATTCTCAGCTCCAAAACTATTCCCAACAACAATTACCATTATCAATGCCATCCTCGACTTCTTTAGCTCAGTACCCACAACCTTTACAATCCAATGCATCACAGCAATTCTATCCACGTCGATTATCTACTTCTAATTTGTTGATCCCAGTTTTACCAAATAACCAAAGCAATTCAAATTTGGCCCAATTAAACTCCAACATTAATCACCCCTCGAATCACAACCAATTGTATACACATTCAAATCAAACTAGTGGTTTGACTGCTTCTTCTCATAACAATCAACCATTTATATTACAATCATCAAACAATAGCATTGCTAACATTAACAATATTGGCAATATTAATATGAGTTCGAATAATCTACTTCAATCCAATCTTCCAAATCGTTCTAATTCTGGTTATGTCAATTATACAAACTATTCCAATTATTCCAATCATTCCAATCGTGTAAATAGATCTGCTCATATGCAAAATTCAAATGTTACGAATAACTATTCCGGCCCTACTTTGCCAGGTTTTCATGAGCTTTGCAGAAATATTAATTTTAATCCCAATTCCAATTCTAATCCTATTGGATGATAAAGCAAAAAATGAAAATAAAAAAAACAAAAAAAAGTCAGGTGTTATTTTTTTCTATATTATATTTGAATCAAAAAAAAAAAAGTTACTTTTGTTTATTACATGAATAAATTTTTTTAATCCGAAAGTTTTTTTCTCCAGTTATCAATTATTGATTTCTAATTTCTAATTTCTAATTTTTCTTAAAAAAATTATATTAAAATCAATGTATTATATTTTGTTGCATATTTAATAATTAATAATTAATATATATTATAATTAGCGGGTTCAATTCCAAGAATGGCATCCAATCTATTCCTACCAAGAGCATAATTGCGTAGAATCGTTTGGGTCGTAAAAAACAAAATAGCTGTTCTTATATTCTATTAGAATAACTTCATGACAATAAAGCCCTGCAATGGACGTGGAATGCCTCAGGGCTCTGGAAGATAACCAACCAATGGACTTGGGGGCAATACTCCTTTAGCTGTTTTGACCACTATAAGCAGCTGGCGATAGCTGAAATTCAAACTGTATTTTGCAGGTTTGCAAATGGACAACAATGTTTTTCTTGGGGAGAACTTAACTAAATCTGAAAAGTTACTCATCGCCACACCAGGACAGGCAATAGCTGACAATCTGATATGGTGGAGTTTCAAAAGGGTGAAGATTAAAGCTGGAAATCCAACCAGACACAAGTAGAATTGCTGAGCATAGAAAAGAGCGTGTTGATGGAAGTTAGGGCATTGAGTCACAGTCGTCTGTCGAGAATTGGATCGACAGCCCCAAGCCCATGAGATTGAGTATTGGGATTGAAATTGGGATTGTTCTGATAGTGCGACCAGATATAAAGGAAAACACGATCTCGAGCTCCCAGAACAAAATGCAAATAGCCTACACGTAACCACAGTCGTTATGTCTCTAAGATATCCACTTTCCAAGGGCATGGTGTCGTCCTGTTTCTGCAGATCGCTGAAGCCGACAATCTTTAAATTAAGTGCGCCCAACAGAGCCCAATGTGGAACCTTCCAAATTATCGGGACAAACACACGCATAACAATGCGAATCGCACTGCAGAAAGACGCACAAAGCGTTGGTTTTTCCAACATCACTTTGCAACAGCTCTTTGCTGGTGTTGGTTTTTTATTGTGTCAATAGCACAAAGCATGCCGCCGCTGTCTCAGCACAACTTCTGGTTTTGGAGCCACTTTATTCCCAACAATTGCACAATGCTCCTACGACCCCTTTCCCTGAACCTGTAGACCATAGACTGACGGTCGTACTCTAAAGCAATCATTCGACAGAACAGAACTGGAGCCCAAAACCAGAAGTCTGGGTCTCAATAGCAGCGCAATGCAAGAGGTTGTACAAGTCTGGGCAGCTTCTTTTGAAAACAAACAAATCCCTGCAAAATTCTACTTTTGAATAGTGCAAACCATAAATCTGGAAATGTTGGGAGAATCAAGAACCCTTTTGCAACAAAATCTTTGACAAACTTAATCTTGTGTTTGAATACATGCGCCTGCAACCGCGTTCTATTACGTTACTCTCGGATATAGTTTTGGATACTTGAAAACCGGTCTCACTGCTCGATGCTGTCGGTCGTAGCACGTGTGGGCTGCTCTGTTTACTTTTGATGTTTTTGTTTCTTCACAACACAAAGATTATCATCACCAGAAATCAAAAACATCCTCTATCTAACAAATATCCTTCTTTAAAATGGCTCAATTGCTAAACAAAAAAGATAGAACAACTGAAAAGCCAACCAGTTTCAATTCTATAGAAGATGAAAAAGAAAACATACAGCCTATACTTCAAGGGAGATCTGTCGCTGCTCTATCAAACACTTTCAAAAGAGCTAAAAACTACGACCAATTTCATTCTTCAATAATCAACGATAAGTTGAAGTTCGAGAATAATTTATCCAACGCAGATCTACTAGATGATCCAATTCAGCCTTATCTTGATTACTTGGACTGGTTTCAACAAACTTTTCCACAAGGCCCAACTCTAAATAATGGTTACATTGACTTCTTGGAAAAATCAATTCGCAAATTTCAATCAAATTCAACTTATAAATTTTACCATAATGATCCAAGATATTTGAAATTTTGGTTAATTTATTTGAAATACACTGATAATCCCTTCCTTGTCTTTAAATTTTTATACAAAAATAAAATCGCTTTAAATCTATCTCTATATTATGAGTTTTTTGCCAACTACTTGGAATCAACACACTCCTATTTAAACTCTTTGAAAATTTACTTGAAAGGAATTCAAAATAATGCAAGACCCATAAAGAGACTAATATCAAACTACTACCAATTTCTCTCAAGAAATAGATTCATACTAAACACCAATTTAAACATCTCTTTTCAATCCCATGATATCTCAAATATTGATATCGATAACGATATTAAAATAATTAATCTACCTGAAACTCAACCTCCATCTACAAATATTGGCTTATATGATCACAATTCAACAACTGATCAAATCGGAATTCTACCTTCTATTAACCCAACCATAAACAAAAATAAAAAAAAAATATCAATCTTCACAGAACTATCCTCTAATGAAGAAAATAATAACAATAATAGTCACAATAATACTAATAATAACTCTTTTTTAGATTCTTTATCAAAAAATTTAACAAATTGGAACGACATTGGCACAATCGCTCAAAATCGAAAAGAAAATTACATATCTCCAACTTCATGGGATGGTGTAATTTTAAAACAATTGCCAGTTCCCAATTTCAACCTTTCTAACAACATAAATAATGCTTTTCCAGACACATTTAATAACGTCATCCCCGATGCTCTAAACAATAACACCAGAACAAAAATTCCTATTTTTCGAGATGATGATACTCAATCTTCACAAAAACATGTTTATTCTGTTGTTAATCTTTCAAAAAAAAAATCCGAAACTCTTGATATGAATTTAAACCTACTAACCAACCCAAACGGTTCAAAAGATGAATTATGTTTAATTGAAATCTATGCTTTAATGAAAGGCTTTAATCATATAATTTCAAATCAAAATAATCAAAATAATCAAAATAATCAAAATAATCAACATAATGAAATTGAAATCGAAATTGATACTGAAACCAATGATAAAATTGATAATAAAACTAATGAAAATAACATAATCAACTTTAAAAATGAAAAAAATCAACATAAATCCACAACTCACAACACAAAAATTAATGAAAATAATTACAAAAATCCTTTAAATAACAATTTATTTAATATTAGCGAAGAAAATATTGCCGAAGAAAATATTGTCGAAGAAAATAACGAAAAGACCATTGTTTCAATTTCAAATCAGCATTCAATTCCAGCTCTAAAAAGACCATTTGACCAAATTTCTAACGATAAACTGGATTCAAATCCATTAAATAAAACAAATGAAGAAACCGTTTCAAGTACCCCAAAAAAATTAAAAATTTCCAATAATTATCATAAACCTCAAGTACATACTGAATTAATTGGATATAATGATGAGGTTCAAATAGATAAATCTACTTTAAAAAATAAAAAACATCAATCATCTGGAATCATTAAAAAACCACAATCTCCAACACAAACAATCTTCACCAAAAAAGCATCTGAAGAAGTACTATTTATGTTTAATCAAAAGTTTGGTTCCGAAGAAAAAGATAATCAAGACAAGAATGAAAACTTAGATGAATTCACTGATTACACAAAAACACAATTATCAAAAATCAGTTCATTTGGTGATAGTCAAGAAATTACTGATTTTAAAAATCTGGCAATATCAGAGAAAAAAAACGCAATAAATCCAGAAAAAGAAAATAATTTTAAAACTCAAGAAAAAAACCCTAAAGTTGATATAAAATTTGATGAAAATGAATTGGGTATTCATATAACAACTACAACCAAACAGCCTCTTAAATCAATCACTGATGACAAAACCTCTAGTATATTTGATGACAAACTAAACAGTTCTCCATTTATAACAAATCCATTAAATTTTAGCTCCAAAGAAAAAATTGAGTGTTTAAGTTTAAATAGTAAACCTAAAAATGGAATTCAAACAACAGATAATATCAAGAGTGAGAATAAATTGATAAAAAACCAGGAAGAAAATTTTGAAGTGCAAGCAGAAAATTCTAAACTAGAGACCATTGAAGATTTGAAAATCGAAATAATTGATCCCTTTAACGAGAAATTCAAACAAGAAATTATTAATAATAATATTTTACCTTTGTTAAATTCATACAAAAATTTTTATAGATATTCTAAAGATGAATCAGTAAATATGTCAGAAAATTTTGAAAAGGCGTTTGCAAATGCTAATATTTCAAATATTAAAAAATCGGTTCCATTGGCAAAAAGTGATGAAATCTTTTGCATTCGAAGAAAAATTGGAGAAGGTGGATATGCCAAAGTTTATTTATCAGAAACATCTAAGGGTGAATTTCGGGCTATAAAATTAGAAAAGCCAGCGAATATGTGGGAATATTATATTTTAAATCAAATTAAAGAGAGGTTTTTGAAAATATCGAATGATAAAAACTTGTGTGTTTCAAACTCTGTAATTAATGTTGATTCATTGCATTATTTTGAAGACGAGTCTTATCTTATTTTGGATTATTGTAATCAAGGCACAATTCTTGATATAATTAATTTTTTTAAAGAAAAATCTAAAATGAATAATAATCAAAGTGTGAATGTTGGGATAAGTGAAAAACTATGTATATTTTTTACAATCCATCTTTTAAGAATTGTTGAGAATTTACATGAGATTGGAATAATTCATGGAGATTTGAAATCTGATAATTGTTTACTAAATTTTGAAAAATTAGAAAACAATGAATTAAAGAATTGGAATCCCAAGTTTGATAGAAATGGAGAAGATAACTGGAAATTCAAAGGAATTAAATTAATTGATTTTGGTAGAGCAATTGATGTTGAATTATATAAAGAAAAAAAAAGTGGAAGCAAAAAAATAAGATTTAAGACCAGCAACAAGAGATTTGATAACTTAGGTGGTCAAGATTGCCCACAATTAAGAGAAGATGAAGTGTGGTCATATGAAATTGACTATTTTGGGTTGGCAAGTATAATTTATTCAATGTTATTTGGAGAGTATATCAAGATTGAAAGGATTGATAATAATGGAATAAACCGATACAAATTGGCTAGTAAATTTAAACGATATTGGAAAACTGAGTTGTGGGAACCATTGTTTGATTTTTTATTAAATTGCTATGACGAGAAAGCTGATGATTGCACATTACCTAAAACAGGCAAGCTAAAGAAGTTTAGAGAAATGTTTGAAGATTGGTTGGAGATCAACTATAATGATGGCGAGGTTTTAAAAAATATTATATGGGATATTGAAACAACATTAAGTGAACAGAATTTCAAGAAAAAGTATAGCTAGTTTTGTATCATATCAACCAAATTTGGATCATTTCCATACTTTTTATAAAATTTTCTAAAACCACCTTTGAGAACCCAAACATTTAATAATTTCTGGTCCAACCTTTGCAAGCCTTCCTTGTCCAACGATCTCAAAAATGCCAAAGCAGTTGAAGGACCTCTTTGTTGAGAATAAGAGCAATGAAACACTATATTTTGAATGTTTTCATTGATCGACCTTTCATAGATACTGTCTAGCATAGTTTGGTTTAGTGTATAGTAAGGCATGTTAAACGAACCTTTTATCTTGCCAATGGAGTAATCGTCCTCCCTCACATCGATGATCATAAAGGGGGCTTTCTTTTCAACAAGCCAAACGCGTAGAGTCTCAGGCTCAAGAAACCTCAAATCAGAGAAGCAAAACTCTCTTCGAGCAGCAAAGGAAAACATTTGGGTTGGAATCTGGTGGATTGGAGTTTGTGGAATCAGAATCTGATTAATTTGCTAACGCAGAGAGAAGAATAGAAGAAGCGCCACCAAATCCGCAGACGTGTCGTTACTCCAATACAAAACAAAGCTGTGTTACTATCTACGGTTATAAAGTGCTCTGAAGTCCAAATGCTCCATTTCCACACACTAAAGGCCCACATCTGGAGAGAAAGCAGCTATTGCTACGAAAATGGCCAAAATGTATCTGCAGTAGTTGGTTAGGTGCTGTTTGCCACCAGCAGCAGCCCCAGTTGAGGCAGCAAATCTGGACGAGCTGGATGAGTTACCAAGGTCTCTTTTGCTGTTGTGCAAGCTACTTTGTGCCTGGTCCTTCATCTCGCTGATTTTTTTGGTTAATGTGGAATGAACTCTTTTTTCTTTGCCATTTCTCGAGTTGAAGGGTTTGACTTGTTCGTTTGGTTGTCCTGTGGTGGTCAAAATTGAAAACTCCTTGCTTGCAATCTCAAATCTGTCATTCACATTTCCACCAACAATCTCAATTCCTTTGTTATCTGAGTTTTCATTATAGTGGTTATTCAAGTAATTGCTGGAATACTTATAGAATGAGCCACTCGAGTAATCCGAAACAACAATTCTTTTAACAAACATCGAGAATGGTGCTTTATCAAAATCAGTCTCTCCTCCTGCCCATTGAATTGTTCCAACTTCATTACCAGGGTCTCCTCCTGCCCAAATTCCCACCATCAAACTCATTGCAGAACATGGATATCTTTCATCGGTATTATTTTTTACTGATCGCACTAATTTATCATCAATATACCAATTTAGTTCCTCTTTTTTCCAATCTATGGTATACTTATGGAATGATTCTGAATGCCCAATAACTTTATGAGTTTGGCCTCTGCTGTATGTTGTAACATTGCCTTTACTGAAAAAATTAGTTTGAACTTTATCCCTTTCACCACCTATCCATTCAATATCAATTTCATCGCCATCATCACTTTGCAAAAAAAACGACGATATTATTCCTTGCCCACTTGATGTTTTAATTATTGCTTCAACTTTACCATACAATATATAAAAATTTGATCGTATGGAAGGGTTATCATATCTTTTATCCATAATTATTTCTAATCCGTCGTTCTTATGAAATGTAAATGATCCCCTATCAATAAAGATACTATAGTTTGGTGATTTTTCTTCAAAGTAATCAATAATTGATGTACTCAATCCAACATTCAATGGTTTACAGTTTTCATCTTTTAATGGATTGCAATTTCCCAACCTATTTGCTTTAACAAGTAAAGGATCTAGTGATAAAATTAAAAGTAGCGATATAAACCTAAATAAACTAGCTGATGGATATGATAACGATAATGATTTCATTATTATTAAAACTAAATTTGATCTCAATTATAAAGCTATATTTATATCTATATTTATATTCTTACCTATAATTTTTTTTTAATTTCTTTGATTAAGAAAAACAACCTTTCCTTCAAAAAAAAAAATTAATCATTATATAGAATTTTTGTTCTTTAGGTCAATTTGTGAAAACACAAAAGGAGTTAAAACTGGATTTTACACAAAAACTAATTTCCATTTTATTTCAATATCGATTGGTTAGTTACAATATTTTGCTTTCAATTTATTAAAAACAAAATCTGGTTAATACTTTTGCTCTCAAAAAAAAAAAAAAAATTCAATTTAAAAATTATAAACATTATAAAAATTTAAATTTATCTCGTTTATTTAAAAATGTTTAATTATCTCTTTTATTTTTAATTTAAGATTATGTTATGGGTTATTTTCATTATAGATTGTTATTAATGTCAATACTAGTATTATGAAAATATTAATTAGCAGTAAAATACATTTGATCTAAAGTATTATCTTCATATTCTGCTTCATCGTCGTATTCAACATCATATTCATCATCATATTCATTATCATATTCATCATCATATTCACCATCACCATCACCATCACCATCATGTGAATCCTTTTGGTTGATCTCTTTATCAATATTTTGATGATAATTGCTGTCTAAGTTTTTGTTATCAGAATCCTCTGATGGAAGATATTTAGTGATATTTTTTGAAGATAAATTGACCAAATGAAGCTCATTAAATTCGTCATTTGCTTTTTCATATCTTCTGTAAATATTTCCATTTATTGCTTTAATGTTTTTGCCAGTGTTATCAGAATATCTGTATATTGAGCCCGAGGAATAATCAGTTACAATAATATTTTTAATAAACATAGAAAAGGGTCCTTGGTTATAATCTGTTAAACCGCCAGCCCAATTGATTGTGCCTTGAGGGTTGTCAGGATCACCACCAGCCCATAAACCTAACAAGACAGCCATTGGAGATTGAGGATAACCATTAGAAATTGATTTATATAATGATCTAAATTCTTTGCCATCTATGTACCAAGTTAAAACATCTTCTGTCCAATCCAAAGTATAGTTATGATATATATTTGAGTGATTATCAGCAAAATGATTTAACCCAATTGAATTTTTTCCTTGAATGAAAAAATTCGATTGAATTTGATCTCTAAAATTTGAACCACCTAACCATTCCAAATCTATTTCATCTTTTGAATCACTTAAAAACATTAGACAAGATACTATACCCTGACCTATAGCGGTTTTTAAGATTACCTCAATTTTTCCATACATAATGTAGAAATTAGACCTGATTGAAGGATTGTCCTTTTGTTTATGTAGAGATATTTTTAAACCATCTTGAGAAGAGAAAGTGAAAGAGCCTCTTGGAGACCATATTGAAAAGTTAGGTTCTAGAATAGGAATTTTAGTAAAATCATTCAAAACAGTTGTTCCCAGTGGCACATTTGTATCGGGACAGGATTCAAAAGTTGGATCACAAATTTGATGTTCAAGGGAATAAGCAAAGAATATAAAATTTAAGATATTAACAAAAAGCAAAGAAAAAAGTGATAGATATCGAGCAGGAAAAAACAAACCAGCTTCCATTTTTAATACAGAATATAATGAATGGAAAACAACAAAAACCAGATTTACATGCTCAAGAGAATATAAACAGATTCATATTTTGAGCAGACACAAACAAATCAACGCCAAAAAAGGCACATTTAATGAGCTTATATCTTATGCAACAGTATGAACATATATGCATATGATAGATTAAAAATAACGACCTCGGAGAGGATCGAACTCTCGATCTTAAGATTAACAGTCTTACGCCTTAACCAGCTTGGCCACGAAGTCAATTTATAGCTTCTAAAATTATTTCAAGTAAATTTAAAAAAATATTATTTTTTCTGGTAGCCGTGTTGAAAATTCAAATTCAGAAATGAGGACGATTTTGTCATTTTTGAATTTACAAAAAAAACTTGAAAAAAAAACAACAGATAAATAATTCAAACAGACTAAAAACTTTTTTGCTTGCCTGTTTTTTGTTTAGTTATTTATAAGATATTAATTATTTTATTTTTTGAATCTCGTTTTAAAATGCAAGCACCAGTTGTATTTTTAAGTAAGTATTTTATCACTATTAACCAACAATGGTTCATTTTGCCTTCCTTTCATGGATTTTTAACTGACATTTGTTTTATTACCACAATAGATTCTTCAATTACCAGACAAACTGGTCGTGAAGCTCAAACTGCTAACATTACAGCTGCAAAGGCTGTTGCTGATATTATTCGAACCTGTTTGGGTCCTAAAGCAATGCTTAAAATGATATTGGATCCGATGGGTGGAATTGTTTTAACAAATGATGGCCATGCAATTTTGAGAGAAATTGATGTCTCTCATCCTGCTGCAAAATCAATGATTGAGTTAAGTAGAACTCAAGATGAAGAAGTTGGTGATGGTACAACATCAGTTATTATTTTAGCTGGTGAAATATTGGCTCAAACTTTTCCTTATATTGAAAAAAATATTCATCCAATTATTATAATTCGAGCTTTAAAATTAGCATTGAATGATTCGTTAGATTTTATACATCAAATTTCGGTTCCAATTGATCTTTCCAATGAATCAGAATTATTAAATTTAATTAAATCAACTATCGGAACTAAATATATCTCTAAATGGAGTGATCAAATGTGCAAATTAGCTTTACAAGCTGTTAGAGCGGTTTCAATCAACTATAATGATGGTCATAAAGAAATTGATATTAAAAGATATGTCAGAGTGGAAAAGATTCCTGGTGGAGAAATTGAAGATTGTCAATTCATAAATGGTTGTATTTTAAATAAAGATATTACTCATCCAAAAATGAAAAGGTATATTGAAAATCCAAGAGTTATATTATTAGATTGTCCTTTAGAATATAAGAAAGGTGAGTCTCAAACTAATATTGAAATTACTGAAGAAGATCACTGGAATAGAATTTTACAAATTGAAGAAGAACAAATTAAAAATTTATGTGATGAATTATTAAAATTCAAGCCAGATTTAATTTTGACAGAAAAGGGAGTATCTGATTTAGCTCAACACTATCTTTTGAAAGGTGGCGTTACAGTATTAAGAAGAGTTAAAAAGTCAGATAACAATAGGATTGCTAGAGTTACTGGTGCAACGATTGTTAATCAAGTTGATGATTTAAAAGACTCAGATGTTGGTATAAATTGTAAATTATTCAAGATTGAATTAATTGGAGATGAATATTTTACATATATTTTATCCAAAGATTCTGAGATTTCAAAAGCTTGTACAATTTTATTGAGAGGACCATCAAAGGACATTATAAATGAAATTGATAGAAATTTACAAGATGCAATGGCAGTAACTAGAAATGTTTTCTTGGAACCATCATTGTCGCCAGGAGGTGGAGCAACTGAGATGGCAATTTCAATAAAGTTGTTAGAAAATTTGTCCAAAATCGAAAATATACAACAATTGCCTTATAAGGCAGTTTCAGATGCGCTAGAAATCATTCCAAGAACATTAATTCAAAATTGTGGTAAAAATCCAATTAGAATATTGAGTAAGTTAAGAAGCGAACATAGTAAAGGAAATTATACTATGGGTATTGATGGAGATACAGGAGATATTGTTGATATGAAGGATTATGGAATTTGGGAGCCCGAAGTTGTTAAACAACAAAGCATTAAAACAGCTATTGAAAGTTCCTGTTTATTATTAAGAATCGATGATATTGTTAGTGGTATTCGTAAAGATGAAAGAAAATGAAGAAATAGAACATGAGATAGGAAAAATAACAATTCTAAATTGATTTGCTCCATAAATGAAATTATATATATTAATAATTGTAATAAATAAAGAATTAATTGAAAAAAAAAAAAAAAAAAAAAGAAAAAAGAAAAGGATTAAATCACAGCACGATGATGAAGATATATTAGTGAATTACTGGTAAATTTCTTTATTATTTTTATTAAATTGAATGTCATTTGAGAAATTATTAAAATTTTCAATATTTTCGATATTTTCGATATTTTCGATATTTTCAATATTTTCAATATTTTCAATATTGGCAGGATTATCAGCGTTTTCAGTACTATCAATGTTGAATTCTGGGAAAGCATCAAAGTCTTTAAGATTCTGTGAAGCAGAAGAAGAATCTTCAGATAGAACTTGATTGATTTTATTTATTATAGTGTCACATTGATCATCAGTAAATCTTAAATCACACTCCTCAACCAAAGAATATAAATGAACAACAGATGTAGGCAAGAAATTGATGATTTGTAATTTTTCAATCTTTTCTAAATGATAGTTATTTAAGTGAAGTAAAATTGATTTGAGTTTTTGTTCATTTAGTTTTGTAGTTGTATCAAACTTTTGGAAGTAATCTGTCAAATTTTTAGCTAGAGACTCCAAGTTTGAATTACCATTGTATCTTTTTGTGTATCTTTTATTGCTATTTAGAGTGTCGTTGGAGGCGAAATCCCATTCATTTTCTGCTTTGATGTCTTCGATATGCTGAAAAACTTCAAAATTGGATAAAAACTTATCTCTAGCGACTTCGATCTACAAAAGGACAAGTTAGTTGTAATTGAAAAACCTGAATGGAAATGGAAATGGCAGAAACTAGAAAAGCCCCAGTTATTTACATACTTTCATTGCTGTTGATTCATAAAAGTGGAAGCAAAAAACAGAGCAACAGATAAATCAACAAAAAGACGATGTTACCCGGACAGAATCGTGGGAATTGCTTCTTTTGCTTCATTTTCTGGTAGCAAAACACAACAGGGTTGGCCATAATGGACATCGATAGTGTTGTACCAATCACCAGCAACCAAAGAACTCTCTTTTGCCTTCCATTGCCTCCACTTTCCTGCTATGTCTTTCAAGTCTAGGTCCACAAGCGAGATTTCAATACAATAGAACCTGTTCTGCCACTTGTAGGCAATTTGGTGATGGCCAACAGCTTTATGGTAAGTGCTGCTGCTGCTGCTTGTGTCTAGGTCTATCAATAGGTAGCCGGCAGTGTCGACTATTCTGTAAAACTTGATGAACACAGTGACATCTCGCAAGGTCATTTTCAAATTTAGATCATTGATCGCCTGTTTGTTGTTTTCACTGTTCATAAACTCTTCACTTAAATTGAGTATCATGTTATGGGTCGTTGGGCGCTGATAAAGCGATAGCATGTTTAAGATATTTTTATCGTTATAGTTGAAATAATCGAACAATATATTTTTAGCTATTTCGGTGCTATCGACAACAATGTCGTTATTGCTATCATTCGAGATTGGAAACATATTTTTAAGGGTTTGTTTTAAATTCGAGTCCTTGAATTTTATAAGCTCGTTAAAACAGAAGCATTTCTTGGTTATCTTTTTTGTCATTCTATTATAGGCACAGTTTCGACAATAGTTTGTATCTATTGAATCCTTATACAACCATTTGGGTTTCATTTCAATCACCATAAGTGGAAAATCTCCACTATCACAGGTGGTATTGATAAACAATTTGAGAAACTTTGAATATTTTGTCTTTTTTGTGTGTTCATTAGTAACCAAATGATTATCGATTAGCATTCCATATCTTTCATCAAGATTAATTGAGCAATGGTTTTTGAAAGTATTTGTCAAGGCTTCCGTAAAGACAGTGGGCAATTCGATCAACTCGAAGTTGTTATTGACGATGTATTCCCGTAGGTTGCATAAGCTCCGGTCTGCAACAAAACTGGCGTGAATGGAGTCGAAAACTTCAGCTGTTGAAATATAGGAAGCACTTTGATGGTGCTGGCCAATGAGTCGAACCCGCAACACTCTGTGGAGATACTTCGTGTTGTTCCCAACATATTTGAAAACGGCATTGGCCATTCCGTTGTCGAGATATTCCCATTCGTCGGCAAACAAGTCCATTTTGCTGGCAGCTCAGCTTTCTTTTTTGGAGAAGGCAGTTTATGTTTGCGGTACTCGTCCTAATTATATCTTAATTATAGACGGTTCTTTAGCAGTTTGATTGACTGATTGATTGTTTGATTGACTGATTGATTGTTTGATTGTTTTGTTTGAATATGCAGTGATAATGCAGTGTGAGAATAATTCGCAAAACATTTTTACCACATCCAAGGCTCGTAGGACGGAGCAAGAGGCCTGTCGCTTCCGGAAACCACGACGACAGCAGGGATCTGCAGCTCGATCCAGACGCACGAGCCTGGGTGCATTCCGGTGCTGCAGAAGAGTGGGCTGTTTGGAGAAACAGTTGAGGAAGGCAAGCATTTTGAAGAATATATAAAGGCAAAGGAAAAGTCCCTTTCGCTGCTCAAGAAACATTGTTCAATCAATACAATAAGTCAATCTATATCATGAACCAATCTATATCATGAACCAATCTATATCATGAACCAATCTATATCATGAATCAATCGATACAATGAATTTGAAATAGCTTATAAATTCCTATGGTATAACTGCATTTTAATGTAATGTGTTGCTGATGTTTGCTATTTGGGATATAATTACTTTAAAATCGGTATTCTGGGTTTTCTTTGAAAACATCATCCCTTTAAAAGCAGAATGCTTAAACTTCTGGTTAGTAAGTAATATAAACTGTCTTTCAAAAGTGATTTCTTGATGTTGTTTTAATGTTACATTGATTAAAGGTCAGGATGAATTATGGCCTTCAAATACAAGTTGCAGATATCAAAACCATCTAAATAGCAGCTATTTGCTCTCAAATAGTTAGGATGTTAGAATAAGATAATGGTGAATCATTTGATATTATTTTAAAGACTTCATTTAATTGCGTTGCTTTGGTTTTAAATTAAGTTTGTAAGATTTGATGTGTTTGGATTGTTTTCCAACCCAGATTATTTTGGTTTTAAAATGGTATTGTTAAATATTATCTATTAATGAAATACTAGTCTTTAATTCGATTAGTTGTTTCTTTACTTATCATTCTATCAATTATTTCCGTCTTTGACATTCAAAATTTAGTTTTAATTGTTTTGTTGACACATAAGTGTTTGAGACTACTAATATTGTGTTTTCCCGAGTATTATTCATTAGAAGATCCAAAACCATACAATGGGTATTAGTGTGATCATATTTTTGCTTCTTTTACTGGTATGTTCCGCAACTTGAAAAGAACTGATAAATATGTTTTAAATATATTTTGATGGTTCTTAGTATGGTAAACGGGCCGGATTAGAAGTCGAAAGTGGTCATGTATAAGCTATGCTCATTGGGTGAGTAATTACAGAGGTCTCAATATAAGTAGATGTTGGTATTTTTTACTTAATGTAATTTAATAAATATATCACATATCTCTAAGTAATTACTAAACATAACTTGTTCACTGTTGATTTCACTCGGTATATATTTCTCTGAAATGTATTTGTATTTTTTCAGTACGGTGTCTGTTTGCTTGCATATAAAGCAAGTTGCACAAAATAGAGAAGGACTGAAAAGAGATATTGCATTGGGATTTTTAAATCCAGCAGAACACAGTTGGGTTTTCAGAAAAGAGGTGTGTCGTTTATTAAACATGTACCAGACATTTGGTAACAAAAAATAGCAGGAGAAAACAGTAATAATTGCAATTATTGATTGATAACCAGGCAGATTAAATATGTAAAGAATAAACACAGGCCCTCTTGTGAATTGAAAAATGGTCTGTTGGTCTAGTGGTGACGACGCTTCGTTTACACCGAAGAGATCCCGAGTTCGAACCTCGGACAGATCATCTTTTTGTCACCAACAATACCAATCACTTGGCGCCACTCGTATGGGTTGCGTCCTACAATCCCACTGCTGCCTTTCTGCACGAGATGACCTGGAAAATTTTGGCCAGAAGATATAAATTTAGTCCTTTAATTCAATTAAAGGAAGAGGAAAGAGAAGCAATGGAACGAGAAACAGCTGATTAACAAATTTTCTGCTGCATAAACAGTTCATGTAATCATACCACTAACTATTGTATGGTAGATAACTTTTATTCTAGCGTTTTTAGAAGAGTGAGACATCTGATATTTGAATTTCAAAACTAGTTCTTTCTTTCAATTTGATTGTACTTTATTATTTTGTTATATATTGAATTGCCATTACATAATTAGCTGCTTTAGTGCATTTTAATATGATTTTTCTTAACTCTAATAATAATTAATAAAATATTTTCCAAATTCGTAATAATACTTTGTCTGCTTTGTCTACTTTACATTTTTTTTCTCTTTTCTTAATTTTTACCAAGTATGGTGAAATCACAAACCATATAAGCAATGTCAATATATAAATTTATGGATTTTGAAATATTATATTTTCTGGTTGTAAGGGTTTTTTCTCAAATTGTTAGGAATTGTCAGGAATTGTTAGGACTGCCTTTATTTTTAGTCGAGTTTGCACCTTTGCAAGACAGCAGTTATTAAACGTTTATTTTCAAAGATATGATAGAGAGCTAACTAATTGTATGTTTTTATGGATATAGAAATTACTAGAAAATATAATAGAAAATATAATAAAAAACATAATAGAAAACAATATTCACATTATTATTTAATAATTGAATCTGGATAGCCTGTTATTTTGTATTGGTCAACAAGATACAATTATCTGACTTCCATCTGGGTAAGTTTTCTTTACTCCATTCGATAAATCCGCCGCTGATATTATAAACATTTTCTATTCCATTATCAATTAAAATTGTTGTTGAAATGACTGATGAATTGCCTGAGTAACAAATATTGAATATTTTTTTCCCTTGAAGATCATTATTTTGCATGAATTCTTGCAATATTAGTTTTAAAGAATTATATTCAGTTTGAAGTACATTTGTATCGATTAACGGATTATTAGTATTGCCATTATCGATATCTATATTGATTGAATTCAAGATGTGAAGCTCTTTAAAATTTTTGTTATCTCTAATATCAAAAATAATAATATCATCATTAACACATTTTTTGTGTTTATTATAAATAATTTTATATGCATCAATTGGTTTCAAGTTAATCTTTTTATCAGCAAGAATATCATTGATTCTGTTTATCATTTCAATTGGTAGATTTTGTTTTTTTTGCAATAAATATTCATTTTCAATCTTTGGAAAATTTTCTTTACCTAAATATTTAAAATACTCGTCAATGTAAACAAACGGTTGGTCGCAACAAATGAAAACGCAGTTGACTGTTTTATTATCTTGTTTGAGAAGATTTTGAAGTTCTTTTAACTGACCATTTCCTTTAATTTCATTTAAATAATTTAATAAACCTTTGTATGTAAATCCACTGGAAGGCCCAACTAAAATGCCCTTTCTGCATAGTTCTAAAGAATGTTTGTATGAATCTTTTGTACCAATTTGTTGAATCGAATCACAGCTTTCGTTCCAATTGAATTTAATTGAATCTAGTAAATTGAGTGTTCTTGGCCCAGGAACCGGATTATTTGGTAATCTAACAACCCCAATTGTTTTAAATAATGGATCTTTCGTTTCATTTTTGTTGCTGTTATTAAGTTTATTATAGCAGCTTTTCAAATAAGTTGATGTACCAACTAATGAACCTGAAGTACCTAAACCACAAGCAAACAAGTTCAAGTCCAAGTTAAGTGATTCCAACTGCCTAACAATTTGTGGTGCTGTCCATTTATAATGAGCTGAAGGATTTAAATCGTTTTCATACTGATTCAAATTCAAATAGTTTTCATGTTTACTTGATAATTTTTTAGCTATATTAATTCCAGAGTTCAAGTCATTGGGATTGGGGCAAATTGGTTCATCGTTAATAATGCAGTTGACATCGAAAAATTGCAATTGCTTTAATTTTGCAGGAGATATTTCGTTGGAGACTATGGCTTTTGTGTTGTTAATACCCAACAATTTGCCTATGATTGACAAAGAAAACACTGTATTCCCAGAAGAGTTTTCAATTAGTGTGTCGATTTTAGATAAATCAATCGCCTGGTTATTATGGTTAAGATTAGAGCTAAGATTTTCGCAATCAAGACTTTGGCAATTAGGTTTTTGCTTACCAGTCAACTGTAGAAGCATGTTATAAGCAGGCAACGATTTGACATTGGCCATGGGAAGACATTGCATCAACTTTGCGAATATCCTGACGTTGTCGTCTTTGAAAGGATGGAGAGGAATCTCAACCAAAGGAGTTGGGGGCAAGTTGTCTGGATTGAAGTAGTCCAAGATCGAAGTGTCACCATGGAAGACGTTCATGTTGAAGAAGGCAGCAGAGAAGGAGCTTGAGAGCAACGAGAGAAGCACCAGAAGAGCCAGAAAAAACAAAACAGACTCAAGATGCCCATAAATAGCACTTCCTGTGGCCTATAACCAGAGAAAGCACATTCTCAGCACAAATCGCCAGCTTGAGACACTTCGCAAGGCTGGAGGTTACAATAACCATTAGCAGGACACCAAGGTGTTTTTTGGCAGTCTTCTCTTGGTTAAACATATAAATAAGGCTGGAGTGCTCCTTTTGTTCCCACGAAACTAGCTGCTATTTCAACTATTTCAACTATTTCAACTGTCATCCTAACTGTCTTAGTTGTTTGTTCTGACTGTTTTGATTCGCCATGAAGATCTCGTTTGTTGGTAAAGGTGGCTCAGGAAAGACCACCATTTCCTCGTTGTTTTTGTTGTGGGCCTCGAAGAACTTGGACTCAATTGACGACATTGATCAAGCTTGCGAAAACAGCTCCAACCCAGACCTCTTGTTTTCCAATCCCCCAGCTGGTGATGATGCCAAATTAAAGGACTATCCAACATTGATCTGTGCAATTGACGCTGATTTGAATATGCAACTACCCGATACTTTGAACATTCATGTTCCCACCAAAAAATATTTATCAAATCATGACAACAACACAAAAATTCGCAAGTTCTTGAAAAACAACAACAGCAGAATCAAAAGCTTTGGTCACTTCAAAAAGACAACTCCACCAGCTGCTGGTTCGAATATAATTGATCCTACTGATTTGTCTTTTTTCAACGATTACTCTTCCACCATTTATGACCTTGATCAACAAACCAAAACCGAACCATCCAATTACGACAGTGACCTGGACGATTACAATGATTTCAATGATGATTCAGATCAAGATGAAAACGAAGACGGAAACGAAAACCAAAATGAAAAAGAGCATTTTTATAAAGACAAGAGATTTAATCCCATTCATTTGGCTGTGGTTGGTAGTTATGGCGATTTAGACTCTGATGATAAAGATAAGGAAACTGCCCAAAAAACTCATGCTCATAATCATAATCATAATCATAATCATAGTCATAATCATAATCATAGTCATAATCATAATCATAATCATAATCATAATCATCTCCATGATAAAGATAATAGTGGGGATAGACATTTAGTAAAAAGATACAAAAGAAACAACAGTGTCTCCAGTGATTCAAGTTCCACAAGTCTTCAAAGTAATAATAGCCATTCAAGCAGTGCAACAAGTTTATCATCATCTGCATCTTCATTATCTTTATCAACTAACCCAATAGATGAAAAATCCCAACTAAACAATGTTATCGGTACAAGTTGCTATCACAATAATTTATCAATCTTAGAAAATATCTTATCTCATATGAAAGATGAACCAAATTATCATGATAACACCAAAAAAAACAGAATTTTGTTGGCTTGTGATATGGTCGCTGCTATTGATTCTTTTGCATCAACTCTATACTCTCAATTTGACTTGACTATTGTTGTTGTTGAACCAACTGTTCACAGTAAAAAAATTGTTTTGCAATTTTTAAAATACGGCAAAGCAGCTGGAAAGGATATCTATGATAGATTATTCTTAATCGGTAATAAAATTGAAAATGACGATGATAAAAAATTTATTCAAAAAATTTGTGGTAAAAAGAAAGTTCTTGGTTATATTGGTAGGTTAAATTCAATTAAAAAATGCGAAAGAGAAGGCAATGGAATCAAATTAAACGATAACGATTTTCTTGAAATCAATGAACCAATGAGAAATATCTATAACACAGCTAAACAATCAATTGTTCCCTACAATGAGAGATTAAATAAATTGTATCAACTACATGAAAAATATGCAAAATTACCTTATGTTTATGAAAGATTTGGTGATATTACAAATCAAATCGACAAAGAGTTTCATTTTTAAATCAAAAAAAAAAATGAAAAAAAAAGTATTATACTATTTACTTATATGCATACTCTGCCTATTTGCTTGTTTTTTTTTGTTCAATTATATTTTACTCTTATATTATTTATTCTATACTGTATAGCTTAATATCTCTATACTATAAGTAGCTAATTTAAGCCAATTTTTATCAAATAAATTAATCATCTACAAATTTCTTGTAAACTCCGCCATCAATAAAACTATTTCCCATGTTACTTTAATGTTTTTTTAACTAAATTCTACCAAAATATCATATTAAATGAATAATCTCTTTTATAAATTGTTTTGCAAATAAATCTCTTTCACTTGAATCAGTGATTTTATTTGCATCTATTTTAGCTAATTGAATTTTTGAAATCAACTCATCAATATTATCAATTTTATCAATTTTATCAATTTTATCAATTTTATCAATTTTATCAATTTTCTGGTCTGTGTTGTTGGAATTACACAATCCATCTGTTTTTTCAACTTTATTTTTATCATTTGAATTACCAGCCAATAACTTTTCATTCAATTGATCAACAGTATCACTTACAGCTTTTCTGTCATCATCATTATCATATTTCATTTTTCCATCCAAAACAATATTATTCCAATCAAAAGATTGAATTATTTCAGTAATTCTATCATAACCAATTTTCTCGCAGAATTGATTTTTTGAGTTGTCCAAACGATTAATTGAAATAAATTCTATGGAATTGGACCAAAATAAATCGTTAATTACATCAAAATAAGATTTGTATAATTTGTCATCTATTAAACCAGCACAAATAAAAAACCCATCCCATATATTAAAGTCAACATTTTTTAATTGATTTTCTTGATCTGTTTCATACCTTTGATTATTATCATTTTGTTCGTCCTTAAGTAAATCTAAAATCTCACTCAAATTACTCAATATTGTTTTAATTAAAAAAGTAAATTTAGAAAGCAGTTCACTTGAATTTGCATGTTTCTTTTCCATACAAGAAATTAAGTAATCGAAATCAATAGTAAATATAAAACCTGACAAAACATCCCTAATTTCTTTAAACTTGATATTCAAAAATTCGTTTTTCCACTGGTTAAAATTCTTAATGTAGCGAGCTTGATAAACATCAATACCATCATTATGATTGCACTCAAATTCATCAACCCAAATGTCTATCTGTTTTGAATAATATTTGGTTTTTAGATTCGAGCTCAAAATCAACCCTGAATGATTCTCACAATCCTTTGGAATTGCTGTTTCTAGTTCAATACCTTTGAGGACACTCTTGATCAATCTCAATTTTCCACTTTGGTTGGCTCCCACCACCAATATCTTGTTTTTTTCAATCATCATTCTCAAAATCGCCTTAAAAGCAAATACAGCAACTACAGCAAAATTCCTCAATTCTTCATTTTGTTTCTGAAAAATTCCGGAAGTATTCCGAAACTCTACACCCAAAAAGGGGGTCTGTTATTGATAGCCCCCTATTTTCTCTTCTCTCTATTCCTCAAAGCGGGGTCTATTATAACAATTACAATGACTACAAAAAAATATATCAGCGAGTATGATTCAATTTATTAGTGAAATTATTGTAAAACCAATGCTACACTATCAATAAAACAATGGTTTGATTTCATGCCTATTCATATTTGGAAAATCTCGTTGGAAAGCTTAGAACTGATCTGTTATTGTTTATGTTATTTAATTTTCTGTTTTTTTTCCTTTTTAAAAAGTTATTTCTTAGAAATCCCTTGCTAAACTTGTTAAGCAAGCCATTACTTGAGGAGTCACTACTTGTATTGCCATTTTCAATCCCATTACTTTTTTTATTACCTCTAGAGTGTCGATTGTTCGATTGGTCTTTTTGCTGCATCTTATTTTTATAGTTATTAGTCAAATTAGTTAGATTACTCAAATAATCATTGTTGTCATTATCATTATAATCATCAGTGTGGTTTTCGGGTTCAATAATAGTCTTTATCCAATAATTAGACACAATTAACCCAACAGTTATGATGAAGAATAAAAATAAAACAATACCGATAAACCAATAGTAATTATTAGTGATATCACTACCGGGGACGTTAACGTTCATTCCAAACAAACCTGTAACCAAATTTAGTGGAACCAACAATGTACCTATTAATGTAACTTTTGATAACATTTCGGTCACTTTATTATTAGAATTAAAGCTTTCAACTTGTAGTTGAGCCAAGTAATTTGAATGGGACCTTGAAAAGATTTTTTCATAAGAAATCAAGTTTGAAAACATTGTTATAATATGATCTTGAATGTCACCTAAATACAATGCAATATCAGCCCCAGGTTTAATCTTATCGCTACCATTAGAGTAATCAAAATAATTGTTATTATTATTGGTGTTATTATTATTATTATTATTATTATTATTGTTGTTGTTATTGTTATTGTTATTGTTATTGTTATTGTTATTGTTATTGTTATTGTTATTGTTATTATTGCCACTAATATTATTATTATTATTATTGTTGGTATGCTTATTATAACCTGTATTGTTGATGTTATTATTATTAAAGGAGGAATTTGAATTGAAAAAATCTGTTAAATTTGTGTTGCTGTTAATTTGATGGTTTATAATATTGCTATTATAATTATCATTAGTATCTTGACATCTTTTATAGAACATTTTGATAACATCAGCTTTACCAGATAATAATCTCATTAGTATCATGACTTTTCTGCGAGCCTCACCAATTGTTTGTAGCATTTTACTAAAGTCCATTTCTCTTAAAATAAATACCGAATCCTCAATTGCATCAGCTTCGTACTCAATGCTATTTATGATTGGAACAAAACTATCAGTAATATCATCAATTAGTGCATAGCAAATCCAATCACTTTTAATTCTCATATAATCTTTTAATTGTCTGATTCTTCTTCTAACATTAATTGAGTGTAAAACTTTTGAAAAATGAAAAGTAATAATACCATTTTGAAAAACCACCATATAAAAATTGATTGGTTCCAAATAATCTTGACTTTCATTATCATTTTCAAAGGTATGGTAAGAAATAAAGTAGTAATTTTTAAATAATTCGACTTTTTCACGACTTTCTTGCATTCTAATATCTTCTGAAGTTAAAGGATGAATACCAAATGATTTTGATAAATATCTAGTCTCTAAATCAGTTGGGCAAACACAGTCTAACCACCAGGTTGTTTGAGGATTCAAGTGAGGTGTATTATTAATTTTGATTAAATCAAATAAGTTTTTAAAAGATAAATTTTCTTTATTGTTATTGGTATTGATATTACTATTGCTTTGATTATTATTAATTAATAATGAAGGTAAATCAGGAGAATGAATTGTTTCATTTAAGTGGGTAGAAAAAAAACTGTATCTGTTATCTAGTTGATTACTTTCAAATAAATTGTGACTTTGATTTTGAAAAGTTACATTACTGTTTTCATTATTATTTTCAATATTATTATTGTGATCAAAATTGTTGTTATTGAGTATGTTTTCCGAACTATTTTTAATAGAATTTAAGGATAAAGAATTTGATTCATTATTTCCATTATCTTTTTCAATGCCATTTGCTTTATCATTATTATTATCATTATTGGTGTAAATACGATTTTTCTTTTTAAAATTCAAATGGTTTAAAATATAGTTTGGAGCGTATTTCAAAGTGGTTAAAGATAATTTTTTTTTATTATTGTTGATAGAAGGTATGTTTGATATGATCAAGTCATTATTGTCATAGGTATTTAGAGTGTGCAATGAATTTGGAGAGTTGTTTGATAATATTGGATAAGTGTTATCTCCAGCAAAATCATGAGGACAATTATTGTTACTAATGGCTCTATTACAATCAATGGTTAATAGTTCATCTAATTCATTAAAATCAATTCCATCAATTCTAATTTTTTCCTTTTTATTTTCGTGTTCTTTGTTATGAGTGTTATTGAAAAAATTGTTATGAAGATTGATGTGATTTTTTATATTATTAACATTGTTGTGTTTCTCACTGTTAATTCCAAGCTCTTCAGTATCGTTTTTATTTTTATTGTCACTGTGATTGTTGATATTATTGTAATTATTAGCAATTTCGTTAGCATTAACAGTAGCATCGCCGTTATTACTGTTATTATGATTGGAGCCATGATCGTCAGCATGGTTGTGTATGTAGTTTGTGTTATGATGATGATAATCAATATCGTTATTTAATGGAAAACAGACATCTTGCTCAGTTTGTAGAGAGGCTCTTGATAGCTTTGAATTGATGGAGACATTGTCATTGATGTCGATTGAATTAGAAAACGAATTAGCCATTTTTCAAAATTAGTCCCATTGGATAAACACAGTGATAAGAAGTATGTGGGATAACTTGATCAAGCCCATAGTATCGCAGTGGCACAAAAGAAAAAAAAGAAGAAGAAGAAGAAGAGGAAGAGGAAGAAGAGGAAGAAGAAGTAGCAATGAAACGAGAAACAGCTAAATTTATATCTTCTGGCCAAAATTTTCCAGGTCATCTCGTGCAGAAAGGCAGCAGTGGGATTGTAGGACGCAACCCATACGAGTGGCGCCAAGTGATTGGTATTGTTGGTGACAAAAAGATGATCTGTCCGAGGTTCGAACTCGGGATCTCTTCGGTGTAAACGAAGCGTCGTCACCACTAGACCAACAGACCATTTTTCAATTCACAAGAGGGCCTGTGTTTATTCTTTACATATTTAATCTGCCTGGTTATCAATCAATAATTGCAATTATTACTGTTTTCTCCTGCTATTTTTTGTTACCAAATGTCTGGTACATGTTTAATAAACGACACACCTCTTTTCTGAAAACCCAACTGTGTTCTGCTGGATTTAAAAATCCCAATGCAATATCTCTTTTCAGTCCTTCTCTATTTTGTGCAACTTGCTTTATATGCAAGCAAACAGACACCGTACTGAAAAAATACAAATACATTTCAGAGAAATATATACCGAGTGAAATCAACAGTGAACAAGTTATGTTTAGTAATTACTTAGAGATATGTGATATATTTATTAAATTACATTAAGTAAAAAATACCAACATCTACTTATATTGAGACCTCTGTAATTACTCACCCAATGAGCATAGCTTATACATGACCNTATTTATTAAATTACATTAAGTAAAAAATACCAACATCTACTTATATTGAGACCTCTGTAATTACTCACCCAATGAGCATAGCTTATACATGACCACTTTCGACTTCTAATCCGGCCCGTTTACCATACTAAGAACCATCAAAATATATTTAAAACATATTTATCAGTTCTTTTCAAGTTGCGGAACATACCAGTAAAAGAAGCAAAAATATGATCACACTAATACCCATTGTATGGTTTTGGATCTTCTAATGAATAATACTCGGGAAAACACAATATTAGTAGTCTCAAACACTTATGTGTCAACAAAACAATTAAAACTAAATTTTGAATGTCAAAGACGGAAATAATTGATAGAATGATAAGTAAAGAAACAACTAATCGAATTAAAGACTAGTATTTCATTAATAGATAATATTTAACAATACCATTTTAAAACCAAAATAATCTGGGTTGGAAAACAATCCAAACACATCAAATCTTACAAACTTAATTTAAAACCAAAGCAACGCAATTAAATGAAGTCTTTAAAATAATATCAAATGATTCACCATTATCTTATTCTAACATCCTAACTATTTGAGAGCAAATAGCTGCTATTTAGATGGTTTTGATATCTGCAACTTGTATTTGAAGGCCATAATTCATCCTGACCTTTAATCAATGTAACATTAAAACAACATCAAGAAATCACTTTTGAAAGACAGTTTATATTACTTACTAACCAGAAGTTTAAGCATTCTGCTTTTAAAGGGATGATGTTTTCAAAGAAAACCCAGAATACCGATTTTAAAGTAATTATATCCCAAATAGCAAACATCAGCAACACATTACATTAAAATGCAGTTATACCATAGGAATTTATAAGCTATTTCAAATTCATTGTATCGATTGATTCATGATATAGATTGGTTCATGATATAGATTGGTTCATGATATAGATTGGTTCATGATATAGATTGACTTATTGTATTGATTGAACAATGTTTCTTGAGCAGCGAAAGGGACTTTTCCTTTGCCTTTATATATTCTTCAAAATGCTTGCCTTCCTCAACTGTTTCTCCAAACAGCCCACTCTTCTGCAGCACCGGAATGCACCCAGGCTCGTGCGTCTGGATCGAGCTGCAGATCCCTGCTGTCGTCGTGGTTTCCGGAAGCGACAGGCCTCTTGCTCCGTCCTACGAGCCTTGGATGTGGTAAAAATGTTTTGCGAATTATTCTCACACTGCATTATCACTGCATATTCAAACAAAACAATCAAACAATCAATCAGTCAATCAAACAATCAATCAGTCAATCAAACTGCTAAAGAACCGTCTATAATTAAGATATAATTAGGACGAGTACCGCAAACATAAACTGCCTTCTCCAAAAAAGAAAGCTGAGCTGCCAGCAAAATGGACTTGTTTGCCGACGAATGGGAATATCTCGACAACGGAATGGCCAATGCCGTTTTCAAATATGTTGGGAACAACACGAAGTATCTCCACAGAGTGTTGCGGGTTCGACTCATTGGCCAGCACCATCAAAGTGCTTCCTATATTTCAACAGCTGAAGTTTTCGACTCCATTCACGCCAGTTTTGTTGCAGACCGGAGCTTATGCAACCTACGGGAATACATCGTCAATAACAACTTCGAGTTGATCGAATTGCCCACTGTCTTTACGGAAGCCTTGACAAATACTTTCAAAAACCATTGCTCAATTAATCTTGATGAAAGATATGGAATGCTAATCGATAATCATTTGGTTACTAATGAACACACAAAAAAGACAAAATATTCAAAGTTTCTCAAATTGTTTATCAATACCACCTGTGATAGTGGAGATTTTCCACTTATGGTGATTGAAATGAAACCCAAATGGTTGTATAAGGATTCAATAGATACAAACTATTGTCGAAACTGTGCCTATAATAGAATGACAAAAAAGATAACCAAGAAATGCTTCTGTTTTAACGAGCTTATAAAATTCAAGGACTCGAATTTAAAACAAACCCTTAAAAATATGTTTCCAATCTCGAATGATAGCAATAACGACATTGTTGTCGATAGCACCGAAATAGCTAAAAATATATTGTTCGATTATTTCAACTATAACGATAAAAATATCTTAAACATGCTATCGCTTTATCAGCGCCCAACGACCCATAACATGATACTCAATTTAAGTGAAGAGTTTATGAACAGTGAAAACAACAAACAGGCGATCAATGATCTAAATTTGAAAATGACCTTGCGAGATGTCACTGTGTTCATCAAGTTTTACAGAATAGTCGACACTGCCGGCTACCTATTGATAGACCTAGACACAAGCAGCAGCAGCAGCACTTACCATAAAGCTGTTGGCCATCACCAAATTGCCTACAAGTGGCAGAACAGGTTCTATTGTATTGAAATCTCGCTTGTGGACCTAGACTTGAAAGACATAGCAGGAAAGTGGAGGCAATGGAAGGCAAAAGAGAGTTCTTTGGTTGCTGGTGATTGGTACAACACTATCGATGTCCATTATGGCCAACCCTGTTGTGTTTTGCTACCAGAAAATGAAGCAAAAGAAGCAATTCCCACGATTCTGTCCGGGTAACATCGTCTTTTTGTTGATTTATCTGTTGCTCTGTTTTTTGCTTCCACTTTTATGAATCAACAGCAATGAAAGTATGTAAATAACTGGGGCTTTTCTAGTTTCTGCCATTTCCATTTCCATTCAGGTTTTTCAATTACAACTAACTTGTCCTTTTGTAGATCGAAGTCGCTAGAGATAAGTTTTTATCCAATTTTGAAGTTTTTCAGCATATCGAAGACATCAAAGCAGAAAATGAATGGGATTTCGCCTCCAACGACACTCTAAATAGCAATAAAAGATACACAAAAAGATACAATGGTAATTCAAACTTGGAGTCTCTAGCTAAAAATTTGACAGATTACTTCCAAAAGTTTGATACAACTACAAAACTAAATGAACAAAAACTCAAATCAATTTTACTTCACTTAAATAACTATCATTTAGAAAAGATTGAAAAATTACAAATCATCAATTTCTTGCCTACATCTGTTGTTCATTTATATTCTTTGGTTGAGGAGTGTGATTTAAGATTTACTGATGATCAATGTGACACTATAATAAATAAAATCAATCAAGTTCTATCTGAAGATTCTTCTTCTGCTTCACAGAATCTTAAAGACTTTGATGCTTTCCCAGAATTCAACATTGATAGTACTGAAAACGCTGATAATCCTGCCAATATTGAAAATATTGAAAATATTGAAAATATCGAAAATATCGAAAATATCGAAAATATTGAAAATTTTAATAATTTCTCAAATGACATTCAATTTAATAAAAATAATAAAGAAATTTACCAGTAATTCACTAATATATCTTCATCATCGTGCTGTGATTTAATCCTTTTCTTTTTTCTTTTTTTTTTTTTTTTTTTTTCAATTAATTCTTTATTTATTACAATTATTAATATATATAATTTCATTTATGGAGCAAATCAATTTAGAATTGTTATTTTTCCTATCTCATGTTCTATTTCTTCATTTTCTTTCATCTTTACGAATACCACTAACAATATCATCGATTCTTAATAATAAACAGGAACTTTCAATAGCTGTTTTAATGCTTTGTTGTTTAACAACTTCGGGCTCCCAAATTCCATAATCCTTCATATCAACAATATCTCCTGTATCTCCATCAATACCCATAGTATAATTTCCTTTACTATGTTCGCTTCTTAACTTACTCAATATTCTAATTGGATTTTTACCACAATTTTGAATTAATGTTCTTGGAATGATTTCTAGCGCATCTGAAACTGCCTTATAAGGCAATTGTTGTATATTTTCGATTTTGGACAAATTTTCTAACAACTTTATTGAAATTGCCATCTCAGTTGCTCCACCTCCTGGCGACAATGATGGTTCCAAGAAAACATTTCTAGTTACTGCCATTGCATCTTGTAAATTTCTATCAATTTCATTTATAATGTCCTTTGATGGTCCTCTCAATAATCTATCATAAAACACATCCTAGCTTGGATACTAAGAATTAGTAAAAAAATCGTAAAACATTAAATTATATTATATTGTATACTGTATTGATAGTGTCATGGTTATTATCCAAATATCATATGGAAATATCAATCAATTTGCTATAATAGGCGATTGAGCTCAAATTTATACTGCTTTTACCTATGATTTTATTGAACATTTCATGATCTTTGGATTTCATTATATCAGTAATATTTGTACTCTCTTCTTCTTCCTCATCACTAGAAATGCTGTTTTCACTAGCATAGTAACAAATATTGAATAGATTATCGGACAACTCTTTTCTTAATTGAAAGTCGACCAACTTGTTTGAGATTTTGCTTCCAATCCAAATTCTTAAGATTCCGCTTAGCATTTCAATGTTATCATTGAATTCCTCATCCTCGTTGTGATTGATATTGTCAATATTATTGTGATAAGTTTGATCTTTATTATCCTTAATAAACTTACATGTGTTAAATACATGATAAAATGTAAATAAATCAAAGTTATTCTTAATTTTTCCATTTGCCAAGTTCAATTTAACCAATTTTTTTAGATAAAAATCGATTCTGTTATACTCTTTATCGTGTTCAATGATTTTCGAGATTAAAATCGAATAAACTGATATAATCAAATTCATTTTGTCATTTTTAGTGATGTCTTTGTTATTAACAATCTGCTCTTGAATAAATGTATCAATAACTTGAGTGATTTTTTCATTGTGATTGAAGCTAATATTGTTAAAGTTTAGTATCTTCATTTGAATATTTTCAATTGAATTCTTAAATGAAAGTTTATCAATGATGTTTAATTTTAATTCCAAATCGTTTATTTTGTCATCATAATTGCTTAGTTTTTTATTAACGATATCATTAATTAACATTTTACTAATATGTAGTCCCAAATATTTGACAATTTCATTTCCGTTTTTGTAATTATCAAAATTATTTTTATTAATGAAATCCAAATAGATTTCATTATAAGTATAATTGTTTAGGATCAATTTTAAATTCTTATCATTATTATTCAAGGTGAAAACACATAATCTATAAAATAAATAAGATAATTCATTGGTTAGAAATTTGACAAAATGTAAGTATTTAAGATTTTTTTTAGAATAAATTTGAATATTAATGGATAGCTTGAAGAAATAAAGAGAGAAGCTTTCTTTATTACTATTATTATTATTATTTTTATAGTGGAAAAAAACTTCAAATGGAATTTGAATAAATTTATTGATATTAATTATAAAGTCATTATTATTGCTATTATTATTATTGGTGTTATTTGTTTTATTATTTTTTTTTGTAAAGTTAATTTGGTATAATTTATAAAAGGTAGATATACAGTTTATAAATAAGAAAATTTTGATTAAAGTAAATACCAATTTAAGGATATCTGAATTGAACGGTATAAATGATAAACCTTTTAAGTCTATATTATCGTATCCATTAAATGTATTAATACCCACCATGCATGCTAAACCAGTGGATAGTAATTTTTTATTATCTATATTGATTGAAGGAGAGGAATTAACGGAGGAAATAGAAGAGTTGTTGACTTGATTATTGATTTGATTGAGTTGGTTATTATTGATGATTTTATTGTTAATATTATTGTTTGAATTTGGAGATGAAAGCGAAGGTAGAGAAGAAGAAGTAGATGAAGAATATGAATTTGAATTTGAATTTGAATTTGAATTTGAGCTTGAAATTGAATTTGAAATGGAGGTTGAAGTGGAAGTGGATAATTGAGATAAAGGAGAGAGTGAATTATTGATTTGGTGGAGTTGATTGTTTTGAGGAGAAATTGAATTAATGATTTGATTATTTAGACTATTAAAATGGTTGAGGTTGTTGATGTTGTTGTAATTTTGAGTATGGTTATGGTTTTGATTAACCATGTTATTGAAAATATCATTATTGTTTAAGTTGATATTGTAAATTAAGTTTTTTAGATGATTATTTTCTTTGACTAAATTTTTATTTTTGAATTCCAAGTGTTTGATGTATTCGGTTGCTTTTGATAGGATTGTAGCTTTATTTAATTTTTTGGCTGGTTGTAAGCCATCTAGCTTGATATTTAAATCATTAGATAGATCTAAATTGGAGTCATCGAAATTATCATCAATTAAACAACGTAAGGAAGGAACAGAGTCTCTGAGATTTCTAATTTTATCATTGATGTTTGTTCTATATCTTTTTTCAATCATATTGTGGGAAGATTTTTCCTTTTTTTTGATGCCACTGGTGTTTGAAGAGGGTAAAGAGGAATTAACTTTATTGTTGAGCATTGCGGGATGAATCTTTTTTAAGTTTTGAAGGAAGTTATTGTTTAAATTTGAATTAACGTTATTTTGAATATTGATACTGTTTGTATTTTGGATTGAGTTAGAGTTGTTGATGTTTGATTGTAAATTTGGCGATAAAGAGCAAGAAGAATAAGAGGAAGAAGATGAAGAAGATGAATGGTTTGAATATGGATTGGCCTTATCAGCAGTGTTGTTATTGTTGTTGTTGTTATTGTTGTTGTTATTGATATTGATATTTTTATTGATATTGTTATTGATATTGTTATTGATATTGCTATTGATATTGCTATTGTTATTATTAATGTTATAGAGAGTTGAATCAGATGGTTGAGTGTTGATATTCATGTTAAAATTTAGATCGTTGAAATGAATATTTGATATTTGATCTTGGATTTGGCCTAGATTTTGATTGTGATGTTGATTTTGATACTGAGAGTTGTTATTAGGAGGGATGAATTTGGTATTGTTATTTAGAGATAAAGGGATCTCGTCCTCATTCAAAAGAGCATTTTGGTTCAAATCAGTTATGATGGAGAGAAAGCCATTGCAGTCATCTTCGTCGAACAAGAAACTCATGATAGGGAAAGCAGCAGAACTGGAGCAAGAAGGAGAATTAAGATTGAGATGTGAAGTGAGAAACAAAAGAAAAACTCGTTAAAAGGATATTAAATTCATATATATACTGCCCCAGTACCGCTCCACGCACACACCACCGATCCGCCCAGCACACGCAGCACGTGACCCGCGAATCGCAGTGCTGCGATTGCTCGGGCCGCGTAAGCGAATATTCCCGCGCTGCGCCCGATGGCCTGATCCCCGCGGCTCGTAGCGCGCTATTCCGTTACAGCGTCCGTGCCGGCACGTGTGCAGCCCGTACAGGTGGATTGCTCCTCACAAATGGTGTAGAAGGCAGACTGCATGTGTCTGCGCGTGATTATGTGCTGTCCGGCGAGACGTGGTTGTGGGCTCTGGGAGCTGGTGTTTAGGCTGTTCTGCTACTCCACAATCACTCTCAATCTCTTTGCGATGGCCTTGCTAACCTTTCCTTGATTTCAAATCATGGCTCGCTCAACCTCTTGTTCCAATGCCTTGTTTCAATCCCTTATGCTGTCTCTAACTCTGATTCATACTTAAGCTCTCTTTTTTCTCTCCTATCCATCGCCCCCTCGCCATTTTCAACTCCCTCTTCCTTCTTATTACTACCCAATTCCACGCCCTCAATTTCATTTTTTCCCAAATCTTCTTCAGAATGCCCGACAAGTACTACTTAAATTCTGGTGACAGAAAGGTTCTTACCACTAATATCGAAGACTGTGTTGATGCAATTGGTTATGGTCAAGAAAAAGTCATCACAACTTCCGTCGGGAAAACCTATTATCAAGCCTTATATAATACTGCCATCAGTGAAAACGATGATCCCAACGTTTCAAGCAAAATCTTTCGCTTGAGCAATTGCATCTTGACTAGATTGTCAGATCAGGCAGAAACATATATTAGATTGGGTATAAGAAAATCAGATTGGGCTATTTTAACTGGCACTGCTGATCGTTATAACTTATCCTCCTTGGACTCTTTAGACCCTTCCTCAAGTTACCAATTTGTATCCGTTTGCTACCATCCTCCCTATAAGAGAGCCACAACTTTTGTCAACAAATCAACAAATTCAAATATTTCTTTAAATATCGATAACATCTTGAATAATTTCTCCGTTGTTGCTGATGTCTCCGTTATCTTTAGAGCCTATTTGGAAAAAAAGACTTCCACAGCTCTTGTCACCGATCCTCCAAAAAAAATAGACCCAATTGATTCAAAAAATGATGAAAAATTCATCGACTTTTATGATGATCTTACAATCTCAGATAAATCGGAAAAAATTCCCTTTTATATTGGCGGCGAGCTAATTAATATCAACAGGTTAATTGAATTGGCAGAATTCGATTGCTTTGAAAGAGAATGCATAGTTGAGGAGGCCTTTTTAAACCAATGGATTTCTCTATCTTCAAATTAATTTCATTACTTCATCTTCAAATTAATTTCATTACTTCATCTTCAAATTAATTTTAATTTTCAAACCTTCTTTTTTTTTGTTCTTTCACATTTCTTTTTCTAATAAATCTTACCACTATATATCCGATTAATTGAACTTTCATTTTTTCCTATTTATTACAACTTACTCACTCTGAAAAATAAATGTAAAAACAAAAAAAACTTATTAAGGACAGACAAAAAAATACTCCGCGACGGGGAATTGAACCCCGGTCTACCACGCGACAAGCGGTAATTCTAGCCACTAAACTATCACGGACTCCGATTCAAATCTCTGCTTGTGCTATTATTTTTTTATCACATCTAGTATTTCTTATCTTTCTTATTATTTGCATTTTTGTTTTGGGAATTTCAAACCGCAGTTTTAATAATTTAGTGTTTCCTTTATCAGCTTATTAAATCACTAATTTGTTGTCCAATGTTTTTCGATAAATATTTCATAATAAATAAACTACAAGTAGCTGTTAATACTTGTTATTTTTATTTTTATTTTTTCTTTCGTCTAATCCTGTTTATAATATAAAAAGGAAAACAACTACTATTTATCATTTATTCACTTGTTAATTATGAGTGAATTTTATATAAGACCAATTGAAGAAACTGACAAAGATGAATGGTTAGAATTATGGTCTGGGAAACATGGTTATTTAGAATTCTATAAAACTATTTTATCACCAAAAACTAGTGATGCCACTTTTAAGAGGTTTTTTGATTCAGATTATACAATGTGGTGTGCTGTCGCAATCTCTAAACAAACACAAAAGTTGATTGGTTTTACTACTTACTTGACTCATTTATCTACATGGTCTGAAAACAACTATATGTATTTAAATGATTTGTTTGTGAAAGAAGATTGCAGGCTAAAGGGTGTTGGCAGAAAGTTAATTGAATTTGTTTATCGACAGGCCGAATTAAAAAAATCAGAAAAGGTTTATTGGTGTACTCAAACCTTCAACCACAGAGCACAAATCTTATACAATAAAGTAGGAATCTATGAGAATTTTGTTCAATATGCAAAAGATCCAGATTATAAAATTGAAGAATGAATGTGATTTTATCAAATATTTTTAAAATTTTAGTATATAATAAATATTCACAAGTTGCAGACTTGACAATAATCATTAGGATTACATGATAATAATAGTTTTCAAATTAGTAGAGCAGTCTCTACAAAATTAATAATTTGATTAATATTCCGTGACCACGAGCCAGCCGTGTGGGACTTGTAGACCTATGTAGTAGGTATAAACTGTTGTTTGCCTTAATTTTAAGCGAGGTGTAGGGAAACCTGAACTTACAGGGAAAAACCTACACAAATCAGATAGAGAAAAAGTTTAGGATCTTAAGAGTTAAGGTCCTATACCCTCTCTAAAAAACTAACCAACATTTTGAATCCTTTTCTTGTACCTAAAAGTTGCTTAAGTTGGGGTGGCATTCAATGAGATAATGATATCGTAGGAGATAGGCTGTTACACACACAAAGTTTTTTATTTAAATAACCAGCAGCCCACTGGAAATCTGACCCAAATACATGTCCATATTGCAATTGAGTAATTCCACTGAGCACATATTTAGGGTAAGTCTTCATTGGTACATAAAGAAGATTTTGATTAAACTTGATTTTAGGAGCGCTATTCCTTATTATATTTTGAAAGTGGCTATTGAACTGATTGTTTTCGATGTCGCTTTTCCATAATGTTTCTAATTGATTATCCAATGATTGATTAATGGGGATTTGTTTTGTTTTGTTATTTAAATTTATGTTCATGTTCAATGTTGAAATAATATTTTTTAGTTTTTGAATCTCTGACCTGAACGCTGATTTTTGGCAATTTTCATATATTGATTTAATTGGATTTGTGGTCGCCGTGCCGTAAGCCCATCGTGCAATGTTTTTCAAGTTGCTTGTCTCTAGATCTCTTTCAATGGGAGGAATTGATCCTTCAAATTTTTTTCCTTTTCTGCTGCATCTCAATAGGACCCTTAGGATTTGTTGTAGATTAAATAACTAAGTACAATATCTAATTATTACGCTTCAAGTTCTTAGCTTTAAGGTAGTCCGTGATAGTTTAGTGGCTAGAATTACCGCTTGTCGCGTGGTAGACCGGGGTTCAATTCCCCGTTGCGGAGTATTTTTTTATTCTTCCTTGATGAGGATTTTAATGCAATTTGCTGTATGCTTGACTCCTTCCTTCCGAAAGCTATATTTAAAATTAAGCTGGGGTAACTGAGATAGTGATAAGGATAGCTTTAGTTCTTGCTAGTGCACAGATATGCTGGTACATATGTTGTTTCATATTTCCTGTTTTGCAGATTCTATTTAACAATCTAGACATGCTCGATTTGTTATATTTAATTAAAGCCTAATTTTGCTGAAAATAAACAATTTTTATTAGCATATATAAATCAAACTATCCATTTGAATGTCTATAATCTGGAAAACCATTTGCTGATGGAGCAAAACCCATTTCAGCTTGTTAGTATAGATAAATCCATATTTCCACAAACGATAAGCCAGTTTTAAGAAGGTGATGATTTTCTGCTGCTCTTCGTAATTATTTTATAAACAAAATAATTGATTGAATGTGTAATTTTTATTATTGCTGAGACATTCCCCCATTCATACATTTAAAAACCGTAAAAAAGAAGCTGCTCTGGGGGAGGTTCGAACTCTCGACCTTCAGATAACCCATTAAACTATATTTATATGAGACTAACGCTCTTCCGACTGAGCTACCAAAGCAATGCTTCACTTTGCCTTTTAACTCTCAATTTTTTTAATTTAGTAAAATATAACTGTTGGTTTTTATATAATCCTTTTTTGTTTTTTTGGGCACTATATTAGTTTATATCTTATTATTATTCGTATTGTTTATTCGATTTTTTTAATTTAAAAATCAATAGACTTATATTTCATAGAGTTACTTTGTCCCTTTTCCTTAAAATAGTCAACTATTTTTCAAGCCGAGATCATATAACTGATTTAGCGAACTACAAATATTTTTTGTTGATAAATCATAAATTATTCTATATGCTTTGTGTTTTTTTATTTATTTTTGTGATGTAAAAGTAAGAGTAAAAAAAAAATAATCAGACTCACAGATTGAAAACTCACTTCATATTCAAAGCAGTTATGTTTTCCCCTTTTTATGTCATTTTTCTATTAGCTACGACCCTCCTGCCATTACTTTATTTTTTAATTGTTTTTGTTCTTAATAACTTTAGAATAAGTCCTTGAAGAATAAACCACCAACACATTTGAATCAAAAAATTTGATTACAATGGGATTCTGATTGGAGAAATACTTTGAAAGAGTAAATCTTAATTTATATCTGCCAGTACTCATAATACCTAAATCACCAAATTCAAAACGATGATAACCTGTTGTATTTGACAACGAAACCCCAAACAATATTTTAGTGCCTATCAATAAGTTTTGATCTTCAATGATCTGATTAAACTCATTCAATAGCAAAACATCTATCAAAAACTGTGCCTTCACTCTGAAATCATTTGTTCTCAAGTAGATAACATTTGAAGGTGTAATGGATCTTTTGGTTGAGGGAGTTGATTGTCTGCCATGTATTGATTGTTGTGAAAGAGTCAAATGATAAATTAAATTATTATTTGGAAAGTTGTTAAAAATAAAATTTGGTTCCATTATAAGCTGTGGTTTTTTTCTGATTCTATAACGACTTTAGTTTTTTCAATTTAATGACTTGATTCAATCTTCAATTTTGAGTAATGAATTGCTCACTATTATATATTCTTTCAGATTTGAAAATAGATATTAAATCAGTATTATAATTTTTGGAATTTTTATATTTGTTAAAGATCCATTTGAACTCGGAAAAGTTAGGAAATATCAAACTTCACTAGAAAAGCAATAAGTTTTATGGTTTAAAGCTGATATCTATGTTTTTTTGGCTTTATTTCATCACAGAATTTATTATATTTCCCAATAATTACCATTTTCAATCTGAGCATTGTTTTTTTTTTCTCTTCATCCAAATAGAAAAACTTCAATTATAAGAAATTTTTTATAGCAAAACTAATTTCATTTAGTACTATTTCTAGAAGCCATCACAAACTAAACTGTATTCTTTCATAATACCCCGTTTCAAAACTTTTGAATAGGTATAAATTTTTATTTATAATATTAGTATACTTTTTTCATCGTTAGATACCTGGTCCTCTGGTCATTTTTTTTACAGTGCTAAAATTTTTGAATGTATTCAAAAACAGATGATAACAGGTAGACCGCTAAGACAATGCTGAGCTTGAGTGTTGAGTTTTGATAAGACAAATTTCACTATCAATCTAGCAATAATCTACTAATGGTTGGTACTTTTGATAATCATCTTCAAATTTTGAAGATGTGTACCGAACTAGGAAAACCAATATTAAAATAAGAATGTGTCCACCCCAGTGCTGAAAAATCATCTGTTCATAATTTGGAATTATAGTCCAAGGTAACTTTTAGTATCCAAAAACCTTCTTGATTCAACCTGAACATGCAACTTTGTCAAAACTAATGCAAAAACGTTCAACTGGAAAAACGAGAGATTTTGAAAAGAAAAAGCAAAAACACCCAATGACAAATATTCAATTATTTTTTGTTGAGTATTGGAAACGGAATATTTAAACAAAATTATAACCAAACAATTTATTGTTGTGGAACTAAGAAAACTCGTCTTTCCTGTTATCAAGCTACTCTAGATAATAAGGACTTTTAAATTACCGCCAATATTAATTGTATACCGATTTTCGATTTTGGAAACAAGTATTTTTTTTTGAAAAGTAAATATTGGTGAATTTTGATTCTTGTGAAATTATTTCGTTCCAACTTTAGTTGAAAACTAGTTTTGATTCTTCACACTCTGCTGTATTTGATTAAAAACCAAGTCTGGATGAGCGATCTTTATGAAATATTAATTTGAAACCACCAAAAATTTGTTGTTTCTATTATAATATAATAAAAAACTTCAGAGACAAGAAAACTAAAAAGTCAAACATAACAACAGTGCCAACACAATTTTTTGAGCAAATAGATTCAGTCAAATTAAAATCATAAAGTAATAAAGCAACAAAATTATTTTTGAATATTATGACTTAACCATTTAGTGATAAAGTTTTTGGAAAACATTTAGATTTTTTGTAAAAATGCACACCATTTAATTGTGGTAAAGGGCATCTGAAAAATTGCCGGTTAAAAAAATTGGAGCAACCACATCTCTTTATAATGATTAAAGGGTTTTATTCTGTAATAGTATTTACAAATAAAACAAAAGTTAAAAAAATCAGACCTTCTAGGGATACATGCAAAATGATTTGATGTCCAAAAGTTGTAATAAATGGAAATAAAAGCTGCTAGATTGTGATTTGTTTGAAAAACTGATGCTGGATCATAAGTAAAAAACCAGTTTGAACTAAATAACACGAAGAATTGGCACTTACTAAACCTATTTGATCTATTATTAATTGAGCTTTGAGCTGAGACCAATATTTGAAACAGTTCTTGATGTTTGGAGAAGCAGCAGCACTGTCTTCAAAACCCACATCTTGCTGCAGGGAGGTATTTATGGGTGTTGGATGAATTGCAATGAGAACCGGTTTGTGGTCGGTTGATGACCTAAGACGGAACTCTTAAGAATTGTTGGTTTTCTTTATTTCCGGTACGTACATTTTATCTCCGCGACAATTCAAATATCTCCGCGATATTTCTCTAATCCAGACACCTTCCCTGAAAAAAATTGCACAAATATTTCTTTGAACCCAGTTTCAAAATCTTCATCATCTGTTTCGAGAACCACCAACAGATTTCCACTTAATGTCTGCTCAAGAATTAATTGGTTTTTTGCATAGCGACAACCAAATTGTCCAGACATTGGCTTTGCAGAATGTTTTGGCTTTCACCTCAAATAATAATTTGCAAAAACATTTATTTTACTCTAATAATTTCCAACCAATTTGCGATTTAATTTTGATTTCAACCAAAAAGGGTTTCCTCAATCAAAAAGACTCATTGACCTGTTTGATAAACTTGGCTGATAATATAAATGTTAGAAAAATTATTTTGAATTTCAAGTTTTCTCATTTATATCAGGAACATAAACCAACCACTGATAACAATGATTATATTCATTATCTAATTCATCAAATTAATTCTGATAATAAAAATACCGACTTGATGTGTATGCTACTATCAAATCTAACACTATCAAATTATGATCACTCCACAAGAAATATTGATCTTCGAAACAATCAGCATTCTTTCCCAAATCACTCTCTCGACGATGATCCAAACGAACTGGAATCCGATAATGAGGCTGAAAATATAATTGATGAACTTGATAAGAAAAGAAATTTCAAATTAGATTTAAATTTATCTCATCAACAATTGGATGTTTTATTGGATAGTTATTTGAAAAACGATCAAAAACATGATTACTTGTCATATGTTTTCATTAATGCTTCAATATCAAAATTAAACTTAGATTTTTTCAGTGAAAATAATTTTCAAAATTTGTTTAAATTTTTAATTTTTTCCGACCCTTCAAAATTTTCAAAATTAAGGAGATTAGCAGCTTCATCCATTTTAAAGAATTTGCTATTTAATACTGAGATTCATCAAAATTTACTTAATATTAATGAAACAGTTGATACAGATGAGTTAGACGACATTGATTCACCAACCAACGATTTTTTAACTTATTTATTAAACCCATTAATTTCTTCAAAGTTTAAATTTGATATTGATGAAGAAATGAACTTACCAACAGACTTGCAATTTATTGAAGATGAGAAAAACTTTGAAACCGATTTTGAAATTTTATCTCAATACCTTCAATCAATTTTGTTATTGTTAACCACTAAAATTGTTAGAATCTATCTCAGAAACAGAAAATCAATTTATCCTATTATAAGAGAATTGCATAAAATCTCAAATAATAGAAAAATTTTAAAATTGTGTGATAAAATCGTTCAATTATTAATGAGAGATGAAGAGGACGACATAAAAACTCGATTGAATCAAAACACTATTTCTAATGATTACAATGAAGAATCTGATAGTGACGATGATAAAATAGTTGAAATTTTATAATAGATAACATACTTCACTAAACGAAGATAATTGATTTATTCATTAAAATAAAATAAAATAAAAATTTAGACTGAAAAAAAAAACAATTTTAAAAACCTTTAAAAAGTTTTAAAGTTTTAAAGTTTTTTTTGGAATTATTAAAAAAGGATAAAATAATTGAATAATGAAATATGATTAGATTATTTACCACAAAAAAGGTTTTGTTTATGCTTTAAATATATAAAAACGTTTTGAATAGATAAAATACTAATAAAAATTAATAAAAAGAAGGTGAAAGGTAAAATTTTTAATATTAAACAAAATAGGTATTATTTCAATAAAAATTTAGATCATAATTATCTTTTCAAAAAAGAAACAGTTCTAAATGAATTGATAAATACTTATAAAAACAATAAAAACAACAAAAACAATAAACACAATAAAAATAATAAAAACAATAAAAACAATTAAAACAATAAAAACATCAAAACATCAAAACAATAGTAAAAATATACAAAAAGTAAAAAGGTAAAAATGTAAAAAGGTAAAAACATAAAAATTATAAAAACAAGCAATTTTTCAAAATATCTGTCTTAAAATTATAGTTACTGTCATTTATTTTAATATAATGACATATAAATTCTTATTAAATTTATTACAGAAAATTATCTTTAATTAGTTTTAGCATTTTTTTCTTCATTTTCTATTATTTTTTCAACAGCCGAAACCAAAGTTTGAAATGATTTCAGTGATCCCTTAGCCTTACTTATGGTTACAATTGATCTAACTGTCAGCTCATCTTTGCTTGTAGTGGCCAAAGGCTTAATATGTAACTTGAACTTCAATGATCTTCCATGAGCAACTTTGGCTGGAATAACGCCGTTGATAGTATTATTTTTAGGTTCAAATTTTACTTTTGAAACTGTCCCTTCTTTTAATCGAGTATTTAAAGAATCTCTAATTATGGGGACCAATTTATCAGCTGCCAAAAATGTTTCAATTGATTTCGATTCATTTGAAGATCCAGACGAAACTAAATTATTAATTACTTTTGAAAACCAACTCTGCTTTGGTTGTGCAACAGAAGAAGCTATTCTAACTTTTTCTATAGGATTTTGATTGTTTAAAGAACCTTTTGCTGGTGCTGTTTCAGCGCTATATGATTGTGGTCGTAATTTCACAGTCAAATCTTTACCTTTATTTCCGGTATTGCCAAAATTAGTAGTAATGTGTTTGGTCATTATTGAATCCCCAATCATTGTTATCCTTTTATTTTCAACATTTTGAATAACTGAAGAGCCATGACTGCTATTAGCATTCACTGTATTTGAGTCAATGTTTGTTGCTGTGGGACTCATAGGGGCTTTTGGTGCTTCTCTGTAAGGAATCAACAGTATTTGACGCGATCCAGAATCTTTCAGTTTTGTAGGATCCAAAGTTGTCACCTCAAGGGTTTTGGTTAATTCGTCTATTTCCTTGTTATCTGAAGAGCTTGAATTTTTATCAGGCAGAACCGCAACCAGTTTTGAAATTAAAACTTGATTAGTTGATTTGCTCGATGCATGAAGTTGAGATAAAGTATTATTATTTTTGATAGTAGTTTGCAGAGAACCTTCTTCTTCTTTAAGCACACCTGAATTTAGGAAATCATTATTCTGATTCGAGCTGGATTTGTTTGAATTGATTTTTTGATTGTATTTAACAAAATTTGATCTAGAGCTGTAACCAGGAAACACCTGAGTAAGAGATTCTTGGGCATCGGCATAAATATCATCTTCTTCAATTATTAAATCAGTTGAAGTTTCTGGAGGTAACCTATTTGTTTTAGGTTTCTCCATATAGTTTCTAAGAGATACATTGCTAAATTCATTGATCAAAGTTGTTGAACCAGTCATGTCTTTGGAATCATTGCCATTAGAAGTTTCTGAAACCATAAATTTGACTTTGGGCTTTTTATAATCAGTGTTCTGAGCAATCTTCAGATATTTATTTTCACTAATTGCTCTTCTTTGGTTGGCCAGTTTTGATATTAAGCCAGGTTCTTTTGTAGAACTTGATGCTTCTTCTTCTTCTTCAGAATTTGAGGGTAGAGGGCTTGATATAGCTCTGCGTTGATCGCTTGATGCTAAATCTTTTTCTTTTAGTAATTTTTCATATTGAATCTTCAATAGCCTTGCTTCTTCGTCTTTTTCTTTTAACATTTGAGCCATCATCTCCGCTCTCTTAATTGCATCAATTCTCTCCTGTTCTTTTTTATCTTCTTGTTCCTTTCTTAGACGTTCAAGTTCTTTTTTATTTTTATCAAATTTCAGAATCTTGTGATTTTCATTTGAGTTTTTTTCAATATTAAAACCAAAAGCATGTTCACATAAAGCAGCAAAATCTTTTGATGTGAGAGGATTCTCTTTTGCAGACCAATTAAGTCCGGTCAAGTTATTAGGAGGAGGCATGTTGAAAGTAGGTTGATTTAAATAGTCTTTTGCAGGACTTTTGGAGGTTTGTTTGGTTGTTATATAAGATCTAGAGTTGCGTTTCGTTTTCCCAGGCATAGAATTTCTTTTATTTGTAAGAGATAATCTGAAGCTAGACCTTTTGCTTGAAGATGAGCCAATTGAAAGCCTTTTGATATTAACCCCTATTTCGCTTGTATTTGAAAGATCCAGATCAATATATGAGTTATGGCCATTAAAAAATTCATCTGCAGTTGATAGTTTGATTTTTTTATTGGGAGTATCCATACTTGATCTTGAAGGACTTTGAGAAATTGATAAAATATCATCAAAGTTGGTAGGAATAGTAAATGCATTGGCCGAATCTCTTTTAGAATGGCCCTTCATAAAACTTAATTCATTGGATATATTATCTGGTAAAGGAGGTACATTTCCTTGTACTTGATCCAGTAGGTGTTGCTGCAGCTGTTGTAAATGTAATTTTTTTGAAATGCTTGTGCTGCTTTTTACTCTACCTTGTGAATCTTTTGTATTAAAAGATACGGCTCTTCTGTAGGAAGAAGAAGCGGATATTGCAACCTTGCCACCATGATCTTTTGTTTTTGATTTTGGTTTAGAAGTTTTTCCGCCAGATCTTTTATAATCTTTCTTAATTTGAGCTAGTTTTTTAGAGGAAGAGGATCGCATTCTAGTTGACTTGGGAATTGGTTCTGTTGAAATTATAACATTTTTGTTTCCATTTTCATCTACTATTGTGGTTGTTACTATGCTCTTGGAATGTGTAATGGTTAATTTTTTTTGTTTTATCAAGTCTTGCGCAGTGATAGAAGAATCATTCAACTGTTTTATAACTTTTTGGTTCTGCAATTTCCTATTTACAACCTTTTTAACAGAGATGTTTTTATCATCTGTATTATTAGTGGTTGAATTGTAATGATTTTTGTAGTCATTATTATAGTTTTTGTAGTTATAATTACTGTGATTGGCATCATGATTTTTATGGTAGTTATTGTTGTTATTATTTTGGTTTCCATAATTATTGTTTGAGTTATTTTTGGTATGAAACATATCATCATCATTGTCAGGATGATCCCTTCTATGTTTAATTAACAAGTGATAAAACAACTTTTCACTATTTTCTTCGTTTGATGTCAATTTTGATACAATGACATTTTCTTCTTCACCATGCCACAAGACTTGAAGACCCTTTAGTATTTCTCGGTCAATATCTTGGAATTTGACGGGTTTTTTTAAAATTTCTTTAGGAATCGGAGGTTTATTATAGTCGAAATTGTTATTACGGCCATTGTTAGAGTTATAGTAGTTGCTTATTCCTTTCAATTTTATATTTGGATACTTTTTTAAAAGAGGATGTTTCAAGATATCGTCGATTTTAATACGTTCTTCTGGTTTTATTTTTAGCATTTTTGAAATTAGATCTTTAGCTTCGGGAGATAGTTCCGGCGGTATAGTGAATTTGCCAGTTTGAACTTTCAACAATAGTTTTCTAATGTTTGGATCATCAAAGGGCAAGTGACCAGTTAATAAAGCAAATAATATAACACCACAGGACCAAATATCAGAGGGCCCACCATGATAGTTTTCACCAGCAACAATTTCGGGAGAAGCATAATGGGGAGAACCACAGGAAGTTGCTAAAAGTTTATCACGTACTTCAAAAGCAGCCATACCAAAGTCAGCAATTTTGATGTTTTGGTGTTTATCCAAGAGTAAGTTTTCTGGCTTCAAGTCTCTATGGCAAATGTTGAAGGAGTGGCAATAGTTGACGCCATTTACAATTTGTTTAAAGTAATGGACAGCTTCGTTTTCGGGCAAAGAGCCCTTTTTGACAAGATAATCAAACAATTCACCACCTTCTATGTATTCAAGTACTAGGTATAGTTCGCCTTTGTTTTCCCAGACGTCGTATAAGGCCATGATATTTGGATGGTTGATTAGTTTCATGATTTGGATTTCTCTTTCGATTCCGTAATTGTTTTTGATGCTGTTATTGTTTTGGCCATTTGTGTTTGATTTTAGGATGTTTGATTTGGGTACGATTTTGACAGCAGCTAGTTGGGCAGTTTTGCAGTTTTTTGCTAGTCTAACTCTACCAGTAGAGCCTCTTCCTAAGGTTCTGCCTAGTTTCCAAGGGCCCACAAAGTTTTTTTTAATTTTTTTAGAGTAGGAACTAGTGGTGATATTTTGTATATTGGAGACTCTTTTGTTAGCATCGTTAACGGATTTTATGACTTTTTCGATATTGTTTGTCAATTTTGGATCTAAGGGTTTAATTTTGACAAAGTTATTTTGAGGATTAATTTTTGGATTGAATTTAAAGTCTTCATTGTTATTGGTATTATTGTTGGTATTAATATTATTATTTTTGTTATTATTGTTATTATTATTGTTGTTGTTATTGTTATTATTATTGTTGTTGTTATTATTATTTTTAGAAGTTAAGGTATTAATATTGGAAGAATTATGGCCATTGTTTGACAATAAATTAAACTGGTTTAATTGATGAGTTGTATTATTATTTGTATTAATTGAAGAGGAATTTGCATTTGCAGTAGTAGTTGTAGTGGTTGTAGTAGTTGTTGTTGTTGTGGGTTTGGGTTTATTCTTAATGTTGATGTTATTTGTTATATTGTTTAGTATGTCTTTATTTTGTGATTTTGTTGAAGAAGAAGGATAACTTAAGGTTTTAATAAACTGATTATTTAATTCATTTATGTTTTTTTGAATCATTATTGAGAATTTTTTTGAGTTAATTAGGATTCATAAGGCCAACAAAACAGTTAGCTAAAGGGTAAGAATAATTGGTCAGTAAATAGGAAATCAAGATGAAAGAAATAGTTGAAAAAAGAAAGAGATAAATAAGAAAGGAAGGAATGGGTTAAAGAGACAAAAGAATCAATAAATAGAATAAGATTAAAGCGAGATTGAAAATAAGTAAATGAAAAAAAAAAATGGCAATAAAGTAATGTGGAAATAGCTTTGACAAGGTTGTTAGTTGTTAGATTTTAAAGAATAAACAACAAATAAATGATAAACAATAAACAGGTAAATAAATAAATAAATAAATAAATAAATAAATAAATAAATAAATAAATAAATAAATAAATAAATAAATAAATAGGTAAATAAATAAATATGTGGATAAGGAATATACAAAAACCAGGCAAAGAACAAAGAGCAGAGAGGAAAAATCCAAAATGAAGAAAGCACACTAAGAACAGAAAGACAATATGAATAGATATTGAAATTGGAAATGTTTTGTTACGTTAAATTATTAAGCAACTTTCAAACCATGGAAAGGCAGCATCAAATTAAAATGATGGTATATCGAGAGAGGAAAGGAAATGAGCTGTGTGGCTAATTGAGAAAGCAGAGAAGAGCGATGGAGCAGTATGGTCTATGATGGTAGGTGAGAGAAAGATGGAAGAGAAGAAGAGATGGAAACCTCCAGATATAAACATCAAGATATAAACATCAAAACACATAAAAACTCCAACCGTAGAGCCATTTGATCAGAACAGGATGGGCGATCAAAACACTGTTTTCGTTTGTTTGTTTATTTTTCTCATCCCGAAATGTGAAATTTCACTGTCCTCAGGGGGAAACCGCTCAGGCGGCCTCGCGCACACGTGAAAGGGGCGTGACGTTGGCTGCGGATTGCTGCAGAGTCCATAGACACGGAACAGCCCCAAACCGGTTTCTCCGATCACCCAAATTTCCGGATGACGGTACTTCCGAACCCAGCGAGGTCGGAATGCCGGCTCACCAAATCAAAGAGCCCTTTGCGGTTTATATTTTAGTTGAATTACAACTTTAGGTCATGTTCAAAAGGTGGTACAGCTGTTGTTTATGATAGAATGATAGAATAATAGAATCTTAGCAACTTTACAAGCGTTTGGGGCCATTGAAGCTGTTGAATTAACTGGGCCTGTTGCTGATGCAATTGATAATAAAGATATTAGAAAACCAATGCAATCAAGAGATTCAGGATTTATTGAACATTTAAATAATTTTATGTCAATGAATTCTCCTGACCATAATAATCCAACTTTACCATTGGAAAAAAGTTTAAACATTCCAACTATTACTATTGGTGCATCAGCTGGTGGAATGAATAGTGCCACATATTCAATGGCAATATATTATATGTCAAGAGCTCATAAACCATTTGCTATTTATAATGTATTTACAGGATTAACAAGACATGAATCAATTAATGCATTAAATTGGCCAGCAATTATTAACTGGAATAATGCTAGTGCATCTGAATTAGGTACTGATAGAAAAGTTCCTGAAGATAGTGATATTAGTTTAATTGCTTTAATTGCTTATTATTCTACAAGATATAAAATTGATGGTTTGCAGGAAGATTTGAACCTTATGTTTCATTACATCAATTGAGAATGAATATTAATTCATTAAAACAAATTTTTAATCATGCTAATGGTAAAGCAAAATCAGGAAATTTGATTTTGAAATCGTCAAATGCTTCAAAGGTCTTGACCACAAAGGTTTTGGCCACAAAGATTTTAGCTAGCATTATTAACAATGATTGTGATGGAAGATTTGAACTTATTTACCTGGGCTTGTTGCGAAAAACTAGATGTGCTCATTTACACCAATTTGTTTAAAGTGACGTTATAAGTGTTTGTTTAATTAAAAATTTAAAATGTTTAAATTTCACTATTTGGAAATTAATTCGTTGTATGTCTAAAAATAACATGAATTTAGTAAAGTCAATTTTACATTCAAATTAGTAATTTATTTTTTCATGTTTCTCAGAATTGATGGTTTGGTTTATCTCACGGTTAATAGATAATGGTGAAAACAAAAAAAATTACATAATTAAGTAAAGAATTACAGACCCAACTGTCAACGTTATCAAATAAGACTTTGAGAATGTTATCTGTGTTGCTGAATTAGTACTATTAGATCTTGATGATGATGATGATGATGATGCAACAACACCACCAGCAGCTGCAATTTTTTTTTTGGTCTTGGATTTGGAGTTTCCTCCACTTTTTCCTCCACTTTTTCCTCTACTGCCACCTTTTCGCTTTTCAAGTTTGATAGTTTCGTTGAATTTATTAGAATTTATGACTTTTTTCTCTTTCGTCATTTTCTTCAAAATCATTATAACAACCTATATCATCTTCCTTTTTGTATCCAAAAATTTGATTGATTTTTATTATAATTTTCTCAATTCTTGATTCTGCCTCATTATAATCATTATATTCAGGATATTCATTTCTTGATATTACTTCTGATATTAATTTGGCATTATCATTTCTTTGTTCTTCTTGTTTTATCACACCACATAAAATTAAATTAAAATAATAATTTAATAGTAAAACAAAAGCCATTTCTTCTCCATTTATTTTCATCCTCATTCTCATTTTAATTATAATTATAATTATACATATTATTTCTTTAAAAAAATCAAATCCACTTTAATTTCTCGTGTTATTTATATTGTTTATTATCTTTTCTATTGAAACAATAGTTAAGCCTTCATTTGATTGTCTTATTATTTCATCTCTTCTATAACAGCCAAAAAATCCCTTAGTTTTGTGGTTCGGTGCTAATTTTGGAAATTATCACACCTCAAAAAAGAATCAAACACAATCTAAGCCATTCAACTATCACTCTTTACTGACAGAAAAGGCTTGTGTTTTCTGTCTCTATCAATTGCGACTATCCAATCAGTCAATCATTTATTGCTCAGCTAATACATATCTCTCTTGCTGTTCAGAGGCATTGTTAACATACTGTCTACCAAAATCTTAAAAACTTTAAAACCTCCACACTTCAAAATATCAGAACTTAAAATGCCCCCCACAGAGCCCACTTTTGATTTTGAATTTTGAATATCGAATCCATTAGACTCATCAAATCTGTTATACTCATCATACTATTAACTCAACAAAAAAAATACAGAAAAAATAATTCAATACTGTTAAACAGTTCAATTTAAGCAATACACTTCATAAAAATTATTAACACTATGTAATTGATAATATATAAAGCAACAAAGCAACAAAGCAATCCAACAAAATTTTGTAGTAAATTCACAATTCTAAACAGATGTTAACACTGTTACTCAATTCCACGTTTTCTATAATTCTGGATTGCTAATTATACGCTCAACTCAAGCAAGTTTTCTATTCTCACTTTAAAACTTCTTTCCAAATTTTATTCTACAATTCAATTACTTTTTTCTTATAAAAGCCCACTGAATTCCATCAATCTTGAAAATAGCTTTTCTTTTCTTAATAACTAAGATTATCATATTGCTTTATTAATTGCTTTAAATTGAAAATTTTACAACCGAACTAAATCTATTTTACAACCAAATTAAACCTACTTTACAATGTCTGACCAAGGAAGAAAAGATTTCTCTCAAAAGATTCACGAAAAGGCCAAACCAGAATCTCAAAAAACTTTTGGTGAAAAAACCAAAGAAAAGGCCTCCAATGCTGCTGATTCTGTTAGTCGTGCTGTTCAACCAAACTCTGAGAAGTCAAATACACAAAAAGCTGCTGATAAGCTCCACAATGATAACAAAACTTTATAAAGCTCCAAAGGGGAATGATCATCCTAACTTCAAAATATATTATTTAGGGATTAAATAGGGAATTTCTTATTAAATATAGTCAAATAAAGATATCACTTTTTTAATTGTTTGCTAATGCACTGTAGTAATTTTCGATAAAGGTCTATCAAACCTCAAAGGCCATCTTTGCAATATATATGTTCAATTTCAAATAAGCCTTTCAAATTACTTTAATATTTCATTTGAAATGCGCTTGTTGGAAAAATTTGTAACAAACCTATGTTTTATTATAAACCATCGATTTTTTTGGCTGAAGAGTGAAAACAGAAACGCAACACAAAGTCACTGATTATTTGAAAAATTTAATCAAATCAAGAAAATGTCAAATTGCAATTGCAATAGCTTCAGTCATCAACATCCTACTTCAAATGACTAAATAATAGACAATATAGCTTTACATTTATTATTCAACTTAGAATAAAGGTAACTAAAATAGATATTGACTAGAAAAAAAATTAAGATTTCTTTTTGTTCTTTTTTAATCAACATATCGATGAAAGAATAGAATGATCTTCCTAGAGAATCTGTATTTGAAGAGATTTTAAAAATAGTGATTAACTAAAAACAAAAAGTGAATAATAAAATATTATTTTCATAAAATTATATATCAACTAACTAACAACCATATTTTTGGCAAAAATCGTTGCAAAAATCATTGCAAAATTCGTCGCAGAACTTTTGAGAAAAGTCTTGAACAGAATCCTTTGAAAGATTGTTGTAACTGCTACAAAACTTTTCACAAAACTCTTTGCAGAAGTTATCGCAAAACTCTTGGAATTTTTCATTTGATGAATTGTTGCAACATTTTTCAAAGCATTTTTGACAACATTCAGCACACAATTTTTTGCAAACTTCAGCACATTTTTCTTTCTCGCCAGCTGAGCTATCATCGCAAATCAGTTCACAGCAGTTTTTGCAGCAATCAACAACATTAGAGAGAACCTCTGGCTTAGCCTTACCACAGGAAGAGCCCTCCAATGAATTACCAGGACCAGAACTAGAGCAAACACAAGAACAAGACATATCTAATCAACACCAGATTTAATTTCGTAAGCAAGGTATCCTATAAAGATCTTAGAGATAATAGTGAAAATAGAATCGAAAAGCCAGAATTAGTGGAGGAAACCTGGATGTATTTATATTGTTTGCAACACATAGTGCACCATATGTTAGTTTGATTTGAATTAGTAATACAGCAAAAACATCGCTTGATGTATGGGTCTATTCAATCCAGCCAATAAACACGCTGGGCAGAGGCATGGCAGTCGTGCTGGCTTTTTTCGGACACAAGGCAGGAATGCTCCCGCTTGAAGAGTGGTTTTTGCAGCAGTTCAAGCCTCGGTTTGTCAAAACGTCCCAGTCCCACCGGTTGCAGAGCCAGAGCACGACTGTGTACAAACAACGAAAAAAGCTCATCCAGTTCACAAACAGTCCCACTCTGAAATTTCCCACTTCCAGAATTTTTCTGAGAATGATAAAAAAAGAAAGCCTTACATTATACAGTTATACTTTAAAGAAATCTAAAGATGTTTTGAATTTTAATTTTCAATTGAATTTAAGATATCACATTATTAAAAGCAGTTAAAAACATTATACCGGAAAGTGTTTCATTGAAAGGTTTGTTAATATTACAAATTACCTTATAAGACTTCTCGATATTTTATAGAAAAGGCGGACTTGTCACTTGTTTTTCTTGTTTTTTCAATTTCTTCATTCTTTGCTGATTTTATATTTTAAATTAAATTAAATAATTAATTCATTTATTTGTTTTCAATTACTTCCAATGTCATCCAATAACTCTTCAACAAAAAGGCAAAGAAAACATATTAAAGACAAGAATACCAATGATTCAATTAACCACAATAAAAGTGTCAAGCGCCAAAAGTCGAATTCTAAAGCGAAAACAGATAAGCTAACCGCCGAAACAATTATTAAAAAAGAAACGCAAGAAAATGATAACCCATTTAGCAAATTTTTCATTAAATTTCCTAATGATAGTAATAACAATATTGATAATGAGAACTATCACAATATTCATAAGAGCAATTCTGATATCCAAGGCAATGATAACAATTATAATGATTTGAATGGGAAAATTGATGAAAGAACTGAATTTGATAATCTTATTGAAGAAATTGATTCCAATCACAAATCAAATGACAAGTCTAACGTATCATCGAAGGATTTTGAAAGTAACAATTCTGGAAGTATTTTTTCAAATAATACAAAAATTAATTCCTCAAAAAGCGAGGAGTTCAACGACATATTATTGGTGATCAATTCCTTTCCTAAGAATTTAACAGACCCAATATTAAATGAAAATATATTTGATGATTACATTAATGACGAAAATGGCAATTCATTAAGTCACAATAATAACAGTGATTTGTCGACTCTTCTTTCAATGGATTTACACAGTTGGTCGAATTATGGAATAAATTTGGTCAACAAAAACTTCAGTCTAATCTTTCAGTCTGTTTTGAAAAGAAATTTGTTGAATCTCCGATTCAATTTAATCAATAAAGTTATAACCAATTATATCGAATCACTATCGGTATTGAATGAAAATTTAGTTACTAAATCCTATAAGATTCAAAATTTGGGAAAAGAAATAGTTAATGAGTTGAATTGAAAGTAAGTAAAATCACTTATCGTCTAGAAATTCCATTGTGCTATATCTAAATTGTCTATATAGGGAAGCTATCTTGCTGGTGTTCATACTTAGCATCTGCAATTTCCTCCAACCAGTAATCAACATCATCTTGTCGGCTTCCAGAACGTGTGATACACCGGAACTCGCCTGTAGCACACGTGCATCAGGCACTTTTTCGGTATTATTGCGTCATCATGCAGAAAGCATGTACAAGCAAACTCAATTGAAGGAGAGAACCGGAAAGTGGACATTCATATAAAGGCTCATCTTGGCGCTTAAGCTTTAATGTTTCATTCTTACCAGTTTTCTCCTTCTCTCTCTCTTTATTGTGAGGTGCAGAGGTCTTTTTTTAAAGCCGCTGCTGATTCCAATGTCTTCTTTGGTGGCAGACAAAAGAACGGTAGAATCATTGAGGCTTTTAACAATCTTCCCCATGAGTTAATCTAGAGGCTGGTGTACTACTTCTTAACAAAAAGTTAGTGTTTGCATTATCTGAAAACAAATCTTTTCAATATTTTACTTTGCTATCTTTATTCCGTTGTTTGAAAGTTGACAAAACTGATGGTCAAAATATTTGCCGAAAAAACGAGCTAATTATCAATCTTAACGATGTCAAAAATTTGTATCTATCTCATCATAATCTTTCTAAAATTGAAAATTTATTATCTTTGATTAATTTAAAATTGTCGAATTTATATACAATTATCTATATACTATTCAAAATTTACCAAATTTATTAAATCTGCAATATCCAAGTTTATCATGCAATCTAATTTCTAGTATTGAAAATTTAGATAATCTTATTAATTTGCAATCATTTGATTTATCCAATAATTATCTTGTTAATAAAAATAAAAACATAATATAGTTCCTAAAACTTTTGTGGCTGGATTTGAACTTGAATTATATAGCTGCAAACTCTATCTAGATAATTTGGCTTGGTACAGTGATTTTTTTCTGTCTTTTTTGCTTTTTCCTTTTTACTGTTTTTTTTGTGTTTGGATTATTGGAATTAACAAGCCATGAATAAAAAAATATCAATAAATTTAGAAAAGTGTTTGATTTTTGACTTTGGTTGTGATTATTTAGTTGTTGAGGTCGTGCATAGGTATATGCATATACCCGCAGACATGTTATGAGTCAAGATGATAGGTGATTTTGTTGCTGCTGATGCTGGATGCAACAGGTAAAACGCCATTTGCTGATGACTGACCAAAAACTTGTACATCTGGGTCTGGAAATTGTATAAAACGCTTCTAAGATATCTATTCAGAAAATACATAACATTAGTAATTCTGGAATCAAACATTTTATCTGTTGGAAAACCAGTGTGTTGATAGGACAAGCAATACATTCTATGATATTCCCCAGGTGCCAGTAGATAATTACATTAGCACTATACGTTTTTCGATTTGCAATTCAAACTATTTGTTTTGTTTCAGTTTTGACAGCAAAACTGAAACAACTTAGGCATTTGAGTAAAGAGCTAGTTGCACTCGGCTTTTGCTCTGTCTCAGTTTCCCTGACAACAGATTTGTGCTACAGGACCATCAGTACGGTGGCGGTATTACACAATTGAATAATATCTGACAGGACTGTCTCATATACAGATGTCTATTTCAAGCACTGCTACTCTAGGAACTAAGATAGTGAGAGAGTGCTTCACCATATCGCAATGCTGAAGTCCCTTTATGAACTGTGCAAATAGTCAGTATGATTCCAGAAACACGGATCAACGCAGCCCCCTGCTGAAAGCTGCACTCTTCTCAAAAGGCTCTTAAGCAAGATCTGACCAACACAAAAGCGGAACCTCTAACCACACCCGCACTACAGGGCTCAAAACAGGACCTTATTTGCTTGCACCTGACTTTTGAGTCGCCTTTAATTTGGCGCCACTCGTGCTGCGCTTTGAGTTTTTCCATTTGTCGATTACATCTCATTTGCAAATTGTCAATTGTGTCTTTTTCCATAATATATCCATCAAACAAATCGTTGCGACTCCAGTACTCTTTATTTTTGGGCCATGACTGATAATCCCTACTTGTCACCAAGTAATGCCGATATAGGTTCTGTTGATTCCATCAATCGTTCAAGTTCCCCTTCTAATGTCAACTTACCTTCTTTGAAATATGCAACTTTATCAGTCGAGCAAACCATAAAAGATTACAATTCTGATCCGATTAGTGGTTTATCATCTTCTTCTCAGATCTCTTATTTGCAATCTATTTATGGAGTTAATGATATATCTAATCCCTCGGGTAGTGAAGATGAAGATATTGATTCAAATATTGGTGTTAATGGAAATAATAATAATAATGTTATTAATGGTATGAATAAAAGTAACAGAAAAAAGAAAAAAAAAATTGTAATCCCTCCCATATTATTAAAGTTTTTAAATCAGTTTGTTGAAGATAAACTCATTTTATTATTGATATGTTCCTCTCTAATATCTCTTGCAATGGGCAACTACCACGACTCGATATCTATTTTTCTAGCTATTATAATAGTAATAACTGTTGGTTTTATTCAAGAATTTAAAAGTGAAAATAGTTTAAAAGAATTGAATAAACTAATTCCAAGCTACTGCAATTTGAAAAGAAATAACGTCAATAAAAGAATCTTAGCTAATAATCTTGTTCCGGGTGATTTAGTTTTTTTCAGTCAAGGTGATAGAATTCCTGCCGATATACGAATTATAAACTCTGTTGATTTATTGATTGATGAATCAAACTTAACTGGGGAAAATAAACCCTTAAAGAAGGATTCTTCAACAATTCTGGCCAACTCTCCTTCCTCATCTATTCCAATAAACAAAAGATCGAATATAGCTTATATGGGTACTTTAGTTACACAAGGTCATGGTTCAGGTATTGTTGTTGCAATTGGTTATAAAACCGTTTTTGGTCACATTTGTAAGCTAATGGGAAATATCGAAAAACCAAGAACTCCAATGCAAAATTTAATGGATAACTTGGGTAATCAGTTAACCTATTATAGTTTTATTATAATATCAATCATTTATTTGATTGGTATTATTCAAGGCAAGAATTGGTTAGATATGTTTCAAATTTCGGTTTCATTAGCAGTGGCTGCTATTCCAGAAGGTTTACCAATAATTGTCACTGTTACTTTAGCCTTGGGTGTTTTGAGAATGGCCAATCAAAAGGCTATAGTCAAAAGACTAAATAGTGTTGAAACTTTGGGTTCTGTTAATGTTATTTGTACCGATAAAACTGGAACCTTAACTCAAAATCAAATGACAATCACTAAAATTTGGTCTCCAGACATGTTCAACGACTATATTGATATTTATCCCAAAACTAGTCATAGTCATAGTCATAGTCATAACCATGGTACGAATAACAGCTATTATAACAAATACTATAACAATCACATTGATATTCAAAAGTTAATTCAAATTGCTAATATTTGCAACAATTCCAAATACTCAAAGGAAATTGATGCGTTTGTTGGTAACCCTACTGATATTGCTTTAATTAATATTATCAACCAATTTACCTCCTCAAACAACTCTTTTAATGATTTAAGAGATTCTGTTATTAAGTTGAATGAATTATCTTTTAATTCAACCAGAAAATTCCAGGCCATTTCTTTTAAGAATTATTCTGATAGTTGCATATCTTCAAACAACCCTGATCAACCGATAACATATATTAAAGGTGCCATTGAAAAAATCTTATCCTATTCCAAGTTTTATTTAACCAAAAATGGAGAAATCAAAAAATTAACTCCTGACGCTATTTTTCAAATTAATAAAATGTCAAATAATTTGCAAAACAATGGTCTTCGAGTGATTGCATTGGCCTTTAAGGATAATTTAAACTTTAAAGCTGAATCAGATATAATTTCAAATGACTTTGTTTTTGTTGGGTTTGTTGGTATGAACGATCCGCCAAAAAAAAATGTTTCAAGTTGTATTTCTAAATTCATATCTGGTGGTGTTCATGTTATAATGATAACTGGTGATAGTGAAATCACTGCCTACAATATAGCTAAGCAAATAGGGATGCCCTTGATTAATCCAGAAACAAGTATATTGACAGGTGATAAATTAGATCATTTAAACGAGTTTGAATTATCGCGGATTATCAATCATGTTTCAATTTTTGCCAGAACAACTCCTCAGCATAAGGTAAAAATTGTAAAGGCTTTACAAAAGAGAGGTGATATTGTTGCTATGACAGGTGATGGTGTTAATGATGCTCCTGCTCTAAAATTAGCAGATATTGGTATTGCCATGGGCAAAAATGGCACAGATGTAGCTAAGGAAGCTGCAGACATGATTCTAGTTAATGATGAATTTAACACCATTTTAAAAGCGATTGAAGAAGGTAAAGCTATTTTCCAAAACATCCAAAATTTTCTTTGTTTTCAATTGTCTACATCTATTGCTGCATTGGGTTTGATTTCCATTACAACATTGTTCAATTTGCCCAATCCTTTGAATCCAATGATGATTCTTTTTATTAACATTATTATGGACGGTCCTCCCGCTCAGTCATTAGGTGTTGAAGAAGTTGATAAAGATATAATGAATCAGCCCCCTAGGAAGAAGAACGATAATGTTATTATTACGGGATATATTTTTAAGCGTATTTTGCTAAAATCATTTATAACAATTTTGGGGACCTTATTTATCTACTACAAAGAGATGTCGTTTGATTTGGAATTTAGCAAAAGAGATACAACAATGACATTTACCACGTTTATTTTGTTTGATCTTTGGAATGCATTAGGTTGCAAACATTCAAAGAAATCAATTTTCAAAATTGGGTTTTTCAAAAATAAATTTTTCAATTTATCGATTATTTCTGTATTATCTGCCAACTTATTGATTATTTATTTGCCGTTGTTACAAAATATATTTCAAACAGAATCTTTGTTGATCAACGACTTGGTTTTGATTGTTTCAATAACTTCATCAGTTTTTATTGGTGATGAAATTTACAAATATTTCAATAAGCAAAATGATTTATATTCAAAATATAACATTGTATAAATATAAATACTCCAAATAAACATAAAAATTCAATTTTCAGTTTCTGATTTTTTACCAGATAAGAGTTGGAGGCATTCAGTCGACAAATGCTAAGAGCACCAAGCCTAGGCAGTGTTCAGCGAACAATAGCCCAAAATTCACAACAGCGCACGTGTCGAGACAAACAACAGTTTCCTAAACTGGAATCTGTGTGCAGCACCAAAAGAAGAGGCTCCTCCTAAACAGGCAGGCACGCGCCGCTTTAAGAACTTCCTGTTTGGAAAGCGCGTCAATCTCAATGCGGAAGTTACCCGGGTCTGCAGATGTGGTTCAATTTGGAGTGCTGTATCATGTGACAGTCGCTGGATATAAGCAGATATAATCAGATATAATCAGATGTTTGGAGGTATTCAATTATTACCAAACATACCACTCACCCACACTCATTCGCCTTCATATAATCAGATATATTTACTAGGCATAGCAGGCCCCATATATCACACAGACTTTTCATTGCAACGACAACAACAAATACTTTCTCTGCACTCCACTCAGACTCTTTTGTTTTTAGATGCCCTTGCCCAATATTCCTGACTTGATTTCAAAATCAGCTTCATGGAACAATAACAATAACAATAACAATAACAATAACAATAACAATAAAAATTACAATACCACCAATAATCCCAATAATCCCAATAATCCTAATAATCCCAATAATCTCAATAATCTCAACATCTCTACTCATAATGTTGATTTTAAACCGGAAATGAGCTATGATTCGGATTCTTCTTCTTATTCTTCTTACAGCAGATCATCAGCCAGACCTTCAAGGACTGCACATACAAATGTAAAGTCACTATCTTCATCCAGCTCCAGAGAAATACTATCACAACTCAACAAATTTTCAAATAATAATCTTAATCTAAATTCTACTAATTCGGTTGCTACCACTAACAGCAATAATAACAACAAACTGTCCAAAAAATTTCTGTTGTCTACCAAACTTTCAAACAAAAATTTAAATATACTAAAAAAAGATCAAAGCAAAGACTTGGATTTTACTTATAATTTATCTAGAAGTCTAACGATCGAATCCAGAAAATTAAAACTAAGTAATGAACTAAAATCTAAACAAATTGAAGGACTAAATATTAAAATTACCAATCTAACTTTAGAAAGAGACAATTTATTATCTAAAAATAGTGATTTAATAAAAAATGACGAATCTTTAAATGATTCAAATTGGCAATTAAGAGTTAATTTAGACGATCAAAATTCAAAAATATCAAGTTTAAATAAACTAGTTTCAAAATTACAATCAGATTTACATGCTTCTTCTCTTTTGAATAATAATTTATCTACTAATCTCGATGATTCTAATCTAAAACTACACAATTTACAATTAAACTTTGATAAAACCACTAAAAATTTAAATCTTTCAATTCAAAATTTAAATAATCATATCCTGGATCTAAATCAAGAAAATGATGAACTAACTAAAAAATTAAGTCTTTTAACATCCTCTTTGAAAGAATCCCAGCTTAAAAACTCAAATTTGGCATCAAATTTACCAGCTTTATCTTCCCAATACTCAACTTCGAATTTATTGAAAAAAAATCAATTATCTGATTTAGAATCGGATATTGATAATTCCCTATTAGATCCAAATAACTCCCAATTTTTATCCAATTATAATTCCCCAATTAAAAATTTACCATCAAGAAACATTCAACTAGAATCTGAAACACTTAAATCAAGTTTAACTAACGCTCACAAAATTATATCAAAATTAAGAAACCAGCTAATTAAAGCCACTACTCAGGCTACAAATGCTGGGATCACTTTATTATTAAGTTCTGATTCTGATTCTGATTCTGACTCAAATTCTGATTTAGATTCTGATTTAGATTTAGATTTAGATTTACAAAATAATAATCAAAATAATGATAGAAATACTAACATTACTACCAATAATAACAAATCTTCAAATTTCGAAAGATACAACTCAATTGGTTTTCAAAATGATTCAAAGAAACTACTATTAAACAAACCAAATCTAATTAATATTAATATCAAAAACAACAACAACAATAATAATAATGGTAATGATGACGCTGATGACGCTGATGAATATGACGATTGGCTATCAACTGATGAAGAAGATAATAAAAACACAAATAACACTCAAAAATTAAAAGGCTCTTCTGATAATAAAAAATCTATAATTCAAAACAGATCTGATCCCAATATATTTTTAAATAATTCTCTAGTTTCTTTAGATCATTCTAATTACACATCCACAGCAAATAATGTCTTATCAGATTCTACAGTTTTTGCAAAAAAAAATCTTTTAGATGAATTAAATGATAATAATACTAATACTAATACTAATAGAAAAAATAATAATGAGAAAAACTTAGATAATCCTTCAAATGATAAAATTAAATCAATTGTCGATGATTACATTAACAAAAATAAACTTATGCTTATTTCAGAAGATGAATATTCCAAATTAAACAATTCTGTAACCTTTAATAACTTGAATGAAATTTTAGTAAATCCAAGTTCTTCTAGAATCAATTTTGATAATGAATTAAATCATATGTCCGACTTAGATGCTGGTAGCTCAAACGAAAACTCTGATTTTTCTTCTAATGATGGTTCAAGAAGTTTAAAATTTTCTTATAAAAAGCCCCAAAAATCTATATCGAAAAAAGATAATAACCTTCGTTTATTAAAACTTCAATCAGAAAATGATAAAAATCTTTCTCAACTTACTATCATCAAATCTCAAGTTGATGAACTTGAAAAAGAAAAATTTGAAATTCAAGAAAAATTAGATACTGTAAACAGTGAAAAAGTTGATTTGGAAAAAATTAAAAACAACCTTTCCCGCGAACTAAATGCAGCAAAATCAGAAAATGAAAAAAACAATTTGACAATAGTTGGTTTTTCCTCATCGATCAATGAGCTTTCAAATGAAAAAAGTAATCTTGAAAAAAAAATAAACAATCTCTTAGGAGAAAAAAATAATTATGAGAAGAACAAAAACGATTTAGAATCCAAAATTAAATCTCTCAACAAAACAATATCTTCCATTTTTAATGATAATTTGTTCTTAAAAAAGGAAATTACAACATTGAAAGAATCTACTGAAGAACTCAACAAACAATTAAATGTTGAAGTTTCCAAATACCAACAGTTGATTGATCAAAACAAGTTACTGGATAAAAATGAAAAGCAAATCAAAGAAAAGCATGAAAAACTAAAAGCTGAAATCGAGCATTTGAAAACAGATCAAAAGGAAACTAAAAGCAAATTAGCTGTAATATTATCGGAAAAATATTCATTGCAAAACAATAATACCGAACTTGAAAATAACATACAAATACTTGAATTAAAAGTTAAGGATAATGTTCGAAGGCTAGAGTCTCTTAATAATGAAAAACTGATTTTGGATAATTCATATCTGTCTTTGAAAGAAAAAAATAATATACAAAACAATACTATTAGAAATCTAGAGGCCCATATCACTGAAATTCAATCAAAATACAATACTTTATCTGATCTTAATGATAATTTGAAGAAATCTAAAGAAGATTCTATTTTGTTGGTACAAGATTCAACTGCTAAAGTGGAAAAATTAAATAAAGAAAAAGACATTGTTCTTGAAAAACTAAAAAATTTAAAACTCAGTAAACATGAATTGGAAACTTCTAATGAAATCCTTAAAGAAAAGAATTCTAGCTTGTCAGACCAATGTAATGCTCTCCAGATAGAAAAAAATAACACTGATTTAAAGACAGAAAAATTGATTGTCTCCAATCAATCCTTATCTAATAATATTGAAACTCTAAACCTAAAAATTTCTCAATTGTCATCAAAAATTGAAAATGTAGAAAAAGAAAAAAATGATATAGAAAGAGTTTTAGAAAACTCCATTCATGAATCTGAAAGTTTAAAATCAGTTAACAGTGAAAAGGATAAACTGATAAATATAATAAATTCCAAATTAGATGATTTGACCAAGGCAATTGCTGCGGCAACTTTAGCTAAGACATCTTTAGAAAATGCAAATAAATCGTTGAAGGAAGAGAACTTAAAACTTCATAATGACATAATTGAGCTTGAGTGCAAAAACAATAACCATATTGAAAATTATCAAAGTTTATTGTTAGAAAAAGAAAAATTAGTTAAACTTAATGAGTCCTCTATTTCAGAAATTTCTCAGTTATCTTCAGACACTAGGACATTAAATTCAACAAAGGATAAAATTACAAAAGAATATGATAACTTATTGCTTGAAAATGAAAAAATTATTTCCAAAAACTCCGATCTTTCATCAAGGATTGTTGTTCTTGAACAAAACCTTAAAGATAACATCAGGAAGTATGATTCTGTTTTTAATGAAAAATCAAATCTAGATGAAATGTTGAGTAAATTAAAGGGTCAAAATGATAAACTATTAGACACAGTTCAAGCATTTGAATCAGACCTAAGTGAAAATAAAAATAAGTTGGATGATTATATGAAAGAAAAATTGGTTTTAGAAGAAAAGCTAAAGGAATCAGATTCAAAGCTATCAGACTTAAAGAATAAATCTCAGCAAACAGATGAAGATTATAGAGGTATTCTTAAAAAACATGATACTATGGCTTTAGAATTAAAAAGGCTGGAAACTATTATTGGTGATCTACAGTTAAAATTAAAATCTATAAATGGAAGATTTGAACAACAATCAAAAGAAATTGAAGAAGTAATAAATGAAAGGTCTTCTCTTTCTGCAGTTGTTCAGGAATTACAAAAGGAAAATTCAAAGTTAAAAACAGATTTAGTTGAAATAGAAAATTCCAATAAAGAAAACCTTGATAAATGTAAAGTACTCAAAGAAGAAAAAGCTAATATGCTGAAGAGTCAGAGGGATACTTACTTTAAAATATCGGAGATTTCATTGCGGGCAGAAATTTTGGAAAAGGAAAACAAAAGTATTCAATTTAAATACAATAGCATTTCATATGAAAAAAACGATCTTGTAAAGGCCAATAGAGATCTCTCAGATAGAATAATTTCA